AACCCCAACCCCAACCCCAACCCCAACCCCAACCCCAACCCCAACCCCAACCCCAACCCCAACCCCAACCCCAACCCCAACCCCAACCCCAACCCCAACCCCAACCCCAACCCCAACCCCAACCCCAACCCCAACCCCAACCCCAACCCCAACCCCAACCCCAACCCCAACCCCAACCCCAACCCCAACCCCAACCCCAACCCCAACCCCAACCCCAACCCCAACCCCAACCCCAACCCCAACCCCAACCCCAACCCCAACCCCAACCCCAACCCCAACCCCAACCCCAACCCCAACCCCAACCCCAACCCCAACCCCAACCCCAACCCCAACCCCAACCCCAACCCCAACCCCAACCCCAGATTATTTAGTATTAAATGATTAAACATAATAATATTTTCCATAATAATTTTATTTATATTTTAATCTATTTTATTGATTAATATAGTAGTCATTTTTAAGAAAGCTGAAATATAAAAATAATTTATTTAACGGGTATTTTGTATATTAATTTTTTTAAAAATTGCGCTTACTTTAAATTTTATAATAATTTGCGCCAGTTTGATTGATAAAAATTTGCTTATAAAAATCTTTTGGATATAAATTAAATTTTTGTAAATTTACATTTAATAGTAAACAAATTTTATAAGATATTTTAAGACGATCAAATGGATTAAGAATAGGTTTGCATAAATTAAATTTATATAAAAAGATTGAGTGATTAAAGATTTCCCTTAAATATTAGTTGGAATTCGATTATGAAGATGAGTTTCAGGATCTAAACTTAGAGTAGTAGCTAGCATAGCCTACAAGGTTTTTAAAAAGCTAAAATGGTGAAAAACAATAAATATAAACTAATACAGAAATGTAGAATAAAGAAGATATTACTAATTAAAAGAAGCATTTATAAAAGCCTAAAAAGCCTTTGAGTGCATACTTTTTATTTATTTAAGACTATAAGCAAAGTAATTGGTAATTTTCTCAAATGTTTCAGTTATTTATGTATGTGCATTATAAAATTAGAATGTGGAAGCAAAATAAACTTGAAAGAAATGGGAAATATATGGAATGAAACTTCGTAAGATGAAAAGCAAGTAAGAAAAATAATTTATTAAATTGAATTATGCATATGTAGTGATGAAAATCTTAAAAATTAGATATACTATAAAAAATAAGAAGAAGAAAAAGCTCGCTTTAAAAAAGAAATGGACGAATATGTAAAAATTAATAATTAAACTATTTTAATTTTAAATTTAAAATATTTTTATAAAAACATAGATTGAATAGCAAGGTGACGAGGAGTAAAAAATATTTTTAATTAAAAATTGAGTTTAAATTATTATTTTTGTTAGAAATGAAGAACAATTAGATAATGAATTAGATATTGCTTTTCCTATATCAAGGATTAAAGGTATTCTTAAAGTTGATGAAGACAATAAACTATTAAGCAAAGACACACTCCTTTACTTTGAAAAAGCTACAGTAAAATTTCAATGGATTTTTTTATAGTTTTAATTTTTTGGTTAATTTAAAGGAATTATTTGGGGGTTATTTAGCTTAAAAATGTTTTAGAAATATGCAATAAAATCGCAGAAAAAAATTATAAACTGGTGATCTATGTAAAATAAAATAATAAAAATATCTAAAAAATTTAATAAGATTTTAAAAAAATAAGATGAAGTAATTAAAAGGGACATGTACTTGAACTTCTTATAATGTAATTTATTATTTAGTTGAAAATATTAATAATACTTCTAAAAAGGTATGGTGCCTTAAGAAGCAACTGGTGAAGAAGAAAACCAATAAAATGTAATTAGTGGAAGCTAGCAGTCATCAAAAACAAAATCTCGCAAAAGATTAGTCATTGCTGACGATGAAGATGTAAACTAAGAAGGCAACATGGAAATAGAAAATAAAGATTTAGAGTAATAGGAGATTCCTGAATCAAGTAATAAAAAAAATGTTAATACTAAGAGCAATAATAAACCAGGTAAAAAAGAAAAGGTTGTGCTACCTCCTGCTAATAATAGCAGGATCGACAGCTTTTTTACTAAAAAGTGAATATTTTTATTCTCATCCGAAATAAAAAAGTTAATTTAATTTAATAGTAAACAAATATTTGTATTAAGTATAAATAATTATTTTGAAAAATTATTATGAAAGTAAATTATTTTATAAAAAGAAGAATAAAATTTTATATGAAAATATACAAATTTGATTCACTAAATATCTTGTTTGGTTCTTTATTTATTTTTCTTTCAAATACAAGCATTTTGTATTTATTTAATGATATTTACTTATCTAATTAGTAGCTATCTTCAAAAGAAAGAAATTTATATTAAATAAAAGCATAATAAATTAAAAATTTGTTAGTGATTTCAATACATAAGGAAAAATGAATAGTCCTCAAAAGGTAGCTTAAGGCGCAGGTCGCAAATTATTCAAACATTATATTAATGAAAATATCAAATCAAATAATGAATAAAAGCTTTTCTTCTACAGAGTTAATAGATGGAGATGGAATACAAAGGATAATACAACTGGTATATATTAATTTTTTTGTTCATTATAAACATATTTGATTGTTTATTGCAATTAAATCTGCTTCTAAAATGGTTTAATTTTTATAAATTAAAATGAAAAATTTAATTCTTTCCAAATAAAATAGAATTATCAAAAATTAAATAAAATAAGTGCCACCATATTTTAGCAAAACTCTGCTTTAAATTTATTAATATTTTTATTTACTTACAAAAAAGCTCCTAAATTCTTGAGATTAAAGTATCCTTTATTAGTCACTGGTGTTTGTCTATTTGCTTATGGTAAATACAATTTTAGAATTTAAATATACATAAAAATACTAACAATTTATTGCAATTCAACTTATTTGTGATGAAATATAATAAATAATTGTTAAAAAATATTAGATTGGACTTATGGTTTTACTTAAGTTGATGCTCATCATTGAAGTTAAATGTTTAGTGAGTTTAAGGATATTAAAAATGATATTTCCCTTAAAGGATTATTACAAAAAGTAAAACCTTTTACAAAAGTGAGTAATTAATTCTATTAGGATTATTAAAAGTACTAAATGTCCTTACTTACTTATTTTAAATATTTTGTTATAAACTCATTATATCTTTTCACTGATAAAAATATCTATCTATCTATCTTTCTGACTTCAAACAATATTATTCACTCTATAGATTAAATAATTTATAAATATGCTTTAATAAAATATTATAATTTATGATTGAGCGAGCATAAATTCTTATTTATAACTTTAATTTAATTTTAAAATGATATTTTTACAAAATAATAATATCTTTTCATGTTAAATTCTAATTCAAAAATTATTGAAAAATTATTTATGAAATAATATTTTTATTTTTTAGTTTTAAAAATGAAATTAAAAAAAAAATTGGCTTAAAATAAGTTCAACTGAAATAGAACAGTAGCACTAAAAATTTAAAATACATGAAATAAACTTAGTTTGATGTAATTATAAAATGATTTAAATAAATTTGATATGATTTTATATAAAATTCTAAAGATCCACAGAGAATATTCCACTAGTTAATTTAATATTCAAATTGATTGAATTAAATTTTAGAAGGTAGAAAATCAATCAATAAAGCAAGTTTAATTGATCGAGAATAATTTGAGATAAAATCAAAGTCAACGAGTACCATAATTAAACATAACATGCAACTAACATCTTTACGAATCTAATACAAGTTTGACATTATTATTGTCTTCATTCATTAGATAATTTTGTTGTATAAATCAGAAATTGAGTAAGTCATCATGCAATCGTTTTAAATCTTACTCATTATATAAATCTAATCCATATTCACCATATTTTGATTGAGACATTCATTTTAAATAATTTACTATTATTCACCCTACATCTCTTAAGTAGAGCAAAATCCTTATCTTTGCTTATGACGAGGATCAATCTTGCACTTAATCATAACCTTTTTGCCTCTCTTAACAATATAACAGTGTTGGCAGTACTTTTTAAGAGCTGATTTAATTTTCATTTCTATTCTCCTTAACTTTAATACTAAAAATTCTTTTAATATTTACCCTTAATATTATTTATTTAACTATGTTAACAATTTTATATGAATTTATAGATGAAATTCTTTAGTTTATAAAATTAAGTAAAAAATCCTAAAAAATATCTGCCATTATTAAAATAAAGAAAGTAATAAATATCATAGCAAACCAGAAATTATAAACTCTTTGGTTCATTTGCATATAAAATGTTTTGCTATATAAAAATATTTATATTTGACACTTTTAATTAAACTAAAGTTAATCCTAAAAAGATAAAAAATTATTTTTCAATAATTTATGCTTATTATCATTAATAATTATTATGAAAGGTTAATTCATTCCTAAAATTAAGTTTTTTTTTTAATTTATTTATATTTAGCAAGGTTTGAGTTATTTAAAATATTAAAATGAATTAAAACTCTATTTGGGATTAAATTAATAAAATATTATTTACAAATACATTCATGCCTATTTTTTAATAGAATAATTTATATTTAATAATATTAGCATAAAAGATCATTTATAGAGTGTGTCTGATTAAAGTATTTTTAATTATTAAATTATGTATATGATTTTTGCAAATTTAAATCTTAAAAAAATATTTTTAGTAGAACTTTAAAAAATGTTTACTTATTATTTACCTATTTTTATTAATAAATTTAACAATTTTATTTGTAATTATAAATATTTACATATTTTAAAAGTGAAAATCAGGCAGGCCAATCAATTTTTAATATTAAGGATAATTTTGATAAGTTATCAAATTTTCTGATTTAAAAAAAATCAAAATTTAAAAAAATGATTTATAATGAAAATTCAGCTTTTTTTATAAGTCAAAACAACGATTTCCTATAAATTAATCAACATTAAAATGAAGACGATAGCAGAATAATTTAGGAATCTAAATAAAATGATTTTTATGGTTATTAAAAACAAATTAATGATGAATCTTAAAATGTACTTAACTAGATAAAAGTTTGCTAGGCTTAAAATATATCATTACTATTTAAATCACCTGCAGAATAAAACAGCATTATTTTATATGGAGATTTACTCATAGAAGCTCGGAAAGACTTTGATAATATTGATTACACCTTACAAATTTGTAATATATACCTGTAAAAGAAAAGAGTAGTGTAGATTAATTATGACAAGAAAGCCAACATAATTGAAATGATTTCTGAAAATTTAACTTCAGGATCAAGAAATTTTCAGTATGCTCAATAAATTTTGTTAAAAACATAGAATAAAACAAATTATATGCTTGCTTAGCATTTATAAATGCACGAGTAAAAGGTGATTCAACAGATTAATAAATATCAAGCTTTTTTAGCAGATAATGATGAAGATATTCTTTATTAAGCTTAAGCAGAATTCTTTTAGAATATGAAGCAGTAACTAACATAAAATATATGCAAGAATGAATTTGATTTTTTTTGTTATACATCATTCAGTTATATTGATAAATAAGACTTGGGATTTCCTATTTAAAAATGTTAAGGAATTAATGAGGCAGCATGTGCTTTATTTGGAATGGATGCTTCATAGTCAATAGAGTTATTATAAAGATATGGCTTTATAGAAGTTATTATCAAAAGAGGATTTCCTAAAGATATGTAGGAATAAGAGCCTTTTGGCCATATTTTTATGATGTAAAATTAAGAATCTTTTATTTAAATAAAACAATTATTTAACTCAGATTCCTATGCTAAAACTATTGATGGAATTACAATTAGGCTAAGAATGGAGCTTAATTAAGCAACTTAAGTTTATAATGGATATATTATATCAAGCTTTTACTATTCTTAATTTATAATAAAAGATTAAGAAATAGAGAGAGTTTTATAAATTAGGTCGTCAGGCTCTCATATTAATTCTTCAGATAATATTTTAGATCTGCTCCTTAGAGAAAATATTTATTCTACATTTGCAAAAAAATTTGGAAATTTCATATCAAATCCTTAAAATTTTAAATAACCATGTTAATAAGATTTATTTCCCGAAAAAACTTGTAAATATAATCTGATCTAAAAACCTGTTTAATGATTTAAGTTTATTAATAAAAGGAAAATTAATTTAATTGCTTTCTTTTATCAACTATCAAACAAAAGAAAAATCATAAATTAAAAAATTTGCATATCTTGATAAATATCTAAATAATTAAATCAGTATCAAAATATATTAAAAATAAATAAAAATTTATTGAATATTTATTATTTACAATTAGAAATCTAAACTGAAATCTTAAAATAAATATTTTTATATTAATTAGTTTTGATTGATGTATTTATAAAAATGTAAATAAAATTATAAACAAAAGCATTCTTATAAATTCTATCAAAAATACCATTTGTTTTGTAAAATTTTACGTTAGTGTTTTGAGGTAATATAAATTACAAGTTTTGCTTAAATTAAGTCTTTTTGATCAAAAAAATCATAATAATCATTTGTGTAAAAAAATATTGATTAAATATCAAATTCATTTTAGAATTAAAAGAAAAAAATTAAAGTTTATATAAATAAATATTACCTTCATAAATGAACTCAAATCAAAATATTATCTTATAACTTGCAGATACTCCTTTAAGTAATGAATAATAGAACATCAATAGTTGTAGTAGTATTCAAGATTCTCTTGAAAAAAAAGATTCCTAGCAATAGTAATAACAAGACTAGAATAATCAAAGTACATAAAGTTCTTCTAATGGATTTGATTATTTGAGTATTTGTTAAGTTAAAAATATTTCTTAATTTTTCAAATAGCCTAATCAATAAAATATTTTTTTAATGTATGGTGACTTGCTTTTGGAAACAAGAAAAAACTACTACGATCCTGATTACACTTTATAAATATGCAATACTTATCTGTAAAAAAAAAGAGTAACAGAAGTAATATATGATAAAAATGCTCATTTAATTGAAATGAAATCAGAAAATTTATTTAATGGATCAACAGATTTTAAGTATGTGTATGAGATTTTATTGAGAAGTTAAAGTAGCTAAAATTACAATTTAGCTCAAGAATTATCTTTGTATGAATAAAAAATTGTCGAGCAAAGAATAAATTATGAAAGATTTTTTATGGAAAATGATCAAGATTTGATTTACCAAGCCTAGCAAGATTTTTTTTAGAGAATGAAATAGGATTTCAAATAAAAATTAATTAAAAATGACCATGATTTTTACTCATATTTATTTTATAGTTATATTGATTAATTAGAATTAGGGTTTCCTATTCAAAAAGAACAAGGAATTAATGAAGCTGTTTGTGCATTGTTAGGATGTGATTAATTTTAAGTTGTAGAATTAATGTAAAGATATGGTTTTATTGAGCATATAATTAAAAGAGGATTTCCAAAACATTTGCAAGATCTTGAGCCTTTTGGGCATTTTTTTATGTTATAAAATTTAGACTATTTTGTGAAACTTACTGACGTTTTTGATGAATAATTAACAATTATGACAGTAGATGGAATACATTTTAATGTGAGAATGGTTTTGAAATAAGTGAGTCAATTATATAAAGGTATGCTAATTACTAGTTTTTATTATTCTTAATACTTAGTTGAAAACGAAGAGTTAGAAAGGATTTTATCTATTAGAATTTAAGGCTCTCACATCCATTCTTCTTAAAATATATTAGATTTACTTTTATCATAAAACATTTATTCAATATATGCTAATAAATTTGGAAATTACATCACAAATTATAAAAACTTTGAACCTAAAATCAACTAAGATTTATATCCTGAAAAAACATGTAAATATAGATTTGTTAATAATTAAAATAACTCATGATAAAATTAACTTAACTTCAAGTGATTTTTTTCAACTTAGGAGGATTTAAAAGCTAAAAAGTAAAAAATTTAATAAAAACACTCTAAAAGTTATAGAAAGAGAGTATTTAATTATCTTCATAATCTTTTAAATTGTATAGGATACATTTTGCTTGCTTAAACTATATTTTTATCTAATTTTAATTTTTTAAAATAATTTGTTTTTGTAAATTATAATCTATAAAATTTTATGTAAAAGGCTTTTTAATAACTAAGATATTAATACACTTACAAATAATAAGTATATATTTATTAATATTTTCAACTTATACAAAGGGAATTATAAGAAAAAATTAAATTAATTTTTAAAAGTGTTATTATCAGTCCTCAAATTTAATCTTAATGATACAGCTTAGACAAGATCAATATGATTAATAAATTATTAAAATTGTAATAATTAAGATATTTTATATATAAAACCTTACTTAAAAGATTGCTATAATTTTTTACTATTAATTAAATTTGACCATAAATCGAATTTATTTATTGAATTTTAATCTTTAGGATATTATTTATTTTGTAAAAATCTGATTTAATAAAACAATAGAGATTGGTTATAATTAATTTAAATAAAAGGAATGGACAATAAAAAATCTTGAAAATGTGGTTGATGGAGATAAAGAAAATTAATAGATTGTAAAAAAGCTTTTTATTATCAGTATTTGAAAACACACAAGATGAATTAAAAGTATTTATCTTTATTTTGTGAAATTATTTATAATAATAATGAATGTAATGAATGAATGAATTTGATGCAAAAGTAAAATAATAAAGTTTATAATTCAATTAGCATTTGATTATTAGTAAATGAATATCATTCAAATCAGTTTGTAAAACCAATAAAAAAAGAAAGAAAAAAATATCCTTTACTCTTAATAATTTGAGATAATTAATACTTGAATTTTTAATATTATACTTGTTGTTGGTGTTTAATAAAGCGAGTTTCAATAAAAATAGAAAATACTATTACAGTAATATTTCTAAAGTTTGCAACATACTAGCATCTAAATTCATAAAACTATAACAAGTCACGAAATATAATGAATACTGCTATTTTAGATAACAGTTATTCAAATACAGGAAATATTGGTAATAGAAATGAAGATAATTCAAAAATATTTTACCATTAACAAAATAATAATGATAAAATATAATAGTAGTATTTGTATGACTAAAATGCAATTTAAGCAAGATAAAACTATTAACAAAGTGATTAAAGTCCTTTGAAGAGAAGTAATTCTAAGCCACCATTAAGTGGCAATAAATACTCAGATAATAAAAGCAAAATATAAGGTTAAGGAAAAGCTAATTCTTCATTAGCTAACATACAGTAAAGAGATGAAGATTCAGAAGAACGTACACATTAAAATAGCAATATACTTAATAAATAACCAAACCATAATCATAGTCACTAGCATAATGTTTTAGATATTTCTAAAAATGATAAAAAGAAAAATTTTTAAGAACGTATGATACATGAAAGAATAAAGGCAGCTGAAAAAACATTTGTTGTTGGGCGGATTAAAGCTGACGATTAAAGGCTGTAAAGGAGATAAACTAAGAATAAGACTGAGCTTTCAGTTGATGAAAATACAGATAATATCGAATAAACTGATAATAACAATAGATAATAAAGTGCAAGTAATTTGAGAAGTACAAAGGGGAGTAATATGACAGCAAATATTGATAAAAAAGACGAAAGAAATAATAAAAAAACCTTAAATCAAGCCAAAAGTTTAAACAAAAGTGGAACTTTAAAAAGTGGCCCTGAAAAAAAGTAAAATAATTCAGAAAACAAAGGTTAAATACCATCATCCTCTAATCAAACACAAATGCCTTAATCTTCAAGCTAAACTAAAATACCTTTATCTTCAAACATGAAAAAATAGAGTGCTCCATACTTTAAAGATTAACAAGAAAACAACAATTCAATATCTCCTTTTCCTGAAAGTGTAAATACTAATAGTAATAGTAGAAACTAAAATTAATAAAATTAGAGTAAAGTATAATAGAGCATTTCAGATAACAGTCCTAATGCCTAAAATAGTGATGAAAGAGAAGAATATTTTGAATATCCTACTAGCTAAAATTAAGACAGTGAGTAGTCCAAAAATTTATCTAATAATTTAATTTCAAATCACTAAAGCTAGCACCCTTCTTAAAATAAGAGAGTGCAACTCCCATAATAAGATGGAGATTAAAGTAACACAAGTAAGCTAGATTCTGATAATAATAGGTTTACAGGATAAAATTTTAATAAAAATGATTCACCAAGTAGGTCTCCAGTAAGTAAAAATCATAGAAGGTAAGTTAGAAGTTTAAGTTCTAAAGGACTTTCAAATAAAAGTTCAGATAAATTAAACAAAAGTATTAATAATAAAACAAATCTACCTCATATAAATTCTAGAATTCTTACCTAGCCAGACAAAGATGATAGCGACAGTAATAGTGATAGCTTTAATGGTATATCAAAGATAAATCCTAATAGTAAAAAATAAAGGTCTAGCTAGAGTTTCGTGAATATACATGAAAAAAGATTAATCGAATAAGGTCTTAAATTGAAAAAACTGAATAATATGGATTTAATCATCTCAAAAATTACTAAAACTCACAATTAAAGAGGCAATCCTTACAATGACCCTTTAACACAACAGATTTTTACCAAGCAATTTACTGAAGCTTTTGTAAAAAAGTTAGAAAAATAGAGAAAAACTCATAAAAAGACAGATTTTGATTATGTTGATGCTGCTAAAGTATATTACTCTGTCTGCGACGGATCTAAGCTCAGTAGACCTGAAATAGGTAGAGGATAGAAATATCTTTTAGATGCCGCTAATTAGTAAGGTTAACAATAAGCTAAGAGAGATAAATCAGAGAAAAAAAATGGTACTTAAATACTGTAAGCACAACCTTCTTAAATAACTCTTCATAACAACAACAGCATAAGTAATCCCCAGATGACTCAATAAGGTTTTAATACATTTTAAGTAAATCCTTCTCAGTCAATTCCTAATTTAGTTTAATCTGAATCATCACCTAATATTACACATTATCATCATTAAAGACCAAATAATGATGCTGATGCCACTCAACAAAGCTTTAGGACTAAAAATTAGCTTTCTCCTTAAAAAAAATTTTAACCCCTATTTATAGGAGCTAGAAATAATAATCAAGCCCCCATTTATTTTAATATTGGAGGAGTTGGAGGTAGCTTGAATGGAAGTGATATATTATCAAGCATATATCCTTTATCCACAAGTTCAACTCATTCTTTTTATCCCCATTCGCATTTTCATAGATTAAATCCCTTCTAGGGAATGTCTTAGATGCCTACTTAAAGAGAAAGAAGCCCATTTAATAATCATGAAAATAAGGAAACAAACTATGGATAACCAACAAACTACTAACAATAAGAGCTAATGAGTCCTGATAGAGGATCTTAAAACTTGGACTATCAACCAAGCAGTATAATAAATAATACAAATCATTTTTTCAATCCTAGCATAGACTTCCCTTAGTCAAATATGTACAATAATAACAACAACAACAATAATACTAGCAATAACAATAATATAAATAATACATAGTATAGCAGTAGCAATATACAAGATAAATCTAAAAATCCAACATAGTTTACATCTACTGGTAAACTTATACTACCTAAACTAAGTCTCAACTAAACAAATAGCAGTAATATGGACCCAGATCTTTAAAAAGCAGTTTAGTGTTCAAAAATTTTGTAGTATTTAAATGAAAGTGAATTACCAAATAACAAAAAAAAGAAATCCCAAATCGATCGTAAAAAATTGAAAAAAATTTATATTATAAAAATTTATTTATTTATTTATGAATAGCTGCAGAAAGAGAAAAAGCCAGGGACAGATTGCTCGGTAATAAAGATAAAGCGAACTAACCAAAAAGCATACGATAATAAAAAGAAGAAGAGAGAAGAAGGTTAGATGATGAAAAATTTAATGGTCCTTCCAAAAAAGTAAAAGGAGCAGATAATAATAGCATCAGCAATGATGCATCTGTATTACCTCACACAGCAGTTGGAACAGTTGATAATTCTATGTTTGCAGAAGCTCCAAAATAGATCTAAATGAAAAAAGTTGAAGAAGAATATTAGAATTTTATCATAAGTTACAATCAAAATTATAATGACACAGTTTCAGTAGTTTTGAAAAGGGGTTATCCTGAAGACAATGAGTAAAGCTTGCTGAAGGTTGATTAGCTATCTAAAGATAATTTTAAAAACTTCTAATGGAAATTCGATGAAGTTTGGACACCATTAACTTCCGATTAAAATAGTCAAAGATTAAGAGTACTTAAGGGAAAGGATGAAAAAATTAAATAAAAATGTTCATTTCATTTCTTTAATTGCTCTGACTTAAGTTCTCATAAAGATTATTTAAAAGATGTATCGATTGCATATATGGTTAATTTACACTATGAAAAAGACAGAGTTAGAAATCCTACTCTATTGATGTATTCAATTCCTAATATCTTTTAGCAAAGTAAAAAAGAAGTTGAATTTGTAACTTAATAGGAGTACTATTCAACTTTAGAGTGTATTTTAGAATACCGTTACTAAATTAGACAGGAATGGGAAGAAGAGGAAATGGTTAGTATCTTCTATTCTCTTCTTGATTGCATGAATGAGCTTTTTTCTCTGAATATCTGTCATGGAAACATCACACCTGCTCACATTGCTTATTCTTATAAAACAAATAGATATAAAATTTTTAATTTTTCTGCTGCTTAAATTAGCCATAAAGATTATAAAGTAAATTTTATTAATTTAAAATGATTTTTATAAAATTAAACATGACAGACTCAAAAAGTTTTTAATCAAAAATTCTACATAAAAATAAAAAAAACAAATAAATAAATTAAATTTGTTTTTATTCAAATATTTAAAAAATTTATTTTCTTTAATTTCAAAAAATTTTTTTATTAAATATGAAGGGAGGATATCCTATTTATTATCAATGGCCATTCCTTGCTCCTGAGATTAAGAAGGGATTAAATTATAACAATAGTAAATCAAATAAATATGATATATTGGCAGGCGACATGTATAGTTTGGGTATGTCTTTCTTAATGATAAAATATTTAATTCCTGAGAATATGAGATCATAAGAAGCAATAAATAGACTAATTAGTACTGTTGAAAGCGATAATAGATTATCAGCACAAATAATCAAAAGTCTTTTATTTAAATAATAAAGCAAAAGGCTCGAAAATACTTACGCAACATTGTGCAATCATATTCATACTGTTATGAAACAAAAGAACCAGGAGTTTACTCCATATTAAAAATAAGATTTAGTAAATTTAAATCCCCTTCACAAATTAAAGTGGAAGTAATCAAAAGACAGCGAGGTTATAGCTGATTTTTACTTTAGAATATTCTAGTGGTAGAATGCAGCTGATAGATAAAAGAAGCTTCTAGATGAATTATTATAAATTGAACATGAAGGGGGAGATGGAAGTCTTACAAATGCTCAAAAGGAAAAAAAGAGAAAAATCTTAAGAGATGTTTGGAAAAGCTACTTTAAGCAATAAGAATATGATAATGCTATAAAATATAACTAATTATATATGGAGCTTCTTTCTTAAACACCTGAAGAAAAAATGAAAAATAAAGAATTCTTAGAGGATTTAGCTGAAGATCTTAAAATGACAGGATAGCTTTACTTTACTGTTCAATAACCTGAGAAATCCATTCACTTTTATGATAAAACAATATAAGTTTTAACAGAGTTGTATGGAGCAAATCACTCAGAAGTTGTGTCAATGTTAAATAACATAGGCGTTCTTTATAAATCGTTAGCTAACTACACAAAATCGCTAGAATATTTCTAATAAGCTTAATTAATTATGGTAAATTATTGTATTCAAACTTTTCACTCATAATTTCTTTTATTAAATATTTTACAGGAATTTACTCGCTCCACAGATGATGATTTATATTTCTTTATCAGATATAACATAGCAATTATATATTTTGAATAAGATGATTTAACATAAGCTGAGAACATATTATTTGATATTTATAAAGTAAAGACAACTGAGCATAAAGTTAAATCAGTTGAAGTGTCTCAATATGCGTATGTTCTTGGTAATGTATACATTAAGAAAAACCATCTTCCAAAAGCCTAATAAGTTATTGAAAAGGCAATAAAAATGAGGGAATCATGTATAGGTTATGATGGTGAATTAATAAAATGGAAGTAATTACTAGCAAATATATGCTTCTAATTAGGTCAGAGAAAAGAAGCTATGGACATTTTGCTTAAAACTGTTTCTGATGTCAAAAAATTGAGAAAGTAACCTCAAAATAAAACATCAGATAACGATGATGCAACTTACAATGCTATTGAAGATATTGGAAATATGATACTTGAAACAGGAAACAAAAAAGAAGCTCTCTAATTTTATTACGAAGCTCTTCAGCTGGCTAAAAACCAGTAATAAAAATAAACAAGTATAATTGGTGCCTTAGAAAAGAAGATTAAAGAAGTAAAAAAATGATGAGCATATTTCAATAGATTGATATGATTAAATAAAACAAAAAGTAGAATTTACATGCATATTTGCTTGCAATATCGATTAAATTTTTATATTTAAAATGTAATATAACTTCGTAATAAACATATAAATAATAATTTTGGTATTTATAAAAAATATTATCTCTTGTACATAAAAAACTATAAATAAGTGTTAGTTATCTATCGTTGGTTAGATTAAGATTTTTATTTTAGAGCTTTCAATTAGTTAATTTTAAATATTTCTTTGAAAATCTTTTATTTTTTATTTTGATAAAAATATTTGTTAAATTTGAATTTACTTAAATTAACATAAATTCTAGATAGATAAGAAAAACCTGCTGTATTTTTTTTAGATGAGAACATTATTTAGTTTAATTTAGTGTAAAATTTCAAATTTGCGAAACAGAAAAACAAAATTTCCAACTTATTTAAAATTGCATTAGATTTAATTGAAGATCTTAGGAATTCTAACTATCAGAAATCAGATAATCGAGAAATTATGGTGTTTTATAAAATATTTTATTATTATTTGATTAATAAATATAAATAGACAACTTTTTATAAATGATAATTTATATTTTCTTTAAAAATTATTGTATTAAAATTGTAAATTTAGTTTAATTTTTGTATTCAAATTTTGCTGATTATTGATTTTAGGAATTTAAAATTATAATTCAATTATTTTATCTTTAAATATAAATTTTGGTTTTAACAAAATCTTTAAAATTTATAGTTTTGTATTTTTTGATGTCAAAAACTTTAAAATAAAATTATTTTTAATAATAAATTTGAAAAATAAAAATTATCTACTATTTAAATAATTTCATATTTAGATATTTTAAAGCTTGATTTTGAATATATTCGTTTCGTAAATAGTTTAAAATATAAAAAAAATTAAATGAAATGATTGTAATATGTAAATATTGTTTAGATTTAATAAACAATATTAATAATCAATAATTTTAATATAATTAGAGCTTGAAAGATTCAGAATCTGTATGATATGATAGTTAATTATCTTATCTTCGTTTTCTGATCTTCTTTATATATGATAACAAGAAGAATAATCAATATTTGTGCAATAAGAAAGATATATTTTAAGAATGAAATTTAAAAATAATAAAAAATAAATCAAATAAATTTGCAATAAATAAATCAATTAATAATTTAGTAATTATTTAGTAAACATAAAGTAAAAAGCCAAATATTCACAAAAATGATGGTAGAATATTGATATTAATTTATTATTTTCTTCAAGATTTTGAAGTTTATTAGCATAATTCAAATAAAAATCTTAGTGTTTCCATTTAGTGTTAACTTTCTTTTACAAATATAGCAAGATTTTACCAACCAATTAGATATTTAAGGAGGTCTTCCATGGACTAAGAAGAATGAAAATATTGAAAAACATCCAGTACAAACTATATAAGAAATGGTATACTTTCTTTCTTACTTTAAAAGAATATGAAAATTCTATTTTTAATGCAGAGATATTTATAATATTTATTTAACAAAGAGATTATATGGCTAAGAAGAAGCCAAAATGAAGACTTACTCTAATCTTTATGGTTCATAATTTCCTATGTTGTTGACTATTGAAAGAAACATCCTTGCTTAACCATCCAGACTTCCTGGTGAAAAATAATCATTATTAGGTATTATTCATTTAAAAATAGTTAATGTAGCTTATGCTATTCAGCATCAAAGAATATTCTACAGAAATCATAAAATTTTTATTTAAATATCAAACATTAAATTTAAAATGAAGTTATCAGCAAGATATTTATTTATCTTAAATATTGAAAATAAAACTTAGGTCTTGATATTATGATGAATAGATTGAACTAAATTGAATTCGAAGATTTCTTGGGAAGTAAATAAATAGCTTTTTAAAAAGAATTATTTTAGAAAATAAAAAATTTAGTAAAAAGTAATTTAAATAATCTTTTATTTATTTTAAATAAAAGCTGATAATCCTGAAATGCATAAACTTAATGCTCATGAACGTTTCTTAAAGAGCTTCGATTGAAATCGAAACTAATTTGGATTTTGGGAAACTAACTAAACGAAGATGCATTAAATATAGTTTTAAATTCGTATTGTTTATATTTTTTATCAGTAAAATAGCTAACTAACTATAAAAGTATATAAAAATGATAAAAAATTATTGTCTACAATATTTTTTGATAGTTTTAAGCATTTACTCAATAAACAAATAAATCATTTTTCAAGTTAAAATATAATATTTAATTGATATTTAGAATTATTATAAACAAGCAATAATTATGGTTAAAATAACTGTCAAAAAATTGTAAATTTCCCTTTAATCAGTTCTGATTTTGAGAATTACAATTTATAGTTTTATTTGTTCATTCATTTATTTATTGAATTTATCTTTCATTTTGTCTTTCTGATAAATTCAAATATTTATTTTATTAAGAATTTTTAATTAAATTACAAAAATAAATAATTTATTTATTTATTTAACAATATTATCTTCAAACAATTTAAAATAGCCAAATGATGAAAACTAGCCAAATAAGATCTAACTATTAAGCTAAAAAAATCTATATGCCAAGGGCACTTGGTGTAAAAGAATACGCCTTTTATGATGATATCAATATTTAATATAGACAAACTATGGAGGATGGTAAATCTTTCATATAAATAACATATAAAATTAATTTGTTCATTTTAAGATTTACATAATTATATTTTATTAAAAATATTTTAAAAAGTATAATTACTCATTTTTTATTAAAAGGGTTTTTCATAGCAGATAATTTTTTAGATGACGGTGGAAAATCAATACTTTTCGGTGTACTTGATGGTCATGGAGGCTCTGATGTAGTGGAATTTGTTAAATAAAACTTCACAAAAGTAAAATATCTCAATATATTAACTATATTTGTTGACATATAAATCATAAAGAAGATGCTTGAAAATTTACTTATAAATACAGGAATTTAGCGATGAATATAAAAAAACACCTAAAGATGTAGTCGATGTTTTAAAGAGAACATTTTTAAGAGTAATTTTGACACATTTAGATAATAAAAGTTGTAAAAACATTTATAAAATCTAGGTAGATGAATTAGTAAAGCAAAAGTGCAAATCTCAAGAAGTAGGCTCAACTGCATGCATTGGATTTATAAGATTAGAAGAAGCAAAGAGGGTTTTATATATTGCTAATGTTGGAGATACTGCAGGTTTGGTATTAGATGATACTTAAGCTCATAATGTTACTATTGAACACAAAGCCTCGAATCCAAGAGAAATAGAAAGAATCAAGTACTAAATAGTTAAATAATAATATAATTTTTTCTTTTAGATTTTTACACAAATAAAATATTTAATTTTTATGCTTCTCCCAAATAACATTTTTAAATAGTACTTTTACTAAAAAAGGAAAGCAGGAGGAAGTGTTATCTATGATAGAGTTGCAGGAGTATTAGCAGTTAGCAGAGCATTTGGAGATCACAGTTTGAGGAATTTTGGAGTTATTGCATAGCCTGATGTAACAAGAATGGAATTAAGAATGATCCATAAATATCTTGTAGTTGCATCTGATGGTTTGTGGGATGTTGTAATCCCTAAGGTATTTTTTTTATATTTTAAAATCAATATATATTTTATAATATCTTTATCAAATATAGGAAGTATTAGAAGTTTCTAAGTTAAAATCAAATAGTGAAGAGGTTGCTGCAGAATTACTTAAGAGAGCTCTCTTAAACGGCTCTAGAGATAATACTAGTGTTATGGTTTTAAGATTAAATTGATTACAATAAAAATGATAACACAATCAACAATAATATAAATTAAATAGAAAATACAAAATATTAAATTAAATAAAACTGCAAATGTTATCTAATGATAAATTAATTTGGAACTTTTGTTATACTTTAGGCTTTTACTTATATTTTAGGCATTAAAATAAGTAAATAAATAAATACATGCCTGCCTGTTAAGAATAAAGAATAAAGAAGACATAACTACTAAATTTTAAAAGAATAAATAAATACTAAATAAATAAACTGATTTATTTTTATCCACATTTTAAATATTTATTTAATTATAAAAGTATATATATATATATGTACTAAATAAGAAAATAATTTATAATTAAATATTTTGCAATTAAACAATCCCTAACTACCTGCCGCCTAACTTTATAATCAATATATTTAACAATATTATTACATTTAAATTAATTCAAATATTTTGAAAATTTTAATTAATATTATGAATCAATTAACTAACACTTGAATTTTAAATTAACTGGATCATATAAAATTTGCTTACTTGGTATTTTTTTATCAAATTATCAAAATTTTTTATTATTGAAATAGTGTTTAAAATTATAAAACTAAAATAATTGGTGAAACATATTTAAGCTATTAATTTGCTATAAAATAAATATGCGATGACTAAAAAATTAAACTTATAGAATTAAAGAATAATGCCTAAATTTATGAACAAAAAAAATTTTAATTAAACCAAACAAATTTAATTAAGGATTTTTGCTTAGATTAATAGTAATTGAGTTAATTTAATTTTTTTTGTAAATATTTTATCATATGAATAAATAAATGAAAATACTAATTGATTCATGATATTCTAAGCAAAAAAATAAACGTTTTTTAAGGATAAAGTATAAAAGATATGTATGTAGGGATAAATTAGGTTGATGAAGATTTAATGGTTAATATGATAATCAAAATTAATGCAAATATTACCTACCTACCATAAAAATTAACTTAAAAAAAAACAATATTTGAAAAAGTATTTAATTTGTTATTACAATCTTTTATTTCTTTTTAGAATTAATATCATTTATAAAAAGGTTTTTTGCAATGGACCAATTTTAAACAAAAATTAAAACAGGTAAATTAAAAAATCTAATTTTATCATAATTTTAATACTTATTTACAATGTTTTGATAAAAGGGGTTGTTTGTATATATATTGAAAATAGAAAAAATTTAAATAATCAATTGTCTACAGGAATATTTTAAACATTTTTGTTATTATTTATCCTTTTTTTAAATAAAGAGCTTTTTGTTTATGACTTTTGGTCAGCATCTGCCTATTTTTAGTCTTATTTTTAATTATTATTAACTGGTTTTTATTAGTTTACATTTGTACTATCTTCATCTTCGAGCCAGTTCTATATATAGAAATAACAAAGAGTTATTACAACTAAAAATTAAATAAAACTATTACCTTTTTTTTGTATGTTTTTTACATTGTATCATTCTATATATCTAAATTACTTTCGATTATTTTTTTTAATTTTTCATTTTGTTTCATTGTATTCCCCCCTTCATTAGTCTACAATAAAGCTTAGATCATTTCTTACTGAGTCTATATTTTTCCTTATTCAATTAAAAGTTCTATTTTAGCTAATTTTTTAACTTCATCATCATCCATTCCATCATCTTCCTCTTCTTCTTCTTCATTACCTTCATTGTTTCCATTATCATTCAAAACATCCCCATAAACATTTCTAACAGCATACTTGTTAAAGAAATTATCTTCTTCAGTTACTTCTACCCAATCACTTTTTATTATTCCCTCTTAATCATTTATTTGATCTTCTACTTTTTGTTCTTGTTAGCCACTTTACGAATCATTTTCTCCCTCTTTCAGGTTTTTATTTTTATATTCTCTAATTTGTTTATTTGTAGCTTCTTATTCTGCTTGTTCTAATTTTTCTTACTCTTCCATTTGCTGAAGAATGTATTCATCCCATAACCTTTGTTCTTCATCTAGAAGCTAAAATAATAATCAATAAATAAATTTAAATAGCACTCACCTTACAAATAGCTAATTTATTAAAATTTACTTTCAAACCAATAGGCTTTTCATATTTTCTCTATCCTGATAGCTAATTATAAAAAAATAGCTTGCCAGTTTTTTCATCTTTTGAGAGATACCATACTATTGAATAAAAGAGAGTTAATAGACACTTAAAAGCAACAGTCATATATATATTATTTAAAATTAGCTTATTTATAAAAATATAATTCAAAGCTCAATTAAAAACAAAATTCATGAAAATACATACCTCTGTCAAATTTCTGAGCTAATTCTGCTTTGTTTTAGTTCATTTTTAATTCTATTTCTTCTTCTCTATATTTATCTTATTCTTCATCAGTATCACTTTCTTCATAACTAGACCCAAATTCAGAGCCAAGTTCTTCTTTCTTTTTTTATTTTTTAAGTTCTTTTTTCTATTCTTCAGTCAATTCAGGTTCTTTTTCTAGCTAAAAAACGGGGAATACTGGACCTATTGAAGGGTTTTTAGAGTGCGCTTGATTATCAAATTACATTTTTTGCTATTTTCTTTGTGATGTATTATTTTACATGGCTTCCTATGCTTTCTATTGATAGATATTAAAAAGATCAATCATAAGTTTAGAATAAATCTCAAAAAAATGAATGAATTACTTTCTCAATTTCTTGCATTAATTTTGCAGAATCATCCAATTCTGTCATTTTCTTTGCCTACTCCTACTCTCTGATAATTTTTTATCTCTTGAATTCTATTTCGCGCTCAACATTTTTTTTATGTGTCCTCGATTATTCGTGATAGGCTATATCCTAATTTAAATTAAAGTTAGTACCACAACTTTACGAATAAAATAGAAATATACTTCTTTTGTCCAGTTAATTTATGTCCTACAATATTCACACCATTTTTTACCTTTATAAGTTTGTTTATTTGAACTCATGAATTAATTTATTATTTTAACTTTAAAATGAGTAGTAATTAAAACCAATGAATTATTGATTGATTGTTTAAAATTGATCTTAAAATTGTAAATATCAAATCTTTATATCTTAGTATATTAATTAATTAAAGCTTCTGAAATCAATGAGAATGCTAACTAAATCAAGTACACATTTAATTTATGATATTTTTATTCAATCAATTTTTTGATTCAAATCCATTTAAAATGCTCAAATACAAATAAAAGGTTGGTAAGTAGTGGGAAATAGCTAAAATCAAACAAAAAATTAGTAAGAAGTAGAGAAATGTAAATCAAATTAATAATCATTCAAGAGTATTTTTTTATTTTTGCGTACTTCGATTAATAAATATAAAGAAAGCAATTTATATACTTTTTGATAAGAAATTATAGAGAACAAAAAATAAAGAAATAAGCAAAAAAACAAGTGAATAACAAAAGCAAAGACAGAGTTTTTAAACTATCAATTTGAAAGACTTTGATTTATAAAATGGGTGCTTGTGTTGGGAAAAGTAATCAAACGAAATATTGGTATTCAACTTATTTATGACAGATAATTAGATTTAAATGAAAGGGGTTTGTGATTAAACAAGTAATATTTGTAGAGTGTTAATTGTAACAAACAAATGCTGACTGATTGATTGAATGAATGACACTCTCTTTTTAAATTAGATAATTATAAGTGACCATCACTAACTCCTTATAAATACTATATATACTTATTTCATAATCTAAATGTTCAATTATTTATTACAACAGCATATACGTCAAAGCTAAAATATGGGAAAAGGACACTCCTAATCTCTTTGATTTTGAGACAGACTAGATAATAAAGCGTAACTTTGTGCTAAAAGAAAAAGGTAAAGACTAAATTAAACATATATTTTAGCTTAAATTACCTTTAAAAGTCTTTAAATATAAATGTTGAGTGTTAAATAACTCATCATGGAGCTATTTTTAAAAGTAGTAGTTTTGGAAAATAATTTTAAGCTTCCTCATTTAAGAAAGATAGTATTTTTTAAGAAAAAGCTATACAATCAATATTCATCAATCATAACTTTCAAATTTCAATTAAAATTACTGTTTTTTTTGTATTAAAAAAAAAGATTAAGTTGTCGCATATGATTAAGAGCTTATTCCACTTTCCTAATCTGTAAAATATTTAAAATAAACAAAAAACATCCATCCATCATTCAAAATAAATCATATTTACAATTGGATATTTTAATTAATTATTTGGCATAAAATATTTGTCTCTAATTGTAGTAAGATCGTACTAATTTTACCTATCCAGTCTTACTTACACAAATTGTTATTCATTCATTTATTTTTGAATGTGAATGAATGAATAATTAATTTTCAAATCAAACAAGATAATTAAAAGATTAATAAATATATCTTTTTCTTATGTTTTGTAAATAGAATAAAATTAATAATTTACCTTCCTTCAACTAGCAGAATATCAAGAAAAATATTAAATAAGTAGAGTAGACAAATATTAACAACAAATATGCCATAAAAAATCTTATATATTAAATGACTAATATAAATTGTCTGTCTATTTATAGGAATAAATAAAAAATCAAGTATAAATATTTGATATTAGAATGGAAAACGGATCTTATTCTCTTAAAGCTTTTAACAGTAGTCCTGATTTTACTCTATGGAGAGTAATTAGAGACGAGCCTTCTACATTTAATTAACCGGTATAATCCAAATTTTTGTTTAATATACTATTACTATAAAAAGGATATATATATATATCTATCTATCAATCAATCTTTGTATTTTAAAAGTTTGATGCTTCCTCTTATATTAAAAAATTGAAATTATTTGAGAAATATCTATCTACCAAAATAAGAATTTTTACTGTTTCAAAAGATAGCTAAATTTTATTTTATAAAAATAGACATGGAATGTCAAAAAAGGAGATACCATTAAACTAGGAAGAATTTTGTTGAAAATTGAAGATTTTTCTCACACAGGAAATTTATCTTAGAACTAAGACCTATTAAAAAAAGAGGATGATGATGCTGAATAAGGAAGTAATAATTTAATAATTAAATAAATCTATAAGTTATTAATGTATTTTTTATCATTATCTTTTATTTATTTAATTAATGATTTATTAAAATTTATTTGTTTTTTATTTTAGTCAAAGCAACTGATTAGAGCCAGAATATGGATGACAGATAATTTTAATGTAAAATATGCTTAGCTGAAACAGCCACAACAGAAAATCCTCTTTTAAGTGCTTGTGGATGTAATCATAATAATTCTTTTGAAAATAAATTTTAATAAATATAAAATATCACTTAATTAATTTTTACATTTTTTTTTAACTCAATTTATTTATTAATTGATGATTTTAATTTCTTTAAGGTTAAGGATCGCTTAAATATTGTCACTTGGCATGTTTAAAGTAGTGGGTTTCTTCATTAGGCAAAACAAAAATGATGGGAAACACAAAAGTATTTGTTTATAAAAAGCTTATTTGCGAACTATGTAAATGTGAATATAAAAGTATTTATTTATTTATTTAGCTCGATTTAAATTTGTAAAATTTTCAATAAAATATTAAAAAGCTTCTTTCAAATATTAAAACTTTGAATATAATTTACTTGAACTAAAGAAATCTTCAAATCCTTACGTTGTTCTTCGCTAGATTAATCCAAATTCTAAGGATCATTACTTCTATATGGTTGATCTAGTGAATAATAGTTCTTGTGAAATAGTAAACTTATTAATTATTTCTAAAAATCAATCAAATTAATAGTTTTTTCTACATTTTACTTACTTAATTACTTAATTTACATTAAAAAAGGGAAGAATATTTGATTGTCATATCAGATTAAATGATATCTCAGTTTCAAGAAATCATGCTTCTCTAACTTTATAAGGAGACAAGCTCGTTCTCAAAGATAATAAATCTAAATTTGGAACTTTGGTTTAAATAAATGATAAACTAGATTTGCAGAATCTAAAAGATAAAAAAATTGTACTTTAAACAGGAAAAGCTATCCTGGTATTAGAAGTTGTTAAAAAATCATCAATTAAGTAATATTAAAAAATTTTTTAATTATGATTATTCAAAAGGTTAAATCTAAAATTATTTTTTTCCTTAAATAAATAGAAGCGAATAAATCTCTCCAATTCCAGCTCACATTGAAATATGTAGAGTAATAAACGAACATAATTATTTAAGTGGCTAAATTTAAAAATACTAGTAAGATAAAAATGAAGAGAAAGATGTAGCTGAGGAAATAGAAAATAATGATGTTATAATTTACGATATGGTTGATAATTAATAATTGTAATAAGATATTTATTCTATAGGAAAAGAAAAGAAATTCAAAAATCAAATTTTTAATCAATATAATAATAATAACAATAACAACAGTCTACCTCAAGCGTAATTCTAAAGCTTCACTTATCACCAAAACTCTTAGAATATAAACATAGAAAATTAAAACAATTAGTAACAACCAAGATAAATAGGAATTACTGATATTAGAATCGATTACGAGTGAGTAATTAATTAATTGAGTGATTGATTGGTTCAATCTATCTATCTTTCTATCTAAAATTAAATATATTAACATTTTAAGTTATCTCCAATTTAAAATGAATAACAGTACTCATAATTAAAATTCAACTTATTTAAAATATTTTAAGAATACTAAAAATGGTATTCATAAAATATAAAATTTATTCAACTATTATATTAAATAATAATTTAATAAAACAAACGACCTAAAATTAATTAATTAAGAAAATCTTAAAATTAGTTGAAAATAACTTGGTTTATTTTAAGGAATAAAAATTCTTGAAAGCTAAAAAAAATATAAAAATTTGATCATAATAAATTCTATACTAAAGTTTAATATAAATAAATATTAATTTATTAACAACTTCTCATCATCTCCCTTTATATGTAATTTTATGTATGAGATGCATCTTATCCTTATTGCTTTGTATATACAAATCATAAATATTAACAAGGGTTTATATTTTAAGTTAATAATTTTATTAAAAATATCAACTGCAGCTAGTTAAATAAATTACTCTAACATTTTATATTTTTTATTTAAAAAAAATTAATTTAAATGTATTATTCCTACCTTTAACCTAAAATCTGTGTAAGAACTTCAAATGAGGAATAATAATATTTAATATTTTATGTTTATAAAGTAAATAAATTTATGATTATCCTTAAAATATTTAAGGGATAAAGACACTTTTGAAACTTTAAAAAAAGAAATACAACAAAAGATAATATTTTAAATATAAAACTCTGATTAATCTAAAAATATACCTGTTTTACTTAACAAAAAAATATATTTATTTTTTAAAAATATATTAGAATATAAGATTAAGTATTGTAATTAAAATTTTATAACTTTTAAAAATCTAATTATGATCGATCCTCTGTGAATTATAGTAAAATTTGTTAATTAGAAGTTATTATCCAAAATGTTTATTTATCATTCATTAATTTTTACTGCTTTTACTATTTAATTTAGTCTTATAAATAGGATCACTATAATTAATCATAGTTTTTAGATTGAAGTCATATTAAAATATGTAATAATAAATTACTATATCCTTCTGTATATAGTTTGAAAATTTAATTATATGAATCAAATATAAAAAGAAAAGTTATAGAGGCAAAATGATTGATTATATGTTAGAAGAGCAAGACAAAAAATATAAAAAATAAATAAAATATAAAGAATTTAAAGATTAAGCTTTTGATAAATAAATAAACACATAAAAAATCAGTTTAATAGTTGTGTAAAATTATACATGTCAACTGAATAGCATCGATTGAAGAACACGTAAATGGAGTTAGAAGCTGGTGAGGAGGAAGGAGGTATAGAAGAGGGTGAACTTACAGGTGAAGAATCAGGAGAAAACCTTCCTCAAAAATCAAATTCTCCAGATTATATGAATAAACTTGCAGTAATAAAAAAATGAATAAATAAATAAATATCATCAAAATTAATTTTCCTTGAATTTTTCCAGAGATTTTTTTACTAAAAAATCTCACCTTCATGATAATAAAATAGTAAATGCATGCAACCCCAACAAATATTTTGTAATCATTTGATTTATTGATGATGCTCGATGTAGTTCACTTCACACCTTTTCTTTTATTTTTTTTTGAGAGTTTATGGATTTAAATTACTTAGCAATTAACAAATGTCTTCACTTTTTCAATTTATATTTATCTCATTAAATAAACTCATAACACATAATTAGCTCTAAATTTATTTTAATTTGCTTTGCATCTCATTATGTTTTTGGAAGTGAGTAAGTAAGTAAGTAAGTAAGTAACACATTTGAATATCATCTTAATTAATAATGGTTTCTTCCTTCTTCTTCAGAAATTAAAATTTAAAATCACAATTTCAAAAAATACTTAACTGATAAACATCAGCTTTAATATCACTTTAAACAATAAAATTGCACAATCAATCGATAGCGTTTTAAAGTAATTGTGGAAATGGGAAAATGAAAAAAAAAACAATGTACTTTAAAATATTTTTGCATATTTTGATGCTAATTTACAAAAAAAAACAGAACACTGCATTTCGAATTTCTCAAATCATAGATAGAAAACAAATACATTACTAATGATTATTAAAGCTAAATAAATAGATATATTTTGTTAATTATGAGTTTTATTAAGATACAATGATAAATATATGAGTACATAAGAGTTTTAATTTAGTGTTATAAATAGAGCAGAAACTAAATCATTTAGTCACTTATGTATCAAAATAAGTCTGAACACTTGCTTAACCTAACTTAAATTAGGCTAAAAGTGTGTGTATTTACTTAATCTCTTAGCCTTATTTCTAGAATAAAGTTATTTTTTAAGATGGGTGTGAATAGAAGTTATCGATTTATTTTAATGTTTAGAAAGAAAAACAATTTTTAAAGGGAAAATTAAAAATATTTATTTGTTAAATTTCAAAATTAATTTTTAAATATTTTCTTTTATGTAAATTTTACCTCTTTTTAAAACTTTTTTAGGACAAAAAAAAGTCTGATAATACTGGTCGGCACTAAAAAAAACCAAAACACAAAAGTGACCCGAGTTCTTCTTCTCCTTCTGATAATGAATCAGACTCTTATTCTTAATCTCCTTCGAAGTCTAAAAACAAAAAAAAAGCAAAATAAAATACAAAATAATCTAAATCTGAAAAATCAAAAAAAAGATAATAATCTCAAAGCAGTGGCTCTGATTCTGGATCTTCCAGTGATGAAAAGTCAAAATAAAAAAGGAAGAAATAAACTCATACTAAATCTAAGGATAAAGGTTCAACAGAATAAGAAAACAAAGATTCAAAATCGTAGTCAAACAATAATTATGATAAAAATAAAAAAACAAAGGAAAGTGCTTAAATAAATTCAAGGAAATCATCTTCTTCTTCAAAGTCTAGAAACTCCTATATTGAGGATGAATCGTTATAAAATTCATCAAGTAGATCTAGGTCAAGATCTTCATCTAAGAATAGAAAACCAAGTAAAAAAAGTAAACAATAATAATCTAATTCTTCTAAGAACAAAAAGAAATCGAAACAGTAAGCTAAAAGCAAAAGCAAATCTACAAGAAGTAAAAGCATCCAAAGTGTATCAAGTAGTGCGTACGATAGTGATTATAATAGTTTTGATGATTCTAATAATGGAGAAAAATTTTACAGTAAGAAAAAAAATAGGAACGATAACTCCTCATTTGAAGAAGATGATGATGACGAAGATGAATTAGAAGGAGAGATTAGATTTGTTAAAGTAGATCCAACAACTATTCATAAAAAATTACCTGGTAATAAAAGAAAGGATGATTAGAAGAATAGAAAAAAGAAGTAAAAAAATTAAAAGAATTAAGCAAAATAAAAAAAGAAATCTTCTTCAAGCTCATCGGATAGCTCATTATCTGAAGGTAGCTAAGCTTTTTAGTTCAAAGATTTAAGTGGAAAAGTAAATTTTTTATTTAAAATATGATTTTTTTTAAATATTTAAAAAAAAATTAGCCAATTTGCTCTAACTTTATTCAAGGAAAGTGTCTAAAAACATCAAATTGTTAGATTTCACACGAAACAGTTAATTATCCTTGTAGATCTAAAATTTCAACTGGCTAGTGCACTATTAATGGATGCCTGTAATTTAAATATTCTAATAAAATTTTCATTTGTATAAATTACTTAATTTAATTCATTTTTATTTAATAGTTATAATCACGAGCCTGAAAAATTAGAGAAAAAAGAGCTTTTCAGATTTATGAAAGATAACTATAATTATTTAGAAGACTTGTACAAAAATTAAGGTTCAACTAAGCTCGGTGATAAATTTCTTAAATTTCGTAAAAAATATTAAATGTTTGCAGATTTGTAAAATACTTCTTCTGCTACTCCTTATATAAATATGGGATTCCCTAATTAGCCACCTCCTCCTCCACCACCTCCAAATAATTCTTCATCTTCTTAGTAAACTAGAAATAAATAGCAGCCTCCTTTAAATAATTAAAATATACCACCTGTCTAACCACCACCTCCACCTCCTCCCTAGAATAACTAATAACCTGGCTAATTCCAATCATCGCAAATTCTTTCATCAGTAAACACACCTCAATAAACCTAGCAAATGTAAAATCCAATAAGAGGATAAATTCCAAACCAAGCACCTCCTCCACCCCCTTCATAAATCCAGTAATAGCAACAATAAAATTACTAATAATAATAAAATTAAGTATTCTAGTAATAGCAAGGGATGAATATTCCTACTTCTGTACCACCTCCACCACCACCTCCTTCTTAATAATAATACATTTAATAAAAATCTCAATAAGCAAGTAACATTAACCAGTATCCTTAAAATAATATTTCTCCGTATTACCCAAATATAAGCAATAATAGCAATAACAATAACAACATTCAATAAGGATATAATTATAGTGGAAATTATTCATAATCTGCAGTCCCACCACCAGTTAATTAAATGCCTATACAATAAACTTAAATCAGTAACCTTTAATTACCTTAATAGTAATAACAATAATTTAACAATTATCCTCCTTCATCTTAAAATTAAATACCTTAAGCATTACCTTTGCAATAAAGCTTAACTAAATAATCATAACCACTTCCACCTTAACAAATATAACAAAAAATAAATGGTCCTTTGAGCTAGCCAGCTCCACCTTAACCAGTTTAACTTTAAAATGGTATCTAATAACCTCCACCTCCAATATCTTAAAACTAGTAAATGTAAACAAATAATAACCTTCCTCAATAAAACTAAGGTTAATACGTAGGAAACAGAAACCTACAATTGTAACCAAATCAACCTATAAGCATGACAAACAGAAATTAATAAAATATTCCGCCTCCTCCCCCACCACCTCTTGTACCCAACAGAAACTTGGCTGGCATACCACAACCTCCCCCTCCACCACCTCCACTATAAAACTTGAACTAATAGAATATTCCACCTATTAATTAATAAGTTCCTATTAATTAACAGAATTAAATTCAATCTAATTTGGGTAGCAATATTAATATAAACTAAATGTAATCAGTTAATTAGCCTATTAAATAAAATCAACCTCAAGTATAGTAATTTTAAAACAGCAACTTTGGATAATCTCAGTCCTCTAATATTCCTTCTAATTTGTAGCAACTTCCAAATAATAAAATTAATGATATTTCTTTGAAAAACCAGTAACTACAATCATAAGTGATACCACCTAATTTCATACCACCACCACCTCCTCCCCCTACTGGAGGGCAATAAAGTAATGAAATTCCTCCTTATATTACTAGAAACAATATACCAATTCAATAACCTCCTCCACCTTAGTAGTAGCTTTATAATAAAAATTAAAGTGGGTAGATTCCTCAGCCACCTCCTTCAATATAAGCTTAATAAACTCCATAGAATAATTTAGATCAGTCTTATAATTAATCTTCATATATTTAATAAATCCCTCCTCCTCCTCCCCCACTTCCTTCATAATAATAAGGGATTAGTGGCAAGAATAATATGTATTTAAGTGACCAAAAAAATATAGAATGCAATAATTAATATTATTTCGAAAAGGATTAGTATGAAGGAGACTATGTAATGGAATAAGAAAGAAATCGCATATCTTAAATGAGGTTAAATAATGAATAACAAAATTTCTAAAATGTTGGAGGAAACAACGGAAATCTTAATAGTAGTTTGAATAATGGATATTCTATGTATCCTCCTCCACCACCTCCAACTCAGCCATAACAAAATTAAAATCTGCAAGGTTAAAAATAAAACTATTAAAATAATAACTAAAATAAATAATTCAATGGCTACAATCAGGGGATGTAAACTTAGACAGGTAACTTCATACAAAATATGCCTCCGCCACCACCACCACCCATTCACCCCTCTTAATAAAGCATTCAACAAATGTAATAAGCTTAAATTAATCAGTAGTAGCCATAATAAGATTCTGCTCAAATTTAATAGGATAATGATTAATTGTAAGAATTTATGAGAGAGCTAAGCAATATCGACTAAGACAGCTAATTATAAATTTTACAAATTTCAAAATATTTCCTAGAGAATAATCATTTGTAATTTGAACATGAATAGCAAATTTAAAAAATGACACCTGATGTAATATAAAAGTTAAAATATTTTGTGAAATCTGCAAAAGCAGAAGAATTTAGAAAAAAAATAGATTAAATAATAAACAATAAATAAAATATAGATCTCCCTTAAATTAACCAGTAATAGTAATAAAACTAGCTATAGCAATAGCAAAATATTAATATTTAATAACAACAACAATAATAATTAATTCAGTAAAATTAAAATCTATTATCAAATTCAGCGCCTCCTCCACCTCCTGCATCTTTAGCTGCACAGCCAGAAATAGGAGATAATAAAAAGAAGGATTTCAATGAAAAGCTTGCTAATATAGGTATTTTTGGTGGGGCAAAGTAACAACAGGCCTCTCAACCATCATCATAAAGTAAGGTTTAATAAATTCTCTCTCGTAATAAGTAAGATCCAAGAATTGCAGCTAAAGAGAAATTTGAAGAAAAAAAAGCAAATAAGCAGTGATTTATTTAATCTCTTCTATTATAATTTTTTATATCTTTAATTGATATTTTCATCTTTAAATTAATAAAAAGAGAGTTAGTTATAAATAATATCTAAATTACTAGGGAAATCTGCAGAGAATATTTTAATTAGCTGAGTTTAAAATACCACATTTTTATTTATAAAAATTTAGCAAACTTCTAAATTTTATGCCTTTTTATCTTACATGATTCATAAATTTATTTATATCTACTCATTTTATTAGTTTTCAATCATATTTTTTTAGATAATGTTCTAACTAAGAACACTTTTAGCTTCTTAAGTTAACTGCTTTTTCTTTTTTCATTTATTTACAAGTTTAACTGTAAATATTTCTAATTTTTTGTGACTGAGCTTATTTTTTATTTACTTTCAAATATATTTATTCATTTTTAATTTATGGATTTATTCTATCAATCATCTTTTTTTGTTTGTTTGTTAAGTATATGCACTTTTGTTTGTTTGTGTGCAAAAGTCGCCATTTTATGAAATAAATACACAATAATACATGATTTTGTCAGTAAAGTTTAAACAATTATTATTTAAATAAGATGATCATTGTCTGTATGTTTGTCTTTCTTTTTTCTTTTTTTTTGTGTAAATTATTATTAACTTATTTTCGAATAAGTTTTAGGAAATTAGTGATAGATTTTATTTAATTATATTTAATTTAAACATCAAATAAATGAAACTTTAATTAATGAAAAAATATAAAAATAATAAATAATTTATTTATTTATTTTTTAAAGATACTCAAAATTTCTAATTTAAAATTATACAAAGTATTTATGCCTATTATATATTTTAAATGGTAATTGTTGCTATATTTATATCCTAAAAATATTAAAGTTAGGAGTCATTAATAAAATTAAATATATATATATGTTAATATCTGACATTCAATTTAAGAGTTAATGCATTTGAAGTTAATAATTAATAAATACAACAGAAATAAGATAAACATCCAATTATTAAAATCCATAAATTTGAAGTTAAAAAATTATATTAAAATTTGTGAAAAAGTAATAAATAGTCTTATTGATAGAAAACACAGATTAGCATAAAGGGAAATAAGTAGTAGGAAAAGTAATCTATCAATCAAAAGATTTAAAAAGAGATGTCTGATGGAGATAATCTGAGTGATTTAAAGGGTAATCTCATCCTAGGTTAGCTTTAAAATTTACATGCTCAGAATAGAATATCCTATGAAAAATATGATGATTATAAAACTAAATTTTAAACATTGCATGATGCGATAGTTAAGACTTATTAAAATGTAAAAGTTTTACCTGCCAAAGCGAATAAATTAAAAGCAGAATTGAAATATAAACGCGATGAGTATGAGCAAGCTTAGTTAAAAAGTGAAGAAATAGAGTAAGAAGTTAAAAAGGCTTAAAGCTAAGTAAAAAAAGCTGAAGCAGAAGAAGAATTGGAACGTAAAATTGTAGAATAAATGAACCTAGAGGCTGAAAGAAAAAGCCAAGAATTAACTGAAGAAAATATGAAAATTTAAGAACTTGAAAAAGAAGCAAGGTAATTTAATTAATGCATAATTATTTTTAAATAAAAAAATCACTTGTCTCTCTTTATAAATTATTTTAAAATTGTATTTAAATACATTTTACAATATCTACCTATAAAATGAATAACAAACATTTTTAAATTTAAATTAAATTAGAGTTTTTAAACAAATAAATTTTGTTTATTTTCATTTAAAAAATGAAATTATTTCCAAAAATGTTTATTATTTCTGAAAATATTTCAAATATGTATTTTAAATAGGATGAAAATTTACTAAGAAGAAGAAAAGCTTAAATAAGATATTGAAACATTGAAAGGCAAATGTAATTAGAAGTAACAAGACTTTGATAAGACTTAAAAACAATTGAATGAGAATTTAGAGAAGATTTAAAGACTAAAAAAAGAAAATGAAGAATATATAAAAGAGTAAGAAAAATTATAAAATGAGTTTTTACAAAATAAAGATGAGCCTGAACGCCATAGAAAAAAGGCAGATATGCTCGAAAGTGGCAAGAAGATGATGGAAAGAGATTTGAAGTTAGTAGAGGATACTAATAAATAAAAAGATAAAGAAATAGAAGAATTAAAGGATAAAAATGGCAAATTAAAGATTCTTGTAGATTAAAATGCAGAAGACAATAAAAATCTAAAAAGGGAAAACCAAATCTTTCAAGTAAAAATGAATGTTTATTTTTGCTTACATAAGTTAAACAATAATTTAACTATTAGGAAGATTATACCAAACAAAAGGGCAGGTATACTGCTAATGAAGAAGAGATGAAAATACTTAAGCAAAGAAAATATGATCTCTAAGTTAAGCTCAATGAATATGAAATCCAAAAGAAGAAAATGAATGAAGAAATAAATTAGAAAAAAAAAGAGATTGATGTTACTAAAAAAATGTACAAGCAATTAGAGAAAAAGAAGAATGATTTTCGTAATATGATTAGGGAATTTGAAATTTCAATAGATAAATACACTAAAGAGCAAGCCGAACTTAAATATGAAAGAGAAAAAATGCTCGAAGTGGAATAAAATGTTGAAGACGATACAAAGTTAATTGAATTTAGAACCAGAAGAGTTAAGGATAAGATTTCAAGCAAAGAAAGTGAATATGAAAAAATTCAAAAACAAATTTAAGATTTAGAATAACAACTCTAAGCTAGAGAAGAATTTGAGGCTAATGCCCTTAAAAAAGTGAAAAGACTTACAGCTATGAGAGAGTCTATGGCTCGTAAAGCATCTCAAGCTATGCATGGTAAAATATTAATTTAATGAAAATTTTGCGATTTTTACAATCTAAAATAAGAGGTTAGAGAAACTAGATAACAGTTAAAAATAAAAGAGCTTGCCATTAAAGATTTAGAAAAGAAATATCAAGAGATTAAATTTGAAAGAAACAACTGCAAAGTGCTTTATGAAGCTGTCAAGGCAGAAAGAAATAAATATGTTAATTACATTTAGAGTACATAATAAGATTTGGCAGAAGTTAAAGAATAAAACAAAATATCTTAGAATGAACTTGAAATATTTAAGAATGAATATCAAGAGAAGCACTAAAACTTAATTCAGTATCAACACACTCTATAAATACAAAAACATTAAAGAGATGGAGCTCAAGCAGAATTGAATGCTTAAGAATTTATTCGTAGAGCTAAGAAAGAATAGGTAGATAGAAATATAAATGAAATAGAAAAGCTGAACATGATTATTCGTTCTTTAGAGAACGAAAGTTTGGATCTGAGAAGAAAGTATGAAAAAGCTTAAGAATCACGTAATTTTACTGGTGTTTAGCTTATTGACAGGAATGATGAATTGTGTATAATGTATGAAAAATCAAACAACCAAGAAACTACTTTAAGAAGTGGTGAAGTAGAGATTAAAAAACTTGAGGATGAAGTTCGTATGATAAAAATTACTATTCAAGAAACAATGAGAAAAATTGATGTTTCTAGGAAATAAATTTAAGATGTTCCTGTTTTAGCTGACGAAGTAGTCAATTTACAAAATGAATTAAAAAAATAACAAGTAAAATTTTTCAGTTTTCTTAATTAAATTTTATTAGTTTAGATTGATAGAGAGTTTAAAAATTATTTAATTAAAACAAGCAACTTGAAGCTGAGCTTTCAGAGCAGTTAGAAAATCCAACAAACGAATACAGATATAGAGATTTGAAAGGAGAAGATCCTGATTAAGAAGCTCTTGACACTAAGATTGGTGTTCTAGAAGAGCGTTTAAATAACAAAAAAGAACAGTTGCTGGAAAAAGAACTGATTTTAGATGAAATTACAAATTTTTCTGAAAAACTCAGAAAATAGGCTTTAGATGGACGTTAAAATACTCTCGAATTATCTGAAAAATTAAACAATTTCCAAGCCAAGTTAAAAGATATCACTAAAAAGATGATGGCATCTATTTCAGAGTTATCTATGTTCTAAGCAACTTCTATAAAACTTTAATAAGAAAGAGATGAGTTAGTAGGTGCCTTAGATGAATCAAAGCAGCGCGTTGAATAGAATCTTCCTCCAACTCCAGAATGTGAAGTAGAATATTTAAAAATGGTTCGCGATAAAAAACGCTACTAAGAAGAGCGTAGCTTGCGTTTATAAAGGGAAGCTTTAGAAAAAAATTTTCCTCCTTTTGCCACAAAAACATTCGCAGAACATAGAGTAAACGCTTATATCCCAGACGAAATAGGTATTCCTAAACCATATGGCAAGCATGCTCCTTTTAAACCTTTCGAACCTGGCTCAAATATGCGCCACTTTAAAAATCCAACAATAAAGGATATAGAAATTTGAATAAACATTTTCTTTTTAAACTAAAAATTGTTAATTAATAGAACTTATTATAATTAGTATGTAGTTAATTTGTTGTTATATTTATTAACTTTAAAATTAAAAATACAAAAAATAAAAGGATTAATTATCTTATTTAGTTTTTTTCAACATCTAATTCAACGAAAATAATTTAAAAATAAGTTAATACAAAAAATGACTTTATTTATTAGTAAAAGAATAATATAAAATGAGAGTTTATTTCTGATTATAAATATAATTTGCTATTTTCAACTCTATTCTGAGTTGTATTTTGTTTGATTGATAAATTATATTTAAATATTAATAATTACCATATTTTACATTAAATTATGTGACTTTAACTATTTTCTTTAAAAAAATTTTATTTAAAATTCTAGAATAGCAATGAATTTAAAAATTTTTTTTGAGTTGGTATCAATTTATGAGAAATAATAGTATCTTGATATTATTTAATAATCAAAATTAAAGATTATTCTTCTGATTAAGAATTTATTTCAGAATGTCTGTTACATTCTTCATAGATGTTTCGTTTATGTTAGAGTTTATTGTTTAATTTTCATTAAATGATTCTTATCTTATTAAAATAAAAATTTAAGCAATCTATTTCTTACATTGAGTAGCAATTAAAAAATCAATTAAATATTTTATTTATTAAAAAAAAAGTCAAATAATATTTAAAATGGAATCTAATTATAATTTAAATGCTTTCAGCATTTTATTTATTTTGTACTCCTCATTGAGAATTCAACTCAAGAATTTGAAGTAGAATATTTAAAAATGGTTCTTAATAAAATGAGCTACTAAAAAGAGTGTAGTTTTCTTTTGTAAAGAGAAGCTTTAGGAAAAAATTTTCTCCTTTTGCTAATAAAATATTTATAGAACAGAAGGTAAATGCTTATATCCCTAATGAAGTAGGTATTCCTAAACCATATTACAAGCATATACCTTTTAAATCCTTCGAGACTGGCTTAAAATATACTACATTTTAAAAATCTAAAAAAAAATATTGAAATTTGAATTAAACTTTTTTATAAAGAAAAAGAAATAATTAATAGCTCTTAGTATAAATTGTATACAGTTAGTTTGTTGTTATAAAATTAAAATAAATCAGATTTTGATTATATAGATTTCATAACAATAACAGTTGATTTATATTTTTTATATTAATTAAAAATGAGGCAAAAAATATTAATTAATTAAAAATTCAAATATAATAAGGGATTAACTAACTATTTTAAATAGTAATTAATAAGCAAATTAATTCAATAAAAAGCTATATAAAAATAGGTAAAATATTAAAAAAAATTAATGATCATACTACTTAATAATAAAATATGAGTAATCATTTCATAATATAACATAAATTGCTAGTATCAACTCCATTCTTCACTGAATTTGTCTTTATTGGTAAATTAAATTTAATGATCAATAATCAGTACATTTCTCTTAAAATTTTATAAAAAAATAAGTTAGCGAAATAATTGTTTAATATAATTATAAAAATAATTGCTACTTTTGATAAATTAAAAACAAATATTAAGTAAAATAAGCAAGCAAACAAACAAATAAACTAAAAAGTTAAAAAAATGTTTAAGAAAATAAACTATTTGATTTATTTTCTTGTAGGTACTTTATTGATTTTATCATAATATATTAGCAGAGCCGCTTCAGCAAGCACAGTTACAGATATAGTATTTTCACCTTTTTCTTTAGCGAGTTTTGACTTAACAAGTTAGTTTGGAACAGCAGTAACAATCAAAATAGCCAAGTAAGCAGATTTAGTTGCTGTAGCATGCGGTGTGGCAGGTTTAATTATCATCAATGGAAAAACTGACTAGATATGTAAATATTATAACTAATGAAGTCACTTTTTAATAGAAAAAATAACTTAAATTATAATATTTTAATTTAATTTTAAGAAAAAAAAACTATTTTATTTCTATTTAAAAGAATACTAAAAGGTATTTGAAGGAGAAGCTATTTAAGGGCTTGCCATTACTTAAGACGGAAAATATATTATGCTACCACATTAAAATAAATTTTCTATATTTTAATATGTGTAAAATGGAAATTCTTAAGACTTATAGCTTATTTCCTAGGCTTCATATTCTAAAGGATTCCTTTAAGATATAATCTTAGATTCAACTGAAACTATTGCTTTTGCTTATGGTACAAAAGGAACTTTGATAGCATACAATATAAGTGATATCACCAATCCCTAATAGATAGGTGCTTATTTCAGCAAATCAGCTCAAGTAAGAAGAGCTGTAATAGCTAATGATAATAGCTTTTTATACCTTGCTGATGACGTTAATGGTAGAAACTTCTATCTACATAAATATATTTACTTCTACTTATTTAAATTAATTTGATAGTATTTTAATTCACAAGAATTCGATAGAAAATATAAAAAAACAGCATTTAATTTAATCAAATAATTTTTTAACTAAAAAAGGACTCGTTCTCTTAAAAATTTAATAAGTACCCGAATTTTAATTGATTGTTGCTACAACAGGAGGTTCAACTTGGTGGTAATCATGGGCTGTAGCAATCACTTCTGATAAAAGGTAATAACTTGTATAACAAATTTTTCTAATCAATAAAAAAGAGTTAGTTAGCTTATAAATTTTGTAAAAAAAAATATTATTTTTACTTAACTTATAAGACAAATTTCATTAAAATAATATTAAAATTTACTTCTATCCATCCATTTTATATTTTGGAATCTATTATCAATAGATATTTTTCAAATAATTGTTATTTATTTCCCTTCATTAATTATAAATAAGGTATGCTTATGTTATGGATAATTGGGATGGAATATGGATTACTGATCTTTAAAATGTTTACGATACTGATGAAGCACTTTATCCAGCATGTATTTGTGTTTGCTAAATCATTTTTTAAATTCAATTTATTTACAATTAACAAAAGAAATAAAATATAATTTGAAGTTTTGGCCATATGCATCTCCTTCTGTTTATTCAGCTATTATTACTCAAGATAATAATTATCTCTTAATAGGACATAGATCTATAGGTGTAGAAATTATAGATATCAGCAACAAATTATCTCCTGTTTAATATTAAACAATTCCATCTGAAGCTGTAGGGTTTGATTTGAGACTTTCTTCAGATGAACAGAAACTCTATTATGCTAACGCAAAAAGTATAATCATATTCACTAAAGCGATTCCGAATTTCAACAATTACTTTCCAAACTTACATAACTTCTAACAGACAGATATTGATCAATTTTGGTAACTTTAATTCAAACCTATTACATATCATATTTATAATATATATAATTCTTATAAGTAATACAAAATATTTGTGGAGATGCAACGTTTCAGAAGATGACAAATATTTTTATGGCTACTTTGATGATGATGGAGTATATATTATGGATTATAGCTTAGATCCTTACCACATGAAGTTTTAATCAAGAATTTTTCCTAATATCCCAGGACTGTCAATAGATATAGCAGCAGTTTTGTACGGAAAGTATATGGTTATTGGAGTAGCAGGCTCTCCTTATGTAGCATATAATTACGATATTAGTGATCCAACTAATCCCAAATTGATTTATCAAGTACCTTTTAATGGCAACACAGATGCTGATGGTCTCTATGTTAGCCAAGATAAAAAATATCTAGCTTAATGTAACTTTTCCTGTATTATCTTATATGATATTAGTAATCCAGCAATTCTTAATGTTTTATTTGAATGGTTTCCTCCACCAACTATCTTTGGATCTATAAAAGATCTCTGCATGAGTTATGGTAAAATATGAATGAAAATTAATTTGAAAACTTTATTTAATTAAGTAAAAAATATTATTTTTTCAGAAAAATAAACTAGCTAAAAAGCTGTTAGTTCGTTCATTCGTTCAATTAATTTTGAAATTTAAAGATAGAAATAAATTTTAAAAAAATTATTTTTTAGTTGATTAATTAATTAATTAATGATAAAAATATGATTTTTATTCTTTGTGGTTTTTAATTTTAATTTTCAATAAATAAAATAGATAACAAATACATAATTGGATCTGTAAGAAATTGGGGATACTTTGTTCTAGACATCCAAGACAAGTCAAACCCAAAGCTAATGAATGTTCTTGAAACTTCAGGAGCAGAAGGAATGACTATTTCTTTAAATCAAAAATATATCTTTTGCTTTGATGGATTTAGAGGGTTACTAATTTTAGATATTTAGGATTTACCAAATTTAAAAATTATAAGCAAACTTTAACTTACAGGATGGTCAAACTATATTTAACCTATGTACAATGATCAATTTTTAATTGTAGACGACTACGAAAATGGTTAATTATCACTCGTTGATATCAGAGATCTCACTAATCCTATTTTAATGAGCACTTATAATTCTAAAAGAGAATAAGCAGTAGGAGTTTGCACTACATTAGATAATAAATATGGGTTTATTATAACAGATAAAGGCGTGAGAACAATACCATTAAAATCTGATGTCACTATTCATACATAGATTTCTCAGGTAGTTCCTCAAACAGGATCCAAGCCCTTGCTTATTACTCTTCCCCCAAATTAAAATTTGTTAGTAAACTCTTAATTATTAAAATAGAAGACAATTAAATTAAAATATTTTTACAATATAAAAGGTAGGTGAGACTATTTAGTTTAATTTTATCATCATTAAACCAATCATATCTATGGCAATTATAAATGTCTATTACTATGATAATTACGAAATGAAAAGTCTTCCATATTGGATGGACTATACAAGTAGTTCATAAAGTCTAAACATAAATGTAGTCAAGGATGGATTAGGCACCAATTATACATAGCCTAATTTAAACACAGTTATTATCCAAACAGCTATTCCTATCAACAATTCATCGTTTATTTATAACGATTAATTAACAGGTTTAACAACAACGCCCTAATAAGCTAATCTCATTTATGAGTATCTAATTTCGTAGTATCTTCTAGATAGCAATAACTTTGTAACATCATTTTTCGATCATAATTAGCCTTTCTCTTTTAACATACCAAATCTTTAAGTAAGTAATATGTAAAGGCTATTTTAGCTTGTTAAACTAACTTTAATGAGAGGAACTTACTATAACCCAATTTTGTTTTACATTGCTCCTTCTCTCACATTAGATTTAAATAACTCAACATCTCCAATTTAAACAACATCTACTTAAATTACATTTACTATGCTTGTAGAATAAACCACAGGTTAATTTGTTAAACAAGCATTTGAAGGTGTTATAGTATCTTATACAGATGCTTAAAATTAGGTTAAGATAGAAGGTTTAAAAGATAATGTTAACTCTGTCATTAGTAAAAAATTATACTTTTCATTATTTGCTAATGCAACTAATAAAATGGTTAACATTACAGTTGAAGATGGTGTGAATAATAATATAGTATAGACATTTATTATAGATTAACTCTCTTTTATAGCATTAAATGTCCCAACCACTAAAGGTAAATAATTTGTTAAATTATATCTATTTTATCTAAAATAAATAAATAATTAATTTTCAGTTCTCATTTTAAAAAATAAAAATGTAAGGATTACTTATTAACTTAATCATAATGCTCTATTTTTTTAATTTTACTGAGCTTTCATTATTTTTATTAAAATAATCAAAATTTTATATTTTCAGCAATATTATTGTTTTTTTTAATAGAAATGTTATAAATTTATACTCCTTCCCTCCTTCCTAAAATTGATTTTATTTAATATATATAAATTGAAATTTTTATTTTATTTCTAAAATATTATTTTTGAATATAAAGGTAAAGATTTACAACCTTAAGTTAACTCTTAATTCTCAGGAGGAAATGTAGCAATAGAAGCAGATATATCTATTTCATTTAGTAAGGATAGTTTTATTGACCCTGACACTCCAGTTTTAAGCTATTCTATGTAAATTAGTTAAGGTGGTGTCTATATTCCTGTTGCTTCAGATTTCTTTTTGCAACTATCAAATACAGATTTAAAAGTGTCTGGAAAAACTATTGATAGTTAGTTTGGAGATACATATTATTTAAGAATAAGAGCAAGTGATGGTTATAGTGAAGCATTTAATTATTTTTCAATATCTGTAAGCATACTCCCTTTTACTTATATTTTAAATTTGCTGATTAAAATATTTGGACCTATAATCGGTGTTTTTGGAGTTTACAAATACAAGAGTGATATATTAAATTTGGTATTTAAATAAAAAACATTTTATTCAGCAGAAACTGCCCAAGTGAATTGCTTATATAGAAAATAAATTACAGTTATGGGCAGTGACATTAAAAAGGCATATGAACTTTACTATTCATTCAAAAGCAAAATTATGTAAAAGGAAAATATTTTTGCATAAGAAGAAAGAGAGAAGAAGATGTATTTCCATTAAGAAAGTGCAAACACAATTAAAGATGAGGATTTAGAAAAGAACAATCATTAAAATGAATAGAATTTCTAATAAACAAGAAGGCTTAAGCGCATGGATTGTGAAGATGAATTTCTTAAAAAAACAGTTTATAATTTACAAATGGCTCCTTCCTTTAGAAATAAAACTATTGTAACAAACATTTTTGAAAAAATTAATTTCAACAATTAAATAAACAATTTTTATTTATATAGATGGAAAAGCTCTTTTTGAGAAAAGATGGATCAATAGCTATGACAAAAATGTATAGAGACATGCTTTAGCTTGAAGTTACATATACTTTAAATGGGAAAACATATTTTGTAAAAAACGACATAAAAGAGTTTTAAAACAAAGAATCTAGGTTCTTTAAATGCTTATAAGGTATAGTTGCTAGAGATTTGATTAAGAATGACTTCAAGGCTTTATCGATTTATAATTATTTAAAGTATTATGCTAAAAAGAATTTTTAGTATACTGAAAACGATTGGTATAAAGTCTATGTAGATATTCAATCCACAAATAAAAAGGATAAATACAATTAATAAGTTCCTTTTTCTGATATTAAAATCAAGGAAGATATGATAAATAGAGTAATTAATCCATTAAAATATTTAAATTTTACTAACAGATTTATTAATTTTAAAAGGTTTTTATGGACTTAAGTATCCATAATTATAAAGGATAAAAGTTAGATAGCATACACAGTTTAGGAATTAACCCTCACCTCATAAGATAAAATTTGTATTCTGATGCTTTGGGAATAGTAGTTGATGCAGCATCTTTTATTTAACCATGTGTTGGAGAGTCACTACATTTAGAGTTCTTTTAAGTTCATTCTGTTGAAGCTTTTAAGTAAGCAATCAATTTAAATTAATTTTTCTATAAATTAAAAAAAAATAATTAATTAATTAGGGAAGTAAAAGATGCATGGTGCATAAAATTAAGAAAGTTTATAGGGTTGGATTATATGTCATTTGGTATGTCAAAAAATATGACTCTACCTCATTGGCTTAAATTTGATATGAAAAATGGAGTTTTGATTTTAGAAGGTACTCCATCTAACACCGATATAGATTAGCTATTAATCAGAATATATGATGAAGATCTCTATATTGCTCAGTAATTCTTTTTAAATATAGTTGATGAATATAATGCAGAGAAAGACAATTTTGAATTAGTTGATGATTTTAATATTTCTGAGAATATAAATGTAATTATCAACTAAGAAAGTTAGAACGATTTAAGATTAGCAGCTGATAAGAATCAATCAAAAGCAAGCTAATTTAAGGTAAAAATTTCATTATAGGTTTTTTAATCAAAACAGTTTTTTTATTTTAGAATTAAAATCAAAATTCTTAAAGACTTGTGGATTAAGACTCTTTTATTGATAGAACCTCCTCCAATACCAATGCTATGCTCAAATCTATACAATAGCAATCTCCTTTATTGGTTCCTAAAGATTCTGGTCAAGATTATGTTGATGAACTATTTTCAGTTTAAAATAAAGAAATGACTTCAGTGCAAACATCGAACAGATAAATGATAGAAAAAGAAATTTCATCTTACAGTTAAAAAAATCAATAAGAATTAGATAAAACTCAAGCTGATATAGATGTAAGTTACACTGCTCTTAGAAATTAGCTGGACAATAACTATTAATCTAAAGATGTAGAAGGAGTAATTTTAACTTTATTTTTTTTTGTTTTTCAACTCTAAATTAAATTATTTTTAAATTAAGAATGCTGCTCAAGATTGATAAAATTAATCATCGAACTTATAGATAGCTAAGGTTGTATTTTTAAAATATAGCACTTCCAGCAATTAAAATTCCATGATATGGCATCAAGGGAATTTTAATTGCTGGATTTAATAAAATAAATAAATAGTCTTTTAAAAATGAAAAAATAAAGCTTTTTGAACTGTTTGAGAGTGAAAGAATTTATGTTTAATTAATTAAAAAACAATATATGTAGTATGGAGAATTCTGATACAAAGCAAAAGTTTTTAAGTCAAATTTTATATTTTTTTAATGTATATAATTTTTTTTACCAAAAATTTAATTTTTAATTAACTTTATATATATATATATATATATATATATATATATAAATGTTTTCTAAAATTAAATGTTTCATTAAAAATTTAGATTTCTACCTTCATTAAAAAATTAAATCATTGTCTAAACATTTTTTTTTTGTATTTTTTTATCCATGCTCCAAACCTATTTCGATACTTTTTTTTATTATTCTACTCAATAAAATTTTTCTACTTGAGAAATAATTAAATAGAATAGTAATGAATTTAAAATTTTTTTTCTCAAGTTGGTATCAATTATGAGAAATAATAGTAACTTGATATTATCTAACAATAAAAAATAATTAAAGACTATTCTTCAGATTAAAAATATATTTCAGAATGTTTATTACATTCATCATAGATGATTCCTTTATATTAGAGCTAATTATTTAATTTTCAATAAATGATTATTATCCTATTAAAATAAAAATTTAAGCAATCTATTAATAACATTGAGTAGCAATTAAAAATTCAAGTAAATATTTTATTTATTTTAAATAAATTTAAATAATTCAAAAAATGGAAATTGCTCCTTAATATTTAAAATGGAATCTAATTATAATTTAAATGGTTATAGCATTTTATTTATTATGTACTCCTCTCAAGAATTTATCTGAAGTAAAATATTTAAAAATAGTTCTTGATACAAAAAAGAGCTACTAAGAAAAGTATGTTTTACTTTTGTTAAGAGAATCTTTAGGAAAAAATTTCCCCCTTTTGCAAATAAAACATTCACAGAGCATAAAGTAATTGCTTATATCCCTATGTAATAGGTATTCCTAAACCGTATGGTAAGCATTCACCTTTTAAATCCTTCGAGGCTGGTTTAAAATATACTTCATTTTAAAAACCAAATAAAAATATAGAAATTTAAATTAAGCTTTTTTTAAAAAGAAAAAGAAATAATTAATAGCTCTTAGTGCCATTATTATACAGTTATTTGTTGTTATAAAATTAAAATAAAGCAATTTTTAATTATATAGATTTCATAACAATAACAGTTCTATATTTTGATATTATTTAAAAATGAGACAAGCAATAATTATTAAATAAAAATTCAAATAAAATAAGGGTCTAACTAACTAATGATTTTTGAATTGTAATTTATTAGCAATTAATTCAATAAAAAGCAATATAAAAATATGTAAAATATAAAAAATAAATTAATGATCATGCTTTTTATTAAAAAATATGAATAATCATTACTTAATATAACATAAATCGCTAGTTTAAAAAAAAATAAGTTAGCGAAATAATTGTTTAGTATAATTAATAATAAATAGTAATTTCTACTTTTGATAAATTAAAAACAAATATTAAGTATAATAAGCAAGTAAACAAACAAACAAACAAACTACAAAGTTAAAAAAAATGTTTAAGAAAATAAACTATTTGATTTATTTTTTTGTAGGTACTTTATTGATTTTATCATAATATATTAGCAGAGCCGCTTCAGAAAGTACAGTTACAGATATAGTATTTTCACCTTTTTTTTTAGCGAATTTTGACTTAACAAGTTAGTTTGGAACAGCAGTAACAATTAAAATGGCCAAGTAAGCAGATTTAGTTGCCGTAGCATGCGGTGTGGTAGGTTTAATTATTATCAATGGAAAAACTGACTAGATATGTAAATATTATATACAACTAATGAAATAACTTTTAATAGAAAAAATAGTATAAATTATATTATTTTAATTTAATTTTTATAAAAAAAAAACTATTTTATTTCTACTTAAAAGAATACTAAAAGGTATTTGAAGGAGAAGCTATTTCTGGGCTTGCCATTACTTAAGATGGAAAATATATTATGCTACCACATTAAAATAAATTTTCTATATTTTAATATGTGTAAAATGGAAATTCTTAAGACTTAAAGCTTATTTCATAGGCTACATATTCAAAAGGATTCCTTTAAGATATAATCTTAGATTCAACTGAAACTATTGCTTTTGCTTATGGTACATTAGGAACTTTGATAGCATACAATATAAGTGATATTACTAATCCCTAATAGATAGGTGCTTATTTCAGCGATTCAGCTCAAGTAAGAAGAGCTGTAATAGCTAATGATAATAGCTTTTTGTATCTTGCTGATGACATAAATGGTAAAAGCTTCTATCTACATAAATATATTTACTTCTAATTGTTTAAATTAATTTGATAGTATTTTAAATCAACAAGAATTTGTTAGAAAGTATAAAAAAACAGCATTTAATTTAATCAAATAATTTTTAACTAAAAAAGGACTCGTTCTCTTAAAAATTTAATAAGTACCTGAATTTTAATTGATTGTTGCTACAACAGGAGGTTCGACTTTGTGGTAATCATGGGCTCTAGCAATTACTTCTGATAAAAGGTACTTACTTACTTACAAACTTACTTGTTTAATAAATTTTTCTAATGAATAAAAAAGAGTTAGTTTAGTTAGCTTTTAAATTTTGTAAAAAAAAAATATTATTTTCACTTAAAAGACAAATTTCATTTAAAAAAATTTTTATTTAACAAATTTATAGTTACCAATCCATTTTATATTTTGGCATCTATTATCAATATATATTTTTTAAATCATTGCTACTTATTTCCCTTAATTATTTATAAAAAAGGTATGCTTATGTTATAGATAATTGGGATGGAATATGGATTACTGATCTTTAAAATGTTTACGATACAGATGAAGCACTTTATCCAGCATGTATTTATTCATTTTAGCAAAATCATTTTCTTTATTAAATTTATTTAAAATAAAATATAGAAATAAATTATAATTTGAAGTTTTGGCCTTTTGCATCTCCTTCTGTTTATTCAGCTTTAATTACTCAAGATAATAACTACCTATTAGTAGGGCATAGATCTATAGGTGTATAAATTATAGATATCAGCAACAAACTATCTCCTGTTTATTATTAGACAATCCCATCTGAAGCAGTAGGATTCGATTTGAGACTTTCTTAAGATGAGCAGAAACTATATTATGCTAACGCTAAAAGTATAATCATATTCACTAAAGCGATTCCGAATTTCAACAATTACTTTCCAAACTTGCATAACTTCTAACAAGCCGATATTGATCAACTTTCGTAAGTTTGATTCAAAGCTATTTTTTCACATAGTATTTATAATATCAATAATAATTATTATAAGTAATATTAATTATCAATGGAGATGCAACGTTTCTGAAGATGACAAATATTTGTATGGCTTCTTTGGTGAGAATGGAGTCTATATTATGGATTATAGCTTAGATCCTTACCACATGAAGTTTTAATCAAAAATTTTTCCTGATAGTATATCGTCAATAGATATAGCAGCCGTTTTGAACGGAAAGTATATGTATGTTGGAGTAGCAGACTCTCCTTATGTAGCATATAATTACGATATTAGTGATCCAACTAATCCCAAATTGATTTATCAAGTCCCTTTTGATGGCTATAAAGATGCTGATGGTCTATATATTAGCCAAGATAAAAAATATCTAGCTTAATGTAACTATTCCTGTATTATCTTATATGATATTAGTAATCCAGCAATTCTTAATGTTTTATTTGAATGGTTTCCTCCACCAACTATCTTTGGATCTATAAAGGATCTCTGCATGAGTTATGGTAAAATATGAATCATAATTAATTTGATATCTTTATTTAATTATCTTAAAAAAATTAGCTAAAAAGCTGTTCGTTCGTTAGTTCAATTTTGAAATTTAAAGATAGAAATATATTATAAAAAAATAATTTTTTAGTTGATTGAGTTAATGAAAAAAATATGATTTTTATTCTTTGTGGTTTTTAATTTGAATTTCCAATAAATAAAATAGACAACAAATATGTAATTGGATCTGTAAGAAATTGGGGATATTTTGTGCTAGATATCCAAGACAAGACAACCCCAAAACTAATGAATACTCTTGAAACTTCAGGAGCAGAAGGAATGATTGTTTCTTTAAATTAAAAATATCTCTATTGCTTTGATGGATTTAGAGGACTACTAATTTTAGATATTTAGGATTTACCAAATTTAAAAGTTATAAGCAAACTTTAACTTACAGGATGGTCAAACTATATTTAACCAATGTACAATGATCAATTTTTAATTGTAGTTGACTATGAAAATGGTTAATTATCACTCGTTGATATCAGAGATCTCACTAATCCTATTTTAATGAGCACTTATAATTCTAAAAGAGAATAAGCACTTGGAGTTTGCACTACATTAGATAATAAATATGGATTTATTATGACAAATTCAGGATTGAGAACAATACCACTAAAATCTGATGTCACTATACATACACAAATTTCTCAGGTAGTTCCTCAAACAGGAGCCAAACCTTTGCTTATTACTCTTCCCCCAGACTAAAATTTATTAGTAAACTCTTAATTATTAATATAGAAGACAATTAAATTAAAATATTTTTACAATATAAAAGGTAGGTGAGACTATTTAGTTTAATTTCATTATCATTAAACCAATCATATCTATGGCAATTATAAATGTCTATTACTATGATAATTACGAAATGAAAAGTCTTCCATATTGGATGGACTATACAAGTAGTTCTTAAAGCCTAACAATAAAAGTAGTCAAGGATGGATTAGGCACCAATTATACATAGCCTAATTTAAACACAGTTATTATCCAAACAGCTGTTCCTATCAAAACTTCATCCTTTATTTATAATGATTAATTAACAGGTTTAACAACAACGCCCTAATAAGCTAATCTCATTTATGAGTATCTAATTTCGTAGTATCTTCTAGATAGCAATAATTTTGTAACATCATTTTTCGATCATAATTAGCCTTTCTCTTTTAACATACCAAATCTTTAAGTAAGTAATATGGAAAGGCTATTTTAGCTTGTTAAACTAACTTTAATGAGAGGAACTTACTATAACCCAATTTTGTTTTACATTGCTCCTTCTCTCACATTAGATTTAAATAATTCAACATCTCCAATTTAAACAAAATCTACTTAAATTACATTTACTATGCTTGTAGAAAAAACCACAGGCTTATTTGTTAAACAAGCATTTGAAGGTGTTATAGTATCTTATACAGATGCTTAAAATTAGGTTAAGATAGAAGGCTTAAAAGATAATGTTAACTCTGTCATTAGTAAAAAATTATACTTTTCATTATTCGCTAATGCTACTAATAAAATGGTTAACATCACAGTTGAAGATGGTGTGAATAATAATATAGTATAGACATTTATTGTAGATTAACTGTCTTTTATAGCATTAAATATCCCAACCACTAAAGGTAAATTTGTTTAATCAATTAATTAAATCTATTTTATCTAAGATAAATTATTAATTTTCAGTTCTCACATAAAAAATTAAAAATAAAAATGTTAGGATTATTTATTTAATTATAATGTTTTATTTTTTTTATTTTATTGAACTAAATTATAGTTTATTTAAATAGAAATGCTATAAATTTATACCCCTTCCCTCCTAAAATATTATTGAATAAATATTGAAATTTATATTTGTTTTCTAAAAAATAATTTTTTAATGAAAAGGTAAAGAATTACAATCTTAAGTTAACTCATAATTCTCAGATGGAAATGTAGCTATAGAAGCAGATATATCAATTTCATTTAGTAAGGATAGTTTTATTGACCCTGACACTCCAGTTTTAATCTATTCTTTGTAAGTTAGTTAAGATGGTGTTTATATTCCTGTTGCTTCAGATTTCTTTTTACAACTGTCAAATACAGATTTAAAAGTGTCTGGAAAAACTACTGATAGTTAGTTTGGAAATACATATTATTTAAGAATAAGAGCTAGTGATGGTTATAGTGAAGCATTTAATTATTTTTCAATATCTGTAAGCATACTCCCTTTTACTTATATTTTAAATTTGCTGATTAAAATATTTGGACCTATAATCGGTGTTTTTGGAGTTTACAAATACAAGAGTGATATATTAAATTTGGTATTTAAATAAAAAACATTTTATTCAACAGAAACTGCCTAAGTGAATTGCTTATATAGAAAATAAATTACAATTATGGGCAATGACCTTAAAAAGGCATATGAACTTTACTATTCATTCAAAAGCAAACTTATGTAAAAGGAAAATCTATTTGTATAGGAAGAAAGAGAGAAGAAGATATACTTCCATTAAGAAAGTGCAAATACAATTAAAGATGAAGATATAGAAAAGAACAATTAATAAAATATATAGAAATTCTAATAAACAAGAAGGTTGAAGTGTATGGATTATGAAGACGAATTTCTTAAAAAAACAGTTTATAATTTACAAATGAGTCCTGCATAAAGAAATAAAACTATTGTAAAAAATATTTTCGAAAAATTATTTTCAAAAATTAAATAAAAAATTTTATTTAATAAATAGATGGAAAAGCTCTTTTTGAGAAAAGATGGATCAATAGCTATGACAAAAATGTATAGAGACATGCTTTAGCTTGAAGTTACATATACTTTAAATGGGAAAACATATTTTGTAAAAAACGACATAAAAGAGTTTTAAAACAAAGAATCTAGGTTCTTTAAATGCTTATAAGGTATTGTAGCTAGAGATTTTATTAAGTATGACTTCAAGGCTTTATCGATTTATAATTATTTGAAGTATTATGCTAAAAAGAATTTTTAGTATACTGAAAACGATTGGTATAAAGTCTATGTAGACATTCAATCCACAAATAAAAAGGATAAATACAATTAATAAGTTCCTTTTTCTGATATTAAAATCAACGAAGATATGATAAATAGAGTAATTAATCCATTAAAATATTTAAATTTTACTTAAAAATTTATTAATTTTAAAAGGTTTTTTTGGACTTAAGTATCCATAATCAAAAAGGATAAAAGCTAGATAGCATACATAGTTTAGGAATTAACCCTCACATTATAAAATAAAATTTGTATTCTGATGCTTTGGGAATAGTAGTTGAAGCAGCATCTTTTATTTAACCATGCGTTGGAGAGTCACTACACTTAGAGTCCTTTTAAGTTCATTCTGTTGAAGCTTTTAAGTAAATAAATAATTTAACTTAATTTTTCTATAAATAAAAAAATAAATTTATTAATTAGGGAAGTAAAAGATAAATGGTGTATCAAATTAAGAAAATGTATAGGATTGGATTACATGCCATTTGGTATGTCAAAAAATATGAATCTACCTCATTGGCTTAAATTTGATATTAAAAATGGATTTTTGATTTTAGAAGGCACTCCATCTTACAATGATATAGATTAGCTGCTAATCAGAATATATGATGAAGATTTCTATATTGTTCAGTAATTCTTTTTAAATATAGTGGATGAATATAATGCAGAGTAAGATAATTTTGAATTAGCTGATGATTTAAACATATCTGAGAATATGAATTTAATTATCAACTAAGAAAGTTAGAACAGTTTAAGATTAGCAGCTGATAAGAATCAATAAAAAGCAAGCTAATTTAAGGTAAAAATTTCATTAAAGGTTTTTTAATCTAAACAATTTTTTTATTTTAGAATTATAATTAAAATTCTTAAAGATTTATGGATTAAGACTCTTTAATTTATAGAACCTCCTCAAATAACAATCCAATGCTCAAATCTATACAATAATAATCTCCTCTATTGATTCCTAGAGATTCTGGTCAAGATTATGTTGATGAACTATTTTCAGTTTAAAATAAAGAAATGACTTCAGTGCAAACATCGAACAGATAAATGATAGAAAAAGAAATTTCATCTTATAGTTAAAAAAATCAATAAGAATTAGATAAAACTCAAGCTGATATAGATGTAAGTTATACTGCTCTTAGAAATTAGATGGACAATAATTATTAATCTAAAGATGTAGAAAGAGTAATTTTAACTTTATTTTTTTAATTTTGCAACTCTAAATTAAATTATATTAAAAATAAGAACGCTCCTCAAGATTGACAAAATTAATGATCGAAATAATAAATATCTAGGCTTGTATTTTTAAAATATTTACATTAATGTTAAATAATTATTTAATGTCTGTCTATTTTTTTTGTATGTATGAAAGAAAAAAAATTATATTTCTAAAATTAAAAATACTTTTCTTATAAAAATCTAAGCTTATTTTTCATATTTTGTCTACTAGAATGAACTATTTATTTAGAAAAGTGCTCTTACTCCAATATAATACTTCATTTTAATAATCCAACCATAATTAGGTCTTATTAACAATCAAACAAACAAACAAACCATAAAATTTCAAGGGATTATATGTTACTAAATTATAATAAATAATATTTATTCTGATTAATTATGGTTTTTTGAAAAACAAACATTATTTTTTCCTTTTTTTAATTCCATATTTTAAAAATTCCTTCTCAGCTTAGGTTTTTTAAAACTGACTTGTAAAAGCCGAGTTTTTAATGTAGTTAATTAATTTAAGAAAAAAATGATAAATAACTTAACTTACTTTCTGTGTAATAAAAAAGATAATTAACTAAAATTTAAAAAAATAAAAATTCTTGAATTAATTTATGATTGATTAATTTAGTTTTGAAGAATGTATTGAAATTGATTGTTTAAATTTATTTTCATCTTTAAGGAAAATTAATATAAACTATGAAACAACTATATAAATATCTTACAAATATTTTAATTATTTTGTATAATACTTCTATTCGTCCTTCCATATTTTCTTTCATTTGGAATTTAATAGAAGCACATTAAACAAACAATTTAACTTAGGGTTGGTAATTAATTTTTAATTTATTGCTTTCTAAATATATTTTAAATTATTTTATTTGTACTTTTAAATTATTTATCATTTTTATCACTCTACTTCGGTTGTATCTTTGACTCCTTTTGTATATCCGGAAGGATATAGTAATTTTAATAACCTATCATGTTAAACTTTTGGATCGGAATCTTCATAACCTATAATAAAAATGAATTAAATTTAAGCTATTAGATTTTTTAAAAGATAATTTACCATGTAATCTGTAGACATTGAGGTCACCTGCTATATCACCAGTAATAATAACAGGAGCACTTTATGCAAATCTTACCATTGTTTTAGGAGGGAAGGGAGGTTCATTGTTTTTAGGAATAATTGATGCAAATGGATCTAACATATTATTTTTAGTGAGATCCCAAAGCTCCATTCTTCCATCTTTAGCAACACTAGCAAATAAGGTAGAACAATTTGGACTCCATTCTACATCCATAACTTCATCTTAAAGATCTAAGGACTTTTTTTTATTTTTTATTTTTTTTAAAATTTGTAACTTAAAGTTTTATTTACCTAGAATGTGCTTAAAGGTTATTCTTCTTTAATATTCCAAAGGCGACAACTCCAATCAGCAGAACAACTAAGAAAAATGTCTGACCAAAAAGGATTGAAACGAACTCTATATACAGGTCCTGTATGTCCGAAGTACGATTCTAGATATTGTCCAGAATAATTTTTAGAGCATCTATGAATAGGTCCATCATCAGTTGCAGCTAAGTAAGTAGAGTATTCTCCCCTAATGAAGTCCATAGAAAAACCAGCTGCCTATCTAAAATTAGTTCCTTCATTTGCTTGTTCTTTGCTAGAAGGATTTTATGTCTTTTTAAGGCTCATTAATTCTGTATTTTCTAATTCTTTCTTCATGTTCCATTCAACAATACGACCTTTTTGTATTTTAAAATTATTATCAAACCATATTTGAAATTATTTAAATATTAATTTTAAGCAATAAAAAATATTTTTTATTTTATTCATTTTTTATTTTATTAAAAGAAAATGAAAATAAAGCTTAAATGATGAAAAAATCTTTGAATTTTTACCATCAGAGCTGATACTGACTAAGCTTTCTCCCTTTTCGTTACCTTTGTTTCCTTTACCAATCCAATTTAACTCCCAAATGGCATCACTATGCTTACCTTCGGTTTAATCGTTACAAAGGATTGGTTGATTACCCTTCTTTCTTATATCATAAATTGCTACTATACCATCATAACTTCCTGTAGCAAGTAAATTAGGATTCATCTCAGAAAATTTACAACTAGTTAAACCTAAAATATATTTTAAAATTTTATTTGCACTGTAAGATTTTTATTTATTAAAAAATTTACGTGATTTAGTTTTGATAATTCTTTCAGGATAGCTAGGGTTCTTAAGTGTCCAAAACATAACCATACCTTGTCTGTTAACATTCAAATCAAGTTCACCGTAAGTACAAGCCAATAAATCTTTATTAACTGGATTCCAATCTGCACAACTTACAGTTCTATCCTAAGTGATATCACAATTAAATTTGAAAAGGAACTCTAAAACTTCTTTTTTCTTTTCTTTTTCTTCATCTTCATCTTCATTATTACCTTACTTCATTCTCTTGATACGCATATTGTTGAATCTTTTGTTACCCTCATCATCAGCTCTTTTGTGAATCTTGACTTCAGGATAATTTCTATACAAAATGTATTACTTATGATAAGTATTTTGATTGAGAATTCTATCAACATATTTTAAATATGTCGATAAAGAATCACTAGAAATGATCTTTTGTTCTTCCTCATCTTTTTATTTTAAAATTGATAATTTAATTAAAAGTAAGAAACAACTTAATAAGGATTAAATTTACTTATCTAATTTTTAACTTTTTCAAGTCTTTATTCAATCAGCTTTTATTCTTCTTTCTTTAAAATTTCTAATGTTTCTTTATGTTACTTAAGCATTTACTCATGATGAACCTTATTACCACCATAAGATTTTGTCACTAAATTTTAGCTTTCAAACTGTCTCTTTAGTTTAGTGCCTGAAACGCTTTAAATATTTTATTATTATAAATTTTTTATTTAAATTAAATTAAATACTCTTTCAAATTTGAGAAAGAAGAATCACGAGGTCCTGTATCATCTTATGAAGGATTAAGTGTATTATTATTTACTGAAGCAGTATGTCCTGGCTTGTAGGTTTTACTGCTCATTTTCTCAGTCAAAAGACGAGTATCACCAGGTACTTCAGCTCTAGAGTGTAAGTTGATAGATTTAACATCAAGAGGAAGTAAGCAAAATGGATTTTTTAGAGCTTTCTTTAACTCTAAATCAATATTTTTTTATATTTCATTTTATAGTTATTCATATTCGTTGTACTATTCTTATAGTTATGCATCATACAAATCCCAAACAGCTGCAAACACACCTTTCTCAGCTCTTTCAATTCTATTAGATTACTATTACTGTTACTTAGGAGCATACTTAAATGTTTAAGCAGCTCTCTTAGAAAACTTATCACTGCCAATAATATCTTAGCAATGTTATTCATACTTTTGGTTTCTTTCTAAAATAATTGCAGTTGGGTTTTTGGTATTTTCATCCCTTATTTAGTTTTAATTTATTTGTACAGATGAGCTTGAAACTAATGAAGATGGACTTTATTGTTTATTTTATAATATTAATTAATCATATGATTTGAATTTGTTTATTACATATATAATAATATCTCTGTTTCAGATTCTTATAAATTGATTATGACATCTTTTTCCTTATCGTCTTCACTAAGTTATTTAGCCTTTTTTGCCTTCTTTTCACGCTCCTCTTTAAGTCTCTATTATAAAATAAATTTAATTATTTAAATACTTGCTCAAATCGTATTGAACTATTAGACTTAGTTCATAAAATCTATTATATATTTTTTGGCTAACTTATCAAATAATAGTTATTTTTTTATCTAAGCTCAAAAAATTTGAAATTTATTGTAAGATATTCATTAAAAGGTAGAAATTAAATTGTAAATATCTTAAAAATATTGAACAAACAAGCTTACAGATTCTTCTTCTGATTCAGAATATATTTCGGAACGTCTACTACTATCCATCATAGAAGACTCCTTTATATTTGCGCTACTTGTTTTGTTTTCACTGCCAGAACTCTTATCCTATTAAAATAAAAATTTTGAGCAATCTATTAATTGTATAGAATAGTAATTCAAAAATAATTGCAAATCGTTTATTTTTTAAAAAATATGTCTAAAAAAAAGCAAATTTATTGTTAATTATTTAAAATAAAACCAAAATATTATTTAAATGCTTACAACGCTCTATTATGCACTCCTCATCGAGGATTCTAATAATGAAGTTTGTGGTTTAAATGACTATTTTAATTTCTTTTATTTTTCAGCTTATTCTTATTCGTGCTTTTGAAACTCTTAAGCTAATTCTTTCATTTACTATGTTATAAGCCTATTTGTTTGAAAAATGTGCTTAGAAAGCCAAAAAAATATTTTTTGTAATCAATTTTAAGTTTATATTTAAATAATCTGTCTTAAAATAATTTTTTACCTTTTAGGAGTTACATTAACATTACCCTCCATTACATATTCATTATCTCTTTCTGATCCCGTAGTTTTCATCTTAGACTATCCTGCTTGCTTGGACGATTTACTGCCCTAAGGCAACCTAGTGGTACCACCTGCTAGCTTTTTACTTTAAAAGAAGAAATTTTATCATCTAGGATGCATTTTAGGTGAATTTTTAGTATATTTTTGTAGTTGTTATATTATTTAGTAGTTTGTTAATTAATATGCCAGCTGCATACAAAAATCAATACAAAAAACAAAAATTAGCTGTGAGTTTCAAAATTTAAAGTATTTTTCTTTTTTGAAAATCAAATATGGTTTCAGCTATGTGCTTATAATCTGCTATCTTAAATTGCTAATTACCCTGCCATAGTAGGACCAGATTTGAGTCCAGCTTTTGAACTCATTTACATATTAGCTCTTGTTGTACCAGCTCTTAATGTTGATGCGTCCATTTCCTTTTGCGCTATAATTATTATCTATTAATTATTTGTATTATTTGATAATTATTAATATTTATTTATTTTAATTTACAAGGTTTTTCTTTCAATAGAAGATTTTTTATTTTAAAAAATTGCATCTCCTTGTGTCCGTCCGTCCATAACTTCTAAGATGAGTATTTCAACATCCATTTTAAATTTAATGATTTCTGAAGTTTGTTTTTCTATATTTAATTATTAAGATATTCTATCATATATTCTTTATTTTAAGTATATTATTTTATTTTTTAGTATTTTAAAGATTCAAAAGACCTCATTTCTATTGTTTTTAAATAGTAAAATTGTTTAAACATTTGCTTGTTATATTTATTTATTTCAAATTTATTTAAACAATAAAAAAATAATTTTTAAAAATAAATGCCAATTAATCTGTTACAAAAATAATTTTAAAATTTGATGACTTTCTTATAAGGCCAAGATAGATATTAATAAAGCTATGTAATTGTAATAAAAGCAATTTTTATATTTTAGCTAGCTTGAAAAGATAAATTTAATAAAATGTTTGTTTTAAAGGACTGATTTGTTTGTTTGCTTATTTTGGTTTAATTCAAAAAGCTAATTAGATTTATTAAATAAGATATTAATTGAAATTCGTTGTAAATTATCTTATTTATTTAATTAATTTATATTATTAATAATTTATATAATATTTAATGTAAATGAATGGTAAATACTAATAGAAATAATTGGTTTTTATAGCTTGATAATTTAATTAAAAATAATTGATTCAAAAGCTTTTAACATATTTAGAAGACATTAATTACTTTTAGAAATTATTAAAAGAAATTAAATACTTTTCGATTATAATATGAGTTAATCACTAAATAATAGACCTTCTGATATTGATCGGTCTTTAGCTATTTTTTACCACCCGTTGTTTTAAGAAATTACTTCTTAATGGACATTCGCCCTTTTTAGAAAAAATAAACCTGATATATAACAGAATTACAAACATCCACAAGATTTTTAAATGAATTTTTTAGAATTTATAGAATTTAATTTAAAAGTTTAAAAATGCCTGCTTCCCCAATTTGATTTATCAAATGCTTTTGTCTCTGCTTTAAATGATTGGGTTAAAGAAATAACTGAATGCTTCAATTATGCAGATCTTTACTCTTCGAATGAGACAGATGTGCTCAACTTAAAATTAGAAATAGAAAAGAGTAATTTACTATTTTTTTGGAAGAGAATAATATTTTTTTAAATTTATAATATTATATTCTTTAAATTTTATATTTTAATTGAATTATAAAGCTGATAAAGAAAGTCTTACTTTACCTGTAGAAGAATATTTGCAATTTATTGATATGTTTAAGGAGCATGAAGCTTTTAAGATTGTTAAATTTCATATTACTAATGAAGTATTTTGTAAGTTTTTATTTGATTTGTGTACTACTTGGTGTGAATTCTTGGATATTGAATTATTTGTAATATTCATGTTCAGCATATTTCTACAAATATCTGATGGTGAAGAGGGAATTAAAGATTCGATGCTTAAAAATACGCTTGAAATAGAAAATTTGAGATTTGAGTTTTTCGAGGAATTTGAGCGTTAAAAAGAAATATATGCTAAGTAAAAAAAGAAAAACTTACGTTATTATAGAGCTTGGTGTGAATGGAATTATTTAAGGTTAAATGAAATGGGTGAAAATGTAATTTTAAAACTCTCTAGTATATTTGGAGAGGAAGAAGAAGATAGAATATACGATCTTGTATCGATATTTGAAAAGGCTATTGATACTATTAATAATGAAATAACTTCATAGATGGGAAAAACAATCCCTCAATAAATTGATAATTAACAGGTAGATAAAGGTATTAAAAGCTCATAAGATAAATCAGCTACTATTATGCAAGACGAAGGTTCTAAGTTAAGCTAAAGGTAACATGGAGCTATGATTGCTTCAATAAGTCCTCAACTAAACTACTAAGAATCTTTTTAGCAGTTAGGGGAAAGCAAAGACTTGATTAGATAAAAATTGAATTAGCTATAATAAAAGGACTTCAACTAATAATTAATTAGCCAAAAGCAGCAAATATTAAAATAAATTTAGTAAGATTAGAATAATGGATTGTAACATACCACTTATTAAGATAATAAATAGTAATAATTTGAAGTAGACTATGATGAGAGAGGGAATATCGTACTTAAAAAGATAGTTAAAATTCCTGTATTAGGTAAACATATCAATCCATAACCAAAGAATAACGATTAAACAAAAATTTATCTGAGAAATAGAGGAGAAAATCCAATTTAAAATTACTAAATTGATTCTTCCTTTCTAGTTCCCTAAGTAAGAAGCACTTCATTGTAGCCAAATCAAGCTGTGAATAAAACTTTTTCTGAAGGCTAAACAAATTAGAATCAAAATTAAGAAAATTATTAGAATATAAATAATACAAGAGAAGATGTTGGATAATTACCTGATTCATTAGGTTAACCTTTTTAAAAGTAATTTCACTCTATAGCCTTATCAAGCAGAGGATCTAGTAGATAAAAATAAATGAGAAATAGTTTTTTATAAGGAGACTCTAATAATTAATCAAGATAGAATTTCAGTTAATCTAAATAAATATACTAAAATCCTCTTCTTGAAAAAGAGTCTTAGAAGCTATAGAATTAAGCTTAAAAGGATTTAAACAAAACATTTTAGAAAGAAGCCATTGAAACCCATTTAAAAAAAGGCATAAATCATCAAAGCCCACCAAAAAAATAATTTTCTCCCAAAAAAGACATAAGAATTACAAAAAGAGTTACACCTGGAGGACTTTCTTCATCTTTCTAAAATAAAGATTTAGGAAACTCAGCCAATAAGCCATATTTTAACTATGATGGATAGTAGGAAAATGAGCAAACAGGAACGAATTATTCATTTTTTAATCATAATCAATAAGGGCAATTTTAGCAATAGTTTGAAGCTAACATAAAGAAAAATTACGAAGAAGAGGAAAAAAAATAAATTGATAACTCATAAAAGTTTTAATCTAAATTATATTAATTTACTAAATAATCTTTAATAACTTCTCCAAAGTTTGAAACATCTGACAATTCTGTTTTAATTCCTGAGTTTCTAAGAAATTTAAAAGCAAAAATACTTCAAAAAGAGTAAATAAATAAAGAAATGAACATATTTGATAAAGAATTAAACGATTTAAGTAAAACAGATTTTCTTAATGAATTTAGTAATTCTATATATCAAACAAAGAGAAATGCATAGCTTGATGTACCTAAAAAAGTTCTACTTAATCCAAAAATTGGAGCTGATGAACTAAGAGATAAAGTGAACAAATCTTTTGATAAAGGTAGAGGAAAAATTAAGCAAATAGAATAAATATTAGAACCAAATTATACTATTAAAACTTTACCTCATCCTACTAAAAAGAATAAATAAAATTAAAGCAAAGGGGAAAGGTTACTTGCATCACCCTCAAAAAGATTTAACTAACGCGATTATTAATATGAAATTCTCCTTGATGATTAACTTAATAAACTCAAAGAAATATCTATGAAAGAAACAGGTTAAAAATAATAAGCCAACAGTTTTGATTAAGATTAACCTAATTAAAATTAAGCTTACAAAAGAGCAGTAGACCGCTATAAGCATGTATGGAAAAAGTATTTAAGTGAAAGTGATATGTATATGCTAAATGATTGGGATTCTCTCTACAAAATTATAATTATTTTGAAGAGGAAATTTGCTTAAGATCATAGAGAAAATTATCTAAATTTACTCAATTTAGATTTAGCTTCTAATTATTAATCTTCTTCTTAAAATGATTTTGATGATTCTTCAACTTAAGCTTCAGGTGAGCACGAAAATAGATTTGTGCTTGACAAAGAAAAATTCTAAAAAACAATTTAAAAGTTACTAAAAAGAGATGAAAGAAGGAAAAAGAGAAGAAGACAAAAACGCAAAGCGAAGTAGAATACGAATCAGATCTAAGCTTATGATATATTTAAAGAAAAAAGAAAAAAATTCTAGCTTACAAAATTCAGATCAAGATCAAATAAACAACTATTTAAAGATGTATTTCTTTTACCATAAATTTCAAAGCCTAATTGAAGTTCATTAAATAATCCATTAAGTATAAACATTAAAATACTTGAAACAATTTATAATTCAATAAAGTAACCAAATACTTTCCTATTTTAAGCTTAAAAATGTAAATAAAAAAATTAAATGAATAATTAAATAAAAATTTATAACTTTTATTGTATAAAATCAAATGTGTATTTTTGCCAATAAAATATTTAAAATAATTTGCTATTCTATTTTAGAAAAATCAATTTAAATTATTTAAAATAATAATTTAATAATTTTAAATTTATTTTTAAACTATTTATTTTAATCAAACAAGTATATATTCTTCAATTTTCTCATAAATTTTATTTAATAAAAATTTTTTATTTTATTACTAAAATTACAAATATTTTGTTTGTTTCTTGAACTAAAATAATTTAGTAAATCATTTAGATTATTTATTTTTATAGCTTTAAAATATTTTATGCTTAAAATGTCTGAAATACCAACCTAGCCTTGCTTGATTCTTAAATTTTTAATAAAGTTTAAATAATTTATATTAAATTTAAATACATATGCAAATAAAATAATTCAATTTAATGAATACAAACAATCACACTTAATTTATAATTTTTGTTTGGCTATAATTTCCTAAATACTGCTAATTCTTTTTTAGTGAAAATCTTTGAAGATTTCATACTACTTACATTCAATTCCTTATTTAATACTTTAAAAAAAAATTCATAAATTAGATATCTATTAATTGTATTTTACTTTGCACTTATGCCTGATCTCTTTTTAACAAATTAATCATATAATTTTTATCCTCTTTTACTAACATCATTTTCCAATATTTCAAGTTTGATACTTTTCAAATTTACATTTTTTTAAAACGCATACCCCAAATCCTTTAATCCTCCTCCAAGTATAATATTATAACTAAAAAGAATTAGCATTATTATTGAATATTAAAAAAAAAATAATGTTTACTTTAAATTTAATTAAAGATTCTCTAAAGTTGAGTTTTACAACAAAAAAGTGTTTAAAATTTGCACATCTTGTTGGTTTATCAAATTTCCTCTTTTTTATAATAAAATTTATTGTCTTAATTAGTAATGAAAAGAATGTTTCTTAAATTACCCTAAATTAAGGTCTAAAGTTTTTAATTTTTTATTTTTAGCTAATCCATTAGATAGTGCTTGTAATCTTCCTGAATTAATTCCTGTTCCACTTTTTAAAAATAATGAAAATCTACTTTTTATACTTAATCTATTACAATAAGTTCAATGATAGCTCTTCGAGTTGTTAATTTTTAGCAATACCAGCTCCTAAGGCTTTTATTTGTGCTTGAGTTTACAACTATTAATCGTTACTATAGAAAATTAATTAGCAAATTAATTATGTTTAAATAATATTTACCAATAACTATATTCATCTAGCTCAAATTTTTTTGAATTAAACTATTACAATAATTTTTGATTGCTTAGATCTATACTTGCTTTACCACTTTTGTCCAAAATTTCTTAAAAGTAAGAATCTGTTTCTACTTAGGATAAAATCTACTTTGCAATTTTCTAATTAAATAAATAATTTAACAAACTATTGAAATATAAAATAAATTACTGCTTGCTATAAATGCTTTTCAATTAGTTTTTCATATTTTCTATTCATTTTTCTTCTGATTTCAAGTTCTTCAATCAAACATATTTCATTATCATTTTCAATAATTTCAAAATTGTCTTATATTTTTTTTAAAACAAGAGCTTTATTCTCACTATTTTTTTATAAATAGTCATTTAATTCCTTAGATTTTTTCATACAAGATTTTAGTTGTGAGATTTTAGATGAGAATTCAAACTTTTAGGCATCTTAATCTAGTCTATTTTAAACTTCTATTAAGACATCTAAATATTCAGATTAATTAGACAACTTTGCCAACTTATCTATAATAGCAGCAAAAAGTTCCTAAAAAGACATTTTCTAGTATTCAATATTGTCTTAAGCTTAGTTCTCAACTTCTCTAAGCTAATTTTATCTTGGAGCTTTAAAATCAACACAGATCATATAACTTTCTATTAAAAAATTGATTTTTACTAATTAGTGCTACTTTAATGATATTAAATATCAATATGAACTAAAATTATTAATTAAAAATAATATCTATTAAGTAAATAATTGTATAAGACTATTTTAAAATCATCTTTTTATATTTTTTAAATTTTTTTAAAATCATCTTTTTATCTTTATAAGATTTTTATTACACTTTTAAAAAACCATTTAATTTTAAATAATAAAAATTATTTTACTTATTTGTTAAAACAAAAAGAAAAAAAAAATATCTTATTTCAATTTATGATTAAAAGTATTAAACAATTATTTTAGATATTATTAACTAATTCAATCATTTATTTAAAAGTAAAAATACTTTAACTAAAATTATTTAAGGGAAATTATTATTGTTTTATACATACAAAAATTTTTATTAAGGAAAATAGATGATTTTAAAATTACACTCACTCTAAAATAATAAAGTATGGATGGATGGATAGATAGATAGATAGATTGATTACAAAACATTAATTTAATTATTTGAAACTATTTTTTATCAGTTGCTCTTATTGTCTTTATCTTCATTCTAGTTTTAATTAGTGTCAGTCTTATCATCATTCAAGTGTTGAATTTTTTAATAAATTAATTCAGGAATGATTGCAATAGTTTTAGTAGTATCGTATGTTTTGTAGACTCCAACTAATTTGTTGGCAAGCTCAAACATATTATTTCTTAAGGAAATAATAATGAATTGTGCATTTTTAGTTCTTTCTTGGATATAATTACCAACAATTGATACATTCTTGAAATCTAAGGCAGCATCGATTTCATCCATAAAGTATAATGGAGTTGGCTTGTAATAATGCAAAGCAAAAACTAAAGAAAGAGAACTTAAAGTCTTTTCACCACCTTTACAATTAATTAATTATTAATCAAATTTTATTTCTAAAAAATGTTTTAAATTATGTACCTGATAGCTTTGAGATTTATTTCCAAGATTTTTTAGGAGGTCTTACTGTGAAATTAACACCATCTGAGAAAGGATCGAGAGAGTCAATTAATTCAAGTTCAGCATCACCACCATTTGTTAATGTCTATGTTTTTATTGCAATTAAAAAATTAAATAAAATGTTTATATTAAAAAAAATGCTATCTTATTAAATATAAAAGCTTACTTAATATGTTTCTTTTAGCTTAGCTGAGATAAGGTTAAAGCCGCTCATGAATTTTTCAAATCTTTCTTTTTTAAGACGATCAATATCTACTTTAAGCTCTGAGATTCTATTTTTAACTCTTTCAAATTCTTCCTTTTTGGACTTAAATTCAATGTACTTATTTTTAAATTCAGTAATAGTAGTGATGTTGGCATCGTTAGTCATGCTCTTTAATTTTTCTTCAGCCTTAGCCTTTTCAATTTTTAATGATTCTCTGTGATTTTCAAGTTATTCAATCAATTCTTAACCAATATCATCATAAACATCAATACTACTTATTTTCTTAGTGTTTTTGCTTGATCTAATTTTTTTATTTTATTTATCATTATTTTCTGGAATTTCTTCATCATCCTCTTTATCTTAAGTGTTTTTCTCTTCATCCATCATAGATTGCATGATAGATTCTTCAAGGATAGAAATATTATCTAAATCTTTATTAAGAGCTTAATTTAATAATGCAAATTATTTAAATTTTTTTACTATTTTGGTCATCAGATTTCTTATCCTCACTCTCATTAATTTAATAGCCAGCAATTTCATCAATGAATTGTAAGAAATCATATGATTTAGTAATTTCTTTGTAAGTATTTCTGTTATTGGCAATAACATGTTCACTTCTGTTCTAATCTTCTTTTGCTTTGCTATTTATTTTATAAAAAGAAAATTATTATCAATATTTTTTATTAATACAAAACTTACTTAATTTTAGCTTCAAAGTCATCTTTTTCTTTTTTTAATTTCTCTAAAGCATCCTTCATATCTTTAATAATTTTTTCAATTCCAGCCTTTTATTCATCTCTTTGCTTTTGCTACTCTTGTAACATTGCTAACTGCTATTCAGCTTATTGTTAATCTTTGAATACCTTAACAGCATCTTCTTCAAGTTTTTATTACTAATCTTTTAATGGATCAATACTAGCTTTTATTTTTTTGATTCTCTCCTATGTCTCATTCTTTTCTCTTTCGTTGTTCTTTAAAGTTTTTTCTAAGTCTTTTAATTTAGCAGTTTTTTTGTTGACGTCTGCTTGCAACTCTAAGGTTTACTTTATAAAAAATAAAAAAATTATATCATCTAAGTAATTTAAAAAATGAATATAAATAAAGCTACATTTTAAATATTCTTGCAAATTTCTTGTTATTGCTTAAGTTCTTAGCCACCTGATTTGTTAATTTTCTCATCAATATCGGTTATTTTTTTATTTAATTCCATGATTTATCCATCATATTCATGATATTCACTTTCAAATTTTTCAAGTTCCTACTTGATGACTTATCTTTCTTTTGCATTCTATTCTTATTCGTCCATTTACTTTTAAAGAGCTTTTAGTCTATTTTGGCATCTGGTTACATTATCTTCCTACAATTATTAATCAAACTTCTTAGCTTCGAGCTACTTTACCAAGTACATCTTTTCCTAAATAAATGTGTTTAGTTACTTATTTGTATTCTAAATTGTTTCTCTAATTTATTCTAAGTCTTATTAGTTTCTGCTATATTCTGCTTGATATCTTTCAACCTCCTCAGGAGAAATCTCCACTTTTAATTGAGAGGCCATACCACCTCTTCTAGCAGCACCACCACCAGACATAACACCAGAATCATCAATTAATTCTCCTTTTTTAGTGACTACCTAAATTTTAAATGTTAATTAAATAAATTTAAACAATTAATTTAAAAATTAAAGAAATATAGTAATATACTCTATGTCTTTATTGACCATAAGCTATTTCTGTAGCAAGATCAATGTTATCACAAACCAAAGTATTTCTCAAAGCAAAGTAAAAAGCAACTTTATATTTCTAATCTTTGAATTAAATTAAATCAAATAATCTCTATGATCCTCTAGGACATTAGAATTATTTTTCCATATATTATCTATTATGTTCTATTTTATCTAAAGCAATAAATTAAGCTTTACCAATTTTTTCCTTTCTCAAGTAATTGACTGCATTCTAAGCATCATCATATCTATTATTTTATTATTTGCAATAAGTTTAAATGTTGATTTTTTAATAATCAAAAAAAGTTTAATTTTTTAATTAATAAATAATCTTTTTTTAAACTAATTTAATAAAAACTGTATTTCTGATTTTTAAAAATTTACCTATCTACAATAATATTGTCTAATTGACCACATGCTGTAGTTATGGCAACATCATATTCTTCATTGATAGCTGCTAAATCACCCAATCTTCCACAAATACCTCTAAGCTTTCCTTATTGTTAAGCTATCATTAATTCGTTTAAAACCTATTTTTGTTAATTACAAAAAATATTTTATTTTCTATAATTTAGTTACTGATTATATTTTTATTTATTTATTTACCTTATTTCTTGTTTGAGAGTCTTAATTAGATTATTTTGTTTAATCAATTTTTTGTTTGCATTCAGAAATGGCTTTAATAATTTTTTCTTCAATAATCCTACATTCCTTATTATCAGCTTCTTATTTTTCATATCCTGCTTCAATGGCTTAAATAGCTTAAGCAATTTATTTAATCAATGTATGCTAATCTTCTATTAATTATTTAGCTTTTTCTAATTCATTTTAATTCTTTTCATATTCATTTTAAATAGCTGTGGCATCTTGAGAAATCAAAGTAAACCTGTTTTAAAGTGTGTCTCTCTTCGATTAAACTTCAAGTTTTTTCTCCTTAATTGGTTATAATTTTTTTTCCATTTCTTTTTTTTCCTTAACTAACTTTTGGTTTTCGTTGTTAACTTTGCTTTTTAATTCTCTAAGCTTTTCATCTTCGTCATCTTTTTTAGTCAATAATTTTCTTAATCTATCTTACTTTTCTGGCAATTCAGATTGATATTCTTTTTAATCACGAATAGCTTTTTTATATTCATCTTGAAGATCTTCAAGTTATTTCTAAAGAAAAAAATATATTCAGAAAAATAAATTCTAAAATTTCCAAATAAACAATAATTAATTATTTTCAATTTCCCATTTTTACAAATTTTATTGAAAAAAAATTACTCTCTATATTGATAAATGGATAAAAAAATAAAATAAATATTTTGATTGATTACCTCAGCTTTAGTTTAGTTTTCAGTTTCTAATACTAACTTTTGTCTAATTAATTCATCACGTTCATTCAATTTTTTTAATTGACCTTTATACTTTTACACTTCATAATCCTTTTTTTCTATTTCAGCTTTGCTTTGCTTATATTCTTTGATAACTTGTTCGTTTTCCTTTAATTACTATTTGAATTTTTCTCTCATTTCAACATTTTATTGCTCATTTTATTTGATCTTTGTTTCAAACTTTTCTATATCTTTTTTACTTCTTAAAAGATCGATCTATCCAATAATATTTGTCATTTAATAGCTTAGTTTTTCATTACGAATGTATTCGATGGCTAAATTCTTAGATTCTTATAGCTTTTCTAAATCAGCTTCGTGTATTCTCATTCTTTCTCCCTTTTCTCTTCTTTCATTCTTTTTATATCATAAATAGTAAATCTTTCATTTTAATTAATTAATAAGTTAGTTACCTAGAGGACTTCATATTCTTCGTCTTTCTTTTCAATATCTTCTTTGAATTAATTAGAACCTATAATATCTTCCAAATATTCAAGCAAACCAGGTTTTTCTGGATCTCCAGAACGAGGCTTCATAAGTGAAATTTACTCTACTTCACCTTAAAGAATTAAGAAACGGTTATTAGTAAGATCAATACCCTTCTATTTAAGAGTATCAGTAACTTCTACATGAGATACTTCTTTATCGTTGATCTCGTATTTTGAAACACTAGATTTATTAACTGTTCTTCTAACAGTGAATTCAGTTCCAGGAATAACTTCATATTCTTCGCCTTCCTTTTAGTTTGAAAATAATGTTAAATATTAGATTGATTAACTACTGCTAAAATGAAAATTACTTTATCTCTAATTTCATGGAAAGTAACTTCGACAGAAGCTTTTTTAACATTTTAATGCTTTGAAGAGTTATGAATGAGTTATTCAAGTTTTTTGAGACGCATCCAGGAAGCTTTTTTACCAAATACGAAAAGAAGAGACTCAATCAAGTTTGATTTACCACTACCATTAGGCCCAACAACGGAAGTAAATCTTTTATGGAAAGGACCAATAACTTATCTACCTTAATAACTCTTAAAGTTTTCAAGCACGATTTACTTTACAATAAGTCTTTGCTCGCTCTTACCAGCTATTTAAAAAAAAAATCCTTTAGATATGAATAAAATTTGAAGCACTTTTAATAAAAATTTCAAGCTAATTCCTTGTAAAAAAAAAGCTAGTTCTTATAATTGGGATAATGCAATAAATTTGTAGGCATTTTAATATGAAAACGCATGTATACTTACCTAAATTTTATCTCAGAACCGAATTTTTGAGCAGACTTTAAGTATGTTTAACAACTGATTTAGCAGTGGGTATTTCTTCTTCCATTTATGCTTATACTTTTGAAGTTGATTCTTAATCTAATTATTGTTTTTAGAAAATAATTTCATATAAAATTAAAATACAGATAAGTGGCAAAAATGTAAATACTAAAATTAATTTTGAAAAGCTAAACAAAATAATTTACTCATTTTTATGTGATTCCTCTAGACAATTATATTATACTTATTATAGCTTTTAATCAAAATTAACTTTTTCTCTAAAAAATAAGAATAGAATTGATTTGAAATATCGCTAAATAATAAATTTTTTGATCTAAATTATTAATAGATATTCTTCTTAATCTGAAAAATTAAAAAATCTGCTTCTTATTAATCTTAATAAAGATTTGAATATTTATTTTTTGCCGAAATTTTGATATTTATAAATAGAGTATTGTTTTTATTTGTTTGATGTTTTCTGTATTTAATTATATTAGAGCCCGCCAAATTAATTAGAATTAATAATTTAAAATGTTAATCAAGTCAATACATAAATAAACCCTTTAAATATTCCTTAATGTTTTAAAGCAATAATTATCAAATTCTACTTTGATAATTTAAATTTATTCTTTAGTTTATTCAATAAAAATTTAATAAAAAAATTATTTTAAATAAAATTAGTTATTTATTTTTTGAAAGTTAATTAAACAAAAAAACCAAATAAAATTACTTTTGAAAATACAAAATGAAGTTTTTAAATAATTTAAAAATGCTAAATTATTTATTTTAATTAAAAATAATGCTCAATTTATTGATTTATTTATTTTAGAAATAATTTTTTTATTATCCGATTTTAATTTAGTAAGTTAGTTAGTCTTTCTTATATAGTTTATTTTCAATAAATCTTCTAGAAAATTAAATTTTTCCAAAAAACGAAAAAGAATTTAAGCGATTCTAAAATTTATATTTTTGTGAGAATTCTTTCAAAATTATGTTAACAAATTTATTAGTAATTAAAAATAAACAAACTCTACTTTACATTTCAACTATTATTTCTTTATTGATTAATTAATATAAAGTTTTCACTAAATGACGACTTGTGTTTGAAACTTTAATTTGTATGTTAAAAATGAAATTAAATGTTTATGAAAGAAAGATACGGCCTGAGATACTAATTTTTATTTAAAATTTGCATTACTGTTTTACTATATTGCAATCATATGTTGAAGATACTTGGTTAGACTTATCATTAGGGTTCAATTTTTTTTGTGAAATAATGTATATAAAAAATATTCTCAAATAATTGCAAAATGAGAAGAGCTGAAGTAAATTTTTTTGAAATTCTTTTACTTATTGAGAATTATGAATAAAATAACTTTGAGATTAATATAAAACCAGAGAGATACATAAATTATTAAAATATTTTTTAAGAAATAGGTTTTTAATCATTTAAGGAACTTAGAAAGCCATTGGAATCCATCAGCGTAGCCTATCTTTTTAGATACTGAGCACATAAACAATTCGATGGGACGACCGTCGATTTCGCTAATCTTTTCAATACCGATTTATGAAGTATTAGCTAAGCCAAAATTGATTCTAAGTTCATCTTCAGAAGCAGCTCCTTGAATATCGATCTTGTTTCCAAGAATAACGATTGGAACCTTTTCCAATTCTTTAGTTTAAATAATTTTATTGAATTCAATTCTAGATTCTTCAAAACGAGCACGGTCAGAACTGTCTACTAAATATACAATACCATCAATAGAAGCGAAGTAATTCTTCCAAGTTTTTCTGACTGCTTCGTGGCCACCTAAGTCGAAAGCTTTGAAACGAATATTTCCTAAAACTAATTCTTCTGTGTGAGAACCAAGGGTGGGGTCGTGCTAAACGAGACGACCATCTTTTAATCTTCTTAACAAAGTAGTTTTACCAGCATTATCTAAACCTAAGAACAATATCTTACCATTCTTTTTGTAAAGACCTAAATAGCCTAACATATTTTTGAAAAAGTCGAAAATGAACATTTCTTGAACTTGCTTTTTTAACTTTTTTTTTTTGATAAAGATTTTTTACCAGATGTTTTTTATGTAAATTTATATTTTTTATATAATTTTTTATCAAATTTTTTAAAAGAATTAAGCTATCTGTATATGGTTACTACATAATCAAAATACCTTATCCACTCTATTCATTTTTTAACATTAAAGAAGTTCATTTCAATCAATTTATTTTTTTCACCCTCTAAAACTATAATTTTCTTAGTGTTTGATAACAAAATAATAATGCATCAGCTTACCTGACCCACGTAATTGTCCTAATAATATTTTAACTGATCTATTTATCAAAAATATATTTATTTGAATATTTATTGCTTAAACTTTGAGAGAAAAAAAATCTAAAATTAAATTTAAATTGCTTTCATTCATATTTGTTGAGTAAAGAAAATCTGTAAGCGAGTCATTTTATGCTTTTCTTATTTTTACAAAGATTTTTTTTGACAAATTTAACTTGGCAGCTATATTTTTCAATTAAAATAATGTCTATTTCTATGATTTAAACATGCAAAAATTTACTTATATATTACGTTTTTGCAACAATAAATTGCGCATCAAATTAATTATATCATAAAGAGTTAATGAATATTAATTATCAATGACTCAATATTTATTTTAATTATTCATAATTAAATCTAATATAAAAATTTTTTCAAAATAAAAAAATGCATTAATTTACAATTGGATTTGACAAACTAAAATTTGAATTCTTTTAAAAGGCATAAAATTGATTTTATAAAAGAATTTTAGAATATCGAATCGATTGTGTCTTTTTGATTTTTATTTCAATAAAAGGCCTTTTTTTTAACAAATGCGTATTAATATCTCAATTGTTATCTATTTTTTTATAAAAGATAAAATTGTCAAAAAAAAAAAACAACAACAAATAAATTAAATATTCTTTTAAAATGAACAAATAAATTCTTGCTCTCACTTTATTAGCAGTAACCTTGTTTGCTACCACCTCCATTCTTCTCTCTGGTTACTAAGATGACTCTAACTTCGAACTTGAAAATGGATCCTGTGCTACAGTTTCCGCTAAGAGTGGAAAGTTCTTCGTCACAAACAAATGTGACCACAACGTTAAGATTACTCTCACTCAATCCAGTGTTGATTTTGATACTACTTTTACCACTGACTGCTTAACTCCTAAGTAAGGACAAGCTACTACTCTTACTTCAGGTAGATCTTACACTATTACTTCTGAAGTTCAATGCTGAGCTCTTTGTATGAGATCAAACTTGATCAATTTAAAAATTTTAATAAATGAAAAATCCATATTTATATATATATAAATATATATTCTATATGTGATTTATCTTAAAACAAAAATAATCTATTAAATTATACATTTGTAGTATTTGAAAATATTCAATCATAAAAATACAAAATTTCATTATATAAACTTAAATTATAATAGAATAAATTACTTTTTTTTTTAAATGTATAAAGAATTGGTTGATTTTTTCTTTTATTAAAATAAGAATTTATTCATTAAATATACTCTATATTTTAAAAATAAAGATTTAAATACAAAGTATTAAATTTATTATTTGAATAACTATTGAAAAATATCATTGGTACTAAAATATTTCATAACATAAACAATAATAAATTAATTAAATTAATCCAATATTTATTCTAAAAATTAATATTTTTATAAATTCTTTGATCCAAATACATAATTTCATTTAAAAAAATAATTCACTCATCTTTAATACTTTTTTAAACTTCTATTTATCTATATTTGCATGTTCTATGAGGATATATATCTTGAGAGGAGGGAGGTTTAAAATTATTTTTATCAGTAATGTAATTGAAAAATTTTAAGCCTAGTTGGTTGGAAAAGTTATCAGTAATCAAAAAATCAAGAATATTTCTTGAGTTATAGTAATTATATTTAGATTACCTTATTTAGATTATATTTTGGATCTACGTAGAATCTAAGATAAACTCTGTTTAAACAAAAGCAGCTATATTATATCCGTCTACTTTGCAAAGTAGTTGAGTAGCTTTTACATTAAATTTGATAAATATTCCATCAAGAGTATACATTTTACCCTCAGATTCCCATTATTAGACCTCACTCAATAGATAAAACTACTAATTAAATCTTATGGCGTCTAAAACTTGCAAGTTTGTGTAAGGCATATATTCTCTGCCTAAAAATAAGTTAATGTGCATAGTTTTTGACAGCAATTCTAACATTTCATTAGGCCCACAACCCAATATCGCACAAAGACTCTCACTTATTCCATATTATACATTTAATGGTATTCCTAATTCATTTTTTTCAAGTAAAGAAATGCAAAAATAAGCATGACATTCTTCCAAATTATTTTAAGATAAAAATCTATCTATATTTTAACTATAAAAGCTTTGCTAAATCTCATTCAAGTATTCGAATCCTCTATTTTATATTAGGGATTTGTAAAGTAATTCTACAGTAAAGATATGATACCAATATTTTTATAGTTCTTCAGCCAAAACCATATTATTTTAATTCTAACTTTACAATAAAACTTATATGATATTCTAAAAGTCACAACAACCCTAAATTTTATTGTTATGTGAAACTTGGATTATATTTTTATTTTTGAAGTAAGTGATGTTGTTCACATATTTTTTATCCTAAAGTAGCGAAGCCTGTCTTAGCAATTAATCTATATCGTCTTCTTCTTTATGAAATATTTCTAACAAAATATCTCCAACTAAAACCAAGTTACTTTCTGTGGAAATAAATTTACTCAGTAAAAATGAAATAGGCATTGTACCACAACGATTTTTGTTTTTATTTTTGTTTACTTTGGCAATCTAGTCATCTTTCTTTTATGTTAAGTCATTCTAATCTGCTTTATCATCATTTTTTTGTTTTTTATTATGGGATGTTTCTTTGAAGGATTAATAAAATAATGTTTAGTTTTCCATAAAATCTAAGTATAATTATATAAAAGTACAGATTTTAATAATTAACAATATTTTAACTTATATGAACACCTAAAGAGTAAAAATATTAAATATCAAAAAGAAAGCTTAATAAAATAATTTTTTAAAACAAATGGGTTATTTTAGTTTCTTAATATTTTAAAGAACATTTATTTTAATTTTATTTAAAAAGACAGTCATAAATAACATCAATAGTAATTTTTAATTTATTCTCTATAAGTCAATTAAAATCAATTAAATAAAGATCGTGATAATTAATTTTACAGATTATGTAATAATAAAATTAAATGATTTTAGAAATTAATCTTAATTTGTTAAATAAAAAATTATTGTTTAAATTAAATTAAACTCTTTTCTTACATAAACATTTTTAGGAATTCAACTAAAGCTAATAAAACTTCTATTAAAACAAAATTCACCTATAGGAGAAGGCAAGAACAAAAGAACCATTCTAAATAAAAATATAAAAAAACAATAATTTGGTATCGATTTCCAGATCCAACTTTTACAAGTGCTTGATCAATGTGAGCCGTGTGTTGATAAACTACTTTGCTAATTTATATTTAATTTTTCAAAAATATTTAATACATCATACTATCATTTAACTTTTAAAATTTTAAAATTTTATGTAAATTTTAGAATAGTTGTAAATATTTTTTGAAAGAATAACATAATAAAAAAAAATTTGAAAAAGGTTTTTAAAATGAATAATAGAAAATATTTAGCTTGTTTTTTTGCAATGAAGTCTAAGTTTTTTTCAAAAATGTAAGAGTCCTTTTTTTGAAGGATTATAAGTGATATTACAACAGCCCTTAATTAATATACCAAATTTCTCTTTTATTTTCGTTATATATTCTTACAATTATAAACAATATAATTATAAAAAGTTGAGGGTAATTTAATTCTAAGATATGCTTAAGTAATTTTTATTACACTTTCAAATTTATAAATTCTAAATAGAAAATTACTTAAAAACTAACAAAATTATGTTAATTTAGGTTCTGTATTGGATTTATCTATGATGCTGAAATATATTTTGTTTGGGATATATTAGCAAGAAATCTAAAGTTAAAATTTGAAAGTTAAAATATTATCTTCTTCCATATTAATCTACTAATTTTATGTAAAAAATCTTTAAAGATACATTTTTTATATTTTAAAGTAAAAAAAAAGTAAATTAAAAAAAATAAAAATAAGGAACTTAAAAAAATATTAACAAACTTTTAAATTAGTTACTCATACCTTTTAAGTAAGCAATCTTTTTTAGTCAGTAAATTGAATCCGAATTTGAGTTTTTTCTAAATTATGAATAATAGCAAAGATATTTACATAAAACTATAAAATTAAAAAAAGCTTAATTCTTTAAAATTTAAATAAGAAACATAAATAAAAGATTTAGTAAATTAAATATCTGGCTTTAAGTGTGTAAAATGACTGAATTAAAAAATAAAGAAGAAGATAGTAAAGTTAATAATGAAAATTTTAATTAAACAAAAATAATACTTTTTCTATTTAAACCTCTCATTCAAAACCAATAATTAAAATAAAAGAAATATTTCAAAAATTATTATTTAAATTCCTAAAATTAATACAAATTTTTATAAATATATTAATTAATATTTTAATTTTTCATAATATTATAATGAATTATTTATTAGGTTAACATATTGATCTTTCATTAAATTAAGTAAATAAATAAATCAATTAATGAATAATAATTTACCCGATTTTTTTTTTAATAACTGTAACTAATATTTTTGAATATTTTTTTTAAAGAAAAAAAAGAATTTTTATAAAAATACTATTTTATAAAGAATTTTACAATTTATTAATTAAATTAAAACTTCAATTTAAATAATTTTTTATTTAAATTTACAAATATGATTTTTAATTGATCAATGAAGTTTTTTTGTAAATCTATGATGTATAATCATACCAAACTGGTTAAAATAAAAAAATCTTAAAATAACTGCTTAATTTATTTAAAAACAATTTAGATTTATTAAATTTATTAACATTTCGTGAGATTACAGTAAAAAACTCAATTTACTTAGATTTTATAATATAAAGTGAGTAAAATGTAGATCAAAAAAATATAATACTTATTCAAAATAATTTACATATAAAATTAAATTTAGTGGAAAGATTTTTTTGTTCACTTTAGAAATAATTTATAAAAATGTAAATTATAGAACAAATAAGTTTTTAGAAATAATAATTTAAATATTGATTTATTTATTTGATAATTGTAAACTGATTTATTTATTTATTCTAAAAAATTGCTTACAAATTTTATTTAAAAATAAAAATATATTTCTCATAAAAAATTAAAAAATATCATTAATACCATATTTAATTTTAATTATGATATTAAATTTGTGGATTAATTATTTAAACCAAATTTACAGGAAATAGTTTTGTCATTTTTTACATACTAAACACTTGAAAGAAAATAATAACTATTACTAATAATTTCTCAAGTATATTTAACTTGTTTTGAGTAAAATAGGCAGATTAATGACTTTTTTTTTTTCTTCTATGATATTAGCCTTTTAACTATTGCTTTATAATGTTGTTTAAAAATTCATTTAACTGTAAAAATTATTTTGATGAAATAGAAAAAAATGCTTCTGGAAAAAAAAATTAAAAGCTGTAAAGTAGAATGTATGACATCAATTCATCGATTTCTAGAAAATTTGAAGAAAATTCGAAGAATGACTAAAAGTAATTTACACTATAGGAAATTTATTCCTTAAAAAGCGAGTTTTTTTTATGATTTAAATATTTTTTATAAAAAATAGAATATTTTATTTGTTAAATCTTTAAAAAATGATTTAATAAAAATAAAATTTGCGCTCAGTTTTTATTGAAACAAATTATATTAATTCTGTTGTATGTACTGTTTGAATTAAAATGTAAAATTTAAAAATACACAAATTTAGTGGAAATAGATAAATATTAATCTAAAAAATAAATAGTAAAGGAGCATAATGTAAATTTAGATTAGGGAAACTTGAGTCTTGATTTAATATTTTTTTGTATTTATTTCATTTTTAAGTTGGTATGTCACTAAATTAAAAGAAACCTTACAGAATGTTTAAGTGAAAAATTTAGTTATATATTTATTATTATTATTTAATAATTAACTTAAAAATATTACAAGTTAAGTTATTTGATAATCGTTAAATTTTCATTGAAATAATCATTTCGACACTATGTTTTTTTACAGATAAAAAATTTTTTTTCTTTATTTTACCCAATAAATTTAACACCAATTTCATTTTATAAAAATCTTATCTTAAAATATTAAGTAAACCCTATAAAATACAAATTTTTTATCGAACGCAAATAATCATTGAAATTTTTAGGAAAATCTTATTATGAAAGAATTAATTATTAAAAACAAAATGGTATGAATTAATGTATTTATTATTATAAATAAAATTAATGTAAACCAATTTTCAAATAGATTTTTATCTTATTAATTGCTAGTATATTAAGCAAATTTTATCTGAATGCTATTAATGAAGATTAAAATATTTATTTTAATGAGTTAAAGAGAATTATGCATTTGAAAAAGAAACTGATAGATAGATAAATAACTATTTTTAAATTATTTGATAATATATTTTTTTTTTGAATTTTAAATTTAGAATAGACATTAATTTAAAAATGGTTGACCGAGATAATGCTGTTTTGTATAAAAAATTTAAATTTAAAAAATATTATAACCAAATGAAAAAGATGTAATTAAATTATTAGTTTTAAATAAATACTTGTTAATTTCTGAATTTGATCGAGTTGTAATTTAATTTTACTTTAGAAATATTATAATCGCTAATTTAAAACTGAATTAACAAAAGTTACTCAAAATTTCTATTAGATTTACGCATTTTAAATAAAACATAAGCGATCTATAAAATAGTACTAAATTCATTTTTTTAATTAAAAATTAAGATACCAGAATTTTTTAGTAAATTAAATAAGATTACTTAATTTTATTTATTGTTATTGTATTTACAAAGAAATGAAAAATATAGTTTTTAATATGTAAATAAATACAAAGATAATATCAAGATAATCGTAAATCTAATCTGAAAAGGCTCCAGATTATTTTAAATTAATTTTGCTTCAAGTAAAAATTTGAACTGTCTATTTTGTTTTTGCTATCCTAGCGTATAAAATGACTTGTCAATTTAACCTGAATTTATTTTCAATTCAACCTAAATCTTTTTCCTTCCAACCAAATTAATTTCTGTCTTCTAATTTAAATTTATTTTTATTGTTGCCAATTTTTTCTCGCTTATCATGTTTTGTCAAAATTCTTTAAGTAAATAAAAATTTATTAAATTTATTCTTTAAAATTCTGAGAGTAATTTACTTTTTTTATTTTGAATTTGCTTATTAATAATGTAATGACCATATGATAGATAATGAATTCTGCTTTAAATTAGAAGTGACTTACAAACTAAATATTATAAATTTAGAAATGTATCTATTTTTTAATGAAATAGAAAAAAGATTAATGCGAGAAATTTTTTTTTTTTAGGTTGTAAACAAAGTAAGATGTTTTGCATAAGAAATACACAAATATATATAGACATTTATATAATAAATTTGAATAAGTTAAGTGATAGTAAAATTATTTTAGTAATGAAATTTAAAAGAGCAGTTAATTAAGCTCATTGCATATAAACTTTAAGCTTTTTGTGTTAAATAAATTTTTTAGTTAGTTAGTATCCGAAATATTTTAGTATTCAAGTTTTAATTTGAAAACGTGTATGATTGACTGGCTGTCTATGCGAAAGCCGTCTGTCGATTGATTAATTAATTCACTATTTAATGAGACGGTATTTGCAAGTCTTTGAAGGATATAGGTCTTATTCTCTTTTTTATTTCTTTTAGTTTTTTTGTTTGCTGATGTATTTGAATTTATAGAGGAATTTTTTAACTTGTTTGGAGAATTAGTCATTTCTCTTACAATTTTAGATATCCTTCATGATTTATTATTCTTTAGTGATAGATTTGACTGAGGATTATTATTATTCTTCTTCTTATTCAGCTTATTAAAGCTTTTCTTTTTATTGCTTATCCTTTCTTTGTTATTGTATGAATGCAATAGTTTCTTAAGGAACAAATAAGTGATGCTTAATTACGCAGCCCTATAAATCGCCATTAAGTCCTCTTACATGAAATACTTAAAAGAACACTTAAGCAGTAAATTAGAAAGCATCTACAGTTTCAAAAGCAAATAGCTCTTCGCAGGTAACTTGACCAGACGAAAAGCTTTCCATGTTGGAAAAGATGTATTCTTAGATTTACTTTTTCTTTAAAGTGTTAGCTTCATTCTTAAAGCTAGCAAAACTGTCCTATAATTATTATGAAGAATAAATATTTTGGATATCACCCAGTTTATCAGATAAGAGTTAAAGCAAATCTTAGCTTATGAAAGATCCTGAAAGAAAGGCAATCTTTTAAGAAGATCCAGATTCTCTAAAAATGAAAAAATCTGAAGAGATTAACTAATTTTGATAATCAAGCTACTCATTAAAATTAACTGGCTATGATTAATCCAAATGATGATTTAAAGAGAGCTCGGTCATGTTAACTTAAGAGCTATCGTTTGATGAGTTTAAAAATTCTTCTTATTCAGTTGCTGAATTTTCGAGATTTTTTACTGATTGAGCATCTGAGTTGTGAACTGAAGGCTCAATAGTTTCAATCTGGGAATCGCTGCAAGCTTATTTTTGGGAGGATTTTTTTTCGATTAAGTATTACTCATTAATATTATATTGAACTTCAATGTAGTTTTTTAATTTATTCCAAGAAATTGAGGAGACTTTTCTTTCATTTTAGAGGACTTATTAGTCAACTAAAATGCCCTTAGATGAAAACATCTTACTCTCTTGTTTCCAACTGGAAAAGTTGTGATTTAATTGCATGTTGGGATAATAAAATTCACGGTTAAATAACTTGTAATCATTTTCACATTCCATGGCTTCCTATTAATTGTAAAAGAAGCAGCAGTCTTCATTATTGAGGTATTCAATTTAATTATTTTTTTCATTAAATGACTCTTCCTTCTTGAAGGGTAGACCATTATTAGTCTCATTAAAGAAGTCACCCCATTGTTATTCCTTAGTTTTATTAAGGTTATTTTTAGGTTCTTAGGTAAAGAAATTAAAGAAATCAGCGCTTTCGTCATCTTGATGGTTGTTCATAGCAATATCTGCAGAAACATCTTCAAATTTCATTTAAAACATTTAAAGAGAAACTATTTATAGCGATAATGTATTGTGTTTATAATTAGGTAGATCTCTTTTGCTTGGAGATTTTAAGAGTAGCTTTGTGAAATTTATGTTTTGTTTTATCTTTATTTAACAAACAAATATTTGTTGTCTTTATTTTTAATTCTTTTTGAAATTATTTAATTATGATTTTTATTGGAATCTTTTGCATTTGTATCAAAAATAAATTAAAAAAAAAAATTAAATGAACGAACCATACCTTTGAAATAATATAAACTAAAAATTATGAATCATAAAGTATTATTTAATTCTGATAATCTATAATTGTTATGTCCCAAAAGAGATTCACAAACATAATTTAATAATAATTGATTTACACTTCTTCGAATACTAAATTACTTGCTTTTCCGCTCGAATTGTTTGTTATTAGGTTAAAATGATATAATTTTTATTGTCAATTTTTTTGCTTGTCACATGATAGAAATCAATAGAACGTGACTCCGACTGCTTATATTTTTTAAATAGGTCATTTCTTTTTTTCACAAAGTCCAGCCTCTTTTTTTTTTCAAAAATGTAGATTAAATGTCTCTAATAAGCATTTAAAGTAGATTTATTGAGATTTTAAAGTATTTTGATCTGATTATAACTCCTAGCAGGAAAAATCGAAAAATTCTAGATTTAAAATAAAGAAAATTAGGGAGAAATTACATTAATTTTTTGATTTATTATTCAATGTTTATCATTTGATTTATTCTGGAATAAATGCAATTGTTAATTAAAAAGGGGTGATTCCTTTTATATTAATTTAAGAATTTTCTATATATTTTGATTATTCTTTTTTCAAAGAAAAGTGCCGTAAGGAATTAGTTTGATACAATAAATTTATGTAAACATTTTTAATATCAATTATAAAATCTGATAAAATTTAATTAAATAAAAATTGTAAGTATAATCTTCATTAATCTCTTTGAGCTGGAAATTACATTAAAATTTTTGAACGATATGCAAAATTTACAATAAGCCAATACCGATTTCATTTAGCATTTCTTAATTTTTAATTTATAGAAAATATCTTGCAAACAAAATTAATTACTCAACCAATACATTTTTAGCTTGTCAATAAGTTTGTTTTTGCTTAATCATTCAATTTTTTAAAAGAATTACTTGAATCTAATTTTACTATTTATTTAAATAGAAAGCCTATCAAATATTTGCATTATTTAATTCATTTTACTATCTATTTCTTTATGCAAATTGATTAATAAAAAATATTAAAATATCCAGTGTAAATTATTTTAAGTTAATTGTTAAGTTAGAACATAATTTAAACAATAGCGATTATCTGTTAGTAAATTTATTTGCTTATTACTAATCTCTTAATTTTTATCCAGCAAATAATTTAAAGTGCCTTTACTAATTTTTCTATTTTTAAAATATATTGCGTGATAATGATGACTATTGTCAGTAGTTACTTTTAAGCCTAAGATATGGTAGTATTAAAATCCCTAACTTTAATGATTTATTTTGAGTGAAAACCTCACTACAAATGTAAAATTGTAATAGATATATTTATTTAATTAAAAATGTGCAAATTAATAAGCTTTATTATAATATTTTTACAATCTCTTAGCTATTTAATAAGCGTTCTTAAAATTGTTTATTTTAATCAATAAGAAAGTAAATAAAAATTGAACTTTGCAAAATATAATAAAAATATGTAATTACGAAATGTAATGAATTTAATTTCATCTATTGTCTGATACTTAAATAATTTAATGCTACAAACAGACAAACAAACAAATAAACAAACAAAAACAAATTAATTTAATTCCAGTATTTAAGGAATGAATTATAAGTAATTCAAATTAAAAATACATATATAAAAAATTATTCGTATCTAAATTTATTTAAAAGTCAGGTTAAAAAAATTTTCAATATACTTCAATATCCTAAAAATATCATTTTTTAATATCTTATTATTGAAATTTTTTTTAAAAATAATTTATAGTTTTGAATATTATTTCCTTTAATTTAGTTTAATTCAAAAATTGATTTCTTTATTAAATTTAGTAATCAGTTTTTAAGCTAGTTGTAATCGATTAAAAACAAAAATATAGACAGTAAATAAGTGAAATTTTAACGTTTTAATAAATTATAAGGCTGAAAATTGATATTTAGTTTGATTTTCGTTTAAGAGTAGAAGAAGTAGAAGAAAAAATATATTTTAACAATTTATGTAGGTTTCAATAAAATCCTATATTTATCTCTTGCTTAATATTTTTTTTAACAATATGGAAATATTTCTAAAGGCTTGACAAGCAAATTAATCAAATACTTGTAAAACTAAAAATCTATATTTAAATGTTGAAAAGATAATATTTGATATACTTTTATTTTTAAGGTATGATCAATTCGAAGCAGATACATCTATTCCAATCTTATCAATTAATATTAAATGTCAATTTTCTTTTTTTTGTGGCTAATTTTTTGTAACCTTGATGAGTAATAAAAACACAATAGATTATGCATTAGAAATAGGTATATTACCATTTACCAAAAATTAATATCCAGTATTTTATATTTTTGATTTTTACCTGTGCTCAAAGCAAATAATCAATTTTGACAGAGATTTCAGTTTTTTTATCAGTAGATTAGCAAATCAAAATTATAATAAAATACTTAACTATATTTTTTCAATTACAAGCTTGATTAATTCTTATTATTTTATAATTTATTTAAATTTTTTTAGTAACTTTTGTATGTAAATTCAAAGTTTTTAATTTTATATTAAATTTAACTTTTACCACAATAAATATCAAATTTAAATATTATTGGGAATTTACTATGAATTTTCATTTTAGTGTTTTAACAAATCCTAATATTTAAACAACTATTAAAAATGAACGATTTTTAATCTATAAAAAACTACCTTATTCAAGTTATTTAATTCTAAAATTTTGCAAAATAGATTACAAATTATTTTTTATGTTTAGTTTTCTTTGTATAAGCAATAAAAATATTAAACAATAAAATTTAAGCTTATTACAGTATGACAAAAAGCAAAAAAATTAAATTTTAAATACTTCTAAAAAAATTTATAAACTATTTAAGTAACTTAGGTGTCGGTAAATTTATTTAATTTTTATAAAAATTTTATGAATTTATATTTTAACAGAGTTACGTAAATGAGAGGACGGTGATGTTGTAAATAAATTATAAAACCCAATCTTAATAATTTTAATAATAAAACTCATTCCTAAAAAAGTTAGTAACTAAATTAAGTTACAAAGTCAATAAATTTGATTTAATCATTATGGAAAAATCTTAGAAATTTATTTCCATAGCTGGCATAATTATTGAGTAAGATATTACTGAAAATTAATTTTATATGACAATCTTATTAATTAAAACTATTCATATTATTTTAAAACTATGTAAGCCAAATTAATCATAATTTGTAAACTTCTCATTCAAAATTCTAAGAAATAGTTAAATTAAATTTACCCTCTTCCTTTAATTTATTAAAATGTTTAATTTTATATTTATTTATTCGTTTTTAAATATTTAAAATATTAATAGCTGCTATTTTAATATTATTCAGGTTAATTAAAGTATGATATTTAATTCCTTAATTGAATCATACTTAGTTATTGTAGATTTATAAAATAATAAAAATTCATCAAATTTATTTTATTCATTAGTATGTAATAATTATTAAAAAGTTTTAATAAACTTCTTCAATTACTGATTTAAAAAAATTAACTTATTTAAGTAATTAAAACTATTCGTTTTCTTTAAAAAAATATGTAAATAACTTAATTAGGGATTAGTAAGTTAATTTTTAAATTAAAAAATGCGTTAACCCTTAAATGATACTAATTTTTTTTCCTTTAATGGAAGAAAATATGTTATGTCTGATTTAATTTTTACAAATGATTTAAACATTTCATAAAATATTTAATTTCTCATATTTACTTTATACTAACCTAGGTGTACTCTATATTTTTAAGTAAAATAAAAATTGAATAATTGATAAAAAATTGATTTTAGTGAATTAAAAATGTCTTAATTCTTTTTTAAAATTAAAATAAGTATTATTATGAGATTATTTAAATTAAAGAGTTTATGAATAATCAAGTATTAATCAAATAGTTTTTATTATTTTATATCTTTGAATATACCATGTTTATCATCATAAATGCTAATTATTTCTAAGAAATATTAATTATTTATTTAAAAATTTTCTTCATAAAAAATGCTTTTGCAAATATAAAAAAAAATCTTCCTTAATATATGAGTAATTAAAGTAATATTAAAATTTTATTTAATTTTACATTAGAAGTTGTTTAGAATGTTTAGAATGTGACTTATTATAATAATTCGTTCATTATTTGTTAAGTCTTTCTTAAATATAAAAAAAATAAAAATTATTTGTATTTTAATAAAATTAAAATATTTTAAATAAATTCAAAAATATAAATATTTTATAGTTGTAATATAGAAATATTTATTGAAATATAATTGATTATAAAAAATTAAATTTGCTAACTATTATTTTTAAAGGATAATAATCAAAAGAATTATTCATTCAGCTTTTAAAAGAAAGGCTATTTATAAAAGTACAAATTAGAAAAAAAACACAAAGTAGGATATTAATTTTGAATTTAGATATATTCTAAATAAGACAAGTAATTACAATAATTTTAAGGATTTTAACAAGCAAACTATAAAAATTTAATTTCATTATAGGCTTTAAATAAAGATAGCAAAATGAATCTTAGAGAAGACATTATCATTGGTTTTCCAGATCCAATTAAAGATAAATTATAAGACGCATCTGATGATTTTCCTTCCTTGCTCGGTGGAGAACCAGTAATATCTATTTTAATATTAAATAGGGAAATTGTAAAATATATTATTTTATTAAGGTATGGTTAAATCAAAATAGTTGTCCTGATAGCGTTCAATGCCCTTTATGCAAAGGTGATATGACATTTTTACTTTAAGTAAGTATTTATTACTCATAATAATTTTGGGTTATAAATTTTTTTATTTTTATCATACAGCTTTATGCACCTTTAGAAATGGAACATGCCTATCATAGAGTACTTTATGTCTTCTTTTGCAGAGTAAAATGATAACTTTTTAAATTTAAAAGAAAATAAAGTTAATTTTAAAATAATTTTACTCAAAAGAATAAAAGCTGCCAAAATAGATAGGAGTCTATTAAATTATTAAGAGCATAATAAAAGCAAAGTGATCAAATTACTAATTATAAAAGCGATAAATTTGCTAAAAATATACTTGAAAAGGCATATATAATTTCAACTGATGTTGTTGAATAAAAAGAAACACAATCATTAGAAAAAGAGTATATGAAGATTGCTAAACCTTTTGAAGTTGATGATAAAGAATACTAATAAAATAATAAAAAGGGAGCTCCCAAAGAAAATTATGATAAAGAAAATTAACTTATCAAGTAATTTGCCTAAATGGCTATGGAGGATCCTGATTTTGGATAAAAGTTTGATAAATTAGTAGCAGAAAGTTATGAAGATGATGAAGACGATGATGATGACAGCGATTCCTGTTTTGATAAATTCTGTTTTGTTTTATAAAAATAAGATTATCACATTCTTAGATATTGCAGAGCTAAAGATACTACACCTCTTTGGTATTCTGATAAGAAATAATGGACTTCTCTTCCTAAATGCAAAAATTGTAATAAAAATCTGATATTTGAATTCTAATTAAACTCATCCATACTTAACCATTTCCCATCTATGATAGAATATGATTGGGGAGTTATTGCATTCTACACGTAATTTGTTGTTTAAAAAAAAATATTTAATTCAACATTAATTTGGATTTACTTCTACTTTAAATTATTTTGTCTTTGTTTAAGCCTCAACTAAAAACAATTTAATTTTTATAAAGATGTGAAAACAGCTGCAAATCAAAAGAATCTATATTATAAGAGCATACTGAAATTTAAGTTGTTCTTGAAAAGGAGTAAGTTGAGGAAAATTTCAGAAAACACATGAAAATGGTTAATGAAACAAATGCTGAAGAAGACAATGAAGATGATGATGATGAAGATGAGGATTAACAAGAAGAAGTAAAAAATGAAGAATAATAAAAAGGAGAATAAAATTAAGATTAAAAGGAATAAGAAAAGAAGTAAGACTAGGAATAAGAAATTCCTTGCCAAAACAATTCTTAAACAACTGCAGAGAGTGAAATAGAAAAACCTAAATAAAAGAAAAACAAAAAGAAAAAAGCTAAATAAGAAAAGCAAGAATAAGAAGCTGAAAAGCAAGAATCAGATGGAGGAGAAGATTGGTGAAAATAAATTAATTTTAAAAACACTAAATTAATTACATATTAAAAATTTAATTTATATATTTTTTGGTTAAAACTTTTAATTAAAATTAAATTTCTTCAATCTTAATTTAACACTTCGAAAAAAATTTAACTTTCAAAATTTTCAAAATGTTCAATAAATTCTTTAATTATTTTGAATTATCTAAATTAAAAATATATTTTAAGACAATTAAATTGAAAATATAAATATTAGTAAATAGATGTATATATCTGAGCTTTAATCTCTTTTAATTTAATTTAAAAATAAAATAAATATTACTTTCTTTAAGGCATTATTAAAAAATTTTCCAAGAAAGATGTGAATGAATGAATATAATTAATACAAAAACTGAAATGAGAATAAATGTTTACTTAATTTTATTGATAACTATTAAGATTTTGGATCTTTTTTTAAAATAAATTTTTAATTTACTCTTAATTAAACAACAAATAGTTATGTAAAAATATTGATATGAATATAAAAAAGAAATAAATAACTTTAATTAGTATTGGTTAGTAACTAATATTCAATAAAATATATATTTAATTAATCTTAAACATAATAATATTTGTATTAATATGAGATTCTATCTTTTTATATTATTTTTCAAGATTTAAAAAATAGGTGGAGTGACTTATGATGAAATAACATATTTCTCTTTTTTATAAAAAATTTAAATTTGAACAAAATATTCTTCTATTTCATATGATAATTATTTAAATATTTAAACGATAAAACTTAAATTTAAAAATAAGTCATTCTTTTGATAATTGTTATAAATAAACAACTTAAGTAGAAATTTTTCACTATTGTTTCTTTTTCGTTCATCACAAATTAAAATTACTGTAAAATGTTCTATTTATATTCAGCAATAATCAAATTATTTAATATAATACAAAAATATTTTTTTTTATAAAAATAAAAAAATAAAGTTAATTTAAATATTTAGCAAGATCCGTGATTTTACAATATATTAACATGTATAATAATGTAATTTTCTTTGAAAGATAAAACTTTTAATTTAAAATAAATGCTAAATTTTAAAAGTTAGTTAAATAAATAAATAAATTTAATAGTTAATTTATTATTTTTATAACTATTTTATTTTAAGTTTATCATTTGTAATATTGTTAAGCTTAATAACCTTACTGGTATTATTAACCTTGATACATATTTTGTTAATATTATCCAGTTTATACTATAAATGCTGGATTTTAAGGGTTTTATTGATATTAATATTATTATTATTAGAATTAGGGCTATTACTGTTATTATTGTTGTTATTTTGCAAGTCTTCTATTTTTAGAACGGGAATAAAAATAAAAGATAACAGCAGCAATTATTATGCAACCAACTACTGGTATAACTATTTTAGCCCATAGAGGAAAAGAAGTATTATTTGGAGGAGGAGAAGGTAAAAACGGAATGGAATTAGGTTATGTTATAGATTATGCTAATGATATGAATAAATAAGGAGAATATTAAAATGTTGGGAGATATTTCATTATAAATACATCACCTAATATAATTAAATCCTTTTCTTCTGAAACTATGAATGCACATTAATTCTAAGTTGAATCATAAAGGGAATAAAATTCAGGTTCTAAAGTATATATTACTTAGTTATTATTAATATCTGTCATATAAAAAGAAAATGTAGGAAGTCTATACTTGCATGGTCCAAAGAAACCACCATTGTTTGAGTCGTATGTCATTTAGTATTGATCACTCATAATTGATTTCACACTACTGAGAATACTTTTAGGTAAAGCCATGAATGAAGTTCCTGAATCAATTAAAACATTTACAGCAGATGAACTAAGAACTTTATCTCCAAAAGAAACCTTAGATGCAGATATAGTCCATTAATCTTATGCAGTTACTGGTATAGTGTTTATTGTTGCATTAGATGCAAGGTATTATTTATCTAAACTACCTAACATTAATTTGGAGTTAGTAGTTTACTAATTATTACCAGCATTATCTAAATACAAAGAGAATTAATTTGCAGAAATGACTTTATTATTATACAAAATATTCACCCAATTCTAATATTTTCCATTTTAATTGTAAACATCAATTGTACCTAATCCAAAAATACCATCTTCTTATCCACTTACTATGTCTTTGCCAGTAGTTACGTAGAGGAAGTATTAATTATTTATTTTAGTACCATCTGCGAATTAAACAGGTACTTATCCTATTGTTCCACTGATATCAGTTCCATCGCCAAATGCTTATTCATCTGCTGTGCCACTAAGTACACAGCCATCACTAGCTTTACAATTATACCTATTAGGATAATGACCTTCACACCCTGAGCAACTTTAACTTGCGAACCATAAAACATATGAGCCAGTATCTAGCTAGACATTCATTTATGTTTATGATTTACCAACTAAAATAGTTAGCATATATACATTATTATATTAATTAACAACGCTAAGTGATTAAAGAAATCTTGATCCTTCCTATTTTCTTTAAACTTTTGTTATAGGGAAAGATAGCTAAGCAAGGCTTGTTGCTAAAATTAAAGAAGTTATAATGATAAGGAGTTAAGGTTTTATCATTTTTATCAATAGATTTTTTTTAATCAATTTAATTATTTAATTAATTATGATTTATGTATCTTCAATCGTTCTACACTTGATATTTAAAACTGAAAAGCAATTGCTTCTAAAATTAAATGAGAATGAATTCAGGCTATTCAATTACTTAAAAATAATCTTTAAAGTATATATCAAAAAAATGTATGATTATATTTGATTTAGGATAATCGCACATATCTGAAAAATATCTTAAATTCATAGCTGAGAGTTTTTTAAAGTTGAAAGGAGTTTTTTCAAATTTTTACTGAAAATTTTATCAAGTACTGAATATTATTTGAAAAAGTGAGAAAAAATTGTAATTTTTCTCAGTTGTGATAATTAGCACAATTCAATCAGTAGAACCAAATAAATTTCACTTGAATGAAAATTGTGTTTTGATTGTTAATTAATGGCTAAATTAAATTTACACTAAATTTATATATTCACTTCGAATTATCTTTAATAATACATATAAATCACTAGTAATAAATTAATTATCTATCTAATTTCATGATTTATTTATAAATTTGTTTTTTAAAGATACTCTAATAAAAAAATTTATATTTTTGATTAAAAATTCAGGCTGAAAATTTCAAAAGACCTTTAAAATCTGAGAGAAGCATTTTTGAAATTTAAATAAGTTTTAATTTTATATTTTTTAAGCAATAATCTTACCTATTGATTAAATACTAATAGAAAGTATAAATTTAATACTTAATTAATAAAATACTTTGTAGTCAATTTCAAAATTCTTATTTATCAATTCAAGCAAGAGTGAGTAAATACTTTTCTCAAATTAAAGTAAAATATTCATTTCAAAATAAAATAAAAGGAAGGATCATATCATTTATTCACAATTTTATTTAGTAATAGTCAGATAAAAACAAACAAATCAATATAAAATAAATTTAAAAATATAATTTGAATAGATTGATTAATTATTGATTTATAAGTTTTAAAAAATATTTATATTAGAAGTTTATAAAGCATTTAAACTCTTTAAAATTGGTTCATTAATTCCTGTTTCTGAATTTCTATATTGAATTTAGAGATGAATTAAAAAATTACTTATATAAATTATAAGTTAATAATTTAATTATTTAATTAGCTTTAATGAACTAAATATGTATGAAATAGAACAAAAATCATTAAAATCTACAAAAATTAGTTATTATTAAATCATCAATCATATAAATTTCAAATATATTTATTACTTTATACTAGGGGAATAGATTCTAAAATTTTTTGAGATTTTTGTTTCGATTTTTAAGAAAAACTTAGATATATGTTTAATTTAAGAGTTAATTTTCTTGAATCCCACCAAAATTTGATACTAATCATTTCTTAGTATAGTTAGAGTTACAAATGATTTTTAAGAATATTTTAATTTTTAATTTTTTCTGAGAAATTAAAATAGTTCAAGTGTAAACAAAAATAAGATGAATGATATTAATAAACTGACTACTTAAAAAATGATAATTGATAAATATTAAATAAAGTTGTTATCTTAATTTTGGAATAAAACATATAAATATATATATATATAATTGATAGATTAAAATATAATAATTATATTTTTCTATTCATAAAAATATTATTTAAATTTATCACACAATAATTTTTTTAAAAACAAATCATTACTTTTAACTAAAATTAAAATTTTTCATTTATTAATGACTAATTTATTATTTTAATTCATATCTTACAATAGTTTGAGTAACTATCAAACTAGTTATTTACAAAAATCAGTTAATTCTTAGCAACTTAGATTTAAAATTAACAGATTTTTCAACAGTTATTAAGATTATAAAATTATTCTTCTTCAAGTTTAAGTGGATAAATGTTATTCTTACAAAGTTTACTAACAGATAGAAGATATTCACCAATTTAAGCAAAATTTTTTTGATTAGTAATGAGGTTTTTTTTAGTTTTCATAATTAAACCTGTTTTTAAGTTTTATTATTTTTACTTTTGAAAGAAAACATACAATTAATTTCAATTAAATCACATTAAATTGTATATTAATTATGTTTTTGTTATTAAATTAGAAAATATTTAATATAACACTATTAATTTATAATTATTTATTTTTATACAATAAAAATTATTTAAATTTATCATGCGATAAAATAGATCATCATCTTTAATTCAAAAAAAAAACTTTACATTTAATACTAGACTTATTTATTATTTTACTAGAATCTTTCACTATCTTGAGTAACTATTAACTTAGAATTAAAAAAACCATCCATAATTCTTAGTAACTCAGAATTAAAAAACATATTAAACATTATTAGATTAAAAAGCAAAATTCTTATTTTATTATTAAATGAGAAATCTATTTTATAACTTTAATTTAGCAAAATCAAATTTATTTTTGTTTTAGATAAGCTTATAAAATTTAAAAATAACCATAGAAAAAGATAGCAGAAATTCTTCATTTTTTATTTTCAGGATGTGTTAAATATAACTGAAAATAACTTAAATTTTTATCAAAATTAATTAATAATTTTTGAGATAAATTATTAAAATTATTTATTTAAAAAAATTATTATTTAAATTTTTAGAAATTATGTTGTTTGAAAGTCTTTTAAAACAATTAATAAAAATTTTAAAAAGATCTAAAAGGGATATTTTAAAAAAATTATAAAATGATAACAGTTTGTTTTAAAAATACTTTTTTTAATTATCAAAACTTAAAAATATTTTAGCTAATAATCCAATTAATTTTTAATACTTATTAATTTTATAAAAATTTTAATATTATTTTTTAATTATGATTTTAATTATTAGTAAAAAATGATAATTTTTATGATGAATATTAACTTAATTTAAAATCAATTATTATTTGATACATATTATTACAAAATTTAATTTAAATTAAGATTTTATTCGTAAGAAATTAAATAAAATAAAAGAAATTAATTCATAAAATAAATTTAAAATGATATTCTTATAAGTATTTTTTTAAGAATTAATTATTATTTGTTATAGAAATAAAATTAATTTTATTCAAATTTTAATGGTTTAAAAATTATATGCGTAATTTTCTATAGATATTTCAGAATGCAAATATAATTTGACTTTATTTTGCTTTTGTATCGTTAAATTCATAAAAAATGAACAATTTTTCAAAGTTAGTATTTGTATCTAATTCTGCATGAAATAGCTTTATAGATGATAAAGAACTAATTGAAATAATTTATTAACTTAATAAGATCTTAATCAAATAAATTAAAGAGATTTCTTAACTATCAACAGATACTTTAATTTGTTTCATTATTATTTAAAATAATTAAAGGTAATAAGAGAGTCATTTTTTTTGTGAAACTATAACTAAATAGCAATTAGCAAGTAATATTAGTATAAAGAAGGTAAAGGAGATAGACTTTTAAACGAAGTATTTATAATGTTTGGTACTCCTAGATCCAATTCATAGGTTTTCTTTTTATTTGATGTCAAATTATGTTTTTTAATATTATCACATTTTTATCAGCATCATATTTTATATTTTCTAAGTATTCAATTCAACTTTTTATTAAATATAATGTTAGAGAAGAGAAATAAGCGAAGATAGAGCTAAGCTTGAAGAGTTAAGAGCGAAATGTAAAATACGTGAGGAGACATATAAAATAGAGATCGATAAGCTGAGATAAAAGCTTGATAAAATTAGGCATAAATTCGAATAATAGCATAAATATAGGCAAAATTCTTAGGAAATGCAAAAACTTAAAGAAGAAAACATATTTCTTAAGCAGTAAGTCTAGTATTAAAAAAACTAAATGCAGTAATCTTTTTAGATTAATAGTAATATCTATTAAACTTCTCGTGAAACTTCAGCAACGTAAATTTTTGTTAAAATAATCTACAGTATTAAATCCAAAGCTATAAAATAGCAATCCATATATGTTAAGCTACTTTCAAAATTATAGTCATTCGTAAGATATCAATTATTGTAAATTAATGAATGATTTATTTAGTTCAAAATATTCGTTTTAATATATTTTATATGGTCTTTTTACATTTTTATAAAAAAACTTTTTGAAATAGAAAAAGAGCATAAAGTAGTAGATCAGCTCACGATAAAAATTAAAATTTAAGTGGTCATGCAAATAGCAGTGGATCTAAGCAAAATAACCTAATAAGTGAGAAAAATAATCATCAAAATGGGAATAATTCAAAAAAAATAATTGCTACTGATATTGAATTGGTAAAAATAGCTTAGCATAGATTAATGAAAGAAAATAAGAGTCTTAAAAAGAGAGTAGATATGATGTAAACATAAATGAAAGAGCTGTATGATTTACTATTGGAAGAAAAAATGAATAACACTTAGTCATTCTAAACTAATTAAAATATACATCAAGTCATAAAAGCGCTAAAATAAAGTACAGAAAATATTCAAAAATCTCCTATAGATTAAAAAGATTTTATAAGTTGTGATACTGTCCCTTACGATTAATCTTTGCAGTAATAAACTTAATTAATGGTATCAGCTGCTAGCAATACCAGAGTAAGCGGGGAAAGGAGTATCTCTCCTATTTATTAAAGTAACTAAAACCCTACTTACGGAACTGCTTATTTGGAAGAACAGATGTCTTTATAAGGAAGCAATTTTAAATAAAACGACATTTCATCTGGAACTGCTTAAGGCAAGAGTAATAATTAAAATACATTTATTAAGCAAAATATTTTGAATAGTGAAACTCTTAATCTGAAATCTCCTGAACCTTAGAGAGCTCCTGAATTAATAAATGAATAGCAGTTAAGTAATTTCCAAGACAAAATTGAACAAACAAAAAGCAAATTTATTGATAAAATAAAAAATGTTTTCTAAAAGCATCAAAAATAGAATGAAATTTTCGAATAAAAAAATAAATAAATGAAAGAAATAACTAAATAATTATTCAGCTCAAAAAGTAAAAGTAAAGAAAATAAAAATTAGGAAGAAATAAAATTAAAAACTTAGGAATCTGTTTAGAGTTCAGTAACTTCTTCAATATCCTCAGCCTTTATTGTGGATAACGAATCTAATCCAACAAATAAGTAAGAACATAAAAATGAGTAGAATTATGATTTACAATCAAGCAGCTAATCATAAAACTAGATTTTAGCTGCTGAAGATCACGAAAGTACTGTTGAACTTCAATAAGAGGATGATAATTCATTGTAAAAATAAAATTAATAACATTTTGAGGATTTTTAAGGATATTCACCTGCTATTCAAAAATAAATAAATCTTTTAAACTAGGAAGCAGAGTAGGATAGTGATGAATAATCTAGCGCTGATTTTGATTATAGAAAAAATTTTGTTCCTCACTCAGATGATAACTTCATTAACAGTGAATCAACAAATTATATAACTAAAAAGGAACCAATTAGTTTAACATAAAACTAGGCTTATGCAAGTTAGAATCCAAATTATAGTGGTGGCTATAAACAAATTATAACATAAGGTTCTAAAGGAAATACAAAATCTTTAAAAAACGACTTAAATGTTGTTTCCTTCAATGACACGGGATAAACAAATTTCAAAAAAGACAGTGCTAAAAAGTTAGAAGAGTTTAAATCTTTAAAAGAGTAATTTTCTGCTTTAATAAACACGAATGCAAACATCATCAATAATAGTAGTGTTAATAATAACACTTTAAGCAATTTAAACAATACAACTGGTATGACAGCTATAGCTAACAATTACTTATAATATTCTAGCTACGCATAAGATGGGTCTTTAACTTCTAGAAAATATGATACCTAATTGTAATAACCAAAATATAGTTCTTTAGCTTAGTAATATAATTCCACTCAAAGTACAATTAATCAGAATAAGCCTCAAACCTAAAATAATCTTCATCCTTCGACTCTAAATTCAAACTAAAATAATATTGTCCACTAGTTGGATTTAAAAAAGCTATAAGATAACAGCAATGGTGAGCAATATTTAAAGTAGAAATACTCTTCAAATACTTCGAGAAACAATTAATCAACTCAACGCAATGGAAAGGTTTTGGATTTAGAGTTTATAGGTCACTCTACTTAGATAAGTCCATAAAAAGATGCTTTGACAAGTAGACAAAGAGATGAAATGTACTTAAATTTTCCTTCTTCTACTCATTCTCAAACAGTCAATAACAACATTCTGAAAAAAGAGAATACAAATGTTTCAAATAAAATCCAAGAAAGTAAAGTAGATTATTAAAGTAAAACGTCAAAGCTGACAACTCCTATAAGCTCTACCTAGAATGAAAAGATTACTGATGAATACATTAAATAAATTATTTAACAGTACAAAACCCCAAAAAAGAGTTCTATAAACAATTAATATTCTTAATAAAATTAGAGTTATTAAAACAAATAGAGCTATTAGCAGCAATAATAGTAGCCAATCCCTTAATAAAGCAATATTTCTACTTAGCAATTCATGATACCTTATTAGAAAAAATAGAATTTAAGCAATTAAAATTACAATTAGAGTTATGAAAAAAAAGACCCACTTCAAACAAATCAGTTGGCTAATAATTATTTAAAGCATTAGTAGTAGCCTTAAACTTCTAGACTGTATGAAAAAGATACTTCGTTAAGTAATTAATACATCTACAACCAAAATGCAAATACCTCTCATTTAGGATCTACTGGAGTAGCTTCAAACGTTAACACACAATCATCACCAAATAGATTCTCAAAGATAAACAGTAGTAATAATAATAAAGGAAATATAAATAGCACAAATTTTAACTAAAGCAGCATTCCTCAAAGCACCAATATCATTCCTCCTACATCTTCATATCAAAAAGATTTGAATATTTACAATTGTTATTTTAACAACAATAGCCCCATAAATAAAAAAATAACAAGTGTATAACCTCCAACCTCTACCACAAATAAAGAATAATTCAATCTCAACCATAAGAGGTAATAAAGTTGTGGTGGTGGTGGCGTTTCTGGGGTTAATAAATATAATTTTAAGTTAAATTTAACAAGCTTAGTTACTCCTAAGTCTTCCTAAATGCTTTAATCTGACAGATAAAATTCCGATCGTACAGGATATAATAAACTAATTTCCAAGAACTAAGGCTTGCTAAGTTCTAATATAAGTCCCAAATACTCTCCTCATTCATCTCAAACAACATCTGCTAATAGATTTTATTAAAAATGAAAAAAAGAAAGGTAAATTAGTGAACTAACTAACTAAATTACTTGACTCTTTATTAAAATATTTTATCTATTTAATTAAATACGAGATGCGTTATTTAAAAATTTAGATTTTCACATAAACATTTTTTAATTAAAATGAAAAATTTTGAATAAATAAATTTTTTTTATTAAGCAATAAAAGTTAGTATTTATTTACAAATTATTTGTGTTTAGAAATCTTTGTATATATTTTAAAACATTATTTTTGGTAAACTGTAGTAAGAAATTAATTAAAAATTTTATACTTTTTAAAAAGAAAATTCATTATTTGTAAAATAATATTTTTTTAAATTATTTTTTAGAATGAAAAAAATCAATACATTTTTTATATAAAAGATAAAAATTAATATTTATTTATTCTAAGTGTTTAGAATTTTGTTTTTATTTTATATGACAAATTATTAAATGAAATAAACAAACTCTAAAATATTATTTTTGGAAAATGTAGAAATGTGTTAACAAAAAACACACTTTTTAAAAGGAAAATTAATTATTTTCAAGATAATAGTTTAAATTTTTAGATAGATTTTGATAAATATATTTTGTATGAAAGCAATAAATGGTAATAACAATTTATTAGCTAAGCTGAGAATTTTGAATACATTTTATTATAAAACAATTTATAAATATACAGGCAAAAAAAACTATTTTGATAAATTGTAGAAATAAATTATTAAATTTTACACTTTTTAAAAGGAAAATTAATAATTTACAATATTAATAGTTAAATTTGTTAGAATTATATTTATAAATATCCTTTTTATTTTAATAGCATAAGTTAATATAAATATTTGCTATGAGTTAAGAGTATATTTTATAAGATCAATTATTTTTTAAAATAAACAACCAATAAAAAAATATTTTTAGTGAAATGTAAATACTTGAAATTAATTTCAAACAAAATATATTTTTTAAATGGAAAAATAAATAATTAATTGCAAAATAATAGTTTAATTAATTTAATAATTTTGTTATATGGACATTTAATTTGAGTCTCATAAAACAATTAAATATTTATGTTTTTAAAATTTACTAAGTTAATTTCAATTGGTTAAAATAAATTATTACAATAAGCAGAAATACATTAAATTAAACAAAGTATAAAAATTTCCTTAGCAAAATGGATTCAAAAAATTAATACGAAGAAGTTGATAGAAGATTTAAGGAAGGCTTGACTATTATAGTCTTGAATTGGCCTGTTATTAAATTGATAGTATAGAATGGATGGGTTGGTTAAAATGAAGAAAGAATTAGAGATGACCCTGAAGCTAAGTAATTAAATTTGGACTCTGAATTCAAATCTGAGTCTTAAGTTGTTCAAGATTTTATTGAGGATTTATTCTAATACATAATAAGTAATTAAATTTAACATAATTAGTTTAAAAATAATAAAAATTTCTTTATTTAGAATATGATTGTAAGCCTGAAGATTTAGAAGATTGGTTACTTAAGGAAATCGAATACAGATTTTATACATTAATTGAAGATAATTCTGAAAAAGAAGTAATTGGATTTAAATAAAAATGTATATATATTTTTTACAATAACAAATTTTAAAGATGACAAAAGCTATTCTCTCCTTATTTAATGAATTGGAAGATGGAAAATACACATTATATGAAGAGGTTAAAAAAATGGGAGCTTTGATGAAGAATGTTAAAGTAAATGGTTAATGTGGCAACAAGGATGATGATGACAGTGATGAAGAAGGAGAAGATTGGGAAGATTCAAGTGTTATTGGACCAAATGATAAAGTAGAAGAAGAGCTCACTGAAGAGGAATTATAAAAAATTGCTGAAGAAAAGGCAGAAGAAGAAAAAAAGAAACAAATTATGGAAGAAGATGGATTCTCAGTTGTAAGCAGCAAAAAGAAAAAGTGAAAGATATAATTATAATAATTCATTGCACTTTTAATATCTTAAATCTTTAACTATTTAGAATAATTGCAAACTAATTTATTAATAATAATATAATATCACAAATTATAAAACTATGTAAAAATTCAAAATATGTCTTATATTTTATCTAATGTAAATAAATATTCTATTCTTGCCTAAATAATTAATTAATTAATAATAAGTCTCTTTTAATCAATACAACAAAATTTTTAAAATTATTTTTTATTTAATATATTTCAAATTTCAAAGCTATTTAATTTGCATTTTCCCAGCTTGTTTAGCTTTAGGAAAAATAATTGAAAGAATTTTAAACAAAATAAATAAATACATCAGAAGACAAACAGATAGAAAATATGAAAAAATTTAATCTTTTTGATAAAGTAGAATGCAAAATTAAAAACAATTAATTAATAAATGAATGAAAGTGTATATGAAATTAATTAGAAACTCCTACTATTTGCTCAAAATGTCATAAATTTGTTAAGTTAAAATTAAAGAATTAAATGATTGATTTGACCGTATTTTAACAAAAATGATTGTGATTAATTAAAGCTGAGGAGGGTAAATTATTAGCTAAGAGAGGTCTAATTAATAATAGAAAGGAAATAAATTAAACAAAGCTAAGCATAAATCACTAATTGATTATAATTAGTATATTTTATCAATAAAATTATTAAATAAAGAGTGGATCTTATTTCACTAATAAATGCCTCAAAACGAGTATATTGAGCTTCATAAAAAGCGTTTCGGTGAGCGTTTAGATGCTGCCGAAAAGAGAAGAAAGAAAGAGTCCAGAGAACACAAAGTGATCTCCAAGAAGGCTCAAACTTTGAAGGGTCTCAAGGCCAAGCTTTTCAACAAGGAACGTTTCAAAGAGAAGATTAGAATGAAAAAGCTTATTAAGGCTCACGAAGAAAAGGACGTCGAAGTCAAGACCGACTAAGTTAAGGAAGGTGCTGTCCCTACTTATCTTCTCGACAGAGAAAAAACAGATAACTCTAAAGTTCTTTCTAATATGATAAAGCAAAAGAGAAAAGAAAAGGCTGGTAAATGGTAAGTTCCTCTCCAAAAGGTTAAAGCCATGACCGAAGCAGAAATGTTCTAGGTTATGAAATCAGGTAAAAGAAAGAAATTAGCATGGAAGCGTAAAATCAATAAAGTTACTTTTGTCGGAGACAGTTTTACTCGTAAAGCACCTAAGTACGAACGTTACATTCGTCCTACAGGTCTCCGTTTCAAGAAAGCTAATGTTACTCACCCTGAATTAAAAACCACTATTCCCCTTGAAATTCTTGGAGTTAAGAAGAATCCTCAAAGTGCTTTATATACAAATTTAGGTGTTATTACTAAAGGTACTATTTTAGAAGTAAATGTTTCTGAATTAGGTCTTGTTACTCAAACTGGTAAAGTTATTTGGTCTAAGTATGCTCAAGTACTTAACAACCCTGAAAACGATGGTTGCATTAATGCAGTACTCTTGGTTTGAAAAACACAAATTAATAAATCCTTACTTATATTCATTCACTGTACTTTTGGCTAATATAATTAATTTCTCTTTACTATAATCAAAACAAACTATCATCAATTTTAAAATAATTCTATAAAAAAATAATAAATGAAAGTAGGAATTCAATCAATCAATCAATATAGCATTAATAAATGTTAAATTGTCAGCAGATCTTTGTAATTAATTAGGCATTATGACCATTTTTCATTTTTTTAATAATATCAAAAAAATCTAGCTCTCAAAAGTTACAAACTCTGCAATTTTAAATAAATAAATTTACAACAACAATAATAACAACAACAAAATAATAACTTAAATTCTACCAACAAGTGGAAATAGGTTTTAATATTAATTAACATAGTATCTTTGTATAGATTTCTTATTGCATTTTAATTTTCTATTTTATCTTATCTTTTGCTTAATAACTAATTAAATCCTTCAAAAATTATATTTTTGCTTTTTTTTTTATAAATTTATCTGAATAAACATTTAAAAAGGATATTATAGCATACCGAGACTATTAAATAAGCCAATATACATACAATTTGTTCTTAATTTAAAGAATTAACTGATTTATTTATCAGATAAAAAATAAATTAATTTTAAAAACATAAATTTAAAATTAAATGAGTTGATTTATAATTTTTTTGAGAGAACCAAATAAATATATTTAAACAGATTTCCGTAAATGAACAAACAAATATTTATTTAACATTTTTTACAGCACATCAAATGCATTTTACTCTCTCTCTATCCATAAATTGATAATTTTTTATTTAAATTTAAAAATATAAAAATTACATTGTTAATAACTAATCCTTAAAAAATAAATTTAGCATTAAATATTTTGAAAAACTAATTATTAATATTTTTTATTAGAGTGATAAAAATAGAAGTCTATTTATTAATTTACTATAAATAAATATAAATATTTTACAAAATAAGTAAATGATTGAATCAATATTCTACTTCTTATGCAACAATATTCCAATCAAAATCTTCATTTTTATCTAAATTATACTTTTTAACCATTTCACTAAATAGATTTTTTATGTAAATATAATCAGGCTTTTATTCAAATTCAAGTGATGTACAATATTTCATATATTCAAATAACTCTTCAGGAAGCTTAGCACATAGCTATTCTAAATTTAAGTTTTATTTCTTTTCTAATATTTTTTCATATTTTTCTTTCTTTTGCAAAACTTTATAGTCTTGCCATGGTAATCTACCCCTCATTAAATATACCAAAGAATAGCCCAATGAAATTAGATCATCTCTCCTACTCTGCTCAAAATACTTTTATGCATTGATCTAAAATTTATAAAATAAAATAATTAAATCAACTCATTTAAATAATTTTATTTTTAACTTAAAAAAATTATTGCTTTTTGATTAAATTTTTTAATCTTAAATTAAATATTTCTAATTATTTTGATTTAGTTTTTCAGTATTTATTATAATATAATTCTATATTTTTTTATTTAAATCTTGAATTTATTTTTTATAAGAGCTTTTAAAATATTATTCTTTTTGTTTTTAATATATTTTGTAATATTTTTCTCTTTACACTTTTATTATAGTTTTTTTTCTTTTGCTTTTTATTAAATATAAATTTATATTTACTGATGCATAACGTGCAGTTCCAGTGAAAAATTTTCCTTCTTAGAAAGGGATGTGTGAACCGTCTTTTTAAATGAATCTTTTGGAAAAAGCAAAGTCAATAAGATATAAAGTTTTGCTATTTTTTCCCAATCCTATGCAAATATTATCTGGCTTAATATCTCTGTGAATGTAGTAACATTTATGTAAAAACTCTAACCTTTCAATAAGCTACAATCCAATTAGGGCTACAGATTTTGCTGAAAATTTTCTTCCGCAAATATTAAATAAATCTTCTAATGAAGGACCTAATAATTCAGTTACCATGACATTATAAGGCTCTTCTGTTGAGCAATAATAAACTTTTGGGTATCCTATGCAATTTTTGTGATTATTTAAAAATTATAATATTTTAGCTTCATAGCAAAGTAGTTTTTATTTTGAATCAGTTTTTTCTAATTTAATTGCAACATTTGTATCTGTATCTAAATCTTTTGCGTGATATATCTCTCCGAAGGAGCCTGCATCGATTTTTTCTATAAATCTAAAAGTTTTTCCTAAACTATTCTTTTTTTCTATTACTGGCGGTTGTACTGAAGCAACCGATTCAGAATCTGACTAAAATTCCATATTTATTTTGAAGCTTTCTAATATTTTTAAATATTAAACTATATATTTATATAGTAAATTTTTTATAAGATAGAGTATATGTATTATCAACTCAAATCTAAAAAACAATATGTATAACTTACACTGCTGTAATCATTTATTAATTCATTATTGATTTATAATAAATATGTAATTTTATCATCAAATTAGTTAAAATCCTTAATTAATATAATAGAAAAATATCTATATGTCAATTATTATAAATTAAATTTGCTATTTTGATACTATAATTACTTATTTATTTTTCAATTTTCATTGAATTAACCTTATTATTAAATTTGCTTGTAGAATAATTAGTAAACTTACTTATATTAAATTCAAAGCTCTTTTTTATTTTTAAAACATTTTAGAAAGTAAAGATAAAAACAATTGCAATTTGGCTACTATTATATCTATACAATTGAATTTATTTATTTAAAATAATTTTAAATATAATAGGTAATTCAAAATAAATTTAATTTGTTAAATAATTATTGATTTCTAAACATAAAATCATAAATAAAATTATTTATTTGTTTTTCAAACATTTAAAAACATAATTTTATTAGTTTAAAAATTCAAATTATTAATTTATTTTTAACCATCAAAAAATTATTTAATTTTATTTTAATAAAAATCATATTTTATATGATTACTTCAAATATAATAATTTAAATATTATTTTTTAAATCTCTAAAGAAAGAAATAATATTGACTAAATTTAATTAGTTATAAATAATTTTGATCATTTTATTTTAATTTAATTAACTGAAATAATTTGCTTTTAGTTTTTTTTATTCAAAAAATAAAAAAATGAATTAAATTTTTAGTATTTTTAAGTTTAAAATTCGAATTAATTTCAACTTAATAAATAAGATGGAATTTTACCAAGCTTGCAATAAAAAAAATTAAAGATGCACACAAGTTATATATATGAAAGATAGAAAGATAAATTTCGTGTTATAGTGACGTTCTTTAATATTTATATAATGGTGTATATGAATGATTAAGTTTCTAGTATTAATCAGTTAATTCTTCTTTTTTATTTTACATTCTTGATGAAATTTTAATCGCTATAAAACTTATTATAATATTTAAATGAAATGCTACTCTGCTTTATCAATTATGGACACAACTTTCATAAGTAGGAATCATGTATTTAATATTAATGAAAGCATCCTAGTTATTTATTTATTTTTAAGATTAAATTTTTAATACTACTTATAAATTTAATAAATGTATTATTTACTTCACCACCAGTTTACTCAAATAATTCAAGTGTTTCTTGTATGAGGTCTCCTAGAGTTAATTTTTTTCTTTGACCATAATCTATTTGGTCACCAACATTTTTGTTACAATTTTTATACAAGTTAAAGATAGGCAAGATTTATCTGTAATAAGGAACCTAAACATTAAAACAAATAAATAAATAAATCATTTTTTGTAAATGAAAGTATAATTAATTACAAGTGCTTCACCAATCATGTCTCCACTTACTACTAGTCTCTATAAAATCTTTAGCATAATTCCAATAATTTCATTATCTCTAGTATTTAATGCAGCTATTAATTTTTAGATAAAATTTATTTATTATTTAAATGACAAAAAAAATAAAATCTAAATAAATAAATTTTATATTTTTGATGCATATTTACTACTTACTATTTAAATTATTTTTAACAAAAATAGTTTTAAAAATTGTGTTTAATTGTTTGTTTATTTGTTTTCAGTAGTTATATTTTTTATTTAGATTTTGATTTCGAATCTTTTGTAAGTACTTTTAACAGGAATAATGAGCTGAGGAATAACAGGAAGAATTTTATTGGATCCTTTTTCAAGAAGATCGTATGTTCCTAAAATGGCTAAGAAACGATAAGGATCTAGTTTTTCTCTAAGTCCATCAAAGAATATGGGTAAGTAATGGTGATAATCTAATTGGTCAGGCTAAATGACCCAAATAATTTTATTAACTGAACCCTAATGATCAACTTTAATAGGTAAATCACCTCTGTCGTAATAACGACGGAATTCAGAAACAGGAATAGTTCTCTTTTTAAAAGCACCACAAATAGGGTTGGGGGCTTAAAATGGTTATTTAACAGGTAATTGAGTAGATGTTTTACCTCCAGTTCCTTGTCTCAAACCTTAAAATTTATCTATTGAAATATAAATATTATTTTTATATCGAATTTATAATTAGTGAATTCAAATTATAAATGATATTTGTTTTGCTGATCACATTCTCACGTATCTAAATAAGGTTAACTTTTCTTTTAAACTTGACTTCTAAAATAAAATATAATAGATTGATAAGTATTTAAAGCTTTAATATTATCATTAAAAGTCATTCAACAATTTTTTTAAACTTAAATATCTATCATAATCACTGCTATTGTAACTCCTGTTTTGAATGGATTGCTATTTTATTTGATAGGATTATCAATTAAATTTATAAATTGATCAGATGTAAACTCGCTTTTCTTAACGATTTAAATTAATTTATAATTACTCACAACTGTGGCTGCTTAAGAATCTTCAAATACAGGTGCATGTTATTCACTTTTTAGCTTTGATTTAGGCAAATATTCTTTTGGGAAATCTCCAAAAGGTGAATGTGGATTCTTTGGAGCTTATGGGATTTTCCAAGGCTTATAATTAGAGTTAGTTGATTTTGCTAAAATATTTTTTAGGTGATCTTCTACAATTAACTAGGATGCAACATTTTCTCTCTTTGAAATGGATCCAACTGTGTTTCCTTATTGAGGGATTTTAGGTAGCATTTATTTGTTTTTACAAGAGAACTATTTTATTTTATTTGCAATTGATTTTTTCTCTATTTAATTTAGATGTTATCAATATTCTTATGATTTATGCCACAAGAGCTTGTAAAATTAATGTTGCTCTCTTATTTTCTTCAAAATAGTTATAATTTTTTTTCTTATTACTATTTAAGATCCTTTATTATTGATTCTAAAGAAAACTGAAAAATCAAAGGCATTATATTTTTTATTAATTTTTTTAATAAAATGATCAATAATTTTGCATTCATTCATTTGTTCATAATAAAAACAATATATTGCTAAGTCGTTTAATTTCAATACTTGTTATTATAAATAAAGTTATATATTTAAGTTTGAATGCATAATTTTTGTTGGTTAAAGATTTGAAGATAAATTAATAATGGCTTTATTCATCTTTTATATTTCATTTTTATATTAGCATATTTTTATATTAAATATTATTTTTTATAACTTTTTAAATTAATTATTTTTCTTAAATTTTATTTTAAAATATTTAAATTTTATTTTTTTAATTATTAAAATTACACTGGCTGAAGATTAGAAAGAAATTATAATAAATATTTTAAAATCTTGCTTTTATCAAGTTTACTATGAAATTAAAATAATTTAAATACATCATCACATTTTATTTAAATTAATTTTAGAAATAAAAATTACATTTAAATAATCTAAATAAATAGGTTAAATAAATTCACTATTTTAGATTAGAAAAAATATAATTTTTTTATTAAAAAATTTAATTAAATTTTTTATGTTTAAATAAAAAAAAGGTTTATCTTGATAAATTATTTTACTTAAAATGATAATTTAATCGTTAATTATAAAATTTTTTTATTATTTATTAAAGGCATTTTTGAATATTCAAAAATGAATGAACATTATTATGAGCTTTGGAAATAATTGTTCATTTACTTGCTATTCAGAATATTTTCATTTTTAAAGAATTTAGTATGAGAAATATTTATTTACAATGATTGACAAATATAAAGAAACAAAAATACTAATAAACTAATTAAAATGGCTTTTAAAATGAATGTAAAGATATATATGAATAACACACTTAAAAAAAACATGAAAAAGCTAAGGGATTAAAAGTTAGAGCAAAAAAGACAATAGATAAAATTCATTTAAGGTATGGGATAGATCATAAGGGTTTGAAGCTGGGGAAAATTTAAAGATCTTTGTGCAAAGACCAAATTAAAAAATACAAATAAATTAAAAAAGAAAAGAATAAAATAAATAAAAGACATAATCACTAATATAATAAAAATGGTTAAGAAGGTCACTCAAGATAACATCCAATCCAAGCTCGCTTTGGTCATGAGATCCGGTAAGGCTACCCTTGGTTACAAGTCTACCATCAAGGCTATTAGAAATGGTACCGCTAAGCTCGTTTTCATTTCTAACAACTGCCCCACCGTTAGAAAGTCCGAAATTGAATACTACGCTTCTTTGGCTCAAATCTCCATCCACCACTTCGTTGGTTCCAACGTCGAACTTGGTAAATAAGATATTCATTTTTAAATAATCTTTAAAAGTCAAGCAAGCTTAAATCAGCATATTTAAGAACAAGCAATCAAAAAATTATCAATCTCTCTTCATCAAAAGAAATTCCAATATGATAATTAGATGATTTCATTAAGCAGAAGCTAAGATTACAAAAAATTGCTATTACAAACAGAAAAAAAGCATTTAATGATAAGATGAAATTATTAACACATCTCAATACAGTTTACTTTAAATTGTGAAGGAATAGTTGATTTTATTAAGTAAAAGTTTAACAAGCAAAAATATTCTCACTGGAATACAAGAAGGTGTAGAATTTGCTAGTTTAATTTGTTGCAAAGCGCTGGAATACATGAAGGCGCTAATTCAATATAGTTTTCGCTGGATTCAAGAAGGCGCAAAACTTGAATTACTTACTTTCACTGGAATACATGAAGGTGATAGAAAAAAAGAGTAAGTAAATAAATATTGCAGCAAGAATTACTTATTAAAACATATTTCAAGTGTAAAATAAATCCTAAGTTAGAAAAAAAGAAGGAGAATTAAGATATAAATTTTTTGAAAATTCCTCTTTATGAATAGTATGATAGCTACTTCTTAACAAATAAATGTATTAAATGATATTAAAGCAAGGAAATTAGTTATTCAAATATATTCAAAGATGGATTTTTATTAAGCTTACAAAAAAAATTTTTAGGTTTTGAAAAGTTTTTGGTAAAGGATGAAAGAAAAAAAACAAGGAGTCCTACCATAAATCGATTAATAAATAAGCTAAGTGTTGCAACAATATAAATAGCTGCTAATTTCAAATTTAAGAAATGATTAAAATAATAATAAAAAAAGCTTGATTGATTTTTTATTTGAGCATAGATTATTAAACTTTTCGTAATTGTTATTTAAAATAAAAATAGGTACTGCTTGTGGTAAATATCACAGATGTTCCACCATGGCTATTCTCGATGCTGGTGATTCTGATATCCTCAAGACTGAATGATTTATTTTCCTTTATATAAATTAGTTATATATAATGGAATATAATATTATTAACTTGCATTAACATATACAATATATATAGTTTGTACTATTTAAATATAATTTTTATTGTAAAATAAACCTCTCAATTGTTATTCCATTTCATTAAATCATATTCAACTTCCTCTTCTCACACATGAAAACAATTATTTATTACTTAGACTTATTTTCAAAGTCTTTACAATTTGCAAAGATTACTTATTGATGAGCATTCTTCAGAAAGAAAATTAAAAAAGCAAACTAAATTATTTTAATAAATTTAATGTGAGAGATATAAATTATTATGAGTTAAATAAAAACCATTGATTCAAGCGTATTTAATAAAAGTAGGGATTTTTCTCATTATTTTTAAACTAAAATTTAAATTAAGGTTTTTTTTTTCAATAATTGAAAGAAAATTAAAAGTTATTGCTGCTTTTAACAAGTTTTTTGATAATAAGTGGTTTAGATTAATAATAAACTAGAAAATATTAGTCGAATTTGTAAAGATAGTTTGTAGAAAAATTCTACACAATAGAGTTTATTCTAAAATAAATCTTCTCCTCAGCGTAAATTTATTCTATCTGATAACAAACAGAAAGGATTGATTTAAATATCTCATCTTTGATTTTGGTTGTTTTTTAATTTTATGATGCTCAACTCTGGATAAATTTAAGCTAATTCTAGTTCTACATATCTAAAAAGTGGACAGTTAACTAGAGTAAACTCTAGGTGTATTTCGGAAATAAATATAATTAATATGTCTTAGAAGACTATAGATTCTGTGCTTAAGGAAGAACCACAGCAATTTTAATTGGAATAGGGGAAAAAAGACTTAACAGAAGCTGCAAAGCAGTTTGTAGAGAGACAAAACGCTATTTTTTAGTATAAAAGAAATTAAAGTTTAAATTAGGAAGTCAAACTATCTCATATTTCATCTCCTATTTCAATAGAAAATTAAGATAAAACAAATAGAAGTAACAAATAACTATTAGGTTTTAGCTAACTTGTTGAGAAATAAGATTTTATTAATGGATAATAAAACTGTGTCAGCAAAAGTAGTTAAAGCGATGGCTTTTATAAAAATAGCAAAAACCTTAAAGAAGATTAATTAATAATATAATATTAATAAATTTCAGGTTAAGGAAAGTTCAATAATAATAATCGATGGAATTTAGCTTAACAAAAAAAAATTAATACTCTAAGATAAGGTAGCTATGATTCCTAAGAAAGTAAAGAATCATCACCTAGTAATAACATACATATGAACAGAGTCATTAAGGATAAGGGTAATAATCTTAGTTAAAGTAATAGTTAAAAGTCTATACTACATTCATCGAATTATAAAGGTAGCTAAATGAATTAATAAAATTAAACTGCTAATAGCGTATTAAGATTATAATTTAAAAGATAAAATTAACAAAATTAAGCTTAAAACAGAATCCTAAAAACACCTGATAGACTTTTAAGGAATGACTAATAATCATACTCAAATCATTAATAGTCTACTTTATTATTGAAAAATAATTAACCTGTGTGCTCTTAAAGCTACTCTATTAACTCTAGTAATTAGCAAGTAAATAATTATTAACTAATCAAGAATAGTATTCTAAAGAGATAGCTAAAAAAAGTTAGTAATGAGATGGTAATTTAAACATTTTCTAATCCATCTACTCCAAGCTCCTATTAACATTCGAATCAGAAGTGTACACCTCTTGAAGATAATTAATTTAGAGAACTAATAAAAATTAAAATTGATTAAAAGCTTAGAAATAATGCAAACTGTAATTTATTTTTATTTATTATTTAATAATTTTTAGCCATAATTTTAATAAAGGTAAGAATGAAGCTGAAGAAAATGTAAAGATTTCTGAAGTTTTCAAACACAATGCTGACAATAATAAATATTCTAAAACTCAAAATACAAATTTTACAAACTTATATAATATACAAAACTAGTAGCAAAATAATAAAAATTTAGAAATCTAGTTAAATTAATAAAAATCTTTAGAAAATCTAAGAGGACATTAATAGAATAAAGATTTTTTATAGAAAAACAATTCCTTTCAGATAAAAAAGTAAAATGGAAATAGCTCAACAGAGTTTCTTTATTAAAAAACTTACTCTTCATTTGTAAACAAACAAAATTATTAGCCTAAAAAGATAGATTTTTATAAAAACTAATAAGATGGAAAAGGAAAAAATTAAATAGGAGTAGGTGCCTTAGATATAAATTTTCCATTAAAAGCTTCTATTGATAAAAGCACTTCGAAAGAGAGTAAAAAATAAAATATAATGATAACTCCTTAATAAATTTAATAAATAATGGAATCTGAAAGGAGACAACAGCATATTCAAAGATAAAATATTATTTATGATTTAGTGAAGTAGGTTGAAGAAAACCCTTTGGATCGCCTACAACTACTAAAAGCACAAGAGAGTTAAAAAAATAAAAGGAGAAGTACAAACAAGCAGTCTATTCCTTTCATATATGACATAATAAAATCTAAAAATTAACAAGCCGTTGCAGTTATTTAGGATATTTTAAGGACAAATAATATGATACAATTATCAGAAGAAATAGAATCAGCTATTCAATAGAATGCTTTAGAATAATATGATAAAGAAAAACCTAAGCATCAATTTTAAAAGCACAGTACATTATAATAATTTTATCAGCAAATATAAAATGAAAATCAATTAAACACAATAAAATAAATGAAATTTCAAGATTTTATTAGCGAACATGCTAATAACAATACAAGCTACTATAATGATACTCTATCTTCTAAGAATAAAAATGTATCATAAATTCAGGCAATTAGTGAGAATAAATTTGTCAATTAAATTTCAAAAGACTAAATTTTGTAAAAGAAGAAAGTTAAAATTCTCAGACAACAGCTAAAAGAGGCGTTAAAGTACTTATTTAAGCTTAAGATATCTCCATCTGAAGTAATCAATTTCAATCAATACTTTGATTATACTTTAAAATATTTAATTTAAATAATTTTCGATTGAAAGCTACATTTTCCGTAAAATCAAAAAGCTAAGAAGAAATTCTTAAGAAATGAACTAAAACTTTTTGCTTATGAATTTACTTACACTCTTGAGATTAATTTTAAAAAATAAATATAAATTTTAAATTTTAATTTACTTTGAAAATAAATACATTTGGTTAATATTTTTAAATTAAAAAATATCTATGTATTTAAAAGATAAGTAGCAATTAAGTATTCAGCACGAAACCTTACTAAAAGAAGGGTAGCTATGAGCTCATTTGCTATTCTAAGAAAGGAGACACAGACTTAGTTAGGGATTTAACTATGGAAAATAAATATCTAGTTTATGACTTTGATTATGTAAAATATCTTTTTACTTTTTAATACAAAGCAATGATAGCACTTTTTAAGGGAATCAATTTTATTATTTTTTCAAGACTATTTTATTAATTAGCTGTCTTTCTGTCTATTTTTAAATATGATTATTGAAATTAAATTACTTTCTTCATAAATTAAAATACAGTAAGATAATTTGTTTAAAATAATATATTTGTAATGGTGCTATATAAATTTATAAGCAAAAGATCCTCATATATTTTGTACTTATATCACAAAAAAAAACAAATTTTAAAAGGTATATATGACGGCATTGCATTGGGCATGCAAAAGAGGACATTGTTAAGTAGCTCGTATGCTTATCCAATAAGGTGCAGATGTTGATGCCAAAGACCTTGTAAATAAATTTTTGTATTTTTTTATTTTTTATAAAATGCTCCTTAATTAAAAATATAAATTTATTTATACACTAAGTTATTTCAAAGTTTTGAATGATAATAAGTTAATTCATGCCCATTAAATTTTTTATTAGTGTATCAATGATCAGTAGCCTTGAGCAAATATTTTTATTACATTTTTTTGTTTACTCAAAAAATTAATAATCATTAAAAATAAATTATAATTATAATTCATACAACTCATATATTACATCATATAATAGATAGGCAGAACTCCTCTTTATTTTGCTATCTCTATCCAAGATGCTCCCATAGTTGAGGTATTATTTTTTATTTTTATAAGTTAACTTCGCCTAGCAAATTAGAATTATAACACTTAAATAATAGCAATTAATATGTATGGGATTTAATTTTTACTTTTATTTTTTTATATCAACATTGATTAGCTTCTTCTATCGAATCAAGCAAACCCTTGGTCAACTAAAGAATATAATCTTAATGAAATGGTAAAAGAAAATTCTAAGCTAACAGCACTACTTTCTAGATACAGGAAATTAGATATTGTGGCCAGGATGAAAAAGAAGACTAAATAGGAAGAAACCCAAAAAAACTAATCTTAAAGCGCAGAGGGTGCGGTATGAAGAAGATTCATGATAAGATTAAAAAATTTAGTTAAATAAGGAATTATCCATGAATGAATACTTATCGAGAGATTAATATAATAAATGACATTTATAAAAGGATAATCAATTCCAGCTTTTATAAGATAGATAAAAAAAATAGAATAAAAATAAATATTTATTTATTACCACAATTTTCACATTTCATTAAATAATTCCATAAAAATATGTTTATGCTTTATATAAGAAGTGTAAGTGAACCTACTTATGCGATATTATAAAAATCTTTTTTGCATCCCTTACTAAGGAATGAATTTTAAATGTTATGAAAAAAAAGAATTACATTACTCTGTAAAAGTTATTTATGGATAAATGTTTTTGATTTGAACCATTTAGCGAAAATTTTAAATAATAGACTCTAATTAAATAACCTTTTAGCTTTAATGATTGAGTATCAAAATTAAATTTTCATATTTTTGATTGACAGATTTTTCTTACATCTACTAATTAATTATTTAGTTAACTAATTAATTTTTAAATATTTTTCTAAATTAGTAAAATTTCCTTAATTTGATATGAAATATTAAAGAAATATTCAATTTTATATGTAAAAAAACTCTAGAATTTATTACACAATCCAATCCTTTTAAAAATGATTTACAGAATTTATATATTAAATTGATTGAAAAACAAATAAAAGCTTAAATTTTTTATAATTTAAAAAAATAAATATTAGAAATATAAAATCAAACAACTAATTAAACCTTAGTAACAGACACTCATAAGTCTCAAAAGTAGTATTTCTACGCTTAGAGATTCATAATTGATATACCATATTTATCCTTCTCCATTTATCTATCAATCATCCATCACCCAAACCACACATAGATAAAGATTAACAAAATGGGTTAAATTTCATGCTGCAGTTCTAAAAACGCATAATGTAAATAAAATTTTTTTAGTTTTCAAAATATTAATCTAATAATCTACTTAATAGTTAATAACCTTGTCAAAACTCCCTATGGTGACTCAAAAACACCCTAGCTATCAGAGTGCCACCCTACTAACTTATTTAAAATGAGCGAAGAAGATTTAATGAATGAAGAGTTGATTTGCTCTATATGCCTTGGAGTTGTAAGGAATGCTGTAAAAGACCCTTGTGGACATGTTTATGGTGAATGCTGCATCAAAAACTGGCTCAAAAAGAATCCTAAATGCCCTTATTCATAAAAAAGTCTTACTCAAAACTAGTTAAAAGCTGAAAAAAGTGTTCGTAAAAGGGTAGAACATGAATTAAAAATTAGCTAAAATTAAACTAACAACAGTAATAGGTAGCATCTTTAAACCTAAAAAATAGAAGTTCAAGCAACAAGTTGAAAGAATTATGTATAATATTGAAAGAACAAGTTTTTTTTTAATAAGCACCAAATTATTAATAAAAGTTTTAAATTTATTGCGCAAAATGAATAATATAATTCATAAAAAACAAAATATTTAAATTATTTACTAGCAGAGCTCTAATAAACCTAAAACGTTTTTAAGAGTTGAATTTTTCTCGGTTCTTTCTTGAATACATAATAATTTACTTCTTTCTTTCGTTACTTCTATTTAGAATTTAACAAAAATAAATAAATAAAAATAGCAATTTGCTAAAATCCATTCTGCATTAAGAAAAACACATTCTAATATTAAACTATAATAATAACTACTCACTTTATACTTTACTTCAAAAATATACTAATTATAATAACAATATTATTCAAAAATGCAAAAAATAACTTATTCTTAATCATAAACTGACTAACTAACTATCTCAATTTAATTTAAAAATTGTAAGTTTATTTCATAATGTTTATTATTTATATACAAATTTTAAGAATCAATCAATCAACAACAAATTAATTTTTTGTAGTTTTAATATCTAATTTTTCTCTATACTAAGTCGTGCGTGCAAAATACTTATAAAATCCTTCAAAAATTATAACAAGCAAAGCAAAAAAAAATTAATATTTCGAAAAAGTATATTTTTGAATATAATTAAGTTAATTAAAATCCTATTTGCAAAAATATTAACTAATATATATTATGTAATAATGAGCGAAAATGAGAGTTAGAAAAATTATATTCAATAAATTTTTCAATTTTTTTTTGGTCTTTCTGATCCATACATAAACAACCCTAAGTAACCAAAATGACCTTCTGAAAATATATACTTGACTTAATTTTTAAAAATTTTTATAAAAATAGTCTCCATAATTTTACAAAGGGAACTTGGAAAACACAAAAACAGTTTTGATATTACAATAGAGGACTTTAACTTTTCTGAAACTGAGAATAATTTTCTTAATTATTTCATAAGCCTTTATTATCGCACTTAGAGCTACAGAACTTGTAGTTGTATTTTGAAAAAAATCTTACATAGAAAAGAATGACAAACAAGGTAAATAAAAATCTATTTCAAAAAAATTTAGATTAGAAAGTATATAGATAAATTAATTAATCTTTAATTTAAAAATATAAATAAATTAATCCTACACGATAACAAATAATTAAATAACTATTTATAGCCTTAAATTAAACTATATTATTTTATTTTTTACTCAAATAAAATATGAAAAAATAATTATTATTGACAATTTACAAAAAAAATTTTTTTATGTAATTGAAGTTCAGAATTTATAAAACTATTAAAAAAATTTTATAAGATATTTGATGATTTGAAAAGTCTACTTTTAAATTTTCGCTTATTCGCTTAGTTAAAATTTTTTTATCTAGACTTTATTTATTTATTTTAAAAAATAAGGCATAGAAATTTAAATTGTCTATATTTTACTTCTAATAGTAAAATAGATAGTTGGACCTATATGATAATAGTTTTCAGTGCATTTAAGACTTCAAAGCAACTTTAAAAATAATGCTTGTATTTTTTTTGAAGAAAAATTCTAATTAGTTATTATTATTCATACAATTGATGCATTATTTTTAAGTAGGAATCAAAATTTTTTATAATAAGTAATTAAAAAAAAAAATCCAATATCAACATAACTAATAATAATTAGCAATATCTAAAATTTTTAATAAATCACAAATAAAACATTTATAATTATCCTTAATTAAGAACAAAAATGGGAAGTTGTTGCACTACATCTAAGCCATCAAGTAAAAAATAGCCTAAGTATAACGATGATTCATATACTAACGATATTAATTAAAAATAAAAAGAGCATTAAGACAATAACTAAGGGCAAAATTAAAAAATTGATAGTAAAAAGATTATGAAAAAGAAAGAAAATGGTATTGTAATAGGCGGAGCTAATGCAGAACCTAATTAAAAGATGAGTGAAGATGAAAGAAGAAGAAAAGCTGCTGAAGCTGCAGAATAAAGGTAATAAGCTAATAAAAATAGAGGTTTATCTGAAAAAGGAATAGTTGAAATGCAATTCAAAGAAAGGAAAATGCAAGAAGCTGAAAAATATGAATAAAAAAATGAAAATTATGTTCTTCAAGTAAATATTTTTTAATTTAAAGGCTAATTTAAAATCTAAATTTTATATTAATATAAATTTAGTGGAAATGAAGGAAGGATTAGTTCAAATTCGCTTTAAAATTAAAATAATTGTAAATATGAAACAAAGTCTTATAAAATAACAAGCAATAAATATTATATAGTTAAAAAAAATTTAAAACTAAAATTTATTCAATCAATGAAAATGTTAAATTATTTATTCTTATTTATTTATAACTAACTAATTAATTAATTAACTATAAAATCTAAATAAATTTATCATCTTTATTACTGTATTAAATAAAATAGATTTTAATTTAAGTCTATATCTATTATGAATTATTAAACAAATTTCATTTTATTTTCTTTTTTTATATTAAATTTAATATACATTGTTGATACAATAAATTTTTACATTGTAAAAAAAAATTTAATATATATGGCTTACCATTCATTTTTAAAAATATTATATTAAATTACTCAAATTCTAATTAAAAAAAGTCATTTTCCATACATATCTTAAGAACTTTTCTCATATAAAAGCTATGAAAATTTGTTTTTTAGCTATTATAATAAATTATTTCTAAGTTTAAAACTCAAGATTAAATAAAAATAAATACTTTTAGAATTATTTCTATGGTAAAAAAGTGAGTAAAAATAAGATTTTGGAAAGCAAATCAAGAGTATTTTCAAAAAAAAATAATTAATTTAATTAGAATTATAAATTTTAATTTAGGAAAAATATAATTTTCAGACTGATATAAAAGATTGGAATAGTGAAAACAAAAACTTAAACAACGACTATAATCCTTACTCAAGTAAATTTATTATAATGTAATTAAATTTAGTCATTATAATTATTGGGTTGATCTTAGAGAAGATATTTTTGAAAAGAAGCACGAAATAAAAATAAAATTTTAGTATCATAAAAATAAAAATATAAATGTATAGCCAAGTGACATTTCTGATAAAATTAAAAGAAATTTGTAACTTTTTAAGATTAAGTAGAAATTAATAACATATTTGAAGTTTTTTTCAAATAGGTTTATGCTATTTTTTAAAAAAATTATTTGTTAAAAAAGAGATAAAGAGTTAGAAAAAAAGTAGTATTTTTGAAAAAAATTCAATTAATATTTTTTTTAATTGGTTTATGATTAAAGTCTATTTACTAAATAAATATAAATTTAATAAATATTCTTAAAACTATAAAATGGAATGTTTTCAAATTCAATTTATATAAATATTTAAATATTCAATAAAGAGCAGATTGGTTATCTAGTTTTGACTATTTTTATCTTATATTATTATTACCTTCTTTTGCTCTACTCATTTTTGAATTTTGTACACTTTTACTATATTACTTATATACTGAATTCATCTTTTTTGAAGACTATTTTTGTTTTTCGATTTCTTCAATAGCAGCTTTATTAAGCTTTTTTTGTTAAATAAATAAATAAGTTATCTATTTTTGCTAACATATTATTTTAAAATGTTTAAAGATTTTTCAATAAAAAATAATGTAATCGTTTATTGAGGTTACATGAGAAAATTAATTATGGTGAGTTTTTACAGTATATAATCTACTCATCATTTCTTAGAACTCTTCTTTTTCTAATTTGCGTTCTTTTGATTTTACTGGATAAAGCATTATTTATCCATCTAATCCTTTTCTTTCACACAACCCTAATTTTTTTAAGCATTTGTTAAAAAATTCTACATCTTCCTCCTTCATCCACTATTTTTTTGATAAGTACTCAATAATTAGTTAAAATTCATTTTTAAATTATAACTTTTATACAGAATCTATGTTGCTTAAACATTTTTTAGCCAATTCACCTTCATCATCCATAAATGGTAACATATCATTTTGCTCATTTTCAGCTTTTTGCATTTCATATTGAAGCTATTTTTTTATATAAATAAAAATAAATTCAGTTATCCAATAGTAATTATTACAAACTTTTTTATCCATTTCTTTTGCTGAATTCAAACAATATATCTTCGGCTTTAATTTTAAATTTATGGCTAAGACTTGATAATATAATTTAAGTAGCTTTATTATTAATTAACTAACTAATTATGCTTTTAAGATTATTATTATTATTATTTTAACAAAAATAATTAAAAGTTTTTCTAAACGCCAAAAAAATTATAATTAAAATACAAAGCATAACTTTCTTCAAATTAAATTCAGTATTTTTTCATAGTATTTAGTTTCTAAAATCCAAATTCTAATCAAGAATGTTTGATAACAAGCAATTAACTTTTGATTATAAAATGTTCATTTTATTACTTATTTCTATAATTTTAAATTTATAATTTTTGTTTTGAACATCATATGAAATATTTGCTATTTTAAGTTTTTAAGTATCACCAATTAAATGTATTAATTGCTCTAATTTCTAAAAAAATAGTTAGTAACAAACATTGAATTGTTAAAGATATTTTTAGAAATAATATGAACTTTATATAAATGAGTAAATATTTAGTAAAAAAACTCAAGTAAATTATTATCTAGAAATAAAAAAGTAAATAGTAAAGGTTAAATTTTACTAAAAATACACACATACATTTATTATATTAATAAGTTTGAAAACAGTAAAAGAAATAAAAATAAATTATTTAATATTTGAGCATTCATTAACTCACTAATTCACTCTTCAATTTGTTTAAAGTTTTAAATCTTCAAGTTTCTACCAGCATTAGAAGTAGTCGTGATCAACATTTACGACATCGTCCATAACAAACTTTGTAGTGTTAATGAAATAGCTACTTTCAAACATAAAAGCAAGGTTTTCATAAGGATATTTAACAGGTGATAATTCAGAGTTAGAAGCTTTGTGGAAAACATCAGTTTCAGGACCATGAGCAGTCATTATATTATGAAGAGAACCACATCCAGGTCCAAATCCACCTTCTTTAGCATCATAGACACCTTGTATATTACCCATATATTCACTCATAATATTTCTGTGATAGTAGGGAGGTCTGAAAGTATGTTCAGCAACCATCCATCTTGGAGGGAAGATAGCGAAGTCGCAAACAGCAACACCAGGTTCATCAGTAGGGCAAGTAAGAACTGTAAAAATAGAAGGATCAGGATGATCAAAAGAAACAGTGTTCATTGTGTTAAAGTTATCTAAGTTGTACTTGCAAGGAGCATAGTTACCGTGCCAAGCAACTACATTGAAAGGAGAACTTTTAGTAGTGCTTTAGAACATTTTACCTTAGAATTTGTTGAGTAAAGTAAAATCAGCTTCTACATTTTCATACCAAGCTACAGGAGCTTAGAAATCTCTAGGATTAGCCAAACCATTAGCTCCGATGGGACCTATTTATTTTACATATTTTATAATTAATGTCCAGCAATTTTAAAAAAATTTAATATTTCTCATAAAATCAGTTGTTGTTTTTACTCAAAATTTTTAAACTAATAAAAAATGAATTTGTTTTAGAGCTATACTAATTCCATCTTTGTATTTATTTACTAATAACTCTAATTAAGAGAAAGCTTGTTTTTCTATTTTTAGAGTTTTTGCTTTGCTTAAAAACATATTTGCTATTTTTTACTTTTTTTAAATCTTTGGATGCAATCAAAAATGTTTTAAAATATTCTAAATTCTAAAAGTTTTTACCTAAATCAGGAATTTTAAAGTGACCCTTGAAGACTTCACAAACGTATCCACGAGATTCTTATTCTAGATCAATAGAGAACTTAAGACCTCTTGGAAGAACGCAAATTTCACGAGGACCAACTGTCATTTTACCTAATTCAGTAGTAATGAAAAGAGTACCTTCTTAGGGAACAACTAAAAAGTCACCATCTGAATTGTAGAAGACAGTGTTACCCATATTCTTGTTAGCAGAGTAAAGGTAGATAGCAATACCTTATTTAATTTAAGGATCTCCAGCACCTGCTACTGTAACAAGTGATTCAACCCAATCTTTAGGTTCAGCTTTATTATAGGGGAGAGGCTTCCATCTTAATTGATTAGGAGTTGTGTGCATTTCTTCAGCATTGAGGAAATTATTTTTGATATATTTGTATTTGGTTGGGTCGCAAGGCTTGAAGGGAGTGTGGCAGACAGAAGGCTTGATCTTGTAAAGCCAAGTTCTTTGATTGGAAGCACGAGGAACAGTAAAAGCAGTGCCACTGAATTATTCAGCAACAAGGTTGTAAGGACACTATTAAGGACTGTTCTATCCCTTAGGTAAAGCACCAGGAAGTGCTTCTGTGCAGAAATGGTTTCCGAAACCTTCTCCATATTTGAGGTCAGTAAAGTCTCTGGTAGGTTTAAGCTTTGTTTCCATTTTTGTTTGGTGATGTTTTTATTTGTTTATTTATTTTATGTTTACTTTTTGTTTGATTTCTTTTATCAAATTTGATCTTATTATATAAATTATTTCTCATATCTTGGACTTTGCTGACGTATTTATGAAGGGGGTTTTACTAGAAAGGGAAAGATTACTTACCTTATAAAAGATTCGATTATGAACAAATATTCCATCACTACAGGTCTAAGGAGATATCAGATGCATCCAATTAATTCGAAATATGCATAGATTCTGAAAATATTGATTGATTATTTTACTTATTTAATTAAAGTAGTGATATAGTTGTTATTTTTCTAAATATTTCTGTGGACATTTTAGAATTAAAAATCTTCTATTAGATTTTCTAAATTTTTTATTTCTACTTCATATATTTAATAATACGGAGCCATTTTTAAAGACAAGCTAGAAAAAATTAATTATTCATTAATTACTGAGTGTCATTAATAAAATGAGCTAGGAATTAAATATTTGTTTTTCTTGCTAGTCTGTAAATATTAATTGCAAAAATAAAGTTATAGATATTTACTTAATTAGTAAGCAAATCAAAGATAGACAGACAGAAGTAATGTGATTAAAGTTTTTTTGAATAAAAAAGTGTGCTATTTTTAAAAAAATTAAAAAACTAATAATTAAAAAAAATAATTTATTTATTCAAAAAATGATAAAGCAAATTAAAATATTTTTTATTTCATACTGAATATAAAATTAATTTTTAAAAGTAAAAAGCAAAAAATAAACACAAAAATACAAAAATTTTTGTTTATCCATAGAAAATTTTATAGAATTTTAATGATTATCATTTATTGGTTCAATCTAAAATATTTATACAGGAAATAATCTATAAATAGGATTTAAAATTTATAATCACTTAATTTATGATATTACTTAAAAGTTAATACTAAAAAAATAAACTAATTAGAATAGGTATCATATAAAGATCATAAACAATTGATTTTTCATGAAATGAAACAATCAAAAAGAAAATTTATGCCAAAATTAAAATATCATCTAAAAATACTATATTAAAATATAAAAACGTTTTATGATTTTACTAAATAATTTATTCTAATAATAAGCTGATCAAAAAAGCATAAAAAATGTTAAAAGATGAAATATCTAATTGAATTTATATAATTATCAAGAAATAATTCAATCTATTAAAAAAAGATTTCATTATTTTACTTCATTATTATATCTAAAAAAAACAATCATTAATTAAAAAATCTAAAATTTATAAACACTTACTTTATGATTTTACTTAAAAATAAATACTAAAAAAATAAATTTATTAGATTATGTTTTCAATAAAGATCATAAACAATTAATTTTTCATGAAATGAAACAATCAAAAAGTAAATTAATACCAGAAATAAAAATTTAATCTAAAAAATACTATATTAAGAGATATAAACATTTTATGATTTTACTAAATAATTTATTCTAATAATAAGTTAATCAAAAAAGCATGAAAAATGTTTATAGTTAAAATATCTAATTGAATTTATATAATTATCAAGAAATAATTCAATCTATGAAAAAAAGATTTCATTATTTTACTTCATTATTACTTCTAAAAAAAAATAATCATTAATTAAAAAAAAGCCTGAAATTTTTAATAATATAATAATTGTTCTAAGAAAATAGATGAATAAAATATCTGTCTAAAAGTTGGTTCTAATTACAAAATTTTTCTTAATTTAAATAATAAAACAATTATTTTATTTTATTTTTTAATAATTACTTCTATACGAAATAGCTTTTTACTTAAAATCTTAAGCTATTTATTAATATGCATCGTTTATGATTATAATTATAAATTTAATGTTTTTTTTGAAAACTTTATCATCATAAATTTAAATAATATATTATTAAGAATTAATAAGTTTTACTTTTTTTTTATTTTAAAAATCTAAATATTAATATTTACAATTATTTCATAAATTCAGAAAAAGAATGAGCTTACAGTTTCTAAATCTAAAGAGTTTATGTTTAGGAATGTTCTAAGTAAAAAACTTCTAAATTACACTTTTTATTTTTAAAATTTATTTTTTGCAAATTAAATTTAAAAATGGATAAATGAATTTATCAAAACTTTATAAAAAATAAAAATATTAAATTTATTTTTAAAGTTTTGATGGTATTTAATATATTAAGAAATATTATATTAAGGCATATAAATTATTGTTTTATTGAATCAGTTAGCTTTTATATAAATTTTAGATTTCAAATATAATACTGATTATAATAGCTAACCATTTAAAAATTGTTTACTTCTAAAAAAGATAATGTTTATTTTTATATTGAATACTTAGAAAAATTAATTTTTTGCTAAGCTAGCAAATTAATTAGCTCTACTTCTTTATAATACTTTTGATTAATATCATTTGTTTAAATTTTAGATGAGGATAATATTAATTTTATACAAATTATTAATTAATTGGTTGATTGATAAAATTTAGTATTAAAGATGAACCCTTTAAGATTATAATGAGAGAGAGCTATTGATAAATAATGAAAAAAATATTCTAAAAAAATTAATTAAATAACAAGAAAAGCAAGTAAAGAAACAAAATTTATTAATTGTGTTATTTATATTAATTTATTGCGCCTTTAGTTTTGCCAATTTCTTATATAAAAGACAGAGAGTACATTAAACATATTTATTATATAAAAAATTGAGTTTTTTTATACGAAATTTGCGAGGAAGGGATAAGATAAAAAATAAATTGAATTAATCTTAGATATTTACAAACAATCAATAAATTAATTAATATTAAACAGCAATCTAGAGTACGATTTAAGAAACAATATCTTGGATTTTACTTCAAGTAAATTAACTATGAATATTTAAGAAAAAGAGGCATAGTTATAACTTTAGAAAGCAGATATTTTCGAAGCGTTTAAGTAGTCCTCTCCATTCATTCTCTCTGAAGAAGATGAAAAATTTTATCAAAGTATAATAAGTAAAAAATTGATTGTTTAAGTAGAAATATATGACACTAAAGATATTTAAAGGGATTCAAAGAAGTAATATACAGTAATAAATCTTATTTTGATTATATTAAATAAAAGTTACTACATGTTAAGCTTGCTTAATGCGATTAAATTAAGTTATTGATTAAAAAAAAGTCAATATATTCAAGATTGTTTATAATATAACTCTTATAAATTAATAGGTTTACAAAATAAAGGTAACAACTAGGGTATAGAGTTATACTATTGAAAAAAGATTTAGCGAGTTCAAGGAATTGCAAAGAAAGGTAATTTCTAATTAAAAATTCAAAAAATATTGTCTGCTCTGCAAAGAAGATTAAAAAATTTGAAAACTGATACATATCACTAAGACTTTTCATTTAATTTTTCTATTCTTTAAAATAATAGCTAGTAGAGACTTATAAAAATGCACCTTTGCTAGAAAAAATAATATTTAATAGATTCAGTTAAGAGAATATATTAAAACGAAAGAACTAATTGCAAGGTATTTAAAATTTTTCTATTTTATCTCATTCAAGCTCATTAAAAATGTTGCATTTTATTAAATATTAATAAGAGTTTATAAACTACTTTTTTGATGAGATTAATAGAGGTTAAACAGTCTATCCTTTTCTTTAATTTCTCCAGATACTAGGTAACTAACTAACTTCATTGTTTGATTGAATTTAAAAAAAGAAATTGAAAGTATTTATTAATTTATTTGTGGTAATATTTCTGATCATATACTCTAATCATTTAGCTAGCAACTTAGAAAAGCTAGAAAAATCAATTATGTCTAAATTATTCATTAAACAAGTGTTTTTTTTAATTTAAAATCTATTTAAAATAGAAAAATTTTAGGAGTTTAAGATCCTCTTAGAAAGTCCTAGCTAAGAAAACTAAGCAGATTCTGTAGAAAAAATTATAGATTACTAAACAAATGTGTCCCATGAAAAAAAGATTTTAGAGCTCCTCAAAGAGGCCCAAACAAACAAAGACAATTTAAACAAGACTTTATAGTAATAATTAGGTTTATGAATTAAATAAATAAATAGAATTGAAATTAAAATTTCCCAAAAAGATATTTTACGATAGTGTATAATATTTTTGATTTATAATACTAGCTATCGCGTAATTAATTAATCAATCAATCAATCAATCAAATAATACAAAAATTAATTTTATTAATTCGGATTTATTGTAAAAGATATAAAATTTATTGAGTATCTTTCATTACTATTTCTTTAATTAACTTATATATAAAAGAAATATCGGAGACATGATATCTATGAACAATCCTATCACAGATTACGACTTAATCAAATTAATTATGGAAGTAAACCAAATTAATTTCTAAATTTAGTTTTATAATTTTAATCATTCATGTTTTACATTACACATTATTAAAATTAAAAATAAGGGTACCTATTCTAGTAGCAATAAAAACTTTAAAGGGCTATTGTAGTTATGTGGTCAGTTAGATATCTACACTGATCCTTAAACTAATGAATAATCTTTATAGCACATTAATTGTGGTAAAAACCTAGAAATTCTTAATAATATTATGGAATGCATGAAAAATTAAAGTAAATATTTATTAAATTATGAATTAAAATCCCTATCTAACAAATTTTTCAAATATAACAACAAAGGCTATGAGCTATTTACTAAAATATTTTAAGAAATAAGTGTTGCAAACATAAAAACTATCAATTTAGGTAAAAATAATGAGCGTGAAAAATGAAAACGCTTTATTAAAATATGAAATTTTTACGTTTATTGATTTATTAATTTATTTTATTACAGAATAGCATATTTTAAGTGAAAAATCTTGCAAATAACCAGCACTTAAATTAATTTCAAAATACTTGGAGGGAATGAAAAGAATGTATGGTACTTAAGATGTCAAATACCTTTTACAAACAAGAAAGATTCTTGTAAATTTTTTCTTGACTCTAAAAATGAAGCTAATTTTTAAAATATTAAATAAAAAAAACTAAGTAAATGAAAGGTAAAACCATAAATGAAATAGAGAATTTTATGTCAAGTAAGCACCTTACCTTAAAAAAAGTCTAAAGTAGTTGTCATTTACATAAATTTGAAAATGAACCTTCTACTAATAGATTTAGCTAATCAAATTACTTGAGTTTTAGCTATTTAGATTGTGGTAAATTATAAAAAAAAATATTTCAAATTGAAATAAAATTCACTCGGTTTTTATAAGTCTGAAAATTTTTCTAAATTTATTAAAAAGAAGAAGATAAAAACTACTTTAACACAAAAAATATTAAAGATGTCCTTGAGGATTAGTTTATTTAGTGGAAAACTGTTTATCACCTTAAAGAAAGATAAATTATTCTTTAGCACGCATTTCCAATTTAGTACATAAAAATGAGTGTTGTCTTGCCTGTTAATCCCAAAGAATGCCTTGACTTAATAGTCACATAACGCAACTAATGGGATACATTAGTAAATTTCCTTTATTCAATTTATTATTATTTTTTACTTCAAATGAAATAAAAGAATTTATTTGATAAATTAAAAAGGCATTTATATAATTATTTTTATTTACATGTAAAGCTTCTAGATTGCTATACTCTGCCATCTCCAGGATCTAATTAAGAAAAGAGCAGTCCAACTAAAAAGAAAGAAAAATATGGAGTACAGTCTATTCATGACTACGTGTGTGAAACTTATAGATATAATTTTAATCATAGAATATCGTTCTATTCTGAAAGAAAAACAGAGATAGAAAATAAAAGAATATACATAACAAGAACTTCTTATGATCCTAAAGATCACTGCTATGATTTTATTGATAAAAACAAAAATAATATGATTGGAAAATGGGAATGCTTAGTATTTATTAAGTAAATTGATAGTGGGAACATGACTTCTTCTATACAATCTCAAAGTTCTATTTAGGCATCGCCTTATGATGTTAAAGAAAAATTAAAAGTGTTCACTTTTAGTAACAACAGTAACATCAATAATAATTTACCAAAATTAGGCAAGTTTTTTTCAGGAAAAGACTTAGTTTAATCTTCAGACTAGCTATCAAAAAGCGGATAAAGTAATTCCTCAGATGATTTAAATAAGCTTGCAGATATTTCAAACTCAGGAATGAAATTTAATGAATATATTTAAGAAGAGGAAGATTGTAATAGAGATGATAGCAGTAGTTGTGATGAAAAATCAGAAAAAGAATTTTTTTAAATAACCAAAATAAATTCACAATAAAAAGAGGAACAAAAGAATAAAATTCATTCTGGCTTACTTAGCTTGGAAGAATCTAAGGCTATACAAGATGCTAAATAAAATTAATAGAATGATGGATAAGAAACTCTCCCAAATACACTTCATTAACAAAATAATTCTTATTTAGAGCAGAGTAATTTTAGCTAGAGAAAAAAAAGTAATTCGAAGCTAAGTAAGAAAGAAATTATTGAAAGAGAAAGTGAAAATGATGACTCAGAAGAATACAATAATGTCTTATAAAAAAGTCATATGAGCTAATCTTAAAATTTATCAGAGTAGCAGTTAAGCAAATAGATAACTCCAAATTAGTTGTTTACTCAGTACATTGGCTTGAATAATTATGGTCAGAATAAAGACTAGTATGATGACAAAAGATAAAAAGAACCTAGTTCTCTTTCAGATGCTAGCGGATGCAGTATTAATTTTATAAATTCAGCAAAATCTTAGAATTTAAAGAAGTTCAGTGATGATATTCAGAACACTGAATTAGAGGATTCAATTTTAATAGATCCTGAATAAGAATAAGCTATACCAAGAAACTAACCCATAATTTAAGAATAAAATGTAAACACTTTAATCACATTTACCTTCAACTTGTAAAACTCTGAAGCTGTGCACTTTTTCAGTAGATTCATCAATGAGCGTGATGACGATACAATGGTTCAAAGTATGATAAAGCTGCAAGACTTAGCTAAAAAAATAAGAAAAGAAAGCTCTTCTACTACTGATACAAAACATGCTGATAGAAAGCAGTCTAGTAATAGTCAATACTCTTAAAATAGTGAATAAAGTAAAATATATGAATGAGAATAAAAGAAAAAAAGCTTTTAAAAAAAATTCATAAATAAAAATAATTAATCAAATAAAAATACTAAAAATAATAATAAATAAGTAAATAAATAAATAATCATTATTATCATATTTAAAATTTTGAGAAATAATATCTTAAAAATATAAAAAGAAGAAAAAAATATTTTTAACCAAAAAAAGTACATTAAACAAAACAAATAAATCAAAAAAACTAAATATATTTAAAAAGTATTTTAGTATATTTTATTCATTAACCAATTAAAACTACTTTAATTACTACCGATAAAAAGCAAATTAAAAATTATCTTCTTAACTAATAAATAATTTAAAAGTATAATAAATTTGCAAATTATTTAAGAGTAAAGATTTATATGTAATTTAATTTAGTTTTTTTTTTTGATAGTTAGCTCAAAATATTATTTAATTTCATAGATATTTCTCTAGAATGTTGAAATAATTGCTTTCAAAGCTATTTTCGAGCATAATTATCACCTCAAAAACTAAATATAGTTTAATTAAAAATTTATCGTTAATAATTTAATAAGTACATGCATTTATTTTAATATTACTAGGATTAATTTTTGTTGTAAAATGAGTATTTAGATAATAAAATAACTAAACAATCTAAATAAAAATTATTTTAATTAAATCTTTCAATTACAAAGATAAAATTAATTTAAATCACTAATAAAAGATAAAAATATAATAAAAGTAAATATTATTTATTCAAAATTATATTAAAAATATTTAAATAAATAATTTTTAAAAATAAATCAATTAAAATTTTATCTTTTGAACAAATAAAATTTAAAATAAATTAAAAATAATCATAAAATTTAAATAGCATAAAATTTTTACTTTAATTTAAAAAAAATAGTGAATTAATAATAAAGGTAAAATTTATATAAAAATTAAACTACAAATTATTAATTTAATATGTATTTTTTCTTTATATTTTTTAACTTTGATAAATTTTGTATTCAATTAATAAATTTATTTTTAAAAAATACAAACAAAATAATATAAATAGAAAAAGATTACAAATTTATTATTTAAATATTTGATAATTGGTTAAATGGTTTTGTTTGAAAGGAAAGTGTTTAAATTAAACATTTTTATACTTCATTGTAAATTAAATTATTTACTTTATCCTTATTGATAAGCCACGCTGTCTACTCTAATAATATTATCAGAGAGCTTTCTATATAATGGCAATTATGAATTTACAGCAAGTGTATATTTTCTGTTTAAGTTTTAAATCAAAAACAAATCTTAGGTAATATCGGTAGATATTTTTAGTTCTTTGAGTTTAGGAGATTCTAAGCTGTCATAATATTTGATCAGATTGTTGAGAATAATGTCTGCATTATCTGAAGAGGAGGTGATTTAAACTTCCAAATTTTCAATAGAGGTATTTTGCTAAAGATTTTAAATCAAGAAGACCAACTCATGCTCAACCTCAGTAAAATGAGAAAGATTTATAACAAAAGTCTTCATATCGTATGTTTTTTCATTAATTGTAATAATGTTTTCTCTTCTTGATAGAATTAATTTTATTATTTACTTATCTTTTTTTTGCATGTCATTATAGTTTTTTACTTAGAGGTTTGTAGGTATCTTAGGGAGCTAACTTATCATTTAATAGAGATTTCTATCATCAAATATGCTCATTTCAAATTAACTCAAGTTCATTATTAATTGAGAATCTTCTGAAGTATCAAGGATTTTTATGCCATTTATTTGTAGAATGATATCTTTTTTCTCTGTCAACTCTAAATCATCTTCTTCTTCATCATCCTCTTTTTATTCTTCATTAGAAACAGGTTTCCCTTTTTCTAAAATTTCATTACTTTGAATATCTTTTTTATTCGTTTCTAAGTCTATTTAAGACTTATTCTTGGTTTAACCTACATGGCTAGAGGACTATGGCTAGCTACCTTACTAGTTTCGTCTATCCTTGTTATCTTCTTCTAAGTTGATCAATTATGTACTTTTTTGATTTTTACTTGTGAAGTTTTATCTACTCGAAAAAGTAAATAACTTATCTTGCATACTAACTGGGTGTTGCTGGCTTTGCTAATCAAAATTTATGTTATTAACAATTATAGCCATTAGTTTTTGGAATTAGCTTTCGTTCACATTTTCTAATTAGATTTCAAGTAGAAACGAGTTATTGTAAATAAGCTACTTATCATTTATTTTTAGCGAATGGCATTTACCAACAAAATCTATGATTGCATCATTCTGATAAAGAGTTTCACAGATGAAAAGTTCTACTTCTAAATTTTTGTGTATGTTATTTGCCAAATTGGTCAAGCATTTTGCCGTTAATGTAGGATTATTATCAATGTAGAGAGTTAGAATTTAGATATTCCCAAAAATTAAGAATTAAGCGAAAGAACAATCAAGGAGCTAGTTATTTTACAACTCAAGTGTTAAATGAGTAAATTTTGGGGGAAACAAACGAAGAAGATTATTTATATGATTTAATTTATTATTTTTGAGAATTAGCTTATATACTATTAAACTATCGCATCCATTTATCTCATCAAATAAATGATCGCTTATATTTTAAACTATATGATCTTACAAATTTAAGTCATTCATGTATATAGTACACTCATTTATTTCACCAGATTTCTTTATTTCTTTAAAAACAAACTCAAGCCACTCCAAATAATACTAGTGCAATTAAAGATGAATGAAACACTATTTTGCAGAAACAGATAATGGGTTGAAGTAAAGAATCTACCAAGCCTTTTTAAAAGCGGTTTCTTTGAGATTTTTAATTTTTCTTTTAATTAAGTCCTTTTATTCCAATTCTTCATTTTATTTATGTTTTTCTATTATAACTTCCTGCTTTTCTTGCTTCAAATATTCTTCAATTACTTCATAATACTAGTATACTTCTTCATATCTTGAACTTTCTTTACTATCATTTTTCTCTTATTATGATAGATCCTCATTAACTTTTTAAGGTTTAACTTAAATTTTTTCAATTTTATTTAATTCCTTTTTCATTACTTTTTTTGTCTGATTGTAACTATTGATGAAACTTAAATATTCTTCAAGCTGAATAAATTAATTTTTCAGTTCATCACTATTTTAATTCATAATCCATTCACAACGCGAATTGAAATACTAAATAAACTCTTCTTTGCTATCTTGCTTATCATATGGATGAAATCCATAAAATTAATAATCTACCCTATCCGATCTATCCATTCTTTTTATCAAATTTTATTTTTTCAAAGATGATTATTCTTTATTTTACTTTAATTTGTATCCTATTACTATTTTTTTAAGTTTATATTTTAATGAAGAGATAAATAATAAATAAAAAAAAATAATTAATTTAAAAATAGTTTATTTTTTTTCTTTTTTAAATAAAAATAGTACAATAAAGATTTATTAGATTGATAGAACATTTGCTAATTTTTATTAATTAATCCGATCTTACGTAAAATAAAACATGTTTTTAAAATGACATTAATGTATTAAGTAGATATCAATTATAAACTAATCGCGTTTTATTTGCTGTATATAATATTAAAAATATAATAAAATAAATAAAAAGCAGCTGCACACATATTTAAAATCAAGAAAAATTTAAATAGACGCTTTCTTTTGAAAACAAAATACTAATTAATTACAAACATTTTCAATCAAATTTCATTTAAAATAAAGCCTAAAAAATGCTAAAATAAATAAAAGTTTTATTGAATAAATCAACAATCTATCTATATTTATATAAAGTATTAGAATAATCAAATAATAACGTCTGAGACTGACTCCCTTTAGTTTAGACAAATTTAAAACTCACTTAGATTTATGCATTTATTTATTTATATTTCAGATAAAAATATTTTTAACTAAGTCATTCTTTTAATTTTCTTTTAAGTTAGTTTGTAGTTAGTTTTTTGTATGATTGATTGATTGCTGGGATTTGATTATTTTTGAGAAGACCAGAGTAGAGAAGAAGCATGATAAAAATTTAAATAAATAAATTAAAAATAAATTAAAATTAAAATAAATTAAAAAAAAAATGTTTGATTGAGTTGCTGAGGAAAAGATTAGCACCATCAAAGTATTTTGGGGAAAGCAGACTTCTCAAATGCAGTCAAATATTCTAATAATTGATCTTGCTACTAACTACTGCACCTAGTACCACTTAAAATACAAAAGCAACATTTCAACAAATCCTAAACAACCTGTTTTGAAGATCTTGCTTGTCAACAAAAGCAAGCATTCGAATTGAGTTAAATAATGTCATAAAAATATTCCCAATTCAAAGCTGCTGATGTTGATAAACTAACTCATCAAACAATAATTTGTTGTATATTTATATTATAAGTATATTTAGGTGTTTTTTATTGCTTTTTACTTGACAGGCATTATTGCCGCTTTTATAATAATGCTTGTGTGTATGTGTATATATATATATGCATTTGTTTGTGCTTTTGTTTGCTTTTTCGTTTTGTTTGTAAGTGGTACTCATGAAGTAGAAGAGAAGAAGAGTAAGTAATATATAGAGATAGATAGATAGTATTCATTAGCACACAAGATTTCAATTGAGATAGATACAAGAGAATTTAAGAGAAACAATAATATTCAACAACACAACAAGAAGGAGAACAACACGATTTAGCAACCATTAATTTAGTTTTATAAGTATAATCAGTTAAACCTAGACTAGTAAGAAACTTATTAGATAGATTAATTTATATAAATAGAGTTCCCAATAGTCTTTTTATGCAGTTTGTCAGAATTCAACTAATAATAATTTATAATAAAATAAGTTATTAAATAATCAATTTAGAATGAATGAGTCAAGCTGTTTACTTTATTTAAAATATGATTTAATGTAGGCGAAGGAATGAAAGGACCGACCGATCTATGGATAGATGGATAGATAGATGGATGACAAGCAATCAAATCAATCAATAAATAAATCAACAAGCCAAATATAAGTAATGTATTTATTTATATCAATTTATGGAGAGGAGGTGCAGTACTTGTTGTTGTTTTCTCATTGTTCCCCATTACTACTCTATAAAGCGACAATTTTTCTCAATTTGAGTTAGATTGTCTGGAGGGAGAACGAGAATTGTTGTTATTACCATTGTTATAAGAATTGTTGTTAGCAGGTTGATTGTTTCCATTGTTGAGATTGCTACCTGATCTATCATTTTTATGAGAACCAGCTGAATTAGATCTGTTATTATTTCTGTTATTATAGCTTCTGCTGTCGGATCTTCTTTGACCTCTTGAGCTTGATCTTCTTCTTCTATTATCAGGACTAGGTCTTCTTCTATCACCTCTATCACTACTTCTCTTTCTTCTGTCACCAGCGGATCTAGATCTAGACATATCTCTTCTTCTTCTTCTATTTCTAGAGTCAGAGCGAGAGTCTCTTCTTCTTCTGTTTCTGTCGTCAGATCTGCTTCTTTGTCTTCCTGTTAGTTCACAAGTAAATAGGTAAATAAATAAATTACAATTTGAAAATGTGGTTTTTTCTGAAATTCATTTTAAAATATTTTATAAAAATTTCAAATCGAAATTCTTTCATTTTTTTATAAAATTTAATTTTGTAATTTTGGTTGTAATTGATCAAGTTAAAGCAAGAATAAATCAATCCATCTCATATTAAATTTAAATGATATTTTTTATTGAAATAATTAATAAACTTAGGAAGTAAAATTTTGAATGTCAAGTTATAATCATGTAATTAAGACAGACAGACAAATCTAATAAAATAGAAGGAAATTATATTAATTGCATCCTTAATTATCTAAATTATCTTTGCAAATAAAATTGTGGGGAGACACCTACTTAAAATAAAGAAATTGTTGATATACCAAAAATCTTTTTTTCAAAAATCAAGCTTTTTTCTTTATTTTGCAAAATTTTTGTTTAATTTTTTCATTATTTCATTTTAATTTAAATAAGATTTTGTAGACGACTGCACTTATTGAAATTTTGTTTTGATGATCAAATTTCAGAGTTGATTTATATATTTTTAATAAAAGGTTTACTGCTTCTAGAGTCAGAACGAGATCTTGATCTTCTTCTTCTATCTCTGGATCTGCTTCTTCTATTTTGACTATTATTTTATTAAATACATTCGTTATACTTTCAATTATTTTAACTAAATAATCTTACTGGCAGTCTCTGACCTTATGGCTAGTTGAACCACAATTATAGCATCTATTTTTATTACCATTGCTGCTAGTTCTTCTAGTTTTGCTACAGTCTTTAGCAATATGATGGAGAGAACCGCAAGTATAACAGCCTTCGTTTCTTTTCTTTCTGCCGCCATTACCGAATTCTAATCTGAGTTCTTTACCCTTCAATGAATTACCATTTCTATTTTATAAAACCAATTTTTAATATTTTTATTACCTACCATCATGGAATATTTTTAAAATTAAAAAAGGGGTTAAGTAAAGCAAAAGCCATCTAAAATAAATTATTCTAACTAGAATAACTCAAGTACACCACATCTGTCTGCTCCTTGAAAAATTTTCATAGCAGCGAATGATATTTAGAAGCATAAAAATAATGCCTTAAGGAAATTTTTAATAAAAGAATATAAATTACTCCTTGAGAGCATCCTTAGCATCACGGGAATCTTCGAATTCGATAAATCCATAACAGTTAGGACCTTTCTTTTTAATCTTGATTTCACTGATTTTACCATGCTTTTCGAAAAGATCTTTAACATCTCTTTCTTCAACCTATTTAATATTTATTTAGAATTAAAATATATAACGTTTGGTTAGGTAGTTAGCATTTTTTATGATTATTTGATATTTTTATATTATTCATTCATCAAAAATGAAAACATATCACAGACCATATATGGATCATATCGAATTTATTTCTAATTTTAAATTAAATAAGTGGATTCAAATCTTTTACATCTCTAGAGAGGTTACCCAAGAATAATTTCTTTTGGCTTTTACTGTCTCTGTCTCTTGAATGTTCTCTGCTCATATTTCTTTTTTTATTCTTTCTTTAAAATATTAATTTATATTTATATTTTTATTTCAAAATAAATTGAATATTTCTTCTTAAATTCAATCTCTATTAATCCATAATAATCTAAGCTTTCTAAAATCATTAATTTGCATATTCATTCATTCATTCTTTCTCTCTTTCTTTCATTCATTCATTCACTTTGGAGCTCTCGTCATTCGCAAACAATAGTTTTTAATTTTATAATTCTTATGTCTATTCACAAACTATTATAAAAATTAATTAATAATTTAAATATGCATTCAGTCATATTGCTTTTTGTCTAAATAGCAAAATTACAATCACAGCTTTGTAAATCGAGATGATTAACTGTAAATAAATAACTCATTTATTTTCCTTAATTTTTATCAAATAACAATGCGAAGTTTTTGATAAGCATTTTTACAATCATGTCTTTTCAAATTAATACAAAAAGAATTTAATCCTTTCACTTTATCACTAAATTACAATTTTTTAATATAAATTTTAAAATTATATTTAAAATATTATATTTGTTAATTAATTAAATTTAACATATTTTAGCTTAATGCTCGTTTATTTTGTTTATAATTTTTTTACTTCTTTATTTATTTTATTTAAAACCAAATATTTAAAAACATCATTTAAAATCGTTATTTTTGATCTTTTAAAATTGATTAGATTTTTTTAGTAATAATCTCTTCTAACCCCTTATTGTAAGAAATTTTTAATTGATTTTTTTAAATAGTTTTGTTTGAAGGAGAAATATTTCATTTTATTTGTTTTTATTTGGAATTTAAAAATTAATTTTTTAGTACAGAAACTATCATCTGCTATCTTTACAATATACAAATGTCCAATAAAACCATTAATAAAAAAGTTAATTCACTCACAACTGAAAGTTAATATATTTATATATAAATGCATCCTGCTTTTATTTTTCAACTTAAAATAATATTTTTTGCCAATAAAACTGATAGACAAGATCTTTATAAATCATATTTATGCTAAATAAAGCAAGATTTGCTTACTCTAAAATCATTAATAACTATTAAAATCATCATCTACTTTACAAAGGATTTTATCATTGTTAATAGTTTCTATCAAAACTCTCAATTTATCACCTTCGTATAAGGTTAAATCATCAGATTCAAGTTTACCATCTTTTAATTCGCTAATTTATAAGTTAATAATCTTTAATAAACATGATCTATATAAAAAAACAAATACACTATTCCAATTTTTAATATTTAACATAATTAATTAAAAATAAAATTATTACTTTTAAAGTTGTTAAGGAAGCTTACGATTGGGGACATAAAATATGTTCATAGGGCCAACAGAACCAGCAATGTGATTTTGCTTGATTTCAGTTATTTAGATATCAATATATTCTTTAAGTTATGGTTTAAATGTTAATGCATCAAACTATATCTCAACTTTAATAAAGCCATCATAATCAATTAATGGTTTGCTCATATATCTTAAATTTACTACCAAAATAATATATCCATGTTCATTACTTTTTTTACCTTCTACTTTTTCAATTAATTCTTTTTTAAGCAAATCATTATTATTAAGGTTGACTTTATCATTTCCAATAAGCATACCCATATGAGTAGGGTGAATCTACAAAATAGTTCTTAAACCAGATGTATGATAAAACATTTTATATATTTGCTTTACAAATTATACTTAAATAGCTAATTATTTATCTATGAACTGAATTGAAATATCTTTCTTTTTACAGACAAACTTTCTTGCTAAGATCTATTTATTTTATTTCAAATATATTTAATAAAAACATAGATATTCCTATTCGTTTCCCAAGCTAATTAAAAATTCAATTTTTTAATTTGTATGTCCTTTACTGATATAAAGATGCAATTCTTTTTTAGTTTAGAGTATTTATTAGTCTAATCCATTCATTTATGTTCAAAATCTTTAAAAAATAATTTCACAACTTGAGCTTTAAATAGCTTCAGTATGTTTTAATCTAATCTTTAAATTTATTTCTAAGAATCTTATCATATAATTTTAAAAATAAAATATATAAATTAAAATATTAATTTCTAAAGATATTGTTTGTGACATTAAAAACAATTAAATACATATCATTAAGTATATAAATAAATAAATTTAAGCATTTTCAAAAGATTTTGTGTAGTTTACAGCCCAAAAAATAATTTATAATTTTAAAATATTAAAGTTTCAAGAAAATATATAAAAATAAGCATTATTAATGTAAAAAAACTAGTATTTTTTTTATGTTTAAATTCCTGCTTTTAAAAATTATGTATTTTAATATATAGAGCGTGGTGCAGTGGAAGCATACCGGAACGTGTATTCGGTGGTCATGGGATCGAAACCCATCGCTTTAAATTTTTAAAATTCTAAATAATTAAATTTTCTTAAATATATAAATAAATAAATTTAAGCATTTTCAAAAGATTTTGTGTAGTTTACAGCCAAAAAAATAATTTATAATTTTAAAATATTAATATTTCAAGAAAATATAAAAAAAATAAGCATGATTAATGTAAAGTAACTAGTATTTTTTTTATGTTTATATTCCTGCTTTAAAAAATTATGTATCTTAATATATAAAGCGTGGTGCAGTGGAAGCATACCGGAACGTGTATTCGGTGGTCATGGGATCGAAACCCATCGCTTTAAATTTTTTTAATTTTAAATAATTAAATTTTCATTTATGTTTTCTTTAGAAAATATATATTTATTTTTTAAATCTATGGATATAGTATAAATAGTTATGACTTCTCAATTAAAATATTCAATTTAAAAAAAAATAAATTTTTGTCCATATCTCAAATTAAAATAAATTAAATATTACTATTTTTATAACTAAATTTTATTTATTACTTATAAAAACTAAAATAGCAAAGAAATTTAAATGCATAAATTAATCTTTAATTATTAAGTTTTATTTTTAATTGCTTTTAAATAAAAAATTAATCTTTTTTTAAGTATTATTTATATTTTAATTTAAAAAATAGATAAAAGATATTATTTATTAAAAGAATTAAAGAGACTTTAAATTAAGAAAATAATTTTTGAAGAGAGTTTCTATAAATATCAAAGAAGGCAAATGATATAGGGATATATAAAATAAACAATCCAATAATACTTAACTATATAATATATAAGCTTAAAATAGAAGAATAATGAAATAAGTGATTGATAACGAATGAGTAAGATAAGTGCATTCTTAAGAATAAGTTAATTATATTTGTTTTCATCTTTTATTTGCATTATTATTAATTATATATAAATCTTTTTCTTTTCTATAAATATTAAAAACTATTTTTCATAAAATTAGGCAATTATTATTTAATAAATTAAAAGCTGATTATCTTACTAATTAACTATACAAAAGACTCTATTTATCTATCGAAGCTAGCTTCAATTAATTTATTAATTAATTATTCAAATAATATTTATTTATTTAAGTGTGTATAAAAAAACAATATCATATAGCAATCTATATTTATTTATTAATGTTAGTTATTTAATTAATTAGTTTAACCATCATCTCATTTTACATTTCCAAACTCCCATTTCGTTATTCAATATTTAATGAAGTGATGTATAAAAATAATTGGTTTATATAATTATAAAAATAATATTTGATTTTTGGACTTATTAATGTGAGAAAGAAGAAAGGAATTGTGTGGAGTTGAGTTGAATTGAGTTGAGTGGATTGAATCTGGTTATTTAAATTTTAACCAAAAAGAATTTAATTTATTGGAATATTTATTTATTTATTTGTTGAATAATTAAATTCATAATTTAGTTGATATTGTTGTTATAATTGTTATTATTTTTAAGTAGAGTTTTATTGGTTTTTGTTTTCTTAAAATTGGTTTTTATATTTCAATTGCTTTATGAAATCAATTTGAACCTCTTAATAAGAAAAGCTATTATTATTATTATTATTATTATTATTATTATTATGCAAAATTATATTTTCAAACATTATTGAATTGCCAATTTCCACCATTGTCGAGTGCTTCTAAATCAATTCCATCACCATATCCTATGTATCCTAAATTAGTAAATGATCTATCTACAAGTTTGATATTAATGTCTGGCTTGTAACCATAAAACTCGTCATCATTTTCGAATTCTTCCAAGCTACTTACTTCACCATCTCCATCATAGATGTCATCATCATATAATTCATTATTTTCTTAGTTAGGGTCTACATATTCTTCACCTTAGAGTTTTGCAATATCTATAAGTTTTTGCTTTCTTTTAATGTAATCCTAATATTCCTATTCAGTTTATTTAAACTCATATGAAGTAGTAGGACCCTTCAACCATGGGTGATTGAGCATTTGCTCAGCAGTAGCTCTTTTTTCAGGCATGCAGTGAAGCATAGGCATCATGAAATCTTCAAAAGCTTTAGCTTCTTTCTCTTTCAAGCGATATCTATTTTGATATGAATAAAATATTAAATTTAATTTATGTAAATAAAAAAATAAACAATAATTACTTTTCTACTAAAACAGACTTGAGAGGCCAGTATTATAACTAAGGTATTCTTCTAAGATTGCCATTATTATCAAAGTATTTCTATTTAATTTTTCGAAGTATTTTAGTAAAAATTAAATAAATTTATATTTTTAAAATTACTTTTGATTTTTCACCTCTCTTTGCAAAGCTCTTTGGGAACTTCTTACACAACTCTTCAATTTGAGCTAAGTGGTCATCGTTCTTGGAAAAAGTAGGACCTTTTCTAGGCTCAAATAGAAAATCTCCTGTGAGCATTTCGAAGAGCATGCATGCCAAACTCCAAATATCAGCGGTAGTATTATATTTGCTTCCGATGATAACCTATCAATATAAAAAAACAAATAAATAAATAAATTTAATTTAAAAATATAAATTAATTACTTCTGGAGAACGATATTAACGAGTTTAAATTTCAGTGGCAAAATGATGGAAAGTCCAGCAGGCATTACCTAAATCTGCTATTTTTAGTTTGAAGTTTTCATCAAGCTAAGGTCCACGCATGAGTTTATTTTTATCTAATAGCTTAGTATCGGGCTAAGAGAACAAATCCTTTGTATTCATTTCTTTTTATTGGCTTGGCTTGTTCTCTTCTGCCTAATTTTCTTGCTTTGTAGATTCTTTAGTAGATTATTATTCTTATGGCTATTGCTATGCATTCTTTTATTCCTATAATTTTCTCTTCTTCATGCTAATTTTTTTACGGAGATTCTTTTTTTGCTTCTTTGTAAGACCAGGTTGCTTTAGCTTTTATTCAAGCTCTTTCAGGTTGGTATTATCCCCTTCATCCTTTTGATTACCATCATCATCTTCTCCGTCTTCATCATCATTATCATTATCATCATCTTCTTATTACTTTTTAGTTTTTTAATCAGGTTTAGCTTATTATTATTATTGAGGTTTTTTTTCTTCAACAGGTTTTTCTTCCTCTTCCTTAACTCCAAGATGCTTTCTTATGACTTTGAGACGCTCTTTAAAGAGTTAATTTTTTGTCATTTAGCCATTTTCAATAATATCCTTTAATTCATCTTAGGTTAACTAAAGTAGGACATTTTCAGGTTTTAAATCTGTATGAATAACATCGCAGAATCTATGTAAGAAATCTAAACCTATGAGAACTTATTTTGCTATTTTTCTGCATAAATGCATAGGAACACCACTATAGTTGTATCTTTTAATGACTTCTAGCAGGTTAACTCCTAAAATTTCAAAAACAAAACAGAAATGATTTCCATAAGGTCCTTTAAACACAAAGCTGTTCAATAACTAAACTACTTAGCAGTCATCTTTATTAAAGCTCTTTCTCTTTTCCTATTTTGTTTATATAGAAAATTTGAATAAAATAAGTAAATCTAATCGGTATATTAGCAATTCTATCTCTGAAAAAATTTAAATTAATAGAACTTAATCGCTTCTCATAAAAAGATGTTATAATAAATAAATAAGTTCAAAACTTTCAATCCAACAGATATATATATTAATTCTGTTTTTCTCTAAATAAAGAAACATTTATAATTGTTTACTCCTTCATAATACTTTTATAGCGACTTCATCCATTCAGGGTCTTTGCTCATTCTTGCTACCTTTTAAAGTATCTCAACTTCGTCGAATGCAGCTTCAAGATAGTGTGGAGCACTTTTTTAAATTTTAAGAGCTACATAAGTATCATACTTAAAATCTTTTGCGAGCCATACAGTTGAGAAGTGACCCCAACCAATTTTTTAAATAACAACATAACGCTTATTAACAACTTCTCCAATATGTACAGGATGGTAACCTCCAATTTTATAATCTTAAATACCCTCATCCTCACTGTCATGCTCCATATCAACTTAATTCATAATATCTTCAAGGGTTGGTCTAATTGTTTAATAATAAGATATATTTAATTTTAATATGCAAGAAATATTTAACAGAATTGTTTTATTAATTAAAGACAAGGCTTTTTATTTGAATTAATGGCAAATTAATTTTAATTTAAAAATCTATTTTGTAGATTTGTATTTTCTTATCAACAATTTTGATTTGTTCTCCTAGATTCCTATCAAGATAATAATGCCATTTTAATCTATGCTATGTAAGTGAATTGAAGAAATAAATGTATTTATTATGTTACTCTTTTTGTTGTGGTGGCTCTTGTACTGGAGCTTTTTAATTTTCAATATTGTGATTATTTCCTGCAACTTTTTAAAATTCATCTTCATAATATTAATACTGCTAATGAGGTTCTTGCTAGTGGGCAACTTAAAAGTCCATATTCTTTTAATAATTTAACTATTATTGCTATTAAAGGAGAGCCATTTGCTATTACTACTTGGCAATCCACACTTCGTCTTCTATTTTTTATAAAATGAAATATTTTCAAAAAATCAATAAAATTTCAAATTTTTGAAGTAGTTTGAAAACTTGAATAAAAGAAAGCTATTAAAAATATTTAGTCTATTTCTCAATAAAACAAACAATTCAAATTTAAGGCATTTTTTCATTTCCAAATAATTAGTTTATTATCTTTTATTTTAGCTCTGTAGAGTTTAAACCTACTGATGGGCTTTAAGCTTTTCTTTTTTAAACGCATCAATTATTTTTTTAACTTTATTTTGAACAATAATTGCAAATTTCTTTTTTAAACTTATAAAAAATGGATTATTTACCATAAAATTGAGGTTTCTAAAAATTAGTTTTAACTGGCTCGCCATCTGCATATTTCTATTTTTTAATTTATAGGCATATGATTAACTAATTTACTTTTATTTTCTCAGTAACCCTTTTTGCAAGGGCTACTTTATATATAAAGTCGTTGATAATGATTTACAATATTCTCCTTTTCAGTGGCACCCTTATGGTTTATGTTTTGATTTTGATAAGTCCCGTTTGAGGGGGCTAAATTATTAGAGTTTCCATTTAAATTTTTCTTAGAGTACTAACCATTAGTTGAGACTGTAGTAGCTGTGGAGGATGAATGATTCATATTAACTTATCCTAAAAAAGAAGTGCCTGTACTTTGTAAAAGATCTATTTTTATAAAAATAAGCTATTTAGAGGAGAAGATGGGCAAACCATGGCTTTTTATTTGAATACTTTAATAAAGAAAAGATAAACTGCTAAAATCTTTAAAAGGGTACAAAGAAAATGCGTGGGCTAGGAATATGATTAACTAAGAAATTAAAATTTTTACCTTCAGAATACATATTAATATCTTGATTTGCAAATGTTTGTTGTATAGAGAGTGAGTATTATACTTTTTTACCTTTTCTTATTTATTATTTAGATGAAATGTCCTAATAATATATTTAGTGATTTTATTTAATTCCTTTAAATTTTCTTTCTTTTTTTCTTTTAATTTTTTGATTTCTTCTTTTTATAAAATTAAAAAATATTTGATTTTTTATTTTTTTTGTAATTTGTATTTTTTTTTTAAAGGTCATTTGATTTAATGACAATTTCCATCGCCTTCTCTTTCCTTTTACGTAATTCCTATTTATATTTCAATTTAAGGGTCATCACCTATTTAAGTTTCTTTTATTTATTACTCAATATTTTTGAGTTAAAGCATATTTATTTTTCTCATTCTATCACTGAAATGCGAACAGCATTTTAAAAAACTTAATTTTTGAAATTTTTCAAAAGAAACATATGTAAATTGAATGATTTATAGATAGATATTTTGATATTAATTTTTTGAATTAAAACCATCACAATTTATCAAAGAAGATCTTTGTACGATCAATCAATAGCTTTTACTTTTAAAAATTGTTTTAGGTAAAAATTAAATTTTCTATTCATATAATCTATTAGAAGAATAGCATTTTATGACTAAGAATCTTCTAAATTTATTATTTTCTATTATAGAAAATAAAACAAATCGATATTTGTTGATTAAATACATTTAAAATCTTCGCTTTTTACCATAATTCATCAACTTAAATTTAAAAAAAACTTTTTTTATAATTTAAACTGAAACAATTATTTATTTTATTCTAAGTTAATAAAAAATGTGAAATACTCTAATTATAGTTAACATTAATAGATAATTTTTTTTTAATTTAATGAATTAAATAATTTAAATTCTTGAAAGTATTTACAATAAATACAGATTATTAAAATTAAATAGAATTTTTGATTTCGTTAAAAAGATAAAAAAGTATAATATTTATAATTAAATAGAGCATGGCTGGGTTATTAAATTTTAACGTTAATTATTTTTTTATGTGCTCTAAAAAAGAAAAAAAAATATTGATTTAAAGTATTGAAAAATAAATAAAAAAGAATACATAGATAGATATATACTTATCTAACACTCTGTATTTGTAAATAAACAAAAGTTAAATAAAAAACAAATTCATAAGCAACGGCTAGCTATTTTATATTTTTTAGTAGCCATAAAAAAAAATATTTGTAAATAGATTAATTAATTTTACTTAAAGGCAAATGGAATTAGAATAAATTATTCAATCTTTCGAAGAGAAAATTAATATCATCAAGTTAAAGAAAATCGATGTCATATTTTCTAAGCTTAATCCTGATCAGAACGATATAATCTATCTCAGAAATCTAGTAACAGCATTAAAATTTTAGAGATTTTATAAAGTTATTTATAAATAAAATGTAAGTTTTACAACTAATTTAATTTTATTTTACTTATTTAAAGCAAGAAACTATTGGTTAATTTATGCCTGAAGAAGCAGACGACTTATTAAAATTTTTCAATACTTTCAGTAAACAGACTGGTAAAAACCAAATGAGCAGAAAGTATTTTTACATGAATATGATGGCAGCGGCACAACAAAATAAATTTAATATCAATAAAATGCTTTATGAGTAAATTTTTTGTTTAAGTTTTAAATATTTTTAATTTATTTAATGGATTAAAAAGTGATGATATCAATGAAATACAAAAGAGTCTCTAAAACATACGATTAAAAAACAGAATGCAAAATTCATAATTAACTTAGAAAAGCTAAATATAATAAATGTAAATATCTACTAACTGCACTAATGTCTCTTAAAATTATGGGATAGTATAATTTTAAAAAGAAGATCAATATGACTTATAGTAGTAAGCCCATTCTAATTTGTAAAAAATCTAAATTAGCAATTATAAGGAATAAATACTACAAAACTAAATATAAAATAATATGCCATAATTTTAACAGTCAAATGAGTAATAAAATTGTTAGTAAAATTATATTCCAAAAACTGATAAAACAAATCAATCATTTAACTAAATGTTTTCAACAAGTTCTAATTAAGTTAACAGCTCTAATAATTTTTTAAATAATATTTCATCAGTTTAAACTACAAACATAAGCTACATTAAAAATGATGATAATTAAGTTATACCTCACATAGAAATATCTTTAAAAAATGCAATTAGCACTCCTATGATTCCTGATTAGGGTGTTAAAGATTAATACTTAACCTCCTCAGAAAGTAGCGCTTAAAAAACTTTGCATACATCGAAAGAAAATTAATTTTCAGCTAATAAGTTAAATAATAATAGTTTTTGCAATATCAGTGCCATATAGAATGTGAGCTAAGGTGACTCTGCTTTAATAAGTCAAGAGGATTAAGAAAATCATAAGCATCAAATGAACAAAAGATAAGAAGACAGTATATTACACTAAAATTTTGCAAAAAATAAATAATAAAATAGTAATTCTACAAGGTTTATCACAAATAAGAGCAATAAACATAGCTAAAGTAGTGAGAGAAATAATATATTATAAAAAAGCCAATAAAATAACTCAGCATAAGTAAGAGAAAATATTAATAATACAAATGTTTTGTAACAAATAAACAATTAAAATTTATTTTAAAATTGCACTAAAAGTAATCTTTAGTAGTCTATATATGAATAGGTTCTCAAGTAAAAAAAACCAGAATAAAATATAAATTAATAAGTGTCACAATCAAAATCTAATTAACCTGGTATTGTTTCTACTTCGATCCATTAAGACAGCTTAATAAAAATAATTAGTAGAGATAAAATTATTAAAGACTTTAAAGAAAACTTTAGAGGCAAAGAAAATTTCTGTGATGATTTTATGGAACTGGAAAGTACAATTAGAAGATTAGAAAAAACAAATCATAGTCCAACAAACAGTTAATTAAATAAAACTGCATAACATGAAGGTACAACAAACTGTGATACTTAATTGTAACATTTAAATAATAAGCAATAAGTTAATTAGAGTAGCTTTTAGTTTTTTTCTAATGATTCTAAAAATAATAAAATAATAAATTAGATTTAAATCAACTAATCTTTAAACTCTATTTAAAATAACAATTAAAGAGAACATACTCCTAAAGTGCTAAAAAATATATCTAATTCTAGTTCTAATATTAAAATTAAAAACAAAGTAAACTAAGAATATTCTAATTCTAAACAAAAAAATTTAGATAAAAGTTTGAGCAACTCCAAAATTTCTAAAAGTTCTTAAAAAAATAAAGATTAATCTTAAAAAGAAAATACCTTTTCAAAAAACACAATAGATTCAAGTGTGAGAAGAGTGACGAGGAGCACATCAGCAAATATCATAGATAAAAAAAGGAATTAGAGCAAGTCTCCTTCATAAGAAAAAATGAACTAAAAACAAACAATTTCAAGAAAAATATCCTCAGACTAAATTCCAAGCTATTTAAAGGAGAAAGAAAGATCATTGTCTTAAGGCAGAAGAGAAGAAAAAACACCAATAAAATTTTTAGATTTTAAATAAAAATAAATGCAAAATAAATAAAGTAAATTTAAAAGTTAGAAAATTAAATAAAATGAATAAGAAAAAGAAAATATTATTGAAAAATTAACCCATCCAAAGGTTTACTCTTCTGTTTCATAAAATAAAGAAAATGAGCCATACGTTTAAGTTTTAAAAAATTCTTAAATTTAAAACGAATAATAAATTAAATTAAGCTAAAATGCTAACAGTTCTAATTAGTAAAAGTTAACTACAGCTGCTCCAAGATCTAATGGATAATTTAATTCAATCAAGTAAATTAAAAGTATTTGAATAAAAAATTAATTTAATTAAATTCTAAAAATAATTAAGATAGAGTTTTTCTATTGACAGAATTAAAAAAATTAACGGGTACCAAGAGCAATTCAACAAAAAAAAACAATAGCAGTAGATTAAGTCAAGTAGAAATCATTGTAATTAATTTAAATTCAATATGTATTTTATCAATATTTTATTTTTTTTTTTTTTTTGAATAGCAATTTCAATAGCACAGGGTTCTTCTCAAGAGAATTCAATTTGTGGTTAAAAAAAATCAATAGATGCCAACTAAAATTAATAATAACAATTTCCAGATAAAGTGATTATTCCTAACTTTCTCATTAAAGATGCAAGCAGTTGTGAAGCAATATAACTGGAAGAAGAAAATCCCTAGAAAAATTTAAAGAAAATTGATCATTCTAATTTAAATTAATCTCCTTAGTATTAGTAATACTTTGAAAAAATCATAATGTAAGATGAAAAAATTAGTAAATATTTTACAACATAGAATGATGATGAAAACAGTTAATACATCAATAATTAAATTCAACCTAATTATATTCAAAGTGAATATATGAGTAAAAAGTAGTCTCACCACTCTTCAAAAATGAGTGATCATTCTACTTTAAGAGAATAAAAATTTGAAGCCTTAGAAGGAATAACTTTAGACTAAGAATCAACTTCTATTGATTTAAAAGAAAAAAAATCATCTAGAGAATTAAAAAATAAACATGAAACAATTTACAATTTAATGATTAACGAAGATCTTTATCAATCAAAACAAGATGAAGAAAGCCTGTAATGTAAAAAAATGAATAACATAAATTTTGATGAAAAATAAAATTAATAATATTAATTGGCTCCACCTTAATTTGGGGGATATAACAACTACAATTCGAATCAAAGCTAACAAAACAATTTACAAAAATCTTTTCTTGATAGTCCAAGCTAATTTTTGGAAGTATTAAAAACTAAAATAGAGGAAGATGAAAGCAATGAATTCATTTAAGTTTAAATGGAAAATTTAAAAAAAATTTAGTAAGAAAAGTAAAAACTCATATAAGAAGAAGCATAAATGCTCTAATAATTACAAAAGTCTTAATTGTCTAAAGTAAGCTCTAGAAATTCTCTGTCTAATAGTATATAATCTTAACTTTCCATCAATAAATAAGCTTAGCTCTAATAAGGAGCTCAATATAATCTTAAATAATTTTAAGACAAAGCATCACCTGGTTTACCTCTTCCCTAAAAGTAAAGTAGTATTTAATAATAAAACCTATCTCAGTAGCAATAATAGTTGAGATCTTCATATTACTCAAATAGTAATAATAAGCCATTTAATCAATAGAATTAATAATAAAATGGTTACTAAAGTCAAAAAGTTAATTCCACTAATAAGCAGCTTTCTAACTTAGAAGAAAAATAAGATAATATAGAATACAACAATGCCAAAGAAGTTTAATCTATTATATTTCAAAATAGTAACTACAATTCCTTAAGTAGCCAAAGAGAAGTCTAAGGGTCTATTGATAGTGGTTATAACTATACATCAAATGCAGCACAAAAGTATAGTGCAAACTCTAATTCATAATAATAATCATTTTAAAATTAAATTGATTTTTAGAATTTTTATTCAAAACAAGTAAATGGAAGCATCTAAAACCTAAACAGTCAACCTGTTTCGTCTTATCCTAATAATCAAAACAGCTCGCTTAATTTTTCATTTACTGATTCTTGAATAAAAATATAATTAACAAATCTAATAAATTAAATATAATACATCACTTTTCTCTTTGTAAATATTTTTATTAATGTATTAATCCTTGTCAAATTGTAAGATTAAAATCATTTGATTATGAATTTTTCATAAATTTTCAACAATTTTTATTATTTAAAAATAGCAAATTACTATAATTACTATATTCATCATTTTTAGAATTGTATCATATCTATCCTAATTCTGAATTTCTGAAAAATAAAAAAAATATTTTATAATTAGAACTTGTAAGGTAAATTTTTCAAAGAGGATTAATGGTTTATAAATTTTAAAAAGTTTTATAATTAGAATATTTTAATGTCAATAAAATAAATTAATCTACTTATAAAATACATTTATTTAATAATGAATGATATCATACAATTAATTAAAGATTAAATTATAGAATAATTTTAAAAATATAACATAAATATTTTTATTCAGTCAGAAGCAAAGTGAAATCACTATTATTACTAATTCTATTTAGTTACTTGTTAATCAAAATTTTTTATATTTTAATTTAAATAGTAGAGATTTATGCTTCTAGAATTTTGGAATTTACTAAATATCTACTTTTCTATTTTTCTCATTAACCAAATACCTAAATGTTCATTTAAATTATTAAATGGATCAGTATATACAGAAACTGCACCATTTAAGTTAGCAAGTAGAACATCTGTAAACAATCTGTCTCCAAAGAAAGCTATTTCGTGGTTTTTGATTGAAACATTTGTATTTTTTTACTTTATGTGATTGATTATTTCTTAAAAATTATGGGGTTTTTTTTGGCTTGTTAGAATTAATTCTATTCCTAAGTTTTACTAAACTTCTTTTTATTTTTATTCACTTTTAATTGAGTTAGATACAATAAATATTTGAGAATTTTGATCATACAATTATTTGATTTCATTATTTACACAACTTTATATTTTATTATCATAAAATTCATTTTTTAAGTGAGCAGTCAAAGTATTATCTTTGTCAAACACTAAATATTTAACACCTAATTCTTTTAATTTTGAGTAATCTATTGAATCAATTCTTGGTACATATACATTAGGATTAAGCGTCCAAGGATTATTCCAAGTTATTTTTAACAATTTTAAGTAACTCATTAATATATTTTTATTGGTTTTGTATCTATTTATTTATCTACAATAATTTTTTTATTTTTATCTTAAACAATCGATGAAAGTAATTAATTAAAAATATTATTTATTTTTTTTAACTTAGATTTAATTGAATAAACAAATCTTTTTAAATTTATTTTGATAAATATTTATATATTTGTTAAACCCAAATGGAAGAATTCTATCTATGAATATACTTCTCTAGTTAAAATTCTTAAAAACAACAATATTAAATTAAAAAAAAATCTTAAAATTTCAATAAATTATTCCAAAAAGAAAAGTTTAAAAGATAAATAATAGATAGTTAAATAGATGTCAACTAGGGATAGAAGAAGCGAAGAAAAAATTATTTATTACCAACCAGCTCCTTAAACTGAAGATTAGTAAGGAGGTGATTTGTAGTAAATTCTCTCTTTCATTTTAGGTTTTGTTGGTATTATGATGAAAGTAATTTTATATTCAAATTCCTTAATTGATTCATAAAAATGAAAATATCTTCAATCAAAATTTTCAAAAACTTTAAAATGTATAATTTTAAAAAATAAATAATTAGTAAAAGATCTGTTTATGGGTAGCTTTATTCATGCTTCTTTCTAATTTTGCTAATATCAAGCAAACCTCTGATGTAAAGCAAATGATTATTAATGCAGGGTAAAACTTACAAATTAAAATCAAAAATATAAAATATGATACAAATTTTTAATTAAAAGCATTATTGTTATGGGTATGGTCTCTCTTTACTATTGGTAACCTAAATTAGAAGAATAATAACTCTAAGCTTAAATGGCTTAATAATAGTAAGGTGCTGCTGCTTCTGAGCCTGTTTTAGAAGAAAAGTTTGAATAATGAAAAATGATAATTCTAACTTTATAGCAAAATCATTTTAAAAAGCATTTATTTAAATTAAAATAAATTTAATTGTAATATATTTCGATTAAAATCATTCATCAATCGTCTATCTATTTTTAAAATAAAATCTAATTTTTAAGTATAAATTATAATAAAAATGATCATTTATTTTAAAGAGGAATAGTGTCAATTTTGAAATTTTTTTGTGGTTTTACGAATTTCTTTAAAATTAAATAATAGATAAAAAAGTATCTTTTAAAATAATTTTCAATAAAATCCCTTTTTTGCTATTTAACTAAAATTTTATTCTAAATCAATATTAAACAAATCTGAATTTATTTTAAAATAAAAATGAATAATATATTCAAAACATAAGCTAAAATCATAAAAATACTTTTTAAAAAAATAATAATTAATATTTAAATTGATTGATATTTGTTTATTAATTTAGAAATTAAAATAAAATATTGAAAAATAATTAACTATTTTAACTCAATTACATAAAAATAAATAAATGATTGATAGATAGATAGATAGATAGATAGATAGATAGATAGATAGATAGCTCATATTAAATTTAAAATACTTGCTTTTAATCAAATAAATAAATAAATAATTATTTTTAATCTTATAAAAAATTAGGTGTTTTATTTATATAAAAAAAATTAAATGATAAGATGAAAACAATTTAATTTAAATATCTTTTCTTTTTTATTTAATTGATGACAAATTTGATAATATAACTTATATAGCTTTTCAAAAAATAATCATAGTATTTTAATTTAAATATGTTTAATTATAAATTAAATAATTTTTTGAAAATTATTAATGTTATCCATTAAATAAAAAATAGTTTGAGACTTATTAGTTAGATAACTCTCAATAAAGTTGAAATACTAAAATAAGGTGTAAAATTTAATATTAGTAAATTAAGATTTGAAAGAAATTATGATAAATAATATGTATTTTTTACTTTTTAATATTTAATTGTAATAAAAAAATTTAATTTATTAATACTCTATAATTTTAGTGATTTAAAGTTTTTCAAAATTTATATGATGTTTCTTTCATATTATTTTATTTGTGCTCACTCCTTTGTAACTAATTCTTTTAAAAGAGTATGTGCTATTTGTAATTAACATCTTGAAATATTAAAAAAATAACTTGGTTTAAGCTTATGAGATAATTATTATTTAAGAAAATATGAGAGAACAAAACGATTGATTATCTTTATTTTAATTTTTACAGTATTCGATTGATTTTTGCTTTTAAATACAATTTAAGGAACTAGCTTACTTTTAGTGGTTTAAATAAAATCAAAATGATGAAATGTCAAGTTTTTTAGCGTTATGAGTGCATGTATTTCTCTAAATTTTTTGATGAGCTTTATTTTTAATGAATCACCCAACAGAATTTATCAAAAAATCATTTATTCTTTTATATATAATAAAGCAAACATTAATATGAATAAACAAGCACATATATTATGCATATATTTTAGAAAAAGTAATAAGAAATAGATATCAAAATTTATTATAAGGAGTGTCTGAATCAGTATAATTTGATATTTCAGTGACATTATCATATTTTTTTACTGCTTCTCTCCAATCTTTATGAATTCCATTGAAAGAGTAACCTAAACCACAACCTAAAGCTATAACTAATCCTACCCAAAAGTTCATAGTCATCATTAGCATCATAACTATAATGTTTGAAAGTTGGTAAATGAATTAATATCCAGTTAGAACTAATCTAATGACAATCATAGATGATGATCTACATAAAAGGAATTCTCTTAAAAATTTCTCTATTCTAGGTAAAAACATATGTGCAAAACAGTAAATAAATGTTAAAACTAAACCCAAATAAAACCATCCTGGGTTTCCATCCTCTTTAGCATACCAACTTTTATTTTAAAATAATTTTAATAATTATAATTCAAACACAATAAAAACTTACGTTTTAAAGACGAATTAAACGTCTCTAGTGAATTCCATTATCATATGCATCATTTTTGCTAAAGTTGTTTCAAAGTTTTTTTATTATTTTTAGCTATACCAACCAGTTTAGGTTATTTATTTTTTTTTTTTTCTGGAATATTTTTTACAATTAATTTATGAAGATAGAAAACCAATTGATCTAATTTTAACTAAATCAGAACTCTAATTTGAAATTCTTACTTTGACTTAATAACAACAAAATCAAACATAAAAATACTTATTATAAATCATATGAATAGAATTAAATTTTCAATTGAATTATAAATAGTTTATTATAAATTAAAATGATACAAATATTTTTAGTAAATTATGTTTACTATTATTAAATGAATTATTTTTAGCATTAAGCAGATACCAAAAACACAAAATCCTTCTATTTTAAGTTCCATATTTTGGTTCTACATTAAATAAAAATAATTAAAATAAAATGTACATTAATGTCAATTTGCTTATGAAATTTGATTTTTATTAAAACTTTTAAAAAAATAAAGAAATATATTTAATTTGAAATACTCATATTTACTATTTTATGATAAAATAATTTATAGAATTTAAATTTGAAAGATATTAATTTGCTTATAAATTTTAATATGTTTAATCTTAATATATTAAAATTTGATATCAATTATTTTAAATAAAGAATATACATAAAATTATTTCTATTCATTTATTTATATTAAAGCTTAATATCAAAACATAATATTTGTATGGGTATATTTTTATAAATAAAACAATTAAGGATGATTAAAATTTATTGAAATATTTTATAAATCTTTTTATTTATTTTGTATAATTTAATTTATTAAAGTTAGGTAAATTTTATTTATTATTTCGATGTTAAATTGAAATATTTAATTAATTAATTAATTAATTGCTTATCTCAAATTCTTAAAAAATCTCTAATACTTTAAGGTAAAAGACTGCAATAGCAACTGCTATTTTAAATTTCATTATTTTCTATTGACATTTTAAAATTCTACTAATTAGTTAAATCTGATAATTCACTTGTAATTTTATTTTCATTGTTGTATAATTGAACATTCGTTTCTATTTTATCAATTGGCATTTATTGTTTCAAATCAGCTTCTACATCTATTCCTTCAAATGTTACTCTGCTTTTAGTATTTTATTTAGAATTTTATGACTTAAGAGATTTAAAAGTAGGTATATTTGAGCAGCTTGACACAAGTTAATCATCTTTATAAATACCTTCTTAAATAACTTTTCCATTAAAACTAATAAGTAAACCTTAGCCTTCTCTTTTATCGCATCTAAACTTACCAATAAAAGTAGCACAAAGATCATAAAATATAGCTTTTCCTTATCCATGTTTCATCCCATTTTCTATTTAACCAATATATTAATCTCCATTAATATAAAATAGCTTTCCTTTACCGATTTGAGTATCATTTACATATTCACCTTCATACCTTTCTTAATTTGAATGAACTTAAATTCCTAGTCCATTTTTTTAATCATTTTAAAAATCACCAAAGTAGTAGGATTTATCTTTCTTTATTATAATACCTTTACCATGTCTTTACTTATATTCATTTACTTCCCCAATATATTTGCAATCGTTCTCAACAATATATTAAACATTAGTTCTAAGATTTTCTTAACAAGGAGATATAAAATCAATATTTTTGCCTTAAAGAAATATATAGGTTTTTGCGAATTCATTAAGAAGCATTTCATTTTCCAATTTCAAGCGCTATTAAATAGTGTAATTGCTATCTCTATCTGCAGTATTATATGCTTACATAGGATTTATATCTGATTATTATAGATTAAGACTTTATGAATTTCTCCATAAAAATGAAGATTTTTTATCCTCAAGCAAGCCATATTTATAAGAATTATAGTTTTTTCCAGAAGCATCGCTATTAGGATTAAAAGTATCTATATACTAAGACTCAAATTGCATTATTTAAATTATTTTCTAAAGATTTAATCCAGTATTAACTCTTACAATTTTTCTAATATAAATCAATTTTTGCTGTATTTATTAATTTTTAATTCAATTAAAGTATGATTTTTACATTAAATAATTTGATAAGTGCCATTGATTAATATATATCTCTAAAAAAAAATTAAAATTATTAGAATTCGATGTTTTAACAGCTCAATATCAATTAATAAGTGATTATCAAAAAAAAAATAAGTATAATTTGCAAATATATTTAACAAAAACAGCTACCAAATTTAACTTACAATAATTAGAGTAAATTAATTTTTTATACTTTTATTAATAGGTATATATTATAATGACTAATAAACCTCGTTACTCCTCCTGCTTTAACTAAAAAGAAATGAGAAAAAATAAAATGTGTTTTTTGATTTTATATTAATTGTAGACAGAAAATTTATGGAAAAACTTTAAATCTCGAATTTCTTTAATAAACAGATCTAATTTTGATAGAATTTTACAATTAAATAAATTTATAAGATGAATATATAATTTCAAACATAAAAAAGAAAATATTTAGTAAAGAAATTATTTTTTATAAAAGTAAATTTATACTAAATATTAAAAGCTAGTTATTTATTAGTTCTTAAACATTAAGCGAGCTTAGACATTTTAGAAGTACTCATAATAATAATTTTTAATAAATAAATTATATGATTTTTTAAATCTAATCTAAATTCTATTTTCTTTAAAGTTTTTTAATAATTAAATTAATAAAAGCATATTCATTCTAAATATAAAGACCTAGTTATTTATATGTTGATAAATATTAAAGGAGCTTAGATAATTTAGAAGTACTCATGATACTAATTTTTAATAAATAAATTATCTGATTTTAAAAATGCAATCTAAATTCTATTTTGTTTAAAGTTTATAAATAATTAAATTATTAATTTTTAATATAATTTAGAACTTTTGTTTTACCTTAATAAACCAAAATAAAGTATATTTCAATATTAAATATATTTCCTACTGTGCAATCTCTGTTTTTAATTTAGTGTCTTTAATAACATGTGTTGACAAAAATTTGAGACATAAAAATTTAAGATTTTTTTATTTAAAAATTTAATTTATTTTTAAATTATTAAAGCTTTTAATCCATATATTTATTTAAATCAACATTTTTTCAAATAAAATAATTATTTGAATTAAAATTTGTAAATTAATTAATATTATTTAATCAAATATTTAAATTATTTAATTTATAAAATAAAATAAACATATGTTTTTTTTGGAGAATTTATTAATAATAAAAAATAAAGTTAAAGCATTTTTTCTTATAAATTTATAATTTAAGTGAGAATTTATAAATTAATTGGTGTAATTAGTTTAAAAATATATATTATTTCATTTAAGAAATAAAATTAAACTATCGTTTTTTGAATGAGGATTTAGTTATTTTATTCTTATTATAATTTAAAATTTAAAATAACAATTTACAAGAATTAAATTAAAATTATTATAAAAATATTTGTAATTAAAAAAAATAAATTAATTTAAATTAATAGTTAACAGCTTCTTTCTTTCTGCATATATCTTTCAATTTTATTATTATGTTTTTTTTGCAGAAATAAAAAATATTTGTTATAAATAAATTTTTTTTTTATGTATTAAATGCTTAATACATATTGATTTAGTACAGAGAATAAGATCAGATAATTAAGTGTACATATCTTTTCTTGAATAAATACATCACTGATGAATATTTTTAAAATTAATTTGAAACAGGAGAAGTTTGAAAGATAGAAAAATAAATAAATAAGATATTGTAAAATAAAATAAAGAGATTCATATAGCATCAATCAAGAAACTATCAAGAGAGAATGTCATAAGCTAAAGACGATAAAAATAACAAAGATAATTAAGCCAAAAAGGTTGAAAAGAAGGAAGAAGTTGTTAAGAAACCTGTTACCCTTTTAGAAGGTAATTTCAAAGAAGAAATGAAAATGTTTTATATTGATTTAAATAAATTCTTACAAATTTTGATGATTTTAATCATGCAATTTTTGATGTAAAAACGACATTAATCATTTATTTAAATCAATAAAATGCATAAAAATTAATTTTTTTATTTTATTTAATGACTTATCTTAAAATCACATAGAACTCAGAAACTAGGTTTTAACAATTGAAAAAGCTATAACTTAAAGCGATTTAAAGACTGTTTAGAAGACATGCAAAGGTATGAGACGCTTCAAAAAATATTTAAAATCTCACCACTTTGCTAAAATTTGGGCTGCTATCTTCCCAAATGAAACTGAATATAACTTTGAAAGCTTTGAAGATTTCGATAAAACATTTGAAGAGAATTTCGATATTTCCAAGAAAAAAGTTTAAAAAATTTCAAAGGCTCCTGAATTTGATTTCTTTTTCAAAATTCTCCTTTTATGCTACTTCCTTCAAATAAATAAAGTTGATCAAGTATGGTTTTTTTCTTCAAAAATTATGACGAATACAATTTATATACATTCAATAAATACATGAGTATTCAAGTGACAAATACTATAAGCTTTTAACATATATTTATTATATAATATGTTTAATTATTATTATGTTTTGGGATGATTTTTCAATCTAAATTATAAATAAATTATTTAATAGGCTTATGATTTAGCTGGAAAGCTGTTTAACAGAGTTTCTGAAGTTAATAAAAAGCATTTTGAATAGCTGAGTGCCTTTGTTTATTTCTATTATGCACGTACTCGTGAAATTAAAAACCAAATTATTGAAATTAGGGAGTAATAATTAATATGTTATGATAGCATTTTAGAATTTTAAAATGCTTCTAGATTTTATTTGTAATTAAACATGTTTTTAATTAAAAAAGAGAACTATTCGAGGCTTATAGATTAGCATGTATCAAGCATAATGATTTAGCTTAAGTAAATTCGATTTGAATAATGTTTGATTCTTTAATAAGTTATCTAATTATATTATAAAAGGCTACTTTAATTAATGCTATTTTGAGAAACTATTTGCACTACAATCACTATGAAGCTGCTTAACATTTTGTTTCTAAAATTACTTTCCCTGAAAATGTATCAAACAACGAACTAATTCGTTTCCTTTACTACACTGGTAGAATAAAAGCTGTTCAAGTAGAATACTCTGAAGCTTTCAATTACCTTAATTAAGCTCTCAAAAAGTCTCCTGATAACTCTGCTTTAGGATTCCGTATTGAAGCATAAAAACTTGCTATTATAGTAGAATTTTTAATGGTAATTTAGTTCTTAAAAATAACAAAATTTTACCTGAAATATTTTTAAATAAAAGGGTAATATTCCTAGTAGAGATATTTTTACAAAGTAAGAGTTCTGGAAACCTCTTTATCCTTACTATAAGTTAGTTTAAAGTGTATTGAGAGGTAATTTGCTTGACTTTAACAAAGTTGTTGCTTAATATGCAAACTTGTTCATAAAAGATAAAAATTTTTCTTTAATTCAAAGGTAAAAAATCAATAAAATGAAATGCAAAAATAAAATTTTTTTAATTATTTTAAATATAGGTTATAGCAAACAGTTATTAAAACTGGATTAAGAAAAATCAATTTATCCTATAGCAGAATTTCATTTACTGATATTGCATAAAAATTAGACTTGAAAAAAAATAGTGATGTTGAATTCATCGTAGCAAAAGCCATTAGAGATGGTATCCTTAATGCAAAGATTGACCATGAAAATTAGTATATAGTTATTAAGGTAATTTCTTAAATAATCTTTTAAAAAAAGCATAAAATTTTTAATTTAAAATTATAAACTAATAGCAAGAAAACGATATCTATAGTACTAATTAACCTTAAGATGCTTTCGCTAAGAGAATTTCATATTGTCTTAACCTCCACAACTCTGCTACTAAAGTAATTTAAACAAATTCTATAAATAAAATTAAAAATTATAAATGTTTTTTAATACTTAATAGGCTCTTTAGTATCCTGATACAAACTACCAATATTAGAATAAAAGCGATGATGAAAATGATGATGATGAGGATATTGATATTTATAAAATTATGGAAGAAGACAGTTGAAATTAATATTTTCCAATAAAAACAAAAATTAAGAGAAAAATCATTAAAATTAAACTTAAAAATTTTAAAAGAAAATAAAATCTTACTTATTCTTTAGAATACTTAAAAAGTTTATATTCTTTGTAAAATCATTAAATCAATTTAATTAGAAATCTAACATAATATTTTCCTTTTAACTGTTAAAATTTTAACTTTATTTGTAAATAGGTTTATCGATACATATAAATACTTTATTGTTAAAATCTCTTCAAAATACTAAATAGTAAAATAAAATATAAATGGTAAAAAAATTCTTAGTTTTATATTAAAATTTAAAACTCAGACAAATCGAGATATTTATTTTTAGTAAATTAATAATTCTTCACTTTATTTTTCAACACTAAAAAATTAAATTTAGAGAAATTTAAATAATTAAATTAATTTATAATAAAACTATTTATTATTTTTTTAATGTTAATAAAAAAAATTGTTGAGTTTATTTACTTCTTAATTTAAAATTAAATTTTTTTTCTATTTTCAATTAGTTTTTTTGTAAAATATTTTTTTTGAATTCCATTTAAAAATCAAATAAAAAATTTTATTTTTAAATAATCTTGGTAAAAATTTAATTTTACTAAATAAAAAAATAAATTAAAAATAGTAAAAAATATTTAATTTTTATTATTTAAAAAGAAATATTTTTAGTTATTAATAATTTATCAATTATTTTTCAACATGAAAAGTTAAAATTTAAAATAAAATATTTATTTATTTTTATATAATACTTACATAGAAAACTGGTAAGTTTATATGAAATATAAAAAAATTTTTCTATTTTAAATTAGTTTTTTTTGTAAAATAATTTTTTAGATGTCAATTTAAAAATAAATAAAATTAGCTTTTTTTATTTTGATAAATATTTGATTTTAGGAAACAATAAGTTTGTTTTGTAAAAATAATTAACTATGTTTCAACATAGTATGTAATTTTATCAAATAAAAATAGTTAGAAGAATAAATTTATCAAAACCACTTTTGTTAGTATCATTTGATAGATTTAAAAAGATTTAAATATTTATCTATTTAGTAATATTTTTTACGTAATTTATATCTTGGACCTATAAAAATTGTTGATTAAAAAATCTTATAATTAATTTATTCTTTAGATTGAATAGCAATACCATTTTTTAATTAAGAGACATGCCAATTGGTTTAATATTATCTAAAATTGGTCTCCTAAACCATAGCTTTGCAAATAAGTTTGATTAATACCTTGTTTCTGGTACTTACGCTGGAGAGTTAATAGAATGGAAGTAATATCTTCCTTAGGCAATAACTGATTTAGTCTTTAAGTATAGTGGTGATTATGGATTTAGATTGTTGCAAGAATATCTATCTTCTGTCTTCTTATTTTTTGTTAGCTCGACTATCCTTTATTTTACAGTGTCTACTTTTATGTATTTAATGCTGTTTGTTTTCTTTAGAAAGACTTTTCTCCCTAACCATAAAGGAGGAAATTTTAAGATTTGGTTTGATATAAAATGGTCATTTTATGTGATTGTTTTCCAATCATTTGCTATGTCATTTTTAAATTTATTGATTCCAAGATACTCTCTCGTCTATTATGACATCAATGAATATCCTAAGTGGTGGTATTACCTCACATTCTTACTACATCTTGCTTTTAATGAAACATGGATTTATTGGACTCACTATTTTGGTCACTATACTTAGTTTGGCTACCAAAAACTCCACTGGGTTCATCATGTGTAAATAAATTTTTTTAAATTTACATCAATTCTACTTAAATAATTTAAAACTATAGAAAAAACTGAAAAACTTAATTTTATTTTTATTATTTAACTAGGTCAATAGAATTCACTCCTTTTAGTGGCTGGACTTTCCATCCCTTAGACGCCTTTTTGCAAGGATGTAATACACTTTTAAGTTGCTACTTCTTCCCAATACACATCAGTGTAATTCAATTTTACTCACTTTTTGGAGGACTGTGGTCAATATTTCTACATGATAACATACCTTGGATACCTCTTAAAATATTTATGTACTCTCCTAACCACACAATACATCACATTTAAGGCCATGGTAGGTTATCTAATCTTGGTCACATGACTACAGTATGGGATAGAATAGTAGGAACATACGAAGACCCTGATATTGTAGACTATGGATGGCATTAGTTCCCTTCATTCATAAAATTCTGTAATTTCTTTAATAATATATATGACTAAATATGTCCTGACAGATCCTCTAAATGGAAAGGAAATAAATCCATACCTGATAAAAAATAAGACTGAAAATATTATTTGAAAATAATTTCTTGATTTATAATTAAAATTCAAAAACGAAGTGATAATATAACTAAATTAATCTATAAATTTTATTATTTTTAAAAGACTGGTTATGTGTTTAGTTAAATCAATTAACTTAAATCTAAAATTTATTCAATTATAATAAAAAACATTATTACTGAAACTTTTTTTTTATCGAATCTATACAAAATAAAAATACTTCTTTTAAATTATATTCAAAATTAATCAATATTTTTGTTTATTTATCTTTCACAAAACAAACTATTAAACAAACTTTTATAATGGTTTTATAAACATCTTCGATTCCAAAAGCAGTTAGATAAACAAATAATTTAAATTATATAAATTTAATAAGTATTATACTTAATCAACCAAAAAATAAAATTATTTTTTGTGAAGATCTTAAATTAAATGAATGAATGAATGAATTAATTAATTAGAGAGATAGATAGATATACATCATAATAATTTTTTGAAAGGGATTAATATACTTAAACTATATACAATATTTATTGATCTATATTTAGTTATTTTAACTCTATTTACAATAACACAATAATATGATAATTAATTAATTATTTATATTATAAATATTTATATATTTATTTATTCTTTCACTTCCAATAAATCATTTTTTTAATTGGCAACCTAAATTTATAAAAAATAAATTATTATTTATGAAATACAAAAATAAATGTTTACTTTTTATATGAATCAGTAAGACCATAGTCTTTCGAATAGCTAAATATCTCGCTTTATAGTAAATTATTTAATATATTTTATTGGTTCTTAGAATTAATTGGGCTTTTTTCATTTTGATTTATATTATAAAATATATTCAATGAGTTGTTTTGATGCTATGATTTCGCTTTTTTCTATTCATTTTATTTGCTAAAGTTTTATGATTTCTTTTTTAAGTTTTCTTCTTCTTCATTCAAAATATCAGCAAGAGATTGATTAAAAATATTTTGAGAAAATCTCATATTTCTCTTATTTTTTATATTATTTTATTAAATTATCTTTATTTTTTTTCCATAAGGCAAAGAATTAGTATTATTATTTTGGAGAGGTGTACTATAGCTAAAATTATTATTGTTATTAGACTAATCTAACAGCTCAGATATATTTATTTCATCATTTTATTTGCTCTTTCTTGGAGAAGCACTAAATAGCCTATTTTATTTATTGGAAAAATATGAGTTGTCCTTTGAATTTTTATATGGACTTTCAGCTTTAATGTCATAAAAACCACTCCTATTTGTCTTAGATAAGTAACTGCAATTAGGATTCTCTTTTATTTATAAAATAATTAATTCAGATTAAACTTATAAATGTATATTTTTTCTATCTTTTAGTAATTATGCAAGAAATTAAGTATTTTATGAATTTAAATTTACCTTTATTTGAAACTAAAATTGATTTTGAGAGAATTACAGATGGTTGTTTTTCCCAGTCAGGCTTTGAAATTATGTACTGAATCCATTCCTAAGGAAGTGGCTCACATGTATAGTATAAACTATTAGGCAAGTAAATCTAAATAATTTTAATTTTAATTAATTTTGTTTAATTTTGATGGATTATTAATTACTCCTTGGAATTCTCTTAGCCCTATCCTTTTAACATCAACTTCTTAAGAAGCAATTAACCCTAGAGTTACCTATATAAAAATTAATAATAAAATCAAACATATTTAATAAAATTATTATTATTTTACTGTCACACCCCACTTCAATAGTGGTAAATCCTTTCCATTAAAAACTTTAAAATATTCATTTCTAATAACTTGATCACTTGTAAACTCACTTAATTCTAGCTAAGTACTGCCTATAATCTTATTTTCACATAATAAATTTATTTGTAGAAATTAGTTTTGATTAATAAACTAATTAAGTGATTTTCTGTTTGTTACAAAAAAGTAAAAAATTCTCATCCTATTTAAAGGAACATAGAAATTAGAATAATCTTCTCCAGACTAAACTGCTTGATGCATTTCAATCTTATACTTTTCTTTTATATCTAAAAAACTATACTCTAAATAATAATTTCTTTCTATTTCTTTTTATATAGGTATATCCCTCACAGAATTTATAAGAACCATAAATCTATATTTGCATAATTTGCTAAGATCATTATCGCTTTCATTCGAAGGAAAGTTATTTTTGACTATAATTTCTGTTTCAGGCTCAATATTGAATTCCCAATCTTATTATTATCATTATAATAATAAGCAATTTAATTAAATTCATTAATAATTTTACTTTAAGGCATTTACTTATCACCAGGATTGTCTATATAATTATTTACTTTTGATTAATTAGGATTATTGAAAGTGCCATAGAAACCATTTAATTGAGTAGCTGAAGTCAGATTGATTTTAGTGTCCTCAGTAACTGGTATTCCAATTATCTTTGCAAAATTAAATTCTGCTGTTATCAACTTATCTATTTCTAAATATAGCTTGAAACTAAAAAAAGTTTAAATTAAGCTTAAAAAAAATAAAGTTATTTACCAGCTTGAGCATACTTTGTGTTCTTAGTAGAGCATCGGAGTATCAATGTGCTTTAAATCAGTTCTATTCAGCCATTCATATTATTTGCCTCTATTCTTAAATTTAAAAGGTAAAAAACTAATAAAAAAAACAAAGTAATAAATTACTTGTAGATGCTTATCGGTTTAAAGTATCATTTTTAAAGTAAGTTTATTAGTCAGTTCATGTGTAGGGAAAATTTCTTCGCAATACTTACATGGCTGAACTCGTTGATACGTCTCTTTTTATTTCTGATAAAGTTATTAATAATAAATATATTTAATAAAAAATATTTTATACAGCTATATCAGCAAAAGGGGATCTTTTAATTTCTGTTGTGTGCTCTCCATATTCAGTAATTGGTTTAACATTAATCGGAATTTCGTACTTATCAAGCAGAAATCCACGAATATTAATTAGCCACCACAAACCACTTTCATCTTTAATAAAATCACCGATTATTTCTTTAAATGTTATTCCCAAGTGAATATGAAAATATCTACCAATATTATCCAATTAAGGAACAGTTTCTTCTACAAATTTTCCTTTTTAAGATTCTACGATTGTACAACTATTCATAATATGCATATTAATAACATATTTTTTTATTTCTGGTACATCACTTTTATCCTTATAATCAAGTTTATTTGTTACAATCCAAGCATAAGGATTTTTATCTTTCCTCCAAACTGTTCTACAAATAAATGCTTTTGGCCCATTGCTTTTAACAAATCTTTGTAAAACAGTTAATTAATTTTTATCTTAAAATAAATTTGAAGACACTGTATCAAGTTCGCTTTTGCTTACTATGTTTACGTCGTTGCCTACCAACTCTTAATTTCTATAGCAAGGCTGTTTATTTATTATTTATAAATTAAAATATTATCGTTGTAAATTTAACGTATGAATTAAAAATATGTTAAATTTAATAAACAAAGATTTTTGCTTTAACTTTTAAAAATTTTAAATCATTCCTTAAGAAAGCAAAATGCAAAAATCTCTCTTATTTTCATAATGCTATCATTAATGAGTATATTTAGAAATAATTAATATCACCTTTTTTAAAACACAAACTAACTCATCGGGTGAGCAATTCTCGCCAAATTTTTGAACGATATTCCTTTTATTAAAAGAATCAGCTCTAAAAACAAACCCACTTTAAGAAGTGTAAAACCACATAGCTGGTAAATCACCATCATTAAATACTAAAGTATCTGGTAACCATATTTTAAGTCTATTTGCAGTATTTTTTTGTTTATCCTCAGGTCCATTAGGTTTCTTAGCCAAATATTTGAAGAAAAAAACATAAGGCATAAGTTTCTCGTAAGAATATTAATATTTTCTTTCGTGTGGAGGTATATCAGGATCGAAAAAGGAAACTTTTGCTAACAACTATTTGTGCTTTTTTAACTAAATTTTATATTTCTCTTTCCTAGCTTCTAGAGGATCATACTAACCCAAAAGCTTATTTACTATTTCATACTCATTTTGTTGATTTTTTTAAGTCTTTAAAGGTGAAACAGATTCAAGTTCTAAAAAATGTTTGCTATTTTTCTCATGCTTAGTCTAATTTAGTTTGATTTGGGAAAAAAAAATGTTTAAAGCTATTTAAAAGGAAGATTTAAAAAATTAAAGTAGAAAATAATTTATACTGTAGGCTTAGCTGACACTGGCCTTCTGCTTTAATTTATACTTTTCATAATAATAAGCTTTTGAATAGTAAAATTATAAATTAAATTAGATTTATAATTGATTGAAGATTTAATTTATTTATTAGTTTTGAGATAAAAAATAAGAAATTAAATAATTGTATAACCAATCAAAATATGGCAAGCAAATTAATTAAAATTTAATAATTTACACATTAATTTACTAGATTTCAACTGATATTTATCTTTTTGTAATTAGTTTATTAATAGAATTTTACAAAAATAGATCTTTGCTAATTTTATTAAAAGTTATCCATATAATCCTATTAAATAGGTTATAAAAGCTAATAAAGAGAGCTTAGTTATCATATCAAACTATGAAATAATTTTAATATTATCAATAAATAATTTATGGTAAATAAAAAATAAACAAGCAAACAATTAAAATAATTATTAAGTAATTTTTTAAATTTATTAACAAAAATAAATTACAACATTAAAATATTCTACCTAAAAAAATGATAAGAATTCATTAAAGAAGATGTATTTAATAAGTACATTATTAGATTTGACTTAATTTAAATTCAATTAATAAAAATCTTTTTTCATAAGAATATTTTTCTTCATTTTAAAGTTTTTTTTAAAGTTGTAAATTAATAAATTTTATAATTAGTTTTAAAACAATTGTCAATTTGTTTATTTATTATAATAATTTAAAAAAATATTTATTAGATTTATTTAATAAAATCTAATATGCATTTAGATGTGAAAATATGCAAACAATTTTTCAATAATAATAAATAATTAATATATATTGATTATAAAAAATAAATTGATCAATTCTTTTGAATGTCCTTTCTCTCATTTCTTAATCTTTCTAATTCTCTTAATTCCTAATATTTACAAAATAAATAAGCCTTATTTTAATTGATTTTAATATTTTACTGATGGTTTATCTGATCTTCTTATCATCAATACTAAGAAAGTTAAACCAGACCAGGCTAGGAAAGCTATTTAAAATACTTTTTGCTCATAAAAAAGTCTGAACCATCTCATATACTAAATTTAAACATTTATAATACCTTTTATTTAACAAAATTCAACTAAAAATATATTCGGAATTAAATTGTGAATTAATTACAATCAATAGTAGTTAAGTAGGCATAATAGTTAAAGGCTGAAACCATGAACTATGTTACAGCTACTGAGCATATTAAAAGAGTTATTACATTAAATAAAAATGAATTCATCCAAGTTTCATTTTCTTTCATGGGATGAATTTTCATAATAAATGGTATTCTAATACCAACTTTAAGATTTCCTTTTTAGCAGCACCAAAGAATATATAAACCTATAAATGCATATAAGCCTGTTGCAATAAATGAAGCTGGTGTTTTTAATAAGCCAGTAAACATATTATTTAAGAAAGGGTGAGCATCAAGGACACAATAAACCAATCTTTTTAAAATAAGTAAATAAATAATTAAAAAAATTTAGAGCGAGATTTGTAATTATTTATTTACATATGTACCCACAAAGCAAGGGAAATGAAACAGAACATAATACCCAAAATCAATTTACCAACAAAAACTAATGGCCCAAGAAATTTATTGGTAGATTCTGAGAATTTTAATTCCAATTAAAATATGTCAAATTCCTTATCAATTTTAAATTAAAATATATATTTGATATGAATTTAAAAACTAATAAGATCAAATAATCTAAGCAATAAATTTAAATGAAAAAATACTCTTTCAAGTTCATAAACTGATACTGATAAAAGATTTTCTTTTGTTTCTAAATCTTTTCTCATCTTTCTCTTAGACCACCATCCTCCATCATAACTCTTAACTTATAACTCTTCATCTAATAATTTGATAATAATTTTTTTATTTATTTATGAATTTTTTTTTTTTTTCTTCACCTTTTAGATTTTTTCCGACATCCATAAGCTCGACTACCTTTTTTTAAATAAGGCTTTTCTTATCCCTTGCTTCTTTTGCATTCATCAACTAAGGTCTCATGGTAAATTCCCTAATTAAATCAATAGGTAAGGCACTCAAGCCTACTCCTCCAAATAATACGAGCAAAAACCATCCAATAAAAGTCATAAATGCAATACAGTAGATAGGGAAACTTGTTTCCATTGTCAGCTTTGTATTACTTGTAGTTTGTTTTACCATTACAGAAGTTATAGGGGTATTGAATTCTACAAGATTGCTCTTTTATATTTATGAATATATTTTACTTATCTTAATATAATTTTATAGTAAACTTATTTACGCTAGAAATAATTTTAACTGGAATATCAGCATATCTAAAGAAAATCCATGAAATAACAAGAAGCAATGTTACAACAACAGCTTCAATCATCGTGAAACAAAAAGATGTGCAAACTCTAGACATCTATTCATTTTTTATAAATGATACATATTAAATTTGATTAAATTGTAAAATTAATAGTTTTGTTGATGATTAAGTCAAATGTAAATAGATATTTATTAAGCTTATTAAAAAATGCTTTAAATTATTTAAAGAAATTAAATCTATTATTAATTTATTAATTAATTACGAATGGTTTTTCTTCATCAGTTTCATACATAAACATTGCGAAAGGCAATAAAAGTACTATAGTAGCCAAGATTATCAACATAATTACATACCAGAAAGTAACCATATCAAATCCAGCATTATTTCTATTTTATAATAATAAAAATTTAGATAATATTATTTATCTCTCTTTCTTTATATTTCTTTCTCTTGTTTCTAAAAAATTTTAGACCAAATAAATGTTTATTTCTGTTTCAAAGTTTCATTTTAGCATTCATTTCAAGGCATTTTGTCTATTGATTCAAATAATAAATAAAGAAATAAGTTAAATACTAAGAATTGGCAATGTCTAGAGGCAGCATTAGCACCTAAGCCCAACATAATGTCATTCCTAATATCTTAATAAAAATAATTTCTTGATGAATTTACTTTAGCAATATTTATAATGAATTTGCTTAAATTTATTACGACCAATATTTTACAGTATGTAGCAGCACCCCACCCTTTATCATCCTCTTTTTGTATAAAAAAAATAAAATTTAAAGATCTGAAAAATAAAATAATTTGCTTTTCTAACTAAAATAAATAATAAAATTAATTACTGTGGCAATACAATGCGAGAATATAAAAATTAGCTGCTAGTAAAAGCAAACTTAATACTATTGTAACGGCAAGTAAAAAGTAGTCCATGCTTCAAGGTTTAAAGCTCAGTATCTAATAGTAGTTTATTATAATCCTAATAATGGTAATTCAGCTATTTAAAACTTTAATTCGCTTATTATTTATTAAATTTGATATTTATTTTTCAACTTCAATTAATATACTATTGCTTCTTTAATTTTTAATTTTTTTTGCAAACACTATCAGACAATCAACCAATTACAATTAATACAATTAAATTATTTTTAGTTTTTACTTTATTTATTATTGATGCTTAATAAATATGAAAAAGTATAAGCTCATTAAAATATTACCTTGCATTTTTTTGGATGCAAAAATATTATTAGAACCTAAGTTACAGCAGATAATACTCACAAGACAACATATTAATTTTTCATTCATATCATTCGATTTATGATCAACTCAAGTCAAATTTGATAAATTCTAATATTAAATAATACAAATAATAATCTAATATTTAAGATAACATTTACAAAATCTAAAACAAGACATTATTAAATTTATTAATTTATTTTTAACATACAAGATTAAGCTTTAAAAAAAAAAAAAAATTTTATATTATTTAGAACTAATTTCCAAAAGGAGCATTTATAATAAGTAAATAAAATAACTTAAAGTGCTCTAATATGTGAAGGTTTCGAATTTAAGAGAATAATTGTTTTATTTTAAAAATAAATAAATAAATAAATTAATATTTGATAATTGATTTGAAATTTTATAAGTTATAGCAATATAAAATAAAATTTCTCATTTTTATGTGTCTAATAAAAGTTCATGCTATTTATTGTTTGAGATATTTTCTAATAAAAATAAATTATCATTTATTTCTTTCGACGTCTGTGATAAAGAAAGAAGTGTTTTCGAAATCTTCTTTCAATGGGTTATACCCACTCTTTGTTTCTGCCCATTTTTCTTTGCTATAAATATCCATAAATTGGTAACTTTTTATGGCCTTTCCTTTTTTATTGCAAACTTATTTATATAAATGCGATAAAAGCCTGAAGTCAGTAGGGAAAAAAATGTCAGCTTAACCTCTTTGCACCAAATATGTTGAAAAGTCTTTTTTTTCATGTGATTTAGATAACTTTTAAGAAACAATAGGGGCATTTATACCCATTTTTGCACTCTCAGCTGTTTTTAGCATATCGAAATCTGCAAAAATGACATTATGGTTAGGAATATTAGAGTTTATATGTTTGAGCACTTTCAAGCAAAAAGTAGGAATAAACATGTTATCTTTAGGTTATTTAAAAAGCCATCTTATTACGTTTTAGATTATTCCACCCTAAAGATTCTTTTCTTCTTCTATGTGATCAAGAGTAGGTACAGTCTTCAAAATTTGAATAAATTCTTGTATCAAAGGATCTTTGATGTCAGTTTATACTTCCTTAAGTCCTTCATTTCCAAACTCATCTGTAAATTCAACTTAAGCTTATTTTTCCCAAATATCTTCCTAAGTATTTTTTTTCTTATATATTCTATCATGAGGCATATTATCTAATACTTCTAAGAAAAGTAAAAAATAGTGCTAATCACGATTCTAAGGTTTAAAATTAACGAAATCATCATTTATGAACTTTATCTATCCACGTTCTATTAACTTAGAATGATCTCTTGATAACTTTTCTAGAGCTTTCTTACACATTTAAGGAGAAATTTCTACAATAGTATATTCTAAATTTGCATAGTAACTCTACTCATAATTTTTAAAATACATTAATATAGATTAAGCTGCACTTGCTTGACCAGCTCCTATTTCTACAATACGAATTTTATCGTCAAATGGTTTAGCCTAAACTTAAGAGGAGTTGTTTTTGCGTGATGACTGTTGTTCTTGGTATTATAATTTCATTTTTTCAATAGTCTATTGCATATAATTAGCTATTGACATTCCGTAGTAAGGCTTAAAAATTTCACTTGGAGTTAGCCAAGCATTTTCTGGATAATATTCGCTCAGCTAGCGCTAATATTCTTCATAGCCAAGCAATTCCTTAAAATTAATTGGTTGCTTCATTTCTCCAATCTATAGATCATCTTTGCAAAAGTAACCTGAATCAGAATTGTATAACCTGTCGTAAATAAAATCTCTAGTCAAGAGGGGAGATTTTATTATTTTTTTGTTAGAAAAGTGATAGCGTTAATTTTTATGATTTCTTACAATGTTTAGTGCACAAGATTTAAGTGTATTTAATTTATTCATTTTTGATATCTATATAATTATTTTAATTCTTTATTTGAATAAATATCTTTTTATTTGTTATATTTGTTTGCCAAAAAAGCAAAAAGATACTTCTATTTTAATTTTTAATCTTATTTCCAAGTAAAAGTATCAAAAATATGCAATGTTATTAGTTTATTTATTATCTTAGGTTTTCTACCCAAATTTTTTTAACATTTTTAAATTTAAAATTAACATATTTTTTACAGATAATGATAATATTTTTTTTATTTTATTTTATTAAAAATTGCTTGTGCTTTCTTTCAATAGCTTTATTTATTTTATTCAAATAAAAATAAAAATATTCTGGCTAATATAGGTTTAAAAATGTTTATTAATTGTTTAACGTATTATTATTATATTTTAGTTTAAATAAAATTAAATAATGTTATTTTACAATCTTTTTAAACAAATGAAATTAGAAAATATACTAAAAATATAAATGAAGGAGAGAATGAGGGAACGAATAATAAATAGTAAATTTTCTAAAAACGTGAATGGAAATCCATAGCAAATATAAATTATTTCTCAAATTTTAAATAAATTTGGAGTTTGATGAGAAATACTGATAAAATAGATTTAATCAATTTATAAACAAATAGCTATATAAATAAAGTTTGTACTTTTTATTAATACAAATAAATTAAATAATATTTTTACATTTAAGGAAAACAAGCCACAAAATACAAAATGAGTGATAGCGATACCAAAGACGATAATCATGGAAATGGCGTTGATGTAAAATTTTATTCTTAATAAGATAATTTAAATCTCCAAGCTTATAAGAAATACATGCTTCGGAGGCTTTGAAAGTTTCATCTTCTACTTATGATTATGAAAAAAAAATAGCTTTTTTGATGATTAAAAAAATTTATTATTAACAAAAGGAAACAAGAGATATTTCAGCAGCCATTTTGTTTATGCTTTTCCTTCTAGTTGTTAACGAATATATTTTAATAAAGCTAAATATGTTAAAGGAACGGTTTCCTAAAATGGCTTTTATATAAGGCTCAAGCTTAACTACCTTGCTAGGTAATTAATCACATAATTCAGAATTTATAATTAAAATTAATGTTTTGGTAGAAATAGTTTTAAGCAAGCAAAATCCATATTTCTAGCAAAAAGAAATACTATCAAATGATTTAAAATAAAATTAATGATCATTCAGGATACCAAATTTTTATGAATAGGTATATTTTCGGGTATTTTGCTAAATTTGACTGAAATCGTTGATATTGTCAAAATCATTAAATAAGGATTTTCTGAATTCTTTTTAATTGTGTTATTACCTCCTATACTTTATGAGTCTGCTATCAATATGGAAAGAGTAAGAATTATATGTCTATTAGCATTTATTTATTATTTATTATACTAACAGAAATATTTCTTCAAAAATTTTGGGAGTATACTTGGATATGCAGTCATAGGTACCTCAATAGCTATATTTGTTACTTCTTTTATGGTCTTCTTTGTAGGCTGGATTGGGATTGCTACTGTAATATTTTAAGCTTATTATTAAGATTTTTCTAATTTTAAATACCAAATATAGGATTTATCTTTGAGTGCTAGTTTTGCATTTGGTTCTCTAATTAGCGCTACTGATCCAGTAGCAGTGCTCACCCTTTTTAAAGAAATGAATTGTGATTAAAATTTATTTGCATTGATATTTGGAGAATCTATATTAAATGATGCTGTGTCAATTATAGTTTATAAGTAATATTTAATAGATATATTTTAAATAAAAAAATAATCTCTCTTTCTATTACATTTTAAATATTATTTAACTAGTACTACTCTATAGCTCAGAGGTGATACAGGAGATGGTATTATTTGGAAAGCTCTTTATAATTTTCTTGAAGTTTTTGCTGGCTCAATTATAATAGGATTGTTGATTGGAATTTTAACTGCCTATGTAATATTTTATTTTTCCTATAAATATTATTTTGATAATAAATTATTTTATCATCATTTTTAGGTTTTAAAAAACAAAGAAAAACCAGAAGGTGACAGCTAGGATAATACAGAATTAACTATTCTATTTTTGATTCCTTGGGTTAGCTATCTAATTGCTGAAGTAATTAGATATATTTAAATAAATTAGATTAATTTTACTTACAATTTTTGACAAAATTTAAGGTACTAAAATTATCAGGAATAGTGAGTATTATGTTTTGTGGTATAGCTATGGCAAGATATGCCTTACCAAATGTTTCAGAGAATTCAAGGAAAGTAAATAAAAAGCTGTATAACACATTAGCATATACATTTGAAAATTTGGTATTCATCTTTATTGGAATAGGATTAGTAAGCTTTGACTTAGCATGGAAGTAAATAATGAATAAATCTCTAAATAGCTTTAAAAGTAATATTTTATAAAAAAAGGGAAATGGGAGCTTCACTATTTATATTAGGCTTTTTAATTATAAATCTTGCCAGATATTTTAATATCGAAATTATTACTTACATGCTCAATAGATATCGTACTAAAAATAAAATTAATAAAACATTTCGCTTTATTATGTGGTTTTCAGGTTTCAGAGGAGCAATGGCGTACGCCTTGTCTATGAAATCTATGGAATAATTTACAGAAAGCTACTATGGTAGAATAATGCTCACTATCACTCTATTATATGCAAATATCAATGTGAAATTTATTAATTTAAAATATTTAACTTAGATTAACTTAATTATTGATTAATTAGATATTTATACACGCTTCGATATTGCTTCCTATTGCTACTAAATTAAAAATTTAAAAGAAGTAAAATTTTCATTTTTTGTGCATTTAGTTCTTAAAAATTGTAAATAAAAAATAAGTTTTAACATTTTAGAAGAGTAAAATTAGAATCAAAACCCCTAAGAATAAGTAGCTTATTAAGGGTTTTGGAATAAAGTTAAAGACATTTGTGTGATGTTTGATGAAAATTGCTTACAAAAGCTACTATTAGTGTAAATTAAAAAAATAAATAAATAAATTAAAAGTTTTATTAATAAAAATAAATAAATAGTGATGAATAAGATATTGATTAGAGCATGTCTCATCTAAGTCCAAGATAATCCTAAAATGGAGCGTAATTTTTTTCGAATAAAAAACTAACTAAAAATTTAATTAGCTAATAATTAATTTAAGGGAAAAAGAGGTCTAATAGTTATGACAATCAACAGAAGAGTTCGTAAGATATTGAAATGCAATATAAAAGAAGAAACTCTCTCAAATTATAAATTTCAATGAATAATATTAATAACAATTTGATTGAGTAAAAAAAGTAAGATGAAAATTAAGAATACGGATATGATTTCTAGAGCGATAGTTAAAACATGAAACAAAATCTAAGCAGTGACGATGGAAAGTTTGAATTTGCTAAAGAAAGAAACAATAAGATTAATTTATAAGGCAAGTCATAATCTCTATAATCTATTTAATAAAATATCAATTCAACAAACCAAAGTGAAAACAATTCAAATATGTATGCAAACCAGTAATATACTTAATAAAAAAAAAGTGATGAAGAGCTAAAAGATATCCCATAATCTGAAAATTAATCTAATCATATAAACTAAAATAATCATAACCACAAAAAAGAGGAATAGAGTGATTCTGATTAGCAAATTATCTCAGATATTTAAAATGAAAAAAAATTATCTAAAAAAGGATCTAGCTCTGATAATTAAGATGATAATCAAATTTAGCTAACGAAAGAGGAAGACCAACCAGAAGATTAGTTAAATAAACAATAAAATGATGATTAAGCTTATAATTATAGTCATTAAATTGAATGAATGTCCTAAAATTACTACTGCATTTTTTCATTAAAATTTACTTATTTCATAAAAAGTTGTTTTTAATATAATAATTTAAAATTATTTTATTTGGCTCAAAATGTTTATTTTTATTAATTTATTTAATTCTAAATAGTTAAATAAAACACTTAAAAATACCAACAAAATTGAATTGTAATTAAATTCGATAAAAGTGTTTGATTTGTAAAGCAATTTATAAAAAGAGTTTAATTTTAATTTTTTTTTTAATGTAAAGAATTATTAATTATTTGTTAAAACATAATTTTAATAATATTTATTTTAAAAAAAAAAACACTTTTATTAAATATTCAAACATTTATGTATGCTTGAATTGAGTTCTTGATTTGAACATTTATCTTTTAGTCGCCTAGTTTATTTAGGAGTTCTTCTGTTGATTTTCCATAATTACCCCAACTATTTTAAAATTTTAAATTAAAATAAAAATAATTTAATTTTTTTTACTTATAAATTAGAAATTCCATTTTGTTTATTGTTTCATTTTCTTTTTACTCTTAGCAAAATTATTTGAGACTGTCTATATCAACTTTGTTTCTCACCCTTTTGTTAACATTTATGATCTTGTTGAAATAAAATTTAAGATTATTTGATTTTACTTTAAGAAATCAAATTTTAATTCGAACTCGTCCAAGTGGAGATGAGTTAGCTCCTCTGATAATTCACGCAATAAATTGCTTGAAAAAACAGGTTTTTTCATTTTAGTACTTAAGTTTATTTATTTAAATTAAGTTAATTTAATATCAGTTGAAAGATTAAAATTTACATCAAAGCATCTTTCGAAATTTAGTTAAAGAAGTTTTTAATTGATTGCAAATTTGATAAAGAAACATCTGTATATTTTATGTCAGGAATCAAATTCTAAAGATCAAAGATATTTGCACTTTTCTTATTTTTGAAATTGTTTGCTACAACATAGACAGGTTTTTAGTATTTAAATAGATGTACTTCATATAGGTACTACATCATTTCCGAACCAATGTCTTTCCTTGATGTGTCATATATTATACATATACCATCACAGTCACGTAAGTGATTTAACCTGAGCTAGTTGAATAAAGGATTACTGTGCATTACTTTCATAGTTAAGTTGATTTTAGTTTACTCACTTTAAAACTCAGTTAGAAAATATTTCATTCCCATGTTGAACGAGTTTAGGCTGCTTGATTAATTTTTGTTATGATTTTTTTTTATGTCAACTAATTCCTAACCATCATTTAGGTTATTCTATAAAAAGCTCTCTACAATAGATTTTTTTCCTGCAAGCTCATGACCGATAACTGTTAAAGTAAGATGCGAATTCTGTTTCAACTTAAGTTGATCAACTTTCTGTTCTACTACAGATTGTCCTTAAATTTAATTTGACATTTCCTTGATTCTCCAAAATCTCATTAATCTGTGCAAATTATGAGTTTATTCAGGATACTTTTAGCAACTTATCATATTAATTAAATTAATAATATAGATTTATAAGAAATAATTACTTTTTTATATAGAAAGAGATGTAAGGACACATTAGTATTTTGAGGTAGCCAAATTAATTATTGCTTGCATTAACAAAGTCACCTTTTCTTTATTTTGAATAATTTTAGAGAAAACATTTATTTTTAAATTTTCTTACTTAACATAAAAATCAAGTGTTTCAAGATATTTTTTGTTGCTCACATTATTCTAAATCATTACTTTAATTTTATTATCGACATTGAATCTAATTAAAATTAAAAATTTAAAAATTAATTATTTAATATTTTAATGATCATTTGATATAAATTTACTTTGGGAAGTTTTAAATATAAGTTAAAGGTACAGAAACCCTTCTAAAATACTGAGTTACATTCTTGAGAAGTATTTTTATTTTAAACTATCCTAACTTTATGCTAGACAACTTAGGAAGAGCTTCTGTTTAAAGCAAGCTAATTAAACCATTTATTATAGGAAGTTTATTATTAGATAAATCAATGTGAGTTAAATTATTCAAGGATAAAGCACTATGACTAAGCAGCTTTAAATCTTAACTTCTCAGCATAGAATTTTGTAATATTAAGCTTTAAACACTGCTTAAATTGGCTGAAAATGTTATGAAATTTATTTCATCAGGCCCTATTTAAAATGGGGTCAAATTTATAGATTGTTAGTTCTTTATTAGATTGGAATTTTAGAGAAAATTTTTAAGATCTTCTAAATACTACATCTTACATAAAGTGTTTTGTTAGTTATAAAATTTTTTCTTTAGTTCATTATTTAAATGGTTTTCTGATTAATCTTAGCCAGAAACAGCTTATATGGTATCAATTAACTTCTACTAAGACGATTAAGAAGAAGGAAGAATGGAAGGTTCCACTTATTATTTCTTTTTATTTTCAGGTTCTTAATTACTATTTTTTTCAGCCTAAATTAAATTCTCTTTATAATCATCAGTAGAAATTGATAAAGAAATAAAAGAAGAAATATCAACTTGTTCAATAAAATTTTGATCGTTATAGAAAGAAGCAAATAATTAATTATGTATTATGAGATTCTCCAAAATCTATTCTTTTATGAACTTACTTTCCATACACTTATAAATTTCAGATCTAAAATCATCAATAGTTTGCTACACTGTTCCATTATTAGGCTTTGTTCTTTTATATTAATTTTAACCTAAAAATTCATTGTCACTTTCGATTATAAATGATTTTGATAAATGGAAATTAATCACAAATTATATTTTTTTAATGTTATCAATGTTTTTCAAAAGTAAAATAATTTTAGATATTTCAGTTGAATCTGAGCAATATAAAGTTATTCTTTTCAGATATTTAGATAAGTTGATTGCTGTTATAACATCTGAAGCTATGTTCTTAGCATCGAATCTAATACTTTGAGCACTTGGATTTGACTTTAAAAATTCCTAATTAAATTTTTAAAAATGAATATTTGTTTTAATGAATTAATTTTAATTATTTACACTAACGTTTGTACTATTTACTGATTTACAGCCCATCACTGAAACTTCTATATGAGAGATAATATTTTTAGGTAGAGTAACAGAAGAACTAGAGTTACAATTAATAAGTTTTAAATTTCTGAAATTTTGAGTCTGTAAGAGATAATTTATACCTTTGTAGGTAACTTTCTATTATCTCCTTAAATAAATTTTTTCAAGAGAAGGCATATTTGATTTTGCCATACTTTCTAATACAGAGTCATTGAGGTAAGAGTCATCTAAAACTAACTTTTCTAAAAAAATAAGGTAGCTCATGCATGAAGCAAGCTTTTTAAATGCTGATATGTTAGAATCTGTAAACAAGTTCTTGTTAAAATTTTTCTTAAGCATTCCACTTAAATTTAATTTTACTATATTCTAAATAAAAAAAAATATTAGTAAATTTAATTTATTTTTTTTAAAATTAAATTAAAAAAAAAACACCTACAAATAATAATTGAATGAATCTATTAACAATATAAATTAATTTAATATAAATAATTCTAAATAAAATTAATATTTTTAAATCAAATTGATTAATTTTTTTTATTTAAAGTTAAGTTTTTGTCAAGAATAAAAATTTGCAATGAATTAAATAAAATAATGCTTAAAATTTATCTGAATTTGCTTTTTAAATTTAAATAAAATAAATTACTTTGAATTTTGATATTCTTTCAGATAGCTGCACTACTGATTAGTCATTTATTCCAGCGACTTCATTCAGAGATAAATTTTTAAGCGTGCTTAGATAAGGGGATTCAAAAAATTTAGAAAATATTCCTTAATCTACATAGGTATCATCTAAGACCAAAGTCTGAATTTTTCTAAAACTTTCACAATTAATTAGAATACCTAGGAAAGAATTTGGAGCACTAGATTTGCAATTGGTAAGAATGATGGTATTTAATTTTGTAAAATAACCATTGGCGTTATTGATGGTTTTATTCAACTCGTAGTCTTTATAATCTAGCTTTGTGGAGTTTGAGATATCTAAAACTTCCAAATTTTAGCAAAATTAACTGTTTAAATATTTAATAAGAAAAACTATTTTTTCTTCTGTATCTAATGCAAGTGTAAGGTATTTAACATTTTTTAGTTTTTCTATAATATCCTAAGAGTTTTATATCAATTTAACATCTATGTTATTCATATTTATCAGTTCAATATTGCTTATAATTTAGTTGACTTGTTCAAATATTTTAATATCCATTACGAAATTGCTATTTAATTTTACTATTTTTTTATTATCTCCAGCTATAATAATATTTGGAAGCTCTATTTATGATTTATTTCTATTAATCCAAGAGCTTATCTAAAAAAGATTCCTTTTTTTTAAAAAATTTTTAGATAAAATTATGATTAAATAAAAGATTACATTATTTTAACTTCTTGAAGTATTTTAGATTTTATCAACCACTATTTAAAAATAAAATTGAAACAATCTCCTTCTATGATTGTATTATTTTAGCACTTTAATTGGGCTTTCATATAAGGAAAACCTTATATAAAGAATCCTTTAAAAACGTAAAATTAAAATATTTATGCTTCGCATATATCAACTGGTTTTCTTAGAATATCTACAGTTCCTTCAAAAATTTTTTCACCATTTTTGGTGATTGTAGCATGATTTTCTATGTCTTAAGTTTATTGAATAGGCTTAAAAGGGTAATTTAGAATCTTTGTGTTGTTATCTTAATCTAGCTAAAATGTAGGCGGAAACTCATTTATGTAAGGGTACATTATATCTCTCATCAACAAATTAGACTTCTAGCAAATCATAGCCAATTTTACAGAAGATAATCTTTTGCTTGGATCCTCTTAAAGCATTTCCTCAATAATATTTTTAACTTCGTACATAATAATTTGATTTTCTTCAATTGCAATAAATTTTTTGGTTTTCAAAAAATATTAATTGCAGTTGTGCTTTGTGGCATACAATAAAAAGTTGAATTAGGGTTAATTTTTATTTCCTTCTTGTTTGTTATAGTCATTCACGTGGTCATCAACTTTATCTTTTTAAAATAACTCCAACACATGGAAGAATGAATAGCCTTCCTTTATCATTTCAATTGATATCAAGCATTTAGCTATGTTATAAATATCTTTTTTGAAATAATCAACTTAATCTTTATTGGAAACCAAATTATCACCCTCTTATACATAATTCAAATCAGATTTAGGATTCTCAAAGGTTTTCGACTCGTCAAAAAAGTCAATGAAATAGATATTTTTCGAATGTAGATATATAGAATGCAGTCCAAATTAATTCATAATTTCAAAACGAGCATGCATTTACAATAAATTGTCAACAAAACCTTAAAATAAACTCTACATTAATTAAAGATTTATTTGTTTGTCTTTAAGAAGTTTAAGTACATTAAATAAAGTATTTAAGCCTATTTCAAACTCTAAAATATAAAAAGAAGCTTCTTTTTCTCCTGCACTTGATAAATATCTGGTCAAAGAAGCTATACTAAAATATTATATTAAATCTTCATACCCACCTTCTAAAGACTGCAAAATCTTAACTAAATTTATTCTGACTGTTTGTTTATTATGTCCACTGTTTTCCTCGAATACTTTGATAATTTTAGTGCAATCTGCATTCATATAACTGCATCCATCTTTTGTCATGCATGTAAATTAATCTTAGTATTGTTAATTAACTAATTTAATTACTACATCAGAGTTATACCTTTAACCTTATTTTAGATCTTCATAAATATTATACTATTATTTTAAATCTATTTCTTCTGCGTTTTGTAAATTTGCTTTATAGTAAATATTATTCCATTCTAAAAATATATTATTATTCTTGTCAAAAGATCTATTTCTCCTTCCAACTTACCCACTTTATTCTTAATTTTCCAAGCTATTTCTTCTCCCATTCTTTAAACTTGACTCACTTAAAGAATCTTTTTAATTATTTTCTACTTTAGAAGACAACGTTGACAATGAATCGCTATCATCTAGATCATCATTTTCGTCAAAATCACTTTAAATTTTACTGCTATTGTTTTCATAGACATTGCTATTTTACTTTTCAGGCTGCCTAAAATGATTTTGATTGATTTTAGATTGATTTATATCAAACTAAAATATTAAATTTTACAAATTAGGTATCCCTCCTCTGTTTTCTCCTTCGCTGGGTGCAATTTAGCTAGAAAAAGGCTAGGAATTCTCACCCTCATTTTGTTGGTTTCCTTAACTATTTTATGATAACTTTTTATCAAGTTGCCCTATCTGTTCTATTTCTAGTTAATTTATATATTTATCCATATCAAGTAGTTAAAATAATAAAAAATTATTTATAATATTTATATATTTAATAATAAGACAGATAATCCAATTATATAAGAAAATTGAAAAAGAATAATTAAGTATTTATAAGGATCAATCCAAAATTTAGTAAATTTTAATTCTAAAAGTATGAGATAATTGATGTGTAAATATTTATATAATATTGACAAGGTAATAAACTAAATTTGCGAAATACATAATATCCTTTCCATTGGAATTTATTCACTAATTAGTTAATTGTTATCTTAAAATTGATAATTAAGTGAAAAAAAAGCCTAACTTTATCATATCTTATAAATGAATATATAGTAGGATACAGTTAAATCAAATTAATTTTATTTTACTGTTTAAATAAGCTATTGAAATATTTAAAAATTGATATATCAATTACTACTCTTTATACATTTTATATGAGAAATTTATCATAAATAATAGTTAATTATAATAATCAATTATATCATAATTTCCTTTGATTAAATAATATCAAAACGTTATTAGTTTTGTTAAACACAACCTATCAAAAATAGTATGAAATAAATATCACCTCTTATTATATTTATATCCAACATTCAATAAAAGTAATTAATTGACTTATCAATATACTTAAAATTTATATTAATTCATAATAAATTTATAATATGAATATAACTTTATATACATCAATTATCAATTTTTTCATTTTATTTAATTATTAAACAAAAAAATATATTAAAAATAAAAATTTTAGATTCAATTGAATACTAGCTAAATGTGTCTCCATATTAAAGGTTAAAAAATAAAATTCCAAATAAAAACTAGTGCTATTAATATTTATTTCAATCAAAACTTTAGAATAAAAATAGAAAAAAGTATTTAATATACTTTAAAATATCCTAAAATTTTAGTTTCAATATAAATTTCAAAGTTTATTATCACTAAGTGTTATTTGATACTTTTTTAAAAAATTTCTTCAAAATTAAATAATAATTTAGGAAATGATCCTCTATCATATTATGAATTGTAGATTTTACAAAAAGAAAATAAAAATAATTAAAATTAAAAGTATTAAGTTATAGGCCTTAAGTGTTCATTTTATGGGTTAAATTATAATTTTGATAAAAAGGATATATATGTATCTTTAACAAAATATAAAATATTATAGAATTAGAAATTTTAGATTAATTTAATCTTTAAATAAGAATTAAATATAAAAGTTAACATTTGATAAAGATAAAAAAAAAAAAATGTAGCTTAATATGAATATGAAGTTAAAGGATATTTTATATTTTTAAATAAGAAAGAATAAATTTTATAAAGGTGAAAATTTATTTTATTAATTGAATAAAGGAAATAAAACTCGATAGAATTTGGCAAGAAATACTCTAGACACAAATATAAAGGAAACACATAGGTAGGAATGATATTTAAATTTTAGTTATCAATTGAAATACGAATTATTGAGATGATAAGAAAATAGATACATATTAGTAATCCATAAGAAAGATGGTTTTTAATTACTTGCACTTCTTCTTTTGTGCAAGTGAAATTAATTTTTATCTTATTTTATTATTTAGCAAGTTTATTTGATTGATTGTTTGTTTGTTTGTATGTTTATTGTTATTTATTGCTATTATTTTTTGATTAAATACTAGAATTTGTAAACAAAATTATTTTACTTTAAAGATGGTTATAAATTTATTTAATCATGGCAAGCATTTGAGAGGAAGGAAAAATCTATAAATACAAGGATATAAACCCTCGCAAGCCACAAAAAGAAATGCAGAGTAATTGAGGAGATAAAGTTAGAATTTGAGTTTTTTGTAATTATTTTATTATTTTTAGTTTATTATCTTAAATTCTTTTTGATCTGCGAATTCTTCATTTCCATTAGTTGTTAATTATTTTTTGTTGATTAATTTTTCATTCTATCTAAACTAGATAGGTAAGTAGAAGCAATCCTAGCTGAGAATTAACAAGTTTAATTAGGATTTAGGTTAATTTAAAAAGTTAAAATTTAATCTTTTATATGAGCAAACTTTTTGTGAATTGAATTTGTAAATTCTTACAAATAAAAGGACAAAGTTTGATTACTAATTGATTTTTTTATAGTTAATATATTTATTTAGTCCATTGTTGAATTACTTAAGAGCTAGTTAAACAACAAATTGTGAGTTTTTTTTGGTAATGAAGTTAGTAAGTATATAAAAGATTAAAAAATTATATTTGTTTTAAATTATGTTATTGTTTATGTTTTGCTTGCAGGTAAACTAGCAACTGCTCTTTTGGAATTTTATCAATAAAGTAAGTTTAAGACTATATATGTGAGAATATATTTAATGTTAATATTAATATGAATTGGATGGAGGAGGTGAACTTTTATAAAGAGGAGTAGTATGATCCCTATTAGATAAGTATTAGGTGTGAAATGGATTGTCTTTTACTATAGTCATTATTCATTTTGCATGTTTGTTTATTTGTTTTTTTGTATGTATGTATTTATGAATGAATTAGGTAGGTAGGTAGGATATAAGAATTACAGCAACATTATATAAAAAGTATGGTTTTTATTTATTGTTTGAGGAAGTATTATTATTATATTTCATTTTCTTATCAGAGCTAATTAATTTTTATTGTGTTTGGTTTGAAACCAACCTATGATTTTCCTTTTTAAGCTGGCTATGGCTATGTCATACACATGTTATTCATATGTTTTAATTATATAAAGAGAAAAGGAGCTCTTTTTTTGTTTTTTGTGAGTTCATTACCCTTTTTATTGGCATATATTATTTTTAAAAGTAGGTTTTATAGGTATGTTTTATATTGCTTTTTGGTTGGTTGGTTGGATTATGTTGTGTGGTGAAGATAAGAGCTTTTTTAGATCAGCTTAAATTATTTTTGAATAATTTTCAATTTACTCAATTGAATTGACTGTCACTGTCATCTATTTAATAAAAATTTTAGTTTAGATTTTTGAGTTAAATACAATTTATATAAACCAAATAATAGTTTAATTAATTGAAATTACTGTCACTAATGTTAGATGAGTCTGAATCTATATCGTTGATATCTCCTTATTCATCCATTCCCTAATTCATATCATGTTGATGTTAGGCATACTCTGTCTATCCATTTCCATAAGATCCAATGGTTTAGGTGTGCATTTGCTCCATTTGATATTAGCTTGGGTGCATAGGAACTTGATACTATTGTGTGTGCTGAATTGTGCTCTAAGTCATATCTGTATAGTTATAGTCTAATATTAATATAGCATATCAAACGAAATTTAATTAAAATATTGAAAATCTTTAGTTTGTGAAATTAAATTAAAATGTTTATTTTTAAAGAAAATTCTTTATAAATAATTTTTTTGAAAATGAAATTCTAAAAAGGGAAAATTACCTTAAACAATAACTGTTTCATGATGAGTAGCTGCAGTTTCGTCATCTTAACCGAATGTTGAATTTTAGATAAGCTTTTAGTCAGCATTCATGGACTTTTCTTGGATTTTTGCTTACTTCTTGGAGAGTCTTTTGTTGTTGGCAGCCATGTTTTGCTTGACATACTATTCTAATTCACGAGTTTTACGAACTGATAGAGCATCAATGTCAAAGGTGAGTATTTTGTCGTCATACTGCTAGTTTCCATCAGATTATACAATCTCCCAAACTCCACGTAAACATTCAGGTGGGAGTAATAAAATGTTTTGTCCGAGATTCTTTTTTTCTTACATTGTCATGGGAATATCCATTTTTGAGGTAGGATTTTTAGTCTTTTTGGTGGGTTAAGGAGCTGATGTTAGGGGGACTTGGATAGGTTAAAGACCAGCTATTTTGTTTTTCTTTGTACCTTTTTAGTTCTAGGTTAAGAAGCCTGTTAATGCCTAAATGATGTCAGTTGTAGAAGTTCTTCCATCAGTCTTGGTATACAAGTTAGTTTCAATTTCTTTGAACTTTCTGCTGAAATATTTTTCCATTTCAAGAGTCATGTTATATATTTAAGAGTCACGATTGTTGTAAATAAAGCTATTTTTCCAAATCTTGTGGATATCAGCAGCAAATTATGTTGGGGATTAGTATAGATGAGCTTTCAGATTTTTTTCAACAGTAGATAAATCCATTGGTTCGCGGATAACCATGTAATAATCAGGACATCCTTCTTTTATTGGGTCAACTGGTTTCAAGAAAGGCTTTGAAGATTTGTGCTTTTGTAGAGAGTGTAGAATGTGTAAGCACTTCTTTTATTCTACAGGATGCATACCTCCATAGCTGATTTCTTCATTTCCAACAGCAGCCATAAGAGCTCTTTACTTCTTTGAGACTTTAGCAGCAAGACTTGCATCGCTCTTTCTTTTATTTAATTTTTGAGCTTTTTCATTTTGCTTGAGTTTTTTTTCTTTGCGAGGTTTGCTGACAGTGTTCTTACGTTAACCAGTAGGCTTCATGTGGATTAAGTGTTAGTTGTAAATATCTGGTTATTACATTTATTAATTCATACGAATTTGATCTGAAGTTTAATACTAAGAGGAATTCTATTATTGCATTTGATAATAGTCATTATTTTGGTTTTGACCATACATGGCTCCTCCTTAGTTCATTTATTACTACTACATTTGCATATTGTTCATCTATACTCCTTAATTCATTTATGCTTATTGCTAAATTTGCTATTACTGTTAATATCCAAGTTAATTATTGTTTTGAGAGTATTGCTGATTTAAACCAGATTATTAGTTGACTTGAGATTAGCTTTAATTCAAGTTAGGGATTTAGTTATATTAGCCCTAAATTTAAGAAGATTAACTATTTAATTGAGGAGTATTCATTCCATTGTTATTTTAATTTGATCCGTTTCCTTGCATAGGAGGATAAGCTGCTTAATTAATTCCTTAGTAGCTTAACGAAGGGACAGCATATCCTTCCTATGATGCTAACTTTCCTGTTCCATATTTTTTAGAAGCTTTAGAGGAAGGAGCGAATTAGCCGTTTGAGTTTCTTAATTATCCATCCTATATTTAAATATAAATATATTTATTTTTTGTATGCATAAAAATGAATTTAAAAAATTCAAAGTCATTTCGAAAAAAATTATTAAAATAGACAATCGTATTTTAAAAAAATGATTACATTTTAACGACCAAATTAAGCAATAGTTTTGGTAAAGCTGCCTGATTTAGATCTGGCTGGCTTGGAAGCGAACTAGAGAGAGTATCCCTTTGGGAGCAATTCATTTATGATTCTTTATTACTCTGAAGATAAGAAGAACTCAACAGTGGTGTTGTTCTGAGTATTTATCTGTTTTTATTTTAAAATATTTTTATTATGAAATTTCAAAAAATGTTTTCTTTTTTAAAATATCTTTCTTTTTTTTTCTTCTTATCATTTATATTTTCGCTCCCAAAAATTTTTGCACTTTTGCAAAAAAAAAATTAACTCTATGTAGAAAACTCAAAATCGCGTTACTTAGTTAGTTTGTTAATTAGTTAATTAGCTTAGCTATTTTAATTCTAATTTAAATAATTTCGCATTTTTAAAAAAGAAAACCATAGAATTTTCATAAAAAACTCTCTCTCAGCATAACTACCATCATATCCTACACAACTTTAATTTTAACCTAATTTATTATAATTTGAATATCATCTTTAGAATCTTTGAAGGACTTCTTAGAAAAAGTGAGCTTCTTGTTTTTTGAATGCTTTATAATATATATAACTATCTAAATAATTTTAGTGTCTATTTAATTCTACATGCTTGCTTGCTGCTTGAAAATGTGCAACTACTTCGATATAGCTTAGCGTTAAGTAGAATCTTACTAAAGACAAGATATATATCAACCTAAACTACTTATGAATGAACTCTCATTCATATAAAAGACAATTTAGAGAAAGACCAACGATTTGATTACATGCATAAATGGAAGCCTTTGAATGTAAATAACTATTTTACGCAATTGAAATTGAAATATTTTAAGATAAAATAATTATTAAAGAGAGCTTTATATTTATTAAAAATTTTTAAAGACAATTTGAAGTGTAGGAATTTGAGATGGATTTATAGTTTGAGAGGAGCTACTACTAACTTAATGATAAACAATAAAACTATTAGTATGAAAGTATATTGTTAGATGTTGGATGCGTAGGTGGAAATAGCTCATTCGCTTACTTATTTGCTAACTAACCACTAACTTATTTATTTATTTTTTCTAACTTTTTTACTTATTTGCTTTTTTACTAACTAACTAACTAACTAACTACTAACTAATTAACTTACTATAAACAATATGTTTGGATTATATGAAAAGCTTGAGCGAATAAATATAAATATGAAAAGAAAGAGAAAATAAAAGAGGAGAAATAATTTTAATTTTAATTAAATACCTGGTTACTATTTAAGTTATCCATTTTAACAAATTAATTCAAATGTCTTTAATTTAATAAGAATTTATTATGAACTTTTTTGCTTTTAAATTGTATAATAATTATAAGTGCTTTCTTAATTTGATTCTTTTTATGGGTTTTGAGTTTTTATGCAAGAAGGCTATCTTGAATGAAAGAGTCGTTTTGATTGCTTGAATATTGGCGCAAATTTTAAGTCGCTGCTCTCGATAAATTTGCAAATAATTAGATATAAATTAAAAATTAATTAATTATAAGAGTACCCCCCAAGGAGTTTATAAACACTTGATTTAAAAGACTTCTAAGTCTTTTTTTTTGTTAATTAAAATTCAATCATAAATAAATTTATCTTGCATTTTAATTTAATAAAACCCTCATCTTATTTTCACATTTTTTATTTAATATTTGATTTTAATTAAATTAAAACTTTCCCCTTTTCATTCATTCATTCTTTCATTTATTTTATTTATTTATTTATTCACTTGCTTTATTATTTGTTTCTTCTTTTATTGTTTCGCAATTAACTTGACTGACTGACTGATCTATCAATCAATTAATAAATCAATAAATCAATTCATTTATTCTATTTAGATTTTATTTTTCTTCATTTTTTAATAGCTAGTTCTTAATTGTTAACTCTTATTTCTATGTCCCGCCCATTCATTAGTACATTAGTTGGTTCATTCGTTCGTTCATTCATTTATTTATTATTCTTAAGTTTATTTTGATTAGGATTTTCGAATGATAATATATATTAATATATATATATTTATATAAATAAATAAAATACATGCAAAAAATTTATTTTTCCTCTTTATCAAATATACATTAAGTCCCACCCCTTTATTTTATTTACCCTACCCTATTTAATGTTTTTTATTTAATTTTCTCTTGAAGAGTACCCAACACTCAATCATTAACATTTTTAGTTTCATTTTTCAAATATTTTATTTCCTTTCTCGTCTTCTCTTAGCTTCTGCTTGCTAAATTCTTATGCACGCAGCCATGATATCTACCAAAATAATACAACAATCTCAAAAATCAACAAAAACTCACAAAGGCGCCACAAGATAATATTTATTAGGAACATCATTCTCAATTTCAAATTCTTAAGCTTCCTTTTTTAATATACATTTTTAAAAGAAATTCTAAAATTTAGCACAAAATTATCCAATAAAATCATTTCATTTTTGCGTTTTAATCACAAATTAGATGTATACTTTAATTTTCTTAACTTCGCAAGGAGGTGACTCAACTTTTTATTCGCCAAATCAGTGAAAAAATGTGTAAATGTTTTCTTACAACAATGATTTTCAAAATACCCTATAATTATAGAGTATGTGACAATTTTTACAAACCATTTTTGCATATAAAATGATTTTCGATAGCTATTTACCGTAATTTTGACATACCATGGTTAATTTTATGAATAGATTATTTTGATTTAGAGAGAAAGGCTCTAAATATGCAAAAATGGTTAAAGGAAAAAATATACTTTACCGCGTTACTCCCTCTAACAATTTCCTTTAAATAAATAACTTTTTTTTCTTTTTTTTGTGATTGTGTTTTAAAATCAAATAGAAAAAAGTAAATAAACAAACAAGCAAAAAAAACAATCAAACAAACAAACATTCAAATGAATTTACCTTTCCCTATTTTATTAAAAAATTATATTAAACAAACCCTCATTTATCTGCTTTGTATTCAAGCATACCAATCAATTAAAATGAAAAGTGCATTAGAAAAAAAGTGAGTATTAGTTGGATTGATTCCTTTAAATCAATAAAAATATATTTAAATAATCAGAAAAAATAAAGAATCCTATTAAGTGAGCTCATCATTATTATAAATAAAGTCGATAGAATTTATAAATAAATTAAATAGGGTGATCTATTGATATTAATCTCTTGTTATGTCCAGCTCTTCTCTTAATCGAATTGGAGAAGGAAGAGTAGAATTAAAGTAATAATTAATATTATCTTCAAAATTTAAAAATCATCTCTGATGTAGACGACGCGCTGTCTGATAGAGACATACGAGTTAGTCTATTTCAATGCACATTTGCACAGAATAAGATTTTAAAAAAAAGCAGGTTAGAAAGCCTGTCAACTCATCGTAGAACTTACACTTCCTGTTTTTGATTTTTTCAAATAAAATTAACTTTGATTATAGACTCCTTACCAAATCAAATATTTATTTTTTCCTCTTTTTTTTTCTCATGTAAATCTTTAATTAAATTTTGCATGATTTCTCCCCTCCCCACAAAAAAACTAGCAAACAAACATATTTATTTTATTTTGATTTGATTTGATTTAATTTTTCTTTGAGACCGCGTTTTCCCTCTTTCTTTTTGAATACGTCTTAGTTTATTTTTTGATATTATTTGATTTTTTTTTTCCCTTTTTTTCTTTTCTTAAATTTTATTTGCTGTGAATGCTTGCGTGTCTCTTGTATATATTATTTTTATTTTTTCCCCTTCCCAACCTATTACTGTCGTTCGTTTCCATCTTCTTAACAATTGCTGTTATAAGCAATTGATTGATAGATAGATTGTTATTATTTCGTATGACATGCGTAAGCAAATAATAAAATTAGTAAAAAGTAAATATTCTTTTAATTATCATTCATATATAAAAATTCATTTCATTTATTTTGTTTTTTTTACTTCTTCTTCTTTCTCGCAATCCTCCCACTCTTACTGATTACAAACACATAAAATATACATCTTTTTTTACAATTCATCATTTAAATAATATATTTAAGGGGGAAGCGAGAAAGAAAAAGAAAGATTAACAAATAAAACAGAACACTTAAATTTATTGTTTGTTTTTAAAAATTTCATGCAATAATTACTTTTATTTGTTTATTTGTTGTTTATTTTTCTGCTGCATCATACTTTCTCTATACAATTTTATTATATTTAATTTCAATAGTAAAAATTTGTAGCAGTTGAGAAAGTAACAAAAAAAATGATTTTTATTGTATATTGTGGCAATTTTCTTGATTTTCCTACAACATAAGCTGCAAAAATAAAAGGATTAAACGTAACTTAATTAATTTCTGTATGTAAAATAATAAAGCGAATAGCAAGTAGATTTTTAAAAAAATATATTCGAATTATTAAAATCTTATTAAAAAATTTTTTAAATTTCAGGATATTCTCATTACATATTAAATAATTTCTTAACTCTTTCTTATGTTCATTTTGCATTAAATTTTCAGTAAAATGTGAAAGAGAAGGAAGAAAGAAAGAACAAACTAAAATTGAGTGCGCAAATAGCAGCGAATTTAAACTTTGCGAATTCGTAAAAATCTTATGGATTTTAAATTATTTGAAATTCAATCATGCTAAATATAAAATATTCTAATTTAGATAGCATCATAAATTCTTTCTTTTCTAAGCTATAGTAATCTTCTAAAAAATTCTTAAATATCAGTCCATCTGTATGTATGAATAAAAGAAAGAATAAATCCTAAAATATTAGAATTACTGTGGATTTAGTGAAAAATATTTGAAAAGTAAATTAAATAATTTAATCATTCGATTCGATGGATGGATCGATTGATTGATCTATCAATTGATCAATCAAATTGTTTAGTAAAAATAATTATAGAGTCTTTTATTTTTTTAATATAATTCGCTTTTTTTCTTTATGTCTAATCAATAAATCAATCATTAACTTCTTCTTTTCGTCATTAAATCTGAAAGAAATTAATTGATAGAAATTAAAAGATCAAGAAATTTCAAAAAACAAGAAGCAGCAATTTTTAATTAAAGATTTTTTGTATTCAAATTAATTAATTTATTTTTTATCACATTGTTTGCTTGCTTGCTTCATTATATTATTTTTTTTGTATTTTCCTTCTAAAATCCTTTGCTTAATACCTGGCTTGTTTATTCTTACCTGTCTGTATGTAATTCTTGTAGTATTTTGTTAAGATGAATTTATAATGTTCTATTTTTCATAAAATTCGCAATTCACTACTAATTTTGTTTCCTGTGCCACCACCCAATAGTCTTTCCTCTTCCTTCTGCTTACATCTGTCCTTCTTTTCTCTAGAATGTTTTGCATTTTAATTCAGAGCACCAAGCTTTTATAAATAGTACACATATATATAATAGATATTACATAAAATTGCAAAACGAGGATTTTTTATTTAATTAATATCAAAAATTTTAATTAGCAAGCAATATTTCTAAACAAAACTAGCTAAAGCTTGCAAGCAATTCTTTACACATTCTAGATTTCCTTTTCTTATTCTATTTTATATTTTAATACATATTTTTTTCGCTGCTCCATTCAAAGCACGTGTTTGTATGGAAGAGGGGGCCACAGATGAGTTAGAATTATTTTGATTCCTTCATTGATTAATTACACTTCTTGATTATTTATAACAATAAAAATAGTAAAGTATTATCAAAATACAACATGTTTTATCTTCTACTATTTGTATTTAGAATGCAAAAGATGTAGAAATTTTGTAATTCAAACAGAAGAACCAATATTTAATTAATCTCTTTTTAAATTATTGATCACTATCAAAAATTTACTCAAACTACTATCAAATTCTAAGTCTTTTTTTTGATTTATTCAAAAAATTTACTTAAGTTCTTTTAAATTATTCAAACTAAATGCAACAATGTCATCTAATAATTAATGACAAAATTTTAATTAAAAAAATTATTTTAGAATATTTTTCATGTGTTATTTCAGATAGTTAATTCTATTTTGAGTTTTTTAAATTTCAAAAAAGCAAATAATTGCTTAAAATTAGTCATAAAAAATTCAAATAAAAATTTGATTAGGAAGAGATTCGAAAGCTCAGATTCCTTAACAGCTTAATTTTAAAAATATTGAAATTTAAAAAATTTTGATTCAAAAATGTTAAATTTGAAGATATTTTTCTTCTTAAATTCCTATTTCTAATTCTTCACTATAAAAAAGCAAATATAAATCTCAATAATGTCGATCTTTGTTTTTTTCGATTTGCAGATCATTATTTTATTCAATTCATTTTAAATAAAAAAACTATTTTTGTGAATTTCTAGCATTTAAACATAATTAATTAATTAATAATGTCCTATTTTTTAATGAGATGAAGAATAAATAGGGATAAAATTTCAATATAATAAAAAAAATGATTAAAATTTTCGTGGTTTGAGAGTTGATACATAATTTAGTGTAATTTTAAGAATGTGTATCTTATTTTGAAGGTAAAATTAAAATTTTATAAAAATAAATGAAGCTTAATTTGTTTAATATTGAATAAACAACAAAATTTAGTAATTTAATTTTTTTTATAAATTGTTTTAATTGTAATTCCAGTTAAAAAATCTATTCTTTTTTTTTTTTCTGCAATGCTTTTATTTTTAAAAACAGAATTAACTAAGCCTTTGATAATTTGAGTTAACTGAAAAAAACATATGTCATTTTTCAAATTTGCTTTAAAAATTAAAAAATCTAATCAATTTATTTACCTTTTTTGAACTATAAACTCGCTTTTGCTAAATAGAGATTATTTTTGTTCAAATAAGTTAAAAAAGGCTACTATTATAAATATTTTGTGAGTTGAGAGATCTTAATTAAATCAAACTTCTGCTAAATCTTTTAAAGATTCAGGTAATTTATCAGCATTTTCAAATAAGTAACTTCTTAGTTATTGAAAATCAACTAACAATATTATATTTTTTGTTTCGTCTAATTTTCCGTTAGCTTCTGCTTCTTCGTTATCTAAAATAAAATAATAAGAAAATATTATAAAACATTTTTAGATTATTTGTTTGATAAAATTTAGATTATTTCAAAATTAAATTAAATTTATTTATTGATATTTTTATAGCTTTTATTATAACTTTTTATTATTAATGTGAAATTAAAATTTAAAAATGAAATATAAAAAAAGATTTATTTACCTTGTAATCTTAAAATTTTTAGCTGAATAAGGTTTTCTGTAGCTTTTTACAATACTTTTGATGTGAAGAAAATGTGGGTTCCTTATTACATCCTCTTTATATTAATTATCTTAAATTTAGAAATTGTTAAATTTTCTATTAATTTTACTTTTCTATGTTATGTAATTTCATTTTAAATGGCGTTAAATGTGATTGGATATTTCTCATGCTAAATCAATCTTGCTACACATATCAAAACTTACTTCTCAGCTTCAGATAAATCTATTTATGTAATTTTTTATAGGGAGTTTTGAGTATTCATTTGAGTTATTGAGAAAATTTAGAAATAGTTCTACAAAATCTTAATTTAAATTGGTAAATTTAAATGTTTGGTAATTATTAATTCTTAAAATAATAAAAAAAAAATCATAAAATCCTACTTTCAACATACATTAAACCAGTAAATGGTTGATGCAAATCTAAAGCCTATTGAAGCAAATCATGAACGTATTAAGATAAAAAATTAGTTTTTATCTTATTTTCTAACACTAAATAAATATTTTTATAAAAAAAATTATATTTTACTAAAAATTAAAATTTAGATCAAAAACTAATCTAATTTATTTAGAAGGGTTAAATAAATTACCTCTACAATCAATTAAGTTAAGCATAGTTGACATAACATTTAAAACATATTAAATAGGTTTCATCAATTAAACGATGTTCAAATCTAACAACTTTTATATATCCTTAGAATCAAAGCACTTTAACTAAATTTGTTGAAAATCTTATTAGAATAAACAAAATCTTAATGGAAAATTAAAGAATACCAATTGTTAGCTTAGCTTTTAGCATGATTCTGTATCTCCTATTTTTTCAAATCTTTTTTTTATCAATTAGACACAATCTTATATTTCATATCCCATACAGTGCAAGTGACTAATGTTTTTAATACAATTTAAATTCAGACAATATAAAATTTTATTTTATATATTACTCTGCTGAGAATCTACTTTTAACTCTTTTTTCTAGTTTCTCACTAAATTTTAAATCTGAAGTAATACCAATTAATGTAAGGCGATTTTGGTTATTTAGAAGCCAGTCAAGAAGAGCATAGAGAACTGATTGTCTCTTTTAACTAACTAAGTTTTCAATCCTGTCAACTATTAGAACCCAAATTCCATCTTAGCTCTTTTAAAATAAAAAATTATTTTTAAAAGTTTATTCAAATTATTTTATTTTAAATTGTTTGAAGATAAATTGATTAAAGAAAAGCTATTATAGATGTAATCTTAAATTTTTATAGATTTATTTATAATAAAAGTAATTGAAGAAAAGTATTAATTTCATTCATTCCAAAATTAATTGAGAAAAAATTTAGCAATCAGAATATCAAACTTAATTTAAAAACAAACATCATTTATGTGCAAAAATTAAAAAAATTTGATTTTATAGAAAAAAATAGTTTTCTTTTAAATGTATAAAAATCAGCCATTTATCAAAAAAAGTTTGAAAATGTTTAAATCTACGTACGCGCAATAATTATAAATTGATCAAATTTAGTATTTATCGATTGTTAGTGTATTGGTTTCAATTGATTTATGTAGTAACCAAAAAAATTCCTCTTATATTTTTATGAGTTAATTAAATTAGGTACTACTTTCTATTATTTCCTTCTATTTCTTGTTATATTCATAATCTTAGTTTATGATAGTTAAAATAGCTTTGATTTGTTTGATTCTTATGCAATTTCTTATATGCCAATTTATAGCTTAAATCTTGTCTTTCATTGATTGCTCCCTCCATTTAAAATAAAAAAATGTTTACATTTAGGGAACCTTCGATGTTCTTGAATGTGAAGCTTTAGTCGAAGATGTCATTTTTTGATAATTCAACTTCCTCGTCTATTTGGGCCTTAATCTGTCTCACTAACTCAAGTGCAAATTCATTTTCAGTTTAAAACACTCCAGCATCAATCCAAATAGGAATTAAGCGCATAGTATCTCTTTCAAAAATCTCGCTTATAGCATATCTAACTGCTGATTTTCTACCAGAGCCAGGCAGACCATATAAGATGATGTTGCTGCGAGTAGCAGAGTGAGCTGATGCCTTTAGGGTATTCAAAAGTGTGTTGTATATTTCACCCAATTTGACAATAATACCACTATCAATTTTTTTGAATTTCTTTTGAATGGTTTTCAATTCTATTGTACAAACCACGGTTAAAACGTTCTAAAAATGTAAAATTTTGGGAGAAAATAATGTTACGTTGCTCAAAAGTATTTTCTTCTTCCATTTAGAGAGGTTAGGTAGATGTGAGGCCTTGTGTTTATTTTTCTTTCTTTCTAAATTATTCAAGATTGTGAGTGTTGAAGTATTAATATTTTACTTTGTTTCTTAATCAAATAAAATAATCACAGTGTACGAGCTTTCTAATTATTTTTTTGGTTTTATATGAATGTCCTATTTTTTTGCAAACATATATAGTTCCCATACATAATATTCTTTAGTGAATGATATGCTTTGTTTTTTTAAAGCCAATTTATTGATTAAAGCTATAAATACTTAATTATATAAGCTCAATAATGAATTTATATGCCTGTTCCTAGCCTAATAAGACTGATTTATTAATTGTTTTATTTTGCGATATTAAGTATATTATAATTCTTCATTGCTAAACTATTTACAAATTTTTATTTTAGATATTTCATAAATCCACTCTATAAAATTTATGCAGCAAATTAGCTAAATTATCGAGTTCAAATAACAAGTTGTTCTTTCTTACAATAAATCTATAGTTTACTTAATTTACAATTTTAAAAACTATTTGCCATTGCGTAAATCATTTTATTAAATATTCTTCTCTTTTAATATTAATTATTTTTTATGAATTGATTCATTCAATTTATATTAAAACTAATTTAGCTCTTAACTAGTTCTAATTTATTTAGGACTTTAAGAAAAAAGTAGTCTTTACATACTACTAAATAGTCCTACTTGACAAAATTTTTAGAATCATAAAATAAATTTATTGAAAATTACTTATTTATTATTTGATTTTCAATTTATTTAGAAAAAAAATTAAATTTAGCATTTTCAATTATATTAAAATTTGAAAGTCTTTGTTAAATTTGAATTCATTTTTATTTTCCAAGTATTTTTATAAATCAAATTAAAAACTTAGACGAAATTTAATTAATTTTTTAGCAAATGAGATTGTGAAAAAAGCGAAACTTTTTTAAAAATCAAAGGATTAATATTAATAAAAATATAAGTAATATGATATTTTTTATTATCAAATTAATATTAGGAAATAGAATTTTTCTTAATATTAATTAATATCTCTCTGTTTTTATTTTGAATATAAAATAAATATAAAATGTGAATACTGTGAAAATATAAATTTATAATAATGTGGAGGACTTCCAATCATTCTACTTAAAATAGAGAAGCAATTTGCATTAATGTAAGTTGATGCTCCTTTTATGCATTCTTGTTGTCTAAAACCTTAATAATTCAAATTAAAATTGCTTAGTGTTATTTTTTAACTATAAAATAGTATTTTACTTTAGAAATTAATTGAAGAGGTATGTATTATTTTTGATTTACTTGTCTATTTACTTGTAAGTAGTTAACATTTTAGTATTCTATCTTTGCTTATTAGGCTATTTCTTCTGCTAAAACCTTCATAAATATAGAAAAAAAATTAAATTTTATTAATTTAATTTAGTTGATTAAAGAAATATTTATATGATTGTTTGTTTACTCTATCTTCTCCAAAATCAGAAAGTGCTTAGAAAAGGAAATTGCTCATTTTTGGTAAATTAAATTTGTATGCCAAACTCTTCATTTTTTCTCCAACAATAGAATTATCTTTAATACAAGATCCATATGATTTTAGGACAATTACAGAATACTTCATATAATTATCATTTTAATTAAGAATTAATATCTTTCTAATCAATTAAAAGTAATCAATATCATCTTCTTCATAAGGTAATCTTCCATTGTCTTATTCTATTTAGAAAATATTTTAATAATATTAATTCTTTTAAATATCTAAATTTGCATAAATTAGATGATTTAATTTTTAATCTTTGAAAATTTAATTTTTTATTAAAAACAAAATCATTATAACCAATTAAAAAGAAGTAAGGATTTTAAATTTTTTACCATAAAACATTTCTGTAAAATATATCAGAATATCTGTAAAGTCTTTATTGAATGTATGCAAAAAAGTTATCAATTGTCCATAACATTTGTATTGAATTAGATATTAAATTATAGATTCTTGGTCTTTAACCCTGAGGGCTTAATCTGATTGATTACATTACTCAATCAATAATTTGGATTCTAGTTCGATGATAAGCTTCTGAATCATAGAGACGCTAATAAACATATACTAATTTTAGCTAGATTTTTTAAAAATGCTGCTGAAGTTAAAAGCATATCTTGGCTCATCATAATCGTTCATATCTTCATCTTAGGCATTTAGCAATCCAGATTATTATTTTTTTTCTAAATCTTTAAAATAAATAAGGAATTCTATCGCAACTTTAAAATACAATAAAATTAATTACATCTATAATTCTCATATATAACAATGTCTTATTCATAGCCAGCCATTTCAAAAAGAAACTAGGCTTAGGCAAGTGCTAAAATTTGAAGGTTTATAATATTTTCATATAAAATTCTTGGCATAGGGTCATCTTAATCATCCATATTTGTAATTATCAAAAGAGTATTGTAAAGGAACCATTGTGATAATCCAGCCTAAATTTTTTAATAAATAAATAAATAGTTGCATGGCTTTGAATCTAATTTAATTTGTGTTATGTTTAGAAAATTATTTTTTTTAATTTTACTTATTTATAATTTTTGATTGAAATATAAAAGTTCATCGAAGAATTAAACTTATAGAGGTTTTCTTTTGAAAGTTGTTTATCTAGATCTAGATATTTGTCACTCTCTAGTTAATAATTTTCAATTATCTTCTGTAACAATCTCTTATTTTCTTCATTTATAACCTTTTCTATCTATTTAATTTTAAATTGTATTAATAAAATATGTTTTAAAAGTAGAGATTAAAATTGTAAGTTTAAATTTTATTAAAAGTAAAAATTCCAAAAAAAATAAGTTTATATTTTTCCTTTATATTTAAAAAATTTAAACTTTCAACTTTAATATCTAGTTTTAAGAAATATCTCAAATTACTTGCTCTGCTAAATCATCTTCATGAATCAATTGTGAAATTAATCCTATATTCTCGTTATTGCATAAATTTTGAACAAACTTTTGTATACACTCATCTAATATTTGTTTGTAAATTCCACTTCTTTTCTTTATTATTAATTTAAATTAAGTTATTTTTGTGCAATAAATAATAAATTTTAAATTACACAAACTTCGTTGATTTATTTTATATAATTAAAAGCTTATTGATGATTTGAAGTTTGCAAGCTATATTAGAAGCAAGCCCTCAAAAATTCTAATTTGCATAGTATTTTTTAACTATTCTTTATGCAATTACTATATATATCTTCCTCTTCATATTTGTCAAAAAGAAGTAAACCCATTTAAGCTAGCTCTTGTTTGCATCTTAAATCAGTAAATGTTTCTTTGAAAAAATACAAAAGACAGTATCTGATGAATTTAATATCTTCTTTAATATTTAGATCCTTTACTATAAAATAAAAAATTTTTGAATTCATTTATTACTTTTTTTGTTTTCTTTACATTCTTAGTGAATTGCTAAAATATTTTTTTCAACTGTCCAAGGACCATCATTGAGGATACTGGGATTTATATGTATTTAGCAGATAATTTTGTGTAAAAGGTTTAGAACATTCGTATATTAAGATGTTTGATATAAGCACATTGCTTATGAATATAAAACAGCTGGTGTTTGATTCAGGAACTAAGAAATACAAAGGGAAATATCGTATTGATGATTTTCTTTTAAGAACTTCAAAATATTTGGTAAGTAGTTATTTGTTAATTTGAGGCTTAGATTTTAGAAAAGAGAGAGTTCAACTTTATCTATATTTTATTGCATCCAAATACTATTTTTATTCAAGTGATCATACTCAGCTATTTGGTAACTCTATGAAAGTTCACCAGATATGAAATAAGATAGCACATCCATAAACAGAACATGATCTAATGTTTGATCTTCACTTTTAATTGCAAGCTTATTAATTTTATCAATTTATAGAAGAGGTTTATCAAATAGATAAGTAATAGAATAAGCAACTGCCACTATCTATTAAATATTTTCTAAATAAGATAAGTCCTCCTCTGTAACTTTTCTGTATTCTATATATTTGAAAAAGGAAAGAATTATCAACAAAAGTTCGACTAACTCTCTTATCTTATATCTAATACTTCCACTTATTAAATTTTTACTCCAAACACAAAAATCTATGTTAATTTTTAAAGGTTATTAATTTATATTAATAGGAATATTTCCATCAATGTTTTCATGGAATAACTCAACCAATATATCCTCTAAAAGTATTTTCATCTATTAAATAACTTTATTTTTTTATTATTCATCACAAAGAATACTTTCAAACTAGTCTGACAAACTCTATTTAATTTAAATAATCGTGTTATATAAATACAATTCAATGAGTTAATAATGTAAACTAAAAAAAATAATTATTCAAATTCAGATTTATGTTTTTATGATGTTAGAAAGAATTAGGAAAAAAAATTTTTTATTAAAATTGATGGAATTTAGAAAATTTAGAAATTAATTTTTTTGCAAAAAAATACTTAAAAGGACCAATAAAAAAATGATTTTCATAAGGAGAGGTTTTTGAAATTTATGATTATTAACAAAAATTTTACTAAAATAACAAAAATACTGAACCTAATTCCAAAGATTAATATATTTGTTATATTTATGATATTTTGTATGTTTATTTGAGGAATATTTAATTAATTAATAAAATATCTTTAAATAATAATTTTGGAATCAAAATGAAATTAATCAGCAATATTAAAATAATGAAATGCAAAAATTTACTTCATATGAAAGAGTGTTTGATGCTGATTGTATACCTTGTTGTATACATTAAATGAATGACATTCCATAAGGACATTAGTTTAGGCAATTTTGAATATCAGGAATTAAAAATAACTTTGTCCATGAAAGCAGTTCAAAAATCTATGATAGATAATTTGATGAGTCTTCTTGTGTAAGTTGTTCACACCAATTTTAATATTTTAAATAAATGCTTGTATTTGAAAAATCTTATGAATATTTATTTTAGGGAACTGTTTTTGAGCTATAGTCACGGAATGTTGACTAGTTTTTGAGAGAGCTGTTGTATTCAGACACAAATTCATTCAATTTAAAGTTTAAGCTTTCATAAAAACACATAGGCACAAGATTAAACAAACCATTCTCTCTAATTATTACTGGTAACATATCGCTGTTTCTGATATCTGTATGAATAGCTAAAACTGGGTATTTTGTAAACCAATTGTTTGTTAAACTCATTAATGAATTTTTTACAGCTGTTTCAAATTTTAATTCATTTTAGTTTAATAGTTATTCACTAACTCTTTTTATATCACCATTGCCAATGTAATTATCTTAGAATCTAAATTCTTAATAGCGACTGTAGAATTCGTGTATTAATTTAAGAGGGAATCTATCAGAACGAAATAGTCTATTCAGTGGATACTCTTTAAACTATGAAATTATAAAAATAATAAATAGTTGAATGCTTGAAATAATAAGTTATTAAATAAATATCTATTAAAAACTTTACAGCCATATTTGAATCATCATTTTCTAAGTAAAGAAGGTCTTGCTGAAGAAGATTTCTTATGTTAAAGTCAGCAGAAAACACAGTCGATATTGATAAAGAGTTAGATATATTCATGATGTCTTCATACTTCAAAAGTTGAATCGATGAGCTTAAGTTTGAAGGAATTGATGCTATATATATTCCTTTTGGACTTAAATTTACATCTATTATTTCTGATTTATTCTAATAAGAATAAATTTCTGTTAGTTCTCCAAATTTAACATTCGTGCATTAACCCAAAGGATTCCCAGATTCTAATATTCTTTCGTCATTTCCTATCAGTCCTGATAAAAACTAGTCTGGAGCTATTGGTAATTAGCCAAGCTCTTATTAAGGAAAAACTTCTAAATTAAAGAGCTAGATATAATTAACTATGGAGTTATTAATAAAAGAAACTGATATCAGAACATTTACAACATTTTGTAAGTTATTTAAAGTACTGAGCTAGAGAGGATTGTTAATAAGAGCACTCACTTTAACATTTTTGAAAGGGTCAAGTAGTGATATTGTTTCTTTATCATTCAGAAGTGAGTATTCTATTTTCACTTATTTTTGCTTGAAATTTATGACTTTGAGCTTAAAATCTTTACTTACTGCTAATAATATGAAGCGAGAGACAGGGATAATGTGAGTAAATAGCTAATCTTAATTTTATTTAAGTTTTTGATAGTAAAATTAATTTAAAAAATTATCAAATAGTTTTATTTCTGATGTATGTCTAATAAAATTCAAATCATTTTCATTCAAAGATCCTACATCTATCTCATAGCAAAATACTTTTTAATTAGCAAGACATGCACATAATTCAATCCTTTGCTTTAAATTATTTGAATAAACTTATCCAATACTGTAAATAATTTGCCCATGAGACTCGATGTTGAGTTCCCTCTTTAGGGCATCTCTTTCAATTAATTGCTTAACATATATTTGTCCGTTTGCACAGGGAATAATGATAATTACACTATTATTCAATTAACTATCGTGATTAGCATTTTCTACTCCCATAAAAAATATTTAGTTACAAATATTTTCATTCAATGTGTAAAAAAATTCTTAGTAGTCAGATTATTATTAACTTATTATTTTTACAAATCTTTGTCTCAAAATTCTAATTAAATTTCCATTAACGTAACTAATAATAAAATAATATTTAGATACAAATTTTTTTAATGATTTTAAAAGAATATGCCCGCCACAAAGCAAACATATCTTCTACTAATAAAATAAAAATAACTAATTTTGCTAATAATAAAATTGAATTAAGTGTTAATTACGCTATATAAATGCTATTTTAAAAACTGAATGTTTGAATGAACTCTCTATGTGGTGTTTGCACTAAGCTACCCTTTTTATTTTCTTATCCTACATTCTAAGTCTACTGTTTATTGCTTATCTCTAATTATCTCATATTTTTGATAGTCCCAACCATAACTTCTTTATAGCAAATGTAATCTTTAAAACATAAATTTTTCATATTCTAGTCATTGCTTATATTATCCTATATTTATTCTTCTATCATTTTATCCATTTTTTCTTATAATTCTTGTATATTATGGATTTATATTCCCCTAATTTGATATCTCAAACAACTTATATAGTATATTAAGTGTCTTACAAAATTTATCAATCAATCTATCTATCTATTATTTATTATGATAAATATCTTTTTTGCTATATGCCTAATTAATTAAATAATTAGCTTATATTTATTCAATTATTATTTTCACTATGCTAACTATTTATTTATTTTTGATTTTTATTCAATTATTCTTGCTTGCTTGTTTATAATTATTTTTATTTTATTTTATTTAAACCCTAAAAAAGCAGAAATCTTTAAACCATTAAATTTGAAAATTTAAATATTAAGTATAAAATAATAATTTTTGTTCATAATAAACAATCACCATTAGAATTTAAATAAAACATTTATTTTAAAATAACACATAATAGATTAATTGGATGCTTGCTTTAATGCCAAAAAATATCATCATACTAAAGAAATCCCTATCAGTTTATCTATATTTAATTTAGTGATTTAATTTTATGTTTTAAAAATAATTTTTAGTCTCGATTACTCCCATATTTATTTTATTGAAAAATTTTAACATTTAAAAAGAAAGTTAATATTTTTCTTCTAATTATAAACAAATAAAAAAATATTATTTTATATTTTTACAGTTTCAAAAAAATATTTTAAATTTGAATTAAATAAAATGAGATATTTATTTAGAGAAAATAAATTATTTCAATAAAAATATTATCAATAAATTTTAGTTTCATTAGATATTTTAAATTTTAAAAATTAATAATATTCTAATAAGTTATTGAATTAATAATGATCATATAATCTTTATTATTAAAATGTATAAATAAAAGTTATTAAAATATTAAACATTTAATTTGATTGTATCTACTAGAGATGATCTTAAGTAATTAAATTTTTTTATTCAAAACTTGTTAATTAGGAATATTTATATTAAAAATATCTGTTTTGGTATATGTTTCAAATAAAATATTTATTTTATTTGTTATTTTTTTATTAATATATTTTTAAATCACACAAATTAGTAAATTAATTTATTTTATCAATGCTTTTTCTTTACTTCTTATATCAGCCATAATTGATTATAAAAATAAAGGGTTTTATTAAGATTTATTTCAATTAAAACTCTACAAATAGCACTTTCAAGACTAATTTAATAAAAATATCTCTATAAAATAAATTCTGCATTTCAAACTTTTAAAGTTTTATCCAAAATTATATTTGCTAAAAATTCATTTAAATAGTAAAAAATTGATATGATCTTTTATTTTCTACTAATAACTTCATTTACTTTCATAAAAATTAAAAACTTAAAATATTTTAGGTTAATTTAAAGTATAAAATATAAGCAAAATTAGTTAAATTTCTTTTTTAAAAATTTTTAATTCTGTTTTATATTTTTCATAATATTGATTTTAATATTTTTAATAGTTAAATTAATTTCCACTAAAGATCTCATTTTATAAAATCTAAATATAGATATTACTTTTGCTTTTAATAATGTTTTTTTCCTTTAACACCGCTATAATAAAGTAATTACAAAATATAATTAAAAAAGTGTTTTAGTAAAAATATTTTGAAAAGAATATATGTGTTTTGCTTTTTATAAAAGAAGAATACTCTGTTTTTGAATTAAAATATAATGAAACATCAATATTTTTTTAATATATCTACTTCATTTATATTTAAATAAAATCATGTATTATTGGTAGTACAGCAGATATAAAAAAATTTTAATAGATGACATGGATAAATAATTAAATACTATATTTTCATTTAATTTTTAATTTATTAAATAAATGTAATGTTTTGGTTATATTAACACTCTCTTTAATACAAATAATTTCATAAAATATTCTTGTAAGAGTAATATTAGTATCATCAAAAATGGTAGATATGATGTCATATTAAAAAGTTGATTCTAATTTATTATACACTAATCTAGTCATTGGTTTAATTTACTAATTGATTAATAGATTTTTCTCTTTAGAATTATACTAGAATCTTAGCAATTATATCTTTCTTTATTGATTTCTAATGGTATATTGATTGATATTATTTATCTCACAAATCTTTTTCATCAAAACAATTATCAATTTATTGTTAAATATATAAACTAAAACAAATACTTCTATTATTTTTAGAAAGATTTCATAAATTAAAATTTTGCAAATAAACTAAATAATTAAAAATCACAAGTATTAAAAATGGATTACAAAAACGAAAATTTAATCAACCCTGAAATTTAGATGCTTTAGCTACCAGTTTCCTTCCACAAGAAGACTAGATAAAATTTAGTTGAGGCTATGAAAGGAGTTGCTTAAGGAAGATCTATAGCTCTTTTTAGAGGTGACACTACTAAACCAATTTAGGATTAGGGTAAAATTATTTAGAAAACTTAAAGCAGCAATATATTACAATTTTATGCTAACTAACTATTTATTTTTCTATTTATTAGATATTGAAGAAAACTTTTAGCAAGAATCTAACATTTTCTACCTTTTTGGTGTTAATGAACCTGATTGTCACGCTGTTCTTGAACTTGATACTGGTAAATCAGTAATTATTTGCCCTCGTATCCCTGAAGCTTATAAGCTTTGGATGACAGTAAAAGAAGCACCCTACTACAAGTAAACTATTTTTATCTTATTTTAAGATTAAGTTAATTGCTTTAGCTCTTCAATTTGAAACAAACTTATTTATTATCATAATTTATAATAATAATTATTTAGATAAACTTACTAGGTTGATGAAGTTAAATATGATGATGAATTTGAAGCCTACTTAAAAGAAAAAAATCCTGAGGAGATTCACGTATATTTCGGAGTAGATCCCGATAGTGGTTTAACCTTGCCATTACCTGAACAACCATTTTTAAAGAGTTACAATATTGTTAATGATAAAATGTACCATATTCTCAATGAATTGAGAGTTTTTAAACACTAAGAAGAAGTTGATTAAATGAAATTCATCGGTGATGTTTCTTCCGAAGCTCACGTTAGAGTTATGGCTAACACCAAGCCTGGTATTAGAGAATATTAAATGGAAGCTTTATTCAAAGTATTTTATTAATGTTAATTCTTAATAAAGAAGAATAAAAAAATATTCAATATAAAATTTTAAAGATTTTTTGTTAAATATTTATTTTAAAAATTTTAAAGTTCCATGTGTAAGAAAGAACTGGATCTAAAGAAAAATCTTATGATTGTATTTGTGCTTCTGGTAACGAAGGTCCTTCTATTCTTCACTACCATGACAATTAAAGAATAGTTACAGACAACTCTCTTATTCTCAATGATATGGGATCAAAAGTAATAAATAGCATTTGAATAAAAATTTATACTCAATTTTCAAAAATATTTTATTTTTTAAATTATTAATATATATTTATTTTATTTAAAGTATAACGGATATTGCTCAGATATCACAGTAACCTTCCCTTCCAATGGCAAGTTCAACGATAAGCAAAAGTATGTTTAACTATTTTATTTTAGCAATTTTTTTTGAAAAAATTAACTATAAAAGGGAAATATATAATGCAGTATATGATGCTTATATTTCAGTACTTAGATCCATAAAAGAAGGTGTTTAATGGTAAGACATGCATCATTTAGCTGAATAAAGAATTTTAGAACATTTAATTAAGATTGGTTTAGTAGTTGAAGCTCCTATTGATGAATTAGTTTAAAAGAGAGTCGGAGCTGTTTTTATGCCTCACGGATTGGGCCACTTGATTGGTATATAATATTTTATTTAATTTTTAAACTGAATTGAATTTATCTCTTTTTAGGTTTAAGAGTTCATGATGTTGGTGGTTATGCTCCTGGTCATCCTGAAAAACTTAAGGATCTTGCTGGACTCAGATCTTTGAGAACAAGAAGAACACTTAAGGCAGGTATGTGTATTTCAGTTGAACCTGGTTGCTATTTCAACAAAGTTATTTTGGAACAAGCATTTAACAATCCTGAGGTTTCTAAATATTTAAATAAGTCTAAGATTGAAGAGTATACTTGTGTTGGTGGAGTTCGTTTAGAAGATGATGTTTTGATCACAAAGGATGGTCATTTCAATCTTACTAATGTTCCTAGAACTGTAGAAGAAGTTGAAAGAGCTTGTGCTGGTCTTCCTTGGAAAAATTGAAATTAAACATAAAAATATTTAATAAATTGATAAAATATAGTCAATAAATATAATTATCTTATTGCTCTTTAATAAATTTATATTTTTTATATAAAAGAGATAGTAATTAATTTTAAAATTTGACATGTGAAATAATAATTTTGTATAAAACTTTATGAAATGTAGAAATTAAAATATATATTTTGAGGTTTCCATCCAGTATAGCGTTTATCTTTGAAGAGAGTAAATGAAATAAAACAAAATCTTCTTTTTAAACGAGCTAAAAAATTTGCAAAATTTTAAAATAAAAAACAATAAAAATAAAAAGACCTAACTTGTATTTATTAAAGATTTGTTTGTATTTTTGTCTATATTTTTTTTTTCTATTCTAAAAAATAACTCAAAGATATATTTTATTTGAGAGAGCTGTTAATTATTCAATAGATTACAACCCTATTTCTATCATAATGTTTGATTCAAGTCATGAAGAAAATAAGCAATGTTTAATATTATGACAAGAATTATAATTAGCTTAAAATCTTATTAGAAATAGAGAAAAGTTTTTACTGAAATTATAATTAAAAAATATAATTAGTTTGCCATAAATATTTATTAATTAATTAATAAATAAATTCAATATTTTTTTATCTTAAAAATAAACAAAATTAAAAGAATCCATTTAGCTTTCTAAAAGAACTTAGCAGGATAGAAAAAATTATTTTATTCTAAATAAACTAGGTGGTGATAAATTTTATTCAATTATAGATCTGTAAATAGAATTAAATGGGAAATAATTGTTGTGTTCCAAATCAAAATAATGGGCCAAGTTAGATGGGATACTCATTTTTAAATAAAAATAACTAGGAACTAACTAAAACAGCCAATTAAAATAATCCTAACTTTCTTTCTCCACCAGACTAGAATTAATAAGGTACTAAAGTATCACAAATAAGTTCATTGAGATCGCATTCTTCTTAGTAAAAAAAAGTACATCAAGAAAAGCACCCTTTTGATGATTATCAAAAACTTGCAAATCTTGGTTCTGGTGCTTATGGAGAAGTATCTCTAGTTAGGAAGAAGAAAGACGGCAAGTTATATGCAATGAAAGTTGTGAAAAAAGAAAAGGTTGCTATTAATAGAAAAATGGTTGAAGCTACCTTACTAGAGTAAAAGATTCTTAAAAAAAGCAGACACCCATTTATTGTTAAGCTTTCTTAGTCTTTTCAAACAGAAGGCAAATTGTATATAATTATGGAATACATGGCTAATGGAGATTTATACTCTGTTCTATAGAAGGTTAAAAGATTTGATGAAAATACAGCAAGGTTTATTTTTGCTGAGGTAACTTTTATTCATTTTGATAAGATTCATTTTTTAGAATTAAATGTTATCAAGTTGTTTTGAAATAAGCTATGAACACGTATTTATATGATTTTGTTGTATTGTGCAATTTATAATTTTGTTTAATAATAAAAAGTCTTAAATGAATTTTAAAATTTTATATTTTCTGTCAGAGATATTTTTTAAGTATTTATTATTTTTTCTTTAAAAACTTAGGTTATACTAGGACTTCAATATTTGCATGAAGAACAAAATACTATGTACAGAGATTTAAAACCAGAAAATATTCTAATTGGAGAAGATTGTCATATTAAACTCTCTGATTTTGGATTAGCAAAGCAATTCGTAAATAAAGAAGATAAAGAAAATGCATTTTTAGGAACTCCTTAATATTTAGCTCCTGAAATAGTCCTCTAAAAACCCTATGATAAAAATATTGATCTTTGGACATTAGGTATTCTACTCTTTGAGCTGCTTTCTGGCAAGCCTCCATTTGGATCAGGCAAAAACCTAATGAAAGATATAATTATAAACAAACCTATATTTCCTAGTTATTTTTCAGCTTAAGCTGTAGACTTAATCAAAAAGCTTCTTTAAAATATTGGCAATAAAAGATTAGGCAGCAACAATTTTGCAGAGTTGAAATCCCATCCTTTCTTTGAAAAAATTGATTGGGACAAAATATATAGAAAAGAATTAGAATCTTTGTTAAAATAATATATTTCTAAAAAACCTGATAGAGCATACCGAGAAAAGACTATCATAGAATCTCCTAGAGCAGCAAATAAAAAACCTATGTATAACTTTCCTGAGTTTACTTACAACCCTAATTCTCTTCTCATAGGCGAAGATCATGAAAAAAATTGAAAAGTCTTTAAATCTTTTGATTATCTTTATTCTAAATCTATAATATTAGATAGATTAATAACATAATGAAAATTGATTAAATTAGACTAATCAAAACTATATATATATATAAACAAACTTTAATTTAAAGAAATATTGAAAATATAATAAATGAAACTATTAACTAAAATGAACCTAAATATTAAAAATTATCAGAAGAATCTCTACTCCTAAATAATTTAATTCTTATAAGATTCCTATAATAACAAAACTTATCCATTTTAATTTTCAAATAATTGTATCCTTTTATTTATAAATTTTAAGTTTCTAAATATTTATTTGTTTTTATTAATAAAAAGTATTTTATTCTAATTAAAACTTAGACATATCTATTTAATATTATCTTATATTTTAACCTTGATCAAAGGAGTTACAAATCTTTAAAATGCCCATAAATAGTTTCATTATTTATTTATTTTGAGCACTTAATTTTTTTTTGAAAATAATAAATGAAAAATATTTAAATTAACAAAAAATATAAAATTTTTATAAAATCAATTTTTAAAATGATTTCTTTTTTTTTGCTGTAAATGATACTTAAATATTTATAAAAATTTGAAAGTAATTACATGTTACTTAAATTAATAATTTAGTTATTACGTTACTTTAATTTTAAATATTGTGCGTGTGAATTTTAATAATAATTTTTTGCATAAACTCATACTTTAAAGTTTTTTGTTAAAAAATTTTTTAATTAAGAATTTCTTGTAAATTTGCAAAAGATCTAACTGTTTTTAAAAATTTACAAAATAGTGAAAGTAGACTGAAAGTAAGTAAGTATTAAGTATGAGCAGTATCAAAAAGATATAAAATAAACAAATTATAGATAGTGTTAAAAACGGAGCTAAACTATTAATGTAAAAGAGCAATCCAAAATACTCAAAAAATGATGAATATAAACTGACATAAACCAAATAGGAAAGAAAAGTATCTCTCAACAAAATAAATAATTCATAAAATGGGCAAATATCTTTATCACTAAAAAGAAGTCTGAATAGTTAATAAGCAAATTTTATAGGAAATAGTAATCCATGGAATACTAGAACAAATAAATAATAATATTCTTTACAAAATGGTTAAGCTTATCAATTTTAAAATGAAGAATAATAATATAAAACTATAAAAGTTAAAAATTAATAAATATTACCTTAGCTTAATCACAGCCCTTAAAAATCTACAACTAAATATGGAGGAGTTGATAATAGTGATAAAAAAAGTGAATATTACTAAGGACAATAGCATAATTAGTCACTCTTTGAAAAAAGTAGCAACGATTTAAATAGTAAAGCACAAAATAGCTCTAAGATAATTAAACCACCTTTAAAGTCAATGATCAATGACAAAAATTTATCAAGCAAAGAAAACTTACATGAAATAAATAAAAGAGAGAGTCAATTACCATAAATTCCTAAATAAAATGTTTAAACTGAAAGCTATTATCAAAAATAAGCAGAAAATTTGACTCTAAATAAATAAAATCAAAATAAGCCTTACTTTAACAGTGAATACCAATAAAAATAAAATGATTATGCCCATTTAGATAGTTCAAAAGAAAACCATATTGAATTTAGAGGAAATGATTTCATAAATAATCCTAAAACAAAAAATGCTACCCTTAGTGCAAACTAAAAATTTAGCTTTTCAACTACTCCTCCAAATAATAATAATAACAATAGCAGTATATCAAAATAGTTTGATGATAAAATGCTTAATTCAAAAGAACCTAAGAAGGTACCTAATAGTCAAGTCTAAAATGTTGCTAAGGATAGTCTAGAAGAAAAGTTTGAAAAAATATACGATACTGGTAAAAGTATAAGCATATCTCAAAACAATACATCACTTCCTCCTAAAATTATAAGTATTATTTAAATTAAAACTATCAATTAAAAAAATAAATTTATAAAAAGAAAAAGAAATTGATGACAAGGAAAACGTAAAAATAGAAAATAAAGAAAGATTGGCATTTTAAGAAGAGAGTTTAAATAAACTTTAACCAAAAATATAAAAATCTGAAATTATAAATTCTAATAATAAACTAACACCAAATGAAAACTCAAAACTGGAAGTACAAAATTAAAATTCTGTTGATAGTAGATAATCTTTTTAAATGAAGAACAAAGTAGAATAATAGTAAAGCACAAACCCATTGATAAGATATTATAAATATGATTTTGATTTCTCAAAATTTAATTTTACATTTAGCAAAAGATCTTCAGCAGGTCTTAACAATATTGGAAATACTTGCTTCATGTAACTAGCATTACATGCACATATATTATTTAAAAGTATAATTATAATAAATATTTTTTTAATAGGAACTCAGCTCTGTAATGTGTATTCAATACTCCTGTTTTTAATGAGTTCTTTTTTTCTGGATCTTTTGAAAAAGATATTAACCCAAAAAACAAAGGAGTAGCCCAAAGTTACTCTGTGCTGATTAAATAAGTCAGAAATACTGGTAACTCTTCTTCTTAAGCTCCTTATGCACTAAAAAAAAGCATAGGTAAATAAAATTTAGCAAGTTAGCTAGTTCATTTATTAATTAAATATTATAGAAAGGGTTTCTTCTTAGTTTTATGGCACAGATTAACAAGATGCTTAAGAGTTGCTAAGATGCCTACTTGATGGGCTTCATGAAGACTTAAATAGAGTTAGAGCTAAACCAAAATACAGGGAACTTGAAGCTGATACCAACAAAAGAACACTATAAGAGATTGTAATTTAAAATAAATATTAAATTCTTTTAACAATTTATGATTAAATAGAGTGATGATTGGTATTAATACTACAAAGGCAGAGATGATAGTGTAGTTACTGACTTTTTTAGTGGACAGCTTTTGAGCAAAGTCATATGCTCTAAGTGTAAAAATGAGAGCTTAGCTTTTGATAATTTTATGGATCTTTCTTTAAGTTTTAGCAGAGGTCAAGAAAATGAAGCAGATTTGGTAGATCTTTTAAAAGCATTTCTTAAAGAAGAAAATTTAGATGATGATTATTATTGCTCTAAATGTAAAGCAAGAACTAAATCTAGGAGATAATTTGAGCTATACAAATTACCTCAAATATTAGTTATCCACCTTAAAAGATTTAATTTTGGAAGGTCTTATAGAAATAAAATCTCTTCAAACGTGTCATTTCCTGTAACAAATTTTGATGTATAGTAGTTCATATAGAGCTCAAGTAATTTTTAAATAGAAAATCATATTTTATATTAATTTATGCTTTTAATAGCTGATAATAGTGTGAAGAATAGTAAATATGAATTGTTTGGAATAGTTAATCATAGCGGTAGCCTTTCAGGTGGTCACTACACATCGTATTAAAATTTTTAAAAATATAAACTTAAAAATTAAATCAATATCTTAAAATAAAAAAAGAGAATCACTCAACCCATATGATGGTAAATGGTATAATTATAATGATAGTCATGCAGGATCAATTAGTTAAGAGTCAATAAATAGATATTAGTCATCAGGTAGATAAAGCCCTTACTTGCTCTTTTACTGTAAAAGTGAATTGCTTATCCCTTATCAAAATAATATTAACAATGGTGTTGATCATCATAGAATGAAAAGTAATTTATGATGAAATAATTCATTAAACTCAAAACTAATAGTGCTATTTAAATTAATTATTACTCAAAAATCTTAATAAGAAAAATTACTAATTAAAATAATAAACAAAATAAATTTCAAAAAAAAAAAACTCATTTACTATTTAGGAAGTGCAATAAATAAATAAGTAAATAAATAAATAAACTAACAATTAAACAAAAAATATAAAAAAATAAATTCATAAATAAATAAAGAAGTAACAAAAAAATAATAGAAAATTATTTATAAAAGTATTCTATTTTCTAGAACGAATAACGATTATATTTAAAAATTTATAATTATAAGAGTAGATAGATAGATAGATTTGTTGCATGTATGTACATATTATTAATTCATCGTGTAAAATCTAAAAATTATATTTTATTTTTATATATTTATTTATTTATGGAAACCATAAAATATTCATTTTATAGTTGATGATAAGATTTTTATTTATTAATTAAATTTTTTATAAGGAATTTATTATTAATTTATCTCAAAATTAATTTTCTAAATTGTTTAATTCTAATTTTTATTCCACTCCTTCTCCCATTTTATATTACTTCATGCCAGATTCTGTGATACTCTTCCTTATGTCCTAAATAAATTTTTCTTTTTAATCTATATTTTTAAGAAAATATTTTTATACTTTTGGATTCATCAATGAAGAAGCCTTCTTTTTTTCAGAATTTACTGAGCTCGATATATTTTAAATATCTTCTAGTTTTCTTTTATTAAAAATAATAAGGATAGGTGTTTTCATAATGGTTGCTTTACCTCTAATCAGATAAGTAAATATTTTCATTCTAAACAAATTAATCCTGGCAGAAATCTTTTTATGAGTTGCTATTTGGTGAGTTTTCAAGTGATTGAGTGCACTAATTTATCTTCAAATTGTATATTTTTGGCTTTTTTAACAAAAATTTTTAAAAAATTAAATATTTTATTTTCATATTACGTTAACACAGGAAGGTTAAAATGCAACATTTTAATTATTTTATTAGTTTATTTAACCAAAATAATCCTTAAGATCAGAGATTTTCATTTCTCCTTCTACTACACTTACTTAAAGACGGTTTGAGGTTTATTGGAGATTGCTGCTCTAAGTCCCAATTTCATTTCTTTCAGAAGAATTGTATAAAATTTTAGAAGAATTATTAAATTAAGCAATTTAGTTCTCTAAAGTTACTATATAAGACTATTTTTAATTTAGATTTGTAGAACTAATGTTCAATTAATACTGAAGCCTTTCAAGTTATTAGTTTAGTTACTGTTTTTCTTATTGAATAGAATTTATTTCTGATTAAAGCTGCTTTACTTAATTTCTTAGAGAGTTTGTTTACTCGCTTTATTCGTTTCTTATTTTTTAAGATTCCTAAATAGTTTTATCCGCTACCTACTTTTAATTTACTACTTCTAAATTTTCTATCTTCATATTTAATTCTTAAATAATTAAATTTAATTTTTCATTTTCAGTTACAATAAATAAATTATTCTTTTCTTGATTATTCACAATATTCTGAAGTTCCTCAGCTAATTTTCTTAAAGACTAATTTTATTCCTCCTGATTACTTTTTTCTTTACACTTAAGTTCGTATATTTACTACTTTTTTTAAATAAGCTTTTAAAAAAAATTTTTTTAATAATTTGAAGAAATTTACTAATTTCTAATTTTAAATTGAAAATTCTAATTTTGTATCATTAAGCTTCTGATTTAAACTTATAATTTAATTAGAGGCTTCTTCATATAATTGTTAAAATTAATTTTTCTAATTTTTAGCTTCTTCTAATTCTCTGGTTAAAACAATTTCCTAAATGATAACAAATGAATAATAAGAATATTTAATTAATTATTAATAATTTTTTATCTACAAAAAATAAGATTGAAATACAGATTAAATTTTATTTGATATAATAATTTTATTAAAATCAGATTGAAAATATAATAAATTATTCAATATTTTATTACTTATTTTGCATACTTATTTAGAGTATCCAAATAATTTTAATCTTCTAAAATTTACTTAAGCTCTTCATACTGCTTTTTGTAATCGATATCTTATTCATCTTGCTTCAAAAAATCCTCTTTTAATTCATTTTATTAGTTTAGTTTAATGCTGCTTTAAATGTTTTCACTTATTTGTGTATCTTAAATCTAGTTTGAGGAATTTTATCTACTTTTTACTTGATTAAGAGAATTTTACAATTATGAATTAACCATTATTTGATTTTCATAAGCTTATTAGACTTCTTAAAGTTTATTCTGCATAGACCTATTGCTTTATTCAACAAAAGAAAATTCTTTCTGAGATCTATCAAGTGAGTGTTGCAAGCTATGTATAAGTTTTTAGTGCTACTCCTTTTCAAGTTAGTTTTGCTTTTTTATTTTTTAAAATTCTAGCAAGAAAACTTCCTATTATTTAATAATTTCATAAGATTGTTTCTCTTAATTTTATAAATCAGAAATCAAGCTTTAACATTTCTCAAGTTCTTTGGTTTTGCACTGCAGAATCTGCTAAATCTAATCCATAGCTACTTGCAGAGGACTAATTTAATATTCCTTGCTCTAAATTTATGACTGCAAATTTTAAATTATTTTGGTTTAAGACTCTATTTGCTGTTTCTAAGATATTTGCAACTGTGAATATTCTTTTTATAAATCTTCTAATTTTTAAGCTTCATGCATAATAATCTCTTACTATTATTCTATTTGTGACTTATAATTATTTATTTGATTGTTAAGACTATCTATTAAGTTAGAAGTTTCAGACATTAAATTCTCTCCTTAAATTCGATTTTGTTCACTTTATTATAACTTTAATTCGAAATCTGCTAATTTATTTGTTAATTCAATTATTTTTTCATTTTAGTTTTGCTGAAGTTTTTATTTTAAATCTGCAATAATTTTGAGTTATTCTTCACACTATTCCTATAGCTATTTATCTCTCTTTTACTATTAATCTATTATGTCGCTTTAAACCTTTTCAAGGTTAATAAGATTAGTAGCTTTTTTCTCAAGTTCAGAGATTTATTCACGATCTTCGTTGAATTTTTGTTCAAATTATTCTACAAACTCTGTGAGTTTCTAAATCTCTTAAACATATTCTTCATTCTAAGACTTTAATTAAGAGCATTCTTCTTGCAAATTTTAAATTATAAGATCTTTTTGTTCATCAGTAGAATTATTTTATTTGAAGATATCTTCATATTATTGCTTCAAAATTTTATTGGCTTTTTCAAGTTAATTATTTTTTTCTATTATTAACTAAACATCTTTTTTTTAAACTGAAATTTCTTCAATAAATTGTATCAATTCGTTCAAAATATCTTCACCTAATAATTCTTTTGTTAGATCATTATTTGAAATACATTATATATTTATTTCAGCATTTTTACTATTTAATATATTGATTACCAGTTCTTTTTAATTTTCCTACAAATTTACTATTTTATTTAGGTAAGCATTATTTTAATCTATCAAAATCTAATTTTCACTTTTTAATATACATTAATCTTAATTAGCTTGTTCAATTAATAGGTTGAGATTATCAATTTTATTCTTTAAATCAGATATATGGTTTTCTTCATTTTCTAAATCATTATTTTTTCTAGCTCTTTTAATCTTTTCAGATTCATCGCTTTAAGACTAAATAATAATTTATTGTTAAGGCTATAGTTATTATATATTATCAATTTTTTAATTAAGATTTCCAATAATAGTGTGTGCATCGTTCAAAAGAAGTTCTTTCGTTTACACTTCTTATTCTAAAGCTTTAATAATTTATTCATATTAGTTGAGCTACTCAATATTTTTATGCATCTATTCAACATATTACTAAAGTTAAGTTTGATAACTCACAACTGATGTTTCGAGTAGCTTATTCTTACTTTCAGAATGTTCAAATTCATTTCTGCTTTCTTTCAAATTATCTTAAAACTGTTAAATGATCATACAATTTTTTTCAATAATTGAATTCTATTCTTAAATTAATTTTTCTTGGTACTTTATCTTATCGTAGCATTCGCTTAAATTTTCCTCTGCTTTACGAACTTATCCATTTAAATACATGATTTAATCTTAAAAGCTGAAATACATTCTATTATCAGATGATTCAGCTTCAGAGCTTCTTTAGATATCATCAAGAGTTTTGCAACGACTTTAAATTGTTTTATTTATTTCATTTTACATGATACTATCTTAAACATTAGCAGCGTTTTAATTTGAATCACTTTGACTTTATTCATTTAATTCTTCATATATGCAATCGTTTAAAATATCATTACAGTGAGGTGGTTTTTAATATTTAAGATGAGGACTGATTAAACTAATATTACTTATTGAAAAAGATTCAGTCATTACAATTTATTCTTTTAATACACTAATTTATTACTCGTATTCTTGTTTTTGACCATCAAGCAGCCCTTTCAGACGCGATACTTCTTCTTACAAGTATCTGCTAACTTCGAAATTCTCAGAAATATCTTCATTGTGGTTTATAGAATTTTCATCCTTTTTTATTTGGTTGTGGTTTTAAGCTGAATGAAATTCAAAGCTTTATATCCCACCAAGCATCTCATATCTTTAAATAGATAATCTTAGTTTAGAATTTTCATTCTCCATAGCAGTTTTATCTTCTAACTCCTTATTCAGCTTCTCTTCAAGATCTGATATTTATTTTTTCATATCATTAATAAGCTAACTCATATTATTAATATCTTAGCTGTTCCTAATATGCTAATCTTATTCAAAAGCCTTTTAAATAAATTATTTTAAAAACCTATTCTAAACAAAGTGAGTGCTAAAAATTAAATTTTATTTTAAACTAATTTAAAAGTGACAATTCATTTATGAAGATTCGAAATAAATTAAAATTTTAACAAAAAATTAAGAATAAAAAATTAAAAAATACTTGAGGACGTAAAGGAGATGGTGAAATATTTATATCTTATGTTGTATCATTATCACTTTAAGATAGTTTTTTATTTCTTTTAACTGTATCTTCTGCTGATGTTTACTATTTTAATTACAATAGTTCCTCTTATAATATCTCGTATTAATTTTATAATTTGGTATATTCTTAAGATTTTTCTTCTATGATTTAATGTAATTTATTATTTTCTTAAATTATATTAAAATTTATTTCATCCTTTTCAGAGTTTTATTCAATAATAACAGAATCTTTTCTTGGACTTATCAGATTTACAAGTGATTGGTAAGTTTTTATGAGATTTTCTTAAAAATCTTCAGTAATAACTTGCTTATTAGAACTTATTAGAGTTTCCTAGAGATTATCTATTTTTTCTAAAATGATATTTTTTTATTGCTCTGAAGAATCTATTTTTTATTCCATCAAAACTATCTCGATTTTATGATTTTCAATTAATTATTAAATCTCGCTTTAGTGCTATATTAAAATTGTTTCTAGCTTCTATTCATTTCTTTTCTAACTTTCATTATATATTTTGTTTAAATTTTCTAAATCAAAAGTTTTTTATTTTAAATTCATAGTTAAACTCTCTCTTTCGTTTTGGAAGCTGAGTCTCTCACATTATAAATCTTCAACTTACTATTATATTTCTTTTAAAAAGCTATAATTAATACACTGAAGAATAAATCATATTACTTCTTATCATACTATTAAGACTCTAAACTTAATCAGAAAGCTGACCTTTTTCATTGATTAATCTCTCGTTTTCATGCTACATCTAAGATTATGTTTCGATGAGATTTCTTTATGCTTGTATTAGCTACTGTTCGACTGAATTATTTTATTACTCAAGTAGCTGTTATTGTTCTAATAATGAAGCTATTTGATTCTTAAGTTATAAAACCAAATTACCTTATACAGATTAAGCTTATGAAGCATTCTCTCTCAAAGAAGCATTTTCTATTTCTAAATTCCTGAGTTTATTTTAGAATTCTTAAAACATTTCTTTCTTTTCAAAATTAATTTTCTCTATTTCATCTTTCAAAATCTTTTTCTCTCTTTCGAAATTATTTTATACTTGTTAACACTTTTCCTTATATAAAAAATATTTTATTCAATTTTTTCTTGTTTGAACAATTATTTGTTACTTCGAATAAGCAGGTTTAAGTTGTATCATATTCATTAAGCTAATTCTTTAAGTCGTCTATTTCTTATTAGTACAACAATACTCTTTATTCTGTCTCTAGTAATTTTTCTTATAACATTGCATTCTCTTATTTACTACTTAAAAGTTTTTCCATGCTTTCTTTTTCACTCTAAAATTAATTTTGCTTTTACTTAAAAATAATTTCCTATTCCAAGCTCTTTTCAGCCAGCTTTTTGCTTTGGTTAATTGACTCCCTAAACTTCAAATTTTCTTCATTTAGGAGCACTAGCTTTTGCTCTAGCTCAAATGCTTGCATTCTTTGTTTTTCATAATCACTAGTTAGCTTTAAAATCTATAATTATCTCTATTCTAACTCTTTCTCATAAGCTAATGCTTTTTAAATAAGAATCTAAGTACTCTCAATACCTTCTCTACCTTACTACTATTATTATTATTATGAATCGATTCTACTATTAAAATTATTTGCTATTAAGCCATCTTATTACCTGGGCTTAGGAAGATCTTTTATGCTTTATTTTAAAAAGAGTTGATAAATATTTAGTTTAAATAGCATATTTATAAATTAGATAGGTTCTTATTAAATATATATTATATAAAATTATTTTGCGTTACAAAGGATGCTATTAAGGCTATGATATTTCAGGTGGTAAAATCTAATTTGTTAGCAAAAGAGGAGGACTCAATATAAGTCCTTTCTTCTCAAAATAATTTAGATCCCTTTTAGATGCCATAAATATTTAAACGAATCACTATAAAATATAATCTTTAACTTAAAATTGCAAAATTGTTCTTTGTTTATTTATTACTTCCTAGTTGTATTTTATTGTTTTTTGTAATATTGATTTACTTGTAAATTAAATAAATTCATAAAACTAAGTTGAAAGAAAAATAGCAGTTAAAAAGGCAAATTAAAAGTGTATAAATTTTATTGGAATTTGATGGATGACTATAATTTATAAAATTCATATAAGAATAATTATTTGTATTAAATGTAATCATTAAATATATCTTATTATATCGTCATTTCCACATATTCTTTATCATTTAAAACAGCTTATTTATTACATATAACACATATATCAATAATTTTTTTATTCAATATTATAAACAGTAAGAGAGTAGACTAGCTATTTTAATTACACTTTAATGATAAATTTTATTAACATTTAATTGTAAGCTAATATTTTATAATGTATTTGTAAAAAATATTATTTATTTATTTATTAATATATAATTATAAAAATACAGTAATTCTAATAAAGAATTAAATAAAATAAATAAATTTTTAATTGATTAAACCATTTTGTTTTTAATAGACTTAATAATCACTCCTTTATAACAGAGGGGTATTATTAGGTGAATTTGGCTATAAATTCTTACCAATTATTGAGCCATAATTGCATTAGATGTTATTTTTCTTCTTCATTTGCTAAGGAGTGTTTAATACTATAATAACAACACAGCTTAAGGTCTTTTAAGTCTATATAAAATTTAAAAAATTAAGTATATTTACTTATTAAAAGGGTATTTAATTAATTAATTACCAAATTCCTAAGCTATAGCTAAAGTATAGAAATCGTAGCTAACACCTAAAACTCCAAAGAAACCTGGATCATCTGGGTTGATGCAAATAGGAATACCGTAATTGAGGAAAAGTTTTGCAGGATGAAGACGTAAGTCATGAATATATCTTAAAATTTAACAAGACATAGGATTAATTTCAATACAAATTTTGTTCTCCTTTACATATTCCATCAAATAAGCATGGTTTGTTAGGTTATATCCATGTCCTATTCTCTTTGTATCCATTAAAATCATATCAATAATATTGGTATTGCTAAAGTTGTTTAAGCTTTGTCCACCTATTTTTTAAAAATAAAAAAATCCATTTAAATATTTACTTTAAAAAGATTTTGTTAAATTAATTACCATGGAATATGTAAGGAAGAGATATGCCCATCGATTATTCTAATTATTACTTTTTCAAAAGAACGGGAGCATAAAACTCAAGAGGCTAATTAGCATCTTCTTGTTGTACTAAATCAAATCCAATGAAAAAATCTGGGTATTTTGTCTTGGCAAGAATTGATTCATCAAGATATTTTTAAATTGTTTCTTTATTCCATTACTTTAATCCTTAAATAATTGTGGCATAAGAAAATTATGGGTGAATTTCTTTTTTGGCACGATTAATAACTTCTTGATACACTTAGTATTCTTCATCCAAAGGAAGAGGATTGAGATCATCGTCAAAAATAGAATGTAGCAAAGCTCTTGCCTCAATGCGATAGATTCCATCATTGAAAAATACTTAGAATACACGATAAAGGTATTGTTTGAAGTAGTCCTTGTGCAAAATTAACTACCACATTGCTTGAATCTTTTATTCGAAAATCTACCAAATGTCAGCCTTCAAGTCATGAGCCTCTTCTTATGTAATTTGAAGTCTCTTCTTAATATCAGCTTCAAATTAATGTTTATCTGGGTGCTAATCCCTTAACTTAGAAAGCATAACATATCCAGGTTCTGCAACTTTTTCGTTTTTGAAGTATCTAAATCTGAGGTTTGATTAATTGTAGAATGTTGTAGGCAAATAGGCAAGATTCTAAAAGAACTATTGAATTAAATAAATACAGATTAATAAAGGAATAAAACAGAGTAGTTCAAATAAAAATTCATTTTTTAGAATGGCTTTTTTAAATAATAAAAATATTCCGTGTGTTTCCTAAATAAAAAATTAAGTAGAAATAAATAGAAAATGAACATAAATATCAAAAAAAGTTATATTTAAAGGTAAACAAAAGGTATTATACCCATTCAACATCATTTGCAGTGTCAAAATGGATGTGGAGGGTGGCTCCTTTAGGCATCTATCTAATAACTTTGAAACAATTGCTTTCTTCAATCTACTACTTATATTACAAAGTGTATCTTTAGAAGAAGTTGCCTTTCAACTATTGCTTTTCCTTGAGAAGCATATTTTTAAATGTTTCATTTGCAGCTTCTTCTTGGGGAGTAAAGCTTAATCCGCTGAATTTTCTATCGTTGATTTCTTTTAATAACTTTTCTCTTTTTGCTAAATACTCTTCCATTTTTCGGTATTTCTCTATTAAATGATATTTTAGTTGTTGATTTACAAATTAAGTTTTTCTGATATTTAATTAAATATATTTTTTAATTAATTTTATTGGAAAACAACGCATCTTTTATGTCTTTTTTATTGTTAGATTTGTAATCTTTGACCTTTTTAAAATAAAAGTTATTTAATTTACAGAATTTTATCTAGAATCGAATTGAATTTAGAATCTAAGCAAAATAAAATTTCTAAAAACTATTAATTAATATTTAGCAAAATTAATCTATTATATTTTAATATGTATTTCATTTTGGATATCATCTGCAATTGAGTAGATTTTGCTTTGTAAAAATTTTGAGTATAAAAGTTAATATCAATATCTTTAGTTTATACAATTATTATTCATAAAAAAGTATGATAAAATTTATTTAAAATCATTTGACAATTCAAAGTATTTATTTATTAAGCTGCTAAAAATTTATTTTTATATTTTAAAGAGTAGTTTTTAAAAGTAAAATTAAATATTTGGTGAACATTTTTTTTGAGTTTTTAAAATAATTATTCCTATTTTAAAATTTAAAATTTTTAATTTTTATCAGAAACAAACAACTTAAAAAATTTGAAATGAGTTTGGCAAATAAATCCTTAATTTAAACAGAAAATAATTATTCTTAAAACTAAACTTATCACTTTCATCTCATTTCGAAAAATTGGAAACAAAATTTACAATTATTTGAGAGTTTTCCGCTTCCTCTTTCATTAAAGCTTCTTAATATAAGTTTAAGCTTAAAGATAGCTAAAAGGATAATTGATAGAGTAGGCCTATTGAAAAGAAAAATATTCAAAAATTTAGAAATTATAGTCTTTTCAATAGCTTAAGATTAAAATAAGTAGTAAAAGTAAGTGGATTTTAATCAATTAAACAGAATAGGTTAAAGTTTAAAGAAATAAAGCGAATTAAATGCTTTAAGCATTAAGATATAACACTCGTTTGACCTGTATAGCTTTACAATTAAGTAAATAAGGTTTTAAAAAAAAAAGTTGTAAAGTAAATAAAATATTGAAGAATTCAAAGCAAAATCTACTGAAAAGCTTAAAATATAAAAAACATATAAGCAAAATAATCAAAAAGATGAAAAAAAAAACTCTTAAGAATACTTTTACATCCATTTTAAAAATATAAAATAAAAAATAACACTTCCTTTTGAACTAAATGAGCAAATTATGATAAATTATAATAATTTTTAAGAAACTTTTAATGATCTATTTTGTTTCAATTAATTTTAATTAAAGTAGACCTAAAAAATTTTACCGATTTTAAGTATTGATTCTATAAATATTGGTGAAATAGATTTATCTTAAGATATGTCAGCTTCTTTTATTGTATTTCTTAACTCTTTTTTAAGCTAAATTGACTCATAAAAAATAAAGAGTTTGAGCTTCAAGGCTAAATAATCATTTCAATATCACAGTTTATTGAAAGAATATCTTTTTGTTTTTTCAAAGTTTTTATCAAAATGCACTGAGCTTTCTTAGATTCAAATAATACTTGATTTTAATAATATTGAAATAAGCCAATTTAGTAATATATTCAAACACCTTGTATTGAGTATTTTGTCTAGTGATTCAAGAAAGGATCTTTAAATTTTAGACCTGTCATTTTCAAATATTGGTTAAAATAATTTTTAGATTTTATAGGAGCTTTCTATTGTAGAATTCATTTAAAATAAAATTGATAAACTGAAATCATTAAATGTAAGATTTTATTCAGGAGATACTATCTAATAGCTTACTATAGATAAATCAAATAAATTAAAAGCTAAGAAGTAAAATTATTTAAATTTCTTTATGTAGGCTAATAAATTTGGAGTTGAAGAGTACCAGAATGAAAATTTAGTTAGACATATAAAACTTGAGTTCAAAGGATTAAAAGAATTAAGATCATTTGCAAAAAAGAAAGTCGATTTCAGTCAAATTCTTTTGTTTGGTAATTCAAAGGGAACAATAGAAAGTATTTCGAAGTCTCTTGGAGAAGAATAACTAAAAAACTAATAAGAAGGTAATAGTGTAGTTTCAATAAATTTATTACATATTATATTAGAGAATTAAATAGATGAGATATGGATTATTCTCATAAATGAGTTATTTATGAATTGTAAAAAATCTATTCAATCCATTACTTGTAACATATTATTTTATGAGGGTTTGTAGACAAAAAACATGAAATATGAAGATTCTTTTATAATAGATAAAATTACTGATTTAAAAACTTAATAAAGGAAACCTTTTGAGTAGATGATAATAAATTTTTTGCAACCAATAAACTATAAATAGTTAAAAAGAGTGGAAGTAAAAAATACTATTTATGATATTACGTTTAATAAGTTGTTGCTTTAGAGCATTTGCGTTTGCAAATTAGATTATTTTGAAGTAGCTTAAAATATTAAAATAGATAAGCCAAACGGCTAATTTATGTTAAAACTGACAAATTAAACTTAAGAATTTTTAAATTTAATGCCTAACTTATCATTTAAAAATGTAAAAATATAATTATCTTCCCATAGTGTTGACTTATTTGAATAGGTATAGATAATTATTTTAAAATCAAGACAGGAAAAATCTATAAAATCAATTGAAATTGATATAGATTTCGATAAAAAATTTGAATCAAATATAATTCTATAATTGCTAGATTTAATTAAAGATATAAATTAAATTAGATTGAATACTAAATATTTTTCTTTAGAAATTTCTTCTCAAAAGATTATTTTCAAACAACCATAGATTGATTATAAGATTCTGAATTTTATAAAAGATTTTAGTAGAAAATAGTTGTATTTGTATATTGATTATTAGAACTTTATCAGAAACAACTAACAAACAGATATTTTTTAAAATATTAAGTTTTTAAATTTGTTTATAAACAATAAAAGTGATAATTTTATTAGCAACCTAGAGCCTACCTAATATTTAATTAACCAGAAAAATCTTCATAAAGTAGTTTTTTATGGAATTCAAAGCTTTTCTAGTTCATTTCTACATAACATGAAGAATTTGTTAAGAGGATTTGATAAGTAAAAAATTGTCGATATTTTTCCATCAAAAAAAACAAAAAGAATTTTTAATTTTAACAGCAAGACAAAATTTATAAAAATAATCTAATTACTGAAATTAATAAATAAAAATTCTAAAATTCGCCATGAAATTATTTTGGAAGCAGTAACTTAGTTCTTGATTTGAAAATTTTGATCAATTTTCTTAATTTTTGAAATAAAATAACAAATATTTATCATAAGCTAAACATTAATTCTATTTTTAGTTTTGTTTTGTGTGTGTTTTTTTATAAAGTAAAATTGAATGATGAATATTAAAAATTTATTTAATAATAATTTTTATAAATTAAGCAAGTTTATTATAAAACCATGGATTGTATTTTTGAGAATTGATAAAAACATTACCATTTTTCACACTTTATAAGTGATTTTACTTGATAGAATTGAAATTAAATTAATCATGCATGAAAACTCATTGGAACATTTTTTTTAATTCAAGAAATTTTTAATTATGAAGCTATTGTAAAATTCGTTTTATTCACTTTCATAGATTTTAATACAAATAAATTCCGTTTTAACTATTAAAAATCATGAAATCCTTCTATGATTTTTTCTACAAAGAATTTAGCAAGCATTTCGAGTATATATTTTATAAATTGTTTACTGTATGTTAATTGATTGATTTTGAATAATGTTTTGCCAATCATTAATCAAAATTAAGTTCGAAATATATGTAATAATAATTCGACAAACAAAATTAAATAAAATATTGAAAGGATATATACTTAGTATATCAAAAGTATAAAATCATTTGTTTGAAAAATAAATATGGTTAAAAGTAGATTAGCTGCAATATTGCTCTTGTTTGCAGTCTAAAGCTTATTGGTATAAGCTGATTTACCTGTTCATTGCGTTAGATCTTAAATAACTGGTAAATGGTTACTTAAAGAAGGAAAAGTTCTAGCATCAAGTAATAACAAGCCTGTTTCTTGTGGTCATTAAATTCCTGATAAAGCAGAATCAAGCAATAGCGCCATGGGTGGTGTTTTAACTGAAGTTGAAAGAGAGTATGAAGTATTTTTAGATGAAGACTTCACAGTAAGAGGAAAAGAAGGTAAAGGTAGATGGACCTTAGTCTATGATGAAGGTTGGGAAATTGAATATAATGGAGTTAAATATACTCACTTTTTTAAGTATGCTAAAGACGACTCAGGATAATATAAATCTGTTTGCTCTCAAACCTTAGTTGGTTGGTTCAACCACATTCAAAAAAAATCTAGAGGATGCTCTTAAGCTATTAAAGCAGACGCATCTTAAGAATTCTCAGATAATGTATAGTAAGCTCATGTTGTATAACCCAAGGAAACTCAATACATTTTTTCTGAAATTTCATCTACAATGAATAAATTAAGCAGCTAATAAGAATAATAAAAAAGCTAAAAAATTAATGCTTCTAACTCTCTTAAAAGATAATAGCTTTCTTCCAAAAACAAGTTCCATCGTAATTAATATTATTATAGCTTTTTTTTATTTATTATGCTTAGAGTTTACGAAAAAAAAATATGAAATAATATGTTAAAAAAAAACAAAATTTGATTAATTTTTATAGTGGCATATGACCGTTTTTAAAAGCAAGTCTTGTATATTAATGGAAATGCAAAATTATTGTTAAATAAGTAAAAATTTAAACTAATTTTATTAAAATTTTAGAATCAATTTACTTGAAGCCTCATGAAAATGTATTTGCTTAAATGAAACAAACACCTGCAACATTATTAAACCATTAAGAAATCGTTAAGAGATTAAACTCAATTAAAGGAAGTACATGGTAAGCTAAAGTTCCTTCTTTCATAAGCAAAATGAGTCTTGAGTAGATGAACACAAGAGCTGGTCTAAGAATGGATAAGCCTAAATTCAGTTACGACAACAAATAAGGCTCCTTTATTTAAAAATCATCATCTTCCTTGAGAGGTAACAAAGCAACTACCGATTATGCCCACTTTTCTATGGAGAACATATCAGATCTTCCTAAGTCTTTTGATTGGGCTGAATATATCCATGCTCCTCGTTCTTAAGAAGATTGTGGAAGTTGCTATGCTATTGCCACAACTTCTATGCTTTCATCTCGTTTGTGGATTAAATACGGTGATAATACTTAACTCTCACCCCAACACTCCTTGGCATGTAATTATTATAACTAAGGTTGCGATGGTGGTTATGGATTTTTGGTAAGCAAATTTTACAGTGAGTTCGAAGCTGTCCCTGAAAGTTGTCATCCTTATGAAGCTAGAGATGGTTAATGCAATCATTGCAATGTCGAATCTCTCAGTGAAGTATTCACAGTTACTGATTACGAGTAAATAATATATATTTAAAAAGCATGTTTAAAATTTAATTTATTTTGATATTTTAAAGATATATCGGTGGATCATATGGAAAATCAACTGAAAGATTGATGATGGAAGAAATATATAAAAACGGTCCTATTGTAGTCAGTTTTGAACCTAAAATGGATTTCATGTATTACAACAAGGGTATATATCACTCAGTTGATGCTAACCAATGGATTTAAAACAATGAAGAAAATCCTGTCTGGTAAAAAGTTGATCACTCAGTTCTCTGCTATGGTTGGGGAGAAGATGAAAACGGCAAATTCTGGTTATTACAAAACTCATGGGGTGAAGAATGGGGTGAGAATGGTAACTTCAGGTAAAGATTAAATATTTATCATATTTTTTATTTTAACAATTTTGCTTTTATAATAGAATGAGAAGAGGAACTGATGAATCAAACATTGAAAGTATGGGTGAAAGAGCTAATATTGTAAAGACTGCAAGAAAATCTCCTAACACAACTGAATTTTCATCAACTTATTCATCTCACTCAGACAAATACTTTGTTGAAAAATCTAAAAGAAAATAATGATAAATGAAAAATAAATATTTTAATAATTACAAATAAAGAAATATAAAATATTATTTTTGGTATTGTTTTTAACAGTATTTTTATACAATAAATCTTGATCGATTCAGAATACAAAGTTATTTTACATATTTGAAATTAATTTTAAAACGCATTATTTCATAGAGATATTATTAAAAATAATAAAAGAATAAAGAAGTAATAAAAGAAAATTATGTTAACTCAATATTATTTCAATATGAAAATTAGATGTTTTATTATAAACAATAACTCATCCATTAAACTTGAGATTACTTCAAATATTTGCAGAGCTGCTTTTTAATTTAATTAGAAATACTTCATTAAAATTTGAATATAAAATTTAATGTTATTTAAAACTCTATTTTAAAAATTTCCTTTTATAAAATATTGATTGAAGTTAAGAAAGTGCAAAAAATTTTTGAAGAATAAAATTTTAATAATTAATTATATATATATAAGAAGAAGAAATTTAATATTTACAATACAAATATTCTTTTAAAATAATCAAAAAATTTATAAAATTAATTTTTTTTTGGGTACGAACCCAATCAGTCAAAAGTTCTATCATTTTCCAACTCTTCTTTTTCTGAATCATCTTAAAATGTTTCTCCATTTTCCTCATATTAATTGTTGTCATCGTATGAACTAGTGCAAAGTTTTATATTTTATTATTCCTAGGAAGAAGAGTATTTAGGTTTTCTGATTTAGTTTTCTGTTTTGCTTGTGTTTAGGTTTTCACTTGAATGATAGAAATCTTTATTTTTTTTATTATATTTATTATAATCATTATTACTTTCGCAAATTTCACTAAAGGTCTCATTTTATTCTTTAAATAATTCTGTTTTCAAATTATCAGACTCTTCGAAGTTAGAATCTAGTGGTTCATACAAATTTCCATTGTTTACAATATCTCCAATCTATTTATTTCCAATGATAGGTAAATTTGTTTATGATTTTTTGGTACTTTGTTATGAAAAAGGTGTCAATTAAATTGAATTTGATATTGATCTGTTGTCTGACTTAAAAATTTCATTATCTATATCATCAAAAAATTCATCATTTTCCTTATTTTCCTTCTATATTTCAGAAACTGTACCTTTAAGCATGAATGCATCACAAGAGTTTACAGTATTAATTTAAATATCATGCAAATTTAAAGATTAAGATTGGTAATTAGAATTTGTGTTATCGCTACTAAATGACTTTGACGAATTTTTATTCTAGGATTTTTATGAAACTAAAAATGGTGTTGTTTTAGGTATTATGTAAGAAACTTATTGCTATATTTGGCTTTAGCCTACACTTTTAGGGCAAGGGTCTAGAAGGCTTAATGCTTAAGAGGTCATAATTTGGTGGTGATGACTATTGTTATTAGTACTATGCTTTTGCGGTTAATTTTTTTAATATTTACTCTATTTTGATTTACTTTTGTTTGACTAATGGTTATGATGATTATGATGGTGGCTATCAACCTTTTTCTAAGTGCTAGTAATTTCTTCCTCTTCTTCCTCAATTTTTATTTATACTAGTCTATTTAAGATATTTTTATATGACATAACTTCGTGGTTTTTGAACATCTTTGAATATATTTATTAAGGAAGTGAAAATTTACGGTTTGAAATGTTTAAAAACTTATAATTTGGAAGATAATTTCTTTCAAATAGAAATTCAAATTGCTTCGGAGAAAAGCAATCGAATCCAGATAAAATAATTAAAATGGGATCTGCATGGGCATGGTAGTTATACTAATTAAATTGCCCGTAAGAGCTTTAGCTACTATTAATGTTATGAAAATTTGAGCTTTTTATCTTGAACAAACTACTATTTAAACTTTCTAGAGTTTACTTAAGCGAGGAGATGCTTCCACCTTAAATATGGCAGCTATTAAAAGTTGTTGTGCAGTTAGAAGAATGAGATTGAATAGATTAATTCATTTGACTATCATTAAAACTTTATCCTCCAACACCTGCAGAGTGAGTTTGTTTCAAATTAAATGCAACACCTTTCTAAGATGAAATGGATCCTAGACTGCTGTGTCTATTTTAAATAAAGTGTACTCCTCCTGTGAAGTGTAGATTTCTTTCTAGCATAGTCATTGCAAAAGATAAAGCAAGAGTTGTCTTTCCTGTTTTAGTTGTATTATTCTAATTATACAAGTTCACGAGTCTAATCTCTGACTCATTAAAAAAGTGCTTTAAATAATAGATATCTCTACTTTTCAATATGACTTTATCCATGTTTATTTACTCTAAGATATTACTTTGTTTTATCAATGGAGTTATTTCTTAAGGTTTTTCTATCTCATCAATTACAAATGGTTATTCTAAAAAACTATCAGAACTAGAATAAATTGATGGAACATCGCCAAAAACTTTATCAAAATTTATGTTTTAAACTTTTTTAAGATCAAATTTTTTAAGGATAAAGTTTTTAGTCTATTCTTTAGCTACATCAAAAGATTCTTTAATCGTTTTGTTATTTTGATTTAGATATTGCTTAAAAAATTCAAGCTAGAATTTTTAACAAATTAGCACTTTATCGAAAGATTTGCAAGTTTCCTTGAATGGGAAATAAATAATTACTCTTTATTGTTATTATTAGCGTTCTAAAATATTTTCTTAAATTATATTTTTAAGAGCTTATCCATTGTTTACACATAAAATAAGTATTCTAACATTTTAAAGCTATTAAATTTTTTCTAATATTTTCTCTTACTCATTATCATATTAATCAACTTCTAGTAGCTAACATCCTTCAAATTATAATGTCTTTAGAGATGAGTCTTCATTAAAGTTTGAATTAATTGACATTATTTAACATCCAGAATTTGTTGCCAGATTGTAATTCCTTCTATTAAAACTTAAAAAGCTGTATTTTATTTATTTTTTGCATTTTTAGAATACTTATGAGCGAAGAATTTCATTATAATTCCATATGCTATAATAAGGTTAATCAAGATATTTAAATTGCTACTTTTAACTTTTCTAAGTACCAAAGCTATTACCCAAACTATCATTTTGTTCTGCTATGAAATCTATCAATGGCTAGCTATGCATTATGTATATTAAACCTTTATTGCATTCTTCTCTGTACCTCTGAATAATTGACTTGTATATTTATAACCTGACAGTTCCATAGAAATTCTATTATTATTTTAGATAAATTAATTAATTTTATTTAAAATAGCAGCATTTAATTTCTACCTCTCGATCTTTAAACTATGGAAATTTTTATTCAATATGGCTGTTGAGATTGTTGAATGCTTCTGTTATGCCGTTTTAAATTTAATTACTGTAGATCTGAAATTAGATGTGATTCATCATTGTTTCATAAATAATGCAGATATTTTTATAGAATTTATTTTTGATATACTTTTACTATATGGTGTGCACTGCTGCTTTGTCTTCAGAAGTGAGAGTATGAGGTTCAAAAAGAATCTTTTATTCTTATAAGAAAATTGTATTTTTGTGCTTTATTACTGCGTTTAACTCCTTATAAACAAAATTTTCAGAATACCCATCATTTGACAAACACTAGTCAGATTTTATTAAATTTTCTAAAATTTACTCTCTGTCTTTTTAATGCTCAACTAAGTCTAATTTTCCATTATTTAAGTATTCAAATTAGTCTTTAAGGATGAGCAAATAAGCCTTGCATTAATAGAGCTATGATTCTATCCTAATTTTAAAATAAATTAATGCTTTAAGCTATCTAAAAATAAAGAGTAACTTGCTTACACTTGCTAAAAATCCATTCCTTCTAGCTTTTTTAGAATAAAATTTATATTTTCGAAATGTTGTTTAATTAATTCATGCCCGTTCTTTTCATTAATACCTATGTCTAGTAATAACAAATCTAGATATATTTCTGCTTTTTTAATTTAATTTTCTTTTGTGAGTTTTTTTTCAGGTACCAACTAGAGATATTTTTAAAAGAAGCGCTAACCCCAATAACAAATAGGCTTAATTAAAAAATTTTTAGTTATATTTAACTTCATTAAAGACACTAATTAGAAAAATAAAGCCAAAACTACTTAAACAATAGCTTCTATTTCCTCACTCCTCATAGAATCATTGATTAAGTCGTGTTTATCAAGCAAAGAAAATATGTATTAAGATGTTTCATTTATCCAGCTAATTTTTTATCCTCTATCTTGACTTTCTTATTCTAACCTATCCTCTGCCTCAATGACTGGATTTTTTATTTTAGGAATAATGTCCTTAAAAACTTCGACATTCAAAGAAAAAATAGAAAAATCTATTAATTTTAATAACTTCCAGTCTGTTTTCCTTTCTCTCTTAGTTAAAACACTTGAAAATAAATATAAAGAAATAAGAATAGACTCAAAATGCTTGCTTCCTTGTTCAACAAACAGTTCTCTCATATTTATGTTAAAAAATTTTAATCTTCCTCTAGATATTCCTATTGTCTTTCCTCTCACAATATCATATAAATCTTAAAATTTATGAGCAACATAGTTAGTTTAACGATTATCTACTTTCAGTATTATTTTTTGAATTTATTCAAGCCAGTCTTTTGGAATTAAATTGCTTAAAGCTAAAATATTGAAATCCTATTCATTCAATCCATATTTAAAAAAGCTGAGAATACAGCATAATTTAAATAGCTATGGATCTTATTATATTTCATCAAGAATCTACTTTTAATTGTCTTCTATGGTCTCTATACCACTAAAGTATTTGTATTTGGCAAAATATTAAATATTAAAAGTAGTTCTTTGTATCTTAGGATTATTTAAAAAATCATTGATATATTGCTTTCTTTTATTAATTGTAACATTTTCTTAAAGTAGTAAATAATTTAAGTAAACTCTGGTATCATATGCCAAATAGTCTTTTAAATAAAATGTAAAAAACGGAGAATGGTACTCTTTTTGTACCGTAAGAATTATTTTCAACTATTTTGTATAGCGTGATAAATCTTATAGTAGCTACTTGAAGTTATTCTCATCTTTCTCGAAAATCTTATCACAATCTTTGAAATAAATAAGACCATCTAAACTTTAGACATGATCTAGCATTTCTTTCTTTGAATTTTTTTTAAAATATGGCCATATTTATTCACAATAGTAGATGTCTTTCATCTAAATATATTTTTTTAAAAATTAAAACAAGTTATTTCCAATAATTAAAATAAGCTATTACATCAATTTCTTATACAAAATCAGGGTAAAGACCTCTCAATTTAGAGTATTCAATTAATTTTGTGACGAATAAGCTCTTGCCAACTCTTTTTTTACCTATAACACTAATACATTTTTAGTTTGGGTCTCTCAGTGTTTTAAGAACATTAAAAGTTTCTACTTTTCTGACAAAAAGTGAAGAAGAAATTTTTTCAATTTCAAAATCTGATTTATCTATCAATCTACCTGTCTTTTTTGATTTGAAAAGCGGTTTGCTTGTTTTATTAAATTAATGGATTCAGTTTAAAAATAGAAATTAATTAATATTTCAAAACTACTTAAAAAAATCATCTTGAGGGTCATAATCAAGCTTAAATTTTTGGCATTCTTAATGATAAAGTAGATTCTTTTCTTACAATTCTTGATAAGTATAGCAGCAACAGGTAAAAAGAAAATTTTATGTAGATTTTTCTAATGATTATAATGATTATGGTTTATACTTTTAAAGGAATTCTTTTGCCTCTTTGCACGAATTATAATGCTTTTACTATTGTTTTTATGAGCAGTTGCAATCTAAAATGTGATCTTCATGGTTAGGATTTTAATCGTCTCCGTTAAACCATTTGCAATCAGACTTGTGTTCATGTAGGCAGCAACAAGGATAATTTTTTGTACCTTAAATTACTTTGTCAGTAATCTCCTAAGCATTCAAAAACAAATCTTGAATAGATTTCCCATATTAAATAATGTTTCTATAAAAATATTTGCTGAAATTCTAGGCAACTTCATCTAAAATTGAATGATTCTAATCTACACTGACCACAAAAGGTATCCCAGCTTCTCTAAAAACATCACTGACTATTGCTGAATTGCATGCATTAACAAAAACTAACTTTTTAATAAAAATATTTATGATTTAATAAGTACATCATATGATTAATGGTATCTAAAGATATACTTTTATAAATAAAAATATTATTAAAACTGAATTTGGCTGAGTATTTTAAATACTTAAAATATGCAATATATTTAGCTAAATTTAACCTACTTGAGGCCATTTAATGAAATTAAAATTTATTTGACTGCATTGATAAACATAATATTTTTACTTTTGGTTTTTTATCTTCTAAGTGAGTAAGAATTTTTCGCAAATCATCAGGATTTATTTTTTGTAATGAGTAATCAGAATTTTCAAAATGGAGATATTTATCTTTATTATCTACCTATCCATGACATATAATATGCAGTATTGTTGGCTTATTATGCATGCAAACTTTTTAAAGATTATCTATAGTTAAATTAGCTATCTTAATTTTAATTTATTTAGAAGTGCTTTGAAGTTCTTATTTTAAATCAATAATTTCTTTTTGATAAGAAACAGATTGCTAATATGGTTAAATTGTTCTTTTCATCTCTACTAAAGGATCGCTATATAAAATCGCTAAATCTATTAAATTATCATCGATTTCTTCCTCTTCTTCGTCATTTTTACTATTCATAATGCTAATTTTTAAATCATTCTACTTATCGATTTGCATTTATTATATCTTAATTTTAAGCTCTTTGTTTTCCTCTTCCAGCCTTAGAAGTCTCTAGAAAATGGAGAATTAAGCCCTTCTAAGTCTTAACTTTATGCAGTTGTTTATAAAATTTAATTTGACTTTTTAATCTAGCTGATTGAGATAAACATAATTCAATTCATCATAGCTTATTTATATTTTAGTTTCGTCTAAATTATGTAAATTTGCAAATAAAAAATCAGTCAATACGGCTGCTGTTAAACCATAATTAACCTATTTTAAATATTGAGAAATATCAAGTTCAATCAACTCTCCATGTTCACCATAATCATCTACAAATCTGCATTGTATAAAATAAAATTCTGTTGGAGATTGGCTTAAAATATTTTGCTAAGAGCTTAATAAGCTATTATTGATGTTAATATTATTGTTATTTTTCTTGTTTTTTTTCTCTTTTTTACTCATTAACAATACTAAAAACAAGTGATATAAATAATTATAAATCTAAAGATATTAAAACAATAGTTAATTAATACTATTTATGCTTATCTTCTAATAATAACATGATAAATTCTGGAATTAAAAAAATTGATGAGATATGTCTAGTTTTCTTTCATTTTTTCTTTTTAGCTATTTATAATCTCTGGTCGTCCTCCTTCATGGCTTTGATTCTACTAAAAAACAATTTAAAACATTAATTTTTATTAGCTACTAAATTTAGATTAAGATTTAGATTTCTTATTCATTATTTTTGTATACATAGATTTATAAAAAATAATTTATTAAATAATTAAATTTATTTATTATTTTTCAGTATTTATAAAGTATTTAAGTTTCTAAATAATATCCTAAAAAATAGGTAGAATTAGATATTCGATGCCTGCAGTGTATAAAAATATTATTACATCTATGTTTTTCCTAAGCTATAAGTATGCGCTCTAGCTCTTATGAGTAAAGTAAATGTCCTTCTCACTTGGGTTACTATAAAAATTATTATGATAAAAGCTTTTATAAAATAGCAATACCATTTAATTTTTATTGAGAATTTAAAAATTAAAAATAATTTAATGTTATATGTTAGTTATTCATATAAGTATGGGCGTTTACATAAATAAATCAAAAAATGATAATAATAATGAGAAAATTTTATTAATTTAACAATAATGAGTAAATAATCCAAATAAGTGTAAGTTTTTTTACAGTAATTAAAATTTTTGATGAATTAAATTTATTTTTAATTAATTTATAATCTCACATATCAATAAAATAAATAAAATAGAAATTTTTTTGAAATCTTTAAATTATTTAGTTTGTAAGATAAGTTAAAATTGATTTTCTAGATAATATTTTGATACTTTATTTAATTATTATACAATCTTGATTTTATAATGAAATATGTATCTAGTGAATGTTATGACTTTCTGTACTTTAAATAATTTGTGGCTTAAATAGAAGAAAGTTAATTATTGAAGTAATTATGTTTTGATAAATTTTGACGGCTTATATTAATTTTTACGATCATACTTCAAATATTTTGTCAAAAATTGTTTGTTTGATAATTTTTTTAAAAAAGGTAAATTAGAACATGTGTAGCAGCATGTATAGCGTATATATGTGTATAAAGATTATTTTGAATAAAATATCAAAAAATTTTAAAATGAATGTAAAAATTTATTTATAAAAATTTTTAAATGACTTCTTATATAGATAAAATACTAAAGTTCTTGTAATATTTATTATTTATATTATATATATGTATATTTCTTTTTATTATTATTACTTTCATGAAAAAATTTTTCATGAAAATAGATCATGAATTTTCCACTTTAATGTTGTGTGCTTCTTCATGAAATGACTGAATTGCTTCAGTAATGGATGATTTATCCAGTTAATTCCAATGAAGTGATCTTGATAGTTTTAGTCCAATCTTGAACGTAAACGATGGCATGACCAACCTTCAAATTGTTGTTTTCAGCATAGATGAATGAAATCTTGTAGTTAACTCCAGAGACTATCTATTATTAAACATTAGAAATAGATACTATCTTGATGGCTTTCTTGAGAAGGGTTTTAACGAGCTTGTTGTAAGCAGTTGCGAAAGAAGAAGTTCCATTTTACAATTCACTGAGATTGTAGTTGTAAGTTTACCAACCACCATCCTTGTTTTAATTATCTTCAGCAGACATTTAAAGTGGAGTAGCAACAGATAATTCAAGAATTTCAACGTGCTTATCCCAAGGTCTGACGTAAATTACACAAGTTCCGATTCTTTCTTTACCGTTCTTGTTTAAGAATTAGAATTCAATCTTAAATTTGTAACCAGCAACTACTTGAGATTGGATGTTTACAAACTTAACAAAGGTCATATTCAAATTAAATAATCTGTGAGAAAGGTTGACCATGGCCAATTTAAGGGGATGAGTGGGATCCTATTCAAAACCAGAAGGAATAGTGTAGTTAGACCAGCCACCATACTTAGTGTCCTTATCAGAAGTTAAAGGAGATTCTTCTAATTCAACTTCATGGATTTCACAGGTTTCACCAGAGAAAGAAACATAAGCAAGGCAGTAGCCAGTCTTGATGGTGTCTTCTTCAGTATAAGTGAATCTAATCTTAAAGTTTTAGCCATTAACAAGTTGAGTTGTGGCAGAGGTGAATGTGATATCAGAAATACCTTTTTCTTCGAGTTCAGCAGAGAGCTTTCTGAAAATTTTAGTAAGAGGATTAGAGTTATCAAACTAGAAACCATTACTGAAGTTGTAATTATGCCATCCACCGGGCATAGTAGAATCATCGATATTAGCGACTGTGAGTGCTAATAAAGCAATAAAGACAATAGCTTTGTTCATTTTATATGTTAGACTTTAATTTATTTTTTTTTATTTTTATTTGATTTAATAATTATTATTATTTATTTTGTCAGATTAAAAAAGTATTTATAATCAAAAATTAAATGCTGCTTTTTGAATGTAGAATAATCTATATAGTGGCACCAACAAAAATATTACCAACTTTTCAATTAATTTAATATTTTTACCCACATCCAACTTTATTTGTTAAATGTACTAATTAATAAAATTAGTCAAGAAATAAATACCTTGAAATACATTGTGCTTTAACAAATATTAGTATTCATGATAATCCAAAAGATATCTTGTAAGTATTGCTATCTCTGCTTTTTGACCATACATATGTCTGTATGAATGTATGCATGTATTTAATTAGATATTTAAAAGTATAAAATTAGCAAAGATCGATTGATTACACTTTCAATTTCATGGAATGATTTTAAAATTTTAAATTTAAAGTTCTATGCAAGTTATTAATTTAAACAAAATGTATTTTTACTTGAAAAGTAAAAAAAAATCAGGTATAAATTTTCAAAAATACCACCACTGTCTGATTTATAGAACCAAATTTACTTAGAAATTAAATTATACTAATCAAATATAAAAATTGAAGGATAAAACTATGCTAAACTGGTATTAATTGTAAATGTAAAATCATCAAAACCACCATTCTAAAATTAAGAAGAGTGTAATAGTCAAAATTAATCAAAAACTAAGAAGATTACTTAACATAATGATAAATATCTCTTAGATCTATCTCTTAATATTTACCAATATTTTAATGTAAATTAATATAATATGAAAAAATATGACATATTAATTATTTTTTCTCGTAATAAAGCTACTTATTTTTATTTATTCAACATAATTTTTAAAACCAATTCAAATATTGTGTTCCCTATAGGCGTATATAAATTTGAAAATATAAATTTGTGGTTTGGGAACTTAAATAAATAAGCATATTGAGAAACTCCTTATTAAAATTATAACCTAAAGATTACATAATTTAACCTTGTTAAATTTCCTTTGATTTTTGTAAAAATAAAATGAAATTACTTATGAAAGATTATATATACTACTTCAAAAAAGAAAACGTAATTATTATATCATATAAATTCCTACAGTGAAGTAATATTTAGCTAAAATAAGTATAAAACTAAAGATATATATTCCTATTTATCTAGTTTATTTGAGCTTCTTTTACATTTATCATTTAAAATATTTATAAACTTAAAGTGAGAGAGTTAAATTGATTTGGTTATATCAGTTCGATATTTAGTTAAAAACAATATTTTCTAGTTATTACTTTTAGTCTAATAAAATAAATTTGCTTATATTATTAATCAAATTTAAGTATATTTAAAGTAAAGTATCTAGAACAAAACAATTACTCCATAACTAAGACAATAATTGACTTCAGTTTGTAAAAGATGTAACAAAATACAAAATTTTTAAAAATTTTGAAATCAAATAAAATCATCACTTTTTTAAATTAAAAAAATAAAAGCTTTTTAGTTTTTTTTTTTTTTGATTTATTTACAATTGGCAATTAAAAATTATTATATATTATGTAAATGATAATATTCAAATTCTTTTAAAAGCTTAGTTATAATATTTTTTCCCTGTTAAATGCCTTTATATTTGGTAATATTTACTTATATATATGTAAAATGAAAATTATTTATCTTCATATCAAGGTATTTTGTTAAAAGGTAAAATAATTTACATTTAAACAGTTTTAAATAATAAATTAATAAAAATAAAAACTAAAAATATTCATTGATTATATAAAGAATTCATTTACAAATTTTAAAAATAATATAAAAACCTTAAATTTTAATATTAAGTTTTATATTTAAATACTTAATATCAAATATTTAAAGCTTGCTTAAGGAATTTATAAGTTAATTGAGATTTATGAAGGCAAAAAATAATTATTTTATTGTAAAATAAATTTCAAAAGTAAAGCTGCCATATATATGAAATGAAAATAATATTAGTTATTAGCTTTTTTCTTACTAAAAGCAGTAATTAATTTTGTATTTTTTAATAAATATATTTTTATTTTATCATAATAAGTAACATCGTAAATTTTTTAAAGAATTTCAGATTTTACATTTGTAAGCTAAATTATTTGAAAACTATTATTTAAAAAATTAACAATTATTTTACAACTAAATTTAAATTTTTAACATAATAATATTATTTTAGATAAAATCTAGCAAGTTAAAAGATGTTAGTAAATTATTTATGAAGGTAAAAACAATCTAAAGTATGAAATTACTTTTATAAATTATAAAATAAATAATAAACTTTATAAAAAAGAAATTAATTAATTTAAATGAAAAAAAATCCTGATGAAAATTACATTTTATCATTATTCTTCTTAAATTCTGTAATAATATTTTACTTTTAACATATTTTAAAGTTGAGTTTTTAGTATATGTTGTGTAAATGAAAATGTAAATATTATTTGAAAGTAATAATCAATGTAACTTAAAAGCCTCTTTTTCTTTGTATTTAAAAATATTATTTGATGAAAATTAGACAGATGTATTTAAAAAGTTTAAAAAAGAAAATATCTTAAGATAAATTTGAAATCCATAAAAGTTATAATCTATCTATATTTTTATATCACAGATTTGTTAAGTAAATTTTTTATAAATTTAAAAAATTGATAATCGATATAAAGTTCATAATAGCTCTAGAAATTTCTTTAAATTAATACTTATAATAAGCATATCAAGTATATAAATTCTATGTTCCCTGGTTAATTATTGTAATCTTACATTCAAAATGTTTAAAAATTTGTTGATGCAATACTTTTTTGTATGTAATTTATTAATTTTTTTCGATAAGCGTCATTTAAAAGATATGTTGGAATAAATAAAAAGAATCGTAAATTAATTGTTAATCTATTTAGTGAAAGAGAAAAAGTCAAATTAAAAATAAAAATTTTTAGTTAAGCATGGGTTAAATATATTTTTATTTGAATTATGGAAATATGGTGTGAAATATTTTATTTAAAAGAGTTATAATTTCTATTAATTATTAAAGCGTATTTATCAATATGTTAAAATTAATAGTATGGTAAATTATTAAATTTAAAATTTTTCAAAAAATTTATTCTTCTAGGCAAATTTATTTACAAGCAATCAAGCAAATAAACATATAAATTTCTACAAAATTTTTAATAATAATTGAAAAAAATGTCATTCAATATTTAATTTATATGATTTCTATGTAAATTATAAAATGATTAAATAAGTATTACTCAAGTTACATATTAACCACTTCAGTAAGTCAAAGAGCTATGTAACAGCTTATTTATTATTTAATTGTAAACATATCAATACTTTATTTGTGTGACTCTTGAGGTTCGCATGAATTGTAATTTGTTTTAACAAATGTATCAATATTCCTTAGTCTTTTTTGTGTTATTGTTTTATAATCATACTGAAGTAAAAAATTTTGAAAGACTTCTTTATTATTCAGATAACAATCCTGAATTTGTATAAAGGATAATTTTTTTGCTTGTCTTAATAAAAATAGGTATTTGATCTTGTGCAATCTTGAATGCTTATTAGATTGCTAAAATTTGCTAATATCTTTATCATATTTGAAAATTGTAAGGTTAGAAATTGAAGAAAATCTCAAGAGGAAATTCAAATAAAAATGATACAAATAAAGTTGAAATAAAATGCAAATATAACACAAATTCAACTTAAAGAGAATATTATTTGATTAAAGATCTGTATATAACTTTAATTATCAGGTAAAGAAGTAAGTTGATACTAGATATCAACACGATTTATATTTTCTGATTTTATCTAAGGTTTATGGATTTGAGCCATAAAATAGATAAATATATTTATTATTGCTAATAGAAGGAAATTAATTATAAAGATGATTAGGTAGAGAGTCATTGTACAATAAATAGAAATTATCTAGTAAAATTTGATTGATTATGTGGGAAATTAAAAATTTCCTAAATTATTGCTTTTTTACGAGTATTAATAAGAATAGATAATTTATTAAATAATGAAGACTCGACTCCCAAACAACATTGAAATACTTATAAAGACAATCTCATCAAAAAAATTATAAACAATAATCAAAATAAAAAATAAAAATATATCAAAGTAAAAATGTAAAAAGTACTTATCTGCTTGCTAATATCTCTTGTGGTTTTCTCACAAGCTAGGATTGGAGGTCCAACTAAGGTTGGAGGATGGAACGATTATGACTTAGAGAAGAATAACGACTACAAGATAAATGCTTAATCTCCTCTAAACACAATCTACAAACTCCTTCTTCAAAGAGTTCAAAAACTCTTAATCTCAAATATTAACTTCTACCATGTTTAAACTTAAGTAGTTAATGGTATAAATTACAAAATTGAATTCTCGTACGAACAAAACAATTAAACAAAGAAAGGTTTGATTTAAATCTATATTCCTATCAATGGAACTCCTGAATTCACAATTGTTAAGCTTTAACCTGAATAAGAAAATCTTCTTGGCTAGATGGTTGGCGGTTGGTAGGACTATGAAATCGATAACGGTTTCTAATCAAAGCCTGATTCACTTTTATTCAGAGCATTCTAATAACTTACTAAAGCCCTCAAAGAAAAGAATGTTGAATTTGTTAGATTTGACAGTATATAATCTAAGATTGTAAGTGGTATCCTTCTTAAGGTCAACTTTACTTACAAAATTAATGGTGAAGAAAAGTAAGGTTCTTGCTAAATTTATGATGTCTCCTGGGAAAAAACTACTGAAGTCGAAGATCTTTAACTTGAAGATGAAAATGTAATTAATGAAAATGATAGCGACAATTAGATCATCGGAGGCTATTCTACTATTGAATACTAGCAAGATTACTTAACAAATAGCCAAAATGAATTATATCCCATCTTCAAAGAGCTTCTTTAATCTTTGAAAAAAGTAGGACTCTTCTTCCATAATCTGATATCCGTCGAAAGATAGCTTGTCAATGGTTTCAACTATCGTATTAATTTCTCATACTTGAAGTTAGATGGCACAATTGGAAAGGGATAAGTAATTGTTTATCTTCCTTTTGAAGGAAAGCCTTAAGTCACTAGCTTAAAGTTTGATCGTACTTTAACCTAATCTGATAATGGTGAAGGATAATGGTAAGATATGGAATACGATTAAGAAACTTTGAAAAACCCACAAACTGGATTAGGATCAGCTTACAAGAAGCTTGTTGAAGAATTGATTTTAAAGAGCTTAAAAATTTAAAAAATTCTTAAGGTCGCCTAACAGATAGTTAGTGGAGTTAACTATAGAATTACTTTCTAATACGGAAAGGCTGACAACTTGAAGACAGGAGAAGCTGTCATCTATGTTTAACCATGGACCAAAACAATCGAAATTAAAAGTTTTAAATTAAACATTTAAACCTAAGTCTGATGAGGTTAGATGTAAATGATTGATCATTAATTATTAAGAATAAAAAATATTTAATAACTTAGTATACTGAGGAATTAATCGTAATACTATATATTCACTTATAATATAAAAAATATGTGGAACCACTTTATATAAATATATATATCATTCGTATTTTAAATTGTACTTTATCATATCCATCTTTATATTTTTAATCTATTTCATTGAAAAAATAAATAAATATAAATTTTGAAATTTGTTATTTACTTTTTTCTCATAATAAGATATATTTTCTTATTAATTTAATGATAAATTTACATAATACAATTTTATTACTCATTCTTATGATATGAAAGTTCGCATTCATTGAATTAAGCTTATAACTTTTAAGGAAAATACCATTTTGATTTAAAAAAATATATAATAATATAAACTTTATAATTCTTTATTTTATGAATAAAAATAAATTTTTTTAATTAATTTAATGATATATTTACATATTAAAATTTTATTATTTATTATTATGAAATGATAATTTAAATAATTAAATTTAGATTTAAACATTTTTATAGTGAGCTTTAGATACAAATATTCTGTAAAGTTAAAAGAAAAAAAATTATTTAAATATTTTACCTTTCTTTTGTAATTCTCAAATAAAAAAAAGATTAAATTCTTTTTAATAAGAAATATTTAGAAAAAATTAGTTTGTTTTTTAAGCTTAATTAATTTTTTTTTTTCTTTTTGTAGCAAATAAATTCTTTACCTATTTCTTTTTCGGTGATGCGATGTATAATTATTATCAACTTTTTAGAATGAATATTTTATTATAAGTGAAAATAATAAAATAATTATTGTTATTAAACATAGGTATATTTTTTAAATATTAAGATGCTTTTAAAATAAAGTAAAAGTTGATTATAAAATGAAGGTATTTACTTATTGGTAAACAAAAGTTAATATCAAAATTATTAATAATTTTTAAGTAAGATTTGACATAATTATTGAAAAAATTATTAAATAAAATTTAAAATTATTTGAATATTAAACAAAAAATAATGTTAAAAGAGAATGAAAAGTAAGTATTTTAACAATTAAGATGCAAATATAAAAGTATTGAAATGAACATTATAAAAAAGAAATTTATCTTAGATATTTAATTTTTTATTTATTTATTTATTTAGCTTATCATCTTCAAATTTAAGATATAATTTATTGTCGATGATAGAAATAGAATAATTTTATTTTGGTTCATTAATTTTAGATTTAGTATAAAAATAGCTACTTTGAAATAATATTAAAATTTGAAGAGATGAATGATTTTATGTATGTATGTAGGTAGGTATGTATTTATTTATTTATGTTATTAATTAATTTCAGTTTTTATGCACTGAGCTTATATGTATGTATGTTGTTAATTTTTATTATTTTTCAAGTGAAAAATAAATAAAGTTGAAATATTTTAAAATGATAAATTCAATTAATTATTCTTATAAAAAAGAATGTTTGATGATGATAAATATTATATCTATTTATCTATCTATCTAACTGTTTAGGCAGATAAAAGTATCTTAATGTCAAATGAAATCATTGCTTTTGAACATATTCATGTTTGTTATTATTGTAATTCTTCTAATTAGAATTATGGTATCTATTAAAATAGTTGTTATTACTATTACTGTTATTTTTTTTGTGATAATTAGTGCTATTTTAACCTCCTTAGCTGGTATTATTATTGCTGTTGCTATGTTGGCTGTGATTGCTTTGATAGGAATAGTTGTTTTACTTGTTATTGTTATAGTTGAAAGCTTATTCAGTCTAGTTTTAACTGGTGCTTCCTTCCATAAAATTGTTTTTACCCATTTATTAATTAATGCCATTATTATCATCGTTAAAATTTGATTTATTACAATCATTTTATGTAGATTGTTGCTTTTGTTTGTCAATCATATTGCTTATGACATTTAAAAACACTGGTTTAAACTTTTTTTCCTATTATAAAATAAAAAATAAATTAATTAATTAAGATAGTCTCTGATTTATAAATAGTTTTTACTCTTTAGTTCATAACGCTCGAATTCTAGAAATGCTCTTGTAATTAAGGAATACCTTATATTGTAGCATATTTTAAGCTGCAAATCTATTAATTTGTTATAATATTTAATAAAATTAGCTAATATTAACAATATTTTTACCTTGTCTGAATTAAACTTCTTCCATTTTTTGCCATTAAACTCAAGATAAAAATCTTTAATGTATTCTGGCTTGATAAAATTAATGAATGCATAGCCAACATTGCACTTATTCTAATTAATTTTTTATTTTTTTTATATCAAATTTTTTATAAGTTAAGAATAAATTTACATTAAAATCAATAGGCAAGTAGAAAAAGTCAAAGTTATCCTTGTGATTTTTTTCTATTGTTTGTAAAACACAGTTAAGCTAATATTTGTTTGGGATATTTTTAATGCAAACGGTAGTACGCTTATCTTCACCTAACTTATCTAAATCAATATCATAGCTTATATCCTCCTCTTTTATTTCTAATTTCTTTTTTCCTTTAATAGGTTAGCTGTTAACGTTAGAGCTATTAATTTAATTTTTATTCTATGAATTATTATGGAAAGTCATGCTGTTGTTGCAGATGCTGTTACCTTATTAGCTTTGGTTAACAATATTGCTACTATCTTAGTTAAATTTGTTATTCTTAAGCTAGTATTAATTTCCTTATGAAAATTAAATTTGACTCTATTAAAGTTGTTATACTTAGTTCTATTAATCGTATTATCCTAATTATTAGCATGATAGCTATTTGGAGTGAGAAGGCTTATTATAGCCTTACATTTATTATTTTAGCTAGAATTGATTTTTAGATATCTTTGAAATGTCTTAATTATTTAGCAATTAAGAATTAGCAAAAATGTGAGGAGGAGGAGCTTGAGGTACTTAATCAAATTTTTCTGGAGAGATCTAACCAATTGGTTATTAAACAACCTATGCATGATTTTAAGGAATGTATACTTAAAGGTATTGAAGAGGAAAAGGCGTTTGCATGAACTCATTTGTAAACGGAATTTATTAATTTTGTTAGAATTGGCTCATTTAATATTAATTAAACTGAGGTTAAGAAGTAAAAGGTTCAAGCAAAAATTAATTTGCGTTTGTATTAGGTTATTAAAAGAAACCTTTTTCTTATTAATTTGCGAGATGATGGTTTGGGAAGAAGTTTAGCTGCTAGTTGAGTTAAGGTCCTTGCTAGCTTTATTGTTGCTGCACTTGAGATTGAATACATTAGCTTCTAACTTGCAGTTATTACTATATCGACTAACTCTATTGCTTAATCATCTTAACTACTTGATCTTACTAGACATCCTAAACACCATAAGAAGATCCTGATCTGAAAGTGTTGATATAATCTGCTGAGTCTATTGTTGATGCTTGAGATAGATTGCAATTTTATTTCTACAAGTGGTATGTAGAGCTTGAATTTGAAGAGAACAAAGAGTTAGGCTATATTTACAAGTGCTGCTTTTAGTTCTTCATCATAGCCATCATTTATTATTAGCCCTATTATCCCAAGCTTATTTAGTTCTAATTAAATATCTAACCAGCCTATTACTATTGCTATTGATTACCCTATTAATTTTGTTAAGGCTACTAGATACCAATACTATGTTATGCTGGAATTTAGCACATCATTTATTACATCTAAGTGTGTTGCTAAAAGATCTAATAGTTCTTTTATTAGTTGCCTTGGATTGGGGGAGAAGGTGTATTCATTTAATTAAATTAAATAATATTATTCATATTATTTGTAGGTTACTTCATCCCTTAGTTATAAATAGATTGAATGTGTTAATGTGCTGGTGATTCGTATAAGATGTAAGGAGACTACCCTTACTATTGAGAGTAATCAGTAAATTATAAAGGTGATCCACACTTTTCTGGTATGTTCATAATTTATTACTAATTAGGAGTAGCAAAGAATTAAGAAAATTGCTAATCAATAGACATTGGTCTAGGGCCAACAATTCTCTTTGAGCTAATATACTCTAATTGTTGATTAGGAGTAGAAGATTGCTTGCTAAAAGAATCAAAATTTTGTTATTGAATCTATGGAGTGGACTAGCTTGGGATATCAACAAAAGGATTTAAGTGAGGATGAAAACTCATTTATTACTGGGATTATTGCTAAGGAATCGGATGATAAATTTGTTATTAGTAAACACCAACAGGAGGATGAGGACTGGGCTTACCTATATTTCTTACCTTATCTTCGTTCTCAGAGTCGTCACTGTTTAGCAGTTCTACTTATTTTTTGATTTCAATATCTTCATCTTAATCTTCCTGTTAGTAGTCTTGCTCGTTTTGATTATCTTCTTCATTGTCTTTAATAAATAATTAATACAAAAATATTAAGATATCTTCTTTTTAAATTTTAAAAATTAACATTGAAGTTTATTTATTAATTTATTTCTTAGCTTATTTATTTGCTTCTTTTCTATCCTAAAAATTGAAAGAGTTGAAAAAAAATTTAAAAATAATTGAATGCATATTATAGGGGATTACTCTTATTCTAAAAGTCATAGACCTAGGAAGGGTTGATAAAAGAAAGAGGATTTGTGCTTAAATTTTCCTGAGATGTTTGCTTGTTTTCCAATTAGTTAGAATTTACTTTTTCATCTTCAGATGAAACCTTTTGGAAGACTGAGTCTTTTAAAAATAGTAGATTAATATAAACAAAAATATTCAAAATGAATTCAAAATTACCTTAAAACTCAAAGAACTACAAATCTTCTATATCATTTCTACTTAAAGTATTTCCTCTTCTATGCATAAGTTATTTTAATTTTTGTTTGCCTTTCAACTGTGATTCATTTAAATCTTGGCTAGGTTTTTATATTACTTAAATTGAAGGAGGAGCAATTAACTTGTCATCTAGAGTTAGAATTTGATTTTTAGATTCATCTTGTAAAATAGGCTTGATAGGCAATCTTGCATTTTAAAGTATCTATTTAAATTTTATAAATATTTAAAAAAAAATATCATAATAGGTAAGTATGCATTCATGCATAAATATATGTATTTATGTATATCTATTCTATTTATCTATAAGTGTTTTGCATGTTTGTTTAAAAATCTTATTTAGAACTTAACAAAAAAATTAAATTAATCAATTTAATAAAAAGAAAATTTGTTCCTATTTTTTAAAGCTTAGATTGATAGAGAGATAGATATATTTGTAAAGAAATCAAATTGCAAAATAAAAATGGTTTCATTTATAACCAACAAAGCAAATTCAAGTCGAAATCTATTTTTTAAAATTTACATGAGCATCTCTAGGCTTTGCGCAATATTTAGATCTACTTATGCTTTCTTTGATTTCTTCCTTGGATTGAATAAATTCGTTTAAAGGATTTTATGCAGCTGCTTTTTAAGTACATTAATTTAGGATAAAGCTATTGTTGCTTGATCCTTTAAAAACCCTGCTGCTATTATTGCTACTGCTAACAATCATACTGTTGTTGTTTACACTTTCTTATTTTGAATCCTACAAAAAATCATCAGAGATATTTGACTAATTTTTATGTGACCTTGATGTTATTGAGTTAGAAGTATGCTTAGATGAGCTGCTATTATTGAGATCTATTTTTTCTAACTCAGTATTTATTCCAAATATATTATTCCCTTATATTTAAACTTAACTCATCTAATTTTCAGAATCTGCTTTGTTGTTAGCTACTACATCGAAGGCTTCAATACCCTATGCTTGCTATAATTCGCATACATTTTACTCATTCTATTCTTCATCTTCTTACTTATCTTTTTGATCACAATCCTCTTCATTTTCTAGTATATTTTTTTACTTGTGCTTTTATGACTTTAAAATTTACTACTCATTTAGCTATTTGGGATTATTATACTTATGAGCGGCATTTACTTATTGATTAATTAATTTTGAACTGACATTTAGAGAGGATTAAGGAGGGAGATCAAGTGACGAAGCGTGTTTAAATACTAAATTATCAGATAATGGCTAACTTTGTGATGATACTTAAAGGTTATTAATCTCAGGACCTGCAATTTTAAGTTCAGATACAGGCTGAGCTGAGATGACGGCAGAGAAAGATTAGCAAACATTTGCTCCAGATTTTTCATCTCCAGATGAACCTACTGCTTGCTGATTAACAGATACAAAGCTGTTAGCTAGGGATTATGATTAAGCAACTTAATTCTATAAAGATTGAGAAGATCCACCTTTAAGATTGCTTGAATACTATGTGCTAAATACATTTACTTAACCTATTGCTTACAATGAACTTCCTCGTTAATGATAAGAATTTTGGAGTTTAGATTTAGCCAAAATGTCATGAGCATTCTATTGAATGCAATAACTATTATTCATGCTACTAATTAGACTATTTACTGCATAACTATCATCTTAACTTCTTGTATTTCCATTCAAACCTATTTTTTGCGCTTCATTTGAAAAGGATGATACAAATTTTGGAATCGAACTTGGTCTTTGGGTCACACTAGAAGGCCTTTTACTTTTCTCATTTTTGCCTTTAGTTGAATGAACCTTTCTGAAGGTGCTGTTCTATGAGGAAGAATTGCTTTTAGCTATAATATTTGATTTTAAAACTTATGTAAGATGCACAAAATGATGGTTTTTTTATGCAAAATTGTTTTAATCTTTCAATTATTTACAAAACTTTTAATTAATGCAAAAGAATCATTTTTAAAAATGGATAAAATTTTTGAAGGCAAGGCTTGATAAATGAATGAAATGTGGATGTATAATAAATACTTCTATCTTCCTGATGGTCTTTCAAAATTATACTTGGGCCTAAAAGTTGTTAAGAAGGCTTTTAGCACTGTGAATTAATCTCTATATCTACTGAACTATTAGAGCTTTAATTCTTCATTAGTCGACGTATATAAATATATTATTTTTATTATTATTTTTCTTATTTTATTTTTTCTTTTGTGCTAAATCAATTAAGACAGACAATCATGAATTAAACTCAATATTGATTTATGTCTTACTTATGAGTAGTGAATTGAATACCCTGCATGCATGCAAGCATGTATATATTTATTAATATATGTATTCTTGCTTCATTCATAAAAAAGCAAAAATAAAATAATGAACAAAGAAAAATATAAAAAAAAAGGGGAAAAAAGCATGGAAAATTTTTAATGTAAACTCAAACTATTTTTATTATAAAGATTTAATACGCACAAAAATATTATTTTTTATATATTAATCTGAGTTCTTTGAGAGTCTAATAATAAGTGGTCATAGACCTAAAATAAAAGCTACTTAAAATATTTAAAATCAACATTTTTTCAATTCAAAAAGTACCAAAGTTTGTTGTATTTTTATCTATATAGATGTATTGACCACAAAAAAGTGGCATAATCACTGTCAAAATGCTAGAAAATGGTTTTTGTCTTACTCTTCATTTTGCACTAAATAAAATACCAAGTAAAACTTGAAACTGGATCTTAATAAAAATAATTTTATTGTTAAAATAAATTAATCAACTTCAAAGTATGGTAATTTAATATGTTTTAATTTTTAAATAAAGTGTAGATTTTAAAATAATTTATTGTAGTTTTTAGTTAAAATTTAATTTAAAATTTGACTGTGTATTTTATTAAGATTTTATTGAACATTTATGATTTATTTAATACACTATCTCTTTATATTTATATATCTATCTATCTGCATTCATTTATTTTAAAGCCTTAAGTTTTATTTCTATTAAATTTAAAATATAATATTTTGTAAATAAATAAATCGTACTGCTCAAATATATTTTTATTTCTAAATTTAAAAGATTTTTTAAAAGGATACTTCTTTTTTTGATAAAGAAATAAATAAACAAATAAACATATAAATAAATGCTATTTAACAAATCAATGATTTTTTTCTCCCCTAAAAAAATAACAAACAGTTTTAATCAATTATTTAATTATTGGTGAGTTAATAAATAAAGAAATAATTAAATAAATAAAAGCAATAAATAAACAAGCCCATTCTCTCTTGCTTAATTTTGAATTTATTCAGCGAATCTAATTTGTTACCATCGTTGAAAATCATGAAATATATATATAATTGAAATTTAGGATATTCATACATTTTATTTATTGGTTTTTATTTTAAAAATCAAAGAAAAAGAAAATCAAATTACATTTTAAAAAATATTTCCTCTCTTTAGAAATAAAGTTAAAAACTTAGTTGAAGGTAAAGACAGCAATCAATTTTTTTTTATATTAAAAGAATGAAAAAAGTTAATATATATTACAAAATATTTATGATGGTTATACGAATTAAATTTTAATTAAATTATATTATTTTTCAAAAAAACTGTATGCTTATCTTTACTTATTCGGATATATTTATGGTTGCATTTATACATTTTTGGTGCTTAAAAACTAACTAATTACTGCTAATTATTTATCATTTTAGATATTTCGACAAATAAATGACAATACCTTCCTAATAACTACTAATAATTGCTTCACCTATTTAAATTAGCTTAGATATTTTATTACAATTAAAGAGTGCGTTATTATTTCATTTTGGTTAGAAGAGGAGAGCTTATGACTTTATTTTAATAATTGAAAGATGCAGACAGTTTAAATGAAAGATGTTCAACAGAAAGGAATTCTTCAATTCGCTTTTGTAATAAGTTTATGTGTATGTTGTATAAAAGTACTCTCAGAAAGTTTTCTTGACCATGATGTTGTAGAAATCTTCAGGGGTAATTTCTCTGCTATTGCTAGCGGCACGTTCTAACATCTCAGCTAATTCTTCTTAGGTCATTGTTTCACCTAATTCCTTAGCAACACGCATTAAATTCTTCAAAGTAATACTCTTAGTTTAATCATCATCAAATAACTCAAAGATTTTGTTAATTCCGTCTCTAGTTTCTTTGTCTCCAAGCTTTGAGGTAATAGCATCTAAGAAATCTTCAAAATCAATTTCTGTTCCTTAACTTTCTAAATCAGCGATCATACCATAGATAGTAGGATTCTTATTTTCAAAACCCAACGATTGCATGGCTGCTTTTAATTCTCTGGGATCAATCTTACCAGAACCTTCAGTATCGAATAAGTTGAAGGCTTCTCTTATTTCTTCAATTTCATCTTCAGTCAAACCAGGTCTTTATTAAGGTTACTTCTTGTTAGCAACGCCAAAATTTTTACCTTAAGGAGCAACAGTTTTCTTTGAATTCATTTTCGATATTATATTTTCCCTTGAAATTTTTTCTTTTTTATAATTAAATTTTTGATTTTTTTTTATTTTAAATTGTTTTTGAATTTTGTGTTCGTTCTATCTTTTTTAAGTTCTTTAATTTCAAAATTTATAATGAATGTTATGTGTTTTCACTGCTGCTGCTGATCAATGTTATTACTCCCACTAACTAAATAGATAGAAATTAAATATGATTGTTTGTTTATCTGATTGATTGATAGATTATCTATCTTCTTAACTGAGAAACAAATTGAATAAAGTCCATAAAAATAAAAATCTTTAAAAATTGTAATTTTTATAATTGATTTCAAGCAATTGCAATTATAAATTTTTTATTGTTTTGAGTATTTTTTTTTAACTTTTTTGACATGATTAATAAATATTTTTAATTAATTAATTCAAAGATTCTTATTAATGCATATGAATTTATCAAAAAACTAATAGATTTTGATTTTAACGAATTTATTAAAAAAAATGAATAAATTTTTAAGATTATATATCATTCAAATTTAATAAATGTATTTATAAAAATAGTGCAATTAAAAATTTTTTCATATTAAGTGAAAGCTTTTGTCACTTAAAATTGAATTATTTACAGTGTTTCTAGAGCTCTTTTAAAAAAAATTTTTAACAAATTGATCTTAATAAAGTTAATCATTAAATTCACCGTTAAATTTTTTGCTTTTAAGCTAATCAAAACTCAAATCTTCTTCTTCAATTACTTGATCTGTGTCTGTAGCAAATCTAATTTGTTTCTTAGTTTATGAGAAGTATTCATAAAGTTGTGCTTTATTTTATTAGGGTTTTTTATGATTAAATAAATCTAATTAACTCATGTTGCTTTCTTGACTTTAGTTCAGATCTCTTTCATTTTATTTATAGATAGTTGAATCTAATTAATTACAACTAAAATCTTCTAACAATTTGTTATCTTCTAAATTAGACTACTCTGTTAAGCATCTTTTATTAGCAATATTATATTCAATATTACCATTAGTATCATCAAGTTAATTCAAAGCTCCAGAAGAGCTATTTAGTTTTTACTTTGACAATTGCTTTTATTTTATTTATTTTAAATCATTTTAGTATTTTCTACTCTCTTATGAATAAATTTATTCATCATTTAAATTAAATCCATATTTCAATGGTTAATCTTAATTCATATAAGAATAGTGTTAAATATTTTTTTTAGAAAAACTGTTTTGATTTATAATTTGATGTGAGTCATTATTAATCATAGGGACCAAAGGCTGTTTGCTAGAATTTTATTATGTTTGCTAAGTTTTTTAATTAAAATCGACTTATTATTCATTGCTTCTTAATTTATGATACAATGCTTATCTGCCTCTTTCTTTTTATTGTGATGCCAAATTATTTAAACTATTTTACTAAGTTAAGGTTAAATTTTAAGTTTATAAAAGTTTTTGATTGCTATTAGATTGTTATTAGTCTCTCATTTGATAATTATTATACTACTTTATTATTGATGGAAGATGAGAGCTTTCAAGAGAACTGAAAGGTTATAGATTTTAATCTAACTCTTGGTGTAGAGTTTATTGTGGATTTTTATGTATCTTTTATAATTAGTTAGTAAACTGGTCTATTTTAAAGTAGCTTAAATTATAAAAAGGATAATCAGATTTATTTAAATATTTAACAATATTTTCATTGCTTTTTCCATTTTTTTATTTACTTTTAAGAGATGGCTGGTTTAATTTAAGCTATTGTTATAGCTCTTTCTTAATGTTTTCATTCAATATCTTCAGTTAATCAATATATTAGCCTATATTTTTTGATTTATCTATATCTTTTAATTGATTCCCGATGTGATAAATAACATTTTTATTTTAATCTAAATGCTATAAAGATTAGCTCTATTTTAAGTTTCTGTTTTTCTTTATTTTCATAGACATTATTTTATTTATTTTTTGAATTCTCTCTTCCTATTATGGAGATAAGCTTTATCTTAAATCTTCCTAGTAATTATTCTTAGCTTCTTGTATTTCCTATTGTTTAGATTTCAGCAGCTAAGGAAGTAAGTTATAAATTTATAACTTAGCCTTTGTTTCTTCCAACTACAACTTTTTTTTATTTTATTCTTTATTTTAATCATCTTTTTTATTTGTTGCGATTTTTTCAGAGCTAAGCTTTAACTTTTGTTAAATGAGTTAATTATATAAATTTCTTTACAGATTTTAAGCTCTCTGCTATTAAATATTCTATTAACAGCTAAAATCTGTTTAAAATTCCGCCAAACCTATTTTTCTAGAACTAGGATTGAATTAAGCAACTGTATTAAATGGATCATTAATTTATTTTTTTATAGGAGGAAGGTCTTGACTAGTTGAGGCCCTTTTTTATGAATTTAATAAAGCTAATTAAGAAGGCTGAGGCAGTTAGCTCAATGCCTTTTCAGGAGAAGCTAGAGTTTTGTTATTATTTATTAAAGTAATAAATTCATCCTTTTTGTTTATTAAATCTTACTTAAACTTTAAATACAAGCAACTCAAATTTATTTTATCTATATTTTTACTGTATAATGGAAACTTGCCTGGCCATGGGTTTTCTCTCTCATTATATTCAGTTACAGACCTAAATTATCGCTCTTTCTTTTCTTAATCAGTTTTAAATTTTAATTGCATGGTTTTGTCTGATTAATCTGTTTTGTCTACTTAAGCTAATGGGTGTTAGTCTTTAGGATATACATATAATTTATTTGATTTAGCTTAAATATTAACATCATTTTTTTATGTTTGAAACGAAGGTTGTTCTTCAATGAGACTATAATTGATCTTTTCTTAGGGGCTATTTTAAATATGCTCATTTCCATAAGAAAGTATTTATTTTTAGAGCTTTATCAATTGGAGCTATTCATACTCACTCATATTTTTATTTAATTGCTACTGATTTTTTCTCATTTACTAAATTTATTTAGCCTCCTAAGAACTTAGGATAGATAAATCTAACTCCTTCTTATCATCTTACTTCATATTATTAGCATTACTTTTTTTAATTTACTTTTCTGAAGACCTGTTATCCCTTTGTTGTTTTGTCTTCTTTGGTTTATCAATTAATTGAGGATCAGAAAGTATTTAAAGTAAACTTCTTGATCTACTCATATTTTGATTTCAATTTGTTTTCTTTAGAATCTTTATAAATTAAAAACAATAAATTGTATGGTTGTTTTTTAATTGCCTTAGTTTATTAAGATATTTATTGATCTTAATTAATAATACTATAAAACCTAATTTATGTAAATAAATGCATCAAAAATTTTAGCCGTAAAAATATATTGAATACTTATCCATACATTTACCATAAATTATACAGTTTACAATTTTAATTAATTAATTTAAATACAAAAAAAAATAACAAAAGAAAAATAAATGAAAAATTTAATGTTCCATTTATTCAACAACCAATTTCTTCAAGAACATCGAAAAATCCATCTATATGGTCAATCTAATTTGATTTTTATCCTATTGATATTTCTTATTGTTAAGAGTGTAAATCATTTTAACTTAACAGACTTCCACTGCTTTTTAGTTCACTACGAGATTATTCTTTAATGAAATCTCTAATCTAATATAAAAATAATATTAAATTAATACATTTAAATCTAGTTAAAACACATACTTCAATGTAAATCTATTCACGGTATTCCCTTAATTTTTTAAGCTATTCTTTTCTGGTAATAAATAAAAATTTAGCCTTTATAGCTCTTATATTAAGTGAAATCTAATCAGCTGCATTAACCATAACTTTTAAGTATATTTAATAATTTAAATTAAGTCAAATTTGTTAAACAATTTTAAAAACTAACAAGTAAATTAAAGTTATAAAATTAAAAAAATAAATTTATAAAAAATTAATCTTTAAAATTTACTAAATGTGTAAATGGGGTAGAGTAAAAAAAAGAGTACTGTTACTAGCTTTAAGCTTTTATTTTTAAAGTATTTGCATTTATTTTTAAGCAAATATCTAAAAATAAATGTATAGAGTGCATTAGCTATAGGTAGTATTACGAAGGCACACATTACTTAATAAGAAGCTACTACATCTTTACCTAAAACTTTAACTTTAGAACTTTTTTAGCACTAAGAAGAAAAATGAAAACGTTTAAATATTTAAATTAATTAAATTAAATTACTTTAACTCTCTCTCTTTCAGATAGATATCTCAAAATTACTGCTATAGGGCTGTTTAAAATGATAGCAGGAAATGAAAATCCCATTTAAAATAGAGTCTTAATTATTAGACTTGCTAATGATTTATAGTCTATCTTAAGTGATGAATTGTATTTCTTTATTTCATAATCTTGAGTGCCAAGATTCTTCAGCTAGGTACTATATTATCCTATTTTTTCAAGCATTTCTTTAACTCTAGGATCTTCAATTTTTTTTATATAACCTTAGGCAAATCTTTGAATAATTAACATTTTAAAGTTACAAAACTAATAAATAAATAAATTAATTAGTTTAACTTTCTATTTAATTGAAGTTCTTCCTTTGGTGTGTACTCTCTATCTGCAGGTAAATATATTCTACGAGCCATAAATATTGAATTCAATTCTCTGTAAGTAGGTACTGTGATTGTTACATCTCGCAGTCTCTAAAATATTTTATCAAAATGAATTTATGAAAAATATTTATTTTTATATTTATTTACATTTTCTATTTCTCTTAGCAATTTACTAATAGCTTATCTTCTACTTTAGGAGTAGATCTCAACAAACTCTTAAGGAATTTCATAAGCTTAACCAAATTCTATTACTACTTTTGACCTAAATTTATGACCTGAGAAATAATTTAAACCACAAGGAACTATTTTAACCTTAAAAAATAAAAATGATGAGAACTTTGTGCATAAATCACTTAATAATTTTTTACATGCTTTTTATATTTTTACATAGCACCTAATGCCATGATACATACTCCTGCCTTTAATGGAAGAAGATCAGTCCTATCGTGACTACCACCTTCTGGAAATATACCAATACATTAATTTTCATTTAAGGCTTTCCAGACTGAATCATACATTTGGGTTTAATCTAATTTTGGAATGATTTTATACGCTTTTTTTATTGAAACAGGATTTTCATACTTTTCTTTTCTTTGAATGTTAACTCGTTCGTTTGAAACTATTTCTGTGACTAAAAATTCATCTTCTATCTACATTAAATAAATTGTTCTGACCCTTTAAAATTATATTTTTTGCAAAAATTACTGAGGAAATAGTCAAGGTGCTACCTACTTCGCACTGTTTAAGAAATAAAGTCTAAGATCCCTATTTTTATATTTAAATTTACCTTTTATTTACTAAAAAATAAAAGCAAATATAATTACTTCTATAAATGTAGATGCTATTTTTAGTATAAAACCCTTTCCTTAAAAAGCTAAATCCTAAGCTCTTTCAACTGGAATTCCTCCTAAAGCTCTGGAGAACTGTCCTATAATTGGTCTTCTCATGGACTTAGCAGCTACTATAAATTTTATCTCTCTATTTAAATGACTGGCGAGTAGCTGATTAGAATAGATGATTTTAAAAAGATGTTAAAAAGGGTTTTTTATTTGAATCTCATTTAATAAAAATAAATTTATATGTTGATACTAATCCATCCATGAACTAATTATTATGGTTGCTGCATATGATAACAGGCTCATTCTATTATTTTTAAATTATGGATTTATCAAAATTTTAATATTGTTAATGAATAGAATATACATTAGGAATATTTTATGCTCCTATAACCTATATCTACCTAAAAAATGTGTGCGTAACAAGCCTTAATAGTTAAAAAATATTGAAAGAATATAGTGAAAAAGGAAATTTAGGTATTTACTTAGCAAATTAAGAAGTTGCTTTGTACTATAGATGCTACAAATACTCCATATCAAAGTACCTAAAACTATTAATAGCTAATAATCTTTATTTTTTTCAACAAAAGTTTAATTAAATTAATTATTTAAAATGATTAAAATTTTCTAATTACAAATCCATAGCTAAAATAAATAAAGGCTTCTATTAAAGTGAAAGACCATACAAAATGATTTAATATTATATCAAATTTACACTAATTATAAAATAAATTACATCATAATAACAACAATTACTAGAAAAAATACTTTAAGGTTTGTATAATTCAATAATAAATATATTTGATATCATCAGATTTCTTTGTAGTTTTAATGTAAAAATTATCAGTCATCTTTATCAATAATCATAAAAGTTACAGACGATTTAAATTTTAATTTGATACAAATTATTAGATTTTAAATTAAGTCTTTTATGGGATTTTATATTTCTCAACAAAAAATTATTCATTCTTAAATAGAATCAATCAATTATCTTGCAAAAAATCATTTTATTTTATGAAATTCTAATACATTCTTTTAATTTGAAATAAAATTGATAAAATAAATAATAATTTATCATAAGTTTATCTTTATAAATAATGATTCATTTTACTATTCATATACTATAATATTCGAATTTTATAAGGGCAACCTGAATATTTTAATTTAAATTATTTAATAATTTGATTATTGTTAAAAAAAAATAATTAATAAAGAAAATTAAAATAAAGTTTTTAATAGTCTATGAAGATAAAATTTGTTTTCAAAAATATTTAATTTATACCTAAAACTAAATTCAAGAAAAATTTCTTTTAATTGAATAATATTTAAGGAAGCTATTTCATATTCAACAAATATTTTGTTTATGAAAAAGATTAAAAATCTTCAATTTTAAAAGATAAACTATAAATTCAATTAAATTATTACATTTTATTTTATCAGTAAAGAGTTTAATCCTCAAACAAACAAAATTAAATATAAAATTTTTTATAATTTTTTCATATAAAATTTGTTTGTAAAAATATTAAATTGAAAAAATATTTATTTTAATTTTAAAATAATTAGAAAGCTATTTATTATACAACAACTTGACTCTTTCTATTTATCCTTGTATTGTAAAAATTAATGAACATATTTTACTTGTAAACAGCTAAAAATTTTTTTATTTCTCAATTATTCTTTTAGCACATTTACTCATTAAATATTTTTGCTAAAAAAAATAAAAGAAATTAATTTGGTTGAATTCCAATCTTTAAAATTATTTGATGGTTTATTATTTATGTAAAATGTTTCAAAAAAAGAAATTATACTCAATTTTAAATAAAAATAAAGCTTTTTTAGAAATAGGCTATTAAAAATATTTATTATACTAAATATAAATAAAATAAAACATATTTGAATAAATTTAAATTAATAAATATATAGTCTTTATACAATCCGATCTTAACTTATTTAAATTAAACACAGCTAGGTAGGATACTCTCACATTCCGTTGCTATTTTATTTTTTTAATGGATTTTAAATTTATTTGTGAAATTTAATTAATTTACTAGTTAGGACCACCACTTCCTTCAGGAACAGTCCAGTCGATGTATTCTTATGTCATCTAAATTTTATTTTATTTAATATATTAAGATTAAGGTACTAAATATTTACTTTAATTGAACAAGTTTTGCAATGCAAGCAATTTTAGGCATTAATTTAAAGCTTTTTTCCTCCTTTTTCATCATCTACAAATTCGTAAACCTTAGCAGGGCAAAATCTTTATTCAGGTCCATCAAACTTTTCTAAAGATTCAAGAGGAACTTAATTAAGTCCAGTTTTAATTTTTAAATGAGAAGGTTAATCATCGTCATGATAAGTACCACTGTTTTTATAAAAGCATGATTTTAAGTTACTATTTTTTTAATTAAAGTAATTATTTATTACCTTCTAGCTAAATTTTCAAGAATATCAAATGTAAGTTTTCCATCTTTTTTAGGATAATTTATAGGCTTAAAGTTTTCCTTTTATTTATACTATTCACTATCCTTTTTATTTGTTCTTAAGTTCCATGGTTCTCTTCCCTTTTTTAAATAAATTAAACTTAGTAAAAGTATTGAAGGCATTTTAGTTATTTCTTACTTTAGTTATATGAAGTTAGAAGCCATTCAACAAAAGTCCTGGGTAAAGACCGTACTTGAAAGCATTTTTAGAATTTCTAAAATCAAATAATTCTTTATAAACCCAAGAGTTTTCCATATCTGTTTGATATTACTTGAGTTCTACGCCTTCACCAGTACCTTCTATTGCTAAGCTTTTATAAATATTCTCAGCAGCTACCATTCCTGACTTCATTGCGTTATGGGTACCTTTAATTTTTGCAACATTCAAAAAACCAGCTCCACAGCCAGTAAGAACACCACCAGGGAATGTTAATTTAGGAATTGAAAAATAACCTCCTGCATTAATAGCTCTAGCACCATAAGAGATACAGTTACCTCCTTCTAACATCGATCTTACTACTTTATGAGTTTTGAATTTCTTTTAGATAAAATAACTTTTATATTTTTTTTCCTCCAATGTAAAAAATTACCTAGAATTCCTCATAAGGATTAATATATGGGTTTTAATATTACAAGCCTACAACAAAACCAATATGAACTTAGTTAGGATCCTTATGATATAAGAATGAACCTCCATATGTTGAATGATCAAGAGGCCAGCCAACAGTATGCTAAACAAGACCACTTTCGAACTTTTCAGGTTTAATTTCCCAAACTTCTTTAATACCTAAACCATAAATTTAAGGATCACTCTTATCTCTTAAATTAAATTGAGACATTAAACTTTCACTCAAAGAACCTCTGCAACCTTCTGAGAAAATAGTTTGCTTAGCCAATAATTCAATACCAGGAGTGAAATTGTCTTTGGGTTCTCCGTTTTTAGCAATACCCATATCACCAGTTTAGACACCTTTAACATATCCTTCTTAGCTGTAAACAACCTTTTAAAAGATAAAATGTAAAAAAATTAATAACAAAAAATATGCTAATGTGATAATTTTTATATGTAATTTAGAAAAGAAAAGAAGATATTTAATTCGTCATTATTGTTTCTAAAAATATAAAAAAACTAAAAAGTGACTTAGTTTTAATTGAACACATTTCTATTAATATCTATGCTAAATTTGATGCTATGAAAAATCTAATTGAAATAAAGTTAAGCGAAATTTCTGAATTTTAAAAACATCTATATAGCCAAATAAATAAATTAATTAATTCATTAGATAAGTAAGAGTCATAAGCATGAGTAAGATTTTATAATATCTATTATCATTTTTATAGTATTTAATAAAATAATTTATTACTTTTTAACCTGCTGTACCAGGGAAGATATCTACACCAAGATTTGTAGCATATTCACCTAACCAAGCACAAAGATCTCCTAATGAGATAATGTAATTCTTCTCATTATGTATAGTAGAGGGGAGTAAAGTGTTTGGAATTTCGATGCTTTTATCTTCATCAAATAAAATCATAAATTTATCATGAGTGACACGAGTATTAACTGGAGGTCTCTATTTAAATATGAGTAAGAATTTTAATTAGGCATTCGAAAAATACAATAAAATCATTTTTTTAAAACATTATTTAGATGTAATGCGTATTAAATATAATTTATACATTTTCCATACTACGCCATCCAGGAATTAGTTCATCTAAGGCATGGGGTTCAAAACAGTTGCCTGACAATATATGAGAACCTATCTGAGAACCCTTCTCAATAAGACAAACGGAAAGGGGACGTTCGTGCTATTATTCTAATTATTTTAAGCGAATAGCAGCAGAAAGACCAGCAGGTCCACCACCAACAATCACTACATCATATTCCATCTTTTCACGCTCAATTTCTCCAGCCTCGGCACTAGCACCAGATGAGCTGAATCTAAAATAATTTTTGATCATATGGATCTATTAAAATTTGCTTGATAAGCTTTAAATTCTACGTAAAAACATATTTAATTCCTTCTACTTTTATTTAAATGCTTTTAATAACTTATTTATTTTTTTATTTTGAATAGATATTTTTTCTTTTAATTTTTTTTAGTTATTAGAAATTATTAATATTACTGGGAAACATAATATATTTCAACTGATACATTATGATATAATTAATAAGCTAAAAACCTATCTTTTCCGATTTTTATTCTTAATTTTTGTTGTAAATATAGCTGTATAATCAATTTTTTAGTTTCTTAAATTTTTTTTAGATATTTTGGCTAATATATGGGATTACATTATTTGAAAGTGTGAAAAGTGTATACAATAAATGATTTGATTTTATGATGTTTTTGAATCTAAAACTTATATTTTTTAGAATAGTGAAAACATATGATACAATAAGTATCCTAACCAAAAAAAATATGATGTAAGAAAAATTATGAGATATTTAAATGGAAACAATTTTATAAAATTTAATAAAATCCTTAGTTAGAATTGCTATATGAGAAACTAATTACCAAATACAACCCATTTAATAAATTAATTACCTATATTTCTGTTATAGCTTTTAAATTTATAAAAATACATATAAAAATGTTGAAAATTTAGTAAGTAGTTAAATTATATTTATTGGTTAAGCATTAAGCTCATATCTTTCAAAATTTAGATTAAAAATTCAAAGTAAAATAAAAAATATTCTATAATATTGTTAAAACATTTTTGTCAAAGATAGATTTGATTTTATATAGTAAAAACGCACTACTTTGTAAATTCTTTAAAAAAATTAGAAAAAATTAAAAAATAAATACAAATAAAAATGACCTATATTTATCATCTATGAATTTTAGACAACTCAAAATTCAACAAAAATCTACATAAAATTATATTGAAAATTTTAACCAAAACAGAAGCCATTCAATAATAAATTTAAAATTATTTTTTCCATTCAATTAAAACAAAATGTTTAATAAATTATTTTAAAGTTAAAATTAAAAAATAAATGTAAATAAATTGATCTATTTTTTGTTCATTCATGAATTTTAAACTATTCAAAATTCGAATAAAATCTATTAAAATTTAGATTTAAAATTCAATTAAAGCATACACCATTAAATAATCAACTTAAAACATTTTTGCCAAAGATAGATTTTACTTTTATTAAGTAAAAATCAAATTTCATTTTTAACTCTTTAAAAAAATTGATAGAATTAAAAAATAAATCAAAATGATCTATTTTTATCTTTGAATTTTATGCTACAAAAAATTCTACAAATATCTATCAAAATTTAGTTTAAAAATTATAACCTAAAGAGAAACTAATCAATATTAAGCTTAAAACATTTTTTTCTGAGATAGATTTGCTTTTATTGAATATAGAAAAATTGCACTTAAAAAAAAATAGATAAAATCAAAATTACATTTATCTCTAAATAACAATAATTTATTTTTGCTAATAATAAATTTTAATGTTAGATACCACTATATAAAATTTCATAATAGCTTTAAACTATTCAAAAAATTCAAATTTTATTTGCCAATTCATTATTTTAATTTAAAATATTTTAGAGTTAATGAACTTTTATAATTTATATTCAAAAAATTTTTTTGTTTTTAAGTGAATATCTAAAAATTTTTGAGCATTATTAGATTTAATCAAGAAAACAAAATTTTATTGCTAATTTTTAAAAGTAAAATGTGAGGAAATATTTTTTAAATGTTAAAAATAATTTTAAAAAAATATTGAAGAAGGATATTAAATATTTATGATATTATAAGCTAATAGGTTAATTGTGAATAAAAAGTTTACCCGATAAATTAAGGAAGAAGTTAATTATGCAAATTATTGGTATAAAGTGAATATATTATATAATTATTTTATTATTAAAATTTTAGTAATGTAAGAATTTGAAATCAAAATTTATAAGTAAATAAATGAATACTATCTATAAATAAAATTAAATGATTAAATATAAGTAGAAAACAAACTGGCTAGCACACCAAAATGGATAATTAAAATATATGATGAGAAAAACAAATAAATGGAAGGAGATATGTTAGCAGGTACATTTAATTATATGTAAATTATATATATAACATCGCATTAAATAAATAAATAAAATTGCTTAGGAAGAAGGAGAAATAAAAGACGATCTTTAAGACATTATTTACTAACTAAGCTAGAAGATAAAATGTATATTATATGAATAAATAATTGCTTTATTATAATGAGACATTAGAAGTCAAAAACATAAGAAGTTTAATAATAAAGCAAAAATCCAAAAAAACAAAAAAACCTTAGTAATATTTTATATTGAGCTCAACAAAAATCTGCAAAAGAGTAAGAATAATAGTTAACAAATATAAAATTTGAGACATAAATAATATAAATGTCAGCAAAGATAAAACCAAAATAACCTCAGAAGAGTACATTTTTTATCAATTTGAGATTAATATTATAAAAAAAAGGGCAGCACTGTTAATTTTTAAATGAGCTTCTAAAATGAATTTATATTTTATTTTCAAAAAGGACGAAAATAGTTAAATTTATTCTAAATTTTTCCCTAAAGTGAATTAGCAGTCACATTAAATTACATTATCTATAATACATTTTATCCTTTAAGCTTATAAAATTATTGAAGAAGCATTTTAGTTTGCTTTTAGCTTAATAGACTGACTGACTGCTCTTCTTTTTTTAAGTTTGCTTTAAAAATATTTTGTTTTTAAATAATTAGGATTGTAGTGTTAATATTGCAAGGAAAAGATAGAAAATGACAATTACTATTTATGCGATTGTGGATATTAAGTATTTAAATTGTCTTTAATTTTATTCTTCATCTTTTTCAACAGATTAAACTATTTTAAATGTGAAATTTTCTGAAAAGCAGTATTTTAATCAATCACTTTAGACATAGGAGTGTTTTACCAAATTACTTTAGATTATCCAAATCCTTTTAGTCACTAAAATAAATATCAATAAGTTTTTTTCATATGGAATTCGAATAAAAAGAGAGTATTTTCAATTTGAAGTATGTCTGATTGAAGTACATATTTACTCTCTCTCGCGCTAATTCAAATATTAAAAGAAATTCATATTCGAATACTTTTTTTTTTCATAATTAATTAGATGTGTTGGGATTGTTATGACGATTTTTAAGACAATTAAGAACCATTTTGCCCTAAATGTGATGCAGAATTAATATCTGACTCAGAAGACGAGTAAATAAAATATATTAAATTAAATATTAAACTTTATTTGTGATTTTAAATTTAACAGATAGCACAGTAATTTTGGATTTACAAATAATTAAATTTATTATTTTTTTACTTATTAGATAAATTACAAAACCTAAAAATGAGCCTCCACTTTCTAAATCTACTTCTCTATAAAATCAAGGGGCTAATAGCCAACTGAAATCTTCACCATCAGCAGTAAATAAATCAAGTAGTAGCACTGTAGGAGCAGCAAGTTCTGCAAATACAACTACTACCACATCATCAATAAATACTAGCGGTTTCAACTATAATGATCTAGCAAAAGTAAGAGTTATCAAGAAAAATTTAGTATATGTGATTGGTTTAGCTCCAGAGATAGCCAACGAAGAGGTATTTTGCATAAAGAAAATTTTGTATTTTAAAGTTATTAATCTATTAAAAATTATATAAATTAGACCTTGTTAAAGAAGGAATACTTTAGTTAGTATGGAAAAATAACAAAAATAGTTGTTAATACAAATAATGCATACAATCCAAAGGGACCAAATGGGCCTTCTTATTCAGCATATATAACATATTCTTCTGAAAGAGAAGCTTCTATGGCTATATTAGTATTCAAATTATTTAAAAACTGAGAGTAAAATATTAACATTAAATTGATTATTTTAGGGAACAGAAGAGTATTAAATAAATGATAGAATAATTAGAGCTTCATATGGTACAACTAAATATTGCTCTTACTTTTTAAAGTAGTAAGACTGTCCTAATTTACCTGAGTGTTTATATCTTCATTCATTTGGAAAAGATAAAGAATTTTTCTAAAAAGACGAAGCAACATCAAATAAAAATATATTTATTGACCAATAAAAGATGGCTATAAAAAATATACAAAAATATATACCTGATCTAGTTAAAATAAAAAATACACCAGTGACATATAATTCTGTACTACCCACTCCATAAAGTGTAATTGAAAAGTTAATTGAATAAGATGTCTTAGATATAAAACAAAAACCAGCAGAATCAAATTCAAGTAAAATTTTTAAAATTTAACAAGCAATTACAATTTAATATTTTTTAGACGATTAAAAAGGTGATAAAAAGAAAAAAGAAGACAACACTCCTTTGATTGATTAGTGGAGTATCGATTTTTCTATTCCTCAAACAGCTCCTAAAAAAGATAAAGAGGATTCAAAGAAATAGGAATCTTCTTCTCCACAATAAACAGTTAGAAAATAATCTAAATCAATATCTGAAAAAGATCTCAATACAAATAATACATAACCAACTTCCAAGTCTCCTTAGTAGAATTAGTAAAGCAGTACACCACCAGAAACATCTTCAAGTAGAATTTTTAATTAACAAAAAATTATTTGTACTACTAATCAATAATTTATTTATTTTATAAAAATAGATAAATAACAAGAAGGTGAAAAATCTAATAAGATATAATAATCTGCTAATGGTTAGTAATAAAGTGAAGAAAAAGCTTTTTCAAAAGAGGAGTTCTTAATGAAAGCTATGAATGGAGTTTTATAAAGTCCATCTCGCAGTCACTCTTCTTCTCTTTCATTACAAAACAACACAAACACAAACTAAACATAGAATTAAAATATTATACAAAACTCTAACTAAGGGAAACCTTAGTCATAAACTATATAAAATAATAGTTAAACAAACATTACAATAAATAATAGCAATTCGAATTCTAATCTATAAAAAGCTGCTAGCTAAGTTGTAGCTGAGTAAACCAAAAAAGTAGAAAAATCTCCTATAAAAGAATAAATCTAGAAATAAGATGAATAAAAAAAAGACGAATAAATAGAAAGTAGAAAGACAGGAAACGCCTCTGCTGGAAGTAGCAACTAATCTAGTAATGTAGCAAGTACAAATCACTCAAGGACTTCTTCTACTAATTAAAAAGCATCTGGTTCAAATAGCTATCCTCAAAACTAAGCTTCTAATACAAATGGAATAAATAATAAATAAAACTCTGTCACTCAAAATGGAAATCATGCTGAAAAAAAAGAAACAAGCAGAAAAGAGCAATCAGAAAATAAATATTAAAAACACTAATACATACCTGTAAATCAATAAACCAAGCAGTCATCGCAATCAGTTGAACCTTAGAAGGAAACTAACTTATAAACTCAAAATGTTACATAGCAGCAACAACAATAGAATTAGTAATAGTCCCCTGCACCTCTTGAAAGTTAACCAAAATAAAAGGAAGACAACAAATAGGTAAAATCTTCAACTGCTTCTTAGCAAAAGCCTTAAAACGGTAGCCAAAATAGCTAATAAACTTAAACATAATAATAAAATCATTAAAACGAACAAGTTAATATCCTGGCTTAATCTAAGTAGCAAAATACATAAAATGGCTTACAACAATAGGTTTAAAATAGCTAAAATCATAATATATAAACTTCTCAGCACTAATAGAGCCCTAGTACTTCTACTAGTAGTAGCAATGTTACTCCTCATAACTCCTCCATACATCCTCATCATTAGCATACAGTTTCAGAACCTATTGCACCTAAATATATCCTATAAAAAGTAGAAAAAAGAGAAAAAACTTTAAGCTCTGACAATTAAATTATGAAAAGACTGATTACAAGAACAACACATCAAAAAAGTGCTTCTTCTCGCTTTGATTTTGCTAAAAACTCTGAAAATAGTGACTAACCTGTTGAAGATGTAGATGTAATAAATCATATCTTTAATGGACAATATATAATCTTAACAAAGTCATATAATTAGAGTTCGAATAGTAAATTTTATTTCACAAAAAAAAATTTATAATTTTAAAATATTTAAAAAAATAAAAAATAGATTTTGATAAAAATGAGTATTGAAGAGTTTTTCTTTAGTAGCTTAATGCAAAAAATACTAATAAGTACAATATGCATCTTTAATCAAATTAATATAATATATAATTATCTGACTGAGTGAGATATTAGAATACGAGGGATTATATTTAGAAGGTATTATTAATTCATTTTTTATTAATTCAGATATTTCATTTTTTTAAATTTATTTAACATAGTTGAACATGTTACGAGTTTTTCCAGAAGAAGAGAAAATAAATCATCAATCAATAAATTAAATAGAGAAGAAAATTTTACAAAATTTAGCTTGTATTTGTGATAGGACAGACGTGAAATAATAAAAAATAAAACTATTTAGCAATACTTCTTAAGAGTCTAATATTACAATAGAAAATTAATGAATACATTTAGTGGTGTATAATCTGAAAGAGCAAAGATGTGTTTTTCAACTTTTTCTACTCTTTTCTTTTTCAGAAACACTTTCTTTCCAATCAATCGAAAAAGACAATCAATAAAACATTTTCCAATTTTTTGGTTACATAAAAATAATAGGTCATTTTAATAAAATTAACAGGAAAATAAATTACATTTCTCAAAATGGAATTCATTAAATCCTTCTTAAAATAATAAGGACTTAGATAGAAAGAATCAATCAATTAATCTGCTCTTTGGTCTCATAAATTATCAAATAATACAATCAAATTCACTAAAATAATTTTCAGACCAATCGATCACCTAAAAATACAAAACAAATAAAATAAATAATCACATATTCTTTCATTAATTCACCAAACAATTCAATTAACTCTTTTCTCTTTACTAGTGAAAATTCTCGATTAAAAATATTATGATCTACTTCACAAAAAAACATTCATACTATAGTTCAATTATCCTATTATTAATACTTTATTAATAACATTTCTATATAAAACTTTTCAAAAACTTATAGTTCTAATTACATAATACTTCTTTGTATATCTTTATATAAAATCTCTTTCTAATAAAACTTTAACACATTACTTCTTTCATTTAATTAAAAAAAAAAACACTTTAACTCAAATAGGTTTATTTTTTAAGTAAATTAGATGAAATCATAAAATTTAATTCTTTTCTCTAAATTTATTTATTAAAAATCAATACAAAATTATTTAAATTAAGAATATAGAATATTATAAAGTGATGGAATTTATTTGGAAATAAAATAGCAATTAAGTGATCTATCTTGTAGCTTTAAATAATTCTTTTATAACAATAGTATTTTCAGTCAACAAAGAATAAAAATCTATTAAATTTTCAAAATAAAAAACAAAATACTAAGAATTACCTTATCTCTTTAAGAGAAAAGAAAAACATATTTAAAGCTTACAAAAACTAAAAGCTAAAAACTAAAAATACATTTTTTTAGAATAGTTTCTTATGTTTTTTTTTTTCATTAAAATTACTATTACAGAACAAGGAATTAGTTTAAATAAATTAAAAGAACATATAATTAGATAAAATGTTTGCTTAGAAGAAGTAAATATAAGTGAATAATATAAAATACTATCAAGCATTTAATTATTATGAGTTTATTATTGTTAGTTAACAATATAAATTTAATTATGAAATAGAGATTAATAGAAATATTAAATTAAAATCTTGAATAAAATTAATACTTACTTTTTTATTTTCAAATCAATTATTTTATTTTTATGAGTATAAGATTAAGAGATGATGATGATATGTATTATTTTTTTATTTATTGATTTGTTTGTTTGTTTATTTATTTATTATTTTATATTTGTTATAATTGTTATTTATTCAACAAAAGAATAATTATTATGGGTTCATTACCTTATGGATTGCTATATACAAAGCTACATTTCATTTTGTCATTTTCTCAATTTAATTTAAAAATTCTAGATGCTACTGCTCGTGAAAATCTATTTCTTAATTCAATCCAATACTTAAATTTGGTTAGTTTTCTTATTCATCTTAATAGGGATCTTTGCTTTGTTAATAGTTATTAATAGATGAATAAACGTTTCTTTCTTCTTTCCCCTTTTCTTTAAAACTTTATTGCTAAATTTATTACTACTATGGGAGAGTATTATTTGCTCCTAAAGTGTTAGTGGATTATGTGCCTTTTGTTGGAATTACTTAAGGTTTAGGTATATTCTTAGCAAATTCTAATGCTTTTTCTCTTGATGATGTATCTTTGTTGAATTTTATGGCTGCAACTTTACCTTAATCTTATTGAGATTTCAAAATCTAAGAGTTAATTTACTGTATTTGTTTTGCAAATTCCTATCTTTTCTCTAATTACTCTCTTTTTTGTTGCCAATCTTCATTTCCAACATTTGGTCCTAGACCTCCTAACTTATAATTAGCGTTCTTTTAAATACTTTTATACTCATTTAATGTATAGGGTTTATAGTTGCTCAAACTATTACTGGAAGAAGGCATTTCATTCAGACTTTTATTGGTGTTATCTCTAGATTAATTCCTTATTCTTTTAACTTCTGTTTTCTTCTATTCTTTCAAAAAAGGAGCTTCTTCGTATTAATTATCATTCTATTAAAAGCCCCCGTTTTCTTATTTTTCAAGTGTTTTTATCTTAAATTTGGCTGAATATGCTCTTGTATTAAAATCAGGATGATCTTAAGGCATCTAATAAGGCTATTAACTGTAAGGTTTTTAAGCTGACAATTAAGGCAAGTTATTAAATTAACCATTATTATTGAATTAATAAAATGGTTGCTAAGGTTACGATTGCTAATTTATAAGTAAAGGTTATCCATAATTTGCGTAGGTTGGTGGTTGCAGCATTTCTCTAGAGTTTTACTAGTAAGAATTATTTAAGTTATTATAAATCATATTATAACCATTTTTAGCTTGAATGTTATTAAATTAACTACCATTTGAATATTTAGAATCAATTGACTCCTTTTGATAAGCTATATTCTTAGGCTAAAGGGTTGAAGTTGTAGAATTAGAGCTTTATGCAGAATTTAGTCCCTTAAAAGGTATTGCTTGCAGAACTTATTAAGGCTACTAAGATCTATTATTTAAGTTGGCAGAAATTGGTGCATAAATTTTTTTTCCTGATTCACTAGGATTACTTTTAATGCTATTTAAGCTTGAAGCTTATTTTGGATTTTAGTTACTTTAATATGTTTGAATTCCATTATCTGTTTAAAATGTTTATTTCATTATGGGCGTTTTATTATTTGGAGTCATAAAGTTTGAATTCAGAGCTTAGCGACTTCCCTACTAAAACTACATTTACTGCTACATCTGATTTTACATTTGCTGCTAGTATTTTATTTATTCCATTTGTTGATCGATACTATCCATTTCATTCATGACTGGAGATCGCTAATACTAAATAACCTAAGATTAAAACATTTTAATGAATTTTTAATCAACTTAAGTATGAAAATAATTCAAAAATGATTGAATCTAATAGAGAATTTAATTTTTTCATGTCTAACATATTTACATTAATCTACTAAGGATATTTCGGAGGTAAATTTTGTTGGTACATTCCTTAAATTGGTGGCAGATGTTAGTTACTAATATTATAAAATAATTATGATGTTTTTAAACCAGCAAAATTTAATCAAGCAATTGATTCTTCATTTAAATATTTTATTTATCTAAAATAATTTTTACTGGACGAGGAGATGTTAATCTACACTCTTATTAGGTTTGCTATATGTTACTGAATAAATATTTTGGTTTTATATTCTGTCTGGACTAAAAAATGGGCGGTTTATATCGAATGTTTATGCCTCTTTCTTTTAGTTTTAATCTAAACATATTTTTTAAAAATGTTTTAATGAAATTTGCTTAACAAACAAAACATATTTTATAATTTTAGTTTTGAAGTTAGTTGATTATAAATTCTTATCATTTCTAGTAGTTAAAAAACATTTTACATCTGTTTGCTCCAGTAAAATCCTCCATTTACATTGGTAGTCTTTCATTAATTTTCCTAATTGGATTATCCGAATCCTTAATAACTCCATCTACACCTTCCTTTGTCATTAAAGAAGTTTTGCCTTTAAACCTTTCTTAAAAAGTACTTGTCATTTTTGTTAATATTTTCAAGCTTTTGATTAAAGACTGTGAACACTTTTAAAAATATTGTTTTTTATTAGTTATTTATAAATTAAAAATTTTTACTAATAGCTTTTCTCTCCATAAAATAAATATCAAATTTAATATTAATCACTCATAAAATAAATTGACAAATGTTAGTTTTTATTCATTTATTTATTCTCATCTTTCTATGTTTTTATAAAATAAATAGTAACCAATTATATGAAAAATAAAACCAAACATTCATAATATTAATAGTACATTTTTTTTATCATGTTTAATCAAGATTTTCTTTGATTTATGCAACTATTAACATTTTTTTGGGATTACAATGTAAACCTAATTTACATAAGTATCTCAAAATATAATTATTATAAATATATTCATATTTACTCTTTCTTAATAATTAAATTTATGCAGATTGAAATTTCCTCAAAATAAATTTATTTTAAAATTATTTATCAATTCGTCAAAAATAAATAATAATTTAAATATGTTTGTTTCAATGTAGAAATTTTTAAAAAATAATATTTCAAATAAAAAGCTTTAATCAAGTGATAAATAATTATTTAAAATTTTATATTAATTTTGTATATACTTTAGTTCTTTCATTTCATTATTTTAATACTTTTCTTTATTTTAGTGGATTTTTTACTATATTTTTATAAAAAAACAAGCAATTTTAAAATGAATATATCAATTAAAATGTAAGAAATTACCTTAATTATAAAATAATTTTCATAAGAATTTCTACTATGAAGTAATTTATTTTTGTAAGTTTGAATTTCTTAAAATTTTTGAAATGATTAACTAGTTTAGCTTTATGTTAGTTATTTTATTAATTTTAATGTTACTTTAAATGTTGTTAGCTTATTGATAATTTATATTTTTAGAGAAGTTAATTAAAAAGGATTTTACATAAAGATTTTTTTATCAAAGTAGATTTAAAAAGCAAATAGAAAAGCTAACAATAATTTAAATGGAAAAACATTTACCAAGCAATCTTTTAGCAAGAGAATCTCAAACATCTAATTTTAAAGGCTTTTTTATTTATGTAGCTTAATGTCTTTAATAATCTTAAGCCACTAATAAATATATAGTTTATTTTGCCTTTCTTATAAGTACATTAAATCTATGTTCTTACACCCATCGAATACTTGATTAAGAAGATGTCTTTGCTTAATAAAGCTTACAGATTTAGATAAATACTCGCTACTATTTAAAATAACCTACTTAAGCATATGAAATATATCTATAAATATTTTAAGTTTTAATTCCATTTAGAATAATGAATTAATATAGTGCAAATACATTCACTATTAATTTAATTCTACTTCTAGCTATATTAGGAATAAACTTACTTATATTTCTTACGTTTGTTTTTGGATTTTTCTAACAGCTGAAAAAAGAAGAGTAAAAACAGAATAAAATATGTATTTTAGTATGCCAATTATGCACATTTTATAATGGTTTATTTATTTAACCCTAATGCGAAATACTTGTTTCCTTTTTACTGAATGGTTGTATCTCTTTAAGGCTAGAAGTTTGTCCTATTATTAATGATCCATCTAATTCTTCTTAACTCCTTGTAATAAGAGTTTTAGCAGGAATTGGGTTGCTATTTGTTCTAATAATGAGTATATTTCATGTCTACTTATGCGACTAATCTACAAATATAAAGGAAAAGGGGATGTAAAAAATGAATTTGAAAAAAATAAATCATTTTCTTTAAATTATGATAAAAATAAGTATACCATTTCTATATTTTTACTCTACTCAATACTTAGAAAGATAAAATGAATAAAATTTTTTGCAAAAAAGTTAAGACGCTTTACCCGATTTAGCCCTTAATACAAACTTGGGTCTTACATTCTTTGTCCTTCAGATTTTAATTATTTTTTATTTGATTTTAGAATTAGATGAATTCTATGAGTACTAGACGTTGACATGCATCAAAAAAATAAAAGTGTACATTATGCTATAGCTATTTAACTTTATATTTATATTTACAGATATTCTTTATAATCAAAACATTCTTAGTGGAAAATTATAGATGCTTATTATACTTACTACAACTCCATTAATTTCAATATTTTATCTAAAATATTTTGAAAAGAATTACCAAGATACAATGTTATAATTATTGCAAGATGTAACTTTTTCTAAAGATATTTTAGAAAAAAGTTTTCTTAATAAAAATTGGAAAGATTTAAATAAAAAAATTGGGATTTACTTAAGCATGGAGAGTGATATTATTTAGAATAGCTAGCTTTCATTTAAATTGATCTCTTCAATAGTTTGGCACTACTATAGATGTAAAGAAATGTCTTGCTCTTGTAATAAATCAAATACTTGTCACATATTTTCATCGAATTAACTGGCTGTTAATGTAGAACACTTTCATGAATATCTAGAATTTTTGATTTAGGCTCACATTAAACAGGATAATTTTTATCAAATAAGTAATATATACATATTTATATAATACCTTAGCTATCTGATACATCGAAATAAATTTACTGATGTTGCTGGAAAAACTACTTAGTTAATTAGAGAAAAAATAAGGGGGAAGCTTTAAATGGGCTTCTTCCTTGATGTTCAAGTTGAAGCTCTTCTTAAAATTTCTAAAAATTTGATGACTGGAAATTTCTAAAGTAAGATAATTGAATAAAAATAATCTACAGCCTTTCTCTAAGCTGAAAAATTTTTAAAAGCCGAGTCCACTCTTAAAAACCTTATTGGAGAAGTTGGTGCTTTAATTATGTTGAAGATAAAACTCTATGAACAAATGAAGCAAGGATTTGATAGTTATTACCACCTAATTAAGTATTTTTTTTTATTTTAAAATAAAAGTTTGCTAATTATCATCACAACTTAAAAAAATACAGGTAAGCTTAGCACTACCTGGAAAAGATCAATTAAATGGAGTAATAATTAATATAATTTCATGATTTTGCTTCTTATAGTGTAAGCAAAAATTTATTAGTTTACTTCTATCTCAACATTTAAGGAGACTTTAGAAAAGCAAAGTCGTCATAAAAGCTTCGCTGTGTCAATAACGCAGAAAGACCTATTATGAATGAGGTACTAATGGCGTTCTCAAATCAGGTATTTAATAATTTATTTTTCCTAAATTCTTAAGTTAAATTTATTGCTAAAAATATTATAAATTATTATTTAGGTTGTCACTATCACAGCAAGTGTAGGCAAAGACTACGGGAGCATTTTAAAATATTCTTAATATGCTCCTTAATTCTTTGGATATAACGAAAGCAATTTTTTTCAAGTTAAGAGAATAGAATAACTAATGCCTAATTTCATTTCATGTAAGCATGAGTTGCTGGTTGATCATTTTATCTAAACTGGAGAATCTAGTGTTGTAAGAGAAAAGAGAATGGTATTAATTAAAAAAAATTTAGATGTTTTATCTGCTGCTTAGCTGTTTCTATGCTTTAACTTTTGCTACCTAGATGATTTTGTATTTACTGCATTTTTTTGTGAACCTGAAATCAAAGATTATAATCCAAAAAAGGAAATCATATTAGTTTTTGATTAGTAAATGAAGCTAGCAGGCCATAATGAAAGCTTGCTTTTAAGATTAGGAATGTAAAAAATCAGTAAAAGACACTTAAGTAAAATAGAATTATAAGAAATTTTTCCTGAAATAGATATAGTCGAAATTATTGATAGTGAAGCTATTGAGTATTAGAATGCTAAATTTTAATTTCCTTTATTTAATAATTAGTAGGGATCTGTAACTAGTAAATCATAGATTGGTACCTAATCAAACAGATCATTTAAAACAATTTAAAGTGGTAATACAACATTATTTAAACAGTAAGATTGGTGTCTATATATATGTGATATAAAGTTGGTGAATTTTTATCGTAAGTTTAGAAGTGGAGAAGTTCTTTAGTATTTTGTATGCACACTTAAAGATTTAAGAGAAGAAGCTCTAAATAGCGACGCAGATTCTACGGTAGAAACAGATTTTTCTGAATTCGAGTAAAATAATGAAGAAATTAAATAATCGGCTGATTAATAACACTCTAGTTCACATAGCTCTGATCTGCTTGAGGAAAAAGAAAATGATAAAGATTAAAAAGAAAATTCAAAATTAGAATAAGCTAAACAAATACCAGTCAATAAGCAAAGAAGAGAGTCTTGTAAAGTTGTCTATAAATTTGGTCAAACTGAAAAAAAAAACTTAGATGATAATGAAAATGGCATTTTATAACAATCAAATACTAGCTAAGAATAACAATTAAATAAACAAGTGTCAGACATTCTAAAATTCTAATAAATGTTAGCTGAAAAAGAAGCTGCTTAAACTCTTTAAAAAAAAAAATAGAAAAATGAAAAAAATAAATAAATACGTTAAAATGTTTTACAAAGAACCTCTATTGATGAGCAAATTATTAAGTCGAAAAACAATAAAAGAGAAGAAAATAAAGAGCTTGCAGAAAAAAAAGAAAAACTTGAAGAAATATAAGAAAATTAGAGAAAAGAATAAGCTGAATAAGCTGAAAAAAACAAGAAGAAGAAAAAGCATGAAACTCAAGAGTTTAATAAATTTAAGACAATATCAAAAAAATAATCTCTATTAAGCATAGATAAAAGTGAATTTCTGCTTAAATAGAGGATAAACATTAAAAAACCTGAAGAAAGAATTAGATAAAATCATATTAATAATAAAATGCAATCAGTAGAAGAGGTAGATGAGATAGAAACTTTTTAGTAACCAATTAAATATATTCAAAAACAAATTTCACAGTAATTAAGGAGCAGAGATTTAGATTAGAAAAATTAAATATAGAACTCTTTATTTAAATTTAAAACATAAAGATCTGCTTAGGGAGATATTTTTTAATAAAATTCTCCTTTAGTATCTAATAGAACAGCAATTACTACAATTGAAAGCGAAATAGGAGTAAATAGAGATAAAGTAATTACAAAATATATAATATTAAAAAAATTTTTCTTCTCATTTTTTTGTTATCATGACCAAAAGATTTTTTAAATAAAAATTCAAAGCATCTGAAAGGTTGTTAATGAATATCAGTTTTTTATTTTAATTTAAAAGATCTATTTTATTACCTAATTTTATTATGATTATTTTTATTGATTTTACAAAAAAGCTTTAAAATAAGAAATTTTTAAACTATTAATTTTGTAAATAAATATATTTTATTTGTTATTTTTGATTTAGATTTACCAGACAAACGAAAAGAGAAAAATTGAATAAGAAAATACCTAAAAGCTTGCAGAAGTGGGCGTTGAAAATTTAAATTAAAGTGAAATACCTGAAATTAAAGAAGTTAAAGAAGAAAACTTGAAAGAGAATTCTAGCAAAGATAATAGTTTAAATATAAAAACTGATGCAAGAGATAGTTAGAGCTCTGAGTAAACAAATTTCTAGTCGATGCAAAAACTAAGAAGAAGCGTGTTTAAAATTACTGAGTAAATAAAAGAAAAAAATAAAAGCAAAAAAAAACAAAAATTCTTCGATAACTTCTTCGAAATGCAATCATTAAACGACGATTAAAAGGGAGATATGATCTAATAAATTATAGCTGCCTTACTTAAAAAAAATGACACACGAGCAAGTGTAATGGAAAAATAGTTGTTAGAAATGGAGCCTTAATAACTGTTTTAGAAATATAATTAAATTTATTACGATAACTATGCAAAAACTAAGAAAGGAAAAGAAAATCTTTCTCATGTCTTTAGTGGCGAGTCACAATCTCATCAAATTATTATTTAAAAAAGCGAGGGCAATTCAAAATAATTTGTAAAATTTTTTTTTATGAAAATAAATTTTGAATTTATTTAAAATTTAAAAGGATGAAAGATATGATTTTAAAAAATATGAAGATAACATGAGTATTATAGATAAATACATTAAAATAGATTCTATAAATTTTAAATTAAGTTTTATTAAATTAATCAAAATAATTGAATTTGCATTGATAATAATTGGAATCACAGTTTCAAGTTCAATACAAAAAAGCTGTTAAAATAATTTTTATTAACAAATCAACATAGTAAAATCTCAAACATCATATTTAGATTCTCTCAACGAATTTACAGCTTTAACTATCCTTGTAGATACTTAAAGTGATCAATTTGCATCAAGTATTATTTATATTTACTTAAAAAATATATTAAATTGGTAAAAACTAATAAATAGGTGCTTTGTCGTATTTTAGTTAACTTTATCTATTATAAATGCAGTAATATATGGATTTAGGTTATATAGTATAGCTTTATGAAAATTCATAAATACCTTACTACTAACCATAATTATCTGACGAAAGTAGTAGCCAATTAAGTATCAGTTACAGAAATGCATTCTTTTTAAACTTTTAATACCTCTAAAATAAAGGTCCTTTTTATCATAAATATTTATTTATCTTCATTAAATTTTTTTTTTTGGAAATTAAATAGAATAGAGAAGTCATTTTTATGTAGATATTTTTCAATAATACACTGAAAATATTGTTCAGTTGGTAAATGATAAGTTAGACTCCTTGTCAAGCGATTTAAGTTCATTCTAATAGTAAATTATAGTACTATTTAGCTGTGTATAAGTGTGTGTCGTTGTGATATTCTTTGTTGGAGTTTGGGTATTTTATTCTTATCAGAAAAATCAGAGATAACTGTAAAAGTTGATATGCAATGTTCCACTAAAATAAATTGATATTGAAAGAGTCCATTTATTGAGAGTAAAAAAGAGCTTAGAATAAAATAATTAGAATGAGTTTTAGAGTTTTAAGTTATTATCCTTTAGAGATGAGATTTATAAAAGGTTAGAGGAATTTGATTAGTAGTAAAGGTAGATAACAAGTTTTAGTCAATCCTATAACTTAGACATTAAAAATAAGTAAAAGAGATGTAATAAAACTAGCAACTTTATTGCAATTAAAAGCAAAAAGCATACAGAAGTGAGTTTGTTTGTCTCAATATTAATGGTTTGTTTAATCTGTTAAATCATACCAAGTATATTTATGCTCTACACTAATTTAATATTTATTGGAGATCTCCCTGATTCAAAATTTTTTTACTAAAAACTTTCAAATATATAAAACTCCCTAACATGTCTAAATACTCTTAATATTTTATATTAAATTGATTACAGCCAAAACTTAAATAAATATTTTAATTTGTTTTAGCAATCTCTTAATTATATCTCTCAATATGAGTCTATTTTATTTCAAGATAAAACACTTTATCAAGGTTTATTCACAGCTTCCCAAATAGAGGCATTGAAAGATTAAATTTTGAATGAAAATATATGTGCTAACTTACCTCAAAATATTACAGGCTTTAATTAACAAGAAGGGTAACTTACATAAAGATGCTCTAATATTTTTGATGGTATATTATTGCAAGGGTCTAAGCTTACTTTCTCTTTTCTCTATAATAGATATAGTATTTTCTCTTATTAGTAAAGTAATTATTTATAAGAGAATAAAAACAATGAACTAACATTCTATGTTTATTATCATGCATAGGCAATATTAGCTACGATAGAAGGATACTTTTAAACTTATTTTGATTCTAACTAAACAAGACTCATATTGTTGTTAACAATTTCATTAATAGCACTAGCAATAGTATATCTGGCTGTAATTCTCGTATATTTTGAATAACTAAAAAGATATTCATAAATTACTAAATAATTAATATATTTGATTCCATTTTCAACAATTTAAATTGAAGAGTCATTAATTAAGACTATCAAAAGATACTCATAATAAAACCGTCTTAACTCTTGATATAAATTGGCCGTTATTAAGCAATTTATATATTTTTGCATATTTATAAATAATATTCAAAAACAATACAAAATATTATTCATTTAGCCTAATATATTTAAGTAAATTTATCTAAAGCTTCATTTTATTTTTTAAAGTAATAAATATAATTGCAATTGATGTATTTTGAGTCTTCTCTCAAATAAATATGTTTTATTTAGCATACCTATAAATTAAATACTGAACTAAAATAAAATATGGTTGGCCCATTCAGCTTAATTTTAATAAATTAAAATAAAAAAAATTAATTTGAATCTTCATTTTATTTTTATAAGTTATATTATTGTTTAATGTTAAAATTTTGATTAAAAAAATATAATACTATTAGCTTAATATATTTTAATAAGTGAACTAAAAATGTATTTATTTCAAACTTTATTTTATTTTTATTATTAAAAAATTAATTTTAATGAATTTAATTGTTAAAATTTTGATTTTAGATTTTAAAATTTTGAAATTTTTATAAAAAAAATTATTTAATAAAGTTAAATAAAATATCAATCTTGGATTATTATAAATGGAAAAATAAAGTTAAAAATTTATCAGAAAACAAATTATAAACAGATAGATTTATAAAATTTACTAAAATGAATTTTAGATTAAAGATTTTATTCACTAAGTAACAAGCAATATATAGTGAATATCATTTACCAAAAATCAAATAACGAGATAGATGATATTTGAATATCTAAAATAAATATCTATTCAAAAGTCTTAGTGTATAAATGTACAAGTAAGATACTTAGAAATAAAATATCCTTCTCTTTTTAATAATTATATTTAAAGGATCCTATCTTATATATTAATTCGTATGGAAAAGATGCTGGCATCAGAAGAAAGATAAATCGTAGAAGATATTGATAGAAATTCATAATATTTTGTGTTATATTTCATAAAAAATAATATGAAGGGGAAAAAGTAAAAATTTAATGAAAATAAATGAAAAATAGTCTTAATTAAATTCAGATTAAAAGAATAAAAGAAAAATACGCAAGTTCAATAGCTTAAAAGATAAATAAAAACAAATCAAAAACAAAGAATTAATTCAAGAAAAAGTTAATCTGAAAGAAAATGAACTCCTTATCAAGCAAAAAAGCTAACTCTTTGGTTTTCAAATGTATTTAAAAAATAATTTTATCATCAAAAAGATAGTTCATTCCATAGTATGTAGTGCATTCTTATAAAAATTAGGAAAGTTTTTTAACAAAAATGCTAGTCAACTATCAAAATTAAAATAATTAGCTCTTTTATTTAGTTGAAAAGAAATCAAATGGAAAATAATGAATAATCTATTATCATATGGAAGGACTATAAATATATTTTATGCTTCTAATTCTCAATTATTAACTTAAAATGTTTTTTTAGCAATTAGAAATTTCACCTTACAATGGGGTTCTTTGGCTGAAAGACCCATGGTCGACAGAGTTATGTCCACCTCTACCTGGCCCGTTCCTTACTACCAAAGATTATTCAAGGCCTATCCTATTAGAGGTAAAACTTTAAATAATTTAGTGATCAAAGTTTTAGTTAAAAATGCTGAAGTAAGCACAAAGAAAAAAGAAAAGTTAGGAGGCATTTAAATTTAAAATTAAAAATTGAATACTAGCTCAATAATTAAAATTTAAAAAGAGATGATATAAAAGCAACAGAAATGCATTAGTAATTTTAATGATAGAAGTTGATTGATATTAGCTGAGTCATAAAATAAAGTCACTGAGTATGTATATATATATTAAATAAATTAAATCAACTAGCAAGTGCTGTATCAACTCAACTTGACAATATAGAAAAGAAATATGAGCAAATGCTAATTATAAGTATAATAAATTCATTAATATGAAATATTTCAAAACAAAAAGCTATCAAAAAGTCAATCTTACAAGGATCAATCAATAAATCAAACAAACAAATAAATAAATAAATTTTCAATCAATATCTTTATAAATAAAATTTGATAAATAAAAATGCTTGATTTAATTAGGAAAAATTTAATTGTACAAAAGAATATAAATTTATTCAGAAAAAATAATGATTGCCATTAATTCCTAAACTTTTAAATAATATGAAACTTGATTTACTCAATTAATTTTTTATAATTTTAAATTTAGAAAAGAAGGATAAAATGTCTTTGTTATTGAGCGATATCGATATTGATGACACCAACTGGTACTAAGCTAAGGACTTCTTAAGAGGATCTTTCAGAGGTCGTTAGATCGTTGATTATGTTGAAAATAACATCGCTTCTAACAGTAATTGCTTTATAACTTTAAGAGAAATGTTATTTATATATTTATAATTTATTTGATAATTATTAGCTTACATTTTGATTCAACAAGACGTTGCTAATATGGCTAAGGCCTACGTCCACGATATCTGTGGTTATATTGACGTTGCTAACAAGGAAAATGTCAGAATTCTTTCTAAGGGTGACTTAATCTGAGTTTAAGCAATTGCAAAAGTTTTAATATCAGTAACTAAACATTTCTGAGTTAAGGAATATATAGAAATTGAATCTATAAAGTTATAGTTCGAATATAGTGTAAAAAAAACAAATGAAAATAGTATTTAAAAGATTAAATATTATTATTTTTATACAAGAATTCATAATTTATGTTAATATTTTGCTTATTAGATTCATACTTACTTATTGTATGTTCCTTAAATTTAAATTCTTCATTAAATTTAATCTCGTAGTTTGCTTAAAAATTTACAAAAGTAAAATTTAAAAAAATAATAATAAGTAAATAACTGGATAAATACTAAATAAATAAAATATTTTCTGATAAGTAGAAGAGTTTTGTTTTAAAATTAAAATATTATTTAAATATACAAAATATTAGGGTGATAAAAATGACTTAAAGATAATATAAATAGAAAAATTTGAAACACTCTCTATTTATATTTTGAATTTATTATATTATAAAATCAATATTTAATCACCAAAGTAGACTAATAAATATTTAATTTTGGGTATTTTTGTATAATGTCTTTTATATATACAATTTCATCTTTTTTAAAGGTTTGTTTTCTATATTATAATTTTGGATTTATTATAAAAATATAAAAATGTAATAAATAAATAAAGTATTAAATAAAAAATAGAAGATTATTTTTTAAAGTAAAATCATTAAATAAAAATAAAATATTTGAATGACCTAACGGTTTAAAGAAAATACAAATATAAATTTGAAACAAATATGTATTTATATATTTTAAAATGGCATATTAAAAAATTAACATATGAAAATAGTAATTTATTAATTGAAATTTAATTTTGGTTGTTTTTGTATAAAGTAATCTTTTATACTCGTACACTTTTTTTTTTTTATAATATTTTATATTAATAAAAAATCTTGATATGTGTCGTCTATCTCAACTGTCATTAAAAGAGTTATTATGAATATGTTTAGATTCCTCATACAATTATTCCCAAATTTCTTGATCTTATAGATGATCCTCTTAATCATAATAAAATATCTAACTCTGATTAATGCTGGAAAATTATACTATCTTTTTATATTCTTAAAAATTTGATTACAAACATTAAATTCTAATTTTTTATTATTACATTTCATCATCTAAGTATGTAACTATATCGTTGGTAAAGTCTATTGTTGCGCTGTAATGTTTCTTCTAGATGATATATTCCTCGTTTGACTTTTCAAGCTTTTACAACAGCATCTATTCGACAAAGTTAATTACATTTTTATATTCTTTGTCATAGACTAGATCTTCCACTTTAATAGAATTCTTGCAAACAGGGCATATTAAATTATTATCTTGAAAGTTTTAAACTTAGTTTATTAAAAATAAATCACTAATATCAAAACAGTCAACATGTGTACAGCTATAATTGCTATTTCTGATCGGGTATTCTAAAAAGCTATTTTCATTGAAGACTTTATTCAGTCTAAATTGAAATTTATTTCCATATATATTAAAATTTACAATACTCAAAATCAGCTATCTTGCAAAGCTATCTTCTCTTTATGTAAAAAATTAGTATTGACACAACATTTATTGTGTTTTTTCATTTGTGTTATATTTAATAATTTAATATAAATACTCAAGGTCAATAAAATTTGTAATAGGATATAAATTAGAAATCTCTAAGCTATTATCTTAAGGAGTAGTTGATATATTGATATATTCAATAATAGGAATAAAAATCCCATTGTTACTGTAGCAGTTAACAGACTAAATAAAATACGGAAAGTAGCAATCTGTTTTTTATTATGTTGATATTGAATTGTTTTATTTTGTATTTTGTCTAGAAAGAAATTAAATGATAAACTTGAGATACTTATCTTCATAAAAATTCTTAATGTATTAAAAACATTCTGGACATTTTCCTAATTTTTAAAGGTAGCTTAATGTAGAATAGTCAAAACATTCTGTATGTCGCACACATTCAGCAAATCTTATAGGATTTTCCATTATTGATTTTGTAATATAATCTTTTAAACTTAGTTATATATTTAAAACATTTCCAAGTATATTTGTTTATTCATCTCTGTTGAGATTCCAAAATGGTTCTCTGTTTGCATAGCTTTCATATTTTTTTTTATTTATAAATTATTCTCCTTCTTGCTCCAATTCTTATTTTATATTCATCAGGGTTTGGTAATAAAAAGGAGAATCTTCATAATACATTTATGAAGATTTTAGTATATTCTTATAAAAAACTTTTTTAGCGATTCTAATAAGAGAAAGATAAACTTTTTGATTAATATTCAATTTTGAGGTATTTTGTTATTTTTATTATTTTCCATGTTATGTTTGATATTGTGAATAGTTTTATTTATTATTGTAACTTTTTACTATTTTATCTATATTTTTAACACCTTCAATGTATATTAACTTTTTAATAGTGTTCTGACAATATTATATGTGTTAAGGAGGAGATTATTATGATATCTAAGTAAAGTCTGAAAGGTCAGGAATAAATTCTGATTTGAAATTGTCTTATTCAAGAAAAATACATTTAGGTTCTAACTAATAATTTTCTTACCTTGAGATTTAAGCTAAAAATGTGCTATCATCTATAGTAGACATTTATTACTAATTTGAACTTGATGTAATTAAGCTAAATGATTTATCACGCTGAGTTGTATTTGAGTTTTTCTTTTAGAAATACTCGTATATTAAAACTTCAATATTAAATTAACTAGTATTCTTATTTTACGTGTTAAACTCTTATAAATTATAAATATCAAAATCTATTAATTCTTCAATTTCACAAGATTTTTAAGTATGTTAATGAAAATTTCTATTAAACTATTCTAAAAAAAAGTAAAGATAGTCAAATTTTAGCTAACCATTTGGTTGTATATATATGAAATTTGGCAAGGCTAAATTATTAATAAATCTTTTTAAGATTTCATATTTTGAAAATATTTGAAGAATATGTTTAATAAATTATATAATTTCCTCTACTTTAATAATACTAAAACATTTTATTGCTTAAATATCTAAACATTTTATCATATATAAAGAACAACTGATTTTATCCTACTTATCTCGAATTACTTCAAAATGTACATATTCTGTAAAAATATCAACTTCTTCAGCAATTATAGTATTTATTTAATCCAAAAATTATTGCACTTGTTCCTAAAATATATTATTGAATTCAATAATCGTAAGAGTAGCTTGATCTAAACCTTTTAGTTTTAAGTATTAAAAATTATCTGAATCTACTATCAAATTAGTAATCATATTTTTTAACTAACTCGATTTTTATATTTAACTATCAAGACAGAATTATTCACAATCTGAAAAGCACTACCCATACTCTTCATATTCTTCTTCAAAGGACTTTTAATTATTATTTTAATGTTTAAATGAATAATCCTTAGTATCCTCATTCAAATAATTTTATTTTTTATCATCCATAACAATTATAGACTGCTTTATTTGTTTTTGATTTCTACTAATAAATTTGTTAATTAATCATTTAAAATCTTTTTGTCATACAAATATTCAAAGATAATAAATTAGTCTCATAATTTTTGATTAGTTTTTACATTACATTTCTAAATATAAATATATATTATATTTAATTCAAATATCAATCATTTTTTAAACTTGGCTATCCTACCTTAATTCTTGAAAATGGTGACGTTTACTTTAGATTTATTTCATAATTTTTGTTACTACAATGTTTAATAATATTTTATTGTATGTTTTAATTGAGTAATTGCTTTTAAAATAAATTTAAAAGTATATTATCTTTAAGATTATGATGATTTAATAATACATTAATTATAGTTTAAAAAAATGATATATTTTTTAAACTAGCTAAATAAATTAAGTTAAAGTTTAAATTATCTTTTAGTATATAATTTTTAAATTAGATTTATTTCTTTATTAATATTAAACAATAATAATATTCAATTAATAATATTAATTTATTTCAAAATAATCAAATATCTTTTTATCAATCATTTATCATAATTGCATTAAATTAATTTTTTATTTATTCATTATTTTTTAAGTAGAGATAATTCTTGTAAAATATAATTAGATACATAAAGTAAATTAAATATGCTGATTGCCTACTTAAACACTCTTAAAAATAAAAATATTTTCCTTTGCTCTCGTAAAATATATTCTTAATAAGCTCTTTAGATATATTAATTATTTTAATTTTAATACTTTATAGAGTCTAAGCCCAGAAGAAATTTATTAGAATAGCTTGTAAATTATTCTTTTTAAATTCAAATTTGTTAAATTAAGATCTAATTAATAGGGACTATAGCTCAATATTTATCCTAGCTCATTTGAAGAAGATCTTGATAAATCTCTGTATAAAGACCCAAAAGATTATGTTAAGGTTCGAACAAATTTATTTATTTATATTTCTTTCTTTGTATTTAAATTCATGCCAATTCTCCTAATTATGTAAATATTAAAATAAAATTAAGGATACATGTTAAGGAAAAGTGAATGATGTCTTAAAAAAATTTTAATAAGAAAATATCAACTGGGATATAGCTATTTTTTGTGATACAATAATCGTGTTAAATGATAAAATCATCGAAAAACCTGTAAAATTTGATATTAAAAAATATTCCCTTTATTAATTTACAACTTTTAAAGGAAAATGAATAATAAGCAGCTGATTTCTTAAGAACATTTAAAAATAATACATAATATGTACATACAGCTTGCTTTGTTCTATTTAATGATAAGCAAAATAATAAAGTGATAGAAAGGCATGTTATTGATACTTGTAAAGTAATTTTTGGAGATATTCCTGAAGAATGCATCATAGCTTATTCTAAAACAGATCATTTTAAGTAATTTCTTAGACTATAATAAATAAATTAGACAATTTATTTTAATAATATATTTTAAATTAAAGAGGAAAATGTGGAGGTTATGGCATTTAAGATGTAGGTGCTTCATTTATTGAAAAAATTGAAGGATAGCACTCGACTGTTATAGGTTTACCAGTATATAGTTTATGTAAAATCTTAGTTGATAACATCAAAGAATTAAATTGGTAGTGAATATAAATAAATAAAAAAATAAAAAATAAATATGGTAATAGTTGCAAAATTTTAAATTAAATGTTTTAATTATTGTTAAATTTATTTATTAAAAGTATTAATTAATTAAAATGATCTTTTAAAATTTCAAATTTTTAATTTAATTAAATTCAATTTAGTTAAAAAATTCGAATACTATATTAATAATTAATCAAAATTAAAATTAATTTTTTTATTCTCAAGATATTTTTTTATTAGTCTTATAATTTTGTTAGGTATTTTTAAGATATATAATTTTTTTTTTTCAAGCAGAATTGATTTTACAATTAAGCATAATCTTATATAATTTGGAGATATAACCTTGTTTTTAAAAAAATTTTAAATAATAATTTTGAGGAACAATTTAGAGTTGAAAAAATATTGATATTAAATAAAAATATTTTTTAATAATATTAAACTTATTTAATTTTTGAAACTAAACCAAAGCAAAATAGAAAATTATTTAATCTAATTTTGATTTATTATTACAACACTTTATGATTAATAATAAATAGATACTTATAGACTTTACTATTTAAAATAACTAATCATGATTTGCTGATTTAGAAATTTTAAGATTTTTTTTCAACTTTTTGAATTTTATCGTATAAATTAGTACAATATTTATTAATAATTGACTCAATAATATTTGCCAATTTTTTGATTTGATTTCTTGTTGCTGTTTTATTTTAAGAACTAAAAAACCTCTCAGCCAATTAAAAGCTTGTATCATCTCCAAATACATCAATTATAAATTACTTTTTTTATATTTCAAATAATTTAATAATGATATATCAAAGCAAGAACAATTGTTTGTAAAATTTTATTTATAAATTGTTATTTAAAAACTGAAAATTGTTTAATTGAAATTGAATTTAAAATAAAATATGATTCGAAATAAACTCCATAAAATACCTAATTATTGTATTCAAAGTTAAGAAGAAGGATTGACTTTTATTTTTTAGAGCTAAAGTTTTATTAATGAAGGTACTATGTTTGATGTGATGTCTAAATATTTGATTCAACAGAGGCATTCCTGTTAGTCCTTTAATTTGTTTTCAATAAAGATTATAATTAATCTTTGTTTTGAAAGAAATAAATAAATAAATATTACCTTTAGGTATTTTATTAAATTGATTTTCGAGATATAGATTTACCATTTATAATTTATGTATCTTCTATTTATTAAATTTTTGAAGGACTTTTCCTAGATGTTTATAGCTTGGTTTCATAAATTGGGATGTTTGCATTGGTAATTATTTGCTTTTATTTTAGCACATTAGATGATCTAAATGAATCATCTTCCTAATTTAACAATGACTAAATAATATTCTGCATCTAAAGGTGTGAATGTTTTTCAATATTTTGTGTTTTTTCATTTTAAGCTTTGACTCTTTAGCTATAGTTTGTATTTTGCACTCCTTAGTCATTCATTTCAGTCTATAGAGTGTCTGTGTCTTTTTCTCTTATTAAATCTTAATTATTAGAGTGCTCTCTTCTAGATTTGATTTTTTATTGTATTCTACCCTAAAGCAATTCATAGTCAATATCTTCTATGCTTTCTTCTAATTTTTTTATGTTTTTGTCTAATTTACTTAGTTCTTGTATTTAATCTAAACTTTTATCAACTAGATTTCCAGTTGTGTTAAGCAAAATATTACTTGTATTAGCTTATTAGTTCTCACCATATTAATTTCTATTTGATCTTATTTGGCTTTGAGATATTGATGATCCATGATATTTATCTTTAAGCGTTGACTTGTTTAAGCTAATATTATTGACTTCTCTTAATAATTCATCTATATGAGAGCTATTTGAAAATTCTCTAGTTTGATGCTGTCTGTTTCCTTATAAGTGTTAGAAAGGTTATTTTTGATTCCCTTCTGAAACATCTCTCCTTTGGTTAGATTTATCTAAAATCTCATCTTACTTCAAATGAGAATAATATCTCTCGCTTGGAAAGCCTTTATATTGTTGTTAATAAAAATAGTTTTAATTCATATTTCTTCCTCTAGTCTCTCCATTTTATATGTCTCTATCGTTTAAAAACTAACTGTTTTGATCCTATTGATTTATAAAAAGTTTTTTAAGATATAAATTATTCATGTAAATTTTGTATTATTTACTTTAATATTTAGAAAATCATTCTATTTTTCATCGGATTGATGGAGGTTATTATAATGTAAATCACCGTTAGGTCTTGTCAAAGAATGAGGTGAAAATTTATTTATATTATTTTATTTCATTTCGATGTCTGCTACCAAAACAGAATTGTCTCTATATTAAATATTATTTTCATAATAAGCTTAGCCAATTGAGCTTAAATTATTTGGTTCAGGAGTTATGTTATTTGTGTGGATTGAAAACCTACTTACTTTACCATCTAACTCTGAGATATTATTGTATTTGCTCTAATTTGCTTATTCTTCTTTACTCTTTTCATTTAATTGAGTCGAATTCTTAAAGTAATTTCTATAGGTTTCACTTTGCATCTAATCAGGAATTCCATCTACCTTTTATAAATTTATCTGTTAAAGCTATTGATTAGAATTAAGGTTGTTACTAATTGGTGACAATTAAATTAAATGGTTTTAATTTTATATTTATTATTGTCTTAATAATATTTCATTGATATTACTCTAGTTAAATTAAGATTACTATTCAAAAGGGTTTACATAAGGACTTTAAACAATACTCTATTAAGATTATTATCTTTAGGTTTATTAAATATAAGGGCTTAGCTAGATATTATTTGGGTTTTAAGCAAAAGAAAATTAAGAAGGAATTGCATTTTAGCTAAATCCTATACTATTTTATTGATTTTAAAGTAACTATTGTATAAGCTACATTGTTACCTGATTTTGCTAATATTATTAATTCATTAGAAGCTACTTCAGCAGCTATTATACTAATATATCTTAGTCTGACTACTAGCTCATATGCTGTTAAAATGATAAATTTCCTGCCTATGATAAGCTATTATGATTGATGGTACCTTGTGAGCCAAACTAACCTAGTAAATTTTCACTTATCTACTGTTGTTAGTATAAAGGAGGAGATTAATTTAAATTATTAATATTATTTTAAGAAACTAAACTAGGTTATTAATTAGGTGATAAATTAGATTATTAAAAGATTAAATTATTTTAAAATTTATTTTAAAGTGGCATCTATTGTTGTTACTATATCTATATTTAATTTAATTATGTATTTTAAAAGTTTTCTAGTCCTTACTGCTATACTAAATATCCATTTTACTATTTTGATATTAATTAGGAATCATTTATTAATTATTTTTGTTTGATTTCATTCTGTGCTTAAATTATTTGATTTTATAGCTATATTTAAGGTTGCTAGCTAATATTATAATTATTTGCTTACAAATTTTATTATTTATTTTCAAATGCTGTATCTTACTTACTTTAAATCGCTGTATCTTACTTATTTTAATAGACAACATCTTGCTTATTTTAAAATGATTAGAATTATTCTAAATTTTCTATCTAATTTTACTAATCCTCGTTGCTTTATTAGTTGAATTAATTCTATCTAAATTGATTAAATTTTTAGAAATAGCTTTGACTATTTTGACTATGATTATTTAATTATTTATTAGCAGAGCTGTCTTTTATATTAAAGCTATTGAAATTACTATCAAAAATATTCATGTCAGTTATCTATTTATTATCTATAATTTACTTTATTTCATTTAAAGGTTATCCTGTACTTTTTTATATTTAATTTTGCACCTGCTATTCATTCTATACATCTTCTTGCTTTGTTTCTTTATGAGACTATTCTTCTTTTTCTGTTTAAGGATTTATCATAGAGGATTCATTAGAAGATGGGTTCATGATATTTGGTACATTTTCAAAACTTGCCCTATAGAAAACAGGATTGTTTTAATTTATCACTGTACTTTCATAAATTTTAAGATATTAGAATACGTTTTAATATTCTGCTTCATTTACTTAATTATCATTTTTTTCATTATCTTAAGCTCCTTTCTCTGAGTATTCACTTTTGTACAGCTAATTTTCCTTCGTTTTAAATTGTAATGGTAGCTAAAATTATTGTTGTGAATTTAACTCTTATTTATTATTTTATTTAAAATCTTCATTGTTTTGTTGTTTTGTATTTGCTTAATTTTTTAATTGCAAATCTTCTGTTTTTTATTATTTTAAATCTTCTTTTTCTTTATATTATTTTTGTTGGCTTTAAGTTTGAGAATTATTTTCGAATCTTGCTGCACCATTATTTTATGATTAAATTTATGTTGCTAACTCATTTAAAAGTGAAAGTTAATTGTTAACAAGATTTTCGTTTTCCAAATATTCATTGAGGCTATTTGAGCTCTTTTTAGCTGAGTTTTAATCACTTACACCTCCAACTAAGTTCAAATAAGCATTTTCTTATTTCTGCTTAGGAGAGCTAGAGCATTATAAAATATTTATTTATGGTTATGGTAATGGTCTACCTTAGTTTTCCCCTTCCTCTAAAGAAGCTAACTTAGCAATTTTTTATTTTTCATCAGTTTAATTTACTAATAACTCAGTTTTTTAATTAGGTTATGTTTTTTAAAAAGAGGTTTTCCTAATATTTTATTCAATAGAATCACTTTAATTTTTTTATGTAATTAAATCTATTTGCTACTTTTAATTATTTGCTTCATGAATCTTTTAGTTTTCAACGCTCTTAGAATTTAAACTTTTTTCATTTTATTCCTATTATTAATTTTCAGATTCTTTTTTTTAGTTTGTATGCTGAGTAGAGAGTTTATTGCTGTTAGTATTGTTTTCAGGTTTCATTTTTAACAATTCTAGAGGGGATAATTTCTTTTTAGATTAATCTTCTTAAATATTAGACTTACTTTAAGTAGAATCTTTAACTAAACTTTTACTACCAGTAATATCTGATTGTTTTCTCTTATTTTCTACAACTTCATCTTAAAATTTTACTACATTTTTAACTTCATGTTTTCCATTAGTAGCAGACGGAGGAATTTTATTCGAAATACTTAATCTGTTTTTATACATCGATTCAATCAGGCTTTATCCTCCATTACTGTTATTTTATTCTGATCTTTGACTATTGTTGGATGAAGGAAGCAGAATATTCTTTTTATCATCTTCCTTTGAATTATAGTTATTATTTTTTTAATCGTTCCCTAATTTATTACCTGTTACCATACTTTTAGAATCATTATCAGCAGTATTAATTTTTCCATTTTAATTAATACTGTTTCTTCTATTACTATTTTGAGATGATTGCTCATTGTTATGTAAAATTGAATTTCTTTTAACTACAGAAGACCTCGAAGAAGATGTTTTTGACTCTTGTTTTTGAGGCTGCTCAACATTTTCAAATTTTTTGATTTAGCTTGTAACAGCAGTAGTTGGTTTTTGTTCTTAGCCTTTAAAAGAAGTTTATCTATCTCTTTAAAGAAATTAATTGCTTTCAATTTTTGATGTATTACTATCTTAAGGCTGCGTTTAATCATTTTTTTGCGTAATCTTCTAAAATTTATTTAAAAATTCATTCTTATTATTATTACTGCTATTTTGCTCTTACTATTTGGGAATATTATTTATTTTATTAACCTCTACTTTCTTTAAGCCTTATTTAACATCTTTCATGTCTTTTTAACTAGCTATAATAACTTCTTTTTTTTCCTCTAAACAAACAGAAGGATCATCCTAATCATCTTTTTTTTTAGTAAATTACTTTAGTTTATCTTTAAAATCGAATTTCTTTCTTTATGGGGAGCTGCTACCATCTATATCTCCATTACTAGCTCTATTTTTTTCTACATCTCTTTATTCTTTTCTTATATCATTTACTTCTTTTGGTTTAATTATAACGTTGTTTATTTGAGAAGTATTAACTTATGAAGGTTTTTATAATGTTTAATTTGCATCAACTTAAACTTAATCCTATGACTTTTCAGTATTTTTTTGAGTTATCATTATATTTTCACGCAAAGTTCTTGGTGATTTACTGTTACCTGCTGGGACTCTCTTTTATTAATTCTTAAGTAAAAGTTTAGCCTTATTAGTTATTTATCTTATTAATGCTTCAATATTAGAACCATTATTAATACAAGAGACTTCATTTACTAGCATTCCATTATCTACAGCATAGGTCTGCAACTAAAGTTTTAATTATTTTGAATTTATAACAAAATAAGTAAACAAGTTTTAGACATAAAATAATAATTCACAAAAAATAATACTTACATCATCTTTGTCTATTTACCTATCATCCTCTCTATCTACTTTGTTTCCCACTAAAATAGAAATATTCTTTATTGGAATATAATCCTTATTAATCTTTGAGTAATATCTAAATAAAACATTTTTTAATTTAACATCTTTGAATTGTTAAAAATAATAAATATCACAAACATTTGTGTGATGCTTGAAATAAATAAATTAATGCTATTGTGTATAAATGGGTTACTTGGTCTAAATATCATCTAAAGACTCAGCTTTTGTTAAATCTACTACATAAATTAAGCATATCGTATCTTCATCTGGTCTTTATTTTTGTAATTTAAAATGTTTTTTTAAAAATTTGAAAACTATTTCAAAATTACTCGAAATTATTAATTTGAAATTCAAAAATATATTGTGCATTTACGACCTTATCTTCGATCACTAACTATCCATTTTTGTCTTTTTTTAAATAAAATATATAACTAATTGCTCTAAAATCTAATTAAATAAATTTCACTTGATAACTATTTTATGAGGCTTTTTTTGCCGCTTTTAGGATCACCATAAACAACTGCTTTTAAATTACTAACGTTCATATAATATTTATATTGTGCTAATTTTTTAATTGATGAATCTTTAATTAAGGTTAACTAATTAAAAAAACTAAATAAATAAATAACTTTATGACCTTTTTTACTTTTGACAATAATTAATTTTTGAATACAAATTAATTTTTGAAGTATTTTAAAGTTGAGAATTTAATAGTTAATTATTGTTTGTTTGTCAGCTCTCTAGCTTTCTCAACAGAAATTTATTTAAAATAATAAATAAAATGTAAAAAAATACCAATTAAATTCTTTACAATCCATCAAAAAATTTAGGAATCTTAAAAGGATATTATTTTTTTTGTAAACATGTAAATATTCTATTAGCCATCCAAATTGATAATTATTACATAAATCATAAATTGATTACATTTATTATAAATTTAAATTACTCTTAAAATAATCAAATAGCTAATTCCATATTTTCTTTTCCTTTTTCTAAAAATCCTATTTTAAGAAAAACTACTCCTGTTGGATCGTCTCTATTATTTTAAAATAAAAAAGTTTTCATTTTTATTCAATTTATAATCTTATTACGGGCATTTTGTCTTTTTTAAGTTATTTAGTGCAAATTCTTTTTCTATGCCCCAAGCATTTGGTTTATCAAGAATCGAAGAAATATCACACTCAAAGTCACCTTTAATTTTTTTAAGAAAATTATTTTTTATCACAATTACTATTAACTTTTACCTAAGAAAACGTTTGATGACCATTTATTATAATCCTCTAATATACAATACAAGAATGGAATTTACTTATTTTATAAAATATTAATTTATTATTATTATCTAGAATTCTAATTTTACAGTTCTGTCTTTAAAATTGATAGGGAATTTAAATATTTCCTTCCATTCTGGGTTTAGAGATTAGATAACTTTTGTTTTGGCATCCTTCTTATTGAATTTAATGTTAAAAAGTGCATCACTATATTTACCTTTTTCTTCTACACCTAAGATACCTTTAGCGCTTACAGCCTAAGTTAAAATAAAAAAATTTTTATTTGATTTGTATGTATTTCCAAAATAAAAATTACAGCAATAACAACTGTACCAACTGGTTCAGCTCCCTTATAAAATTTACTTATATCTAATAACTCTGGTTATTTCTTATCTTATTCAGAAAGTATTCCATCTGGTCTCCATTACATCTATGCGTAAAATATACCATTTTTACCTCTATATTAGAAATTTCATTATGATAAATCAACAAATTCAAATTAAAATACCTAGTGCATTTTTCATCTTATAATTGCTAAATCTCATTAAACCAAATTTTAGGATCTTATATCATGTGATCTATATTTATTATCATTTATCCTAAGAAATCATTAGTCGTTATATCATAATCGTATAAAGTAAACATAACTCTGTTATTTTTTTAGTAAAATAGAATAATAAAAATTATATTACATCATGTAAATCATATATGAATAATTAAATAATTAAATTAATAAACAATTAATTAAATAAATAAATAGATTACTCTGCGTTCTTAAGCTTGCTGGGTTGATATTCAACCTCAATTTCTTTTTGGAAATTCCAAAGAGGGTTTGGGTTGTTATCTATAACAGGAGTGATAAAATTAACTTTGCAAAAGTTGAATGTTACTTTGACAAACGGGTCACTTTCATCAAACACATCTGCTTTTATCAAGTTACGAGCTGATACAATGTTAAAGAAAATTTTTGTTTTTACAAAAGGCTCTGAATCTGCTTCAGCTTTCTTTTTTGCAATCTCATCAGCTTTATTTTTAGATTCTTATTCTAATTTTAGTAATTTATTTTCAGGAGGATTTGTGTTACTGAGTTGTTCACCCTCAGGTCTCCACTAAAATTGAATGTATATTTCACCAGCTCCAGGGAATTTTTTTTCATCAACTAACTATTCTATTTTATCATACCACTTTCTTTCTTTGTCGTAAAAGTAGTCCTTTAGATGTATCTCTAAAGAACCTAATTTATCATTAATAGCATAATCATAATCATAAACAACTACATATAACTTTAAGGTATCCCAATCTTCTTCTGCTAAATCTAGTTTAAATGAATCCTATTTATTTATTTATTTGTATTCATTTGGTAAGTATATAATTAAATAAAAATTTTTATTACAGAATGGTTCCAATTTGGATTTTCATTATCATCAATAACCTTTGTTTTGATTATTTTTTTATCACCCTTTGAAATCTTAATTTCTGTAAAAGGGTCAGATTTATCAAATGTTGAAGATTTAAGCTTTCTTGCACCAATAACGTTTATAAATAATTCTCCAGGGAATTTAGGTGGTTCTCCTTATTTTAGGTATTCTTTGTAGTCTAAAACCTAATTTTATTAATTGATAATCATTTTACTTAGATATGCATAAAATAAATTATTCCTACTGCTGGTTTTTCAGCTATTATAGGCTCTGCTGGAACAGGTTCTTTTTAACGCCATTAAATTTAAACAAAACTATGTCCACAACCTGGTTTTCCATCATTATCTTTTAATTCGAGGTATTCGCTAAGCCACTTACCAGGTTTTTCTATTAAATCTGCAAGACTTATACTCACTCCACATAATGCTGTAGATCCTATTACCTGCTTATCTCTTATTGATAAATTTAACCTTAATTAACGTGCTTTCTTCAGATTTAATTCTAATGGTATTAAGTTCTCAAACTTAAAATCGGGATTTAAATTATTATCAAAAACTTTTGATTCAAACACTAACTTAGGGAATAAGTTGAAACCAAAATGAACTTTTGGATCACTTTTTCCAATAAGAGCTTGATTTTTTATATTTCTTCCGTTTTCTATATTAACAAATAAATCTCCCTTGAAAATAACTTCTGGCTCACGAAGACCTTAAATAAAAATAAAAATTCTTTTCTTATAATTGATTATAAAATCAAAATATTTTACCTAACACGCTTTCACAATCATTAGAAGGATCCCATTTGAACATGGAGCGAAGAGTACCATAATTTGTTCCTTCTTTTTTCTTAACATCTTAAATTATATCTTCATAAAACTATTCTTAATTAGGTTTTTCTAAAATAGAAATAACATCTATGCATACTCTTCCTATCAATTCATCTGTTACGTTATCTTCATCATAAACATCTAGATACAATTCAGCTTATTTAAGTTGACAACGAAGCATGTTAATAGGAATAACTCCTGTAAAATTCCAAACAGGATTTAAATCATCTTTTAAGGGTTTGGTTTTTAAGGGTTGTTTTTGGTTATTTGATAAATATACTGTAACATAAGGATCAGATTTTCCGATAGTATCAGTATTCTTTAAATTAGCACCACTTATTATATTAACTTGCAAGTTACCTAAAATCCTTCCATACTCATTAGCCAGCTCAGATAAAGTTTTGCATTAAGCTTATCCTTCTACTGTTTCCAAATCCGAATCACGTAAAAATTTAGCCTAGACGTACAATTTTCCTAAATTTTATCCCATTTTATTTTATCCTGTTAATTCTTTGAAATCATTAATTCTCCACATTGCTTTTATTTTAAAATAAAAAATTTATTGTATTATTTTCTTTCTTAAAATTTAATACTTGGATTTTCAAAGCAATCCATCCAATCTAAAGTTAATTCTCCTAATATATCATCAATAGCCATTGTATCTTTATCTAAAACTTTGAAATGGAGAGGTTAGTAAGACTATTAATTAAATTTGAATAGAATAAATTTTCAATGTTTCTAATTTTTTTTTTAAAAAAAAATGTACTTCTTTGTAAATATCTATTCTATCTCTAAATTCTGAGTTCCAAATTGGATTTAGGTTTTCTGGGATATATGGAGTTGAAAATGTTTTTTTGTTTGGAAAAGTAACTTCAACATATGGATCTGATGATTTAGAATCTGCTATTTTTAAATTTTGAGCCATAACAACCTAATATATAATAAATTTAATATATTATTTTATTATAAATATAATATATTAGAAGTTACATTAACTACTAAAGTGCCGCGCATAGGAGTTTTGGCTTCCTCCTTTTTTTTACGGATTATTTCATCCATATCTTCTATAAGCGGAAGTGGTTTATCTTCATTTTTAATTCCATCAACTACAAACATGATTTGTAAATAAATAACACCAAATTTGTCAGTTTTATATTTTTTCACCATATCTTAGTCTCCATCCAGTTGGAATATTTTATTTATTGCCCATTTTTAAGGATTATTAAGTGCTTCTAATAAATCAACATTTGTGTAACCCATTAAATCACTACCAAACAAATCATCATCAATAACTTCTACTCTCATAGGTTAAATTGAATCCTTAGGCATAAAAATAGGAATATCATAAATCTACTTCCACGTAGGATACTAGTCATCTTTTATAACATTAGATTTTACTTATTTACCTCCAGGAACCTTAAAAACTACAAATGCGTCACTAAAATCATTTTTGCCATCATCAGCTTTTACAATGTCTCTGCAATGAACCAAGAAAACCCTAAGATTACCCTAAAAATAATTAAATTTTAAAATAGGATTTAATAAATTTAATTTCAAATCAATTTAAATTTTTATTTAAAAGTTTTTATTAAGAAAATAAATAATTTTATTTAATAAATTTCAATTTGAATTTTTTGTTTTCGATTTATTTTAAATGAAATAAAATAAATTTGTATTTATTTAAAAAAGAAAACCTTATAAAGACCCTATCTATCTGCTATCATCTGAGCTAAATTTTCAATCAGAGGAGGATAAGACTAATCATCTATCATACCTTCTTCAATAAATTTAATTTAAACATAAATAAATCCTAGAGTTTCTGTTTTTGCTTTTATGTCGGCAGTTCCCTCTAATGGAAAAACCTTAATTTAAAATTCATTTAATAAATTCATTTTTAAAAAAATATTTACATTATTAACTCCCCAAGATCCTGGATCTTCAACACATTTGCTCCAATCAACATTGACATAACCGAGTATATCATCAGAAGCTAAAAAGTCACTATCTTTAATGATTAACTTTAAAGGAGCCATCCTATCTTTAGATATTAAAATCTTCTAAACGAAAACTTCGTTCCATTGAGGATTTAACGTATTTGATATTGTGCTTGTTTTTACTTCTACATTACCAGGAAAGTTAATTTGAACATAAGGATCAGACCCATTACGGTCAGCTTTACGAAGTTCACGAGCATGAACTATCTTTACTTTAAGTTGACCACATATTGTATTCTCTTCTCTAACTTGCATTAGGTTTTCTTTATCTTCGGGTTTAATATTTGGGTCATTCATACCTTCTGGTACAAAATATGTTTGCAAATATATTTTAGGTTTAGCATCAGGAGCGTTAGGAAGAGGCTAATAAGATTTGATTGAAAATATAAAATTAATTTTAATTGGCAATTTATTTTAATATACCTTATATTTTGGATCCTCAACTAAGAAATAATCATTTACAGCCCACGTGCAGGGTGCTTCTATTGATGGAGATACATCTATTACACACTCACCTAATGAATCATCACTAATTTTATCTTAATCCCAAATTTCAACTTTAAGTGGTGGGACTATACCATCCTAAATAATAAAATTTTAAAAGATGTTAATTTGGAAAAATATTGATTATTTTATACCTTATAAAAGCTAACTTTTAGCTGAAGTATTTAGTACCATGCAGGATTAACTGTATATTTTTTTACTTTTGATTTAGCTTCGATTACTTTATCATAGTTTTAATACTTTAGGATAACGTAAGGATCAGATGAATCTACTGCATCATCTCCACGTAAATCTTTTGCTCTAACTAAGAGAACTTTTAAAATACCTTCTTTAAGATCTTCTTTACTAGTTTTGATATCTTTCTTTCTATCTTTCAAGCTTCCTTACTTAAAACCTGCTAATGTTCTATATAAGGATTCAGGTATCCATCTTACTTAAACATAAACCTGATTTTAGTTAAATAACAAATATAGTTGAAGTATTCTATTTAACAAATATAAAATTTTTATTTACCTTACTAGGTTTTTCAACATGAGGGTGTTGTTTAAAGAGATATGATTTTTTAGTCAAATATTCTCCTGGGAAATTTACACACTCCTCCCAATTCACGTAAACTTCTCCAATTATTCTCTTATCCTTTATTATCATTCCTTCATTATAGTAAATTGTCACTCTTACTGAATCCAAAAGTTTTTCAGCACCAGCTTAAAGATCAACTAATTATTTTTAACTCCAATATGGAAATCCTTTTGCATCATATTTAGCATCATAAGTATTTTCTTTTTTATCTGGTGTCTTAATAGTGCATTTCAAGTTTTCTTTCTTTTCTTGAAGATAAGCACTTACAATAACAAATTCTAACATACCTAAATTTATTTGAAAAAAAATTAAAACCATTTCAGTTATGTTTGAAATTATTTTAATTTTCTTACCTGGTTCTACTAATGTTCTTTTAAATTAAACCTCCTCTTGTCTTAGCATGTCTTTTTATACTAACTTACCTTTGAACTCTTTAGAAACAGCAGGAATCCACTTTAGCTACACAGCAATTTTTCCACTAACCTGTTTATTTGTTTTCAAAATAAATGTAATCTTTTTTTTAATAGAAATATTTTATCTACTTCTTTTGTAATTTGCTTCTTGTAACTGACGTTTGCTAGAGGAAATTCTTAGCTTATAACCCATTAATTAGGTTAATCTAGACTGGTCTTCCATAGAATTTTTACTTCTCCTAAGAAATTTTTTTCAACAAACTCTTCTTCTGAATAAAGTTGAATAAGTAAATCATCATTTACATTTTCTCTTAATACACTTCTTATAGGAACTTAAACTACATAATTCCATGATTTATCATCAAATAGAATAATAGTCTTGAAAAGATTTGGATCTTCACTTCCTCTTAGCATAACTCTGATAGTTACTTATTTCAAGTTTTAAGCTCCAATTAAGTTGTTAGCATAAGGTATTTGAATCTTCAAATCACCATCAATCTGGGCTACATCTTCTGTGAATTTAATTAAGCTTTAGCTTATATCATTATTAGTTGAGTTATAAGCTTCGTTTGGTTTTGTAAGTGCTTAACCAGGTTCAAAATCATCTTTGGCTAAGCGATCGGAAAAAGAAATATCTACATCTAAAGAGACATTTTCATATTTCATGAAAATTTCTTTTATTTCTTCAATTGAAATGCTACCATTTTTATTATCGTCAAATACAGTATAAAGATTGTTGAAATCCTTCTGATTTAATATTATCTTCAATGATTCCAACCCATTCCTTATTTCAGAAGGAGTAATCATCTAAATTAATTCATCAAAAATGTTAATTAATAATATCAATATTTTTTATAATTTACTTAATTGTTATCGACATCCATTAAATTAAAAGCCTATTCAGCTTGCAATCCTTTTGCCTTGAATGCATCGAACATAGTCCTGAATAAGAATTTTTACCACAATTCTCTCATTCTAGGCCTTTCTTCTAAAATATCTTTAAAATCTTATATTTCAAGAAGCTTTCTTCCATCCATATAGCCAGCGACTCTACAAAGAGATTAAATGTCTTTAGGTGACATTCTTAACCTTTTAATAATAAATTGAATGTTAGAAATTTTATCTTGCTGAACTTGAACGTTTATTTTATTTACTTTTCAAGAAATAGCATGAATTCTGTTTAAGTGAGTCTACTATCTCCATCAATATCAGCTTATTGCATTCTTTGGGTTAAAGGTGGTGGATTATTTCTTAAAGATTAATAAAGTCTTATTATAGCATCGTCATCAGAAGTATTTTCTTCTTCATTTTTTGCTATGTATGCTTCTTATTATTAAATCACAAGTGCTGCTTAAGCTGCATTTTGTTTTTCTTTTTCACGTAATTCTGCAATTTCTTTATTTAACCTTTCATTTTCTTCTATTAGACTTTATAGCTCTTCGTTATTAATCTATGCTTGATTAGCTTTCAGCTCTGAAATTTCCATTTCTTTATCATTTACTTATTTCATCAAGCTGCTTACTTTTTTATTAAGCTCCTTTAGCTATGTTTCTTTATCTAAATTTTTTAATTTAACATTTCAATCCAAAAATAAAAATTAAAAATATTTACTTAATAATTATTTTTTTTAATCCTCAATTAATGTGTTTAGCTTTGTTTTAGTTTCATTTAACAGTCTTTCTAAGTCTTAATTTTTTCTAATTATTTCAACATTTTATAGTTCAGAATCTTCTAAAGCTTTTTCTCTAATTTAAAGAGCTAATTTTAGGGAATTTATTTATTCATCAATTTCACTTTGAGCACTTAATCTTTTATCAGTTTCTAGCCTTTTACTATAATTATAGCTTCCTCCTTCATACCAGGAGCTTCCATAAAAATTATCAATGGCTTCTTCATCTCCTGTAACTCTTGGCATTTCCTATAAATAAAAAAATAAAATTATTCATCACAAATTTGATTTTTAAACTCTAAAATCATTAATTTTTTTCATATCAAAAAAAACAGCTATTATTATATTTTATTTGAATATATCTTACTTTTTCATATGGGCACAATATATTAAAAGCTCTAATAACTGCTTCTGCAGGAGGAATATCTTTAATCAATTCATATAGCTCCTCTAAGCTTTTAATTCCTTCCATCCAAGAGCCTGTGTAAATATATGGCTTTTTCAAATGATGCCAATTTTTAATACCTTCTTCTTACAACTTTTTCATCAACTTAAAAAATCTTCCTCTTATCCAGCTTGAAATGGTTGTAAAATCTTCATTATATGGGAGAATTTTTTTAGGTGGTTCTGGAGATTATTCTTTCTAATAATTTTGTATATTGATTACTCTTATTACTGATTTAAACAATAATTTACAGGTTTAGGAATAATAGGGAGCCTTTATCCTCTTAAAGCAGTGTTCATCCAAGCTAAATCCTCCTTTGGTGCAGTCGAATGTGATAGAGGTGTGCTACTGTAAACTACAATAAGTTCTCTAGTCCTATCATTAGCTGCCATTTCTAGACATGTTTTTTTCTATGCTTTATCCCTTAAAGTTATATCAGTTCCTCTTTGAATTAAGATTGGGATTACTCTGGTTCTTGCCCCTTTAGATGCATGATGTAAAGCTGTCTTTCCATCATCATCTTAAGCATTCACATCAGCATGGTAGTCTAGTAATGTTCTAATTATATCTACTTACTTGATAGAACTATTCCAAACCGCATAATGTAAGCACGTTAATCCAGAATTATCAGTGCTAAAAACCTTATTTTAAATTTAATATTTAATTTTCATACAAAAATCAATGCTATTTTATATATGCTTTACTATATCTGGTTTTATTCCTACAAGAAGAGAAATTATTTATGGATTATTACAGGTGCTTGCAAAATGTATAGGATTCTTACCAGTAGAGTCTTTAGCCATAATATTTGCACCACTTTTTAAGAGGAAATCCGCAGCAGTTGCAAAACCATTCAAACATGCATAATGTAAAGGAGTTTTTAAAGTTCTATCTCTTGAATCTACATTAAAACCCTTACTAACTAAAAACTCTAAAACACTTTATTACCCTTCAGAAGCTGCTAAATGAACTGGGGATTTTTTAGTTGAATCAACGCATTTTAAAACACTTTTTATAAATAAAATAATCATAAGTTTAAAATATATATTGGTAAAAGACATTCAAAATATCAAATAATTCATTGAAATATTACTTCATATCTTTAGGGCAACTATTTACAAATTACTAAACACGTTATAAATCTCCTTTTAAAACATTTTAAAATAGAGGTTTAAAATAATCATCAGACTTTCTTGTTAGCCAATTTATATCAAATCTAGCATAATTCAATCTTTCAATAGCCTTGACTTAAAATTTTGATTGCCAATCTAAGCCTGTTGCTTACTTAAATTATTATGAAAAATCTTAATGAATAGTTGCTACTGCTAAATCTTCAAGGGAAAGAGATTCGAAACCTTTCCTTTAAAACTATGCAATAACATGACTGACATTTTCCTAATTAAGAGCGTCATCTTGCTAGCTTGATTGCTCCCTTTTAATTTCAGTAACTTTTCTTAAACTGTTATTCATTGCTATCCTAATTTAAAAACCAAGTAACTAAAAGTAAATATCAAGCAATAGTTTTTTACTAATATTTTAATATTTGATTTCAGCTATTCAATTTTATTTATCTGAATAAATTGAAAATATTTGATAGAAATCACCAAAATTATTGATAGATATCTTAATTAATTTATTATTGTATAAAAAAAATTTACTGTTTTTATTTAATTAAATAAGTGAAAAAATACAATAAATTCAAATTAATTTCAGTTATTTAATTTTTGAATTAAAATATTTAGAATTACTTACATTTTAAATAAATTTAAATCTGTAATTTGATAAAATTTATAATAATTTTATATATTGTTTTCATAAAAATTATTTTATTTGGCATGCTTTATATATTTGGATGGTAAAATACTTATTTTCTTATTAAAATCTATTTTAAGGAATTTTAATTTTAGAAATTTTGTTATTTAATTTTTTTAGTGTTTTTGATTTACAAATTAAATTTTAATATTTTCAAATAAAAATTGTTAATTTACAATTTTGTCTCAACATTATTATTTTTAAAAGCATAGCTATTTATGTCTTTTCAGAACAAATTAATACTCAAAGAAATTCTACTTGCTTAAACATTATCTTTATATCCTAAAAATTGAAAAAAAGCCGGGATTTTTTTCCGCAAAAATTTAAATAATAATTAAAATTGGTTTTAGTTATCAGTTTATTAAATCAATAATATCTTAGGGAAATAATCAATAAGTAAAAATAGTAGAACAAGTTTATATTGCAAAATGATAGAAGAAGAAAACTAAGAAGGCCTAGACTTTTTTAAAAATTTTAAGTATAGCGAATATTTTTCTAATCTTAATAATAAGCTTTTTATTATGCAAGTGCCATAATAAATTTTAGATGAGCTTAAATAAAAGGAAGAAATTTCAATAATATCAAAAGACAAAAATGATATCGCTAAATTGGTCAGCAATACTGAGACTTACAAGATAAAAAGATTTGATTATCCTAATTCTTATTTCTTAAATGAAAAGATTGACGATAATTTCTATGTGCAAGCAAGCACAAAAAGTGTTTTTTAACTCGAAAAGCAAGCAAACTAAAAAGATAATTTGTACAAATTTTTAAAGAATAATGAATTAAAAGAAAGCGATTTTGATGGAGATCTTAGAGGATAAAACATGTAACAAAAAGGATTCGAAATTAACGATTTGATCAATGATTATTTTATTAGTAGAAATAATTTATTGGAATTTTGCAAGGAAATATATGCCATAAAACTCGAAGAAAAAATATTTTTTTTGGAAACTGAGATCTTTTTGAAGATTTTTAGAGAGATTTTAAACATTTTATCAAACAATTAAGAAAATGCAGAATTTAGTTATAAGTGCATCACTTTGGAATCTTTGAAGGAAATATTTCCTTCAATCAATGAAGAAATACTATTAACTGTTATGAATTAATTTTCAAAATAATTTAATACGAATGAAGAAAACAAGGATTCTGTTCAGTTTTCTTTAACTTATGAAAGCCTTATAAAATTTATAATGACAGAACTTTATTTAGCTAAAAAAGAATACTATATGGATGATTTCATTGAATTTACTGAGAAGATGATTGCAGTTTATATACCAGAGTAAATTCAAAATGAGATAGCTGAATAAGAAAAACTTGTTACTATTTAAAAAATGCGAAACAAATTTTTCATTGCTTATGATACAAACAATTATTAATTTGCATAAGGAATAGATATGAAGAAAATAACTCTTGTTGGATACAATCATTACTTTTATACATTTGATGCTAAAGAGAGAGTTGCTTTCCTATTTGAGAAAAAGAAAAATTTCTTCCCAAATGAATTCAGAGAGTATCTAGAAGTTCTAAACTTACAAAAGAAAGAGTTAGATGATTTAGTTTTGAACAGCTGTCGTTCAATATCAATTTCTATTCATAAAAAAAATTAAGAAATATTCTCAAGGATCTATCCTAATGAACCCCTAAACAAAGATAAGCTCAACCCAGAAAATTTCTCTTGCAAAGTATATAATTATAAAAAGAAATGAATTATGCATGCAGCAAGCAGGCAATACAATAATTTATTAAAAATAATATAAAAATTTTATAATTTGTCTCAATAAATTCTATATTAATTAATTTATTACAAAATATTGTGGAGTATTTTTGTTTTTAAATTCAAATTAAAATCTTAAAAATGAATTAATAAAATAATTGATTCACTTCGAATCTAATATGTTTGTTACCAATTATTTAATTTACATCATAAATTAATTACTTGATGAAACAAAATATTAGAATAATTTAATTATTTTTAAGAATTAGATATCATCTCCTGCTAAATTAATGAGCATTGTCATAATCTATAGTTTACTTTTTTCTAGAGCAAATTAATAAGAGTAAGCCTAGAAATGAGATTGATCCTACAATTGTGACAGTATAGAACATTTTTCTTAAATCTTCTATCTAATCCATCTTATAATTTAAAATAAAAATAATTATTATTTTTGAAATATTTATTCTTTAATTAAAAGTATTTGATTGATTTTAAATTATCAAAGAAAGAAAACTGAAATATGAGAATTAATAGATTAACATACTTGGTATTTATTTAATTAATCAACTTTTATATTTTCTTAGTTGCATTTTAAAAGTTAACTTTTATAGCTACTGATTTCATTATTAAAAAATTCATTTGACTAAACTTGTTCATCTATAAACCTCCTTATTTCCTTTTTTAAAACGTAAACAAACTATTTATTAATATGTATAATTTATAGTAATATAATACGCTAATATTCATAGTTAAGATAGTAAAGATTGATTAAGATTATTCGAATTCTAATTGTTGCTATCTTTGCTCTTCTTCACTGCACTAGTTTTATTCTTTAAACACTTCCCAGTTCAAATTTTTACATTGTTATCTCGTTTGAATCATATTAATTATTATTTCACCAATATCTGACTGCTAATTTTTTTTTTCAAATCGCTCATAACCAGGGACGGAAATTTAATTTTAATTAGAGTATTTATGTTCTTTTAATTATATATTTTTAACTTCAGTTGTTTTATTCAAATCATTGTATGATTAACCAGTGGGAAGCTTATTGCTATTAACTGTTTTTTTATCCCTCTTTTAATTGACAAAATCCTTTTTGAAATCAGCTAAAATAGGACTACCAAAAACCCTTATAAATTAAATAAATAAATGATTTAAAATTTAACTTTATAAATAAATTTTAAATTTATTTACTTAATTTAAGTTATAGTACAATAATATTCGTCATCATAGTGAGTCTTGAACTCAAATCTGACATATCTAGCCCACATCGTTTTCAAAGGAAACTGTTACCATTCATAAATGTTTTCTAAACGAAATTCACCTAACTATACCCACTCTTACATTTCAATTGGATATTCGTTACTTCCATACACCTGTAAATTTAAGAAATATATTCTTTAATTTAGTTAAACATTCTACTTTCATTACCACTATATCTTTTACATTGGATGAATAGAATTCTTTGTTGATAATTGCAAATCCGTTTATATTGATATCTTCTTTTAAGCTCACAACAATATATTTATTTTTCATACTACACTTATTCAGCATATACCTTTTTTATAAAGGAAAGTTCAGTAAATTAATTTTGAAATCAAACGAATTTCATACTTGTCAATATTGTCGTCTAATATTGATTTTGTATTTAGCGAACCTTCATTCTTTTCAATAATGCTAGCTCCACCATAGAGAGAAGCAAAGTTATTTTTTTTATTTATTTCACTTTTAATTTTAGACTGCTCAATCCTCGCCATCAAAATTTTGTTCAAAAAATATTTTAAATCGAAGTTTTTTATAAATATTTATAAACTTCTTGAGAATTCATTTTCATATATTTATTCCTTAAATCCTTAATAAAATCCAGAGTACTTATCATCTAAAAAAGATGTATATCTTATTATTAAATCAATCATTTAATAAAAAAAGTAAAATATTATAAAAATGTCTATTTTACATATTTTCAAGGCTATCTATAAAATTTTAGGCCGATTAAAATTAATATTTGACCAAGCTAACAGATAAAACAATAATCAAAAATAAACGAAAGAAGTCCATTTCTTATTTTACTAATGAAAATATTAAACAATCAATTATATTTATTATTACTTAACTTATTTTAAGAATTGAAATAATTTGAACTATAAAAATTAATTAATTTTACGTGTAATTTATCTATTAGCTGTTTGCAAAATAAGTAAATAAAAAAATTACTCTTTACATTCAGTAAAAAACAAATTATATACGATCTGTATAATTTAGATAAATAAATATTTTCAATTATTAATTCTATTTTAAATTTTCTTTTTTTTTCAATAAATCTAAGTTATAAAATTTAATATCTTATTTATTTGCTACTTAGCTGTCAATTTTATTTAAAAATAAATTTGAAGTTTACAAATCCTAAATATTTTATGAAATATTCTTTGTTTTAATTTTAAAATAATATTTATTTTAATTTATTTTTAATTTTTAATTAAATTTAATCTTTAAAATGAAATTTTAATTTTTTAAAATTTCTACTTTAAGTAATTAAAATAAGAAAGAGAGTTTTTGATCTTTATTTCAAAATCAAATTTTAGTTTGATTTTGAATTACTTTTTGTAAATTCTTAATAGCTGATTAATTTTTAATTTGTTAATAATTTTTAAAAAATTTAATTTCTGATTTTATTTGTATTTTATTCATTTTTTTCTTATTTTTATTTTATTTTTTATTTAATTTATTTTTTCATATTTTTTTTTCTATTTTGTTTATTTGTTTGTTTATTTATTTTTTTATTTTTTAGATTTATTATTTGTTTTATTATTTTATTTAAAAAGCATCTGATATTAATATTTTATTTTGTTTTGTTTATTTATTTATTTGGCTCATATCATTAAAAATTATTTTATTGTAATTGTCTCGCATCTCAATTTCCTAAATTTAAAAAATACTAATTATATATTTTATTAACTAAAAGAAAATTTTATGAATTATTAGCAAAGAAGTCTCAATTTTATCAAGGTTAACTAAGTATGCTTAAGGAGGATTTTATCTCTAATCAGAAATCATATACTTTTAAATCGATATTAATAAATGTCTATTTCAATAATTAAATGATATCTTAAATTTTTATTTGATAGATTGCAATTTAGTATCACAGAAGAAGATTTATATGATTTTTTTGAGAATCTATCAAATAATAATTAATATGATAATGTTGTTATTAAATAACTATCATGTTAATTTTTCTTTAGTAATGAAAAAAATTTTTAGGTATTTCTTAAATATTAAAAAATTTGTGCGCGAATAGGCGGAGGATTAAAAAATATATTTAAGATAAACATTTTCTATTGAATTTCAAAGACATTTATTTATATTTCAGAAATTGTAAAGGATTTATGTGTGAAATAGAGATTTGCAATGCTTAGTTGTTTTGGGGATGATAAATATTGAAGTATCTTCCTAACTTTATCAATTCATCTAATTAATTTTATTTTTTTTCCTCTTTCTTTTTATTTTCTAATTAATTTATATTTTTTCTTTAAAAATTAATTATAAAAATTGCTTCCGATAAAAATTCATTAGTAATTCTCCCCAGTTTCCAGCTTTATCGAAAAATCAGTTAGAAATTATAAAAATTAATTTTAAATATTCCAATTAATAAAGATTAATAAAAATCAAAAAATCCAAAGACTGTTTTCAATATAGTTTTTAATATTTAGTACTAATTCTTAATTAGTGGGGATCGCGTTGAATTTGAAAGAAAGAGAGAGGGAAATTAAAAGTATTGATAAAGATGAAAAGCTTTAGAAGCAGTAAAAAAAGATATTAATTGCTACATGGGTAAGTTTTTAATAGGTAAAAATGTAGTAGTAGTAGTTTAGAGAAAAGAAGTTTTTCACATAAAAAAGCCATTGCAGTAAGACAATTAATGCATTTAATGCTTCTAAAGCTAAGTAAAATTTATTGAGAAAATTAATGAACTTAATCTGACTAGAGAATGATATGCAGGATCTGCTAAAAAGATATAGTAATAGATATAATTTTAAAGAGTGATCCATGCAGCCTTAAAAATGACTTAAAGAAATGACTCGTCAACTATTAATAAAAAATAGAAATATAAAAATTTTAACTCCAAATGTTAAATATCTTAATTGATTCAGAATAATAAAGATCTAAAAGAAGAAATATGTTATTAGCTAAGAAAGAGATATGATTCAACTAAGAAAATCTAAAATTAGTAAATCAGACTAATAGAATGAAGAATAGCATATATAATCAAGCTATACATAAACCATTTGAACAGTAGCATAAAATGCATTTCTTAAAATTTATCATCTCTAAAAAGCAATTAAAAATAATATACTTGCTTGAAACAGTATTTATTGATCACTCAACACCAAAATAATCAATGTAAAAAACTTAAAACAACAAAAATGAAGAGCTATCTATAAAATGATATTATTTTAAGAATGCAAAAAAACTGATAAAGCTAAATAAAAATAAAAAAATAAAATAAAATAAAATGAAAAAAAAAAAATGTAAAATAAAATAAAATGAAAAAAAAAAAATGTAAAATAAATAAAATGAAAAAAGGTATAAATGCAAATAAAAAAGAAAATAAAAAAATTATGAAAAAAAAATAAAAATTGCATTAGAAATACCAATTTATGTTAAATTAATTATGCCCTAAATTGATGTCATAGGATCGAACGGGGAGGGCTATAAGAGTAAATAGTGGGGAACAAAAATTAAAGTTTTTTAATCCCGGCCAAATTGTGTATTGAAGCCATTATAAAAACAAAGTTTTTAATAAAATAGTTCCTCATTTTTTACTACCCCGCTTATAAAAAGACCGCTCTTAAGATGGAGCTTTTATGTTGTATAGAAAATCAAAGAATATCGGGATGAGAAACCCCTAATCGAGCCCACTATGTGGGAGGTTGAAATTGGTTTTTAGTTTATCAAAATGTCATAATCTACCTCTTATCTCCAATAAAAAAAAATATAATCTACCTAATAAATATTTAACATATCAGTAAAATTGAGAATCTATCGTTATATTAACTTAAATAAAGCCAATAGGCAAAAATAAATATAAAAATAAAAATTAAATAAAATCTTAAAAAGAAAAAAATAAATTAACATTGAATAAAATAAATAAATAAATTAATTAACTTCATTTAAATAAATATCTTAAAAACAAACAAATAAACTCATTATTAAAATTAATTAAAAACAAACCAAAAAAATAATAAAATATTTATTAAAAAATATCTATATTGAAATAACTAAAACAAAAATAGTTTCCATAACTTTTAACTTTATGCCATTTAATATTTTAAATTTAGTCGTTTTAAGTTGATAATTAATTAATTTTAAGAAACTTGCATTAAGTTTAATTTTGAATAATAATAACTATTTACCTAATTCATAGGAGAAGTTAAAAATTCATAATGTTTCATCTTATATTTGGTATTTTAATAAATTCAGTTTTAAGCTAATTTAATTTTAAGGATCTAAATTCGTTTTTTAAATAAATTAAAATGATTCTTAAAATTATATTTAAAACTTACTTAAATTATTTTTAAATAGATTTTTAAGTGCTTTTAATTCTTTATTAGTAAATAATTTTTAATATCTTTTTTTCTGAATTATGTAGATTTGATTAATTTTATTAATAAATTTATTATAAAAGTATTATTTAAATTTAGAAAGAAATTTTATCACATTTTTAAGGAATCAAAAACTATTTTTGTGTATGTTTTATTTTTGTAAAATTGAATATTGTGTCAAAATTACAAAATAAAAAAAAAAATAATTTTATTTTGTGAAAAATTGAATAAAAAAATAAATAAAATAACATTTATATTGTAATTAGTTGAAATAAGATTGATTGATTTATTGGTTTCAAATATATTAGAAATCCTCTTCTGGATATTCCATAGGTTGTCTGTCAAGCATTTCATTATTCTAAACTTCAGTACCTTGGTAATAATATTATGCTTCTTAATCCATTTCTTGGTATTATTACTGAGATTAAGTGTATATGTTTTGATTTTTAATTTCTTTTTAAGCTTCTTCCACTATTTGTTCAAATGAATCCTCATTAAGATTATAATTATTAGATGCCTATTGTTAACTATTTTCTCTTTCTTGAAAATTTTACTAAGGATTATTTGCTTTGTATTGCTGTAAGAATTTTAAGAGCTCTATATTTTTATTGATATTTTACTCAACTTCAGTCTTTTTTTCTAAGTGTATTTTAGTCATCTAATCATTAAAATCATTAAAAATAAATATTTTTTATAATGTATTATCAAAAAATCAAAGAAATTTATTTTACAATTGATATACAATTTAATAGATCTTGTGCAGGAATCTTATGCAACCTTCTCTAGTCTTCTAATTGGTAGCTATTTGAACTGCGCAAATATCTTTCTTAACTATTTAATTGCTTTTTTACTGCTTCTCTTAATCTTTATTCTGGGTTCGAAGACTTTTTTTATTTAAGTTCTTCTTTCATCTTATTAGTTTAAGCTATTATTTAATCTATAATTCTCATAGCACCAACTTAATATGAACCTAATTTTTAACATAATAAAATTAACACATTTATTTGAATTAAAACTCAAATTCAATACTTTGCTATTACTATTATGGCCTTAAATTCTATTGTTATTATATTTGTGAAGGAGGCTGCTAAGGATTTTGGGTAATTATTTGATGATTATTTTAATTTTAAGGTTAGGGTACTTTAGACATAGCTTTAATAATATAAAAAATTATGTAAAGGTATTGTATCTATATATCTATCTGCTTATCTATTTATTAGCTAATTTCTTTAGTATATTAAATTGATGTTATCTAGTAAAATAAACTATAATTTTCTAAATACATTAAAATAATCTAAATAATTTACTTTCTAAAAATCTTTTTGCTTTAGTTTTTACTATGATTCTTACAAATTTGATCTATATATAATATGAAAATCTACTTTAAATTTTCTAAATTTACCAAAAGTTAGTTAGCAAACATAATAAATATTTAATTAAAAATTATTTATTAGATATTAGTAGAGTAAGCAATAGTTTTTTTTATGAGCTAAACTACTAATATAATTAATAATTTACTATATTTAAGTAGTAAAATAGTAAAATGTTAAAAAATTAACCTTAATAGATTCATTTTTTATTAAATAAAATCAATAAAAATAAATAAAATAAAAAGTAGAAAAATCATTAATTTTTTATATTTAGTTATTTATTGGTGTTATAAATAAATAAAAGCTTTTACAAATTTTTAGATACCTTATTTATATTTTTAAAAAATAAAATGAATTCATTAATTAGAGTCGCATAATAATAATTATGTAAAATTAAGAACAAAATATAAAAATATAAAGACCAATAAATTATCTTAATTTTGATGATTGACAGTTAAAATTTATTTATTTTTAAGGTATAAAATAGAAATATAATACATATAAAATATTTATCTTACTTAAGACATAAGAAAAGTGTTTGAAAATATGGCAAAGCTAAATTTTTTATAAACAAATTATAATATTATTTTTGAACATCAAACAAATTATTTATTTCTCATTTTTTCATCATATAATAATTTTAAAGTTAAGGAAAAATGATAAAATTTATTTTTAAAAATAAATTATTTATCCCTTCTTCAATTTAATGCTAAAATATGTGATTGAATACTTTAAAATATTTTGATGATTTACTATTATCAAGGAATATTATTAATTTTTTAAAAATTAAGTATTGGCACTCATCAAAAATAAAAATGAATAAAGTTAAAAAATTATTTTTTCAAAAATTTAGAATTTTATTAAGAAATAGAATCTTAAATGGAGAATTTATAGAATAGATATCTTCAAACTTTAAAAATTTAATTATTTATTTCTACCTCCTAATTCATAAAGGTATTTTATAAACAGATAATTCTGCCAGGAACCTTTTTACTTTTTGCGAATTAATAGATTAGAGGAAATAAAGTAACTTAAAAAAAAAATTTTAATAAAAAATCTATTCTTGCAGTAATAAAATTAATTCAAAAAAGAAACACAAGAAAAAAAATTATTAGAAATATTCCTTATAAAAAAATATAAACAAAAACATTAAAATATATTGACGAGTTAATTAGTTACTTAAAACTTTAAATAATTTTTTCAATTATATTTTAATAAGTTGAAAATTAATTAATTAAAATTTTATAAAAATCAGATTAAATGAATGAATGAGAAATCTCATTCTTTAAAACTCTACTTAAAAATCTCAATTCTTTGTTTCTTAATCATCTTCTTTTTGAATCTTTAAAGAAGACAGATCCTTAGTTTCTACCACCAAAATTATTTCCTTATATAAAACGTAAATGTTGTTCAAACTCATCTATACATTTCAATTCTTAAGCACTTTCTTCTTCTTTTAATCTTGATTTTTAAAATAGATCCTTTTTAATTGGTTTATTTGGATTATTTAATTTACTTATCATATTTAGTTTAAATAATTTTTCTGGGGACTTTGTGGTGAAGAGTCTGTCTAATGAATGAGGTTTGCAACTTACTTTTAGATAAAGATTGATTTACTAAATATCTATCTTTACTTGATTCATTTTATTCGTTTCTACTAGTCTAATTATTTTAATAACTAATATTTCTTGACTTTGAGTTTTCTAATTCATCTTTAATTATGAATGAATTATTAGTTTGAAGAGTTTAAGCTGCTGCTGTAGTAAAATCTATTCCTTTTTCTTATATATTTAAGATGCTAGCAGGGTTGCTTTTTAATAAAATAAAAAATCTCTTTATAAATATTTTTTGATAACATACAAAATTTATAATTTAAATTTATTATATAATAATCTAAGTTTAGTATAAATAAATTTATTTAAATTTTTATTATGAAGGTATTAATTATTTAGAAGATGACATTTGAAATAAGTTTATTACAATAGTGATTTTTTAGCTGCATGTATAATTGATGCTGTTTAGTTTGTAATTGTATCAGAGTAATTATTTTATACTAGACGAGGTGTTAAACCCGACATTGAATTATTGTATCTTGATAAGCGGGAAGGTTGACTGTTTTCTCTTACTGTCTTAATCAAATTTAATTTATCTTAGTCTAATGTATAATCTTTAACCTTTGAAATTTTGCAAGTTAAAGAAATGAAAATTATATTGGCTAATTTATAAATTGTTTAAAGTTACTTTCTTAAATTCTGTAGCTCTTTCTCTTTAATTCAGATGTCCATAAACATTCATTACATCATTACGCTCTACGAAGTCTGTAAACTAATCTTTATTATTGTAAAATAATCAATTACCTCCTAAATAATAAAACTATTACAACCAGTATAGTATTTTTTGATAAAATTGATTATAAAGCAAATATTTATTTTAAGGTTTTTCTTGCAAAGAAATTTAGAAAAAATAATTACTTGTTTTGCGATGAAATGGAGTTGATATAGATTCTTATAGTTTTTTATATTCATCATTAAATTTAGGCCTTTCATTTATTTGCAACTCTATATTGCCAACATCTACCTTTTAATGGGTCAGTAGACTAATTGTAGTGTTTAGATAATAATTAAAAAATATGGCGGATTACAAAAATAAAAATTCATTATTAGCAATAAATAAATTCCAACTCAGAAATTAGCTAAATATTTTATAACCCTTTAAAATCATCTAAATCATTTTTTGAGATGATAAAATATATAATTTATCTTGCTTTTATATAAAACACAAGCTAATTTCTATGTGCGAACAAAAACAAAACATTTGAATTAAAAACGATTGATGTACTTGTAAATAGGTTGAGTTTTTATTTCTTTGATATAAAAGAAATCTTTCTTCTAGTCTTCATTTAATTTATTAAATATGCTAAATGTTTGCTTATTCTTTAAAGGAGAAACAATTCCGTCACTCTACTTGCCTGATAAAAAAGGATTCTTGTAAGTATCTGAACTCACTAACCCATGCTGAGTACGAAAGTAAGATGGACTTTCATAGCTTATGCCAATCTTAGATTCTATAATTCTTTTCCCTTAAGGGCGTGATTTAGGAGTATCTGCAATTTTACTGAATTTTGACTAGAGGTAGGAAGGCATATCACTAGATATACCCACGAAACTATCTTTCGGAGTTTCTACACTCATTATTTATCTATCTATCTATTTATTTAATTAATTAATAAGTAGTAAAGCTTGTTATATATTTTTACAGCTTTATTAAAGTTTTGCTTCTAGTTTCTTGATAAATATAATTGCTAATCACTTTTTATTGATTACTACTATTTAAAATACTCATTTTTTTAGTTTCAAATAATAAAATAATGCAGACTATTTATCGACCTTTCTTTATAAGATAACTTTTGTAAATAAAATAAATGCCTCACTACAGGACAATAACACTTATCTATTCATTTAAATTTTGCTTCAACATATTTTAAGTATGAATGAAAAAATATCTTTTAAGTTCTAAATGTTCTCTATTAATTTAAATATGATACATGAAATGACCAATAATTCTATCTCATAAAGTATATTTTTTGATGTATACATCCAAAAACTAATTCAAGATACTACCTTTCATTATATATTCATTCGATTTAGATTAGTTTAATTTGGTTTGGTTTGGGTTAATATAAATTATACGAAGTTTTCAAAATTACATATAAAATAAAGGAATATAAAAATAAATAAATATTAAATTAAATGTGGTCTTTATACTATTTTTACTATAATTGATACTTTTATCATTCATTAAAACTATTATTTAATAAATTGTAACATTTGTGTCAAGTGATAATATTAATTTTTGTGCTATAAAATAAAATAAGTAAAACTAAAGAAAAATAATAAATAAATAGAATTCTTTAAAATAATATTTGTTGAGGAATTAAATATTTTGAGGACGATTAAAGAAAATTAATTAATTAATTTTTATATAAAAGGTTTTAACTTATAAAAATATTGAAATATATTTTTATCATAATTAATTGTATAATTTACATTAATAAATAATAACTGGCTTAAACTAGTATTCAGATAGAATATGGTTAACATTTTTATTTTATTAGGTTATTACAGATGTGTTGTATGTATGTATTTATTTATTTATGCATGTAATTTATGATATATGTGTGATTGATTTGTTAGAGTTATTAGTTATCTATACATATTTTCTTTTCCCCTTAACTATCGGTTGGTGTGTTTATTTATTTAAAAGTTTATTTATTAGTTAGTTAGTTAATTAGTTAGTTGGTTCATTATTTGAATTTATCATTCGAAAATTAATTCATTCATAAGTTCATTCCTAATTACAAGCTTTGTTATTATTCAATTTTAATTTATATTTGATTTGAAAGAAAGTGTGTGTTATTTTTTTGTTTGTTTGATATTAATATTATAAATAACTGCAATTAAAAATTATTTTCTATTTTTTAAATATTATTCATTAACTCATTTATTCATTATTCATTATTCGTATATTTATTATTCATTCATTCTAATTTATAGGATGTGATGAGCTTTATCAAAATTTGTTTGTGTTTCATTCTTAAGGTTATATATTCTAATCTTCTACCAGAATTATGCTTCCATCTTCTAATTTTCTTAATTTAATAATCGTACTAACTTCTTCTAATATAATGTTATTTTATTTAATATATGAATCAGTGAATTCTTCATATAATAATTCTAAACTTTCCTCCTCATTATCTTCTTTTTCTATTGAAATAGTTTTTTCTATTCTATTATTTTCTTCTTAACTAGAATTCATAATATCACTAAAACTCTCTTATAATTCTTCATAAAGTTCTTTATCTTAATCATTATGGTTATTTTTGGGAATTTATTGGTTGACAAGCTCAACCTCCATTACACCATTAGATTTTTCTTATTGCTTTTTCATTTAGTTTTCACTTATTTAAATAAGCTACGATAAAAGAGCCTATTCATTACTTTGTAATTTTTTATTTGCCAAATCTTATGAGCTATTTGCTGTGTTTGATGCCTTGCTCTTGCTTAAGCTATTAGATTCATTTTCTTATAAACCACTAGTAGTTTTTTTATCTTTCTTCTTTTCGCTTTTTAAGTTAGTACTACTATGAATACTATTTGCAGAAGCTAAGTCTTTACGTTCCAAGATAAGCTTTTACCTGAAAGATGGAGTTGTGATTTTATTTTTTAGCTGCTTGTAGGTAGAGTAGAGAGCTTGCTAAGGATCAAAGAAGCGCTCATATTCTTCTTTACTCTAAAATAATTTACCATCTACATCACATTCATTACAAAAAAAATCAATATCTTCAGCCTCTGTATCAGTTCCAATATACCCAATACATTCAAAATGAAACCACTCTTCACAATTTTAGCATTCTAAAATAAAAAATTTTGTTTTGGTTAAATTAAATTTTAAAATAAACATTAATCTTTTACATATCATGAATTCACCTTCATTATAGGGCTTTTGGCAATAACAGTAAAGCTTTTCATCATCGTCTTCACCTTACACTGATTTAGCACTTTTATTTAAGACAAATTATTCTTCACCTTAGGAATTTAATTGATATTCACCTGTAATTAAAATATAATAAATTATAAATTCAATTTTTAATCATTTTATTGATTTTAAAAGTGAAAAAATATCATTTTAAATATTAAAATACAATTTAAATAAAATTAAATAAAAAATTGCTTATAAAGCTGTTTGTTACCTTTCGATCTATGCTTATTTAATTTCTTTTTGAGATTCTTTTATTTATCCAAGCTTTGCTGTGAATCAATATTTTTATAATTTTTTATATGTTTTTCATTTTGCTTTTCTTTAATTTTTTAGGATTTCTTATCTTTTGATTTAGATTTTAATGGAAAATCACTTGAGGCACTTACAATATCAGGAAAAGCATTTGAATTTTCTATTTCTTAGTTATAGTTACTTGTATCAGCATTTAGATGAGATTGCTGATTAAATCTTAAGTCTCCATTTTAAGATTAATTAACATTGCTTTCATTTTGAATGTAAGAATACCCATTTTCATTGCTGCTTGCATTGTTTTCTAAAATATTATTCTTTTTTTACTTATTATATTTTCTTTTTGGTTAAATTGCTCTTTGGATTTATTAAATCGATTATGATAGCTACATTTTTGATGTTTCGTCATCAAGAAAGGATAACTCATTTGTTTAGTTTATTTAGCTAGATTCTATGTTATCATTCTCTGTGTGCAAAATTTTACGAGGATTCAAACCTTCTAATTGTTTCTGCTTTTAAAGCATTTTCTTCTTTTCTTTTTCTTAACGAAGCATCTCCTTTTTCAGCATTTACTATTCTTTTTTCATTTATTTTTATTGCTTAATAAAAAGTTCTTCTTGCTCTTTATCTTTGATTCTCTTTAGGCTATTAAATATATTTTTAAATTCTACTTTTTTTGATTTTATGAGCTTTTTATATAATTTAAACAAATGGATTGGAGGATATTCATTAAATTCTATTGTTTTCCAAATATCGTCATTTTTAGAAATCTAAGTTCTTAAATGCTATTATTTTGGTCTGTTAATATCTACAACATGATAGGCTATTATAGATTCTTCAAAGTCATCATATTCTTTAGAGAGGTTTATTACAAAATTATTTTATGGTGTTTCCAGAAGATAAAGGCTAAATTGCTATTTTTCATAAAAATATTTATTTTTATAAAATTCTATATTAAACTTACTTTCATAAATTCTTTTTCTTCTCTTTCTTAATCTTTAAGTGCTTTTTTAAGCAGGGTTTTAGAAGGCTTAAATGCCTTCTATTTTTCTTTGGCTTTATATTCATTGAAATAAGTTTCATTGTATTTTTCAATAGATCTGCAGAATTTTTGAATCTCATCTTTATATTTTTTCTCTTTCTGTTCAAGAATTCTTCTCAATTTTAAAGGAGTATGTCTTTAACAAAACACCAAGTGAGTGACTTTTTCAAGATGTCGTACTTCAAGCGAAAGTCCTGCTCTCCTAGCACATTCCGGATGGAAAGAAGCAGAGCATTTACCTTTTGCACACTAAATGCAGCAGCCACTTTCTTCAAATTCAATTAAAAATAAATTCAATATAATGCCATTTATTATCAAAAAATATTTATTACTTTTCTGCTTACAAATCAAACAAGTTAACAAGAATCTCTTCTTATCTATATTTTCTATTCCTATTAAATTAAATTATTTAAAATTTTAATATGTTTATAAAAAATATCAAAATATTATTCTTAAAATAATCAAAAAATTTACCTCTAATCATATTTAGTGAGGATCTCTCTTCAAAATAGCATTCTTATATCCACAAAGCACAAGTGAGGTGGATCCAAATATTCTTTGATTTTGGCTCATATTTTTGAATTTCCTCAGGTGGATATACCTTATTTTAATACTAAAAATCAAAATAGAGTTCTGTTTCTTCTTAATTTTCATCATTTTGAGGAGATTTGTTAGTACTTCTCTTCTTATCATTTTCCCAAAGTGATGTGTCTATAATTATTTATATATTGAATATATTATAATTTTATGGAAAATAATTACCGTAAACTTCAGGTTAATCGCTGAATTCTTCAGGGAGATTTTTTAAATAGGAGTGATAATCTGTATTAAGATGCTCAAAAAAGTTTGTTTTTACAGGCATTTTTGACCTTTTAAGAGCTCCTCCTCTTTTAGTACAAAGTGCACATCTTAAATACTTTGCATTAGGTCCAAAGGATATGCATGCGTCGCATATCCAATCTTCTTATGGTAGAGAAGCAATACCATAGCACTTTTAATGCACTGACATGTTGCACCTCTGCAATTATAGTAAAAAAATATTTAAAAATATTAAAAATTAAAAAAAATTTACTGAACAAAAAACGATCAGATCATTATCAGCATAATCACACTCATTACAAACTTGGCATCTAGTTTCTTCACTATGTTTAATTAAAACTTACTTTGTTGAACCCTAAGATTTTAAGGATTGCTACCCTACAATAGCCTAATCTGGTAAATCTCCTAAAATATTTTACTGTTGTTGCATTATTTAGATTGATTAGCTGTAATCCAATTATTATTTTGACTCTAAGAATTTTATATATTCTTTTTCTATAGGGTTCATTGTGTTTAAATCTATTAATATATCATTAAAATCTAAGCTTTATACATCATTAATTCTTCTCTCTTGCTCAAAGTCTTCTTTAATTCTAAGTTTTAAATTTTCGAACTCTTTATTGTTTTGCTCATACTGCTATTAGTAGCGTATGATAAGGAGGTTAATTATTTTTTCTAACTCTATATTTTTTAACTAAATTAATTTTTCTTCATTTGAAGACTCCTCCATTATTTAGAAGTAATTTAATGTCTCCAAGAGAAATAATCTATTTTGTATAATATAAACTTCATCTTCAAAAGTGTATGCGTGTTTATTAATGTAATTTAATTTGACTTGGTTTATTTCTTTGGTTTAATTTTAATCTATTATAAAATTTATTTATTTGTCTAACGAATTTAATTGATTTTTCAAACTATTTTTTTGTTCGTTCTTGAGGTTTTCATTTTCATCTTAGTTCTTTATCTCTGCCTTTTATTAATTCTAATTATTACTGTGAGAAATTTGATTTTCTTTGTGTGATTCCTCTAAAATTTAAGATTAAGAGATAAAATTATTTTGTTAAAAATCATTTATAAACTATTCTAAATTGTTAAGCTATTCTTAGATTTTCTCTGTTACTGCTTCTTCAAACGCTTCTTTAAGAGTTTCATTTTTAGCTTCTTTTTCTATATTTATCTATTAAGTGCTATCTTCATTGATCTTATATAAAATACCGTTTTACTCAGAGCACGTTATCTGAGAGCTCTCTTAGTCATCTCCTAATTTAGTGTTGCTATCTTTACTTCTATCTTTCGAGGATGCAGAAGGTTCTTTATCAGAAATGAGTTGTGACAGTTTACTATAATATTATGTTTGAGCCTTTTTAAAACTAGATGAATTACTTTAAGTGTATTGCAGCTATTCATCAATATATTCTGTTTAATATTATTTTTCTATATTATTTTTATCTAAAACTTTTGTATTAACTTGCTAATCTTTTTAAATTTATTCTTTTTAAAAATCATTATTCTGATCATATTCTTAATGATTACTACAATTTTCTCCTTCGACACTTATATCTAAATTCAATTTATTCTATTTTTCTCTTGAATTGCTCTCTTTATTTTCTTGATACTAAGGTTTTGAATCTTCATTTTAATTAATTTCAAATTCTTTATTTGTATTTTCTTCCTAGTGATTGTTTGCTCCTCCGCTTTCATTTTATGTTTTAAGATCTTCATTTTCTTGTATAATACTGTCTTCTGATTTATCATCGTTTTGTAAATTACTAGCACTTTAAAATTGGTTTAAATTATTGCTGCTATTTGATTTTTAATTTTATTATTTTCCAGTACGGTTTATAATTTCCATATACATTTTATCTATCCTATTTCTTAAATCCTTTATAATATCTTCTTCTTTTTAGTAAGCCATTTTTCTTGGAAAGTATTCTGCACAGACCATGAACCAAAACGAAGCTGCCGTCAAAAATTTAACTTTAAATTTTAAATGATATGATTAGTTGTTAAATATAGAAGTAGTTGTTTATTTTTTGATTTGTTTGTTTTTTACTTCTTAAATTTAAAATTAATTTTCTAATTTTCTAATAAGAGTAAAATTAATCAAATAGCTATTAATTTATTAAAACTCCTGTAAAAAGTTAATCAAAAATAATTTATGGACAAATTAAGTAATCAGAAACAATGTTTTTTATACTTGGCAAAAGCTTATTTTAAAATGCAGTTGTCTCATACCATTCAAAATACCTAAGTGTTGGTATCAATGATGCTAGTTCTTGGTATTTACGGTATTATTTTTTAAGTTTGTCAGAAGGTTTCGATACTTATATCATAGAATTCTCTTTTTAAAGTATATCTGAGTTTTTTCTACTAGCCCTAGGAGATCCAAGCATAGTAAATTAGTTTAATTTCAATGAATTCTTTCTTTTGCCTATTGCAACATTTGCAATTGACTGCTGTTAGCTTGTGGCTTGTCTACTAGTTTGATTAGAGAATGATAAATCTAAATCATCTGATGATTTATCAAGGTTTTCTCGATTGTCAAGATTATCACTTGACTATAAGAAGGATTCATTGTAAAAGTCATCTTAGTTCTCCTTCTCATTATCCTCTCCTTAAGACTCTTCTTCTTCCTCTAAGGCATCATCCTCATCTTGTTAATGCTCTTCACTATCATATTCTTCTTAATCGTCCTGATTTGAATGGTGCTTATTCTATTTATTTTATTTGTTTCCATAGCTATTATATTCCTTGGTCTTGCTTAAATTTTTAGGTTTCTTTTTGCAGCTATTCTAAGTCTAGTTTTTTTTAAAAGAAGATATGTTTGATAAAGAATAATCAACAAAATTGTTTTAAATTAGAGATAAAGTTTAAAGTTCAAAGCACTTTTTAATGGAGAATTTTAGTTTAAAATTAACTTTAAGAGTTTATTTTATCATTGCAATTTACATTTTATACCTTTTTTCCTAAAATAATATGACTATGCTTGAACATTTATAACAATTTAAAAACAAATATTAGGGGACTATGTGAATTAAAAGAAAAATAAAACATTGAAAAGGGGGGATAAAGAAAAATATTACTTTAAGTTATATACCGGATTAGCTTACGCTATTTGAATCATTTAATGCACTATCGTAATCAACTTTTCTATTATTTGATTGTTTGTATTCAGCTTTGTTTCCGTTGGACAATTATTTTAATTTTGAATCTTTTAATTCATCATCAAAAATATCGCTATCTGCATCATCTGCATAATTATCATCATCTTCGCTATCAAAGTCTAAGTCGCTTTCTTCCTATAATAAAAATAGATGATTAATCTAAAGTGTTATGCATTTTGGTTTATTTGCTCAAAGAAAAATCCATTAATTTAAAAATTTACTTTTGAATTTTCAATTTGCATTTAATTATTTCTAAAATTGTTTGCTATCGAGTTAATTGGCTTATCTTAACCTTCTACATCTTCTTCTTCATCTTAGGGAAACATGTTGTCTAACTAGCTATCCGTTTCTCCGCTTACACTACTTATATCACTCATAGTCGTTAAAGTTAGACGCTTCGCTTTAAGGGTGGCAGAACAGATAGGTAGATTCTATATTAGCTATTGTGCTTACTGTCAAAAATTTATGTTAGAAGGGATGATTGATTAAAAAATTTTATGCCCTTTTTATTTTTTGCTTTGCCTTTTTAGCTTGTTGTTTGTTTCTTTCACACAATATTAATGAAATATTAAATTTCCATATAGATTTACAAGAAAACTTGATATTTCTTATTATTATTTAATTGTTTCTTGTTAGATTTGTTTGTTAATGATGCTTGTTTGTTTGCTTATTTATTTATTTAGTTTTTTTGCTTCTATGTATTCATAATATAAGGCATTTCATAATACAAAAACCCTAGCGATTTATGTATTTCAAAAATTTAATACCTCTCAAATTTCTTTTACTTTCATTATAATCTTTATCTTGCTAGGGTATCTGCTAATTAAAAATTCTAATTATTTCATTTACTTAAAAAAAATTTTATAGTTTAGAAATATAAAAAATATATTAACAAGTATATAAAAAAAATAAAATAATAATTCATTTAAAATAAATAAATAAATACATTTTTGTTTAAGCATTAAAAATGTTTACAATGTAACTGATTGATCATAACAAAAAAAAAAAATGAAAAATTTTGTAGATGCTTTTTTTAAAATAAAATTGCATTTAATATAAAGCTAAGTATCTATGAAGCTTTAGTTTAATAATGAGGAAATTCATTTAATGCAATCATAAATCTACTCAAAGTAAAATTTTATTTATTATTTCTAAATATTTTTTTAGATTAAACTAGTTTTTAGCATACAAAAATTTTTTTTTCTGATGGAAAATTCTATAATTTAAAGATATTTTTTAATTATTAAAAAAAATATTTTAAATGATTTCTATTGGAATTTATTATTTTGTTATCTCCTAAATAACAGATAAGTTTTTTTGCTTTATTAAATATAAAACATTCAGTCTATTTCCTATAAATAGAAATTATGCTTAAAATAATAAAAATTTCGAAAAATGCTAAATAAATTTTTAAAGCTAAATATTATAAACTTTTTAATTCTTTTTTATATTTTCATCTTATTATTGCAAATTAAAAAATATTTATGTTGTTTAAATACATACATACATATTGGCTTTAATTTACTAGATATATTTGCAATATTCTGTGTTATACAAATAATGATGATTTTGCCTTTGAATTAGATAATAACAATTTAAAATATTTTAGTTAATACATGGCTTATGAATATTAATATGTTGATGCATTTAATTTGATCACAATTTTTATTTATCTTCTAAATTTTAATTCATAAATAGGAATAATGACATTTCAACATGTTGCATATAACGACAACTAATTATTCATATTTATACTGAAATTAAGAAAAAACTTTGATACTATGACATCTAAAAACTAATTTCCTAGTGTTGTAATTTAATAGGAATCGATATTATTTCACTAGCTAAGAAGTTACTTTGAGTTCCTCGCTTATGTTTGCTAAAATTTATGAAATACATAAAATCACTCATTCAATTTTATTAATATTGATTAGAATTATGTAGTATTTGCAAAAAGATAGAAGAATTATAAATTAATCGCAATCATAGTCAAAACGTATGCACGTGATAAGATTTATCTTAATTGATTTTTAGTATCCAAGTAATTAGCAGTTTTGAATGATTGATTATTTTATAGTGAGTGAATTGTAATTAATTGAATATTGAATGAATGAATATGTGTTTTGCATCAATAAATTTATTATCTAAAACACGTGTTTAGGGAAAGTATTGAATGTCATTAAATTAAAAACAAAGAAAATAAATACCCTTGAATATCATATAATTAAATTAACTTAAAATTAAAAAAGATACTCAAAGAAAAAAAAGAAAAACAAAAAATAAATTAAAATGTCTGAAGCCGCTAAAGCCGCCGCCATCAAGAGATCTACTGGTTCTTCCAAGCCCTCTTGTAATTAAATCTAACAATTATGAAACCTATTGATTAATATTTGAGCTATTTCAAGAACTCTTCTTAATTTTCGCAATATAGTTGTTAAATTCTATTGAGCAATTTTAATTTGATTGAAAATAGAGAGGGAATGGAGTAGCTAACAAATTTTCCATAATTATACAAATTAAAATAAAATTTATTAATAAACTTTCTTATTTTAAATACTTTAGCTAAGACTTCTACTGGTTCCTCCAAGATCAGCGAAAAATACTACTCTGGTGAATCTGGTATTAAGGTTCAACCTAAAAGTGTATTGATTATCTCTTTGGTTTATATGGGTATTGTTCTCCTTTTACACATCTTCGGTAAATTACGTGGTGGTTCTGCTCCTACTGGTGCTACTACTACTGATGCTTGAGAAGCTCTAAATCTAATAACTACTTTTCATAAATAAATATTCCTCAACTGATTAATACTTAATTTTATAATTAAGCTCCTAGCATTAAAAAATAATAGTCAAAAAATATCTTATATCTCATGAAATCTTTATTTAAGTGGTTGTCCAAGCAAAGTTTTAGGTTAGCGAACAATTAAAAAAAGTCAATCAATAGTAACAAAAAACAGACTAAAATTCATAGCAATCAATCTATCAATCATGCACAACAAATATAAATAAATTTAATGCTTTTATGCAACGTTAAACTAAAACACTCTATCAACTTATTGAAAGACAATAGATATAAAATATTGATAAAGGCTAACTATCTTTTTATAATCTACTTCACATTATGTAAAATGTCAAATTTCTATATCGTTAATGCGTATCTTTTGTATTAATTTTATTATTTGCTTCTCTTATAGTTCAAAATCAAATAAATTACAAAGTACTTTCAAATATAAAACATTTTCATTTAAACAACACACAAAAATTTAAAGTTTAAGCAGTAATGTTCAACTAAATCTCATTGTTGACCAATTATTATTTATCAATAATTTACTTTCTTTTTTAATTCTTGTAGAAGCATTAAATAAATAAATAAAAACAAAAATCTTCAGTATTTATATTTTATCAATATCTATTTATTTTTTAAAGTCAGACACGTAGTTAAATTATCTCCCAAAGTTAAATTTGTAAATCTTGCAATCAAAAACTATTTGATGATATAAATAAAGAAAGACACCTACCTATCTACTTTCTACTTTAATCTTTAAAAGACTACTATTACAAATAATTTTTCAGTTAAATTGAAATTATTTTAAACTTAAAAATATTATAAAATTTATAAAATATAAATAAAAAAGTTAGTTTTATTAAAAAACAATAAGTTAAAAAATACAATTTTAATACAGGAAATTATTTACAATATAAATCTTATAATATTTACTTATTCTTCTATTTAATTTTGCTGATACCTCAAAACTTTAATTCAAATTAGTAGTGTATTTTAAATCTAAAAAGGTTTATTTAAAAAAATCTCAAATCTTTAATAACACAGAAATAAGAAATAATAAATTTTTTATGTAAAAAAATATAATACTTATAAAATAATCTAATTTTAAAGCTTAATTATAAGATTTTAGATTTTTTTTATAAAAGGTAATAAGGTAATTAATGCTTTCATCCATGTCATATAAACGAAGATTTTTTAGACTTTTAAAAGTCATTTAGAAATAAAATAATTAAAAAGTTATAAAAAAAACTAAAAAAGTAAAAACAAGTAAGCTAGATAATAAGGGGTTGTAGAGATTTATTTATTTTTTTAATTTTTACTCCAAAATGATTACTTCCTTAAAATTAATTTTGATTTTTTACATTTAAAAATAATTTAAAGAACTTTTTTCCTATTTAATATAATGTTTTGTAAATTTAATTAAATTAAAATTCTATGACTATGATTTATTTTTTAAATAAATTTGCTTAAAAGTGATTTTTTTGGTTTATATAAGTAATTTTTTATCATTTTATTTATTTATTAAGTAATTATAAATAATTTTTTTCAAACAACTCTTTCTGTTTTTTTTAATTAATTTTCTTTTGAAGAGTACATATTTTGATTCCACAAACTTTGATTAATTACTTGCTCTTGTTATTTTTGGCTAGAATTTATAGAATTTTATCTCTTAACTTAGTCACTTTCTTCATCAATCTTTTTCAAAGATTGTTATACTTCATATAAAAATAAATTTTTTAAATTTTTTGTGCTGTTTTGATTTTTATTTGATTGAATTCCATACTCTTCTGTTTTATTGAAAGGTATTTCATCTAACGATTTTAAATTCTGATTAGTATATTTTTCAAGAATTTGGCTATTGTTTGTTTTGTTTTACTACTGTTATGGATCTAAAAATAAGTTTTGTGTTTCGTTACAATTATCTTTTGTCACATTATTGTCATTAATGGACATATTAATTTAATCTGTATTAATTCTATTAAGTAGCACTGAATTATTCATTTCAATTTGAGCTTAATTTTTTTATCTCTAGTTAATAATTTTATTCTCAAATATATTCTTTACTCTCACATCCATCATCTCAAGCAACTTTCTATCAATTGAAGTTAGCTATTCAGGATCGTTTTCTATCATATTCTTATAAACTTCACTAGCTTCTGCTGCTTTTTCAATAGGATTTTTTTGTTAATGAAGCATAGACCAAGCTTATTACATGTTTTAAGGGTGATGAAGGTGACTATTTGGACTTGGTTTATTACTATTTTTCAAACTAGGGCTAGGTGGTACTTCTTTTGGATTAAGATGCACAATAGGTTTTGGAAGATACTCAAAAAGCTTAATCTAATCTTCATTGAGGACAAGCATTTTCAATTTATCAATTTCTACAAGTTTCTGCATGATATATACAACATCCAACCTTTCTTTAACCTAAATTAATTTTTATAATTATTGAATTTATATTTTTTAAAAATCAAACAATTTACCCTTTCCTTGCTATATTTTATTTATTTCTTCTTTTCAGAATAAATACTTTTGAAGCACTGCAAGTAAAATGTGAAATAATCGAAAAACTGCATTTTTAGAACTTTTCCTTATCTAACTAGCTTTTTAAATATGCTGTCGGCATTTTTAAGCTTTTTTTTAGGAGAATGGGCTAGTTTTCCATAGTCTTTCAAAGCTTCCACAGGAGTCTCCAAATGGTTTTAAAAGTTTGCCATTAGCTTTGATGCTGCTAATATTCTTTACTAGTCTATTAATGATAGTCTTTTGGAGCTATGCCTGTGCATATTTATTTACATTTATTGCTATGCTTGTGAGCTGTTTCTTGTTCTAATATTGTCTCTTTCTTGGTTTTGTAAATGAGTTATATTTTGAGAATCATTTGGGTTAAAACTATTATTTTCTGCTATTTTAAATCCTTTAAGTTTACTTATCCCTAATACCGATTATGACCTTCTCTCAATAAGGTTAAAAGGCTTAATAATGCTTTAAGGCTATGGTTAAAAACTAATATTTTTTATTACATGTTATTTATTTTAGGGAGAATAATTAGAATCACGCTCTGGAGAAGAAATTGCTGAAAATCTTGTACGATAATCGGGGCTTAGTCTCTGTGATCCATAATCGCTTTTTTAAGGAGATTTTTCATCATTGTAATTAGATTATTTTTCTGTCTTGCAAAATGTGATAGATAAATTATTTTTCCTTTAAGGTGAATACTCCTCTGGTATTTAAGGACTAGATTCTTAATTATGTTCACCAATACTGTAACTGTGTCTGATAGTGATAGAATTCCCATTTTTTAAAATACTTTTACTTCTTTTAGAAGTGATTTGTTATTCATTTAATGATAAAAATTAATTAGAAATAGGTTTTGGTAGATTGGTATCTACACTCAAGGTGATTTATTAATTTTGTTTATTTTTAATTATTTAGTTAGATTATACTATTTATTAGGATACCAATTTTATACAGTTAGGAGTATTAATCATTTCTTCAATATCACCTGTTATCTTTTATGATTATCTTGTTTGCTAATTTCCAACTTAATCAGCTAATTAAAATCCTTCCTCTTATTTTTTAGATCTAAAATTTAATCTATCACTCTTATGTTGAGCATAAGAAGGTGAAGGTACCTGTGTTTTTACCAATTAATTCAATTTTGGGGTGCTAGGAAGAGAATTTGATAGCTTTTTATTTCTATTTTTACTTTGACCATTTTTTGATCTTTGTGAGCTTTGCTAAGACTGAGATTAAGATGAGGAAGATTAAGAAGAAGAAGATGATGATGAAGAAGATTATTATGATGAGCAAGAATTGTGTCTTTAATTATTAAAAGGAAGCTTAGGTGTTTCATAGTTTTACTAAGAGATAGATGCTTCCTTAGATTTATTATTATGTATTTGTATCTATCCAATAATGTTTATAGGCTGAAAAGTTTGTTTTACATTTTATATCCTATCAAATTAGGAAGCTTCTTCCTTGTTTAATACATAGCTTTAAATTTAATTTAATTTTTATTAATTTACAAATGTGTTTTCATCCAAAGAAGTTTTTGATTATTTATTCGAGCTCCCATTTTAGCTTAGTTTTTTTAACCCTAGAGCCGAAATCATAGGACTTATATCTCTACTTTGTCTGTTATAGTGTTATGGAGTTGAAACACTATGATTATCATTATGATGCTCATGGATAATCGATATATTTCTACTCCTATTTTTTTCAATCATTCCTTTATTATCTACATTATTTTATTCAGCTTTTTGTATTTTAATAAGACTTGTGGTTTAGTTGTAAGGTTCGATTTAGTCTATGTTATTTTTAAATAACTAAGGAGGTCTTTCATTTTTTAAATAGCTATTAGCCATACCCTCAAAAGTAGTTGGACTAAATGATTTTTAAATTGCTAAACTTTAAATACTGGAACCTCTTTAGAACTAGTTTTCATTCTGTTGAATCTTTGGAACATGATAAAGCTCTTCGTAGCTTAAAATATCTGTAGATCCACCTTCTGACTCCCCGCCTTCAAAATCGAATACTTCGTTGACGATCTTAATACTTAAGCTTAATCTTACAAAAGGCCGAGTTACAAATTCTCCTAAAATCATAAGCATCTTTATAATACCACCAATATAAGCTAAATATACTTGAATCTTACTATAAGTTCTCTTTTTTTTAAATTAGAAATAGATAAAAAATTTTAAATTGAAATATACAGTAAATCCTCATTAATTGGCTAGCACCTTTATGCCCCCAAAACTCAAATTTCAATTTTTATAAAAATTAGAAATTTTTGATTTTTAGGTATAATTATAGCATCTTAATTAATGAATATTTGCTGTATATTATGAAGTAACTAAAATTATAATTAACTTGATACAATATCAACAAAAATACTTTTTGTTCGAAATGTATTTTACCACTACTTAATAAAAATATAAAGTTTTTAGTTTTAATTGGGTTATATTTTAGTAATAAATATTTTTATGAATAATTTCAAATAAAATTTACCTCAACAAAATGTTTCTGGCTGTAAATATAAATCTCCATTGTAAGTAATGAAGAAGTTGCGTTATCCAATTAGTTTTCTTAGTATGTGTAATATGAATTGATTTACTAATCTTTATAATCCTCTAGAATCCAACCTTAATCTGTTGATAAAACTGTCTCTTAAAAATAAAATTATAATAGGGTACCTGTATTACTATTGTTGTTAGCATTTAGTAGATTAACAGTAAAAGTTTTCAAAGAAGGGAAAACAGGTAGATCAAAATTTTTAGGATTTATTTCATATTACATAAATTACACTTTAACTTTTGCATTCTACATTATAGTATTTATATTTGATTAAGATTGACAATTAATTTATTAACCACTTTGTTAGACCCATTAAGGACACTGCATTATCTTTAATTATAAGTAAACTACTTAATTTTAATTATTCGAAGATGTTAATAAGAAATCGCTTCCTTTTGGTAAGCAAAAAAATGATTAGTTTTAATCACAAATCTACAGTTGTTTTGACATATTTACAGTATTTGTATTATCATTATTTTTAGTAATTAGATTAGCTATAAAAATAAGAGAATCTGTACCTATTATTTAGCTTGTTGAGCTATCGATTATTTAGACCATAAGATTAATATTGTATTTCATATTTTAATCATTTATGTTTATAAACTCATTTTATTTTAGGTCATATATACGCAAAAAAAGGTTATCATGCTAAAAAAATTGAGAAACATAAATCCATGTCACTACTATAGTAAAAAAAAAGATAAAAACTGTTGCCACCGCACCGCAATATGTTTTATGCTTTTTGCGTTTATCTAACCTTAACTCCACTCTTCTACCAAATACATCAATTTTTTTTAAAGTCTAAAGTAAATCCATTAAACAATAAAAAAGCAAATCAGACTTTATCTATTTTAAAATGTATTTTAACTGAAACCAAATTAAGTAAATTTGTTAATTCCTTATTGAAATGTTTTTCAAAAGCAAATGAATGAATAAATAAATATTCTGCTTGCTATACTTTTCTTAACTTTTCTTTACTATTTATAACTATTGAAAATAATTAAGTCTATTAATTATCACTAATTTTCTTAATTACTAACAATAATTAAGAATATTTGATACATAGGGTCACTATATTTAAAACCAAAAAATTCTTTTTATAATTAATCACAATACTAAATAATATTTGCAAACAAATTTAACTTTTTAAGTGTCAAAACAATTTAAGATATTGATTCATAGAATTTTGTGGTAATTATTAACCAAGCATCAGTTCATCAATTTTTAAGAACATATTAAATTTGTCATAAAAATTTGCATTTTTAAGTAAACTTCAAAATATTTTACAAAATAAAAAGCTGCAGAAAAATTATTCTTTAAATTTCCTAATTTAACGCTTCTCTACTTTGATATTTTTAATAAGGGTCTTCAAATAAAAAAGTTTCTAAAAATTAGCCATAGATAATTTTAGTAATAAAATTAATCAAGTAAATTATTTATTCTCTATACTCTTTCTTCGTCAGTTATTAGTAAAATGTAATGTAAATCTACAATAGTAAATATCAAAAATTATAATTTTTAAATATTTAAGAAGCATTTTATGGCTTCTATAAAAGACTTATAATTTTTTTAGTTGTTAAAAAAGTAAAAAATTAAAACATGGTTAGGAAACAGCAAATATGGAAATGAATTATAGATAGATTTTAAAAAAATACTTCAGCAATTTTACCAATCATAAAAAACGCAAGGATTTAATTAACAATTAAGATATTTTATACAAATTATTGATTGATTGAGTTTTTTATTTAGGAAAGTACAAAAGACACAGTGTAAGAGAATATAATTTTGTTATATTCTGGTTTTCAAATAATTGTAAAAAAATAAAGCTTTTTGTTTACTTCTAATGCAATAAAAAAAGGAGAAATTAATTATGAACAAAGATTAAATTTTTTATTGAAAGCTAATTAAGAAATAAAGTTAAATGTTCTAACTAACATGTATGTGTGTGTTTGTATATGTATGGGATAGAATTACATTTCAAAATTAATATGAACAATTAAAAATTAATTAGGAAGCACAATATCAATTTAATCACAAATCGTCTTTAACTTCTTGTTAATCGTTACCATTATCATCGATGTCTACATTTTCATCAGATTGAGTTTGGCTATCAGATTTAGCTTCTATTTAATAAGAAAAATCATAATTAGTTTTAAAAATATTTAAATTATATTTATTTATTTACCTTCTTCATCATCTTCAATATCGACTTCATATTCTTCGATAGGAGCGTCCTTAGGAATACCAAGAGCGTTATTTAAAAGTCTGTAGAATTTCTTGGCAAAACCAGCAGGGTCCTTGAGAGAGTAACCAGAGTTAACCAAAGCTCCTTCGTAAAGGACGTTTGCGATTTCTTCAGTTTATGAATCAGGATCTTCCTTAACTCTTTCAAGGAGTTCCTTAATAGCTGGATGGTTAGGATTAATTTCAAGGATCTTCTTTTGGTTGGCAGCAGGGTTAGATCTATCTTGGTTAGCATAAGCTTAAGCCTTAGAAATTCTTTCCATTTAGGCAGAGTAACCATGTTCGCTGGAAACAATGACGCAAGGATCATCGTGTAATCTTTGAGAGATTCTGACTTCGTCTAAATCGTTGGTTAATAATTTCTTCCACCATGAAGTCAAAGGTTCGAAAGCCTTCTTGACAGCTTTATTTCTCTTTCTTTCAGTTTCGTTGTCTTCAGGGAATTTGAAGTTACCCTTACCAACATTAACGAGTTTCTTCTTTTCATATTCATTCAAGTTTTAGAATGTGAATTCATCAATAGGATCATCAAGTAAAAGGACTTCATAACCTTTCTTGAGTAACTTTTGAATGGTAGGGTGGTTCAAGATAATTTCCTTAGTTTCACCAGCTAAGAAGTAGATGCTGTCTTAGTTTTCCTTAGCTCTGCTGATGTATTAGTCAAATGAAGTTAATTCAGTAGAGTTATGAGAAGAGTACCATCTATTTATTTATTATAAATTAAATTATTAAATTTAAATTAATTAAATTTTTAATAAAAATAAAATAAGCATTTTTAAAAAAAAAAATTTTTCTAAATTTTTTTCCACAGTTAATTTTTTTTCCCAAGTAAATTTTTTTGTTGTTATTTTTTTATTTTTTAATTATTTAAATCAAACTTTATTTAAATTGCTATGAAAAAATATCTTTTTTTGATTAATTTATGATGAACTAATTGACTTTTTTCTGATAATTCGCTAATGAATAAAAAGCTTGCTATAATTTATTTACTAATTTGTTTTTATGTTTTGATATTCAAAAAATAAAAACTTGATTGAAATTGATTAATAAATAAATAAATAGTTTTTGTTAGTTTACCTTGTTAACTTAGCTAACTTGTTTCTGTTGGAGGAATCTTCAATTATACCAAGCTTGATATTTTTACCGAACTCCTTCCAGAAAGCTTTGTAACGATCTCTTCTTTCTTGGGTGAGCTTTTCTTTATCTTCTCCCTTTTCATCATCATCATCTTCAGAGTGTTATTCACCTTCCTTAGGTTCCTTTTGCTTGACTTCTTCTTCATGGGATTCTTCAGAGTCATCTTCATCTTCAGAATCATCACCACCTTCTTCATCAGCCATCTTTTTGATCATATCAAGAGCTTTTCTAACAAGCTTTCTGCTCATAACCTTAAGCATTTTAACTTATTGGATACTTTCTCTGTTGACATTAAGGGGAAGATCATCAGAATCTACAACACCTCTAATGAAATTTAAGTATCTGGGCATGAGTTCTTCGAATTCTTCATTGATAAGTACTCTTCTGACGTAAAGCTTTAAGGCAGCAGACTTACCATAGTAGTTTTCGAATAAATCATGAGGAGCCTTCTTAGGACAATAAAGAAGAGAAGTGAATTCGACTTCACCTTCACCCTTGAAATGAATCCAGTTAAGGGGATCTTCGTAATCCTTAGAGAAACTCTTGTAGAATTAGACGTAATCTTCATCAGAAATTTCTTCCTTAGGACGAGTCCAAATAGCCTTGTTGTCATTCATAACCTTCCATTCAGGGACCTTTTCCTTGATTTTCTTCATGATAGGCTTTTCATCGGTTTCTTCGTTGATTTCTTCATCAGTCTTAGCAGCCTTTTCTTCAGCTCTCTTAGCTTCAGCTTCTTCATCAACAACTTCTTTTTCTACTTCCTTGAAGTGTCTCAAGTTAATAGGGAAGTTAATGAATTCAGAGTGTCTCTTAATAAGTTCACCTAACTTCTTTTCATCTAAGAATTCTTAAGCATCTTGCTTTAAGAAAAGGGTAACACGAGTACCTCTTTATAAGAGTTATTCAGTCTCCTTAAAAACATGGAATGAGTTAGCAGCGCTACTTTCCCAAACCCATTGTTCATCTTCAGGGTGCTTAGAGCTAACTTAAACCTTTTAGGCAACCAAGAAAGAACTGTAGAAACCGACACCAAATTGACCAATGATGTTGACATTACCACCTTTTTTTAAAAAAAATGATCAGAAAAAATAAAAAATAAAATGCTAAGCTAAAGCAATCATTGTCCTATAAAAATTATCTTTTACAATAAACTCATAATGTCATTGTTACAATAAACTCTTTTTTTTAATCAGACATTTTTTTTTTATGTGAATTTTTAAAAATTTTGATTATAATTGATCCAATCATATTTAAACCATAGACAAAGGATGTGTTAAAGAATAATGTAAAGTAGGTGCTTATCATTTGGTTTATTTTATTAAAAATAGAAGCTGATAATAGTTTCATGATAGCTGGATTACATTCTTTGAATATTGAATTAAATTTAAATAAGAATTTACCTTTAATGGCTTCGATGAAGTTAGTGGTACCAGACTTAGCGATAGTACCCAAGTTTTGGATAAGATCTTGCTTAGTCATACCAATACCAGTATCGGTAATGGAAATGGTTTTCTTTTCAGCATCGAAGTCAACGTAGATTTCAAGGTTCTTGAAATCTTCAGTGAGCTTAGGGTCCTTAACAGACAAGAAACGGAGTTTATCCAAAGCATCAGAAGAGTTAGAAATTAATTCTCTTAAGAAAATTTCTTTTTAGGTATAAAGTGAGTTAATGATAATATCCATAAGACGACCAACTTCAGTCTAGAATTCAAATTCTTCTACACCTTATTCGGCAGCCCTAATTACAGTAACATGTTGTTGAAGAACAATCATCAACAACAATATGAAGCTTTTTAATTAAACTCTCATATTTTCTTTTTATATTTTATTAAATTTTTTAAAAATTTATTATTTATATTAATTTTTTTATTTGTCAAAGATTTAAGGAGGGTTAATAACTAAATAAAAAGGGTATTTAAAATTTAATCAAATTATATCAAATTTTACATGCTCATATTTCGAAACGTAATATCTTTATTTAAATATATTGATTGATTTATTTATTGCAATTATCTAATTAAACAGCTCTTCAAAATTTAAAAATTCAATCGATAAATTTTAAAATATTTTTTAAATTAAAACAAGTAATGAAGTTCTTTGCCACTAAGATTACAAAATGAGCATGTAACTGAAATGAAAATTCGTTGTATTATTTCGAATTAACTTTTATTTTAATTTTGCTCAGTATATTAAACATTCATTTTTAGGTTGTTAGCAAACACGTGTTTTGAAAGCATTAAATTTAATCAAATTTTTATTGTCCAATCAATAATTAAATTTCTTTTATTTTTTTAGAAGATTCTACCAAAAGAAATCATTATATATCTTTTGCCAAAAAATCAATCAACATTTAAATTTTATTTTTTTCAGTTTAATAATTAGATTAAACTTCTAAAAATCTTTTTTTCCTTAAATTAAATTCACGCAAATTCAAGCAATTATTTAAAAATCAAGAAAAATATTTAAAATAAAGAATCAAAACCATACTACACATTTCAATAATTATTATTCCACTTGTGAGAATTATAACTTAATCGATAAATTTTAAAAATAAGTTAATTAATCTCATTTTTTAACTTCATCAATAATAGTAATCAATATTCTTTCGAAATTTTTAAATGGTATGAATAGAGTTACAATTTGAATGACAAATCAAAGTATTCTTGTTTTTAGGAGATGAGTGACATTATATATATTGGAGAAAAAAATAAAAAGTTTTTGATAATAAAAAATAAATTGATCAAGTTGAAAAATTTTAAATAATTAACAAAAGAAATGTAAAAGACTAAAAATAGATTTCGAAGTAAAAACATTTATTATACAAATAAAATTTTTCTTCTTCAGTTAAGCAAATTTTAATCAAAAACTCAAACTATAAAAGTAACAATTCTTCATCAATAATCGTTATACAAGATGAAAATTTTGAAAACTTATTTGCGTTTATTGAGTTTAAAATCTTTTTTAAGTTTTTAGAATAAAAACAACAAATAAATGAAAAATAAAAGACAATTTTAGTGAAAATAATTAATGAAATCATTATCTTTTTTTTAAAGATTTAACCATTTCATAAAATTTATTTTTTAATAAAGTTTTCTCTTCATCAATTTTCAAGATAAATAGCTTGAGATTAGGTTATTTAGAAGCAAATGTAGAAAATATATTATTATTTAATGAGCTTAATTTTATCTATACATAGTTAAAGAAAATTAGTTAGATGCATAATAGGTTCTACTCCAAAATCGATAAAATATTTTCAAATAAATACTTTTAATTATCATTATCAGCTTTTTAGTTTGAATTTTTTGTTTAATCATTACCTTAGATGGTCAAATTCAATATTTTTAGTTATTTACAGCTGCTACTAAAAACTCTTATCACATCTTTTATAAACTCTGAGTTTGTTTTATCGTAGCTGAAAATTAAATCTACTTTACTTAAATTTTGTTGAGTGCTCAAAAACTTATTTAAGAATTTTAAAAAATCTTGATTTGAACTTTGGAATTAATTAAAGTCAAACGCAATTTTGCTTATCTAATTAGCTTTGAAATTAATATTTTTTTCATAATTAATTAATTTAACTTTGTTATTTAATTTAACGTAAAGGGAAGATAAAGAAGGGGGTAGATTAGTGAAAGATTCAATAAAATCAAATTCTGAGTCATCAAAATCAGAATTTAAATGAAGATTCAATACTTTAGTTGTATTTTAGTCTAAATTTGCTAACAAACTAGATAACCTAAAAGGTAAATTATTTACTCCATTACTGAACTTTAAAGTTATGTTTTCTACTTTTAGTTTATCCTACAAGATAATGATTTGCTTGAAAATAAGTGGTGAAGTGTCTTCATTTATTATAAATTTTACCTTTTATAACTTTTGTAGGTGTTAAATTTAGGTTTGTAATTTATTCCAATCGTCTTATTAATTACTTTATATAACTAAAACATCATTTTAAAAGTTCAAAGGGTTTTGAGATGACTTGATTAGCTAATTAAAGTATAGAGGTGTTAAACTTTTATTGTGGTAATCTTGAGTTAAAATAGAATTTAAAAATCCCATTTCTTTATAATATTCAAAAATATTAAACATTAAAAAGAAATCATGAACAATTTAATTGTCTCTAATATTATATTCTCCAAGTAGACTTCTCTTTTTAATGTCTTTAGAAAAAAGATATTCTGGAAACTCGTTATACATAATTTCTAACTTTTGAGAATCGTCATCCAGATACCTAAAAGCCCAATCTTTGAGTCTCCTCTAATGTGAAGGAATATAAGCATGGGTATGGTTAAAATACCAACTATTATCAATTACCTATCTCCCACATGCTTCTAAAATATTAATGTCCTAAATTAACAAAACAAAATTAAAAAATGGGTTTAGATGAAAATTAGTTGAATGAATGGATTTACTTCTTTTAAAAAGAAATAATTTTTGCAACAAAAAAAATCAGCAATGATTTTATATTCTAATTTAATAGAAGGAATTCTTCCAAAGTTAATAGTTTTGTAGTCAGACTTTTCCTATTCAATCAAATATTTAGTTCTTAAAAAAAGAAAACTTAAATCGAACTTAAGAACATTGAATCCAGTAATAACATCAGGATCAATAATGTTTAATTCATCAAACCACGCTTGCAACATTTACAACTCACTTTTAAAATATTTAATTTAAACAGAAGGATCGAGTTCCATAGTTTCTGATGTTGTGAATATCTATTTATTACTTTATTTTTAGCCATTCTTGAAGATAATATTTGAAATCATAAAGATAGGATTTTTTTAAGATCTATTTTATAAAAACAAACAATTAATTTCATAAATAAATGTTATAATAAAAATTTTAAAAGATTTACGAATTTGCATCAAATCCATTCTCTATTACTAAATTTTCGAGATCAGTTATTAGTATTATCTAATTATCAGATATTTATTTATAAAGTGTATTATCAAAAGATATTTTAGGTTTGAATTAATTAGATACAATTTCTATTTAGCAAGTAGAAATTTTATTATTTTCTATGATAGAATTTTAATTTCCATCAACTTCAAATGATAAAAATGTCTTTGGATTTATGCGAAGACTTATTGAAAACTAATTAGCTATTTTTGGAATAAAAAATTATGCCTTATCTGCTAGATTTAATTTCTCAAGATCTAACTTATTGAGATGATCTTAAAGTTGTTATTCAGTATATGATCCATTCAATATTTCTATTTTATAATAAAGAAGAGTTTCATTTTTGAACTCCTTTACCTCAATCTCGTTTTTTTTAAACACTTCCTAAATCAATTATTTAATATCATCTGTCTTATTATTATTTTCCAATTTATCTTATGTGTAGATAAAAAATACATTATTAAATTGTTTGACTCTTATCAGCACAGTTTAGTTTTTTTCAGTAAATCCAAATTACCAAATTTCATTAAAATCCTGATTGTATTCTATTTTATCTGATAGGATTTTAAGGGTGGTTGATTTTAGTTCTTCAACGTTAACCTTTTCACGAATAAACATTCTATTTAATGGCTTTTTTATTTGATTTTTATTATTTTATTTGTTATAAATTTTAATAAAAAGTAGGAGTGAGTCTGTCTATCTATTTAATAAAGAAATTAGAATTTACTTTTTTCTTTAGAAAGATATTTCCGCTCATATATATTTTTTTAAATTTTTGGCATACATTTTTGAAAGATATTATTTTATTAAGAAAAACAATAATTTTATTAAAATATTAATAGAAAACAAACTAAATATAAAATTTAAATTTAAAAAAACAAAAATATTTAAGTGAATTAGTGAATTGTTCATTCATTCTTAGCTAATTTAGTTTATAAATGCTGTAGGCTCCTAGTATTTGTAGTTTTTTTCTTCAAAAGCGTATTTAATTTTTTGAACTAGCTATTTTATTGCTGAATAATTTTTTCTGTTTTCAATTTGATATTTTTCTTGGCTTTGTATTTTTATATTCTTCTTATGACTAATAAATAATTGTAATCTGAAAAATAATACTTCAAGAATGTTAATTTATCGAATTTCCAATAATCAAGAGAGTCCTTCCATTCAATTTGCATTCTTCTGAATTAACTATCTAGTTGATATGGTTTTAAATTTGTAAATTACGAATAAGTTTATAAATTAAAACTGCTTTTTCGTTATTTAGGCACTCCAAATATTGTTAAACTGTTTCTGTTTGAATTAAAGCTGTTTTATTTATTCATTTCTGAAAAAGAATAATCTATCTCCTTTAAAGACTCACCTATTTCTTCTATTTAATTTAAGTTTACATTTTTTGCAATCTTAGGGGTCATATCATCGACTGAATATCTTTTTATTTTGTTATTATTACTTGTAGAAAATCGCCTGCTCAGGCTGCTATTTAAAAATTTATTTGAAGAAGCTCTTCTCATTTTAGTAGAATTTTTTAAATTTTCTATTGTCTATTCATCTAAATATTCACTATTTTTACTTTATCTTAAATATCCTTGCTAATCTTAATCTTGCGATTAACCATTCATTGTCTTTTAAGAAACGGCCTTTTAAATGTAAGGATCATTTGCTTGAGATATGATTATTATAGGATCTTCATTAATTTTTTCTTCAATAGAATGCCTTTTCTATAAAAGGAAACAGAATTTTACTTTTTTGTGAACACACATGCATATAAGTTTTTATATGATATTAAATATTTTTTTTAACTAATTTTGAAATATTTTACTTATTAGTTAACAGATAAATAGTAAGTGGATCCTCTATTTCCTCTTAGTTCTGGCCTTTCCATTTATTCTTTTTCAATATCAAAATAAGAATACTAATCCTCGTGGCTCCTATCATTCTTTTAACCTGTATATGATGATGATTTTTAGCTGATACAGTCATCTTCTTCTTCTTCAACTTCCTAAAATATCATTTTGTACTGACCACGAGATTTTCTTTCATAGTTTGGATTTCTATCTTAGGTAAATGAGAAGTTATGTTTCGGAATCAAAAATGGATTATCCCTAGTAAAATGAGTTTTTGAGCAATTTATAAAGAAGTGGTCAACCTAACCACAAGTGTAGCATGGAATGTTAAAAAAGCTAATATTTTAATTAAAAATCAATTTGTCTCTGAATTCCATATACTTCTGGTAATCTTTTTCATCTGATTTTATAATATCCAAGAACTTATTTAATGGAAGCCTTATCACAATTGAAACATTTTAAGATTCAGCTATATAAAGTCGTTTTTAGCCAGTCAAAAACTCAAACATTCCAAAAAATTAACCTTTTTTGATATACTTTATATCTTTGTAAACATTTTTAGAAGGGATTTTATTCTTTAAGGGTTTTTCTTAAATCTGTTATTCTCTAATTAGAATTAGTAAATTATAATAGTCCTAAATATGAAATAGATTAATTAATTAATTTATTACTCTTCTGTTTTGTTGCATTAATTTTCATCGTAGTTTAGACATTGCTTTAATATAACTAGTAATAAAAATTATAAGTAAAAAAATAGAATAAAATGTGCTTACACTGGCCTTTTAGTACAAAGTAAATAGAAACGTCATCTTCAAAATCATTACTTTCTATTACTTGATGTTAACTATAGCCTATCTCTTCCATTATTTCATATACTTTGCTCAAGTTATTTTCAGAAACATAGTTTTGGAAGTAAGGAAGCTAATTCAAAACCTTTTTATAAGACTCTTGCATTAGTTCTTTGTACATGGGTTTGCTCAACTTTGAAAGAGTACCTTATACATCTATTTTTTTCTTCAACTCTTCTTATTTATAATATTGTTTGAGCTCTAAATTAAGCATTCTTTATAAACCTCTAATTAGTTAAAAAATAGTTTTATCACAAAAAATCAGAACAAAAACTTACAAATTTATTTATTTCCTCTTCATGAATTAATTTAAAACATTAATATCATCTCTGTAACTTTCTTCTTATTAGTTTAAATCTGATAATATACTACCAATCTTATTGATCAAATAAGCAAATGCAATACTAGAAATAAGCATCCATAAACTAGTAAATAAATACTCTTATGTTGTTGAAATTGTTTATGAAGTTGTGTTGCACATGGTCGAAAAAGCCCAAATTTATGCTTAAGCATAGTAAAAGTACCAATCATCACCTTATTCTATTATAAAGTTTATTATTTTAATTGTAAAAAAACTATTGAATATTTAATTTCTTCAAAAATAATCACAGTTAAAATTTGTTTTATAATGAATAAAAGAAATTAATTGAAAATAATTTATTGATTTTTTAATTATCCTTTAAATTAAAATTTAAATTTTAAATAAAATATAGCAATTCTTTATTACTCTCAAAGTTTTTTAAGCAAATTGTTTAAATAATTTAATACTCTTCTCATAAATTGTTGTTTAAGGGAAAAAATTTTTTTAATTTATCTAAAAATTTAAACATAGGAATTTATTATTTTTGAAAAAAATTAAATTAATTTCTTTTATGCAACTTTACTCATTTTTTTTAATGGTAGCAAATAATTAATTATATTTTTTTAAGATAATTCATTTTTATTAATTCACAAGATTATGTTAATTTATAGCAATTCAATTCAATTTGGGCTAAAGAATATAATTATAGATTCTATTATTAATATTAAATATACATTTAAATACTAGAGCTAAATATTAAAGATTTAGAGTTTGGTTTAAAAGGACTGAATTTTAAAATTGGTTCATTTAATTTTTGGCTAGAAATAAGTAAGTTAGTATAAAAATTATAAATTACTTAAAGTTTTCCATGTTTCTTTTAGTCCTATAACATGAGTCTCAAAACCTGCAAATGCATTGTAAGAACAAGCCATGATGTGAGTCAATAAAATAAGCTTAAAAATTAACTTAAAGATTTCTAATGTGTATCTTCTTTTGATAGAATGTAAAATGAAGAATTCAATTTTCTCATAAATAATCATTATCCCTTTAATTTTAAGCAGCAAAGGTATTTTGAATAAGTTATTGATGTATATATTTGAAGAAGAAAGATTTTCAAAAATTAAAGGTATAATTTCGAAAAAGAAGTATTCATTAATGTAAATTTTGAATATTATTTTGCGATCTGTTATAAACTATCCATGGTGGTAATTGCTAGTATTCATGTTGATAAACATTTCAGTAATCCAACATGTTATTGCTATTTCATGGTAGATACTAATGTTCTTAAACTCGGCGTTAAAAAATACCATAAAAGAAATCAATATAAGATAAAAGCAGTTATAGCTCATTAAGATGGAATTAAAAATGATCCTATAAATATTCTCTGGGTTAAATAGAGGTAACTTATTAAGCCTTAACAAAATAAATAGTTTTTCAATACATTTAATTGTTTTTTTAAAACTCAAAAACTTCTATCTAGCCTATTTATCGAAATGAAAATCACTTAGATCATTTATAACCTTTCTTGTTAAGTGATTTAAGAATATTGCTTTACCGCTATATGTAAAATTTCTGTAGAATCCTATTGTTTTCATCTTAAAGTTTGTAAGAAAGTTGATCGAGAAGCCAACTTCTTTTTTTTTATGATTCTAAATTTAACTAAAAATATTTTAGTCATAAAAAAAATAAATCTTGTAAAAATATGTGGAAAATTAATAAATTCAAGATATTTATGTTACCTTTAATGCTATTTTATTTGTAGAATGTTTGATAGTGCTATTATACTAGGTTAACATTTTTCCACTTTTTAAGTAGAACTTTCTAAAAAGCTTGATATCTTTTTGTTATGATTGTCTGATGTTATTAAACACTCATCAATTGCTTAGTTAGTATTTTATCTTGCTTCAATTTAGTTATTCTTTACAAGAGATATATCTTCTAATAAAGCTGTAAATAATATTTATTGTTTGTTTGTTACTTTCATTCTTTTTTAAAATTAATTTTATTTACTTTTCTCTTCAGTATTATGGATTTTTGCATATTCGATTGGAAGAGAGGAGTCTTCTTAATATACTTTCAAATTACCTCCTATGAGGTTTGATTGGTTTGCTTTTTTGATACTCTTTTCTTGAGATATTAAGGTATCGCTTTTTCTTACAGTTAAATAACTTGAATTTAGGAGATCTTCATTTTAAAAATAACTTTTTTATCCACTTTATTATAAATTCATAATTTAGAAATCTTGGTATAGAAAGAGATTTTTGCTTAAGTTTATTTATTTCTACTAATTAATATGCAAATTAATTTAAAAACAATAAATAAATAATCTCTAAAAAATATCAGATAAACAAGCAATCAGTAAATTAATAAAGTTTTAAATTTACTCAATCTTAAAAATTTAATAACTCTGCTAATTAATTAACTAAAACTAACTAACTAACTATCTATCTATCAAATTAGTAGTTTTCTTAAAATTACTTTCATACATATTAATAAAAAAAATTTTAAAGAACAATCCCATTATTTATCTCTAAGTCAATAGAAGAAAAAAAGCTTAATGGACACTAAATTTAATTATTATTTAAAATATAAAAATCTACATTGATAAAATGTAATGAAATTATTTAGCTACAACAAATATATTATATTTCATTTATGGTTTTTAGTTTAATTAAAATTTCATTCAATTAATTATCTTTCTTATTGAATTCTCTTATGAAGTTTTTATTAGCCAATTTAACTCTAATTCATATATTTAAGTACTTTAAATGATTTTTAGGCTACTTATAAGTTATTGTTAACTTGCACAAGATTTTATCTTCCTAATGCTGTTATAAAAATGTTCCAAAGTTTCATTCCATTCAATTAAATTATCAAGATTCAAGACAATTTAAATATAAAAATTTAGATTATTAAAAAATTATTTCTATGCTTCCTCTAAGTCATGTTTACTTGTTACATGGTTTTACCTTCTTAATTTCTTAATGATATTATAAAAATATATTAAAGATAATAATATCGATTTGTTCCATAAATAGTAGAAAAAAAATAAATGATATCTAAGTTATTTTTAACATAAAATTTGTATTTATAAAATATAATGAAATCATTGAACTACAAATTATATTTTTTATTCATAAAATTTTCTTAGTTTAATAAAAATTTTATTCAATTTATTGTCTTTCTTGAAGCTCTTCCTCTTATGTAAATTTTATTAATCAATTTATACTCGGCTTTGCTTAGTTAATTATTTTAAAATTGTTTTTATGATTTTATTAATTTATTACTAAATTTTACGAGATTTTGCTGTCTTGTAAAATGTATTTAAGTTGCTTAGGCTAAATTAGTTCCATTCAAGTAAGTTGCCAAGATTTAGGAAGATCTTTTAAATATAAAAAGTAAGTTGTGTTAATAACAAAGCGATTTCTTAAATTTAAAAAAAAAATAATTTATTTCATAAATACTTTTTAGTTTATTAAAAATTTCATTGATTCATTAGATTATCTTTCTTTAATCTCTTTCTTTAAGGAAAATTTCATAAGCCAACTTAACTCTATTATTCACTTAATTAAATATTTCAAATTATTTCTATGCTTCCTCTGAGTTCTCGCTTACTTGTTGCGAGGTTTTGCCTTCTTAATGCTATTACAAAAATGTATTAAAGTTAATAATGTCTGATTCGTTCCACTCAAATACATTGTCAAGGTTCAAGACTATCAACAAATCGTCCACTAAATAAAGAGTATCCGAAATATTTAAGCTACTTTGTAAATTTGCATATTTATACTTTTCTAATTCAGGATATAGATGCTAAATAAGCAATTTTATTATTAGAAGCAGTTAAACAAGGAAATCGACATTGTAAGTATAGTCATTTGACCAAAAGATAGGTGTAATAATATCCTTAATCTGCTTAGGAATTTCTATATCTTGATACTTTTTAGCAACCTTATTCATTTCTTTATCATCAAGGCTAATGTAGCCAATATCACTTTACAAACCATTCAAAAATATTTGTGGAACCTATTTACTTTTTATAATGTAAGACCAGTCTTGATCAGTAAAATCAAATTGTTTTTATTAACTACTTAATCTATCAATTATGTGCTTAATACACATACGTTGATACTTGTATAATCCATAACGAGTGATTGTTAGCAAATCTTTAATAATATGAATGTGTTTTTGAAAGATAACACGACCATTTACTGAATAATGACCAACACGCTCAAAGACTCTACGTAGAAAGATTCCTTTACCTTTTTCAAACTCAACACGCTTTTGTAATCTGAATACGGTGTCACTAATTTTGGCCTTATCATCAATTTATTGAATTTATTGTTAAACTTTATTTTCTGCTTTTTCTAAAGTGTCTTAATCTATTTCATCTATATTCAAGCCCTTCCACAGCTCAACTTTTTTATCCAGATTTTCTTTAAGATCATCATAGTTAATAATGTTAATTACATTAAGCTATCCTGTTTCTAAAATGTGCTTTTATTTGAAAATCTTTGATTAAAATATCTCTTCCCAATCTATACGATCATTCTAGTCAAATATAAGCATTCTTTCCACAATATTTTTTAACTCTTCACTGTAATGAGGCTCTTTAGGACATTTAACAGGATTTTTTTCCATTTATTCAAGTAACCTTTTTTAATTTGTCTCCTTATATGGGAACTGATTATAAAGAATCCAATAGAGAGTAGCTCCTAGAGAATAAATATCGCATTTATGATTATAATTTTACAGCATAACTTATGGAGCTAATGTAGCCAAAGTACCATAAAAATCTGTGAGTTCGTTGCTTGTTGTCTTTTTTGCAAACCCAAAATCAGCTACCTTCCAAACATCATTTTTAACTAATATATTTTATGGTTTTATATCTCTATGAATTAAATTTTTAGATCTCAAATATTTAAAAGCTTCAATAATTTAGCTAAAGTAAAATCTTATTTCTAATTCTGTCAATTTTTTAGGGTTTGGGCTTTCTTTCTTTCTATTAAAAAATTATTCTAAATCTCCATGCTAGCAGAACTCCATTACCATGTAGACATTATCTTTATTCTTTTTTACATCTATTAATTACACAATATTTGGATGATCAAGTTATTGTAATGTTACAATTTCTTAGCGAACAGATTCTAATTCAATATTATTTACTGTATTCTTTATTCCTTCTTAAATTTCAACATGCTTAATCGCAACATATTCATCTTTCAGTGTCTAGCCTTCAAGAGGAACTTCTAATCCCTTATATACAGCACCAAAACCACCAGCACCTAGCTTACTATTTTCATTATACATCCACTTTCCTAGTACAAAGTACTTCCTTCCGTTAAACCTAACTACTTGCAAACCCTTTTCTTTTTTTGTTGCCATTTTAGTTATTGTTATATTTGCTTAAATAAATGTAGCTGAGAATATTTAGAGGTTTACCAGCTTTTATATTATATGGATTCGTTCTCTATTTATCAAAATTTATATTTATTTCTAAATATATTTATTAATAAATACTCTTTAAATTAATAAATTTTTAAATACACCAAAAAAATAAAAATAAAAAAGTCTCTCGTTTTATTTTATTTGAAATGAAAAAATTTATCTTCTAAAATAATATATGCATTTTGATTAGAGTGTACATACAGTTTTTAAAATAATAAAAATAATAATCATTTGTTTGCAGTAATAATTAAAAAAAATGATTCAAAGCAAAAAATTTTAAAATAAAATTAATAAAAAATTTTAAAAATTATCAAATAATATTTTACTTACATAATTTTTAAAATCTAAATTACAAATATAAGATTACAAAATAAAAGTAGAAATGAAGAGGAATAATATTTTGTTAGTTCTACATAAATAACCTTTGTGATAAACTGCAATTCAATTGATTAGGCTTTATCATCAAACTAGACAAAATTATTTTATTTTTATTAATTTTTTTTAGTAACTGAAATTTATTAATTAAAACAAAAAAAATAATTACAGTAAAAATCTACTTTATTTTTTTTTATACTTACTGAAACTAAAACAAAAGTGCAAGAAAAATGAGAAAATTTTAAATAACAAAACAAAATTAAATTTAAAAATTAAGGAAGTATTTGTAAAAAACTAGTTGATTTTTAAATTTCAAAAGAAAAATCTCTTTCACAAATTTTTAAAGATAAAATTTTAAAATAAAATATTTATTAAAATTTGATAAACAAAAGATCAAAATTTTTCTATTATTTTAATCATAGAATAAATATAGCTTTATTTTTACTGTTAATTTGAAGTAATAAAAAATGTTGAAGAAAGTATTCATTTTTAGAGATTGAAAACAACTAAAAAAAGCACATACAAGCAAGCATTGTCATAATATTTAATATTTTGATTTTAGATTTGAATATTTGACAATAAATAGTAAATAAGGAGTCAATATTATTAAATAAAAAAAAATTAACAACTAAATAATAATTACCAATATTAATTATATAACAAATAAATAAATAATTATTTAATTAGTTAGCTAGTTACTATTATTAAAATGAATGAAAATTTAGAAAAGTATTCTTAAAACTATCTTCATAATAGATAGTAGAATTAATATGATAATAGCTATCCTTAATCTAATTAATAAAATAGGCAGTATAGTTAACCAATTGAGTAATCTCGTCATCAAAGTAATAAAGAGTAGTATGATATCAAGTAGGTTTATGGTATGCTTTAGTAAAGCTAAGAGCATAACGAAAATCTCAAAAATATTATTGACGATTTAAAAAAATAACTTCGAGAATATAAGCATAAGTTTGAATTATCTAGCAAAGAGAATGAATAATTAAAATCATAATATAAACTACAGAGTGAGAAAAATGAAATTTACTTAATGAGGATAAATACTTTCGAAGAAAGTGAATAGAATTTAAAGTAAAAAGTATCTGATCTCAGCAGTAAATATGAATACTTGAAAAATAAATATTAGGAACTTTCAAAGAAATGTAAATAATTAGAAATATAAAATTAAGCTTATCAGTAATCAAAAAAAGAGAATGATTAAACGCTTTACAAACCTGAGAACAGAGTTTAAACAAATCCTGTTAACGATGATTCTCCAAACAACTTTTAATCTGTTAACTCAGGTGTTAATTCTAGGTAACAGCTTTCTTAGATTACTAAGAACAGCTTAAAAAAAATAAATTCTATTGATTTTAGCAGCCAAGGAGGTAGTATTTAGGATATTGATAAATACGCATTCTAAGTACTTAAATAATAGCATAATTAGTAATCTTTGAGTAATTTAACTCCGTAAAATTAAAATACAAAGCAATTATATCCAAGCGATTAAGTAAATTAGCAAAATAATATCAGTTCTTATTAGCAAATGAGCAGTAATAAGATTTCCTAAGAAAATAGTTCTAATAAAATACCTTCTTAAAGTCCAAGGTCGTATTCTTAAATAGAAGGTAGTAACTAAAGCAATAACATAAATGGAGTTCAAATGCTAAAAAATAATTATATAAATTAGATGCAATCCGCTGCAGTAAATAATAATTAAACACCAATTAGAAATAGCACTTCAGTTCCTGCTCTCTTTAGAACAGCTAAAACAGAATCTTAACATTCAGAAAATATAAGCGATATGAAAACAAATCCATCCATTCTTTAAAAAAAAAATAACGAAATTTTGCCAAATAATTACTAACCAAATTAAAAATAATACTCAGACAATAAATAAATTTAACAGAAGAGTTTACTATTCCCTTAATAAAACAGTAGCAGTAATTACTACTAGGAAGAAGGTTATGGTTCTTTCAATAAATTCCAGAATTCAAGTACAGTGGCTTTAGAAAACCCAAATGAATAATCTAAAGGAGAAAATAATTACAATAGTAACATGCATTAAAAACCTCCAATAATAAAAAAGATGGATTAAATTCACAATTAGTCTCAATATGATTAGCAAAGATAAAATGAAATTTGTGTTGCTTATGGAAGAATAAATTCACACAGAGCAACATCAGAAAACCAAACTCCAACAAACAGCTCATACCAAAATTTAAATAATTTCGAGAATTATTCTTAACAAACAAAAAATATGTAATAAGCTGCAGCAATAAATTAGTTATCTAACCCTTCTGTAACTTATTTAGGGGATCAAAGTACCTTAAGTAATTCATAGGGACAAAGTAGCTAATAATATATGTCTTAATCATCAAAAAACACATAATTGTAATAGTAAAATGCCCTAGCTTCAAGTTAAGGCCACAATACTAGCAATAAAAATTTTCAATAGAATAATTTAAGCATTGGTTAATATTATCCTACAAATCCTTCTTCTTATGACATAACTTATAGTGAAAGTAATTTAAGCAGTAATTAGAACTATTAAACGGGAAATAAAGACATGTATTCTTCATTGAATAATAGAAATTAGCAAAATTAAAGTTAATTAAATGATGCTCATATGTACAGTACAAATCCTGTTCATACTTCAGATTATAGTTCTACAAATCACCAATTAAATAAAAATGTGCAAATTTCTTCATTTAATAAAAATGCCCTGTAAAACAATTCTTCTTCAAAACAACAATCTAGTGGCTTAAAAACTCAATCTGTAACAGATTTTAATCATCAAATTCCAAAGTACGCATCTGGGGATTATGAAAAATCTAATCCCTAATCAGAAACTAAAATTGATAGTGAAATTCATACTCCTCAAAAACCAAATATTTTTTAAAGCAAAAGTGTTTTTAACAATAATTAAATAAATTTATAAACATTTCAAGCTGCTAACGTTAATCACAGTAGTGTAATGAAAGAAAATGATTTTGCAGAGCACCTTATAAGTAAATTTAATATATTTAATTTATATAATTTTATACAGAAAGCATTTAAGTTATTATTAAAAGATTCTAAATTCTTTTCAGAAAAATTTAAAATTCAATGTATAAATTTCTCATGCTTACTTAATTCTTTAGAAATATTTATATGATGATAGATATCTTTGATACTCAATTAAATTTATGTTTATTTTATTTCATATAAGGCAACGAAGGAATACAAGTTAAGAAAAGAAGTTAAGTTTTACATGCATCAAGAAGAGATCCAAACACAAATAGCTAATATTCTCCAACTTCTTCAAGCCATTAAAAGCTATCATAATATGAAGAGTAATATTGATATTTGATGATCGAATAATAATTTAATAATCCTCTATTATTTATTTTAGTAAATAACTTATGAAAGCATTATTTGGAACAGAAAATTCTGTTCAGACTAAAGAGTCTGGAATTCCTTTGAATTACACTAAAAATTCAGGTATATGAAAATCATTTAAAAAAGGAATTAAATTATATTTTTTTCTAGATAAGATGTTTGAGATTAGTTAGAGAGTTGAAAACGAATATGACTTGAACAAATAAAATGACAGGATAGTTCCTTCTCTTAACCCTAGCTTTCCTTAAAATAATAATAGCTTAAGTAACAGCAGTAACAATTCTTATAACTAATCGCAGTTTGAAAAAAGATCACAATCTATTAAAAATATACCATCAAATTAAGTCATTGATAATGATAGTATGGCTAACTTAGATAGTGCAAGTGATAACCGCTAAAAACTAAGAACTTCAGAAAGAAATAATAACAATTTAAAAACAATTTAGATTTAACCATTTGGGTAGGGATCAACAAACTTAAATACTAAGCCTTATAAAATGGCTAAATTAATAGAAAATTTTATTGTGATATCTGCAAACTCTGAAAAGACTAAATAATTATCAAAGCAGAATGTATTTAAGTAATATTTTTTTACTAAGATAAAAATTAAAAAATATATTTTTTTAAATTTCAAATGAAATAGCGTTGATTAGGAAATAATATTTAGAGCAGCTGAACCAAAAAATGACATGGAGAACGAATAACTCAAAGTTGTATCAAAATTCTGCTTCCCTTAAGGAGTAGAGGTGCATAAGTATAAAAGAGAAAATTTTAGCTCTGATATTTTAAAGTAAATAATATTTTTTTATTTAAAAATTATTAATCATAAACGAAAAAATAAATTTAAATGTAGGATGATAAATACTCATAAGGAGCTTTAATCTAAAGAATATTTTGTTTTCCCTATTAAATCTGCTGAATCATTTGAAAAGAAAGTTAGTAATCAAATATAAACATTAGATTATAAAGAAGGAATTGACGAAGTTATGAACCCAAACAAATTTTTATACTGTGTTTGTGTGATTACTAGAGATTATATTGATCCAATTAGTTCTTAACAAAGAATGTTTAAGAGTGAAAATAATACCTAAGCTTAGCACTACTATCAAGTTTCAAGCATATACTGCATAATTACAAAATACCCCTTCTTCAACTTCTTTTTCGATTTGATTTTACAATTTATAAGTAAGTAGCTTTTACTTTTGTTGATTATTAAATATTAATTAAACTTTAAATTTTTAGATAAAATGAACATAAATAAAAAAAATTATATCACAGACTTCTAACCAAAAAACCTATTACCTTCAGCTTTAGATTTTTAACAAATTGATCTATCATCTTTCAAAGTAAGAGATTGATTACATTCTTATCCAAATATGAAATCTTTTTTTAAATAATTCATAATAGAAACACATAAACTAAGGAGTTTTGAAAGTAATTTAGTCTTGCATAAAAGGTGAAATAGGAATTGACTTCAATATTGTACATAAGTTTAGTGTTGGGTAAGAGTTACTATCACTTACTGTACCTTAAAGAGATAGCTGCTATCTTTTAGAAGCTAGGTGGGGAGTGATGCAAACACTAACTATAATGAATGTCTATGAATTCTTATATATTTTATTTTCTTTATTGTTAGAAGAAAGCTTAGTTTTTCTTTCAAAAAATCCTTCTACTCTTTCATAAACAATGTAAAATACTATTAAGAATATCAATTTTAAAATTTATTAAAAAATAATTAATTAAATAAATAAACAAAAAAACAGGATGATGTTTATGTCTGCATTAAAACCATTTAAATGGCCCCATCCTTTTGTAATGTTTTTATCTAATGATCTAATGCATATGTTTGATTCACCATTCCCTCTAGTAATTGGAATAAATAAATCATATGACTTTATAAAAGACAATAAACTTTATAAAACACATCCTCATTGTATATTTGTTAACCTAGATGAATTTGGTATAAGTGAGAAGAAGGAGTCTATTTATTAAAGCAGCACTTATACATCCTTAACATAAAAAATAAAAGGTGATTATGAACAGCTTAAACAATTATTTAATAAAAAAGATGCTTATAATGATTTCTCATAGCAGTTATTTGATATAAGTAATACAATTTATGATAAAATCAGAAAATTCTTTAAAGATACTCTAAATAAAATTTTGCCTGCTAAGCCAATACTTGATTAAAAAAATAATGTAAATAATTTAATTGTATTTTATTCATTTTTTAATTTTTAACTATTTTAAAGCTGGACTATGACCAAATGAAGATTATAATATAAAAAAATTCTATTTAAGGAGATTAATTCATAGAAAAATTCGTTTAATCTCAGATTTTTAGCTATTATTTAGAAGAACACTACAATATTTGAAATAAAAAGAGTTTTACATAAAATTAATATTTGCCTTAATGAAAAATAAAAATAATTAATATATAAACTTTAATTAAAATTGATCTATATTAACTTACTTGTATATATAAATATATTTATAGATGTAATTAATTGATTTTATTAAATTAATATATATTTACTTTCAATAATTTTAGATTTATCTGTTTATTTATTTGTTTATCTAAACTATTGATTAATTGATTTAATTTTACATTTTCAATCTATGATATTATGATATGTAAAAATTACTTTCTTATTTTAAATTTTATTAATGAAATGTTTAAAATTTGAGAATAAAATGCTTTATAAAAATAAATTTTAATATTAAGTTTACATTTTAATAAATATAAAATATACTTTTAAATTTTTTATAAGCTCTATATTAATTTTTATTTAAGATATAAATAATATTTTATTAACAAAAATAAATTCATTTTTTTAAAAGCAAATCTGAAATTTCTTGTAATACAATATTTTAGGGATATTTATAATTATTAAGAAAATTTAATCACTAATAATACTCTACATAATTACAATTCTTGAGGAGTATCTTGTTTTTATTATTTTTTTGTATGAAATTATTGTAAGTTATTCTGTTATATAATCCAACTTCTTTATGCATTTGAATTTATTCACTTGTTTTAAACATTTTACTTATTTGAGCTCTTGAAAGCCTAGCTCTCTTAGGATAATTATTAGGACTGTTGCTATTATTTTAGCTTTAAGATGCAGACCTATTACGCTTGATTGCATCTAAAGACTTTGATTTATTTATTTCTTAGCTAATCATATTCATTTTAGCTAAGTAATTTCTATCTTTTTTTTAATTGATATCTATCTTTTTTAAATTTTGGATAATCCTTAATTATGTTTCTTAAATGTTTTGCTTAGTATTAAAGAGATCAACTTAAGTAGTTTTAAAATTACATATTTTTATAGGAGAATTTTTCAGTGAACTTGTTAATTTTTAGTTTTTATTTTGTTAGACCTCTATATTTTATTATTTTTAAGTAGTATCTGCTGTTTAAGTATTTTCATATACATCACTTTCAACATTATAATTATTTTGAAGGCTTAAAAGTTTTTCAATATTATAATTATGGATTGTATTTTATTCAAACTAAGGATAGCTAATTTTTGTTACTGATTAGCTTTCTTATTTGTTTTTAATAGGCATTTCATCTAATAAATTTGATTAGATTTGTGAACATTCTTATTATTTTTAGTTCATATGTGTATTTTCTTATTATTTTTAAACCATAATATCTGTTTCAAACTAACAAAAAGGGATCTAAGCTATATTCGAATTATTTTATTGCTAAGATTTTACTTTCAAAAATTAAGAATTGTCTGAAGATTTTTCATTTTAAAATTCTTTTTGATTTAAGAGTTTGTCTTTTTGCACAGATTGAATTTTGCAGCCAGCTATATTTAACAAAGACTAATCATTTATTTTTATATGATAGTCTGTACTTTCTAAGTTTTGTGAATGATTGTGATTCACTTAACCAATTTATTATTTTGGTGAGATATTTTTATTGATTTGATCTTTCAATATTGTCTAGTTTATCCTGTTTTCACAGCTTGAGCGAGTTTGCCTAGATGCAAAATTAGTTTAAGTTGAAAATTAATTGTACTTTTAATCATATTCTTTACTATTTAATTACAAAGCTTCGTCTATTTTATCATTAAATATTTTGGCTGTTTTAATAGAATTGAATAACATCATATTTTCTCTAAACTGTTATGGATTTGGTTTCTGCTTAAAGTTATTAATTATCTATTAATTTAACAAAAATTTATCAGCCTCTCTCATGGTATATTGAGAGTAGTAGTTATTATTATTATTATTATTATTATTATTATTATTATTATTATTATTTTATTGCATATCCTAGTTCTTATTTTCTGAGTTTTTGAGGCTATTCCTACATTTCTTTTTGAATGAGCATTTATAAACTGGCAATTATGCAATATATTATAAATTATTTTGTATAGTTGGGTTATAAATTTACTACTAAGTATGTAGATATACAGATTATTAAGAAGACTTTCTTCTTTATACTATGTGGTTTTATAAGGGTAAGTTTGTTTGAGTTGGTGCGGAAACATACTTTTCTGATTACTTTTGCACAGTATGAGCACTTTAGCTTCTAGTGACTATTTTATTATTAAAAGGATATTTTGAATTCAATTAATCTATATAACTATTTGCTATCATTTAAGAGCCTTCATTCAAACTTTCTTCATTTGTGTGCTAAGAATTTCTGTTTCTAGCAGGCATGGTTTAATTTTTTTGTTAATAAATATTACTATGTGGGGAAAGTAATGATTTTGACATATTAGATTGTTCGGTATTAGGGGATTTTATTTAAAAGAGCTCATACATATTGTTTATGTCAATAACATTAGTTTTCAAAGTATTTTAACTGCTTCCTACTGCCATCATATTCCTATAGTTATCAAGGTCTTTTTACAAAATAACTTCACTATCTCTTTCAGAAATGGTAGAAAGTTTTTAAATTTTCATTAAATTATCAAAATGATGTTCATAATTATGATAATTGAACAAATTAATTTAATTATTTTCATGTACTTAAGTGGCCATTAATTTGTAAGAATCAATATTTTCTGATACAGTTATAGGACTCATTTAATTTATATTTGTATGAGAGCTCTAGCTTTCTTAATCAATACACTATGTTGAATCATCTTTGGCACTTTCAGTTGTCTGTTAATTAGTAAAATTCTATTACTTTATGCTATTTATTTGATATTGCTCAAACTAAGAATTTTAAGGATTTCTATTAGTAAAACTTTTAACTTATTTGATTGGAGAAATTAAATATTAATCATTAAATGGTGAACTTTAATTATAACTTTAATGAAGTATTTAGTTATTATTTTAGTTATCGTTAATTATTCTTCCATGCTACCTTGCAGACTAGCTTGATGAACAATCTAAATAAATTCAAAAAACAATTAAACTAAAATTTTAATCATAATAAAAATAAGACATCTTTTTTTATAAAATCAATAGATAGTTAGTTTTAATATAAATTACTTCTGTGTGGAGATTACTAATTATTCAATTACATTTTTTATCCTGATAAATATTTATGATAAGTAGCAAAGTCGATAGTAGCCTAAACTTAATCTTCTTGATCCATCAAATTTTACTCTTTTTAAATTATTTATTGTATTTGCTATTGTTTTTTCTTGAGGTCTTCTCTCATTGAGAGGATTCTCTTTGTATTTTAGTTTACTGCAAGATTATTTTTTATGTATAAAAATTCATTTATGCTTCTAATTTCATTTAAGTCATTGTAATAAAAGTCACTTTACAAAATTTTTTTCATATTTCTTTCACTAAGCTCATTAATTTTTCCTCTCTTAATCATAATTTATTCTAACCTGTTTTAGCTTTTTCCTTAATCTTTACTTATGCTATTTCCATGACAACTCTATTCCTTTTTATCTGAAGAAAGTTAAATTATATGAGCAATATCACATGGACGCATCCCAGATTGCATTATCCTAGCGCTTAAAGACCTACCAATTGCAAATTTATGACTATTAGATTCCTTGAATTAATCAGGAGCCTCTCTTGCCATCTAATTTAAGTCTTAATAAGATGTGGCAGAGATCATTTATTGTTTTAACCAAAAGATTTATCTATATAAATATATTTCAAGCTAAAATCAAACAAATCTTTTATGTGAATTATCTTTACAACTAATTATTTTGGAAAGTTGTTATTCAAAATACTACTTACAGATTATTAGCCACAAATTGACAAAATTTTATTTGTTTTTTTTTTATTAAACAAAATTAATTAAACTACTCATCCATTGATAAATATTAATCAAATCTCAATAAATTTTCATTTTTAATACAAGACATATATTCACTCATTCATCCATCAATCGATCAATCAATCAAACTTTTAATATGGTTAACAAAAAATTAAAAACAAAATAAATTTTAAAAAAAATATAAAATTACTCAAACTTGATTTATTTATTTTTTAATCCATTTCATAAAATTTCTAAAATAATTTTTGGAAAAAAATGATAATAAATAATAAAACTCAAATTAAATAAAAACATTTTAAAGCCATATAGAATAAAAATATTTATTGTAATTCACAAATAAAATTATTATTTAAGAATTTTTTAAATGTATTTATTTAAGATCTTCTCTATCTCAAAAATGTGTGGGTAAGTAAGATTAAACAATAATTATATTAATTCAAATTAATCGAGTTAAATATTAAATTAGATTAGAACATGAGAAAGTAATTCTGTACCTTAATTCTTCTCTTACAAATAGTATTTTTTTATAAATGATTAAATTATTTTTTTAACATAAGAAGATTTAAATATACTTTGGACAAGATTAAAATTTTTTTTATTAAATTTTAAAATATTCTCACTAACTTATAAGCATCTATTTATTATAAGAAAAAGCACAATAATTACATTAACAATTTAATTTTTTTATATAATTAATTGACTTAGAAAATAATAATATATATAAAATTCTAAAGAGATTATAGAAAAGAAATTATGAGTCACAATAATAAAATTGGTGAATAATTAAATTAATAATAATACTAAATATATGATAACTAGTAAGTTCCATAGTATTATCATCAACCCCATCCAAATCAACCTCAACAAGTACCCTACCAATATCCTCCTCACCCTTACAAATACAGCCAAAATTATCACTAACCTTTACCTCAGCAGTAATATTATAATTAAAGGGACTATTACAACGCATATAAGTATCGTCAGGATCATCATCATTTTTATTAACACCAAAATCCTCCTTACAATTACCTTCCTCCAAATCCTTTGCCTCCTCCACCTACTCACTAATACCACAATCCAACAATACCACAATATACTTACTATAGACGTGATTAATAAATTGAGGATTATCCTTAATAACCATAATTTTTACCATATTAAGGCGTATTTAGAGCTCCATAACAAAAGCCTTTAAAATCTAAAGTTGAAGATATTAAAATAAAATAAGAAAAAGATGCTGCTGTTCAGCCTAAAGTAGAAGCTGATGATAAAAATTAGACAAACAATAATTTTCAATCAACATAATAAAGTGAGAAAAACATATTAAATTAAAATATAAACATCAAAAACGAATAAGATGAGAATAACTTAGCTTAAAATATGGATAAAGAAAATAAATAAATTGAATCTTAATAAAATATAATATCATCTAATGCTTTAGTATATGAAGATAGTAATCCTCAATAAAAATAATAGTGTACAATTTATATGAATGATTAAAAAGATTAGATTCAAATAAAAGTCGAGTAATAATCATAAAAGGAATCATTTTAAGTTCAGGTTTTTTAGGAAAAAAAAGAATATATTGATGAAAATAGCTCATAAAAAGAGGATCTTGATTGTGAAAAAGATTCTAATGAGTATTTAGAATATGAAATTGATGACTAAATTAATAGTCAAGATAATAAGTCCCAATTAGATTAAAGTAAAGAAAGCGATAAATAAGCTGATAAAGAAGATAAAGAAAACGTAAAATAAAAGAGAAAAAGAAAAGACTTTAAACCTTATAAAAATCAGAAGCTTAAAACTCTAAATGAAGTTGATTAAAGAAGGCATTTGATTTTAGCCTAAGAGACAAAAAATGTTTCTAAAAATATATGTCTTAGGCTATCTAAATTTGCCACAGCAGAAAAAGTAAAATTCAATTCGATTTCTAAGCTCAGAGAGTATCTTCTAAAACACAAAGATAAATGCGATATCTAAAATATGATAGATTATCTTCAATATGAATTTTTGATCGATATAGCTCATTAAACAAGAAATAAAATGAAAATTATCTATGCTAAATATAGGTTAAAATTCATTAATGGTCTCAAAGATTTAGATAATTTTAAATAACTAAAATTCTGAATAATCAGATTAATAATTTATAAAGCTTTTTATAGCAAAGAAAGTATTTTTTTCCATTAATTTTTTTTCAAAAAGTTAAGTATAAAAATATTAATTTTGTGTGGATATATGTATTTATTTTGTATTCATTTTTATTTGTATTACTTTTTATAAATTTAGGATAATTTAAATAAATTACTTACCTAAATGCTATAAAATATTTATATTCTTATACTCTTACTATTTTTAATAGTAAAATTATAATTTAATTAAATATAAACACTTTTTGTTATGATAGTTTTAAAAAATTATTTAAATCAATCAATCACTTTTTTATACGAAAATATACTCCAAAAATAAATTAAACTAAATTATAAATTAAATGAAATAATTGATGACTTAATATAATAATTTGATATAAAAGCCTATAATATTTCATAATACTAAATAATAAAGCTATTTCAGAACTTTTATTAAACTTCTGCTATTTTATTTAAAAATTTAATATTTTTATATAGAAACATTCTAAAAACTCTTATTTTTAAATTTGATTAACTGATTCATAAATTTGCAGGAGACAAAAGACACCTTTATCTATCTATTTTTAAACTTCATGTAGAAAAATTTCTTACTAAAAAATAGCCGTCGGAATGATTTTGGAAAATATCTAAATATTAAAAATTAATGAGTTCTATGATAATATTTCAAATTTATTTATTTGTTTTTTTTCTTTTGATTTGCATTTTTATAGTGTTTTTAAAACTAAAATATTAATTTACTTAAATGAGAAATAAAAATATTTTTATATTTAATAAAATATTATCTTATTTATTTTATATTTTGAGCAAACATTTTATAATTCATTTTGAGTTTAATTTATAAAACTAATTTTAATTTACACATTAGAAAAAAATAAATGGAGATTAAATTTCAACTTGTTAATTCTGGTGGTAATTAATGGAGACATAGAATCAATAAATAATATATTCCCCAAAGATATTTTTTAGGTTAATAATTATCTTATCTGATCAACCCTTTGCAATAAATTATAAATAAAAAGATATATTAATAATCGATATCAGATAATAAAAGTTCAGTATTAAAACGCATTTTTTGATTACCAAAAATGAACGAGGAAATCAATCAACTAGAGCAATACATATTTGCTAAAAACAGAAAGCTATTCTTAGATAATCTCATCAAAGATACAGAATCTTACTACTACTTCTCTTTGCTAGAAGCTATTGACAATTAAGGAAATGCACTTACTAGTGAATAGGAAGAAGATTTAAAACGTTATAGAAAGTTTCGTACTGCAAGTAGCAAAGGTATTCGTGTTAGGTATCTTTTTAGACAGTATGACAAAGCCGAGTCTGACGAGGCAAAAAAGAAAGTAATTTAAGAGCTAAACAGTAAGCTCTTCAAGGTAACTGGCGTTTTACCTAACACTTTATCTTAAAAAGAAAATGGATTAGTAGGTTAGTAGTAATAAGCATTTATTAATAGAAGAATAAGCAGAAGTAGATCTTAATCTAGTATAAATAGCTCATAGTGTGAGGAAGAAGAATTTGATGAAGATGAGTAAGAATAAGAAATAGCATTTGATGAATAAGATGACGGAGATAATTCTTAAGATGAGGAGCGACTAATTTAAATTGAAGAAGGAAGCTCTGTTATAGAAGAAGTATAACAAGTGGTTTCTGCTTAGCGTTAAGTACCTTAAGATAGTGAATAATAAATTAATGTTGAAGAAGAAGATGAAGAAGAGGAAGAGCAGGATTAAAGCAATAAAAAAGACTACCCTTCATAATTTAATAATAAAAAGTTAGAAGTGGATCTCATCATAAAAAAAAACTCCTTAGAAAAATTGTTGGCTATATTAAACTTAGATAGCTTAATTCGTATACCTGTTAAAAAAATAAAAGAGTGCAAAGAATACTACACAATCTAATTGTATCTTTAGAAAGTTGATGTTTACGCTCTTTCATGTGAGGAATTGATAGAAATACTTCTTCATTACCAAAGTCTTGTCAACAAAAATAAAAATTATGATTAGGAAATAGTGTAGAATTATGAAAAGTATACTTTAGAATAGCTTATAAGTATTGGAACTAATCTACCAGACGTAACAAAAGATAAAGAATATGTTAAAAATGTGTTCCTCAAATAGTTTGACCTTTAAAAGATTAAAACACTAGAAGGATAAGCTCGTATTGATGAACTTTGGATTATATATGAGTGGTCTAAGGGTTTAAAGCAAAAGTTTTAATCTCTACAAGATTAGATTCTATTTGAAATACTATACTAAGGAATATAATGTAAATTATTAATTAATTAATTAACTAATTCTTATTATTTTAAATTTAATTAATTACCTAATTTCTTTTATTTAATTTTTGATGATTGCTTTTTGCTTATTAACTTTTAATTTGAGTGAATTGATAATTGATTAAATGTGATTTAAAAATATATAAAGTTGACATTTATGATCATAAGGTATTCATTGAGTACTTAAACAATCCAAAAGAATAAATAAGCGAATTAAATGAGTAAAGTTAAAAAAAGTATAAACTTTTAAAGAAAAGTTATGATTCTTTTTGGCACAATGTCCATAGCTTTGAATCAGTCGAATACTCTCAAGCTAAGTTGATAAAAAAATACATCAAAAAACACCTTAAGAGCAGCAAAACCTATAGTGTAAGTCCCTATGACGAGTACTTTTAAACTAACTACTTATAGAAAATTCTTATTCAAGTTAGACTTTATGAAGGTGATTAAAATGTCCCTAAAGTATCTAAGTATTTATCACCTTCAGAGATCAGTACAATTTATTCAACTAAAGAAGTAAAAATCTTAAAATCAAATAAAAAGTCTTTTGTTCAAAATGAGAAAGTTACTTTAAATGTTTAGTTAAAAAATATTGACAAACTTTATGTAAAAATTTTCAACTTTGTACCTGAGAATTATTACCTAAAGAACTTGGCTGACTTTAATGAGCATGTTGACTTAGATGGTAAAATTATTTTTAAATATTTTTTTTTATTAAATGAAAATATTTTAATAGGATTAAGTCCAAACGAAGAAGTATTCTTTGATTTTAAACCTGAAAATATACATCCATGCACAAGATTTGTTAAAGCTTTCGATTTCGAGTCAATTTAAAAAACCAGTAAAGGAATTTTTATAATAGAGTTCTTTTCTTCTGGAATTGCATCACGCGCTATCATTTATAAAGGTTCTCTAACTTTCTTTTCAAGAAATACAATTGCTGGCTAAGAAATAGTCATCCTTGACGAAGAAGGTAATATTTAAAAGAAATAAACTAATGCTAATATAATAAATAATTTAAAAGGTAACATTTAATCCGAAGGTAGAGTAGGTTTATGGATAGATAAAGAATTTTACCAAGCAAAAAAAGATGGTAGAATCTTGGTTCCCTATAGAAAAGATAGCTAAAAATAAATCTAATGCATTTTAGTTAGCGATAAATTTGCTTAGTTAACTAGCCTTACGCATTTAAATGAAAATTATAAATTTTCTTGTAATTACATTTACAATTAAGAGTCATTTATCTTTGGTAACAAAGTAAATTTTTATTTAGCTTCTCATATGCTTTTAACCAAATATATTTTTTATAAATTATAATAAGGTCTAACTTATTTTATAGCCAAGCTTAACTATAAACCAAGAAATAGCTGATGTAAGTATATTGAAGGGCACAGAGATTTCTATTGTAACTATCACAACTGATGATGTTCCATAAACTACTCGCATTAGTAAGAAAACTTTGTAAAATGACTAAGATATAGTAATAGAATTTATATTACCTGCTAAAACTAAGCAAGTCAATATAGAGTTAAATACTAAACTAGATACAATGAATGGAACAGAGGAGCTAAAATTGAATTCAACAAACACAATTTATATTGATCAACACACAAACTAATTGAATTTTGCCTCTTTCTTCCTTTAAAATGTAGATTAATATTACATTCTTGTACTTGGTAAAAATGGTGAGCCCATTCCAAATTTTAAGGTTAGCATAAACCTATAGCATAAATATTTTAACACTGATAACAACATTAAGTTGTAGACTAACGAAGAAGGAAGTAAATAAAAAGTTATTTATTTTGGTTTTTAATTTTAAAGAATTATCTAAAACATTTTAGGAATAGGTCTAGGCAAACTCAACAACGTTATTTCACTTTAAGTTGCTTCTGAAGTAAATTATTTGTTTATTTATTTTCTTACTGTTAATAAAATTAAAATAATAAATTAATTTTTAAATAAATCAGTTAACTAAAAACAATCTAACTATTTCTAAAAAATGGAATTTGGAGAGAAACTATATTAGAGGCATTGAGAGTTTACCTCATATTTTCTAAATAAAAGAAGGTAATAATGTAGAGATACCTTTATTATGCGAATAAAATACTGTTATTGATAGAAATGAATTCATTTTACTAAAAATTGTTGATAAAAATTAAAATTTATAACAATTAATTGCAAATTGTCTTTTAAATTGCATCTCTAATGAAACTAATAAGGTTGAAAAGACTACAAAAAATACTTTATTAATTAAGAACCTTTCATCTGGCTTGTATTTCTTAAGATCTAAACTTAATACAAAGAACTTCATTATTAAAGTACACAATTGTAAAATTTGGTAACATTCATCTTAAACAGAATCAGCTACTTCATCTATATTAACCAAAAATAAATTGTTGCTTAACCAATCCTCTGTTCCAGTAGAAGATTAAATAAGAGTTGAGAGTTTTAAAAATGAATCTGGAAAGATATAAATATAATTGAATCGTTAAAAAAGCTACTAAAACACACGTGTTCATTTGATAGCATTTTAATACTTCCCTAATGGACTTTCAAATCCATATAATAATTTCTGCACAGGTTACGATAATTACAAGATCTAGGAAGTTAACTTACAGAATACAGTATTAATTTATTTATTTTTTTAGAAATTATAACATATTTTAATTACTTTTATTAAAGAAAAATAAATATATGTCTAATCGTTAACTTGGAGATGAATTTGCATATGTTCTAGATAGGAAAGTTTAAACTCGTTTTACAGGAAATTCCTTGGAAAAACCTTCTTTAGCAATTAAAAGAAATTTTATTTAAGATACAAATACTGAAACAGAAAATATTCAAGCAGATAAACCACTTGAAAAAGGTTTTAAAAGGAAATTATCAGTATCTGATAGAGAAGAAAAAGAATTTTATGAAAGAGATGCAAGTTATTGTAATTTTGATGAAGCAGAAGATGAAGAATGTTTTGATGATGATGCCAGCTATTAAGAATGTAAAAGAGAAGGTTTTAATTTGTTTTTTTTATTTTCATTTTTGTTTAATTATTTTTTAATAATAAAAATAGCTCCAATAAAATATAAAAAAAGTATGGCTAAAAAAGCTAGAGGAATGGCATCACCTTCTGATAGAATTTATTTCAACCGCTATGATTATAATTGCTAAATTTCTCCAATAGATGCTCACTTGAATTTCTTAAAAAATACTTGTCTTATTTATTCAAACTTAGTACCTAACAAAGTAAAATAAATATTTAACTAAAAACTATTTTTATTTTTTTACTTTTTTAAAATAAATTATCAAATTTTTTTCCTTTTTTTTATTAAAAATATTAATTCATTTTTTTAATAAAATATTTTCATTTGATATTATATTATTAAGTGGAAGGAATTGAAATTTATTTATTTTTATATAATTAAGAATTAATTTTAATTAATAGGATGGTTTGATTGAATTTGAAGAAAATTTATCAAAGTACTCAGCTGTTTAAATTATTTTGAGAACTCCTACTCACCATAATGTTAGTGTATTTAATTTAGAGCATCTTTTAAATAGAGAAATAGAGACCCGTGATTTGAGATAAAAGACAAATTTACAAAAAGGAAAGTATTATTCAATCTTCAGGAATACTGAAACTATCATGAAAGGAAAATAGTGTATTATAGATGATATCACTTCAACAGAATTCTCAATAATAGATAGCTTGAATAAAGTCTTCGATTTCTAAATTGAACTTTCAAGATTTGCTGGAACTTTTACTGATAGCACTTCTTCTAAAAGCTTCACTGAAGAATGGGAGTTCTTAAAGAAATGGGACTCATTATCTACTTCAGAAAAAAATTAAAAATATAATAATAACTTGTCTCACGAATTAAATTTCTTTTTGTATTTGAAAGATAAACCATACTTCGATAGTATTGTAAAAAACCATCTTTAAAATAAGATTGAATTTACCTTAGTTGATCTCTTCTTACTAGGAAAATATGAAGATCTCATTAATAAATATCATCATATTGAAATCCTTGATAGAATAAATTCTTTTGAAATCTGTTTAATGATTTATTCATTAAAGTAATTAAATCAGGTAAAGAAATAAATATACATCTCTAAATTAAAATTAAATTAAATTTTTTTAAAAAACATTCATATATTTATTTTATAAATAATCCAAATTAATATATTTTATAGTTAGAGAAGGCATAAAAGCTAATTGAATACCTGTAAGTTTAGTCAAAATAAAATGTTAGTGACAAAGAAATACAAAAAAGATATTTTGAGATCATTTTAAATAAGAAATAAGACCAACAAGCACAATCTGGTAAAAAAATGGTGATACAATAAGCCGCTTATAACATTAGCAATATTGGAGGCGGAGGTAGCTATTAGAACAGGAACAAGAAACTTTTTGGTGACGAAGATGATGATGATGATGATGATAATTGTAGCAACAGCTTGGTGAGTGAAGAAAATGAATAATATTAATGTGGTGAGGCTGGAAGTGATGAAGATTTTGAATGTTACTAATAAAATAATGATTGTGAAGAAGAAATGTTTGAACAACAAAGATAGTTTATGCCTAAAATGGCTTCTAAAGCTAAATAAAATTATAAATTTAATCCTATTACTTCAAGCTATAAATAATAAAGATAACTATTTTAATAGTGTAATCAAGCATTAAAGAAGACAGGCTAATATTGTGAAAGACATTATTTGAATTAAAAAGATGATCACTTTTATGGTAAGGAATTAATGAGTGCAAACAGCTTCTGGCTTGAATTCGCACATAATATATTAGAAACATCATCAATATCTAATTTCCTTTCTTGCAAGTTCCTTGAATGTAACAAAAGCCATACTGAGATGGTACTTGTTTTATCGATTTTGAATCTTCCATTCAACTCACCTAATCATAACTAATATTCAGCTCAAGGAAAAGATTAAGTTATTTAAGCTGCTGATAACTTCTTATTATTTACTAAAGAAATTAAAGAAACTTCATCTTAATTAAAGAGCACTATCATGATCAATTAACGTTTCTTTGATCCAAATGATAAGTATGAAATCTAAGGAGAAGAAAAGTTTGAAAAGGATGCATAGGAGTTTATAATTAATTACATTTATGGGTGCTAGGTCATTGTTACTAATTGCACTGGTGGACAATAAGAGATTTAAGTTTTAACTGAAGTAAAAAAAACTTATTTTTATTAAAAATTTTTTTTCTTATTTATTGAATTACTTAAAAGGTTCCTGAAGGCTCAGTTCCTGTTCACACTATTGAGTATACTAAATCGTATACTTAAAAACTAGATTCTTATAGCACTAAAATATTTGAATTTTATTTTTATTTCCCTGCTATTGGCAACTACTCTATTTATCCTGCTAATGTCTCTAAGAATGGATAGGTGCTTTGTGTAGCTAAAGATTCTTAATTCTAAGTAAATAAAGAGCTTGCTTAAATAAAACTTAATACCCTTGACTAGGTGTTATCTTAAGGTACTAAGGAAGATATTTTGAAATTCCTCAAAGAAAAAGATTGGTAGGACACAAACAAATAATCAAATTTCAATTCTACATTCATGTCCATCGTTTCAATGTGTACAGACAAAGAGTTTTTCATAAAGTTATTGCAAATTTTGAGATAGAAAAACTTTTTCCATTTCGACATTTGGAAATACAGTTTGCTTCATTTAGATCATGCTTCTCTAATTGAGTTTGTAAATTCCAGTTCTGTAAGATAAAAAGTTTAAAAGTATGTGTCTCATTTAAGTTGCACTCTTATCAAGTCCTCTCTAAACATTGGAGAGTGGAATAGAATATATGAATATTATCCTCTTATAAATTCTCGTGTTCATTTACTTAAAAGAGATAGTGCTAACATTCTTAATTCCTAATTCCGTCGCACATATTGCCACTTCTTAAGGTAATAAATTAATTATTTCTAAAACATAAATATAAAAATTAATTATCAAATAATTTATTTATAGGTATGTAGTTGAAAAAGGATTAAATAACATGAGCTCTATTGATCGTTTAGTATTTACTTACTATTTACTTTTATAAGACAGAATAGAAATAGCTATTGAGCAATTTGATAAAATAAATGAGAGTGATATTACCACTAAGCAAGGATCTATTTAATACGATTATATCAAGGCTTACTTAGATTTTTACAAAGGATATCCTAACTTTAAAGTTGCTAGAGAAATAATTGAAAAATACTTAGACTATCCTATTATTTCATGGCGTAATCTTTTTTATGATATGGCTAATTAGATAGCCGAGTATGATGGAGAAGACATGATAGGAGAAGAACTTGTAAATTTTATTGATAAAAAACTGTTTAATTTATTATTTAAAATTAATTATTAGCTCAATCTCAACATAAGCGGAGATTCATAGCTTAAGAAAGAAGATAAAGTTTAAAATGAAAAGCAATAAGTTTTATCTCTTCGCTTCGATGATAAAAAGATCATTGTTGAACATAAGGTATATTTTTATATGAAATAAATCAAACTAATTTAAATTTAATTAACTTTTTTAATTAGAACATACCTAAGGAGCTCACTTTGACTTACTATAAAATTGATTTAGAAGTATTCTTCTCAAAGAAACCTTTCCTCTCCAATATATCTGAAGATTTCAGCTACTTATAACCTTCATTTACATAAATAATTGCATTGAATGATGAAGATAAAAATCAAAGCACACCTACTGTTTCTAAATTTGACGTTCCAGAATAGATTTAAGGCTCCAATGTTTACATTTAGGCAATCAGTGGTCCTTTCTTAAAAGCAGGAGTAACTTATTTCTCTACTCAGCTTAAGGTATCTCTTTACTCAGATGATGCTTATTTAAAGATTACAGACTAGAGTAATTCTCTCCTTTCTAAAATCTATGTCAAGGTATTCTCTAAAAATAAATCTGGCAAAATCGATTTTATTAAGGATGGCTACACAGATTTAAGAGGTAGATTTGAATATTTACTTAGCAGTTCTGTAAACATTAATGACATAGATAAGCTGTCTCTGTTTATCATGAGTGATGATCATGGTTCTCTTATCCTTGAAGCTAAACCTCCTAAAAGAATAGGATAGTATACTGAAACTGTTTAACTTAAATCTAGAAACTGGGCACAGAAATACGAAACCAAACTTAAAAACAAAAAATGATAATTAATAATAAATTTTTTTATATATTGTGTTGAATGTGCTTTCATATTTGGATCTATTTATCTTGTTAAATTTTAATGAATTTTTTGCTTGATTAAATAATTAATATATTAATATCTACAAGTTTTATCATTGATATAAATAGGTCTTGACCTTTTGATTTTATAAAAAATTGAGGTAATTAATCAACTAAGAGATATTTTATAGATTAGTAAAAAAATAAAATTTTGATAGAAAAAGTAGAATCAATAAAGCTAACTTATCATTTTTTAGAATAAAGCTTATAAAAATTGAATGAAAATAATAATTTTTTTACTTATAGCTATTTTATTTAGTATAAATAGAGCTTAACAGTACACTGTTGATATTAATTAAGCATATGTAGATTGTATTACAGGATGTTTAGTTTAAGAATAAACATGTAATAATTTGGCAGATTGCTCATCATAAAAAGCATAGTATCAAAAATGTTCTTTAAGTAATAGAAACTATTGCCTTATTAGTACTCCATACCAATGCAATAAGGTTTGCGTTACATTTACTCCTACAGCTGAATTTTAAAGTTATTTACAATGTAGACTTAGATGTTACTTACAAAACTTGTCAATATCAATATTATGGATAATTATGATTAACTTAGTTATATAAAATTTATGAAATAAAGACCTAAAGGCAGTTAAATTTAAGTTTATAAAATAATTGATTTCAAAAAGATTTAATTTGAATTAGATAATTAGAATTAATCATTATAATTAATATTTTAAAAATAAAAGTACAAACTATGTTAAAATTTTTTGTTTTAATGTTTGTTTCATTAAGAAAGAAATAAAGAAAGATAGTTAATCCTAGCTTTCAAAAATACTTTACTTATTTATTTATTAATACCTCTATTAATTAAAGATTATAAGATATTATATTAATTAATTAATGTTATCAATTCATTTAAACTAAATGATAAATTTATATTAAATACATCAAAATTTGTAATACATCTAAAAAATCAATCATATAAGTATACAAGCAAGCAAGCAAACATTTAAATTAACAAATATACTAAATTATTAAAAAATCTTAGAATATAGATAATCATGGACATGAAAAATATGAATATTGAAAGTAAAAATAAAAAGCTAATAATAAATCTCCCTCAGTAGCAAATTGTGATAGATTAAAATGGAGTCTAATGTAGTTCTCTTAAAAATTAGCAAGAATAACAGCAAATTCATCATGTGTCTTAAAAAAACATTTAGGATAATTAAAATAATAGTAATTAAAAAATGATGAATAATTTTTATCATATACAAACAAATAATAATCATAAACATAATGTTGATTAAGAAAATAACTCAAGATAGATTCATAATTATACTACTAAATTGAAGTAGAACAGTGCTAATTAAAATATTATTTAAAAAGAAACTATTATAAATGAATCAAATTAACAGTAAAATGGTTATTATTAAAAAAGAGAATGCAATTAAAATTAATAAACCTAAAGCAATAACTAACTATTTATTTAGAATGGATAGGTTAGAATCAAAGAATAAAATTAGTAAAGTGTAATAAAGCAATAAGATATAATATTGTAAATACATAATGACGAGGAAGAATTGTATAAAAAGTCATCTAATCCTGTTTTTTCTAGATCTAGTAATATCTAATAAAATAACATAGGTTAAAAAAAAGATATTACTCCATAATAAAATGTTATCAAAACAAGTAAAAATCACATATAAACTAATAAATCAGGTAAAATTTATTTTAATTTGAATCAATTTCAAATAAAAATATTTTTTTTAATTAGTTGAAAAGCAATAATAGATTATCTTTTAAAATCAATAATAACAAGATTAACTGTAATTAAACAGTTAAAAAACATCTAAAAACGAGATATTAAAGCTGGCAAGAGGAATAGTTTAAAAGGCGCTAATTTAATAAAATGAAATCAATGAAAATCCTAAATAAACATATAAGTTGAATTAACATGATTAAAATGATATTTATTGTAATAACTAAGGTTTATCCTAAGAAAATTTAGGATCTAAAAAGTAATATTTTGATGAAAAAAAATAGCCATAAAAAGAAAATATCTATTAAAAATAAAATAAAAACCTATAAACCTAAGCATAATTTTAAAATTAGTAATTTTAATGGTCTGATGATTAAGAAGAATCAAAATAAATTGATTTTCCTAATTAAAATATTTAAGGTTCTAAGAGTACAACTGATAGTTAGATGTATTAAAATAATTAATCTTTGTATTCATACTTGAGAAAAAGAGAAAATGATAATAATATGGATATAAATTATCAGTAATTCGATAAGAATTAAATCTAAGGTTACAAAAAGGATTTTAATATTTAAAGAGAAAACAGTTAGTTAAGTTATTAATTAACAGAAGAAAATAAAAATTACAACAGAGATTATTTTGAAGAAGAAGAACAAGAGGAAGATGATAATTTTGAAGAAGAGGCTTTGGAGGGAAAAGAAGATTATGTTAAATAAAATTAATTGTATGAATATTATAGTGATGAAGATTCAAATAAAATTGTTAATGAATAGTTAAATCGCAATGCTAATCATAATTAACTAAATTTTAAATGTAATTTAGGAAAAAATTACTCTTACAATATTGTTCTTGATAAAGGATCTTTGATGCAGAGTGAAGGTTTTTGCTAAGATGAAGATTTAAATGAAGAAATGAATAATGAAGAAAATGAATATGTTGAAGATTAAAGTGACAATGATAATGAAATTTTAGATGAGGAAGATATAGAATAAGAAGAAAAATAAATATAGGAGGACGAAAATTCATATGAAGAAAGTGATGAAAGCAATGATTATTATGAAAATGACTAAAATGATGAAATGTTTTATGGTATGAATATTCCACCAATACCTCCATTACCAGATGATTTAGAATTCGCATATAACATGTAAGAATAATAAATTTATGAAGAATATGAACCTAATGATTAATCTTTTAGTGAAAACTATGGCTTAACAAAAGCAGAAATAATGTCTCTGCCAACTATAGTCTATACAACTCAAAGTTTAAGAACAAAAACAGTTAAATAGTTTTCGTCTCAACAAGATTGCTCAATTTGTTTAAATAACTATCAAGATAAAGAAATATTGAGAGTTTTACCATGTGAGCATAGATTTCATAGAGCTTGCATAGATAAATGGTTATTACAAAATTCTAAATGTGTAATCTGTAAATTTGATTTATTATCTAATTAAAACTAAGATTCATGAAAAACCTTTAAATAATTGATTAAAATGTTTAAATTTATATTAAAATAAAAATAATTTAACCAAATTTAATAAAAATAAATTTATAATTTATAAAATTGTACAAATAAAATATCTCTAATTTAGTTAAATATTAGCCAACATACTTTCAAATTTTCTTAGCAACTTATTCTGATTTACTGGTGCTTGTAGAAAGAATATATTTTAATATTTTTAAAATAATTTTTAATTAATTATTCTAATGATTTATTTAGCAAATTTTATACTTTGTTTATGAAAATTATTAATGTGTAATTCAGATTTGAAATATATTTAAATAAATCTGTAAAGCTTAATAAAGAAATAAAATAACTAAATGAAAATTTAACAAAAATAATATATCTATAAAGCTCAAAAATTATTCTAATTGTAATTTAATTTTGCCCATTTATTTTTTAAAATAATTCTCCTAAATTAAAAAAAATATTTTTATTAATTAAAATTGTTTTCAAAAATATTAATTTTATTGATAATTTTTAAATTCATTTCTTAAAAATTTTAAACTATTATTCAGTCAAGTTAATTATTTACTTTATACAAAGTTAAAAATAAAAATATTCTTTTTATCAAATATCCAAAAAAAATTAAAATACATTTTTTAGTAATTAAAATATTATTATTATTATTTAATAGGAGTAAAAATATTATTTCAAAAAATGTAATTAAATTTGACTGATTGCTCTATTTACATGCATAAATAAAAAGAAATAAATTATACACAAAGACTTCTACTTTTTAATTATATATGTAAGTTATCATTTTTTATGTTTTTTAAGATGTTTCATGTGCTTACGTGCGCGCTGTAATCTTTTATTTTTATCTGAATTTTTGGCTATTTTCTATTTAACTGATTGTATTTATCCGAATTTCTTCTTTGTGAATTGTACTTGCTTATCTAATTCTAAAAGCTCCTAAGCTAAATTTGCTTTTCTTTAACCTCTAGGAATCTTAGAAACAGCAAAGCCATCATCTTTACCATCTATCATTGTAGCTATCTAGAAGAATTTAGGTATTTTTTTCATATCGGTAGTTCTAAAGTGCTATTTAGGATTAAGGTAGTCCTTCAATTTAAGTAAAACAAGTTAATTCTTTTCGTCTTAGCTCAATTATGTCTTTTTAGATAAACCATACCATTTATCCAACACATTTCCCTTTTCTTCAAGTCTTTTTTTCTTTTCAGCATTAGTTTCTTTAATAGGAGCTATCTTTTCAAGTTTTTCCCCTCCATCTAAATTTTTAAAGCTATAATTTTATTCAAAGAAGTCGTTAGCTTACTTCTCATTTTCTTCTTCAAAGTTAGTTCTTATAACAAACCCACTTCCATCATCATCAATTATGTATTTATTATAACCTGTAAAATATATTTATTTAAATATTTAATTCGACTTTTAATGCTTAAAAAGCAAATTTTAAGTTACCTAAAATACTTTCTATCTTATCACTTTTTACTGACTTCACCATTTTACTTACGCTTTGCTAAACTAACTTGATTAAAATATTATTTTCTAATTCAAAGTATACAATTATAAAGCTTTTTATATTTAAACTCAAATTAATTTACTTCTATTAATTATAGATACTAACAAAACAACATATATTAATTAATTAATAAAATCAAATCTCATTTATACATTAATTCATTCATTCTTTTTTGTTAAAAAAAATAATTAATGATATCCAATAACTAAAAATATTCATTTTGAGCATGTTTTTAATATCTATTAAATCCTAAAATGTATTAATCAATTCTCATTAAATCTAAATATAAATTGTTTAAAAATAATACATTTTTTTTATACGTTAAAAAAAATGTCTTTAAATTATTTTCAAAAGTTGGAAAAAAATAAGCAATAATTAAAAGTTTAAAATAAATATTTAAAAGATTTCTTGAAAATTTTTCTTCTGTATTTCAATTTATAAAAAATAAAATATTTTTTATTAAAAGTTTTTAATAAATATTTAAAAAGCGTTTGGTTGATTTTATGATTTTTAGTTGTTAAAAATACATCAACTTTTATTAAATTATTTATATTTATCTATTATCTTTATCAAAATAACATTTTTAGGGATTAATAATAACCAATAAATAATTAGCAATAAGAAAAATATAATTTGTTAAAATAAATTATTGCTTAAGGATTTTAGGTTTTTAAAAGAATTTAATAAACTTTTAATTTTTCAGGCACACCATAATAATATAATTAACATAATATAATTATCTATTTAAATAAGAGTATGTCATCAGCTTCTTCAAATAATTCTGATAACGAAAGTGAAGGTAAAAAGTTAAATCCAACTTGTATTTAATTTTTAGTTTAAATCTACTTAAGAATAACTTTATTTTTGAATAAAATGAGGATCTTCATAATAAAATTCTTCATCTTAGAGCGGGTCAAGCAGCTAGCAAAGTAGCAGTTAGTCTAAATCATAAGCCTCTTCAAGGTCATCTATCCCTTCATAAATATTAAAAGGACTTGATTTTGATAGTTAAACAATTAGATTAAGTTAAATAGGGAGGGATGTAGAAAATATTGCTAAGGAAAATAATCAATTTTGCAATTAATTGAATCGTTAAGTATTTTTTTAAAGTGGATATAATTTTGGATAAGGTATTTAATATGATAAATTTGGAATCAAATCTTTATATTAGAATTAAACAAATCCTGTCGAAAATAGAGGAAATTTTAATACTTATGGAAAATATAGATTTGAAGAGGCTTAAAAAAATTAAATATCACCTAACAAATCTATCATAAAATAAAGTACTAACATCTTAGATTAAACAGAGCTAAAATTTGAGGATAAAAAATGTCCACAATGCCTTGATAGATCTATTTAAGCAAATTTAAGTAGAGCTCCAACTACGAGAAGCATATAAGATTCTATTTAGAAAAAGAATTCAATTGAAATAAGAATACCACCTATAAATATTTAAGAGAACTCACCTGTAAAAAGCTAGATAAATAATAAAAGTTAGAAGGCTTATGATCCAAATATAACAAACTAAAGTCGCTTCTAAGTAGGAAAAGAAACACAGTAAATTATAAATAATTATTATAAATAAATTCAAGATAAAAGAAAAGTCATGAATAACTCAAAATAGTAGATATCAAACTTGTACAAGCATTAGATTGAAAGAAATGGTATTAATTATTAAAATTTTTTTTAAGTATTCAAAATCTTTTTTTTTAGTTTATGATGAGTATGAAGTAAAAAAATCTAGGGCTGTTTCGCTTTATTAAGATGACAATGACAGTATATTTATTTTATACTGCTTATTTAATTTAAAGTGTTTTATTTAAAAAAGAATTCTCAAGACAAAGATCCTCAACATATTATCATAATTAAAACAAATCTAGAATAGATTCAAGAAGCATAGATATAGCAATCAAGACCTTGCTTAATAAATGAATAAAAACCTATCAAAAAAATAATTGAGTTATTAGTTATTATATATATTAATTATATTATTACTAACTAGTTAAATCGAGTTTAGCTTATTAATTCAACCTAAAACTATTTCTAGAAAAACAAAGTTAATTTTATATTTTAGCTCTCAATTATTTTATTAAAGTAAGAATATGATATCATCTAAAGTCATTTTATTTTTAAGATTCTCAATTGTTTAATAAATAAAGAAATCATATTTATGAATTTATAGACTAAATTCAAACAAAGCAAAAAATATAAATAATAAGAATATATTGATTATTGATTAAGTGATTTTAAGTTAGAAATATGATTGTAAATAAAAATAATTGATAATTATTTGTTTTGAACTAAATCAAATAATAATATCTTTTATTAATTTAAAATTTATTTTAATTAAAGAATAAATAAATAAATTATTTAGAACATTAAAAAAAAAATTCACTAAAAAACAAGTATATTATTCTAATTATTAATTAGGATTAGAATTAATTACCTATTTGCTATTTTTGTTTATTTTTTTTTAATATTTTTTTACATTTTAATTATTAAATTATTTTTTTTAAATTATATTTTTAAAAATTAATTTATGTTGGAAATAATTTTGGTTGAATGTAACTCAAACTTACGTTTACAAAAAAACATATCTTAAATTGAAAAAAAAGCAAAAAATAGCTGTTAATAAAATTAATATTTATAAATTATTAAATTTAAGAAAGCAACACGCATATTTATTGAATAGATATTGATATAAAATATATTTTAAAATAATAAGATTAAATGCAATATTCTTCATAGTTCAAGAATATTCATACTACTTAAATTAATCACACCTTTACTCCTATGTAGCTCCTATGCATATATGACTATAAATCAGGTATTTATTAGGGGGAATATTATAAGAATCATAGATAAGGAAAAGGAGTTTTTTATTGGTATAGTGGTCAAATTTATATAGGAGAATGGCTCAACGATAGTATTTAAGGTTAGGGAACTCTTTATTTTCCCTATGGAGGAAATTTTGTAGGATTTTTTAATAATAATAAGGTAATAAATATAAGATTTAACATTTTTATTTTAATTAAATTACTATTTTATTAAATTTAATAGGCTGAGGGTGCTGGTATACTTACACTTCTTGATGGATCAAGAATTGCAGGATTTTGGAAATAAGGGAGAATAGATGGAAATTTTGTTAGATATGACTCTGAATCTGATGAGTGGATTCTATTAAATAGCAGAAATTATTACAATATAAATAAATAAAGTAGTAATTATAGTTATGCAGTGAGTCTTTAATAAATTTAAAACTCTCAATATTAGAAGCAAGTTAGTTAAATATATGAAAATGTTAAACAAAAGATAGATACTCCCTATTACAAACAAATGACGGAAAGATTGGAAGGACATAATCTTCAAACAAGCGCTTCTTTTTCTCAAATCAACTTTCAATAAAATCAAACTATTAACTAAACAACATAAAATATTAATTTCTTCAATTAAGTTTCTTTAACAGAAGTTGACAAATTTAAAATCAAATTGCAATAACTAGACAATGAAATTTTTTATCATGGAATAGTAAGAGGTTCTCGTCCTGATGGAATGGGGATTATGTTTAGTATGAATGGGAGATTTTCTGTTAGAGGTAAATTTGCAAACACCAAATTAAATGGTCCTGGGAGAGTGGAGCTAGAAAATGGAGAAATTTATGATGGTATCTTTAGAAATGGTATCATTAGTTCTGGATTTTACTATAATGCAAAGTTTAACAGCTACATATCAGGAACTTTTAGAGGAGAAGGAGATGTTAAACTTGAGATTAAAGGAAAAGGGTACCCTTATAAGTTAACTTTAGAAAATAAGGTAAAAGCATATCCATGCATGATGATTTATAAAAATACAAGTGAGGAATTAATATTTTTAGTCTAAAATGATATTAAACTTCTAAAAATGCTTGACATTTCCAAATATATTTTTTCGGCCAATGATAACTCTAATTAAAATACAGATTAAAAAATTAACTCAGCTAATACCTTTGGTTTTGATAATACAGTAGAGGATTCACGTGATGGGTCTATGGGGTATTCTTAAACTAAACAGGATTATCTTATAGAAAATAATGAATACAATGAAAATATGTTATCATAATTTAATTAAAAAAAGAAAAATAATTAGTCTTTACATTAAAATTTTGATGATGCTTTTGAAGAATTTTTAGTTGGTTAGCAACTTGAACCAGCGTAAAGTAGGCAGATAAGCTAAGAGTATTATAGTAGGTAGTTTGAAAAGGAGTAAGAAAGCGAAAAGATTTTAAATATGGAAGAAAGTAAATAGAGTGTTTATAAATAAAAAGTTGAAATAAGCAATTCAAATTTTTCTTCTAGCTAACATGACAAGGAATATTTTAAGAAGATTCTGCTGCATAAAATTAACGTTGAAGGTATTAAAGAATTATGTTATGAAGATTTATAGAGATTGAATCAAATCTCAGAAGATATAGACAAAGAAAACTTATCCTTTAGAGATTTTAAAGAATTAAAGAGCCCAACCCAAAGTAAATAAAATTTGTCACTTAATTTTTATAATAAAATTTTTTCTTAACGATTAAAAGCGATCGAATAAAATGCAGAATACTATTTAAACAAAGCCAGATTTTTGAAGCTTAAATTAAAGCTGAAAGAAGAAACTTAAAATTAATTTGATGAAAATAAGTCATAAAGACAAAATTCCTTTAGCCACATTTCATCCTAATAAGCTACAAATTTAAAGAATTATAAAAAAGGAGAAGAAGATGAAATTGGCTTATCTCCAGAATTCTTTTAAACAAATGACAATGAAAGTATCAAAAAATATTCTGTAGCTGTCCCAAACTAAAGAAACTAAGATTCAAAGCATGTAGACTAATAGGGAAAAAGTTAAAATAAAGGTAAAAACTATCAGCTAAAAATGGATAACTATTTAAATGTTTCTTCAGAATTTAAAAATAATTAAAATTAAATGAATTAAAATAAGTAAAGTAGAAATTCTTTGCTTCAAATTTAAAACGATATCTTAAATCAAAGAAAAAATAGCTTCAAAAAAAATTATAAGGATATATAAATTAATATTCAAAATGCCAGTTTTGAAAATTCACCAAATTAACAAAACAGCCAACAAAATGATTCGAATACTTAATATTCCAGAGATTAGATAGGATTTAATGGTTAGGAAGAGTATAATGGTGAAAATTATTATTACCAAAATAAATACTGAGTACAGTGTAAAAATTAATTTAGTAAAAAGCAAAAATTGAAATTTAATTAATTAAATTGTATATTCATGAATTATTTGTTAGAATTTTATATGTAAATCAATCATTTGCTGATTATAAAAATAATTAAAAATATCAATACAATTCTTTTAATTTTTAAATTAAAATTATAACATTTTAAATTATTTGAAAAAAATCTATTGCAAATTAGATAAACATGAATGTGTCTAGATTTTTTAGAATAAAGAATCTTTAGATGATTTAGAAATAATGCAATATTTTAGATGCATTTAATTTATAAATTAATTAAGAAATATTAAAAATAAAAATTTAGATTGATAAATTATTGATTGATATTACAAATTTTTTTTGATATTTTAATAAAAAAATTTAATAAATTAAGTAAATAAATAAATATCTGAAAATGTCTAATCCAATTCCAATAGCACTAGGCGTCTTTGAAGGATAGGAAAATCTAGATTAATAAGAGTAAAATAAAGATAAAAAAGATAGTCAAAGCGAAAATAATTCTTAAAAAATTAAAGATTCAGAGGAAGTCATTATCAGTGAAGAGATTGACAGTACGAGATAGAATTTCTTAATTTAAAATAGATTGATCGCAATCACCTTCATCTTTAAATCCAAAATAAAGTTATAAAAGCATGCAGGCTAATTATAAAAAATAATTAGGCAGCAAGATTGAAGAGATTTATTTTAAGTTTTGTATTTTAAAATAAAATAAGATTACTGGTTTAAAAAACTTAAAGATTCATTCAATAATTTGAGGATTAAATATTTATTTGCAGATTTCAATCTAGCTTAAATTGCATTAAAAAAATAGTTTATCACAAAGAAAATTCTCTAATTTGAACTATTGATAGATGAATGATTGAAAGATTATAAACATATTTATATAGTTAAAACAATTAATATTAAATTTTTTATTTTTAAATTTATATATAGATGGTGGTTATTTTGATAGAACAAATTACGATGTTTATAATGTTAAAAGGGATGGCTACTTCTTTGCAGATGAAGTTAAAGTTGATGGTGAAACTATTTTCACAATTCCAATAGAGAAGCAATTAGAAGATAATGAAGACTTGCCAAAAAGAAAATCAAGATGGGGTGATAGACCTTAAAGGAGAAGAAAAGTTTAAGTAAACCATATATTTAATCCTTTGCAAGGACTAACTACTGGAAATGGTCTTTTGTCTATTACAGCAGATGGTTATAAGTATGGCTAATAATATCCTGATAAAAAAGAAGAAGAAGAGGAGAAATTTTCAAGGTATTTTTTTTAAGACCATTCTTCTTAGTATTTTAATTTTAATATTGTAAAAAGATGGGGACCTGAATACGAAAAGACTTTCCATCCTCCTCCTTTGAACTACATTCCTCAAAATATTAACGATGATGATTTAGAATACATAATCAGACTCTACAGGTTAGACGAAATATAAAATAAAATGATTAATAAAATTCAAACACTCGAAGATGATTCTGATTGTAGGTCTCCATCTCCTGACCCAATTTACAATGAATAAGGTAAAAGAATCAACACTAGAGATTACAGAGAATAAGAGTCTTTGTAGAAAGAAAAATATAATTTAATAGAAGAAGCAATGAGAATTAATCCTGCTTTTATTCCTCCTCACGATTTCAAGGTACTAAACTTTTCAATAAAATAAAAAAGATATTTAAGTTTATTTATTTAAAAATTTTAAGAAAAAAGCTTACAATAAATGCACTAAAATTAGAAAATATTATTTAAATTTTAAAACAAATTATTAAAATAATTATAAATTCAAAAATTGTTTTACAATGTTAGATTAAAATTGAAGAAAAAGTGAAAGCAATTAAAAAGATTAAAAATCTATTTATAATTTAAATAGCGAGATATTTATTACATAGACAAAACTCAAAATATTATTTTAATAATTTAATAATATATTTCTAACAAAATTTAATAATACAATGAGCTTCAATAATTTAGAATCTATCTATTATTTAATAAAGAAAGAATTGTCAAAAACAAACATATTTATTACTAAAAATTTACATTTTAACTTTCTTAATTAATATAGGTTTAGAAAAAGCAAAAGAAAATTTATCTACCAGAACAAAATGCAGAATTATTAAAACAAAAAGTAATTGGACCTAAGGGTTAAACTCACAAAAGACTTGAGTAGGAAAGTGGCTGTAAAATTAGTATTAAGGGTAAAGGCTCAGGAAACGGAATGAAGAGAGTAGAAAATGATTTCAATGATAAGCTTCATATTCTTTTGTAAGGTGATACTGATGAATAATTAGAAAAGGGTGCTACACTCGTTGATGAAATTCTTAGAGGAGAAGATAAATCTAATGAAAATACTTTTAAGGGAGGAGATCTTGTTATCATTCATGATGTCCTCAATAGAGATTTTTGTTCAAAATGCCATTAAACTGGACATAGAGATTTTGAATGTTAATCAAAGTAAAAATGTTGCAATTTATAAACATTAATTTAATGATTTCTTTTTTTAAAAAAAATAGGACCACTTTTAATAAGGTTGATGTCAAGTGTATTTATTGTGGAGATAAAGGCCATATTTCAGCTGATTGTAAATTTAAGAGAGGTAAATAATAAAAATAAAATAATATGATAAATATGAAAAAATCTTTTATCATAAATATAGAGAGATAGCAGTAAAATAGAGAGAGAGGAAATGATGTAGATATCAATACTTAATTCGAGTAATTTATAAATTAAGTTGAAGGAGATGATAGATTACTTAGTAGCTTTGGTGGCAGAGCGAACTAAAATAAGTCAATTACAAATACTAGCTTTATTACTGATGCTATAGAAATAGATCCTAATCTTCTTATGATCAAAGCAGATGATAACCTTTACAAAAATACAAAAGAACCAACATTTTCGAATGGACCTTCAGCTCCTTCTTATTCTAACGACTTCCAATAAGGAGGTTACAACAACAATTTCAATAAAAATAGAGACTATAGAAGGGAAACAAATGATTAATTTAATAAAAATAATGATAGATTTAATAGTTAGAGTGGCAGTAATAGATAATAAGACTCTTCTAGAGCACCTATACCTCCTCCTATCCTACCTCCAGGAAGTGATCATTTAGGTAGCTAAAATTTCATTTCATGTATTATTAAAAATTAACTATTTTCTAAATAATTAGCCCCACCCTCATTTATGAATTAAAATACAATGGGTCATTTTGGTGGTTTACCCATGCCTGGTATAGCTAATCCTTCAGCTATGCCACCACCTGGTATGCCAGGCAGTTTATATCCTCCTCCAATGCCTCCAGGTGGTTATCCTATGTTTAATCCATATGCCCCACCAGGTTTTGGAGGTCTTCCTCCTCCTATGTTCCCCCCACACCCTCACTTAAATGTTCCATACGGATATAATCCCTTATATCCATAAGGATATAATTAATAAAATTAACCACACAAATGAAGAAACTAATTGATTTAAGTTTTGATATTTATTTACATAAATATATATATTTATAAGAATATCTATGTATAAACTAACAAATAAAGCATTATCCTTAATTATTTATTTATTTAAAAAGCATCAGCTTTATTATTATTTTTATTGCTTATTTTAATCTTCTTCATTTTTTGAATTTGTGATAATTGTTTCAATTAGATTTTTAAAGTAATCATATTTTTTATATTTTGTATCTTCATAAGCGTTAATAGTGATGTCATCCTAAAATTCTGTCCTCCATAATAATTCACAAGTATTTAATGCATTTTGATTATCTGGCTAAGAAATTTAAAATATATTTCTAAATTTTTTGCAGCTGAATTAAGGCTATGTTTAAATAACATCATACACAATAGTTTACTTTATGCTTGATATTTCAACTAATTAAACTGTCCATTTAGCTCCATCTTTATAAGTGATTTATAATTTACTATCTATTTATCCTAAACTACCCTCAATTACTTATATTTCCTAGACATATTATGGGAAAAGTTTTTAGAGTTATAAATTTTTAATATCTTTCCATAGGTCTTCTTTGCTTAATGGGATTTCTTCTGATTGCACTTCATGGAAACTATTTCCTTCATGAAAAGGCTCTCTGCAATAAGGGCATTTAGGAGTTATTTCTAAATCAAAAGATATTATATCTATAGGATCTAAATAAAGGAGGATACGCCTTTAAAAAAAGAGTTAGAATGGTAGTTGAAAAATAAAATTATAAATGTTACTTTGATTTTTTCTGCCCAGATGGAAATAGCTCATTCAAGACAAATGTGTTAATAAAGTTTGCACACATTTAACAAATAACTATGTTTGATTATCCTTCAGGGTTATCGTTTTTGGGTAAAAATTCCAAAGATTTGTATTCGAGGATAAGAGAAGGATTTAATTTTTCAATAAACTCCTTTTTTAAACCATCAGTTAAACAAAGAAGGCATGGTCTACCATCAGAAGTAAAATAATCAACAGATAACGAGTTGCAAAAAGTACCTCCTTAAAACATAGGGAGAGAAAGTTTTATACATAGACTACATACTGCTAAATCAAAATAATCACCATAATCTATTAAGTTAAAAACTAAATTTGACTACTTAGCTAAAGCTACAATTTATTCCCACTATGTTACAGCATTAATATTATGTGTTTCTATTTCTGTATTACTTATATTATGGAACTATAAATTCTACTTTGCACTCTCAACTTTTGATTTACCAATGTCATTTCTAAATAAATAGATAAATTATAAGTATTTTCTAAATCAAAAACTTTGATTACATAGTAAACATAATTTAGCGATTCAAATTATGATAGTCAACAACATCATAATCAACTAAAATAAGTTTTTTAATGCCAAGTCTCATTAATTGAATTGAAACACAACTACCTAAACCACCTGCTCCAAGAACTAATGCAGTCTTTTATTTTTATCATAGAAAAATCAATAAATAACTAATTAATTAATAATTATAAATCCTTACTGTATTGGACACAATTTCTTAATTCCATCCTGGAATGGTTTTTTATCTTTTAAAGTAATCATTTTTACTTTAGCTATTATCCTATATTTTATTGCTTTCTATATCCATAATTTGTTAACACTTTTTTTTTCTGTATTTTCTATTTAAATATGCCTTTTTTTATTAAAAATAATTAAATTACAAACTTTTTAGATACAATTTTGAGTACTTAAAGTAAATGCATGTAAATAATATCAGATTCTATTCAATACTGACACAGATTCTAATACAATATAGGTATACCATCTATTTTATAACTAAGTTAATTTTTAACTAAGTGTCTATAAGATTTGACTTAATTTCTTATTTCTGTAAAAATTACTCTATTCAAATTGCAAATAAAAAAATAATTTTTTTAAAAATATTTTCTAAAAGAATTATAAAAGTTTAATTTGAACATATTTAATTTATGTATTTTTTATTTTAATTTCGATGATAAATATCAATTAAAAAATACAAAATAAATCACTAAAATATTTACCAAATAGTAAATAAGTAGTGGTCTATTTTAAACTATCATTTGAAAGTATTTTAAAGTCATAAATTATATTGTTTAAGATATTTTAATTTATAAAATTTAAGAAAAACTATTAAAGCAAAGCTAACATAATTAAAAGTAAGAAAAATATTAAAGTTTTTACAAATAACAAACAAGTAATAATTTATTAATTTCAAAAAAGAAAAAAAATTAATATTATTAAGTTTTTCTATTAAGCCTTTTAGGTTAAACAGCTATAAACGTTTATGAAGAAATAAACTGAAGATCAACCAATAAAACTAAATTCTTAGTTATTTATAAAAACAGACTTTCTCGACATTAAAAATGAAAAAAATACTAAAAGCGAAAGAAAAAGCTTTAGAATACCTGAAAAAGTTAAAATGGAATACAAAACATAGAAAAGTTTATAAAGCAATAATCCTACTTTCTACTAAACAAATATTAATGATGAGACTTTAAAAGATGGTGGAATAATTGAACCAAATTCATCAGTCAGCCATGAATAATTTTTAGTTTTTTAGCCCTAAAGTTTAAATGTTCTACCATAAGCCTCATTTACATAAATTAACGACTCTGCCAATAAACTGAAATACCCTTTTTAAATGAGATTAAGCAGAGATGAGGGAGAAAGAATTTCTGATATAATTATAGAAGGACTGGAAAAAGAAATCAAAGTAATATTTTAGGTAGGTGGACCAATACAAGAAGGAGGAAAGGGATAAATTAAATAAAATGGAATTGAATAATAAAATTTTAAATAATAGCAATAAAATTAAAATTAAAAGTTAAATGAAAAGTAGTAATAGGATTTAATGTCACGCAGTCTATATGTTGTTAAAAACTAACCATTAAACTTATTATCAACTGCATAATCTGATGGATCCAGAAGCAGCGGGTAATAATTGAGAAATATAAACGAATAATAGATAATTCCAGCAACTACAAGAATTTAAAATTAGCAAAGCATAAATATTTCAAAATTTGATGAAGGTATTCAAATTAACTCATAAGATTAATTTACATAAAAGTAAAATACATTATTATAAAATGAGCATTACTCTTTTGAAGAAAGTGATTTATAAGCGCTATTTGGCAATTTGAGGAGTAGAGAGAGTATTTTGAGACAGCATGATTTTTTACGTAACTGTAATGTATTTAGCTTTATTTCTAAAAATTAATTTAATTTATCCAAAATTAACGGTGATAAAAACTAATAAATGAAGAGAGAAGAAGAGGATTTTATGGGGTTTTTAAAAAATAGATTAAAAATAAGTCTGTTTTTGGTCAGCTTGTTCAAATAAAGGATTGGAAAAATTTAGCATTAGGCTCTCTTCTTCTATAATTATGAATAAATGAATGATTACCTAACTAAGCTTTGTTATATACAAAAGTACGATATCGAAACTAAATCTTTATTTGAAGCCTTTCTTTAGTTTTTATGGCACTTTAACAGTACAAATACATCATATTCATCACAAGATTAATTTTGTTAAATGCAAACAAGCTTTTAAAGATACAGTTCTATATACGATCACTTTAAATTATTTATTTATGGGATCAAATTACCGTTGCCTAGGATTGAAAATTATACTGCTCATAGGGCTGCTTTTGATTAAAATCTCCCTCTCTTAAGAAAAATACTATTGTTGAATAATAAACTGAAAATTAGTAAGCCAAACGATTAAAATAATTTAGACTAAAATGTTCAAATGAAAAATAAAGATTTATTTAATGAAGAAAACTATTTAAATATCTAATAAGTAGACTTATTAGGCTTAAATCCCCTTCAATTAGCTATATAAATGGATTTGAGGGAGTCAGTTATAGTTTGCTGTGAAAATGGATCTGATACCAGATAAAAAGTATTCCCAAGCATGTTAAATGCTATGGAAATGGCTATAGCAAAAAAAAATGAATCAATTGTAAAATAAATACTTTTTGCTTAGTAAAAAGATAAATAAAATTAATGGGAATCTAAACTTAAACAAATGTTATAACAAACTTTAGAAACAATACCTGACTTTTCTTGTAGAATGAAGTGGGAACAAGAAAGCTCTTTTTTATTACCTTTCATTAAAAAATGGACACCTTAAGATACTTATAAAATATTTAAAAGGGGTAAATCTGTTAGGATCGATATGGGACTATCAAATTTAGAATAGAGCAGCAGTGATTTATAAAATACATCTTCAAAAAGCGATAATAAAGAAAGTTAAGATGAACTCAAAGACTCTTTCGTTAGAAATAGTTCCACAAACTCTAATGTTAACTAACTTATAAATTAAAAAATTTTACAATAAAAAAGCAAAAATGTTTCTAATTCATAGAATATGCAAAATGTTTTTAAAAATAAAATTACTTAAACTTTTGAAAAGCAATCAAATGATGAATAAAAAGAAAGCAAAAGCAATAATAAAGAGACTAATGAAAAAGAAAAATGGAACAAAGGTGCCTGGAGTATTTTATTAAAGGAAAATGGAGACTTGCTCATTATTGACCATAATAGATTAACGATAAAAAATGTTTTTTAGGATATTTCAGTGCAAAAAGTAGAAAACAAATCCGATGACCTAATTTAAACTAAAAAAGAAATAAAACCTTGGCAAATTAAGGATTTAGATGTAAGCAGAAGTAAGAACTGAAGGGGTGACTATGTCTCTGACACTATATAACAAACAAAGGCAAATAAATACTAATTAAAAGCAAACTTAATTTAAGAATAAGTAAGCTATTCATCTGTTGAATCCTTCCTTAAGAATATTCCATTCAAATAATTTAACACTTTTGATGATTATTATAATTACTCTGTTAAGCATTCAATTGTGCCAATAGATTATTCCAATAAATCAAGATCTGTAATAGATTAATTTATAGACATTTGCTCAAAAAATCCATAACTCAACAGCATATAAATTTAATCAAAAAACACATCGACAACTCAAATAGTCAATACAAAAACAATAAACACTGATGTTTGGCTAACAGAAGATACGAAGATAAAGATAAAACATCTAATACCAATTTTTTAACTAATTGGTGCTACAACTTCAAATTTTTAAAACTTGTCAAATATATTATCACTCATAGAAAAGTCTCACAGCAATTATTTTCCTATTAAAATTGTTATTCCACTTTTTTTTACATTTAATGTAACTGTCGAATTTTAGTAATTCGATTTTGTTCCTCCAACCCATCACCTCTTCAGTTTAGACGAATAAATAAAAAAAAGAATTCATTCTCAACATAATAAGCACATTAGCAGTAGTTAGCTAACTGGCAATCCAATTAATTTATATTCTTCAGAGCAATAAAAAACACTCAATAAACTTTACTCAACAATCAATAAATATAAACCCAATAGTAAATTGTTTATTTGCTAATGCATTTTAATTTATTAATAATCAAATTTATTTTTTATTAAGATAAAAACTTAGAACATCATGATTATGACTACGAAGAAGAAGATCAATCTATCCTCGATCAAGCGAGTTTATAATTTAGAAATATTTTAGAATAGAAGAAAGATAGGAGTGAAGATAACGAAGATTTATTTGATGTATTTCAAGATAACAACAATATTAGTAACCTCAATAATAATATTAGCATTCACAGCAACAACAATTCAAACTTACAACTAATTCCTTAAAATTAAATAAATGATAAATTTATAAAAAAATAAACTTTTATAGACCAGAAAGATATGAAAGAATGAATGAAAAAACATCAATTCTAATATCCGCCTTGATATAAATTTGAAAACTTTTAAAAGTCAAAACTAAATAAATTTATTTTACAAAAAATCATTAAAACAAGAAATTAAGGAAAACTAATAAAATTTTCCCAAAAATCAACAAAAACCATTTATTATCTTCTTTAATTAATATAATTTTGAAAACTAAAATTATAAAAGCTTAATTTTCTTTATTAATAGAAGAATTAATTTAATTTTTTCCCTATAATTTAATAATCTAAAAAGTTTAAATAGCTTTAAAGATATTTAAAATTAATAATTTTCCATTTTGTAAAAATATTTGTTTTTTATTTAAAATTACTTTATATAAGTTATATTGAAACAAATGATAAAATTAAAGTTATATAATCTAATTTCTTATATTTTTAATTACTTAATTAACTAACTAAATATAAAAAAGAGATATTAAATTTATGAACAGAATATCATTTAATTAATATATGATTAACATTTTATATTTAAAAAGATTCCTAAAATATTAAATAATTAATGTTTTATTTAAATAATTTTAAAGTGCTTTTTAGCTGTTTTGAGAATAAATTATGATACATGATCTTCTTTAAAAAAGATATACACTAAAATTATATTTATATTTTGCTGTAATTAAAAATCTAATTTGTATTATAAATTAATATTTGCATAATAAAAATATATTCTTATCTTTGAATCTAAACCATTAAATAATTCTCAAAATAATTAGCTATTTCTATTAAAAAAGCAAATATTTACCTTAAAGTGCTACTTTTTATTCAATTTTTACTTAATAAAAATGCAATCTAAGCAACTGATAACAGATAAAAAACACGAAATTTAAGATATTTATAACTAGTATAAAGAATTTAATACAGATTACGTTTACTAAAAAGATTTAGAAATTGTTTTAACACAAATCAGCTAGAAATGTATTCCGTTAAATGTACAACATATTCTTTAAAATATTTAAGCCTAATAAAAAATGTAAACAACTTTAAATTTTTAAATGAAGATTAACTTTTAAATGAAAAACGATGATAAATATTTTATCTTCATAATATTATTAACCTCATCTTATACTTTTTAAATAACAATTAGGAAATTAACATTTGATGAATTTATATAGCTGATGTATGAATAAGACAGTTAAGATATAAATATAAAATAATAAGAAGATATTCATAAAAGATCATAATAAGGTGCACATGAGGAAAATAAAAGTTAATAATAATCTGAGCCATCTCATTCAATTAAAGATGAATTGCAAAAAAATTCAGAGAACATAGAAATGATTATTAATAACCCTGAAAAGCAAAAAGAAAAACAATAAAGTAATAATGCTGAATTGACAAAATCTGAACAAAGTGGGTTGAAAAGCTCAAAAAGTTCTGAAAAAAATATATAAATATAATAGAACGTATAGGATAGATAAAATTCACCTTAAAAAGATTCTGAATTGTCTTAGACTTCTAGCTAAAAAAAATTAAAAAATGTTTCTTAATAACTTGAAGAATAAAATTAGTAAACTGGAAACTCCTCTAGTCGTATTATTAAATAAGTTGAAGATATTGATTAAAAACTAGAATAAAAAAAATCTGAAAAGAATTTAAAAGGAAATTAATCTTAAGATGAAATAGGTTAGCACAGTAATTAGGAGGAGATTAAAAATGAAAGTGAAGATATTGAATAATCAGAATAAAAGTAATTTATTTTATTTATTTTTTTTTTAATTTGGATCATAATGGTTTTAAAAAAAATTAGGAGAAGACGCTCTTCAATTGAACATTCTATAAAAAACTAAGAAAATAATTTAGACAATGAATTAAATAGCTTAGACATCATGAGTAAAGGAAGTCAAAATTTTTTTAATCATAAAAAGGGAAATCACGATTAAAACGAAGTGGATCCTATTTAAGAGTTGTATGAAGGATAAAAAAATGGTGTAGATGATAATGAAGAGTAAAATTTAAATAACTTTTTCAGTAATAACTAAAGTTCTGTGGTTGATAATAGCCAAGAAATCAGTGATGACTAAATTATGGAATATAAATAGATTTTATAAAAAAATCAATTGCTAAGTAATAAATTTTTAGTTAAATATTATTTTTAAAAATTATTTTATTTTTAATATAAAAGACCATTAAAATAACTGCATGGTTTTGTAAGAATATCAAGTGTTTTATAAAGATTATATCAATGAAATATTTTAAAAGTTTCAAACTTTAGAAGCTGATAATTAAAACTAGCAAGATTAAAACAGCCCATATAAGACGGAAGATAGAAATTAAAACACTTAAAAAAGAATATTTGCAAAAGTCAACAATTTTACATCTTTAATGATGGATTTGTTTAAGGATAAAATTTGGATTTTAACACATAAATTTGACAGAGAAGAGTTTTATAGCAAAACAAATGGATACAAGAAGTTATTTCAAACAATAGATAATTACTATATCAAAGTTAAAGGAATGGGTAAATCTATGTCTTTTTTTATTTTTCTAATTAAATATTTTTTTTATTTGAAAAGATCCTAGCACTTTCAAGTTAACAGAAGCAGTTTTCGATTAAGAGGAATTCTTTAAAATTCTTGAATATTGGTCAAGCAGTGAACCTTAGCTCTATTTTTCTCAAGAAGCTCCTAAATACTAAAATATAGATGAAGAAGATGAACTAAATTACAAAAGTAGCCTCAGTTTATTGAGCTAAGTTGCATAATTGAGAAATAATAACTCTGCTATTAGCTAAGATGATACAAATAGTGCAAGGAAAGAGTTAAAATTAGTTTAAGATCTACAAAAAACAATTTAAAAATACAAAAAAATGAAAGCAGAATCAGAAACAGAAGTGGAAAAAAAAGCACTTAATAACATAATAGCAGATTTAGAAAACCAATTAAGTAAGTAAAATTAAATTTAAATAATATTCATTCTATAAAAATGTAGATTAATATAATTAGCATAACAATTCAAATCCTCATGAAATAAGTCTACTGAATAATAATTACAATAAGCATCATAAGAATGAAGGAAATTAAAATAACATTGAGAATTTCGACAAAGATCACCATTAATCCCATTCAAAGAAATCTATCTACTCCGCTCCTATATTATCAAAAGAAGAGAAAAGAGATAAAAATTTGCATGTGGTATATAAGTTCTACTGCAAATAAACATATGTAAGTGGAAAGTATGCTACTTTCGATAGAGTATAACAAGAAACTAATACTATGAGCATGGGAAAGTTTTTCTTATTTGTAAGAGACTTTGGTATTGTGAATAAAAATTTGAAAAAAAATGTAATTTTTTTGAATATTTTATTTATATTCAGTTTTATTAAAAAAAATAGAAATTAGTTGAAATATTTAAGAAGAATTCTTCAAACTCTAAAGATTTAACTTTCGAAGAGTTCAAATAAATCTTGCAAAAAATATCTGAATTTCACTCAGATGAATAGTAATCAGCTATAAATATTGATTAACCAAAAAAAGACCAACAACCTTCTTCGATTATTATTAAAACACAAGAGTCTGAAGAAAAAAAGAAAGACAAAAAATATAAAAAGTAAAACTCGGTAGATAAATTTTTATAGTTAGAAGGAGCTCAATTGGATGAATATTTGGCATAGAAATCCTCTGACTCAAACCCAAAAGATTAAGATAACAAAAGTTAAAAATTAGAATAATTTTATAATTTTTTATGCATAGATGATTAAAATAAAGTAATTAATTAATTAGTTAATAAATCTAATATTAAATCATTTATAATTTATATGTGTTTCTATTTAATAGCTAAAAGAAAAAGTGAGAAGCCCTAATTTACCTTTTCATACTCATGCTAAAGTAGAATAAAATCTAGTTAATTATAAATTCAATCCACAAAAGTACCATGAAAAACAATCAGAAGAAATTAAAGAATTACTAAAATGTAATGCAAAAATAATTTATTTTATTATAAAAATATTACTTTGTAAAAATAAGAGAGGAAAGAATAAAAAGAAAAGGAAAAAGCCTAATTAGCCAAAAAGCATAATGACCCAAAAGAACTTCCTTAAGTTTCAATTTCTAAAAAATTCTCTAAAAATGCCTCAAAAAGTATTTATTAGATTAAAATATTATTTTAATAAAAAAAATAAATTTATTAATTAATTAAAAAACTAGAAATTTAAAATGAGTTAGAACCTATATATGGTCCAACTGAATGTACTTGGGAGAGTTTGTTAGGAAATAACTTTAACTAGCTCAGATTCTTGAATTAAAGTGAGTTTAAGCCAACTGATTTATTTGATGAGAATTCTCCTGAAGATGATGAATACTTAGAGCATTATAAAATTGACTACTAAAATTTAGAACAGCAAAAACAAAAGGAAGAACTGCTCAAAAAAATAGAAGATTATGGATAAATTAAACCAAAATAAATTATACAAAAAGAAAAAAATTCTATAGATACTGAATCATATCCTCAAAATTTATTATTACTTGAGTAATCAAATTCAGGTGAATCTTCCCCTTAACAATTAAGGACGAACAAAATTTTCATAAGAAAAAATTTATCAGGAAACACCAGAGGCAAATCATAACCTTAAACATCAATAGCTTAATAGAAAATAAATAAAAGCAATAATTATATTAAAATAGATCTTTAAAATGAAAGTGGGTTAAAAAATTAAAGAAATTTATCTTCGTATGACGTTAGCAATAATTACAATTATGGATAAAAAAATGGCTAAAAAGACTAAGTCTCTGTTTAACATGAGCTTCTACAATAAAATTCTTCTCACTCAATAAATGGATATGATATTCAGCCATAAAGTTCTTACTTTTAAACTCCTGAAAAAAAGATTAAACTTAGGGAATCAAAAAGCCTTTAAAAAAGCTAACAAAGTGACAACTCAATAAACAAATCAAGTAACATATAAAAAGAAAACTGTTTATTAATATTTCTAAATTATGTTTTTTTATTTATAGTAGGAAACATAAACTTGTTGAAAAATAATAAAGACTTAAATAATTCATCTGTTGGAGATTTAATTGACTTTTTTAATCCCATCACTGATAGATAAAAAAATATAGTTTAGAATCAACGTAATAGAATATCTCAGATAGAAAATGCATCAAGATAAAAAGAAAAAGAAGTAAATTAAATTTGGTTATTAGTTATTCATTTTATTTTTTTATCATTATAACAAAATAGATGATAGAAAACTTAATAAATAGTAGTTAAAACAACTAAAATTTAATTTCCAAAAAGCTCAGTGTTCAGATGCCTGGTAGATAAAATAATTTTGTATCAAATAAAAAAAATTAAAACTAAAATGCTTAGTGATTCTTAATAAAACTAAAAAAGTTAAAATGATTATTCATTATAAAATAAAAGATTTTTGTATTTAAAATAACTAAAAAGTTAAAACTCTTATGCCAAGTGAGATATTTGTAATAAATAATTCAAATTTTGTATATAATATTTAAATTATTTGTAAATAGATTTATGTAAATATTTAACAGAATCTTTAGATGTAAATGCCATTCATTCATTTACAAGTGCTCTTTTTGAGCTTTAAATTGAAAGTAGTTTTTTTATTCAAAGTAACTTTTTTTATTTTCAAAGCTAACTTTTATTTAAAAATTTCTAAATTTGTAATTAACTAAAAAATTGATATTATTTAAAGTTAAATAAATAAAGTAATTTAATAACCTTCCTTCTAAATTGAAAGAATTGATTTTTAGTAATTAAAAAGAAAAATAATTTATTTTTTATTTGATCTACCAATAAATCTTCAATTTTTCAATTTTTTCATTTAAAAATCTATTGTTTTATCAATAAATATATTTGATTTGGTTGCCAAATATAAATAATGAATTCCAGTAATTTCATTTTTGATAAGCATTTTACTTTTTATAATAAAATAAATACAGATATTTATAAAATTTAAATTACAATTGCTAAATAATTTATTTATATGGTAAAATTTTAGTTTATAATGGTGATATAGAAAAAATTATTATCAGAATTATGTTTAACAATTTTTAATTATAATTGCTTGCTGCTATTTTTTGAATGTTTTTTACTAAAAATTGTTAAAAACTATTTAATTTCAATAAAAAATTTCATATAAGAAAATATTTAATTATTAAGTAAATGAGCAATTTATTAAAGCAAGCTTTAACAAAAGGAAAGCCTCCTAAATAACCCTAGTTTAGTAATACATAGATTATTTTAAAAAGATTAAAAAGTATTAAATATATCATATTTAAATCAGATGAAGATGAAGAAAATTAGGAAGAAGAAGAAAAGGATACTTTTGAGTAAAGTTTTGTTTGAATGATAATTCTAAATGTTAATCTTTAATATGATGAAAAAATTTAATTATATAAGAAGCTATTGCTTAATTTAGTAAAAAAATAAAATTTATACATTTTAGGGACCCAACTACATAAAAAGCAGTCCATTAGGAATTTCATCATTTTGGATCAGGTCCTATTAGGGCAGTACCTATCGGACTTCCTCCAATGAGTAAGCCAAAATAAAGTGAAGAGAATAATTCTGATCCAAACTCTATAGAAATACATTCAAGATTTTAAGGAGGAACTACTAAAGCACCAAATTAATTTGCTCCTTCGAAGTGGAGTGATTATTTTGATTCAATGGAATTTATGGAAAATGTAATTATTTATAGAATTAGATGAAATCATATATTTAGTAGAAATCAAATGAGTTTAATTAATTTATTATATCCGAAAAAGGGAACTCCTATATATGTGTGTGGTAATCAAGGCCCTCTTTTCTTTTGCATGCATGGGGCAGGAGATTCCGCTTGCAGCTTTGCTTGTTTGGCAAAAGAAATAAAATAATACGGTACAACAGTTGCATTTGATTACAGAGGACATGGAGAAAGTAAAATTGAGAGCTCTGATGATTTAAGTATGGAAACTCTTATTGAAGATACCTAAGTAATATTTGATCATGTTTTGAAAAAATTCCCTGATATGTGTGTCATAATAGTTGGGCATAGGTAAATTTAAAGATTTGATAACATTTATTAAATATAAATATAAAACAGTATGGGTGGATCAGTAGCTAGCAAATTTACATAGAAAATTTATGAATAAGAGAAATACAAAGATATTGTTCAAGGTATTTATTTAATTTTTATCTAATTTAAAAAATTTTTAAATAAACTTTAAAACTAGGATTAATTGTAATCGACGTAGTTGAAGGTACAGCTATTGAGGCACTTCCATTCATGGAAAGTATTGTTAGTAAAAGACCTCAAAGATTTGATAGCATAGAAAGTGCAATTAAATGGCAGTAATTTTTTTACTTACATTATTTAGGTTAATATTACAATAACAAAAAAGCACAAGAACGAATTAGCTAAGAAACATAGAATCTGCTCGTGTTTCTGTGCCTCCAAAATTTAAGGCTGTCGAAAAGGATGGAAAAACAGTTTATGAATGGAAAGTTGATTTGATGAAATCAGAAAAGTACTGGCTAGGATGGTTTAAAGGCTTAACTAGCTCTTTCCTTGGCATCCATATCCCTAAATTACTGATGTTAGCAGAAAAGGAAAGAATGGATAAAGAATTAACAATAGCCTAAATGTAAGGAAAATTTAAGTTAGTTGTAATCTAAGATGTTGGCCATTATATGCAGGAAGATAATTTTAAGAAGACTGCATTTAATTTACACTTATTTTTAGAAAATTTCAGAATTCCTGTAGATAAGGTAGACTTCGATCTTTATAAAGAATAAGGTATTGGAAAATTCCATCCAAATATTAAGCCATATAGCATGAAGTGATTGATCTGCAGCTTATATTAAAATTTATTCATTAAAAATAAATAATTTAATGTTTTATGATGAATTAATTATATCTATGTTTTTATGTGATATTTGAAATGTTTAATGCTTGTTTTTGATAATTTATTAAATATTTACATAAAAGATCTACACTTTTAATTAAATACAGTTTTTTATCAAAAACGAAGAAATTTTCATCAATTTTTTTTATAATAAAAGCAATTTAAAAAAGATTTATAGCTGATTTTTAATAAGTTGTTTACAATTTAATAAATTAAAACAAACAAAAATGAAGCACACAGAGAGTATTCAGAATATCATTAAAGAAGTTGAAAAAAAGAAGGATGAAATAGCTTCTAAAAAAACAGAAATACTGACATTGCAACACCAGAATGTTGTTTTATCAGAACAAGCTTACATCCAAAAGGCATGATTTATTTATTATTTGATGTTTTTAGATAGTTTAATTTCTAATTTTATTAACAAATACGATTGCAAATCTTAAATAAATTGTTGGCTATTTTAAAACTAAATCAACTTAAAAAAGGATAAACTTTATATGCTAGAAGCAGAGTATCAAGATAGAAAAAGAATTTTTGAAAACCTCTATATCAAATACAAAAAGAAAAACTAGAATATGGTAATCTCCATTTTTACAATTTAGATAGTTGTTTTTGGTTTGATTAAATTAAAAACTTATATTTATAAAGTAAGACGAAGAATTTGAAGAGGCAGATATTGACGAGAGTATAAATCCTTTGAAAAAAATAGGAAAAAGAGCCAATAGATTACATACTGAGATGAACTAAGATGATGAAAAAGAAAAGAAAAATCAATAAGAAATATCAGATTTAAGAGTTTTAGAAGGAATATAAAACTACCTTGATAAATAAATACAAAAATATGATAAAAACAGAATGATGAAGCAACTGTAATTATTCAAGACTAATTTTTTTTAATGAAATGTTAAAATGTATTTTTTAAAATAAAAATTATAATAGGAACTTCAGTCCATAAAAAGAGAAAAATAAAAATTAAAGCAAAAAGAACAATAATTATAGTGATAGCAGTAGTGAAGATGACAATAATGATTCAGACTCTGATAAATCCTAAGAAGATGCTCTTTTGCCAAAGGAAAAAAATAACGCACAATTTGTAAGACCCTTTAATCCTTTTACATGTGTGTTAATTAGATTCAAAACCAACAAAGTAGCTGAAGTGGATGATGGGTCAAAGCTCTTACTGAGTATAAGAGTTGAAGAAAAAACAAAATTTATTGAGATCAAAAGGGCTGCTTGCCAATATTGGGTATTTAAAATTATTTGTTAAAATATGTTGTTTAGTTAATCTAATAAAAATAATTTCTTTAAAATAGCAAGTAAAAGATCCTAACTAAAAAGACATAAATGGAATACTTTCTTAAGCTATTCAAAAAGATGAAAACTTTTCTTTCATGGATCTTTGCGATGAGACGAACTCATCACTACCTGACTCTGAGTTAGTCATTCAATTTTTAATGCAAAAAGGATATAAAAATTTAGGTTAATGTACATTAATTCTAAAACCCAAAGAATTTAGAACGGGTCTTGATTCTCTTTAAGCAGAAAGCACTAGAATAAATAAAGGTGTTGATCAAGAAAAATCATAAGGCCAATACTTTGTTAAAAAAGTTTAAAATAATTCAATAAACCCATATGATTTCTTTTTCTAAGAATATCCTTCTTTGCAGTTTTATATTGAATTGAAACAACTACATGAATCAGAATCTGGAGATTCGTAATAAGAAGAAATGGTATTAACAAAAAATGTGAATGATTCGCATTGCTGCATTCTAACTTTTTTGATTATGATAATTGTAAATAAATAATTATGTTTGACATTTTTTGAAAGTTTTATAATATGATTTTTAATTAATTATTTAAAGGTAGTTACAGCAATCTATTTATCAAAAATGATAGATGTAGAAATTAAACATTTCACAAATACTTATATTACAAACACTCTTAAATTAGATAAATTAAATGATTTGTAAAACGATGCTATTTTTGATAACTTCTTAAAACTAACATTAAGTTAATGCTTTTTTGATTCTAGATATTACGCTCCAAATTAAGCCTACTTTAAAGATAATTTCGCAACTATTGGTAATATTAGAATAAGATTCTAAATGTAAAATCTAACTTAATGTGATATATACGCGAATAGTTAATCAAAAAACGTTTGTTTTAACTTAGATGAAACTCAACTTTTAAAGAAGGATATAGGTTCCAGCTCATCAAAATATTGTAACTTCATTTAACCAAAATAGTTAGTTATTCCAAATGTAATCAATCACATTTTATAGAATTTTAAAAGTTTTAAAATGGACCTACAGATAAAAACTAACGCTTTGACTTGAAAGGTACTTATGGAACATACTCTCCTGAAGGCTATATGTTAGATTTTAACGTGACAATATCAAGAAAAAATTATCAAGGCCAGATAGATTTACTAAAAAATCTCATCTTATATGAACTAGAACTAAGAGTTATTATAGTAACATTTACTCTCTACAATCCAACATTAGATATATGGGTAAACGTAAATATTATAATTGAAAGAGATCGCTATGGTTCAATGATACCTTCCACTCCTAAAATCTACTTTTTTAAACCAAACATGTAAGCATTTATATTTAAAAAATAAAAACAATACTCAAATATAAATTTATTTATTTAATTTTAGATATGAAGGACCTGATGGTTCTACTATGTTAGCATTAGATATCATCAGACTTGTTTCTACAGTTATTTTGCTTATATTTGTTTTTTACTAAATCTATTTAACACAGTTGAGCTATGTTTTTAGTTTGTTAGGATTTCTTAATATAACTGTTATTGGTTTTAGTGTAGCATCTCTAGCTCTTAGTTTTCTATCTTACTCTTGTGGATTTGATGAAAATAAATTATTTAGTTTACATACCAATATGGTGAAAGAATATGATAGTCTTGATATAAAAAATATTACATTAGACAACTGGATAGCATTTTAAAATAAATATTATGTAGATTTGACTTATGTAGGATATCTTTACACTTCCTTACAGAGCATACAATCAATCTTGATAACAATCCTCCTATTTAGATTCATTTTTGTTTTTTCATTCTCCATTTATCTTAAAACAATTGTGGATACAATTAAAAATGTATAAACATTATTTATTTATTTATTTATTTATTTTTAGTTTTTTGTAAGTTATTTTATGAATTAAATAAATAGGCTGGAGGAGATTTGCTTAAGTATTTCATCATACTTTTGCCACTTTTAATTTCTTTCGCACTTATTTTTTATTAAATCTGGGGAGCTTACATAGAATAATTTAATAACTTGACTGCTTCTTTATGCTCTGTTATTCTAATGACTATTGGATATATGAATGCTGATTAAATCAATTAAATTAATACCGTATGGTCAATTATTTTTGTAGTTCTTTTTTACCTCCTGATTATTTTCCTTTTCTACAGCTTTATTTTGGGAATTATGGTTGAGAGTTAGCATAGTGTAATTATGTAAAAAGGTTATCCTTCAATGCAGAAATCTACAATTACAGGTGTAATTATAATATAATGGTTATTTTAGTGGGTTCCTGAAGTGGTAAAGGATTACTTTAGTAAATTTGTTAGCATTATAAACGATGCATCAAGTAGTAATGAAAAAAAAGTTGATGGTGAATAAAATAGTTTTGATGAAACTTAAAACTTAAAAAGTGGTAAAATGTGATTAAATATTCTTTGTATTAAATAAAAAAACCATAAAATTTAGCTTTATGTTAGCCTAAATTAGGTTTATTTCAAATTAATTTCATTAAAACAATTTATTTATTCTCATATTCTAATTTTAACTTCTGTACAAAAACATAAATTTTATAAAACCTTATATAGTTTTGTAATAATTATTAACACATTCATTTACAATTTTATTTATACTAAAATTTAAATTCTGCTTTTTAAAATTCAACAAACAAAAAACCTAAAATTCATTCAAAAAAAGGGGAAAATGTTTTCATTTATTTGTGAATTTATTCAGTTTTTATTAAAATTAGAAGAAATATTTTCATTTATTTTTTAGTAAAAATATGAAAGAAAATCAAATCAAAATATTTTAAAAAAAAATTTAAAGTTGAATGAAGACTAATAAAAAATTATATGTTTTATCTAATTAAATTTAAAGCTTTCTTCAAGTTCAAGTAGGTTTAAAATTTGATTTATTGTTATATTTTAACAAATTTACAAATAGATAGAATTAAAATTTACAAATAATATATATGAAGGAAGGATGCTTAGATTTTAAAGATATTGTTAGTATTTTAGTTGCTCTTAATGTAATTAAAAATGTAGAAATGTAGCTAATAATTTAAATATTTAGAAAAATTGAGTGAAAACACGAAAACAGATAATCAGAATTGGGATGATTTATAATTTAAATAAGATGTGAGAAAAAGCACACACTTAAAATAAAAAATATTTTTAAACATTTATTAAGTTTATTTGTATATATTTATGGTAGGATTAATTTTAAATATATTTAAGTATATTTTAAGTTTAGCCAACTCAAACATCGACCTTAGCAACGATTTAGGCCTTTTCGTTTCTCTTAGCTCTAGAAGCGGTGTTCTTAGCTCTTCTGGCTTCTTGTTGGGAAGTTAACTTATCGGACTTGATCTTGTCAGCCTTGGAGACGTGGATAGCTTCGATCAAGACAGTCTTGTTCTTGTACAAGTTACCCTTAGAACCCAAGTAGAATTCGTGATATCTATTTATTATAAATAATAGTTAGCATAATCGAACAGCCATATTTATTTATTTATTTAGTTAAAAATATAATCAAATATATTTTAAAAATTACTAGTGCTTATCGATCTTCTTGGCAGCTCTGTACTTTCTGAGGAGTCTTCTGAGAACTCTTTGTCTTCTCATCCATAGAACCTTGGTGGGCATTCTAGCGTTTCTGGTACCTTTTCTCTTACCGGAACCAGTGTGTCTACCTATAATTTTGATAAGATAAATGATTAGATTTTCGATATAAAACTGCAAGATAAATTGATTAGTTAATTAATAATAATCATATTTTTATTTTCTCTGCAGATAATTTTGATTGATTTAGTAGTTTGTTGCCTCTTTTTATGAATCATAATATTTATTTCATTCATTGAAAAGCTAATATCAAGAGTATTCATCTATTACATTAACAATCCAATTTAGCTAAAATACAATATAATGGGAATACATTTTTATTCACTTCTTATTAAATCCGCGAGCATAAAAATTCCCAATGATCTAACTTCATTTAAAGTAGATTTCAGTTGTTTTTGTTGTTGTTATTATTCTCATAAGTAAAGCATCCAATTTATAAGATTCAAAATTGCCACTATTACACTAATCATAAGCTAAAAATATTTGTATATGCTTATAAAATTTTTAGCTCACAATAAACTTCAGTTTTAGCAAAATTTAGCTTTGATTGATCTGCTTTCTTTGATTTAATTTGATTTGGTTACTATGAAATCTGCTTTAAATAATATTATATTATAGATTTGGTCTCTTTAAAAGTATGTTATGTATTATGTATTATGTTTTCTGTTTGAAATTAATTTATTAAATAAAATCCACTTTGCTAACTAACACTTTTAAATGCATCTATTTATTGTTTTCTTCTTTTATATAAAAATACTTTATTCTATTTACATTTTATTGTATCTTAAGAACTCTTTTCATGTTACTTATGCAATTAGTAAGATTTTTAAAAGCGTATTTGGTTTTTTCATAATCGAATTGTAATGCTAGATTTTTTATATTTCGATCTCAGCAATAATTTTAAACTATTAATTTACTCTTAATTCATTTTAATTATATACAAACATTATTCATTTTGAAGAGAGCTACTTACTACTAAATCATCTCACTTCTGCTGTGGTAAAAGTCAGTTTTCCCAACCATTAAAAGATTAGGAAAATAAATATAATATTAGGCTTGTGAATAATGTAAAAGTACCCTTTCTCTTGGCTTCAAGGAAAGCTCTAGCTCTAGATCTAGAGTGAATGACAGTAGATCTCTTCATGACCAAACCGTCCTTGATGAGCTTTCTGATGGAAGCTCCTGTTATAATTAAATAAATAATATATTAAATATGGCATGCATACTTCATATTGAGATTTGCTCAAGAAAATTTCTTTTATATATGCTAAAGTTACAATATGTTTTTCATACACCTTATGGCAATAGTTGAAGAAAAATATTATTGAATTAATGTATGATCAGCTATAACTTTTTGCATAAAATGGGAGAGCATTTAATAGAAATTTTACTGGAGTTAGCCATAGAAATTTCGGAGGATTCATTGGGATCTAACCATAATCTCTTTTGACCGCACTTCAAAACGGAAGCGGCTAATCTCTTTTAAAGTCTTAAGGATACCATCTTTATTTGTTGTTTTCTTTTCTTTATAAACCTCTATTATTAAATTTAATTAAAAATTCACCTTAACTATAGGATATATTTTGAGTATCTAATTTTCTCCTCAAACTTTTTAATCCCAGTTATCTTTACCTCTTTACCAAAACTACATCCCTTTATTATCTCTCTCTCTTTTGTGTTTTAATGAATTATCTCAAGCTAAATCAAAGATAATACAATCAAAAATAGCAAAAATAAAGTACAATCAATATACTTCATTTTTAGTATACTCGTAAAGGATAAACATAATAAGATATAAACGAAATCAATTAAATCCATTTTCAGTGATTTATTTTTATTTATTTTACAAAAATTTCTAAACAAATAAAACCTTTAAAATCTAAAACTCTTTCATTTTTATTTTATTTTTAAATTAAAAAAAATGTTTTTAAAATTTTTTTTTAAAATTTAGAGAAAAATTAAAAAGAAAAATCAAATTAAAATTTTTATGAATTCATTTTTATGCAAATAGAATATACCATTTTGCTAATTTTTTTCATAATTAGTTTAAATATTTTGTTGAACATTTTAATGATTTTAAAATTTATAAAAAATAAATCATCATAATTAGATCATAAGAACAGTCAATAAACATTATTTCAAATAAAATATTTGTTTATTAAAAAATAAATAAAGATAGTGTTAATTGAATTGAATTAAATTAATTTATTATAATATTTTAATTTGTACAAAAATTTTAAAAATAAAAAAATATAAAACTGAAAAAATGGATTAGAATTTTATTTAACTTATTTTTAAATATGAACTATAGCATAAGAAATATAAATAAAATAAGAAAGATGATTAATTGATTGGTCATGTCTATCAGTCATTTTCAATATGTTTATTATTTATTAGTTGTGTTTGCATGTGAAAGAATAAGGAGAACGAAAGAAGATAGGAATCAAATTAAACAAATTTACAAAGAATTAAATAAGCGAAAAGAAAAGATACACATATCAGATTATAAAGTTTATCATAAGAATTTAGTTAGATTTAGAAGAAGAGAATATAGATAGTATTCTTTTTAAGTTATTTAGACACTCACATAAAGTCATAAAGAAACAAAGAAATATCATAGTCGTTTGAACATAAATAAATCAAAATAGCAACAAATAGATAAACTAGTAATAGCATATTGATTTATAATAATAGAATTTTACATCTCAAGAATGGACTAAAAAAAGGAATAGAGTATTGGCGATAAAATTTTTAGCTAATACCCCTATAAAAAAAATGAAATTAACAAAACAGTAAAGCCATTAGTCGATGCATACTTCAAGGATGAAACAGCAAGTGTTGAAAATCTTATGCGTGACTTAGCATTAGCATTCAAGAAATAGAAGGTCTCTTTTGAAAACTTCTGTAAAATTTTTAGTGTAGTCAAATTTGCAGTTAGTAAATATTCTACTGCTAAGAAGGATAAAGTACCAAATAATCGTTTTGGTGAAGCCACAATTGTTTTGGGTGCTAATTACCTCCCTCCCTTTTTTGTTTAAAATTAACACAACTAAGATGATAAAAAGTATATAAAATTAACAAGTCTTCTCAATTTTACTGATTCAGCTGCAATCAAAGGACGTTTAGAGAAGGCTTTAGCTGCTAAACAACTTACTGTAATTAATCTTTGTATTTATGCACTTATAAAACGCAAGTAGCAATAGATTATTGAACCATTAATCATTCCTAAGCTCGTTGACGAATACTTCGTTGACAGTTTAAGAAGAGATCCTAAAGCTTTTGCTTTAAGTTCATTAGTAGTGAGATTACTTACCGCAGAAAACTTTACTAACTAAATAGTGCCCAAGATAATTAATCTCGTTAAGAGAGCTGAAGAAAATACTGATACTGTCTCTAATGTATTATCTTTACTTCCTAATAGCGAATAGTTTGATACCTCTAGTTTCGCTGTTGAGATTATTCTCACTCACCTTAAACCTTATTATTACTCCCTCACTAATTAAGAAAAGCCTTCTCTAGCTGCTTTCAATGTAGCCAAGAAAATTCGTTCTCTTCCTGTACTTTAGCAAATTGTTGACGGAGTTGTTGTAATTCTCAACTAAACAAATGATGAAAAAAAAAGAATGCCTGTTTTGAGAATATTAAATGGTGCTGCCTAAGCATTAGCTTTTGTGTAATTTAAATTTTAACTCATAAATAATTTGAAAAAAAACATGACAAATATTTTTAATTTTAATGAGGTTTGCAAAGAATCTTCAACTCAAAAATTGTTGAGGAGACATTTTTAAAATTACAAAGATTTTCTTTGAAATTTTGGTTTTTTTTGTTTTAATAAGTAGCCCAGATAAATTAAAGAAAGAAAGAAAGCATTAATTCTATTAAGCGATAAAATAGTTAAAAAAGATTTAATTTAGGCTAAATCTCTGCAAATATAATTAAAAGTTATCTATCTACATTCCAAAAATAAATTCAAATAAAAATTTATTTATTGTAACAAATTTTTAAATTAATTTTAACAAAATTATAGTTAAGGAGATAAGAAGGCAGTTGAAGCAAAAATCATTTAAATTTTAGGAGATAATTCTAATGCAATTTAAACACAAGAAGACATGGAAATCTTCAATTAGATTGTTGATAAATTATTCGAAAACATTAGCACAGATTTTGTATTCTCTCCAGACTATGCTGGCTTGTTAAAGAGAAAAATAGCAATCTAACTTGCAAACAAGTGGATCTATGTTGCAACTTGCAAATTGTGCTCATCCTATATCAAAAAATTCTCTCATGAAAGAAATCAATTGAACGAAATTAAGGAACTAGTTGAAGGAATAAATATCTCTATTTTTATCCCTAATGCTAAGACTCCTGCCAAGCTTGTAAGCACTACTGACTAATTCTTAGCTTCTCTTGAAGTTTCTGCTTTGGCCTCTAACGTTGAGTCCTTAGCTGCTATCACTTTACCTGAACTTAAAAAACAAATTAAACCTGTTGTACTTTCTGATAAAGTATATATTAATAAATAAGACTTTTTCAATACCAATACTCAATTATAAGCTGATTTATTATTCTCTTCCCTTACTTAAATCATTCAATTAAATACCCCTGAAATATTCTCAGACATTCAAACATTAGTAACTCTCTCCAATTCTTACTGTCAAATTTTCTTTGGTAAATTAATTTTATAATCTTGAGTAATATTTTAAAAATTTTATTGATATAATTAATAAGCTTCTTAGAAAAAAGCCACAAGCCAAATTTTAGCTTAATAACTAAAGTAGAATTTTAAGAACAACAAGGGATTAGTTGAGGTTTTAGCATAAGGCATATTTAACTTTTTATTTTACCAAATCGAATTAGATACTGATAGACGCTTAAATAAAGAATAACTTAGCTATGCTACTCGTTATATGACTGAAACTTTTGCAAAACTTACTGCTGAAGAAGTCAAATCTATTTAAAATGTTGAATATGTACCATGGATAGTCAATCATCCTTTTACTAATATTAAAATTTAACGTAAATTCCATAAGGCATTGATTGCAAATGATGGAGCTATTAAGTCTGCCTTCAAAGAAATTATTGGAAGCAAATAATTATCTAATCCTTATTTATTAATCAGTGACTAGATGCTCTAAAACCCTAGCTTTAATGTCAGAGAAGCTGCTAAAGGATATGCTAGCTTTTTGATTGAAATCCAACACTATGAATTCCTTGAACCTTATTTAGTCACTTTAGATGTAAACAACTTTAATTTGAGTCAATGCAAGAATATTTCTGAATATGAAGAAACTATTATTAAAACTTCAGATGAATACGAATTGAACTTACTTCCTGTTCGTACTATTTTGGTTAGCCTCGGATATAAAGTTGATCCAAATATTGAAATTAACAACGCCCCTGTTTAAGAAGCTCCTAAAAAGGGTGGTCCTAAGAAACAAGTTTAAAGCTAATAAAATAACTAGCCTACTATTAATCAAAAGAAGCTTTTCAAGCCTTATTTACCTTAATACGAAAATTAAACTGGCCATCATTTCTTAGACGATGATGAATTATTAGCAAAGCGTAAAGAAGAATTGAGAGAGCGTATGATCCACTTCTATCGTTTGTCCTGCCACTTCTATAAAATCTTTTCAGTTTCTTCTAATTCTGATATTTCTGAGTATTTCTTCAACAACCTCAATGAACATTTCTTCACTATGGCTGTTTACAAGCAAACACATGCTAACTATAGAGTCATTCTTTCAAACATCCTTAAGAAATACAAAGCTTAAATTAAAAATTCTGCTACTTTCCTTGCAGAATTTACCATCACAATTGCTCAACGTGAAAACCCTACTGAAAAAATTATTCGCGAATACATTAACTTCTAGTCTTTTATCAATGCTAATTTGAACCCTAACAATCCTAGCGAAGCCTTTATTATTCCTTACCTTAACAAGCTTAACTTCCACACTATTAATGAAGATGGTTTTGATATGGATACAAAAGTCAATGCTCTTACTTTCTATAATAATCTTCCCCCTACTTACAATAGTTACTTATTAGCTTTATACAAGCCCTTCAATAACAATATTAATACCTTAGCTTCAAACCCTATTTCTTAAGTTATTCTCGAAAAACTACTTAATATCATTGATTCTAACGATACATCTATCCTTTTCCACAATATATTAAACAACACTAACAGAGCTAAAAATATTGTCCTTAGCTCTCTAATTAGCTAAGCATCTAAGATTAACTATCATCCTTCTTTTGAAGAAATTATTAAGCTTCGTATCATGCAAATTGATCGTAATTAGGATATAATTAATCTTTCCTCATAAATTCTTAGTAACTGCAAGTACGATATGAACGCTGATGCTATCAATAAATTTGATTTTACTGAGTTTATTATTGATCATTCTACAGAAAACATCGATAAGTTTACAGAACTTTGCTTTGATATAATCAAATCCCATCCTGATCTTTAAAAAGTTATTTTCAAGAAGGTACAAATAAATTTATAACTTAAAAATAGAATATTATATTTATTTTAAATAATTAGATTACTGAGGCTGCAGAAGCTTGTTATGATTAAAAAACTAATGAAGAATCTTTGACTTTCTTTCCTAAGTATATCTAATATCACATGTCTAACATTCAACCAGATTAGCTAACAGCTATCTTCAACTTATTTGTTTCAAAATATTGCAATCCATATCTTACTCTCTTGATGGATAGCTCTATGCAATGTGGTATTGAATTAATTAAGAAATTCGGAAGTGCTCATAATAGCATTCTCGTCTAAATATTTGATAAATACTTGAAATCAAGCAATCCAGAAGACACCAACAAACAAATTTCATCTATTGTCTTCCTTGGTGTCTGCGCTCCTTACATCAAGAATAAGTCTCTTTTAGAAACTATCTCCTCAAAAGTCATTCTTCTCTTTAAGTAATTTATTATTATTGTTAACTATTTATGATAAAAATTTAAATTTAAAAATAAAAAAAGGAATGGTTCTGAAGATCTGTAAAAAAGTTTAGCTAAATGTTTGCCCGATTTAATGAGTTTCTTTGATAATCCTAAAGGTTTAGTTGAAAAGACTATTCAAAACCTTCCTTTCGAACCTAATGTTAAGCAAAAAAAGGGCTAAGCTTATTTAGTTGCTGGTTTGATTAAAGGTTTAGGTGTTAATTCTATTGAATAGCTCAATATATTTAAGTATATTGATGAAGATCTTGAACAAAAGAAAGATAACTAATAAAAGGAATCTATTTTAACTTTAATTATTTGTTTCCTTGACGTTTTAGGTAGAGTATTTGAACCTTACGTTAGTAGAGTTATCAAGGTCCTCATGCACTTCTTTGCTGAAACAAATGAAACTATCAAAGACCTTGCACTTAGTGCCACTAAGTTGCTTATGTCTCGTCTCACTGGATATGGTAATTTTTTATTTTAATGTAAAAACATTATTTTAACTATGATTAACTTATTAAAATAGGTGTTAAAATTATTCTTCCTCAACTCTTGAAGGGTCTTGAAGAATCTGCCTGGAGAGCAAAGTTTAATAATATTTGGGCTCTTGGTAATATGGCTTTTTGCTCACCCAAATAAATGAGTTAGTGCTTACCTTAGATTGTCCCTCAATTATCTAACTGCTTATCAGATACCCATCCTAAGATCAGAGAAGTTGCTAACTCTTCCCTTACTTTAATTGGTTCTTCCATTAAAAACCCTGAAATTTCAGAAATTGTTGATATTCTCATCAAAGCACTTTCTGATCCTTTCGACTTGAACAAATCTGGTTTGGAAATATTACTCAAGACTCGTTTCGTCCATTATATAGATGCTCCTGCCTTATCTTTGGTCATTCCTATTGTTGATTATGCTCTAACATAAAAGAGAGAAACCAGACCTAAAGAAGATGCTTGCTAGGTTGTTGGTAGTATATCAGCTTTAATTAAAGATCCTAAGGACATCATTCCTTACATGGATATTTTAGTTGGCGGTTTAAGAAACGCTTTATCAGATAATGATAATGAAGTACGTCTTTTCGCTTCTAAAGCAATTGGACAAATTTGCAAAACCTTAGGATAAGCCAATAGTGAAAAATATTTCTAGTTTATTAAAGATATCCTCGAAAGCAAGTCTTCAACTTCTATTGAGCGTTCAGGTGCTGCTTAGGCTCTCTCTGAAATTATGTGCATTTTAGGACTTGATTACTTCAAGAACTAATTACCTGGCATCTTTGAAAAAATGCAATCTAAGTAGAACTGGGTTAGAGAAGGGTATTTTTTATTTTAAACTAATCTTTTAATATATAACTTATAATTTAATTTATTAGTTACATTGGTATTTTCGTATTCGTTCCTGTCATCTTAAAGGAAAACTTCAACCCTTTCATCAAAGACGTCTTAGAAGCTACATCTGAATATATTAGCGATGATGAAGAAAAGACTCGTGAAATTGCATTAAGAGTATTGAGAATTCTTATCTAAAATTTCGGTGAATCTCAAACAGAATTGCTTACTGGTCCTGTCAATGAAGGTCTATTCTCAAGCAACTGGAGAAAAAGACTCAGTTGTGTTGTTTTAAGTGCTGAAATGCTTGAAATTTTATAAAAAATGGTTAGAGTTGAAATTAATGATGATTTAGAAAAGAATATTAAGAGAGAAGAAGGTGTACTTACTCACAGACAAACACTTCTTTATCAAAGTTACATGGCAGTCTATATCTTAAGAGCTGATGAAATGGAACAAGTCCGTTTACAATCTACTTAAGTTTGGAAAAACTTCGTTGATAACACTCCTAAGGTTTTATCTTTTTTAATTTTTTAATTAAAAATAACTTTATATTTTACCTAACTAATTAGACTTTGAAATATGGTCTTTCCATACTTTTTAGAATCTTGATCACTGCTATCGTAAGACCTCCTCCTGTTGAAAATATTGCAAAAACAGCTATCTGCAACTTTTGCTAGAAGTATGGTGAGAGCTTCTTCCCATAAGTATTAAAGGTATTCTAAGAAATGATGAAAGATTACTTAGAAGATCTCTCCAAATTAAGAGGTACTCTATTGGTTTTGGCTGAATACTGCAAAAACATATCTGGTTCTTACTTAAGAGGATTCCAAGAAGACTTAGTATAAATCATTAAGCCTCATGTTTACACTCATGAAAATATGTTCCGTTCCTCAGTCTTCTACACTCTAAGAATAGTTTCTGAAAGAGTTGGTGAAATTGGTCTCCTTAGAAGTATCTTTAACGAAATCTTTGAAAAGATCAGAGTTGCAACAGAGTAGGATGCCTTGTATGAAACTTACCTTAAAATCTTCGACTAACTTTGCTAATCTAAATCTGATAAAATTTTGTAATATATTGTCCCTCAACTATTTGAGCGTCCTATTCCTCCTTCTTTAATTGAAGTAATTACAAATAACTCAGAAGTTCTTGGTAAGATTGCATACAAATACTTCAAAAATAGGTAAATTGTTAACATTTTTTATTATTTAATTTAATCTAAAAATTTTAATCTTAAACAGATCTGGTATGGAATTGATTTTTGATGAAATATTTGATAATTGCTCTTAAATCCGTAAAGAATCATTAATCTATGCTATGAATTAGTTAAGTGTAAACCTTAATGAAGACGACAGCAGATATTTCATCCTTAACATAATTGAAAAAATTAATGTCTTAACAAAGACTTATCTTAACTATAAAGAAGATGAATAGCATCTTGAAGTAGTTTTGAATGTCTTGAAATTCTACATGGTTAACACTCCTATCCATTTAAGTGAATTCAATAAAGATTTGATTAACTTAGTTAATCCATTCATCTTCGAATAGCAATGTCCCTTACTTGCAAGACACGCTTCTTCTATTCTTTCTTCTATTTTCACAATTATCAACAGAAAGTACTTCGTTTAACTTCTTCATACTTTCGAGCTTTCACTTGAAGACACTCTTTCAAGAACTAAGTATGAAAAGATTACTGAAATTTCTGGTTTCAATTTAGGAGAAGAACCTGGAGATGGTATTCGTTCATATGTTGAGTTAGCAACTACTTGCTTAGTTTATACACCTGAAGAAGCCTTCTAAGATAGTATCGATCTTTTCAAGATACTCATCAAGTACACCAAATTAGAAAATCTTTAAGTAAATTTTAAAATTAATAACCTAATTTCTAAGTATAAATATTTTTTAATTTAAAGCCTTTCCACTTCAAATTAACTGGTCCTCTTATCAGAGTCGCTAATTATAAGTTAGAACAAGATCAAAAAGAAAAGATTCTTTAATTGTTCATTCAACTCTTTGAAAAGGGAATTGACTTGAAGCCATTTGTTCCTTAACTTCTTTCAACATTCTCTAAAATCTGCTTAGAATTCCCTAGAGAAAGAGAATTCTAGAAATTAATTGCATAAAACTTATGTGAATTAGTTTTGGTTGCTCCTCGTAAAGATATGATTTTACATGAAATGTACTCTCGTTCAAAGGAAGCTGAAGACAAATAGGTTCAAAAGGAAACTTTCTTATATTTAACATACAAAATGCTTAAGTACAACTAACTTGGTCATGACCACAAACTTTTTGCTAAGGCTTTCCTTGAAAAAATATTTAAAGAATGTGTATCTCAACAAGAGGAATCAAGAGAATTAAATATTAACAATATTTGTTTGTATTCCAAGATTATTGGTTTGTTATCAGTTCACATATCCGAGACTCATATTAGCAAATACATTGAAAAGTCTATAACATACTTCAAAGAATCAAATGAATTTAAGTAAACTTTCGAATATCTTTCTGCTGTACTTAGTATTTATGAACGCAATCCTTCCTACGCTAATATCCCTGATGACTTAGGAAATATTATTTCAGCTCTTGTGTTAAAATTCGATAAGGAGTATTAATACCCCTCAGTCAATATGCTTAAGAAATTGATTGAAATGCGTGCTAATGACTCAGTATCTGCTTACTTCTCATCTCAAATTAGCTAAGAAGTATTAAAGATTGATATTGAATAAGATGAAGATATTGTTCATGACAAAGAGGAAGAAGATGAAGAAGGTAAAGATGATGAAGAAGAAGACAACTGAGAAATAATAAAAAGATTTATTTAATTTAAATAGCAATCAATAATTTATTAAATTTCTAGAAATAATGATGTTTAATTTTATATTTTGTTGAAGTTCTGAAATCAGATAGATAAAAAATACGTATTTTAAAGACTAATTTTTACTATAAACAAAACAAATTTTAAATATTTTTTTAAATTAACTGTTTAAGTATTAAATATTATCTTTTAAATTGTTTACTATTATTATAATAATAATTATTATTCTGGGTCTATTTCAATAGTATGGAGATTAATTAGAATTTATAATAGCCTATTTTTTCTGTTTAATAAAATTTATTTAAGTATCTTATTATCAGATAGATATAAAAAAGAATTAATTAATTTATTTTTACAGCAATCTCTGTTTTTAATTGTGATAACTCTTTTGAATGTTCTTGTGCATTTCTGTTTAATTCTTCTTGGAATGCCTCTACCCTTAAAATAAAATAAATAGATTGAATTAATTAATTAATTTTTTGATTTGTAATGAAAATTTTACCTGCTTGAAATGTTATATAATTTTGCCTCAAGCTCTAATTATTCACTATATAGATCAATATTATCTGTAGAGGAAGGCCTTTATTTTTAAGAAAGTTGCACCAAGAGCTCTTTGTTTATTGATTCTAATTTTTCGCACTCCCTTTTAACTCTCTAAAGCTCTGATGTTTGCTTATCAAATACTTTATTTCTCAAATTTTCTTATAAGCTTTCACACTCATCCTTCAGCTTATTGAATTCCTTTTCCATTTATTTAATTTATTCAGAACCTTTCATTGTAGTTTCCATAGCTTACTCTAATTTAAGTATAATTTTTTCTTATTTTTCTATAGTTTCTCTATACATTGGTGCTTTGGAAATAATATCTTTTAAATCAGTTAATTTATGAGCTCCTTACAATCTAACTTTTAATAGATGTTCCAATTCTTCTTAAGAATGTTTAGCTTTAATTATCTAAGAATAAGCTTCTTTTATCTATTTATCAAATTCTTCATTTTTTAACTTTTCATCTCTGTAAGCTGTTGCAACCTAAATTTTATTTAAATTTTAAAAATATTCTAAAAATCAAAATATTTTTAATTACCTTTATTATATTTTATTGCAATAGCTCAGGTTTCATTTTTCTTAATTCTGGATTAAGCTTGGTTTTCTATTCTATTTCAACTTCAGAGTTTAATCTTTTCATAAGTAAATCATTTTCGTTTTTTAATACCTTTTCATAATTATATTTATTTATTTAAATTAAAAAAGAAGGATTGTTTGCTTTTATTTTAAATTACTTTGATTTTCTTCCTTAAATCAGTAATTTCTTCACCTGTTTGCTTTAGACTATCTGTTTTATCTTCTATGTCTTTATTCATTCTGTGCAAAATTTCTTATCTTTAAGCTAATTCTCTTGAAAGTAATTTCCACTTCTCTATTTCATTCATAAATATAACATCTTCTCCTAATTAAGACTCAGTTATGTCACTATCTTTAAAGGATCTATCAGTTAAACTAATTCTTTTATCGAGTTAACTAATGTATGACTAAGATTTTAAGGATTGTTGGCTCTTTTGTATTTCATCTTATTGATCATTTTAACTTAATTCTTTTTCAGATAATTAAACTTAGGATTGATGAAAACTGGGTTCACTTGGTACAGGTGTTTTTTCTCTTGGAACCACATTTTATGCATCCTTTTGACTTAGAACTCCGATATCAAGTTATCCTGTAAGTTTGCTAAATGAGTCAAATAATTTTGAACTCTTTTAATATTATTAATATTTAAATTTAATTTAAATTGAATAAAAAGTTACTTTATTCCATTTAATATTGATTTTCTACGATTCTATTGATTCTGAGGTTTTCAGTTTTTATAGGACAGAATCTACTATAGCCTCTGTTTATCCAATTATTGTATTGCATAGTTTATGAGTTTGCTTAATTTTAGGGTCAGTACTGAGTGCAAAAATATTAATTTTGGTATTTATTTAAGAAACAGGAAATGTAAACACAGCTATGGCACCATAAAATTAATCAGCCTAAATAGGTTATATGCTATTTACATGTCCTAAAAACTACATTTCCTTAGGTTTAGCAGCTTTTTCTAATAATTTAGATATTTTTCCTGCAGGCTATATTTCCATGTTAGTGTAAGTAGGTCTTATTTATCATATTTATAGTTCAAATCTATCAAAAAAAAAAAAATAATCATTACTGTTTGGGGATGTAGGCTTAGTTAGTTAACATAATTTGAAGATTGGTGTCATTAGCAGGATTTCCACTTAAATCAAAATTATGTATAATAATATCACAAAGTCCTTATCCATCCTTTGGCTGCTATTCAAGAGTAAGAGATAAATAATATTTTGGCTTGACTTTGAATTCCTTTTTAACACTTTGCAATTCCTTTTAAAATTAGTTAGATATGCTTAAATACTGAAACATTCTTATTAATTTTAAATACGATGTTTAAGGGAATAAACGGTTTTAATGATTATAGAGGGAAAAAAACTTCATCTATTATTTTATGAGAGGAGTCTTTTATTTTAAAAGCCAAATACCCTTGCACTGTAGTAAAAGGTTCTGCCCCAAATTTATAAAAAGGGTTATTCATTAAAAATTGTGTATTATATAGAGGATGAGTTTAATTGTCTTTTATTTGTGTTCTATATACTTCATAGAAAGCTTCTTTCAAGTTAGGGTCATAGTTTGAATTATCAGACATAGTCCAATTACATTCTTTTTACATAGGTTTAGTTTATAATTTAAAAATAAAAATTTGACTGAAGTTAATTTTACCAACATAAGCACTTGTATTAGCTGGTAAATCAGTTATTTGTCTGACATCAACTCTTAATCTCCAAGCAAAATTAAATAAAGGATCATGTTAAGGTAACAAAACTACATTTTGATTATTCTCTTCTATAGTAAAATCAAAATTTCTATTCTATATTAAATAATTTATTGCAAAATAATTACCCTCATATTTTATAAACTATTTAGCTATAAAAAAGTATATTTACTTTAATCTAAAGATTTAGCCAACAACTTGCAACTTTTTACTACTACTCATTTACAAATTAAATAGGGAGACTAAAATAACCATTAGTCCCCAAATTCAATAGAGATCTTGTTATATAACTTAATTCTACTTAATACTATCCAAAAATTTGTTACTGTTCTGCATTTTCAACTTCATCTTCAAATAAAATAATCTAATATTGCATTTATTAAAATTTAAAATCTATATTTCTATCCTATAATATATCATACTGAAAGCTTTTATTCAATACTACTATTTTATATTGGTTTTAGCTTAAGTTCTATAGGATTAGTTAAATTTCTTGCTTTGTTATATGAAACTTCACCCTTTTATTAAGATTTTAAAATTAAATATTCATATATTACACAATAATCATGCTATTTGAAAATAGATAATTTGCAGTTTTGATAATACTTATTCCTTTGTGTCTACGATTGCTCTTATAGCAAGAGGAGCATTTATAGTAGTCTCTAATTATTATATTGATATTGCTAAAAAACGATTTGTTAAAGGCCTATTTTCCATTTTGTAAACTAATTTTTAATATAGATAACCTAAATTAATAACAACCTTGAAACAATATTTTAATGAATGATTTTAATATTCTTAAATTATGATATATGAGATACTTACTTACAAATAGTTTAATTTAACAAATACAAATGCTGAAATACATACAAAATATATTGGAAACTATAAGAATGCTTTAGCTATAGTTTATAGCCATTAACTAAACTAAAAAGATTAAAATTATTTTACACTATATAATCTTGTACAAGTATATTTTACATGAATTAATAAAAAATTATTCTAAATTAAAATGGTTTGTTTCATTTATTTTGTTTGTTTCTTCCTAAGTTACTAAAAATGTTGAATCTCTAATTAACAGCTGGGAATTATTCTTCCTATTATTAAGATGGTACAGCATTATTCAATTCATCATCATAATTATTCATTAAGCTTCCATAGAATACTTCGCCCTTTTATTGGTTAGGCTAATTGTTACCTATTTAGGTGTTTGAGGTGATATGATTGTTAGATGTAGGGATGTTGCTAGCACTGCTAACATTACTGGCTAGATTTACTGTTATAGTAGGGTTCGATATGTTTTATGCTTACTATGAAGCAGATCCTACAGCTGGGACTTAAGTCAGTAAAGGATTATTTAAAGAAACTATTTTTATTTATTTTTTAAGAGGTTTTTCAGGATCAGAATCAGAATGATTTTCACTTGGTTTTTTAACAGGTCTTTATAGTGGGGATGTGTTTGATGCGATAGAAGCCTTTCTCTATCTGTTATTTTCAGAATTCTTACGCAATTTGAATCCTCCTTTATTATTATTACTATTTTAAGGATCATCTTCCATGTCTTTATTACCCATATTAAATTAATTACCAAATCCTTGATCTTCAACTATTATTAAAAATAGATAATTCATAAATATCATAATTGCTTAGTTTGTTTTTTTAATTTTTTTACTTTTTAATAGATTTTAAGAAGGAAGGGGAGATATTGAGCTAGCCCTGTTTCTATACAGATCTGTATTATCAAAACTACTTTTATATAATCCTCCAAAAGGATGATTAGGTTGAATATAAGGAGAAGGTTTATAATTTGGAGTATAAGGATCCTATTATTAATGATAAGAATGAATTAACTTAATTTTACATTTGAGCAAAATAAAATTTTATTACATTGAAATCTCCGTATAATGGTATATTAAATAAAGAGCTAGGTGTCTCGCTCTTTTTTTTCTAGTTTACTTATAAAAAATCACCTGATCTGCTATTACCAGCCTTTGATTTATCATATGGATTGTTAATGGGATAATTTATGGGAGTAAGTGTAAATTGGTTTTCATAATTTGGCTTTGGTGTATTGAAGAATAAATTTGGAGTGTTTAGCAAGCTATCAAAAGGTTCCTTTCCAAAGTTTGGATGAGGAGTGTGAAGGTTATGTAAGTTAAAAACACTATTTCTTCTTGCTTTTTAAGTATGTGAAAATAATGGGGACTTATTTAACTAATTCAAAGATATTTAATTATTCATTATAGTATTAAGCAGTTCTTGTCTTTCTTGTTCTAAAAGTCTTTATTTTACATTTGGGTCTAACTCCTCTAGCCAAAGAGGGACAGATGGCTTAAAAGGAGGTTCTCTAAGCATAGTTCTTAATTTATTGCTATAAAATAAAAATTTTAAATAAAATATTGTTATTTTAAAAATGAGATTACAGCTGTTTCTTGTTAAATGGGTCATGTGTCTAACTTGAAGCATTACGCTCAATAGTAATTTTTCTCCTAACAACCATATGATCATCTGGGCACACCATCAATATTTATTTATAGAGATTGACAGCTTCAATATAATGCTTTCCTATTTCGTAAAGAAGTGCTATATTAAATAGCGTTTCTATATTGTTTTCTAATTCGAAGCTTTTGTTGAAGCATGAAAAGGCATCTTTCATCTATTATTAGATTAAAAATAAGTAAATTTATTCATTAAATCATATAAATTATATTACCATATTTAATTTAAAGAAAGTTATTCCAAGATAACACCAGCATATTGCATTTTAACTATTAACTTAAATAGCTTTATTGAAATATTCTAAAGCTTACTTGACCTATCCTTGCTAATCATAATTTTTTGCTAAAATTAAAAGTATTTCAAAATCTTTATTATTTTGTTAGTAAGCTTTCTAAATGAGATCGGCACTTTCTCTCTAAAATTATTTCAAACAAAAATTTTATCACAAAAAAGATTTTACAAATCAATAAGTATTACATAACTCTTTTTTTGGAATAAAATCCAGCTTAAACATTTTAATGCATTAGAATTTGTGCTCTCGACTTATTTGGCTTTTTGATAACATGTTTATGCATCTTCTAACTAATTTTGTTAAATAATAAATAAATGTCTTTATAGTATATAGCCTTTAAAATGAAATGTTTATTACTTCTTTCATCAATTCAAACTATAAACCTGCATTACATAATATTTCAACTGTTTTTTGTTGATTAAATATATTTTTATCATTTTGGATTAAGCTAGAAAGGAAGAGCTATATTTAAATGTATAAAATAAAGTCTCAATATTTTATTGTTGTAATTATTATTATTATATTATTACTTAAGCTGCTTCTTAATGATATCCATTTTGTCTTTTAAGTATAGCTTTATAAAGATCAACTATTGGCTGATAGATATACTTTTATTGATATACATTAACTTTGTTAAAGAACTATTCAGAATCAATAAACTTTCCTTGCTTTAATATTTATAACATTAACATAAAATATTTTGTATTGTATAAACTAATCAATTAATATTTACTCGATAGTGTGCAATTCCTAATTCAAAATGAATATTTGGATCTTTCTATTTAATATTTATTAATATGTGCTTTGAACTCAAGAAGTTATTGATATTTAGAATACATATTTGTTAATAGAATAAAATAATTTACATTAGCTTTTGCTGAAAGCTCCATAGCTTTTTAGTAGTACGATATAACTTTCTCATGCTTCTTTAATCTAAAAGCACAATGACCTGCTAAAATTTAAGCATTACCCTTATTTGGATTGGCATCATTTAGCAATTCATATATTTTTAAGGCCTATTTTATATTAATATGAGGATTTTTGAATAATTTCATTCAATTATGTTTTTGAAATAAGCACTATTAATTTTTATTTTAAACTTTTATAAAGAATTTATTTTCATATTTGTGATGTACGTACGTACTGTATGTACTGTATCAAAATTATAAAAATATTTTCAAACTAATTTATCTAAATAACAAATATAATCCCATTTACACTCTCAAATTAGTTCTTGTTTATGTAATATTATCCTCTCTTTAAATATTCAGCCTAATTTTTCAATACAAAATCACTTGTAGGCGGATTTAGCAACTTATCTAATTCAGCCGCTGCTTATTGGTTACTACTATTCTATTATGAATTGCTTCCTTTTTCCTTAGCTTCTTTATCTTTTTCTTTGTCTTTCGACTTATCACTGCTTTTGCTTGTAGATTTTTCATCTTTACTAGATTCATTTCCTTTTGTTGACTAACTATTTTCTGCTTTTGTAGATCCCTTTTCATTAGATGTTTGTTTTTCCTTTTCATTGTTTGAATTATTTTCTTTATTTTATTGGCCTTTGCCGCTATCTGCTGTGGGGTTAGCTTTATCAGTATTGCTAGAATTTGCTTATTTTTATTATTTTTCCTCTTTATTTGAAGATGACGTACTTTTGGAAGAAGAGTCTGCAGTCTTTTTTGAAGCCTCTTTATTTGTAGAAGACTAATTTTAGCTCATTATTATAGTAGTATAAATTAAAAATAATTAATTAAAAACAATATATATTTTATTAAGCTGCTATTTTTAATTATTATTTGTTAACTTTCTTAATACTAACCCTTTTTTAATAATATAAGATAATAAGACTTTTAATAAATTCTTGGGAGCAATTAATTGAATAGCATTGATTAAAAAAGCAAATAAAAAAGTATTACAATCTCTTACTACACTTTTAGAGATTTAATTAAATTAAAATTTTGTTTAATTAAGCAAAAATGAATGATAGCTTAGGCAAACAAAAATATCAATCAATCAATTAAATAATCAATTCTATTTATTAAATATTAATTTCATAAAACTATAATTTAACTATTAATGAAAATCAAAGATAGCGCTTATGATATTAATTTAGAATTTTATTTTTTATTAATTAATTATTTATTAACACAAATTCAATATTTGTTATCTTCTACTAATAGCCCGCTAAAAAATTTCTTGACAATCTTTACAATATTCAAATTAAAATGATAAAATTAAATTATTTAATTAAATAAATGTCTATTGAATTCCAAAAACCTATTACTAGCTAAAATAAAGCTAAAATATGTTAATTTTTTTTTATTTACTTTCATTCAAACATAATAAAATATCTTTAAATCTAAACTGACAAATTTCTAAATAAAGAAAGAGGATAAATTAAATTCAATATTTTTTAATAAAAAACAATTAAAAAATATTCTAATTCAATCAAAATATTTTGTTGATAAATTTTTTTAATTTTTTTATACTTTTATTTTAAAAACTCAAAGGTTTTTTTGAAATAAATAAATATTTATCTTTAAATTTAATTAGAATTACTTTTAATTAGATAAAACAACAATTATTTTGTTAAAAAAACAAATTTTTAAAATAAATTAAAAAGAGCAAAAGTGTTAATTAAGTTAATCATAAAAATAAAAAATCTTTTTTATTGAATTAATAAAATTAATAGTTTATTTAACTTTTATAAAAATTAGTCTTTTAAAAAATATTTTATTTTTTAATTTTGAGAAAAATCATTTCTGAATTAATTAGCAACAGTGCATAAATCTTTTGTTAGGCATATTCTGAAGGCTCTCCCACATTCCATTTATTACATTAAATCTAATAATTTATTAATTAAAATTAATTTAATTTTTTTAATCAATATTTTTTTATTAAAATTTAAAATAATTGTAATCACCTTTCAACAGAATCTAATGGACCATTATCAAATCCACCAAGCACATAGATATGCTAGTTATTTTAAGACACAATAGCTGAACTCGTACATCTGCTATAGCGCATACTACTAACATATGTCCATCTATCTAACTATTCATCGTATCTAATAATTTCACGTTTCTTATTAAATACTTGTTAAAAACGAAATAAACTATTTACTTTTCAACTGAGTTAATGTAATTATTTCCATCAAATCCTCCTATAGCGTAAATGCCATCTGGAAGAGTAACTGCACTCAAGGCTCTTCTTGGAATGTTTAAAGGAGCTATTTTTTCCCATCTTTAATAAATAGGATTATATCTTTCAGCACTATTTAGACAAGTGTTATATTCACCGCCAAAACCTCCTATAGCGTAGATTTTTCCATCTAATCCCTATGTAACAGCTAATTCATCTCTCTTTTCTAGCATTTTAGGATATGGTCTAACCTATTTTAGTACGAAGTCATAAACTTCCATAGTATCTAAAATTCCATATCCATCATTTCCTCCTACTACGTATATCATATCTATTATTTTTATAATCGTAAAATAAACACATTAGTTTAATTAATATTAACTAAATACCATTCTTGTACACAACTCCAAAACCGCTTCGAGGAGAAGTAAGTTATAGACTAGCTTTTAAGAAGGTTTTAAATCTTGGGTTGTATTCATCTATAGAGGCTGTTCTTTAATTATCTTATTTTCCTCCAATCATCAAAATATTGCCATTCATCAAAAGAGCTGAGCAGAATTTAGAACGATTTATAGGCATAATATCGAATTGTTCCCAAGTGTTTCGAGCTAAATCATACCTATCTATAGTATACTATTAATTTTCAGTGTAACCTCCAAAAACATAAATGAATTAATTAGAGTTTTAGAGAGAGGAAAAGTCAAATTTATTTGAGTAAATGTCATTTTAATCATTCACATAGTTGTTAAATTTAGAAACTCCATAACTTTATGAAGAGTTGAAAGCAGAGATAGGTGTATCCATAGAAGACTACTGGTGAGGTATTAAAGTTAAATTTGGAGTAATATTTGATTTTAATTAGGACGATTCTTATAGGAATGTGTTAATCTCACCCTTAAATGAATTATTAACCACATGCTCTTAATGGTCTTCATTTTTTTCAGAGATATTTAGTGCTATTTCGCTCATTTCAATACTTTCATTTTAATTTTGCTAAGTGTTCATTCTCTTTCCAATTTAATCGTGCTGATTATTGTTCTGCATCTATTAAGCAAAATCCAAATTAACTAGTATCTACTTTTAGTCTTGCTTTTTACTGACATCTTATTTTCTTTATTATTTGATTTATAAATTAAAACTTAAAGCCATTTAATATAGAAATTTTACGGTGAAATTTTATTCTAAATCTTGTTCACTGAAGAAGTACCTGTTTTAATTTTTTAAATAAGAATTTTATTGTATTCTGATAATTAATAAAGTACTTGATAAATTCTTTGAGTTTGACAATGAAGAGGATGCAGTAGTATTAAAAGCTTGATTATTGTTAGGGCGACTTGTATTACTCTAAAGTGAAACTTGCACTCCTGCAGCTCCCTTTGTTGGGTGATAATTTAGTGAACTAGAAACAGTTGGAGCTGGGTTAGGATTAGGAGTGTTCAACAAACTAATCATAGAAACTGGAGATCTCTTACTTTTCTCAGTTTACTGTTTTGATTAATCTTTTTTAGAATTAATTCCATGAGATTAATAGTTTTATTCATCTCTACTACTAGATTTGGTTTACTCTCTCTCACTAGTAATTTTTTCTTTAAATTAATTACGCATTTCTTGGAAGTTATCTAATGTAAAAAGATACTTTTATTTTTTTGATAATTATTAAATTCTAATTACTTAAAGGTTTATTCAAAATGGATTGCTTAGGGTGAGATTGAGTATTCTAAGCCTTATCATCTAATACCTCCTCTGACTTTAACTCTCTAAAATATATATAATAAATAAATATTTAGACAATTCGTACATTTATTTGAATTATTTACTCCAAAATGTTAAAACTTTTTTTAGTTTTAGAAGATTAAGAGCTTATCTCTGCAGTTTGTTGAGAATTTAGCTTTCTGTTTGGTAGATTCTATAATTTTATGAATGAATTTTAAGATCTAGTTGAAAATTTAAAAAAATTTACTGAAAGCTAAGTATTACTATCTTTATTTTATGTATTACCTTTACTTGTCTTTCTAATTAATAAAAATGTATTTAAAATGTTTAAAAAAATTATATTTATTTACTAATCTTTTTTCACTGCTAACTTATTTTATTTGGTAGTATTTTGTGATGCACTATTTCCATTATTATTATGAGTTGAAGCAACACCAGCCATAGCAGCTGCTGCTGTCTGCTATGAGCTAGTTTGAGTCAAAATGTTTGTATTTAGCTTGAGTGCTTTCTAATTTGCATTTTACTAGCCCCCATTTTCATTTTTCTAAGCTTATGAAGCTTTATTCTACTCGTGCTTAAGATAAGAATTAATAATCTTGATAAGACTTTGCACTTCTCTTTCTTTGTTAAAAGTAAATTTTGTAGAAATAGAGTGACTCACATTCAAAGCAGACTCTTCTATTGTTGCTTCTTACATTGATTACTTCCTTTTATTAGATTACTTTAAGAAGAGTATAGGAGAGAGGTTAGAAAGATCTTTATATTGAGTAGATTACTCTTCTATTTTCTGTAATACACTTTAAAAAGATTTTTATTGTATATTCAAATTAGCCTCTTCTTTCTCCATTTATTCTTTCACTCTATTCTTTTACTTTTCTTCTCTCTCATTAACTATTTTTCTAATATTATTGTAAAAGTGAGTTATTTCATGCAAACTTTTATCTGTAATTTTGCTAAGCTAAGAAGTGCTTTCCTAGATACTATTTATACTATTCACTATTTTTTATTTTAAATGTTCTGCTTTTGCTAAATGTTTTTCAACAGTCTTCATTTCCCCATTTCTCGCATTTTAAATAGATTCCAATTCATGACTTTTGTGGTTCTCTTCAAGTATACAATTTATACATAGCAGTACCTTATCACTCATGCAAAAAGCTTTCTTATATCCAAAATATTAATTAATAATCTGTTCAATAGAATTTAATAAAAAATCCAATAAGAAAATACATTTCTGGTTTTATTAAAAACTTTAATCATTTTAAATGCTAGCTAATTTATTTATTTTATCAAATGCTAATTGCTTAAATATTTATTTGTTTTTAGCTTTATCTTTTAATTATTAGTTGCTCTCATTAAAGATTAAAGAAAACTTTAAACGTTATTTGATTAATTCTAACTAGAAAAATGCAGCTTTAAATAAATATTACCTTCGTATTTCTTTTAATGTTTAGTGCAATTATTTTCATCTTTATTGGATTCTTCTTCATTTTATATCCTTCTTGAGGCTGGTGAATTCTTTAAAACAGTTACTGTGACATTATTTTATCTTTTTACATTTAATAATGCAATATTTTTCGGCATAAGATTAATTGACTCAGCAAAATTCATCGTTCCACATTCTAAACAAGTTACTATTCTATTTTAGAGTTTTTAAGACAAGCAGCTTTCACACAAAGTGTGTCCACATTATATTAAAAGACGAGGACATCTTTCTTTGTCATTAAACTATTATCGACAGCCAAAGCAATCCATAACAACTATTTACTAAACTTATTTTTAGAATACTATTTGGTTTTGTAATAATTATTATTTTTGATTTAAAATATATCTAACAAAAAACAAAGTAAATTTTTATAAATATAAAATAAAAAAGCTGTTGAAATAAATCAAAATATTGAATTATTATTATTATTCTCTGCTAATAAATATATTATTTTCAAGACATAATTAAATGAGTAATCATTTTTATTTATTTATTTATTCAAAATAAATAGTTGATATCTCATTCATTTTTTGCTATTTGAATCTTCATCTTTGGTTTTTTACTAATTTTATTTTCATAAAATTTATTTTATTCAAGTTGTTTTTTATTAATTGATGAAAAATTAATAAAATCCACATTTTCGTTAAATTTTGTTACATTTTATTAAAAAAAAGAACTTACATACATACATATCTAGTATTTTTGAAATTCGTAATCAACTAAAATTAATTTATTTTATTATAAAATAAAATTAAGTTTAAGAAAAAATAATTAGTAACTACATATACCCAGTATAAATATTAAATTACTTTAAGAATTCAAAAATTTTTGGTTAAATTTTTTTCAAATATAAAATTTCTTATTTTATTGACTACTAATAAAATATGTTTTTCTTAATATTTCAAATTAATTTTTTAGAATAAAATTATAAATTTATTTTACTGTCTAACAAACATATTTTAATATTGAAATATATTTAAAATAAAAATTAACTTTCTATTTTTGAAAAGGCTAGTCATTCATTTTGGATATTTTAAAGAATAAATATATTATTTCAAAAATTAAAAAGAGATAATGTAAAAATATGAGTTTGTTATTTCAAATAAATTAAAAAAATATTTTCATATTTCTAAAATTTTTAATTAATTTATTATAAAAATCCTAAATAAAATTTACTAATCATTTAGCACGTTTAAGTGAAAAAATAAAGGAAAAAAACTGATCTTTATTTTTGTAGCTTTTAAGTCAAATATTGTTATTTAGTTAATAAGTAGAAAAGTTAATATTAATAACAAATATTTATTTTTATAAAAATTAAAATAAAGTTTAACTTTTTTTATGCTTTAAATAGAATATCAAGTAAGAAATTAAAAATAGTCATACTTATTGATTTATTTTTTAAAACTAAATGGTTATATTGATAATGTAAGGATAAATATGTTTGTCTTGCAGCTTTTAAAAGAAATTTCTAAAATTTCCAAAAATTGATGTATTAAAAGAAGCCTTTAATAATATAAGAAAATTAGGAATATCAAATTAAATTTTTATTTTAATCTGAGAGTATAAATTTATCTTTTTTTTATTCTAATCGAAGATTAGAAAATTTGATTATTTGATTACAAGTATAATTACCTCAAAGAGTGTTGAAAAAGATATGCTTATTACTATTTTTTTTCTTTTACTTAATAAGATAAATTTGTATTTATGATTTCAATTTATTTGTTTAAACCTCTTAATTTTTATTAGCACGCAAAATTTATAGAACCATTTTTAAGTTTTAGCAAGCTATATGACTAATACACTTTGTTATATACACTTAATGATAATATTGAATATACCATTGATCTCAAAAATGAAAATGTGTTAACAACTTTAAATTATTTATTATATTTCTTGTTGACTCTATATGATTAATAGTTTTATTTTGTAAAATCATCATAATTGCTTTAAAATATGGCTTATTTTTACAATTTTTCTATTATTTTTCAGAATCTTGCTTATTACTCGCTTCAAAAAAATAGAATAAGTTATTATCTTAGTTATCATACAAAATATTAAGGATTTTTATCTATGTATATCTATTATCAACTTAAAATTACTTATTTCTACTAAACATCATGCTTTTATCTTAACAATTTTTTATAATAAATAAAATTATTAAAATGGTATATAATAGATTATTATCACTCTAGATTATTTTCTTAAATAAAAATAAATCTGTAGCTAACTAAGCGTATAATTCTTTTATTTTTTTACTAGTTTTTGAGATCACCAACTTTTAGATATTAAAAAGTAAGTTTTGAAGGAAATTTGTAGTATTTAGTTAGCTTTTCTAATAATAAATATTATTTTTATAAATGGAAAAATAATAGAATAATTATTTATTAACATTTAATAGGTTTTAGAATAAACAGAGATCTTTTGTAGAAAAAACTACGATAGTAATAGTTGTATGATATAACATTTGAATTTAAATAAAATAAGTAAATTTAATAGATCGATTGAGTACTATAAAATATTATGATGCATTTTAAAATTATTACTTATTACGATGTTCTAACTTCAAACTTTAAAAACTAGATCAAATAAATCTTTTCACTAGAAGATATAATATTGTAAATAAAACAAGTACTCTTTTTTACTCTCTTGATTAGGATTTTATAATCTAATTTCTTTATGTTAGATGATTTTAAACATTGAAAATAAGCTAAATTCCTATTTAAGCATTATTTTAAGGTTTTAAATAATAGATTTTCTACGCTAATCTAAATTTATTGCTATTTATTTTGTATAAATTTATAATATCTTCTTGAGTGATTTAAAATTATTGGAACTAATAAATAAAAGAATAATTAAATTTTTTAATTCTAGAAAAAATCCAGAATAAATCCTGAACATTAATAAAGTAAAGCAAGGAAAAAATCATAATAAACCAAAAAAAAAAAGATATGTTTTTTTTATGCATTCTAAATCGAAACTTTTTTAACAAATTCCACTTTTGTTTGATAATTAATTTAAAAATATTGAAATAATTTTATTGCTGAGAAGACAAAAGCATCTGCCTTTTTTTTGATAAAATTTTTAAAACCTAAATACATGAATAAAATCCTTTTGTTAAGGTTGTTTTGCTTAGAAAATAGATATCCAATTTATTTTGTAATGTGTGTTTGATAACAGCAAATTAAAGTGAATTTTAACTTTATTATTGTATGATCTTTAATGTTAAGTTAATTTTTATGACGTGAGAAATAATTAATATTCATTCATATTATCCAATCAAAGATAAAGAAATAAACCAGAAATTAGTTAGGATTTGGACGGTGTGATTTATGTATTTAATCGCATAGAAAGATAAAATTAGTCGGAAACTTTTTTTATTCAAATAGAAATGCTTTTAGATCAATAATTTAATTTATAAATAATTAATTAATTCAATTAAACAAATTAGCAAATAAATTAAAAAATAAACTAAAATGTACTCACTCCCAAAGAATCACTTCTTGTTCTCTTCTGAATCAGTTTCTATTGGTCATCCTGACAAGCTCTGCGATTACGTATCTGACTCTGTTTTGGATGCTTTGTTGACTTAAGACCCTGATGCTAAGGTTGCTTGCGAATCTGCTTGCAAGAACACTTTACTTATGGTCTTTGGTGAAATCACTACCAGCAGCTAAGACATCGTCTATGAAAAGATTGTTCGTCAAGCTATCAAGGAAGTTGGTTATGATGATATTGAAAAGGGTTTGGACTACAAGAATGCTGTCATTATGGTTGCTCTTGATCAACAATCCAAAGAAATCGCTAACGCCGTCCACGTCGAAAAGATAGACGAAGATGTTGGTGCTGGTGACTAAGGTCTTATGATCGGTTATGCCTCCGATGAAACTGAAGAATTAATGCCCTTGACTCACTTATTGTGCAACAAGCTCATCGAAAAACTCCACGATGTCCGTATTGACAATACCTGCCCTTGGATGAGACCCGATGCCAAGGTTTAAGTTACTGTTGAATATGAATAAAACGGTACTCAAATCAAGCCCGTCAGAGTTCACACCATCCTTATCTCTCAATAACACTCTCCTGATATCTCCAATGAAAAGATTGCTGAAGAACTTAAATAACACGTTATTAAGGCTGTCATTCCTGCTCACTTCCTCGATGACAACACTGTCTATCACCTTAATCCTTCTGGTTCTTTCACCGTTGGTGGCCCTTGTGGTGATGCTGGTTTAACCGGTAGAAAGATTATCGTTGATACCTACGGTGGTTGGGGTGGTCACGGTGGTGGTGCTTTCTCTGGTAAGGATCCCACCAAGGTCGATAGATCTGCTGCTTATGCTGCTAGATGGGTTGCTAAATCTCTTGTCCATAACGGTTTATGCAAGAGAGCTCTCGTCCAAGTTGCTTATGGTATTGGTATTGCTAAGCCTCTTTCTATCTACGTCAACTCTTACGATACTGCCGCTGAAGGCTACACTGATTTGGATCTCCAAGAAATTGTTGTCAACAACTTCGATTTGAGACCTGGTATGATCATCAAGGAACTCAACCTTAAGAGACCCATCTACAAAAAGACTGCTTCCTGCGGTCATTTCGGTAGAAACGATCCCGATTTCACCTGGGAAACTCCTAAGGATCTCTCCCACGCCAAGAAGAAATTGTGAGTTAGCTGAATGAATGGCTGATTATTTCTTTGAAGCAAACAACAATAATATATAAACTCTTAAAATAAAAAAAATTAATCTATTATTAATAATAAACTTATTCATAAATTCTATACAAGTTATTACATAGTTATTCCTTTCACTAATAAATTTTCATAATTGCTCTCATATTCTTCTCAGCATAATGTTTATATTTAAGCCAGAACGAATAAGAAACTAGCAAACTAATACAAAGAAGTAGTACTCATATTAGGAAGACATATTTTAGGCAAGCAAGTAAGCAAACAAGATATAACCATCAATAGTAGAAATAATTATAGCAAAAAAAAATAAATTAGGTGCGAATTAAAAAAGATTTGATAAAAAGTGCAAAAAAACAAAACAAAAATAATTAAAAGATAATATGCCAATCTTTTTTTCTAAAAGGATATTTATTTATTTATTATCTTGAAAATTATGAATGAATGTACTTAATTAATTTATCAAATCTTTCAACATAATAATAATAATAATAACAAATATATTATTCAGTTTTTAGTTAAAAGCATCAATTTTTTTTTGAATTCAATAAATTATCCTATTTATTATCTTTCTCACGCGCGTTTTAAAATTATATGTTTTATCTATGCTTAAAATTACGTCACTATTCATCTTTTTGCAACTAATATATGATAATTTTCATCATTCAACTTTCTATGTATAAATTATAAAAATTTACATTATATTTTAGATATCCAAAATATCTTTTTAATCAATTACTTTTATTAAAGACTATGTTCTTTCTCAAAATAAAAAAGTAATATTTTTAATAAATGTAAGCATTTTTGTCATTTATAAATATATGCATAAAAAATCATCTTTAATCAAATAATATTTTAGCTATGCTAAAGGAGTTATATTTATTTTGTCACTTAAATTTAAAATAAATTTATTTATTTATTATTAAAATTATATTTATTTAAGTTTCAACATTAATAATTAATTTATTTTTTTAATTTAAATAAATAATTTATTTTTGTGTTTAATATTTTTTAATAAAAAATTCTTAATTTAAAATAATAAGTATAAGAAGAAAGTCTTTGAATTTAATACAATACAAGCATCATAACTACTCAATTTTATATTTTTACTTTTTTTTTTTGAATCCCATCTATATTACCATTTATACAACCTTTTTTGATTTTGTTATAATAATAGATTTATTTTTATTTTTTTAAAATTAAGTAAATTATTTAATTAATAAATTAATTAATTAAAATATAAATGAATTTCAAAATTATTAATTTTGTTGTCGGCCATACTAAGGTGAAAACACCGGATCCCATTCGAACTCCGAAGTTAAGCGCCTTAAGGCTGGGTTAGTACTAAGGTGGGGGACCGCTTGGGAAGTCCCAGTGTCGACAACCTTTTTTGAACTTTTAAATTATGATCTTTTTTAATGCTATGATTGATAATTAAATCATTTTAAATGATTTATATATTTGTTATCATAGTAATTTATATTTTTCATCATTTTAATAATTTTGTTGTCGGCCATACTAAGGTGAAAACACCGGATCCCATTCGAACTCCGAAGTTAAGCGCCTTAAGGCTGGGTTAGTACTAAGGTGGGGGACCGCTTGGGAAGTCCCAGTGTCGACAACCTTTTTTTATTTTAGATGATAAAAAATGGATTTAATTGAAATAATTCTATGAAAAATGATTATTATTATTTAATTTAAATTTTCTGATAATAGTTTAACTCTTATTGTTTTGAATAATTGTAAAATCTAAAAATAAGAACAATTGAAATATAGATTAATGTGGGATTAAATAAAAATATTTTGAATGATCTGGCAATCTGGTGTAAATAAAAATATTTATTAATTTGAATGGAAATATTAATTGTAAAAAATTGAGTAAAATAACAATTCTGATATAATATGGTATTATGTGGATAATTTTTGTCATATTTTAATAGTTTTCACTAATTTTTTACACTTAGAAAACCTATCATTTGTCTTAAAAACACAATTTTGTGAGAAATTTATTTTTAATTTATTAATAGTAAAAATTAAATAAAAAATAAATAATGATAACAACTATCCTGATTGCTTTAACATTTATAGGTATTGCTTTGCTTTTATTCAAGGCATTTATCTAACCTCTCTATAGAATTAGTTTTTACACAAAATAGGGTTTGAAATAAAAGTTCTTTGTTCCATTTTTAGGCTTACTATATTAGATGATTAAAGATATGAATGGCAAGTAAAAAGATGCTATGTATACCTTAAAACATTTGCCATAAAATATTAAAGAACAAAACTTGGATGGATTCGTTGCTAATTTAGGTTCTACACCTGTTATCTATCTGCTTGATGCAACTTTAATAGGAGAGTTTTTACAAAAATAGACAGAGTACTATCAAAAAAGTGAATTTGCAACAAAAATGTCAATTTTATTATTTGGCAAAGGTGTTGTATTCTCAGAAGGTGAGGAGTGGAAAACGAAAAGAAAACTTCTTTCTAACACCTTTCACTATAATCTGATTTAGGATTAAGTTAAGTTAGTCTTGAATGTCACTGAAAAAATCTTCGAATAGCAAGATTAAAATTCTGTTTGTTTCCTTCAGACTGTTGAGAAGATAGGAGGAGATGTAGGCCTTATGAGCTTTTTAGGAGCAGATATAAACAATTACACTCTATTTGGGTAGGAACCAACTGCTGGCATTAACTAGTATATAAATCAATTAATGTCATACATGAAAAATCCTTTAACTGTTTTGATGGGAGGCTATTTGTTTAATAATTAAGTTAGAGGCTCAGACAAAAAAGTCAAGTAAGGAAGCTAAGAAATAAAGAATCTACTAAAGAAGGTAGTTTTAGATGTAATTGATAGAACTAAAAACTAAATGAATGATGGCAAATAAAATGTAGACACAAGTATTATTTCACTTATGCTTAAAAACGGTTAGCTTAAAACAGAAGAAGAAATTGATGAACTTGTAATTTTGACATTAAACTTCTACTTTGCAGCCAAAGACACAGTAAGCAGATTAGTTGCAAATTTGATGTATTACATAGGCAAAAATGATCATATTTACAATAAGCTAGAAAAAGAAATTCTTTCCTTTAAAGATGAAGAAATAAATATAGAAAATATGAAAAAATATAATTACCTTGAAGCTGTTATTAAAGAATCATTAAGAGTTTGTGGACCTTCTCCATTTTTAATTCAGAGGACAGCACTTTAAGATCATAATTTAGGTAAACTGAATATTTTCATAAAAATTCTTATTTTAAATTTTATAAATAGGTAAATACAAAATATAGAAAGGAACTGATGTTAATTGTGTTTTTATTTATAATTTTTACAATGAAAAATACTTTGAAAATCCATTTGAATTTAACCCAGAAAGATGGCTGGACTAGGCATAATTGGAAAAAATAAAAATCAATCCCTTTTCATATCTTCCCTTCTCAGGAGGATCCAGAAATTGCATTGGATAATACTTTGCTATGATGGAAATTAAAGCAATTATGATTTATTTTATGAGGACTTATGAAAAGTTTTAAATACCAGAAAATTTTTAATATCACATAATTATTAAAACAACAATCGAAACAAAGGATCATCTCACTTGTTCACTTAAAAAAAGAGTTAAATGAATAATTTGAAAGTTTTTTTTATTAAATTTATGTTATCGTATTTTTTTATTCTTAAAAAATATTCATAAGTTATCTTGGCTTTAAATTTATTTAAATATATTAATTTATTAGGTTGCTTTTAAAAAAAGAATAATTTTTCAGACAAGATTTTAAATCAAAAATACATTAATTTAAATAATTTTATATATATTATTTGCTTCATTAAAAAAAGAGAGAATATTTACATTCTTTTCAAGATATAAAATATAAAAATTTAAAGTATTAATTGTTGCAAAACTAAGAGAAGAAAGTTTTAAATTAATTTTATTAAATTATTTATCTTAATTAATTTTTTATTTCAAAAAATGAGAAAAATATTTATAAAATATTGAATCAATAAAAAATATGAAAAATAAAGTTAAAATTATAAAGTATCATTCAAAATTAATTTTTAAAAATAGATTTAATAAATATACTTGAGATTATTTAAAAAAATAAAAGATGTTTTTTATTATTCTAATTATCCAATTTGTAAATAAATTAGCTATTATTTGAAAAAAAAATTTTTTTTTTTTGAATAGTTGTCCTCATTAGTAATTTTTTAATAGGTAAAGTATCTTAAAATAAAATATTTTCATTTTATACTATTTAATAATATTTTTAGTAGATATTATCCAAAGTTTTCTATGCTTCTATTTAATTATTTTCTATTTTTAAAGCAGTTTCTGATTATTTGGCTATTAATTAATTTAGATTGAATTTGTAGCTACATTCTTTAAATATTTCTTGTGTTTTAATTATAAAATGCATTAATTATATCTATGTTTTTTAAAGATTAACTAACTATTTTTTTTTTCATTAGAATTATCAATATACCATTAATCTTCCAATTATCTGATTTTACATTTAAAAATTTATGAAAAATAAGATCCATTTGATAGTACCCATTTTTAATAAAAAAATCAACTAAGGGTTGATGTAGATATTTGAGAAAATATGGTATATTTAAGAATGAATTTAACTTTACTCAGAATTTTAATATGATATTTATTAACTTACTTGATGATTAATCCAAATTTTTTTCTAAATTATTTTGTAAGTTATTAAAGGAATTCTTAATTAAAAAACTTATAGTGAAAACAAAAAATGAATGCAAAAAATACAATAAAACTAACATTAACTTAAAATATAAATAACTTTAACAGTTAAATTGGCTAAAAATATTGAAGGCCAAGTATAATATTTATGCGATATACTGAATTAATTAGAATTTTGTTGTAGCTTTTAAGTTAATTATGAATTTTTAAAAATTATATTCTTAAGTTAGTTGACATATTAATCACTTTATATGAAGGGTTAACCAATAAAATTTCTCATGAACTTCCCATTTTAGTCCTCTTTTTTCATATGTTTAGTTATTTTATTATTCAAAGTAGTTGTTTAATTATTGAAGAATACTCTGCTCTAAATCAATAAAAGTAGGCTATGAAAACAAACTTTTTATAACTACTAGTAACGTAAGACCACCAGCAACGCAAATTAAGCAAATGCTTGCCCAAAGAAGGTTTTAATCACCATTTCCATAAACCAAAACGATTAGAAGAATAAATGAAATCAAAGAAACAAAAATAGCTATATATAAAATCACTTTTAAAGATTTTTAATACTCTGCTTCTTCCTCACATTTTTTCTTTGTCCAAGTAGTCTCACATATTTTGTTTGCTTAAATTATTGTTTCATCAAATGTTTTTTTATCTATTCTTCCAACTAAATCATCTTTATAGCAAGTTTTTCTAAATCCTAAACCTTCGTTATTGGGTAAAACAATAACTCTTTGTTTGTTGGATGCTGGAAACTGCAACTGCTGTATCTTTTCAGCTCTTGTTAAGAAATCTTCTGGGCTAAATTCTTTTTTTGTCATAGGAAGTTTTACCTTTTAGTTGGTTAGAAATTATTTGTATATAAATTATAGTCTTTAAAAGAAAAACAAAATTTAGAGTGAGTTTCTTAAAACTATAAACAAATTTTAATTTTTATATAATTTATATGATGAATTCAAACAAACAATCAAGAAAGTCATGAGTCAAAGTAAGTATGCAAAACGTTAAAATGTATTTAGATTTTGTTTATTTAAATATTAAAAAAAGAATAATAATTAGATAAATTACATAATAAGAAATTTTAAACTCGCCTAAAATAATTAATTAAAACATTATTTAATACAAATTATAGACAAAATAAAAATGCCAAAAAATATAAATTTTACTTGATAGATTTTGATTTAACAAAGAGAAATCATATTATAGTCCAAAAAAAATTAAGTAAAAACTATTTAGGTTGAACTTATGCAAAGTATTTTTATGAATCTTTATTTATCTATAACTACATGATTTTTGCAAAGAAATTAAATTTAAAACAAAGAAGAAAGACAATATGAATTTATATTGTTAAAAATAATAAATAATTGACTTCTAATCATAAATTTATTTATGAAATAAAAATAGCGTTAGTGAATAAATTTTTTTTTATTTCGATTTTGATCAATTTAAATTTATCGTTATTTTAAAATAATCTTCAATTACTATTACATAATTTTTAAAAAAGTAACAATCAAAATTATATTTTTTAGTTATAAATTTTTTTTGATAAAATGTTGCCTTAATAAAGTTGAGTAATTTAGGTTATTTTATTAGAAATAATTTTATATATTATCAATTTCTATTTGTAATTAGATAAATGGGATAAATACATATCTATGTATTTTTTATAATTCATTTTTACAACTATTAAAAGTGTATTTTTAATTGTTAAAAAGATAGATATTTTGTTTATTAATAAAATGACGAAATAATTTAAAAATAAGAAATAAATAAGTTAATTTATTTATTAATTTGCTTTTTTTATTTTGTTTTTATATTTAATTGTTAGTCTTTTTTTTAAATAATAAATCTTCAACTAATCAAATAACTTTTCAAGATTACATAAATTTAAATAAAAAAAAGTATTAAGAAGAATATATAAAGATAACTTGACAATTTTAGATAAATTAATAGCAAATAAATCAGTTTTTTAAATTTATGATACATCAAAAAATAACTTGAATCAAGTGAAATAATAAATCGTACTTAATAATTTTTTTTCTTCATATTTTAGTAATTTATAATATAATTGACAATCATTATTAGAATTATAGATAGAAGCAATATAGTTAATATAATAAACGAATGCATTGATGAATAAACAAATGCTTTTATGATAAAAATGAGCAAAATGTTCTCATAAAACACGAGACATAAAGGCTTGTTATATGATCCAACCACATACTAGCAATATTTTTTCATCATCTTTCATAGTAGGTTCAAAAGAAATATCTCCTCTTGCATAAAATGCATTTTATTCAGAACAAGGCATAGTGCAGCAAGGATTAGGTTCAAAGTTATTAGTGATTTTTGTGTAAGGACTTCCGTTTCTTTCAACATTAATTATTCTTGGATATTTGCAAGAATAACCTGAGCACATATCTAATCTGTTAGAGCAGGAAACTAAAGGTATAAGGACCATAGGAGATTTAGATTCATCGATAGGTTTAACAACAACTCTTGGAGATGTGGCACAAATACCTGTTATAAGGAGTTCAACCTTACCAATGACAGTACCCTTGTATCTAATTAATGCAGTCTTCAAGCAACACATTTCAATTTCAATAGGGCAAGATTAACTTGGGTTATTTTAGAAGTAGTAAGGTATTTCTACATGGTCATAGCAAAGACAACTTTATTTGCAACTGAAACAAGCCAATTTGCAATTTCCTCTGTAAAAGTCGATTCTTCCAAAATTTTAAGTCTAAGTATATATGGAAGTTTTACCAAAGCAGCAAACTTGTTAGGAGAACCTAAGGTGAGTAGTTTCGTTAGTCCAGTTTTAAGGGACATCAAACTAGACTTTTTATAGAAGAGCAAGTTATTATTATCTCTAGATTTGTAAAAGCTATTATTAATAATCATTCATCATAGGCTATTAAACTAGAATAACCTATTATTAAGGAGGGTATTATTGTGGAGGGTATTATTGGGGAGGGTATTATTGCATAGGAATCATCTTTTTAATTATTAGTTTTTTTTTGGCTTTCTATTATTTATTTGAAGTTTTTTAAATCTTCTACTTTGTTTAAGATTTTTTAAGGTTTTAGAAATAATTTAATTTATTTTTTATATATAAATAATAGTTATACCAGCACATTTGAAGTGATAAAAGCTGGAATTTCAATCATTCTAAAGAAGCACTTATTAATTTTTACTAAAATTAGATTAGTAGTAAGTTGATATCATAAATAAAATTTGAGAAAACTAAATACAAAAACTATCGAAATCTACATATAACAAATATCCCGCCCCACACCAATTTTTTATATAAATAATATGCAGAAAAAAAATATAATTGAAACATACTCAAATAATTAACATTTAAAAAAGGTGTTAAACCTAAATGCATGCATATATATTATAAATCATAATCTAACAAATACATTTTAACAATTTTCCTATATAAATATATCTTTTTTTTGACTAAATTTTAAAACTTATTTCTGTTTATTGCAATTTTTTATATGAATTTTAATATTCCCAAATAAATTTTAAATGAAATATCAAATATTCTTAAATTATATTTATTATTAATTTAAAATGAAATTCAAAACACAACTGGCTGTATAAAAATATAATAGTAAAAGATATTCTGTACAATGAAGAGTATTAATAAATAAGCTTGCTGACAAATAAATAACTAAAGATGAGATGAATTTTAATTATGGTTGAGCTGATTAATAATAATTAAAAATAATTGTTTCATAATCGATTAAGTATATAAGTATAAAGATAATTTTATGTCTGTTTACTTGATATTTTTGTTATTTAAAAATACACTTTCAATTTTGATTATTAGTATCATAAAAAGAAGAGGAAGAAGAAGAAGAAATTTAATTATCTTTTGATTTAATTAAAAAAATCCTTTGTCTTAGAAACTAACTTATTTTATTTATCCCGTCAACTATTAAACCACCAAAAGTCCTTAGTTGGGTAGAATTTTTTAGGTTATCTTGATCTTTTATTTACTCTTTTGAGTTCAAATAATTATTTGTTTTCTATACATTATGTACAAAGAGTTATTATTTTGTGCCTAATTCTTAATTTTTTATTATTTTATTTTGCTATGCTTCGCTTTATTAATTTACTTTTGACGAAGTAATCATATCTTCAAATTGTTTTTATTATATTTGTTTTTGTGCTTTAAAATAATTAGTTTTTTAATTGTTTTATTCATTTTATTTTGGTATTTACATCTATTAAGTGGGTTATTAATCAAGCTGAGGTTGCTTAGATTTGTTAAATGGATTGTTTTATTATTGATTTTTTAGGCTATTGATCACATTTAGAATGTATTAATCACTGCTCTAATTAGTGTTACTCCAGCCTTCGCCATACATATCTAATTTTTATTTAAAAGTTTTTTTACATATAATGGTTAATTAATTTGTTTTTTTATAGAAAGCTTGTGAAAGTAAGCACTAACATTATAGTTAGAATTAGAGGGCATATAATATATAATTATTAGAATCATGATTAATATCAATATTTTATTTGAATTTTAATATCGAATATCTATCTAATAGAAAAAGTTGAAAATTGATTAATTAATCTTTAATTTAGATTCTTTCTATAATATTTTTGCAAAACTTTCTAATATGCATTCAAAAATAAAATAAAAAAATAGCCACTTGATTTGAATTAATTTTTATTTATTTTCATTCTATAGTAAATAATATTTACTACAAATTTTCTTGAAAAAAAATAAGTGAGAAATGTAGATTTATTAGTTTTGACTGTCTCAAAATTTTATCCACAATTAATAAAGTCAAGAAAATTAAATAAAAAATTTTACAATTGCTTTCTGATGTGAAATCATAAGAGTTTTACCCTCCGTTCAACGAGTTATTGTTTTAGAAACTTTAATTTGGTAAAATTTATCCTGGTAATAACTGTCTATTGACTTAATTCGAGAAACAGGTGGTTCCAAATTTTTTTTTTTTCGGTCTGAACAGGACATTGTATTTCAAAGTATTATTAAGTAGCTCCAATCGCTTCTCTTCGAATCTCTTAAGTTAATCTAAAGTGAACATATTACCTTTTTGTAAAAATTCTAACATATCCATAAAATGCTTGTCTCTCATAGATTGTAAAACTCCGTAATATAATTTATGATCATCAACTATGTAGAATAATAAAAATCCAAATTAATTTAAAGATCATATAAATGAAGTAAACAAAAATTGGGATGAAATCACTATCTATTATCAATAGACTTTTTACTACTAAAAATATCGTATTTTCTTTGTTTGCTTTCAAATTTCGATAACTCGAAACTAAAATTAGTTAATAGTAGTATGATTTATCATTAAAAGTTACTTTTATTAATTAATTAAAAAAAAAACCAAAGATTCTCTCTGTTAAAAGTATACTTTTAAAAATAAATAATAAATATAAAATGTGTAATCAAACTAAAATTTGTGAAACTTCTGCTAATTTTTTAATTTTAAAATATATTTTTGTTCCAGAAATGAATTATTCCAAAACTTTTTATTTCGAGTTAATATACTCGAAATTTAATATTTACAAATATCATTTTTGAATCTGAAAATATAAAAGTGAAACAATCATAAAAATGAATTAAAAATATTCTATATAGAATTATCAGTTGAATCTACATTTTTTGTTTTAAATAGACTGATAAATAATCAATTTTTTTATATTTATCCATGTTTTTGAATTGCTTCTAAACAAATCAGATAAAATAAATTTATTGGATTTCATATTATGAGTATTAAATAAATTAAAAATTCTTAAGAATCTTATTTTTTATAAATGAAATAAATAAATAACCTTTTTTGACTAATATGTTTGGCTTTGGCTTTATACATTTAGGAATCTAGAACATAAGGAAATCTATACCATCTGCCCTGATTGCTTTGTCTTCTAAATCTTTTTTATAGTATCGAAGCAAAACTTATTGATAAAGCTTTTCATATTTTTCAAAAAAAATTCCATTTCTAGCTTTCTTCACACTATCATTTTGTTCATCTCGCAATAGCTTTTGCTTGTATTTTTCAGTTACTAAAAATCCCTTCTTTCTTCTCATATTTAGAGCCAAATCTTTTTTTTCTTAAATTCTTTGCATCATTTGCTTTTCTGCATGTTATTTGGACACAAAATTGGTTTATCTATTATTTAGGATGTTTTCTTAATACCTTGGTAAATAATTTAATTTATTTTCTTAAAGAAGTTAATTGTTGCTTTAAAACAGCCCATTTTGCTTAAATCCATTTTACGATTAGTTCTAAAATTACTTCTATTGTTGATTTTATGTTGTATTCTAACTCGTATTACTAATAGATGAGGTATTTTATTGATTATTTCTACTCAAGCTGGAGGGAATCAAGTTAGAATTAAAGCTTTCCATATTTTAAAATAATTACTTAGGCTATGAAGAATAATTTTAATTTCTATCCTTTCCTATTAACTGGTTATCATTAATCTTTTTATTTTATATAAATTTACTCTAATTCTAAATAAATATATTTTTTTCTGCTGCTTTGAGATTTTAATGATTATTTTAGTCTTATAAAAGGTTTTTATTTTAAAATTGATTGATTTCTTTACTTTGAAGAATTATTTTATTTTTTCCTTTTATACTTGATAATTATTATTGTTAAAAATCAAGTCCTATTTGCGTTTTATTAGCTAATTTAAATCCTTTATTACTATTTAAAGATCTTTACTATTAATAAAGCTGCAAAGATCCTTGTTAAGAAAGTTGCTAAGATCTTTGCTAAGAAGAACTACTCTCATTTAGCAAAGGTAAAATATCAAAATGCTAAGATGATTAGTTATCGTAATCATCTTAATCGCTATATTCGTTTTTATTATTTTTAACTGTTTGATAAATAATAAAGTTATTTAATAAATGAAATTAAATAAAATTTACATGACTAATCTTTCATTTTTTTATCATTCATAAATGGGATATAAAATTGCTTTTCATGGTTTGCATGTTGATCATAATCTTGGAATTCAGCAATAACTGGGTATTAATCATCTATGACTTTCTTTTATTGATTGCTTGTTTTTATATTAAACGCACTATTAGTTTCTAGTCTTGCTTTATCTAAGCTATTCGACTTAGAATTTGCTTTTTCAGATATATTTTTTTAATCACTCTTAACTGTATTGATAAACTATTTGTATTCACTTTTCTCATCCAAGCTATCATCATTTTTATATTTATTTAACTCTTCGTCTGTCAAAACAAACTTCATATCTCTTTTATATAATAATTATTTAAAGTTCTTATATTAAATGCTTTATTTATTTAAAAATAAGATTTAGTGTAGTGCTATTTTTTCTGTTTAAGTAGATATTGTTTGTGTCTTATAATTCTTAAAATTTTTAAAATATATCTTTTTTTGATGTTAAATAAATCTTTGGTTGCGGACACAGTTTTTCAAAAAATATGCGAAATCTATTGCTAAATTAGCTGATATATATAATATTTAATAAATTCAAAATCTATATTTCTTGCTAATCAGCTATCTTTAATTAGTTCAATTTAATTTATAATGATTTATGTTTTGGCTCAATTTTCAAAAATAAATAAATAATTTCTAATATTTTATTTTCCATTAATATTCATAATATTTACTTTAGAATCGGTGAAGTAGTCATAATATTTTTTATTTATAATATAAAAAGCTTTCGTAGTTAATTCTTAATAGAAAAAATTCATTTTTTTAAAGCTCTAATTTATCGAAAGGAGTTCAATTTTCCTGCTAAAATTTTTATATTTTAAAAATTTTATTACATTTTAGAAAATTTTAGAAAGATTTTAATAATTTAATTATAAAAGCAAAATTAGTAATATAAAATTTTTAAAAGAATCTAGGAAAATGAAATCAAGCTAAGATTTATCAAAAATCTTATTAGATGTAGCTGCCTAAAAAAATATAAGTATTCTAGGAACTAGTAAAGGGTGCGGTGTTACATCTTTGACTAATTTTTTATATAAAAACTATGGATTTAAACCTGAAGGAGATCTTAAAATTTAAGAATTAGAATTAGGTAGAATAACTTTAGCCATTGAAGATAAAAATGTAGTTAGCATTGACAATACTAATGAACATTTTTGCGATAAAGAAGGAATAATAATTGTCATTGATCTTACTGAAAAAAATCTAGATTCAGTATAGTTTTCAAACATACTCAAAACTATTAAAAAGTTTAAATTAAACTTTGTCTGGTATTTCAATAAACTTGATAAAGCTATTTTCGACATGTAAAAAAGTAATCCAGAAGAAGTCTACTAACTCTTAATAGAAAAAATTGAATAAGCAAATTAACTGATTGAATAAGTTAATGAAGATTAAAGCGATTATATTGAAGAAATCGAACCTACAAGGTCTAATGTATTGATTGGATCAGCAGTTGATGGATGGGCTTTTTCATTACATAATTTCGCTGAAGAGTACAGTAGCAAGTTGAAGATTGAACCTTAAAAATTAGTTACTAAATTTTGGGGAGAAAATTATTATAATTCTGATGACAAGGTAATAAATTTAATGCAACACCTTAAAAAAAAATAAATGTTTATTATTTACTTTAGACATGGCACATCACTTCTCAAGATTAGAAAAAAGTTAATAGATCTTTTTGCACTTTCATCTTTGATCCTATTTGGAGACTTCATTTATTAATTAGATAAGGAAGTTTAGATCTTGTTCAAGAACTTGTAAAGTAAATTGGTATTGAAGTTGACATTTCAAACAAAGTAATTTATTTAGAAATTTATGAATTTTATGAAAGCTTATTCAAAAAATTAAGTCTGGAAGAATTTTGTTGAGAGTCATAATGTATGCTTGGCTTAATAGTGCCAAAGCTATCTTAGGAGCTGTCTAAAAGCATATTTTAGGATTTGAGGAGGGTTTATTAGAATTAAATAGATGGTAAGTTTATAGCAAATAATTAGAAAAGTATCAAGAACTAAAATCAAATATGATTTATTGCTTTGGAAAAGATCCTACAACAGGATTAACACTTGCAAAAATTCTAAAAAAAAGGGAAAATAAAATTGCTAAGCTTAATGCTTTTGTATGTGATTTGATGACAGGTCCATAGCTTCTTAGATAAATAGAGGTTACTGGTATATTTTAGCCTTATTTTTCCAAAAATTATATAACTCTAGAATGGAATCAAGTTATTTAAGGCTAAGTTGTGCTTATAAAAGCTGATGACCTTTAAGAAGGTATGATTTTAATTGAAGAAAATGGAATTTAATTCTACAAAACATACAGCTAACAGTACAAAGAAACTCCCTCTTCTTTGGAAAATAAAAATCCTTTCAGCATTTAAAACTACATCTTAGGAACATTAGATAAACTTAACCCAAAGCTTAAAAAAGTTTTTGCCTAAAAAAATGAATTATTTTTAACATTTGAAGAATTAGCTGAATATCTCATTCAAAATAATGACTTTACAAAATAGGATGTTTCCTCCATTGTTTGTATTAAGCAAGATTGTATCGTATTGAATTACTCCAAAAATTCACAAAATAAAAGTATATTTAAGTGCTTTGAAAAGGCAATTGAACTATCAAATATTAAAGGTTTAAGAATAGAAATAGAGCAAATAAATGACAAAGCAGCCATTAACGAAGATGATCTAGTAAAGGCAATTGTCAATGAATTTAAAAGTTATATATGATAAAACTAATGAGGCTGATATTTAAAATAAATATCAAAAAAATTTATTTATATTTAAATTTACTTTATCTTAGTAACTAAAGTCTTTACAAATAAACTATTTTAGAATTTCATACAATTAATTAAATTTTTTAATTTTTATGTGTTTGAATAGAATAAAGTTAGATTAAATTATATTAAAATTAAAGTAAGTTTTCTCTATTTGAATACAAATAACTAAGTGGTTTTGTGGATAATTAAAATTTTAAAATATAAATTTAGTTTTTTTAAGTCAAAAAACTTTTTGTTTTTAAAAACTCAAAATAAAATAGGCATTGCTTGAACATAGAATCTAAATAATAAATTCATGCACTAGTTTTATTTTTTTAAATTGTGTAAGTATTTTAATTATCGAATTCTGTAAGTAATTTAGATTTTGTGTACTTTGAAGATTTGAAAAATACTGATTAATTCTTAAGCATTTTCTGCTGCATTTCATTTTTTAAATCTAGCTCATCGAATTTCTTCCAATCGCTTTCAAAAATATCATTTAAATGAAATAAAGGTGGTACAGGCACATTTTTAAAATCTAATCTATCTGTTTGGCCTATTTAAGCCTTTTTCAGTAGTAAGTCATCCCCTTTAATTTAAGTTTACATAAATTTAATAAACTGATGGCAATACACCAGAAATCCTGTTTTAGAAAGGAAATTAAGAACTCTTTTAACCCTATAAGCATGTACATTTTTTGATAATGTCTTCTGTAAAGTTTATTCTTATCTCTCTCTGTAATTATTGTTAGGAACTATCTCTCCATTCATTTAGTTCTCAAGCTTTAACCCATAATAATCTAAAATAAGCTCATATGCCAATATGATTTTTTTTGCTAGCTAATTATTAAAATATTCAAATATTAATAAATAAGTGATTTTATTGTAAAAAAATTTTACTTCTGGTGAATTTATGAATTCTTCTGAATCTGTATCACCCTGTTTTCCTTATAAACTAGGAAATAGGTATTAAATTATTGACTAATCTATTTCGATTTTATTATAATTGCCTTTCCTTTTAAATTTAAAATAGAGCTTTTGTCATTCTACTAAAAATAATTGCATATAAAATGCTTTACCAAGATAATAAATCATCAAAAGTACATTTATTTACTTTAATCCTGAGCTTGTTTTGATAAAACAATACTGTAGAGCTTTGGTTTTTGTTATTTATTCTTGGTGAGAAGGTTAATTAAGAGTCATCAGTATTTAAAAACAAAAAATCTTATTTATTAAAAGTAGATTATCCTTTATCAGAACCCTTAGAGCTAGGTGATAGAGACCTATTAGTTTGTTATGGAGTCCTATTTCCTGGCGTGTAGCTACTTAAGTCTAGTTTTTTAATCATTTTGAGTTATATCTATCTATCAATCTTAATTAAACTTACTACTTTACTATAATATTAATTAATTAATTTTTAAAAAAAGACTCTTTTTAATCCATAAATTAATTTTTTATATGTTAATTACTATTAAAGAATTTTATTAAATAGTATATAGATAGATAGATAAAAAGATTAAGTCATTAATTTATAATAATATTTTGATTATTAAATATTTAACAATAAAGAAATTTCTTAGGTTAAAGCTATTAAAGTTTTATCACAGAAAACTTGTTTTTTTTTTAAAAATGAATTTGAATAATTAAAGTTTGTTTTAATATTAAATAAAAAAATTTATAATTTAATATTCATTATTTATTATATATTTTTAAAAATATTTTCATAATTAATCTTGAAAAAAAAATTCTAATTACATGCTATTAAAAAGTTGATAAGTCAAATAATTTCGTAAAAAATAATTTCAAGCTTATAGGTACTTGTAAGTTCACTCCAATTAAAATTTTTTAGCTCCTTTTCAAATTATATATTGAATTCATTAGAAAAATAATATTTGTATGTACAAGTAAAATGAAGTAAGCAAGTAAATTAATAAATGAAATTTCTTATTTTTTTTTTCATAAATTAAATAATAAACTTAGATTTTAAATGAATGAAGAAGCGTATTGATATAAAGATTATTGTTTTTCTTCTAGAACCTTTTTTTTCATAAAAATTGGTATTTTAAGAATTAAATATAGATAAAGTAATCTAAATTTATAATTTCATTAGAAAAAAAATTAATATTCCTATGAAATTCATAGTAGTTCAACAAAAATACTTATTTACCAATCTTAACTTTATAATTAATGTTTTAAAAAATACCATAATTTTTCCCTAAAATCAAAAGTTAATGATATGTAAATATTGTTTAAACAAAAATAGAAATGTATCTATGTGATAAAAAAATTTAATTTTTATTTTTTGCTTCTCTTTACTTGCTTTGAAAAAGTGAAATTTAATTTTGCAATGTGATTCTAATTCTTTAATAAGTTAAATATTATGAAAAAAAAAATAGCAATTAAAGTTATATTATCCAATAAATTCCTATAAAAAGGAATTAAAAATAATTTTTGCAAACAAAATTAGCTATTTAATTACATTTAAGTATTTTGGAATAATATGTGGTAATAAATAAGTAAAGAGAATGATATTATATTTTTAGATTCACTTTTCTAAATTTTTTTACATTATCTTGTAGAGATTTTAATAATTTTAAAATCAATTAATTATACTTTAGCAAATAAATTAATTGAAAGAAATACCAAAATAATTGCTTACTATTTATTAATCATAAGCAAGCCACTTAAATATTTATTATAAAACATTAAAATATTCGAAACTATTTTGAATAAGCGATAGATTTCCAATCAAAATAAAATTCATCTTTTTATATCTAAGAAGAAATAGGATTTTCATAGAATTTTATTTTGTGCCAGCATAATCTGATTGACAGTGATAATAGAATAAATAATTTTTAATTATTATATTGGCTTACTAGATAACAGAAAAACTATTAAAGCTTAAACTGAAACATTTAGATATTTACAATATAAAATGCTAAACATAAATAATTAAGATTTTTTAGATAACACCTTTAAGAAAGATTAGTAGAGCGACTCAGTATTTAATGACTTTTATTAGTCTTAATAAAGTAAAATGAGTTCAACTAACTAGATTATAAATGAAAAGTAAGTGCAAGGACCTATTTTTTCGCAAACAAAATTCAAAAAAGATATTGATAAACTTGGAGGAAAACAATGTGATGAAGAAGTTATGTTTTCACCTTTGTAAGGGATTGAAAAATAATTGAAATTCAACTAGAAAAAGACTATTAGTAGTAAACATCTTACAAGTGAAAATGAACAAAAGACTGATGAGCATCAAATTATAATTAAAAGAAACAGCAGTGGATCAAAATCATTTTTGGTTTCTAAGAACATTTCTGTTAAAAGTTTACATGATGAATAAAACATTTTATAAGACTCTGAAAAACAAATTGAAGATTTAAATGATTCTTTTGATTTGACAGATAACAGACAAATTAAATATGAAAGAGATTTTAGCGCATCAACTAAAAACAGAACTTAAACAGTAAAATAATAAAATCAAAATACGTAATAAACAAGCGATGAGTAAACTAATATAGTTTAAGGTATTTTAAGTCTAGGAGTTGGCTCTAGTAACCATAAAAAAAGAGGATCTGCAATATTTATTAATTAAAATATAGCAGACTAGCGAAAGCATTCTATATTTTCAGCTTATCATTCTCATGATAATATATAATTTAGATACAACGATTCTCTTAGTCCTTCTAAATTAGCTATTAATGATCTGGCTTCGAAAGGAATGACTAGCGAACCAGGTACTCCCACAGTATCAATAGCAAAAAAAGCAAGAAATTATGATCCGGGAGCTTAGATGCAGCTGCTTAACTTGAAAAATGCTAGTGGATATATGACAGGAGACCTGACAAATGCAGAAAAATCTTTAGGCGATATGAGTTTTAAAAAGTAAGAAGGATTTAAAGGAACATGGAAAAGAAATGCGTTCTTGATAATTACTTTCACTAAGAAATTTATTAATAATCTTAAAGAATTAACAATGAGCTACAAATTCAGTTAAATGAAATAGCATTATTTTGAGCTAATCGATGACAAAGCTAATGATTACAAATACTACCAAATACATGATTAATTCACTAATGATCAACCAAATTAATTTTAGATTATGCTATACAAAATGAAAGCTATTTTCAACAAAAATTTATACGTCAACCAATAGAAAAATGAAAAAAAAAAAAATTAGATAAAGCTATTTTTAAATCGTATTTTCAATATTGATATTCCTATTATAAAACCTGATTAATATATTAAAATTATTTGGGATTGCTTTATACTATTCTTGCTCTTAATTAACCTATTATATATCCCTATGAAAATATCATTTTCAGAAGTTACTTAATTTAATGATTATTTACTTATTTTTTTTGATGATCTTCCAAGCTGGTCATTCTTAGTTGACGTTATTTTGAATTTCAACACAGGATATTATTCGAAAGGAGTTATAATCACAGAGAGGAGTAAAATATTTAATCATTACATTAAGGGTCCATTCTGGAGAGATATTATAGTAGTTGTTCCTTTTCTATTTTCTTCTGTCATGAATGTTAAATTTTTGAATATTATTCTTCTTCTTAGAACGAATAAAATACTCAAAATCTAACGTTCAATTGAAGAGCTACTTAATTTATAGCAATTCTAAACTTCTATTCTTAATTTAATAAAACTTATCCTTACTATTATTTATATAGCCCATATATGTGGGTGCTTCTTCTATTACATGCATGTGCTCTAAGTTGAAAATGATATTGCTGCATTTACATGGGTTAAAAAGTTTGGTTTATAGAATTAAAGCTGGTTTAATCTCTACATTACTTCTGTTTATTGGGCAGTAATCACTATGATTACTTTAGGCTATGGTGATATTTATCCTGTTACATTAATCGAAAAAATCTATGTTATTTTTGTCACATTACTTTCTTGTGGTGTTTTTGCGTATGCTGTTAACGCTATAGGATACATTATATAAGATATGAATAGAAATAGCACTTAATTTAAAGTTAAAATGAGCAGTCTTTCACTTTTCATGAAAAAAAGAGATTTAAAGTAATTTTTTTTTGTAATTTCCATGGAATATCTCTAATACTTTCATTCATACTTATAATCAATTAAATTTTAATTATTATAATCTCTGTATTTTTAATCTTTCTTTAAAAACTAAATATTTGTTGATATATCCTCATGCGATTTGTTTTAATTATAAAATATTAAAACAATTATTTTTTTTTAAATAAGAATTTTAAAGAAATGAATTTAAATAAAATAAAAATCTTTTTTAATAAATTTGAAATAAAAACTATTTTTTTTTTTAAAAAAAAAAGCAACTTTACATAGATGAAAGTAAAGAAATACTTTTAGTATCTTCACGATGAATAAAATGAAGATAACGAAGATGGTTAAAAATTACTAAGCTAGTGTAATAGTACATTAAAAAATGAAGTGTTAACAGAAATGTATGGTTAAATTTTAGAGTCAAGAAAGGAATTTCGTTTGAACTTTTCAAAAGAATTCATCTAAAAACTTGCACTAAAAATGAGAGAAAGAAGACTCGGTCCAGAAGAAATAATATTTAAAGAAAATGAATTTTGTAGGAGAGTTTATTTTGTAATGAGGGGAAATGTTGCTTTACAAAGAACAAGGACTATTAATCACAATAACCAAGAAAAACAAAAAGAAATAAATATGAAAATTTTGAAAAAGGGAGATATATTTGGTTTGGAATCATTTTTGACTGGAAGTGAAACTAATGTTTGTGCTAAAGCTCAAAATGTGGTCTAACTGGTTTATTTAAGGGATGAAGATTTTATTTAAGTAATTTAGGAGTTTAAAGCTGACAAAGAAGCGTATTTTATGATAAAAGATAAACTTAACCTATTAAAGGCATGCAGAGGATCTGGAATCAGTTGCACTCTCTGCGATTCTTTTTCTCATCAATTTTTAAATTGTCCTTATATGAGTTATCAGCCAAACCAAAGAAAATTATTTATTCAATATCTAAAGGAGTAAACCTAAGAACGGAAAAAATATGAAAGAGAAACTAAATAATAAAAATATCCTACAAAAGAGTCTCTTTCAAGAACATAAGAAGCATTTATAAGATTAGTATTTGAATACAATCCTTATGAAACCCTGAATGAATTACTCGAGTAAATACAAATACTTGACGATGAAGGAGCTCTAGATTAGATTGATACACCAGAAATGGTTACAAAGTATATGAAAGATCCTTAAGAATTCGAAGACATCGAAGACCTAAACGATGAATATGAAATAGATCAATACATAAGTATAATTTCCTTTATTTTTTTTTTCATTTAAATAAATTTTTATATTAATTATTAGAAAATTCTAACGAAGCCCAATCAAACAATAACCTTATGAAAGAGAATTTTGATGATAGTGTGAGAATTAGAAGAGCAACTGTTGAATCTTTAAATACACCAGATTAATAAATTGATATTATTAATGGAGGCCACGTATATAATACATTTATCAGGCATAGCTCTCTTAAAATGAATAAGTCTGATAACATATAGCTAGAAATTCCAAGAAGAGAAGAAAGAAAAAGCAGCTTTAGAAAACAAACTTAATTCTCAGCTCATGATTAGGTAATCCTAATTAATTAAGATGATACCACTCCGAAAAGAATGAGAATGATAAATAACTCAGATAATAGCAGTATGAAATAGATTAATAGTGAGAATATTATATAAACACCTCTACTAACACATAATGTGCCAAACTCTCCTTAGCTGGAAAAGAATAGATAATTCTATCGAAATTACAGAAGTTTTAAAGATGATGATGAATCTTTAGACAAGTAATATCCTTACAATAATTATGGACCAAATAGTTAAGTTAGTATCTACTAACTAGATAATAATATTAGAACTGTATCAATCAAAAGTAACAAAAGCCATCATTACGAGAGTAAGAGAGAAATAGAGATTAATTAAAATACGAATTATGCTCCTCCTGGTAGTAGTATGGTTTAATAAATAAAAGACTTTACGACTATTCAAAACTTTGATAAGGCGCATTAATGGAATGTTTATTTACCCCATAATAATTTTGATAAGGTTTTGAGTTAGCACTAAGCTCTTTTAGAAAAAATATTAAAAGAAAAAAGAAAGCGTAGACGTAGAACTAATAGAAACCATTCTTAGAAATTAAAGCAAATGCAGTAGCTTTTTTCAAATATTTAGGCTAAGAGTTAGCAAAAAAATAATACAAAAATACTTACCAGAAATTAATAATCAAAGCAAAGTTTTGTTAGCCACAAGGAGAGCTCTTTAAATCCAATATCAAGAAATCAATCCTAACTCATTTTAGCAAGCCCTAGAAATGAAAATAGAGAACCTTCTAGATCTATGCTTAGCTAAATGGATTTTCCTTCAGAATTACCTATTCAAAGTAGCATTCAACATTATTGATTTCATTTTAGCAAATTGCTAAATTATTCAAATTTCTTATTTTAATGTAAATAAAAAAAATTTTGGTTTTTTACAATAATTAATTAAAGCAATCTAATTTAAAATTATATTAATATAAATTTTATTGGATGAATAATATAAAATGATTTGATTTAATTTAATTTTTTATTTATTATTGATTGTATGTAAATTATTTATAAAAGTAGAAAATTAATTAGTTATTTGAGTTTTTACTGATGTTTAATATAAAATTACAATACTGAGATAAAATATGTATTTTATTAATTCAAATTTTTAAGATTTAATTTAAGTAATTTAGTATTTTATTTGTTTGTCTATTCGTTTTTTTAATTTTTAATAATTGATTAATTGTAACATTTTAATAAGAAATTTAAATCGAATTTGCATAGTAAGTTTTATTTTTAGAAAGTATTACAGTTGGTTTTATGATTAAAATTTATCAAATAGAATCTTTGTGCAGTTTTTAATGCTTTTTAGAGACATTTGGAGTTTATTAAATAAATAAATTTGTCATTTTTATCATGTTTTTATCATTTTCTATTTTTTATCTAAATAGGTCATTTGTGAGGTTTTGATATTACTCGCTTGAATTTTATTATTTTTAGTCTTCTAATTCCTTAGCTTTATTGCAAGAATTTACATTTATTTAGAAGTGTTAGTTTTAAGAGAATTTATCCTAAAAATCTATTGAATTTGTTTAACTCTAAGATCCGAAAATTCTATTTATTGGACCTTTGTTTTTTTGTATCTCAGGAGATAAGTTATGAAAAGTTTTGGAAATCTATTATGAGCGTAGCATTTGATTAGAAGAATTTTTGATAGGGGAGGGCCTAAAGAAATTTTGATGTGTAGAAAATGCCATAGATTGTGTAGAATTGTTATTTAGTTGCTTTTGTTAAATTTATAAATTTAATTTGTTTTCTAGTAATTAAGCAGTTTATAAATTCGAATCAAAGTGCAGTTTATCTAAGATTTAAGGTTAAAGAGTGTTTTGCTTTACAATTTTTTAACTTTTCAAATGAACAGGCAATGTTTGTGCTTCTTCAAAATAGTGACGATGAGAGTAAAAATCTTTTTAAGGGTGAAAGCCCTCAGCAGTACTATGCATTTGTAATTTTAATGGAGAAAATTTTTAATTTTCTTCTTAGAAATTAAATTAATAATCAGGCTGTCCTTCTTCATCTTAGCAAGTATCTAATTCAACAGCAGATTAAGTTCTTTTATATTTATTCGGACTTATTTTTTCTGGTGAGGTGAGTTGTTGCTTGTTGTTTTACTCTTTAATTTTGTTTAAATCAAATTTGTAAGATTATGCTGCATTTTAATTGCTTCTGAAAATGTTGACTTTAATAATTTCAGATTTTGAATTCTTTTAAGCTTTTTCAGTGTAAGCCTTGTTTGGAATTTATTAGTGTTCAGCCTATAAATGATCACTATTTAAGTCCTGTTGCTTAAACTCAGGTACAGATTTAAGAGAATTTTTGTTTAAATTTAGTTTTTGATGGGGTTTTTCTTATATATTATTTGTCCTTAAAAATTCCACTTATCTTTCTTTTGAGGCTAAAATACCTGGATTTTGAATTAAAAACGATTTGATTGATGGATCCAGTACGTGTTTAGCTAAACTTTCTTGTATTGATGAATAGGTATTCAAACTTCCTTGCTGATTTGTATAATTTTTATAAAAAACTCCTTTCATGTTTTTAAAAAATTGTTTTGTGAAGGTTTCTAAGAATATAGTTTTTTTAACAGGCTTTGTTGACGTGATCATTTTAGGTACATTTATAGCTTAATTTAGAGGAGGTACATACACCAAATTACCAGAGCTAGATTCGATTAGTGTTTTGTTTTTCCTTGAAACAATTGGTTGATTTCCATTATTTTAGTTTGTTTATGGGTTTGTTAACAATTATTTTTTATTATTTTAGTTGGTCTGCTCTATTTTTTAAATTTGCTACTTTATCATTAGTTCTCTTTTAATTTTATCTTTTTGAATCAGTATCGGATTATTATTGTGAGATTCTTCAGGTTCTTGATTATGAGGGTTGATTTATCCCATTTAATTTAAAAGCTCTGGTGGAAGCTTAATATTTGGATCAGATTTAGAGGCCTTTTTTTTAAGAAGAGGAGGATTGCTGATTTAGATAACGTTATTATCTTAGTTACTTGAGTGTTGGCTTTAATTCTATGATTTTAATTGAGAAGAAGTGCTCATAAATCCAGAATTATTTTAAGAAATAGATGTCTAAAATATAGGATCACTTGCTTTTAAGAAATTATTTTCACTAAATTTTGGTTTATGATGTATTTAAGTATGTTTAGAAATAAATCTAGCTTCTTGTTGAAGTTTGATGGTTTAGTTATTTTGGCTTCTCTGTGTGTTAGGCTATGAGTTAGAAGCTATAGCAGCTATATTACTTGATGCTCCTTAGAGGTAATTAGTTTAAGTTTGACTTTATTGGTTTTTTAAAGCTTTTTTAAGCTCATTTTCAAAGATTGTATGGATTGAAGGAGGGTTTTCAACTTTGCAAATGTCATTTTTAAAGTTAAATAGATCAATTTTTTTAAGATTGGGATTTGAAAAAGTATTGATTTTTTCAGTAATCATCTATGCAGTAAATAATGGAGCGTTGTCTTTTTTATGTTTATCTAAGTTATTCAGATCATATAATTTGGCAGATTTCTCTAATATTACTTATTTTTTGCTTGCTTTCATAAAATCATCAATATTGATGCAATCTTTTTCAACTAGCTTGCGCTTAGCTCTTAAAGGATTTTTAGGTGTAGCATTTTCTTCATTATTTTCAAAGAAATAATTTTTATATTTTTAAATATTTTCTTGGATGAGTTTGACTCTTTAGCTAAAACGCTCTTCTTTCATCTGCAAATTCTTTTTAAGATATATCTCAGAACTTGAATTAGCCAGCAAGCTTAAGCCAAATATATTCTTCCTAATTATTAAAAGAATACCTCCACCATAACTATTGCATTTAACAGTAAAAGTTCTACTTTGTTTTTTCATCACATCTTCCTCACCAAATATTTGATTTTGACCAAGGGTGTAAAGCTATTTAAATAAATAAATAAAATATTTAATTAAAATTTTTTCTAAAATAAATACTTAAAAGAGCTTATTTTTTGGTTGATTATTAATCATTTTAGGAGTAGCGCTATCATCTTTACTAGGAAAAAGAAATACTTTACTTTTTGCCTTACTCTTTTTGCTTGTTAAAGGAACTTATGCGACTTCATTTTATTCATCTGATTCTTTAGTAATTTAATTAAGAGATTTATACTGTTTTATATCCATTGTTTTAGATTATGTTCTAAAATAATCTAATTCTTCATCTTCAATATCTTCAATGTAATTCAAAGACTCATTCAGCTCAGTTTTTTTAGATAGCTTTTTTGATCTTTAAGTCTACTAAGATGTAGGCTTGCTTGAATTATCTTTAGATATTTTATTGAATAATTAATACTATTATTCTTCTTCTTCTATATCTTCTTCTTCATCATCTCCATCTTTACCAATACCTTGTTAAAATTTCCTTTTTACATGATTATTAAATAAACTATCTCCTTCATCTTCTTCGCTGCTTGATTCATTCTATTCTTCATCTGATAGATGGTTCTTATTACCTTACTATTTTATTTTCTTCCCATCAGATTGCTAGAAAGTCTTATAAACCTTTTTTAAAAATAAAATCCTTCTATAAATGACTAAAATTAACAAATAGAAATAAATGTGCATCGTTTAAATGATTTATTTAAAAAAATTCAAAATTAAAAAAAAAATCTATTTCATTTAAATTATCAATTAAATATTTTAAGTAGATTATTTTATTATTTTCTTTCTTCTTTCGAGTGTATAAAATAAATTCAAAAGAAGAAAAATAAAGAATTGAGCGAAAATGGTTAATTAAATTGGAAACTTTAATATCCACTCCTACTGAATTAATAAATAATGTATGTATGTATCTAGATAGTTTGTTAAATCAAAACGAAGTAAGTAAAAGATACATTAATAATCTATTTTTCAAAAGAGCCTTTTTTTCTATTGATTGATTGAATTTTTTTAGTTAAATAAAAAGTAGAATCAAAATATTTACTCCGAATTCACCTTTAAGGATAATGTATATTGCTTTAGCTGACTCTTCTTCTTTAAACACGGTTTGGCCATTATAAAATTGTTATTTAACACTAAAAAAATAAAGAAGCCTTATCATATCAAACTCCCATTTATCAAATATACTGTTTGACTGCATTGTTTAAATATCGTTTATTAAATTGTTTCGTGAAGCTGTTTGCAAGTATTATTTGTACATGTTTATATTTATTGCGAGTAAATGAACTTCTGGAGCACCTGCTACAGCTTGAAGTGCAGATTAATGATTTTGTTCAGTATTCAAAAGAGCCTATTCAGCAAGATAGTCACCCTCGTTCAGTATCTTTATGCGGAATAGCTTTTGCTTAGTAGAATCTGCTGTAGCAAGAACAATATCTGAGTTTTACTTCTATTTATTTTTAGCCATTTCATATGAATGCTCTGTACAGTACTAGCTGACAGAACCCTTAATAATAACATAAAAATACTCAAGGTAATCACCTAAATAATTTATAAAAATATATTTTAGAGATAAATTAAAATTACTCTCATTAAACAAATATGTAGCTAATATTAAAATAATGTAGTAATTTAAAAAATTACCTATGTTAAAGATTTATTCTTTTGTTTAAAATATTAAGTACTAAGAGTGTTTAACTGCTTCTACTAGCTAATCTTCATTTAGCTTTGAAAAAATAAAATATCTAGATAATCCTTCTTTTAGTACAAGCTTTTCTTAATAGCTAAGATCACTTCTATTAAGATACTTTTGGAATATCTATAAAATAAATATTAGTTAATTTTTTGTTAGATGCTTAAAAATATCAAAGGAATTATCCAATGGAGAATCTAGAATGAAATATTTTATTTTTACAGGTATTTAATAGTATGTCTGCTGGTGCTTTTAAAGATACTAAGTGACAGACATTTTAGGATTTGTCTCGAAATAAATGACTTATTGTATAACCTTTTTTCTAAAATTTGTTTGATTTTCTAAATTAAAAACAAATTAATAATTAATTAAGTATAAAAACTTTTAATTATGTTAATATAAGTAAAAAACTGGCTGACTGATTGACTGACCCTTTTAATATTGCACCAATCATTTCTAAAAAATAAGTTCATTAAAAAAATGCCAGAAAAAATAATAATTAAAGCAAACACTATATTAAAATTCATGTAATTCAGGATATGGTAAGATATTTTTAAATACAAAATACCATTAAAAAATATTCTAAAAAAATATTTAGGTTGGAATTTTATTTTTGAATACTGGCCTTGGTAATCTAATTTATTTAAACACTAAAAAAATAAGCAAATAATAAAAATAAAATTACGTCATATTAAAACAGATGCAAATATAAAATTTGATAAAAAATACACCTAAAAATATTTAATATTTTTACTAAACCTGTTAAATTTTATAAATAAAAAATTATTTTAGATAGTTTTTTTTTCTTTAATTTATGAGAAACATTTTTTAATAAGAAAATACTCGTTTTATTAAATAAATCTAATGAATTAATTTTTTAGTATGTAAGTAAAATCATTAAAATTTAGCTAAATAAATAATGAACTGAAAATGCGGTTCTATTTTAATTTTCTTAACGGAGTGTTTTTTAGTAAATTCCAAGCTATCAATGTTTAATTACTTAATTTAGACATAATAAATTTTTTAATATTAATAAACATCTTAATTTGAGTAAAATATATGATCTTGTAAAAATGCAACTTTATTGTATTTAAAAATTATTTAAACGAAATACTTAATATAATTTTTATAATAAATAATTTGAATGTTTAAATGTGATATTTTTTTTCATAAACATTTTTATTTTAACTCTGAATTGAATTTAAAATGCTTAATAAATTGATTATTTAGCTTTTAAAATAAATTTTTCAAATAAGAAAATCTTATTAGATTATGTTACCATTTTATTTTTTATATTTTAACTTTAAAAATACCTAAAAAATAAACTTAATCCGATTACTTTTATTTATAAAAATCTTCTCAAAACATAAATTTAAAAGTAAAAAGCTAGAATTATTATTTAAAATTAGTATAAAAGAATAATAAATTAGTATTTAATAAGACTTTATAATTTCTTTTTAATAAACAATTTAGAAAAATTTGTATTTATAGAAATTAATGAAATTAATATGCACATTTATTTTACTTTTGGACTTAAATACTAAGTTGAATTAATTATTTAAATTCTTTTTTATTCATTTGTTTCGAAATTTATTTTAAATAAAAGAAATTAGAAGATTTGATAATAGATTACAATATTTAATAAATACTTCAAAAATAATATTTAAGAGACAATTTTTTTATAAATGTAAATACAAATAAAATAATTAAAAGTTATTAAATTTAATTTTAATTAATTCTGACAATTTTTTATTTCAAATATTAAAAACAAAAGAAATTTAGTTATTTATTTATTTATTTGTTTGTTTTTCCTTTTGTTTTAGATTAAATTTATTGAAAATAAAATAAAAAATTTTAGTTGTTTGATAAGATTATTTTTTATTTTTATATGGACAATTTACTTTATTTAGTTAGTAATTTAGTATTTTGTAGATTTTAGTAATTAGTTCATAAGATATAAGATGAGCTAGCATTTTAATTTATATGATAGTTGGGCTTTTTTAAATATTTCTAATAAATATAAGCCGAATTTACGGTTGTTTTACTTATTAAGTAGCCTATACATTAAATATATTTAGCTAAGGCAATCAAATCTCGAGGATTTAAAATTTAGTTTAGAAGTATTTAGTAAATTAGTAAATTATTTTTTTAGTAGCTTATTATTAAATTTAGTATTATCAATAATGAATATTCTTTATTAGAAATTACATATTTTTCATTTTTATTTATATTTTCAATGGGGTTTAGGGAGAATGTCTCTGCAATAGGGACATTTACAATTAAGTGAAAGCCATTAAGCTATGCATTTAATGTGAAATATATGACCACAGTTAAGTTGTCTTACTCTTTTATTTTTTTAAATATCCTCCAAGCAAATACTGCAAATGGTCTGTTCTTGACTCAGCGCAATTTATCTCTCTTCATATTATTTTTGCTTTTCATGCATATCAATTTTTCTTTTCAAACGCAAGGCTTAAGAGATTAACAATGGTTTCATTTATTCATCCTCAAGGACTTGAGTGTTGTATATGTGTAATGCTCTTGTTACAAATTACTGAGCTTCTTCAACATTCTCTTTAAGAAGAAAAATGTTAGACATAGAAATCAAGCAAGTTGCTTCTCTAGAGCTATGGCTTTATCCTCCTTAGTTCTTACAAATATTCAATGCTTCATTATAATATTTTAAAGAGGCATCGTAATCTTTTGCTTTTTGGAACATAGAAGCAAGTTTCTTGTAGGTAGAAGCAACTTAATAAGATGTAAATCCATATTTTTATTTTTAGAGTTATAAAACATCAAAATATATTTTTTCAGCCTGCTCTAATTCTTAGTTTTCTTTGTATTCCTATGCTTTAAGTAGAAGATCGCAAATTTAGGTGTCATCTTCTTCGTATTGATTCTATGCTGGGACAAGAGTGTCACTACCGATCTCTTTTCCTGTGTCTATTTGATCACTGCAAGATGATTCAACCAATCCTAAAATTTGAAAATTATTTTGGTTCAAAGAATTCATTTTAGTCTAAAGGCACTTATCCTACTAATTAATCAATATTTTATCTTAGCCTTTTTCGATTGTAACGCAATTTTAAGAAAATGATTATCCTTAATTATCAAATAAGGAGCTATTTGTTTAAAAATGGTTTTGTTCCTTTTGCAAAAATTAAATAGAAGTTTATTTTTCTTATGATTATAATAAATTAATATTGTAGATTTCCTATTAATTTGTTTAATAATTTGTAATGTTAATATTCTTCTCTTAATTTTAATTATTATTATTATGATTATGATTATTGTTATTGTTATTTATCATTGATTATATTTTGTGATTAACTTTTTTATTACTACTAGTTACTATTAAAAAAAGAGTATTAAAAATCAATAATTAAGATTAAGGTGATTGTAAATTTTTCTTGTTTAATTATTTGTTTCCTTGTTTATTAGTTTGTTTGTTTGTTTTATTGATTGATTGATTGATCAAATTCTATTTATGTATTATTATTTTGGAAATTAATCAATATAGTAATTTATTTGAAATCTTTCTTTTTGGTAATTAAGTTAAGGTTTAATTTAATATTTTTTAATTGTATTAGAGTATTTAAAATAACAATTTTCCTCTTTAGATCCTTACTCTGAAGTAATTAACTTATCAGCAACAAACAACTCTCTTTCTTTCTTGATTGATAAATTTTATGTTTTTATTTACTTTTTGGCAGAAATTAAATTTTTTAAGTAGGGAATTCAGCGAAAGTAATTAATTTTATCCTTAAATTGATAATGTTAGTTTTATGTTTATTTTATTTTACTTATTATTTACTTCTTTTTTGAAAATGGTTTTTGATTTATTTATTCAAAAGTTATTATTTATTTAAATGTTCATCTGCTTTTTTTCTGTTTTTTAACTGACTCTGCATTTATTTCATAATATAGATAGCTGATAGACTTGTTATATCTGATTATTTCTTAGCTTTTATTTATTAACAAATAAAGAAAAAATCAACTAGCTTCAGCTCGAATATGATAAATTAAAGTGAAGCATGCCTTTTAAATTAATCAAAATAAAGTATTTAAATTCATAGCAAAATCTTAATCAGTAAATTGTTAAAATTTAATTTAATTATTCATCCAATATTTTGTACTTTGTCAAGTCTATTTTATCTCTACTGTTTCATAAATCATTTTTTGATTTGTTTTTTTTAGCTTTTCAAGCTTTTCTATTTAATATTGGATAGTTAAAGGCATTACAGTAAAAATAACTGGCGGTTAATTCACTCCTAATAACATCATAAACATAAATCGTTTATTTCTTTGTTTACTATCAGTCAAACTGATTAGCAACTAAATGGATTCATGCTTTTGTAATTTATATTAATAAATTCTGATTCATTTTTCTTTTCGATATGAACAGTCGTATTTTAAATTATCAAATACCTTACAAATAATATATTAAATTACAATCTTGCCTTTAAAAAAATTTAAAAAATAAAACTAAAAAATTAAATAAATGATGTTACTTTTACTTAATTTTCAATATTTCTCAAGTTATTTACTATCAGATAAGCCTTCTTTTTGTAATTTTAAAAATGTTATTACATACAAAATCCAAAGAAATAGTTTTTATTTTTCATTTATCTAAGAATAGAAGAAAAACTTGATAACTGAGTTTTGTGAGAGTGAGTAAATGCTTGAAAGCATTATTTATTCTCAATTAATTCGGATAAAGTATTTTATAAAAAACTTTTTATTCAAGCATGTCTAAATTATATGTAAATTCTGTGTTTATCACATTTTTAATGAACGATTAGTTAAATTTATCTGATTTTTAGAAAATATGACACAATATTACTTTCAAATAATAAATTTAATTGATGTAATCTATTTTGGTTAGTTTTTTTCTATTTTCCCTCTTTATTAATTAAACAAATATTTTGCTTTCAAATTAGTCTTATAGACATTTTTGTAAAAAAACTTAATAATTTCTTTTTCTATAATTTTCAATTCCTTTTATGAATTATTTATTTATTTGTTTAACTCATTTACTTTGTTTTCTTAAATTCATTTTATAAACTGCAGTTGTCTCTTCTCAAATTTTTAGCTATTTGGTAATTTAAAATTTACAGTAACCACTTATTAAGTATAAAAAGAGGATTCAAGCTTTATGAAATTAGGAACAGTATATAAAAGAATAAAAAAGCTTAAATACTTACTAAAATCCATTACTTTTGTAAGATTTAAAACTTTTACAAAAAAGAGTGAAATGGGCTGGCTGTAATTCTGTTTTGTATTTTTTATTTTAAAGCTTCTATATAAATACTTAGAGCGTAAATGCGTATCTTCTAAGTCATATATATCTTTAGTATGTTTATGAATAGAGGCTAAAAAATCTTTGTTAGTAAAATCAACTTTTTTTAAAAGAGTTTTTCTATTAAAAAATTTATTCCAAATAAACCAAAACTAAAGAGCTTGATTTTTAAGAATTCATAAAATTATGTTAAAAATACAAATTTTAATAAAGTGAAATAGAAAAATTTTCTAAAGCAAAAAATATCAAATTCTAAATTTTATCGCCTGTGATCTTTTAAAAGTTGTTTTAAAGAAATATATCATTTTATTAATCCAATAAATATGAACAAAAAAGTGATTTAATTTTTATTTTTATTGAAATTACTTTTATTATGTAAATATTTTTTATTTTGAATTGTTTAAAAAGTAAAAATACAAACAAAAAGTAAAAAAATTTGCTAAAAGATTAAAATTAAATTCAAAATTTTTTAAGAAATAATTAGTAGGAACTATTGTATGAATAATTAAATTCCTTATAATAGGTTATGTTTTCAATCACTTAAATATTTTTCTACTAATATTTAATTCTAAATTGTTTATAGATAGAAAAATTTAGAATAAATCTCTTAAAAAGTAGGATTGATAAAAGATTAATTAAGAGTATTTTATTTAGTAAAAAAATAATAAAATTATTGATAATATTTTGAGTATTATTTAAATAATTAAAAATTTTTAATTAATAATAATAATTGTTAGAGTATTTATATAATTTTTATGAACATAGAGGATAATCAATTAAAAGAGCATATAATTATCATAAAATTTTTATGTTAAAAAAACTAACTCTACTGAACTTTAATCTTCTTAATTTAGTATTTAAAAGATATCTTAATATTAATTTAAAAATATTTCTTCTTTCCTTTTATTTATGAGAATTCTTACATGAGTTCAAATGTTATTCCTGTAATAAAAAGTGTTATTTATTTCTAACTACTTTAACTACAATTTTAATTTTAATCATTAGTTGAAATAATTAAAAATATTGCATAAAAGATTTTTAATTAATATTGGATAATAAATCACTTATTCATCAAATTTTTATTAAATAAATATTTTTTATGATTATAATTGTTAAGATTTTTTTGAATTGATCCTTAATCTATAGTATGGAATCATAAAATGATGTATCATATGTTATGTTATATCTCTTTTAAAGGTATTTAAAATATGAAAATTGATATAAACTTGAAACTTTCTTTTTATTGACTCGATATTCTTATAATTATTAAAAAATTTATCAAAAAAAGTCAAATTTCGATTAAAAAATTGAAGTTTAGATTTTATTATATGATGTTTTATGTTTTAATATTTAAGATAATATAAAAATAAATATTTTTTTGGAAAAATTAAATAATTAAAACAGCTTAATTCAAATCCCATAAAAAAATAATTTTATAAAAATTGAAAATAAAATTCGCTTTAAATATCTATAATTATTAAATACTTTTATTACTCTAAAAGGTATTCAAAATTAGAGAATATTAATATTGATATTAAATTTATCTTTTAAACTCAATTTTTAAGAATAAAATTAAATATATTTTATTATTATGAAATAAAAAAATGAAATTCTTTTTAAATTATCAACAATATAAAATCAATTTTTATTATTTGAAAAATAAAGATAAAAATTTTTTTTTGTGAAATATTAAAATGGAATTACATTTAAATGATCTAATAATTATACAATCTATTTATATAACTATTTATCTATTTATTTTTTTATCTATAACACTTTGGTAAATTTAATTGATAATTAATTATTTTAAGCTTAATATTTCCAAATTAATTTTTTATTAACAATAATTTATCCATTTAAATATATTTGAAAAAACTAAGAAGTATCTTGCAAATATCTAAAGACGAAAAAAAATATATGTCAAGAAAGACCTTTGTTTTATTTGCTTCTACATAAAATTATGAAATTCAGTTTAAATTTTTTAAAAAGTAAACTCATATACTTATCTTAATTAAATTTTATTTAATCTTTAAATGAAGTATTTAGTAAATATTTTTTTCTTAAATAAATATTAAATATTTGATTCAACATATAAAAAAACATTAATAGAATATTTATAGTTTGCTTAAACTAAATTAATATTTTTACCATATTTCTAAATTATTTTTGTTTATTTAGATTTATAAAAATAAATCATTTTTCATAGTGATAGACTCATTGTTTTGTTTGTAAGGTATTTACTAATTATAGATATTCACTTTTAAATTAAAAAGTCTATAACATTGCTTAATTTAATAGAATAGACAATTTGAAATTAAAAAGATTGATTATGAACCAATTTTATGAATTTTATGGTTAAAAATATGAATTTATCCTTTTTGTATTAAATTGAGTTACTTATAAAATGAATTTAAACCTTAAATAAATTGTAATAATTTAAAATAAAATTTATTTGGTGGTATTTTTATAATTATATAACATCTGGTTTTGTAAGGTATAACGCAAAGCATTTATTTATTTAATTGCTCATTATTTTGATATATTAATTAATTTTATTGATAAATTTACACTCACTAGATACCATCAAAATTTATAATTATTAATGTTTAAGGTAAATAAATATCTTACGAATATAAAAATGGTAATACAAAATAAATTGGTAATAATTGAAAATAATCTATCTACTTTTTGTTTTTAAAAAATTATTATTATATAGAAATTAGTTCATTAAATAGTAATAAAACACCAATTACCTAATTTATTTAAGATTTGATTCAAAAAATTAATGAATTTGAATATAAGTAGTTCAAATAGTGTTTATGAGTTAGTAAATTCAGGTGATTTTTGATGAAAATAAATAAGTTATTAAAAAATATTTAAAATGCAATTGTTTTATCTAACAGCAACAATATTTATGGATATTTTAGAATAGGATAAAACTAATGTAAGATGTAGAATTATGTAACCTTAATTTATTTTTATTGACAGTAAAATTTATATTTAAATGAAAATTCGAATAAGATAAATTTAAAGATTGATTGAATATGCAAACTAAGTTTTAGAAGTTTATTAATTCTGAAAAACAATCAAGTTTTTAAAAAATTTTTTTCTTATGCTTTTATTTATTTTAATTTGTCTTGTCAATTTTATTTTATTTGGATGGAATAATTCTTCTCGAATTTCACTGTCATGCCCTGATAAATAAATATTTTTCACTTACTTTAATCTAAAATGCAGTCTTAGTATTTTAAAAATTTTTGTTTTTCATAATGTTATTATTTCAGTATTTGATATTAAATTTCCAGTTAACTTTGAAAGCACTAAAATTTTTTGGGCTCAAAAGATGATATAAAAGAGCAGAAGACAATTCGCTTTTTTCTGATTGTTTTGAAATTGAGGTTAAATATTAGATTATAACTTTACTTTGATTCCCTTTATATATTTTGAAAGTAAAAAGTTTTTATCTATAAACTTTCTTTTTTTTTTTTGCGCGATTAAATAATAAAAATGTTTGCTATGGACTTAAAAAATAGATTCCGTCAGCTAAATAAGGGAAACAAATGATCTTTAAATTAATCAATGATCAAAAAATATAGATAAAAAACATGCAAAAAAATAGCTATCAAGAATGCAATCAAATCAAAGAGAGTGATTGATTTAGAAATTACAAAATAAAAAGAAATGATTAGAAGTCAATGTTCTGTAATTTTTATTCATTCACACACATATTACATAAACCACTTTTTTTAGCACGACCTAACTTAAATTAAAAAATCACAAAAAAATATAATTAAAAATAATTAAAATCTAATAGAAATAAATACATCCATCCTTCATTTAATTAATATAAAAGAAGAAGAAATCAAAGCCAATTACTTACTTACTAACTAATTTACTTATATTTTATAATACATTATAAAAAACCATATTATAAAAACGAGTTAATTTAGATACAATTAAGTTTGAGAACTAATTACCTTCTCTTCAACCCTCTTTAGATAAGCTAAAAAACATAATCGTTTAAATACCATATTTGACACCCTAAAACCTAACTAATTAATTAATTTGATTTTTTTGCTACATAGCCAAAAAATAATAATTTCAAAAAGCTTAAATAATATTGAGTTAGTAGATTTATGTCAAAAAAGAATCAATAAGAATCCAATAATATTAGAGTTGTCTTGCGTTGTAGACCTCTAAATAAATTAGAAATAGAATAAGGTGGCGAATAATGCGTGAAGATTGTAGATGATTCAACTGTTTAAGTTATTGTATATAATTATTTATTTACTTAACTTTGTTAAACAAGAAATTCAAGCTAATTTTACGAAGCTAAGCTCGGCAAAAGCACAATTTTATTTTTTCAATATTAAGGTTGCAGGTGAAGAACAGCCACATTAATTTAGTTTTGATAAAATCTTTCCATCAGATACCCGATAAATAGATGTTTTTAAAGAAGTAGGTTAGCCTGTACTTGAATGTAAATTATTCATTTATCAAACTAAAAGCTTTATAATAGGCAATTAATCAGCAAGCACATAGCACTGAAAATAATAGAAATCTATCTAATTTTAAATTAATATAAATTCATTTGAAAATAAAAAGGTATTATGCAGGGCATAAATTCAACAATATTTGCATATGGACAGACATCGTCAGGAAAAACACATACAATGGAAGTATATAATTTGATTGAACTTACTTGTTTCGATTTAATAGAATAAACTATAGTGTTAATATTTATATTTAACGAACTATTTTAAAAAATAGGGAAAGCATGATGATCCAGAATATATGGGTAGACTCATTTTTATAACATATTTCGAAGTTTGAACATAAAATATTTAAGAATAATCAAAGAAAATAAAATAAATTCAAATATATTTTAAAACCAATAAAATATTAATTCAATTATACAGGTTTGTTAATATTTTTTCATATAAAATTTCATAGGACTTATTCCGCGTATGATGGATAAATTATTTGATATGATAGCTGATGCTCCTAGCACTATAGAATTTAGTATAAAAGCATCTTTTTTGGAAATTTATAATGAAAAAATACATGATTTACTTGACCGTAAGTTATTTATTTAATTATGTTAAGCAGTTTTTAACGAATTATATCTTTCAAAATAGCTTCAAAAACTAATTTGAATGTTAAGGAGGACAAATTAAGAGGAATTTTCGTTTAGGATGCAACAGAAGCTTTTGTTGTTAAGGCATCAGATATGATGAAAGTTATGAGAAAAGGAGCTGATAATCGTTCCGTTGCAGCCACTCGTATGAATGAAAGGTCGTCAAGATCTCACTCTATTTTCCTATTAACATTAATATAAAAAAATACTGAAACAGAAACTAGTCGTCTTAGCAAACTATATTTCGTAGATTTAGCAGGAAGTGAAAAGGTAAAATCTTATTCTAATAGTTTTTGCAAAAATAATGAAATGTATTGAAGGAGAATATTTTATCATTTATATTTATATCCAGTAAAGCTTATTATGATTAAGATAAAGCAAATTAATATACGATTTATTTATATATTAATTCTAATAAAAATAAATTAAAGATTGCTAAAACTCACGTATCTGGTTAACAACTGGAAGAAGCTAAGAATATTAATAAGAGTTTGACATGCCTTGGTATAGTTATAAACTCTCTTTCAGAGAAGAAAGAGCATATCCCTTATAGAGATTCTAAATTAACAAGAATTCTATAAGAGTCTATTGGTGGTAACTCTAAGACAACTCTAATTATTGCATGCTCTATGTGTTCCTATAATGATAAAGAAACAATAAGTACCCTTAGATTTGGACAAAGAGCTAAAAGCATTAAAAATTAAGCTAAAGTTAATGAAGAAAAAAGTGCCAAAGAGTTGATGCAGCTTTTAGCAAAAGCTGAAAATATGATTAAATATAAAGACGAAATTATCGCTGCTCTACAATAATAGCTGGGACAAGAAAATATAACTCCCGTAGCTCCTAATAAATAACTTTCAAAGTCTAGTAATACTTTACCTTTAAAAGTGCTATTTACTAATTTTATTTTAATGATAAATTTTAATAGATTCCGTAGCCGACATTAGCTTTAGCTTTAATAGATAATTAACTAGATCAGAAACAGAAATAGAAGAAAATACAAGAAATATAGAAAACGAATCTCCAAGTATTTAATTAAAACCTGTAGCACCATAAGAATAATAAGAAACAGCCAAGCCAAAAAAATCAACCCCAACAAATAAATTAGGAGGTGTTCAAAAATAAAATAATCCCAATACATCCAGAAAATTGTTAGAGTAACATTTAGAGATAATCAAGCTAAAAGAAAAAATAGAAAAATTAGAGGGAGAAAAACATGATCTAGAAATAGATCTTGCAAATAAAACTACTGAACTGCAAATGGTTAGAATTTATTTATAATATATGTTAGCTATTAATTTAATTAATCTTCTATTTTAAAAAAAGTCAAATGAAAAATGCAAATCTATGTCAGAGGCTATGGAGTAAACTTACACTGATTGCGAGGCATAGCTTAAAAAGTATTAAGATTAAATGGAGAATATGCAAGTAGATACTTTAGAATGGAATACATACACAAGAGAACTTAAAAAATCTACCAATCGTCTTTAATCTGATTTAAACTATTTACTTCTATCAACTGAAATCAAATCTATGGACATTAAAAATATTGATGCAAGTAATAAAATTCAATTTTGTTTTAAAAATTGGGCAAATAAAATAAATTAAATAAATATTTTTATTTGAATTGAAATTTTTTTATTGAATTATTTATATTTAATATTTTTATTAACAAAATTTTAGATGGATTTGAAAGCCAAGAAGGAAAAATATGCTAAACAATTAAAAAAACTTTAGAATAAATAGATGCCATAAATAGTTATATTGGTAAGTTTGAATAAGTATAAAGCCTACGTACTATGACAGAAGGAAGTGAAACAGATGAAAGAAAAATGAAAACGGTTGGTGATGAAGATAAGCCTCATAAGAAAAAAGAAGACATCAAAGTAAAGAATATAAAATAATTACGCTATTCCAATTATAATTATTATCTTTAATTTAAAATGCAGCTAAAATCGTTTGTTTCCCCTAGATCAAAGCATGGAGGATTTATCCGTCTTCAACGTAATAATTCATCTCTAATTAAACTTGAACAGGTAAAATAACATTTTTATCCATAACCAGAAAGTACTTCAGATTACAATGAGGTTTTATCAACTGAAGCTGATGACGTTATATTCACTGAAGACTCCATTCCTTCGACAACCAGCAACACAGGCACAAATGGCAGCAATTACTTGAAAGACAACAACATGCAACAACCAACAGATCAATTGATTATGGAAAGGAATGAGAGTGAAGATGAAGATCACACAGAGGAAGAGGAAGATATTAAAGATATTATTGAAATAACAAAATCAATAACAAGTCTTGATGAAGTGCAAAGAGAAGAACTCATGACATACATAATTTCAATTAAAAGATAAGTAAGAAAGCTAACTCAACAAAATAAAGAATATGTTCTTAATGTAATTTTTTTAATCAAAATTTTAAAATTCAATAAAATTTAAAAAAAACCAGATTGAGAATTACTAATCTTCTAGCGATTGCTAGATTCAAAAGTATAAGAAGAAGATTCAAGAGATTAAAAAAACTCTTAATCAAAAATTAAAAGACTAAGAAATAAAACTCCTGAATTTGAGTACTAAACTGGTAAATATTATTTTATTCTTAAGTGAGTTACTTACTTACTGACTTACTTTTATTTTTAAAAGAATGAAAAAGCAACTGAAATAAAGAATCTAACTCTTAAGCATGAAAAGGAGCTGATTGATAAAAATCAAACCTATGCTAATCTGAAAGTGGAATTCGAGAACTTGAAAAAGTAGATTATTGTGTTTTTTCTTATTCTAATTTTATTAAAAATAATTATTTTAAATTTATTAGGGTCATTTCTTCTAATCATCCAGTTTCTAAAATTGCGGAATTATAATAAAAAATTAAAGAGCTTGGTACAGATAGATAAAAGCTATTTAATGAGTTATTTGCTGCTCGTAACGAACTTGATCAGAAAGAAATAACCTTGAAAGAAAAAGATTCATAAATCCAATTAATGCGCAAGACCATGCAAAAACAAAATGGTGAATTTAACAATATAAAATCAGGTGGAGATTTTCTTGTCTCTTCAAGAGGAGCTCTCCTTGAAAGAAAAACAACAGTCAACGATCTTGATTCAAGCGGATAAAAATAAAAATCTATTTCTTTAAAATCTCACATTGCTCCTTCTATCAGAGGAGGTAAAAGAAATTATCCATTATATATTTAGATAATTTTTTTTTAATTAAAAAATAGGCGGAGGAGATTTTGCTTCTTTTTAGAAAAACAATTAATATTTACTCAGTGATGAAGCAAATGAAGACAATTATGATGATAATACTGATCCAAAACTACGCAATACCAAATAATAAGAAATAAGCAAGAGCATAAATACATTTGATCAAAAAATGAAACATGCTCAACTCTCAAGTACTAAAAAAACTATGAATCGTATTGATGAAGAAGATGATATGGCTAATGATTTTGCACAAATTGAACCTTCTGCATTTGAATTAGAAAAGAAATTTAACATAATTGGGTAAAAAAAGATAGAAACTGAAAAATCTACCACATCTTCAATATTTGGAGCAGTCAAAAAAATTTTTATGTGATTAAATCAAAAAAAATAATGATTTAAATAAATGAAATTTTTCATTTCTGCGTTAGCTCAGATAGCTAATTAACTAACTAACTAATAATATATTTACTTTCCTTACTTAATTAATTAAAATAATTTATAACCAAAATTTTCCTCGAATAATTCTTAAAAAAGATATTTGACATAAAAGCTAAAGATTTTTCAAGTGTTTGAGAAGTAAATCGCGTACTTTAGTTAGATCAAAAGAAACGAATATTTGCTATTTGTTTCACTGAATAAATTAATTAATAAGGAAATTTGAATAAACGAAGCATTTTGAAATTTCATAATTAATAATAAATAGAATAAGTAAATTATAAATATAAAAAATTATTGGTTATTCAAGATTTTACAAATAAAATATGGAGAATAGTAATTCCATATATGACTTAGATTTGAATCGCTATTACTAAAATACCGATTCAAATCTAGTTCTGAATTCTTTATAAATTAATTTAAAACTTTTATTAATATAAACTATCTCACATCAAATAAATAAATAAACGCATCTTTAATAAATTTATATTACTTTTAATACTATCTGTATATAAAAAAACCTGTACTTTCTATTTATCTCCACATTGCTAACTTTCTTATAATGCTAAATTAACTTAAAATATTTATGCCATTTTTAAATCTAAATATGTATATGCGTTTGAGTACAAAATGTAATTTTGATGATAAAGAAAAATATAATTTTGAAATGCATAAATAAGTAAGTATATAGTATAATTTGATGAATCAAAAAAGATAAGTATTAAAGAAACCAAAAGAGAATAAATAATAAACCTTCACCTATAAATTTTTTTAAAAGAAAACCAAATTTTTTTGTTTAAATTTTTGATGATATTTAAAAATGAAGATTTTTTAAAAAGCTGAAATGCAAAGTAAAACTAAAATCGTATGCTTATTATTGATAAAATTGAAAGATCCTAACCTTTAGATTGATCAATCACCTAATTATTATAATAATTATCACGATAGTATTGTAAATTTTAAATCAAATACTGATTAGAAAAAAACGAGCTATTTAAAGTTTATAATAATTAGAAATAATAACAAAAAATATTAACTAATTAAGAAAAAAAAGCAATTATATTATATATCCAATTTTGGAAGATCTTTTGCTCAAAATACAAAAATGGTTAGCAGATATAGATAATTTGCTCGTAAGATTATATTTCTGCCTTTTTTATATTAAAATTATTTATCCGATAAATAGTTTAAACAAAGAATTTTATAGATCAGAACTTTAAGCCTTTTAGCGAATTGATTGATTGTAGAAGATACAATTTCCCAAAGTAGAGTATTTTAAAACGCTTTCTTAAGAACATGGATTATTTCAGCTATAACTACTTAGCAATGGCACTAATAACCACTATACTTTATTTGTAAATATTAATCAAACTATCATTATATATATCATTTAGATTGTTTAATAATTTCTATTTTAAATTATAAAATTTAAAAAAATATATGTAGAGTTTATAACATCTGGTTCATAGTAGGATGGCTTCTTACAATAGGATTGTAAAAAATTAAATTTATTAAGACTTACAAGTAATTAATTTTATAATTAATTATAAAGTTGGGGAGTAGCATATAAGTTTAGGCAGAAAATAATTGAAGAAAGTCCAAATGATATGTGCTATAATGTGAAGATGACCTTTTTTTTAATAATTAACATTACTATGATATGGACTGCATATGGAGTTTAGTTTATCGAATATATTGGCTTTATGTAAATTTATTGATTTATTTTATATTTTATTTGAATATTCTTAAACTTTAATGAAATAGTATGTTTCCGATATTATTACATTCGATATTATTCGAGCCTGTTGAGATTTCTAATCAGTTACCATAAATTATAAGTAATCCTTCATTAGATGTAGAAGCTCAGCATGTAAATTAGATACCACCATCTTAAAATAGCTCTGTAAACTATAATTAGATTTCTATTTAAGAGAGCTCTTCACAAATTATAAATGTAAATAATAAACAATTGAGCGATGAGCAAGTTTAAGCATACTAACATGTAATTTAAGTAGAAAAATCTACAAATCAATCCAATGAGGAATCATAAAACTCTGCTTAGTGATTCACAGTCTAATAAACAAGCAATTGCTTTTTATATTTATTTAAAACCAAGAAATAACCAATTTGTAATTTACAAAATTAATTATGAGAATAAAAAGTATTAATTATATTATAAAATTTAACATTAAACTATTTTATGTTTGGTTAAACGTAATAAATATATATTATATATTTATATTTATTTTATAAATTAAAGTATATAGTTATTATAAAAGCCTTGATCTAATACTTAATTTATTATCAATTAAATATATTCTCTTACAACAAAATATTAATTTAAATTAAATAATATTAGCTTACTTTCAATCCTCATTAATTTATTAATGTAACTCCCTCTCTCTAATTTTTTCCAATATTTTTTACCTTTCTCATATCAAAATAAAATAATTAAAAAATTATTACCATATTTAAATTTCCTAAACAAATTTTTTCATTTTATATCTTAATTATTCATAAACTCAATTATTCATTCAGATAATTTTTTTGTATTTAATATTATAATAAAATTAGTGTTATTAAAATATCATATTTTCATTATGTAGTTGGAACTTATTAGAGTTTAATTGTACGATTAAATAAAGAGAAAGGCTGAATAGTTGTTTAAACAATTTTAGCAATTCATATTAAATTTTTTCCAAAAAACCAATGTTATTAATAATTAAAATATTTAAAAAATTTTTTAATTTAGAACTCTAAATTTTAAAAATATTCTCAAATATTAAAATTAAATATTCTATATTATAAAATATTTATTTTGATATTCTATATCTAACTAAAACACTCAATATTGTAGAATAATTTTGAATATTGTACTTTAAATAATAAAAATTTATTAGAATATTTTATTTTTTCAGATATTTAACAAATTAAATATATTTATTTTATGTAATATTTAGTTAATTTTTACTTTTATTTTATTTAAATTAATTTATATTATTGTAGTTTCTTATATATCAAGTGCACCCTTACCTCCAAAAAAAACACATGATTTTGCTGTTTTGATTAAGTTAGTTTAAAATTTTCAAAAAAATAGACCTGATAAAATCAATAAAACTATAAAAAAACTTAATTGAATATAAGTTTTTATTTTTGAGAATAAAAAGTATGAAGTTATAAAGTTGAACATTCAACTGTTTTAATGTTTTGCTAAAATTAATTAATAAATAAATATTTTATAAAGTAAAACATAGAATAATTAAGCCTAAATATTAATTAATTTAAATAAAAATAATAAAAATATTAATCAAAATATTAGTTTTTAATTAAAATTTAATTTTTTTACTTTTAATAATTTAATTAAAACTTTAAAAGCAAGTAACTTAAATTGGTATATTGTTGATAAGTTTTATTTTTGAGAATAAAAATTGTTATATTTTTAATTTAACATAAAATCATTTTATATTTGGCTAAACATAATAAATATATGTTTATTTTTTTTTATAATATAAATTATTAGCATTATAAACACTAAATAAAAAAGCTTAAATTAGCTATAAATTAGGTAATATTCGCTTACATTAAAGTATTTATTTTAAATATATTCACTTAATTTAATTGATATTAAAATAAATCAATATTTTAACAAATTATTTATGAAAATTTTTAGTTTATCATTAAAATATATATTTATTTACCTTTATTTTATTTAAAACTTTTAAAAAACTTAAATTGAAAAATAAATGCTTGACAAATTTGATTAAAAAAAAAAAAAAACTTATGAAAAAAAAATATTAATTTAGAAATGAAGAAATTGATTAAAACTAAAACTTAATTTAAGCTTATTGCTCTCAACAGCAATAAAAAAGAATCATTTTCTTACTAGATTAATTAATTCCATCACCTTATTACATATAATCGATTCTGAAAGATTAAAAAGGTTGAAAAAGGAATTCTTCCTCATATTCATGACTTGATATTTTGGCTATATATTTTGGTTTATATTTATTTTTATAATCAATTTTTGCATTAATTTCAATTAAAACTTCGTAATTATTATCAAACCATTTACTTTTAGAGTATTTTTAATTTTATAGATATTGTTATTAAGTGTTTTTAATTCTTTAGGCTTACTACAATTATACCTAATGTACCATTTAAATTTTTCTTAATGTTGCAACTTCTTTTAATAAACTTGTTGACAAGAATTATGGAAAACAAATAAAAGTTGGAATTTAATTGTTTTCATTGTGTAAATATTCTTGATATAGTGTGTCATATTAATACGTTTGAATTGCGCATCCTCTGTAAAGTTTTACTTCGTTTTTTTAATAATCGTCTTAAAATTAATATAAGCATTTTGAAAATAACCTATACAATCTCATGAGATATCTATAAATTCGTACATTCATTGTATTTATTGATAAATTTATCAATTTGTATAAAACGCTCTCTTGGGTATATAGATTTAGTATCTTTGATACAATCTCTTTTTATGAATAATTCAATGTATTTATATTTGAAAATTACTCAAAAATGGAATGAATGCTTTTTATATCACTATCTTCTAAATATAACTCTAAAGGAGATTAAATATTTGCCTTTTTACAGTACTAGCAAAGTTTTTTCAAATTTTCTTTTTCTTTTTCAAGGTTAATTGATTGTATTATTTAATTATCATGGCATTAAAATAACATCAAAACTTATTTAACTTTGGATCCAAAATAGAAATCTAAATTCTTATTCTAAACAAAAGAACTGTGAATTCTATTATGTATCATTTTATCAAAACTAGTAATTAATTAGTTATATTATGCTGCTATCTAAGTAACATATTTAAATTACAATTAAAGCTTTTCTATTGTTAATTAATTCTAAATTATGAAATTTTCACTTGTGAATATAATAATAGACTTAGAATGTATCTCCTATTTTATAATTTTGTCATTCAGCCATTCTAGATTTGTTGTTCCACCATATTTTTCATAAGCAAATTTTCCACTCATAACAAATAAAATATTTTTCTAAGACAAATTTATAGACATAAATCTAAAAGTTAAGCTATCACTAAATTAATAAATTCTGTTTATTAAGAAAGGAAATTTCTCTATTAAGCAACTCATATCAGACTCTTTAGACTTTGGATCTCCCCATATGACCAAAAATTATTGCATGTTATTATCACATAGCTATTCAGTTTAGTTATTTATATTTTCAATGAATTCTTCAAATTCTTTTGTTTTAGTATTTGAATTCTAGTAAATCTGAGCAAACGATCCTTTACTTATCATGATTTGTAATTAACATTAAATATTTTTAAATTAAAAATAATAAATTTTATTCATTTAGTATTATTATAAATTTCAAACAAATAATTCTCTATTTTAATTTTTAAATATATTAATGCGTAGGTAAGTGATTGTCGCTATTATTGTTATTATATTTAAATATTTGAATAATCCTTAATTCACCTTATTTTAAAATTTGAAGATAAGAAAGAAATTTTCATTTATATTTTTTAAAAAAGCATTGTTATTATTAAGTAATCTGCCTCCATTTTAATAAATTTAATGTCAAAAAAAATTAAATTTTAAATTTTATCATAAAAAATATTCTAATAAAAGACTAATAAATTGTTAGTTAATTATTTAATTATAATGTAGAATAATATTTAATTATATTTATTCCTTTTGTTAAATATTATTTTTTATTTTATATAAATTTCGTGGAAAATTGCTGATTATTCCTAATTAATTATTAAATATTTATTTATTTATTCAACAAAATTAAATTTATTGGTCTTAATTTTTAATTTAAAAACTAAATTTTTTGATGATAAAAACTTTTAAAAATCTTAATAAATAAATGTATTTTCCATAATGAAAAGTTCATAAAAATATTATCTATTCAAAAAAAGAAAAAGTTTAGAGTAAATTGAAGATTCAAATAAAATAGCCATCTAATTTTTTTTATTATTACTTTTTCCATTAATTTTTAATATTTGATTAAATTTTTTGCTTGATAAAGATTACCATATTTGTAAAAGCTTGTGCATTTTAGTGCTTTTGAAAAACTTTCTTATTAGGAATATTTAAAAATTAAATAATAAATTTAATTGTTTACATTTCTTATGTGGCTAAATGTAAAAATAGCAATTTATTTAAGCTATTAAATTTAAACTAACGACCAACAAGAAGTAAGATGCATGAATACATTTTATCAAATAAAATTGGAGCATAAATTAATTAATTAATTCTTATGATGTAGGTTTGTTTGTTCTACAGCTTGAATTAATTGATTTAAATAATTAAATATTAAACTTTTCTAACAATTAAATTTTTTTTATTTATTTAATAAATTTTAAGAAGCAAATTCTATTTTCGACACATCAATCCATTCATCCATCATCTCATCTTGAATTTATATTGGTCTTTTTTTCATTTTTATTTTACACTTATTCCTCAATTTTTAAAAAGTCCTGTGTATCTCAAGTAATCAAAAGTTGACATATAGTAAGGTTTATTGATGGTAGAAAAATTATTATAACCCTTCTTAAAAAAGGCGGGAGGATTTTAAGTTCTAACTCTTGTAGGTTTCTTGCGACCCATGACGTTTTTGAACATAAAGTGTGCATATTCTCTTTTAACAGGGTTTAATTTGTCTGTTACGCTAGTAAGATTGTAGGCTAATAAAATAATAAATAATAAAAATATGGTTATCAATAGTAACTAATAATTTTTAATTTGTAACCTTTGTTAGCTTGAGTAGCAGGATCGTAAATCTAAGGTATTTCATAATAATCAGCAGCATCATAACTGTTAATATCAGGTCTAGGAGTAATTGAGTTAGGAAGAGGGAAGATAACTTAGCTGTTTATTATTTAAATATCAAAATTAAAAGAACTATTTTAAGGGTGTAAATAGATTGTTACTCATTTTTTCTGAAGTGCTCTAAATGTAATTGATTCTCGTGTTCGACTTCAGGTACTTCAGTAGTAGCTTCAATAGCATGTATTTTCAAAACAACGACTTATTCAGTGAAATATCTTCTGACAGTCTATTTAGAGTATAAATACAACTTTAATTTAAATTTATAAAGCTAATTAATAAAACCTTATCAGCCTTAGCTTCATGGAAACCTTTAGATAATAAGTAATCCTTAAATTCTTCTTTAGTGATGGGCTTTAAAGCTTTTGAATTATATTAAAAATGGTATTATTTAAATGAAACATGAAATTATTTTGGTTAGTTACCTTCGATCTAATCTTCAAAATTCTTATAAGAAGCTTCGATTGTTTAATTAAAGCTAGCTTCTTCAAGACTTCTTCTTAAGAACTTATCAGAACCAATTTTTTCTTTTAAATCTTCTTTGCCTTGTAAAATCTTTTGCTTGAAAGATTCGTGTTATTCAGCTTTGGTTAATTAGGAGAAAAGGATATTTATTCTCTTAATGACAAATTGTCTTCTCTTTTAATCAACTTAGTTAATTTAAGAATTCATTTATTATAACTCAGTTTAGAGGCTCTATAATTCTTATTAAATAAGTTTAGGATCAAGAGAATCCTTCAAATCACTATCAGCTATTTACTTAATGAGTTCATTTTTCATTCTTTATTACTTGAGGAATTTGACTTCTTCTTCTTATTAAATGAACTTTGATTTTTAAAAAAAGTTTTACAAATTGCTTTTATGAATAATATTTAGAATTGTATGGCCATAAAATGTATTTTTATATTAAAAATACATAGAATAAAAAGGTGTAAATGACCAAAATTTTATTGCAAATTCAAACTATATTAAGAAAATAAGAACTAATTTTTTATCATAAATAAAAATTTAATTAAATTATCATGATTTGCAGTATAAAACTAAATTAATTAATCACTTAGTTTCTTAATATTTTAGTTGAATTTGTATATATATCCTTTCAATCAAAAGATACTTCTATATAATCATTTTATCAATTATTTACTTCATGGAGATGATTGTCGAAATTCTTGATTTTATATGGACTTAAATTCAAGTAATCTTTAGGGGTTACTTCTGGTTTTTCATAAAGAGTTTTAAAACCTTTTTTTTAATAAACAAACTTTTAAATTTCATTTTGCTTTTATGAGTACTTAAATTTTCAAAAATCTAATTATTAATCAATCAATCAGCATTTTAAAGCAAGAGGAAAAGAACATACCATATTTAATCAAAGGCTTTGGAGCTAAGTCGAAATAAGAAAGGAATTTTTATACTTTTTCAGAGGGCTTTGCTCCCATCTAATTTAAATTTATAAATAAGAATTAAAAAACAAGCACTTGAGTAGAATATTCTATGAATTCCCATTAAGGAGAAATAAATAAATGTAAATCTAATCTTTACAGCAATCCAATATCTGACACGTTCCTTATTAACTACAATCTCTCTTTAATTAATTTTTCCTTGTCTTGGGCACCACCAGCCAACATGCTCAAGGAATCTACCTCTGGGATTCTTCTTTTAGGGCATGACAACAATTTTCCTATATATAATAATTCATTGTAATTTAGATGATTGAGTTCTATTTATTTGTAGATATAATTTTCCTTTTATTTCTAACAATGTGAAAAATAATCAAAGAAACTTTGAATATTAAATATGTATGGCGAGTAAACTGAAAACTCAAAATTCTAAATTCAAATCTAACTCATTTCACTCTATCTTGTCAAATTTAAAATGAGCGCTCTTTTTTAATTTAAATTCTGCTTGTTATTCTTTGTTTATTTTAAAATATTTTATATATTATTACCATCTTGGATGATTTTTAAAACCAGATTGCTAAAGTCTAATAACAACTCTCATAATTCAATTCCTTTTATTAAATAATTAAGCTTTTTTATCTTTTCTTATTTTTTTTACAGAGAATAAAAGCGTATAAAAACTATTTGTTTTACTTTTGAAAAGATTATAATTTAATGTTTTAGTGTTATTTTTAATTAAGTTTGCATTTTAAAATTCACACGTAAATTTTTGCTTTGTATTTTGACAAGCAAAATAAAAAAATATTAAAGATATTTTACTTCTTATTTAATCAGAATTATTGATTAAATCAAATCAATAAAATAATGCTTATACTTTCTTTCTAAGCTCAACTCTACACGAACTCATCTATAATTTTTTATTAGGAATTATATTGGTTATCAATAAATAAGTAAACAAATAAAAAGCACGTATTTAGCAAAAGTTTAATCTGTTAAAGAAATGGCTCACCTCATTAAATAAGTGTCAGAAAAATTCTAAAAGCTTCAAAATGATTTTAGGAGAAATACCATAGGTACCAACAAACAAACAAATTAACTTCAATAACATTTAGAAAAATATTATTTTCAAATTCATTATTTTAAGTTTATTAAGTATTACTCATTCATTATTAAGCTATGAAAAAGTGATATGCTTAATACATTTTTGAATTGGTTAATATGGAAAATGTTAAAATAAGAATTGTTTTTGTTAAATATAATAGCTAAATATTTAGTTCTTATTTTCATTTTTAATAAAATTATTTAGAAGTAGATGCTTTTAGTAAGATTAGCAAATCATAGGTCCTTTAAGATTGTAAGTAATTTACTAGCGTATAGTTAAACGATCGTTAATGCAGATAATTATTATCTCAATTAATCTATCTTATCAACTAAGTAATAAATAATATTATTTTTAGTAAAAAGATCAACATCAAAAATATTTTAGCTGTTATTTAAGATAATAAAACTGAATTTTCACCTAATAAATTTTGTCTTTGTTTTACTATTGATTTTTATAAAAATAGGGAAATAAGTTCAGTGATTAAGAGTAGTCAACTTTATTTTTCTAAGTTACAAGATTGTTTTAATCAAACAACAAAGAATTACGTAGAATGGTCTACCTCATGATCAAAGTATTTAATCTTTAGCAATCTTATATAATTACTTATTTATTTATATAAATCAAAAAAACCTAAAAAATATAATATTTTGTTTATATAAATCCTTAATCAGGAATTCAAAGATGAAAAAATGGTCTATGTTGTCACATAATCTTTGATGAAAGATATTACTTCTACTGTTGACTTATATAAGATGAATGCTTTGAGAATTATTCCAGTTGTTTTAGATCCTTCTAATCTTATTTAAGTTGAACGCTACATCAAAAACGTAAAAAAAAATTATCTTATGACAATAAAAATATACTAATACTTTATATATATAATAAAAGGCTATTCTTGATAAAAATACTGCTGTAGCCAGTGCAGCTATATTGGCAGCCATATAATTATTCCCTTAACATAGTGAATCTATGAAAAAATTAAGCTCTGATGTAACTGCTGCACTTCAAAACAATAAAACTTAATCCACAATCCATTTCCACGCCTAAATTCTACTTCATGAAATAAAAAAATAAGATAGAAACTCATACATTAAGGTAATTACTTACAGTTTATATTCATTACTAAGGCCAATTAAAATTAACAAACAAATAGATTTTGCTTGAATAGACAAAGGATGCCATTGGCAACTCTGGCCACTTCTCTACTATTTAACTTATCAGATTTATCAAAGAAGTTCTCTTAACATCTGAGTTGGATTAGACAACAGAAAGAACATTTATTGATTACTTAACAAGACAAACAAGTAAAACTAATGAAATGGTGACTATTGAAAGTTGCAAGGCTATTTGTGAACTTAAAAATATCTCAAATAAAGATTTAACTCAACCAATAACAGTTTTGGGTATTTTCTTGGTTGGAAGTAGCACAGTTAACAAATATGCTGCCTTGAAGATTATGAATAAGGTAAGTAATTCAATAAGATTGATTTGTTTTAAAATATATTATTATTTAAAAAATATCATGAAAGCTTGTATCTAATCCTGCTAGAAAAGCTATCATCAACAATAAAACTGAAATACAATACCTTCTAACTGATAATAACAAGTAAAAATAATTACTTAACTTTCATATTTTTTAACATATATGTAAAAATATCTTTTTAGGAGTATTTCTTCTTTAGCTGTTTCCATCTTGCTTAAATTGTGTAATGAAGATGACATAGAGAGTTTGCTTAATTAAATTTATGATAATCTTTAAGACATGTCTGATGAATTTAAAGTTGACATACTTAATTCTGTTAAAGGGCTTGTCAAATAACTTCCCAAAAAATATAGAATTATTTTAGTTTTCTTATTCAATTGTATGAAAAACGAAGGAAATGCTGATTTCAAAGCATAATGCATTGATGTTGTAGAAGATATTATTAGACAATTCCCTGCTGAAGAAGTTAGAGAATCTAGTAAATTTAAAAATAAACCATGATTAAATCAATTAACTTATTAATTTAAAAAGGTTTATAGGTCTTATCTGAGTATATTGAAGATTGTTTAGTAAAAAGTTTATAATTAAAATGCTTGAGCATTATCAACAAAGAGTCGTCCAAGAATACTGCTTCTCTTAAAATGATTAGACTTATTAACAACAGAATTCACTTAGAAGATTCTGAAGTAAGAGCTGCTGCTGTAGGTACTATTTCTAAATTTGCATCAAAGCAATAATCTGTTAGAGAATAAGTTATCTAACTCTTGAAACAGTAATTTTAAAATTATAATAAATCTAAATTTTTATTTTTATTTATCTTTAACCAGTGCTTTGAGTGATCCTGATGAAGAAGTCAGAGAAAGAGCATTCTAAAGTATTAATATTTTTAGTGAGCAAGTTAGTTCTTTCTTAGAAGATAAAGCTAGAGAAGCTTCAACAATTGATTTCTAAGAAATTACATATATAGAAAAATATATTGAAATGAACAAGCAAAATATTGAAGAATCAGAAGATATTGAAGCACTTTCCAAGGATAAAATATATGAATTTGCATAAGCATAAAATATTCAAGCAACATAAACTTCTGAAAATTAAGCATCAACAAATTATGATGATTTTTCATCTGATCCTTCTTAAGACAAGGAAGAATCTTAAGCTTCTGCTAGTTTACCAGTTATTAAAAAGGATAATGAATAATTCTAAAAATTAGCACAATAATTTGCTTCCAGCGCTATTTTCTAAGGTTATGGACCTCTCAGACATATTTCTAATGGAGGAGTAAATTATTTTGTTCAAATTCTTAAAAATACATTATTTATATTTCAAATCATAGGATCTTACTGACAAAAATGCTAGTTATTTAGTAAGCTATGTCAAATACTTCTTTGATGATTATGTTGTCTTAGAATTTTTAGTAAAAAACAAAGCTCAAGACCAAGTAGGATATTTAAAGATATTTTATTAACAAAGGATTTTATGATTTTTAAACTTTAAATAGATTCTTAAAGATGTGAAGGTTAAGTTAGATTTAAATAATGAAAACATTCAAGTAGAAAAGATTGTTGCAGCCACTGAAATTAAAGAAGAAGAAGCAAGCAATATTTTTGTTGCTTTGGCAAGAAACCCTGAATTTAAAGTTATTGCTTTCTCTAGCCAATGCTTCTTAACTTTCTAAGTTTAAGATATAGGAGCTAATGGTAAAGTTATTTCTGAATATGCAGATGAATACTAACTAGATGATGTCTAAGTAACTATTTCCGATCATTTAACTAATTGGGAAATTGGTAAAGGAAAATACGAAACAGAATTAAATTATTTAGAAGGAGAAGTTGCTACATAAAAGTTTAAATTATCATACAAGAGTATTGATTTTGCTATCTAAGAAATTATTAAGCACTTCAGTAATAAAATTTATATTATCATAAAACATTTTGGTTACAATTTATTATGTAAACAGGTGTAAGCGTATGTGATGGAACAAATCACATTCCTCAAGTTCAAACAGAAAAATTCCATACTCTTAAACTAGCTGGTAAATACTTAGATAAAGAAAAGGTAATTTTATTAAATAAAATTTTGTAAAATCATTTTTAATTTTTATTCTCACTTTTAAAAATTAAAAGTTCTTATTAAGCTGCATGATAGCTATGGATGCTAAATAAGGTTGCTTCTTACAAATGAATGTTAAGAGCGCAGACGAAGAATTAAACTAAGATCTTATAAATACTTTCAATAACTGAAAGTACTGTAATTTATTACTGATTTATTTGAAGATAGATGATATTAGTTTGATTAATTCACAAATTGTATGTTATCTCTTCATATTATAAATTTTGTAAATTATAAAATAGTTTAAAAAAACTACAACCAAATCAAATTAAATTTATTTGAATAAAAAATAAATAACATAAACGAACTAATGAATTAAAAGTGACAAGCAAAAATTTTTAATTTTAAATAAATTTTATTTCTTTTTTAAAACTAAATTTTTTATTTCTTGAAATAATTTTAAGAATTTTTATATATTATTTATTTAATATTAAAATATGTATTTTTAACACATATTTTTATTTTGAATTATTAATTCAACCATTTCCTCTTCTTTTAGACAGACGCCAAGCTTCGTTATCACCACTTTTAGTTGAGAGTGATTCAAGCTTTTCAGCCTTTTTAGCTTTTGATAATACATGAGGGTTTACGTTTTAAAAGAAATTCGGTGCAACTTCAACAAGCCACTTTGGTTCTATTGTGGAAATATTTCTCATATATTCTTTAGTTGTCAAAACTAATTCGTGATAAACTACCCAATCCGGCTGCTTCTAAAAAAGTGCAGATGTAGGATGTATGTTAACAGTATGATTATCTATGATAGTTTTGTATCCTTCGTTACGATCTTTTTTTGCTGCATGATTAAAGAAGCCTGCACATATAGCCTTACGGATTTTGGCATAATTTTTACCACACGATTAAACAGGTAAATGATAGCGGTCCATGATACCTATCAACTGTTTACGAATATCTTGTGCTCTTTTTATTGTTCTAGAATCTATGAAATTCTCATGACACCAAATATTTGAAAAATTGTTTGATTTCCAAGCTTCGTATACAGTCAAAAGAGTTAAGTGGTCTCCATCTTAATGATGAAATTTAGCACGACGCTGGTCAGCTTGTTATTTTTTATCTTTTGGACAGAAAAATACATTTTAAACTGACAACATAGCAATAATAGTAGCTATTTCATCTGAACATCCAAGATCAACACTTGTTATAAGCATTTTAGAGAGAGGTGGTTCTAAAGGAAATTCGGCCATTTTCAAACCGAGACGTGTAAGGAGACCTTCATCATCCAAACAACCTAAAGTGTAAAGATGTTCTAAAGCAGAAATCAAAGTTTGAATAGGAGGAGGATCCATAAAATCGAAGTTGATTAAATCATTAATACCCATTGCCTTTAAAAGTAAAACCGTGTTTGCTAAGTTTGTACGCTGAATTTCAGGTATACTTGTTGGGAGCATTTCATTTTTGAAAGCATCTTCAGTATAAAGACGGAAACATTTACCAGGACCTGTACGACCTGCACGACCCTAACGTTATTTCGCTGAAGCCTATGAAATTGGTGCAACAATCAAGGAATCCATACCAAGTTTTGGATTGTAAACTTTAATTTTTGCAAATCCTGGATCTACGACATAGTAAATACCATCGATGGTAAGAGATGCTTCTGCAATATTAGTTGATATAATACATTTACGTTTTCCCTCAGGAGTAGGAAGGAAAATTCTATTCTATAGTTCATTAGGCAAACCAGCATAAAGAGGTAATATAATAAGTTCAGGTGCATCTGGACCTAAGTTCTTCATACGCTAGAATAATATTTAGCATGCATTATCAATTTCTTCTTGACCTGTTAAGAAAAGGAGAATATCGCCAGGAGGTTCATGCAAGTGAATTTGCATGATTACAATTAAAGAAGCTTCAACATAATCCTATTCAGGTTCTACAGAGTAGAGGACATCGACTTTGAAGGTACGACCTGGTACACGGAAAACTTAGCAATCAAAGAAATAATTAGAGAATTTTGCAGCATCAAGGGTAGCGGAAGTAATAATCAAATGAAAATCTTTTCTTTTCTTAGCTACTTTCTTAAGTAAACCAAAAAGAACATCTGTATTTAGCTATCTTTCATGTGCTTCATCGAGCATAATAACTGAGTAGTTGCTTAGTTCTGTGTCAAGCAAGGCCTCACGAAGAAGCATACCATCAGTCATATATTTAATTACTGTAGAAGCAGATGTACAATCTTCAAAACGTATTGAATAACCTACTTCTTCACCAAGTACTACACCCATTTCTTCAGAAACACGCTTAGCAACACTCATAGCTGCAACACGACGAGGTTAGGTACACCCAATTTTCTTACCACTCTTACAAAAGCCTGCTTCTAAGAGATACTATGTCATTTAAGTTGTTTTTCCTGAACCGGTTTCACCAATAACAATAAGAATTTAATTATTAATGCAAGCTTTGATAAGTTATTCCTTATATTAATAGATAGGAAGAGATTCTTTTTACTCCTTGATTGTCATAGTTTATTTTGGTTTGTTAGAGTTGTTGAGAGCAGCCTTAAACATTGCTTCTTTTTTAAATTCTGGAATTTCCGATGTTTAAGCATCTCCCAACTTCTTTAAATTACTTAAAAGGAAAATAGATTCTGCAGTAGGATCTAAATTCATTTTTTAGAGTTCTTATTTGTTAATACTATCTACCAAAGCATTGTTTTGCTAAATACGAATTTCTCTTCTATCTTTTGCTTGTTAAACTGCATTAAGTGCTTGTCTACTCAAAGAGCCATTCTAGTTTTTAGTAACTCTAATAGGAGATAAGTTTACTCCTGCCTTTGTTGTCGTATCTTTTAAGAAGGGAGTTTCGTTCTCACGAATTTCAACTTCAACATCTTCATCTTCTGAACAACCTTCATCTAAATCTATTTCGCCTTTATCAATACCCAAATGTTTACTGGAATAGTATTCTGCTTACTTACGTTCCCACTTTTCTTAAGAACTTTCTCTGATTCTCTTTTTATTTTTTTCCTCTTTATCTTCAAGTAGAATACCTGTTAGAGCACCGAACTTTGAATTTTAATTTGATTTGATAATATCATCTTTATCTAACACACCAAATGCCTTCTTTTCTTTCTACTCAAGAGGGTCATACTTGAGAGATTAGGATTCCTCATATCGTATTTTTTGTTCAAACTTATCTAAACCAGTTATTTAATCAACATCTTTCATACTCAAACTAATTTTGTTTCCTATCACACTTATTACTTTTACTTTTACTCTTTATCCAATTCTCGCTACTTCTTAAATATTTCCAACTCTTTTGCTTGAAAGCTAGCTAATGTGAACCAAACCTTCTTTACGCCCTCCAACATTTTCTAATGTTACAAAACAACCAAATTCACTTATTTTAGAAACAACTCCATCTAAAATTGAGTCCTTTTCAACTTCTTATCTCTTGAATTGCTAACGAGTTTGCTTTTCTTATGATCTGCTGCGAGAACTATTTTCTCTACCCTTTTTCTCTCTGAGTGGTGAATTCGAATCTCTCTAATATTTTTTTCTATGATCTTTTTTTGCATCAGGGGAATCCCTTTTTTTCTTTTTTTCATGAGATTTAGAGCGTGAACGACGACTTTTCTTTTCTTTTGAATAAGAGCGATTTTTTTTTTCTTTTGACCTACTTCTAGAGTATTTCTTCTTACTTTTACCTTATGAGCGACTTCTAGACCTTCTTTTACTTTTTTCCTTTTTATGAGACTTGCTTCTGCTTCTTGAATGCTTGCTACTTTTTTTTCTACTGATTTCTTTATTTGAAGTCTCTTTTTCTTTTTCTTATCTTGCATCAATATTAGTCGGCTTTGGATCGAATTTACTACTATTTTTGTCCACTTTTTACTCTGGTTAAGGTTAATCCAGATCTATTTCATCTCTCTATGCAAGAGCTGGGAAAATTTTAGCATATTGCTTTCTCTTTTCTAGTTCTTGTCTTTTTAATTCATTCTATTCTTCATCACTATCTTCATTTTCATAATTTTCATCTCTTTTAACCTTTTCTTTTTGCTTGATATCCTCTTTTTCGATTTCAATATCAATTTTTTATGGATCTCCTGCAGAAAATTTATTTTTCTTGTCCTCAAGTTATTTATTTTATGCTTGAAGATCAACTTTCGGTTTAATTAAGCTCTACTTTGACTTAATCAATTTATATAAACTAGAAATAAATTAGTCTGATAATTCTGCATCATCTTTAATATTTTCAGCAAACTATTGCTCAGTATCTGATTCAAATGCTTAATCTATAAAATAATCTACTAAATCTTTATCCTAAATTCCTAGTTGTGTTTTCAGCTGTTGCATAACCTGCTAGCTGAGAAGGACATACTATAAATTAGAAGCCATTTCCCTTTTTTATATTTATACAGATTAAAAAATAAATTAATTATTAAAAAATTTAAGTTTAGTGTCTAGTATGAATTAATAAAAATATAATAATCTTTTTATCAATTGTTATTTGTGTGATAAAGACTGTTTAATTTATTTTTTAATATGCTGTATATTTTAATGCAGTAAAATGAACAAAGATTTAATAAAAAATTTCTATTTTAAACATTAAATATATTATAAATTTCGATAGCTTTAAATTATCTTAATTTACACATTTTTATCTGAACTAAAATATTTGAATTATTTATTTAAAAATGAGTACTCTAGATAAATCTAAATATATTAATAACAGATTAACAGAAATAATTTAAAATTTAGCATGATTAACTATATAAGCCTGTTTACCTATTTGAGATTAAAAATTTAAATCTTTTTTACTTTTACTTAATTTAAAAAAATAGTTCAGCTACTTAATATTTTTTTATTAATTTATTTTGGGCTATTAAATTTTTAAAAATTTCTTAAAATATATAATAATAGTTATCAATATATTATATACCTTATTTCTATTTTTTTAAATCAGATTCATATTTTTAAATACATTTTTCATAATTTTCCAAATCTGGTATAAAAGGGTAAAAAAATAAATAAATACATGAGAGTTGAGAGTATTTACAGTTTTTATTTTATTTTTAAATCTTTTTTGCTTAATAAAATTATTTTTTAGTTTATTTTTAAAATACTTGAAAGTAGTTTCATTACTAATTTTAACAATATTATGAATAAGTCTAATATTTTTTATTTCTAATAGCTAATAATTAATTATTTGATTATTTACTAATAATTATACTTGTTTATTAAACTTAATTTTAATTATTTATTATTTACTGTTTGCCTTTTAAATAATCAAGAATTTATATTTTCAAACATTATCTAGAATTATTTATATTGATAGAATAGTATTAAAATGAATGAAAACTAAAATGACTCTATTTTTAATACAGATAATTAGATTATTTTAAAATCTAAAATGGAATTAAGCAATGTAGAAAATATCAATCTTACCTTTCATGCTGATTAGGAGTATATTTTTAACATTTATAAAATCTATTTTTTTAAAACAGTATTTCAGTGATTATCGCAGCCATTATTCTAGTCATTATTTATTTGTTTGTTTGCGTTAAAATTTGATCTCATAAAAATGAGATAGGTATCTAAAATATTTTATATAAAAAGAGAAAATTCTTATATCTATGAAATCTAAGATTAAGGGGCATTAAATAGAAGAGAGTATTTTGTATCTAGCATGGCAGAATAGAAAAGATATAAAAAATCTTCATCTAGTGTTAGTAGCATAAAAGATGTCAAATATGAGGATTCTAACTACGCTCAATCACCAAGATAAAAAGATGTTAGCTTAATATAAAATATGCTTGAAAAGACAAATACAATTACAAAAGAAAAATAATAAAGCATGTTGAGGACATCTTAATTAATTTCATCAAATAATTGCAATTTATTATCTCCTTCTCAATTGACAGCTATTGAAGTAAAAAAAACGCAAAGCTAAGAATAACAAGCTCTTATAACTTAGGAATAAAAATATAGCAATAACTACAATAGAAGTATTATTTAAAAGAAGACTTTTTTGCAAGAAAGTAGAACTTCGTAAGAATTTCATCCTATTAATGTTGATTTAACGAAATATAACCAAAAAAATATTTTTTCACCATAAGTAAAAAAGAGCCCATATTCTGATAAAATAGATTTATAATCATCTGCTATTTACTATGATGTTAATTAGTTTAAAAGTGAATACAACTATAGGAAAAATTACCTTGTAATTATTACATATATGAAAAAAATTGCTAATAAGTTACTTCTTAAACTTGCATACAAAGATAACAGATTATTAAATTCTACACATTTAACTATAATAAGAGATAAAGCAATTGTTGATTATCAAAGTTATTTTAATGAATTATTTAAATCATAAAAGTATGTATATCCTTTAAAATTCTAAGATCACTTATTGGATAATAAAAAGAATTAAATTTTACTCAGAAATACAAATACTAACACTTAAAAAAGAAATACTAATATATTTGTTTTCATTTTAAAAATTATGATTAGTGCATTAAAGTAAGCTAATGATATTGTAGGAGTAATTTCTCCTAACTCTGTTATAATAGCAATAATATAAGTAATAATAGTACTACTAATATTTTATTTTATTTTTATTCTTTCAATCTAGTCTTGTTTTCTAGACTATTATTAATAATAGATTGATGAAATTTAATATATCTACATAAGTGGCATAGGATACACTTTAATTGATATTTATATAGGATTTTATTAAGGATTCTATGAATTTGGATGTGTTTAAAATAATAGATATTAAATTGCATGCAGATACTTAAAAAAAAGATTTTATATAGATCTAATCATGTTAAACTGCTATATATTCAACTATTTGTACTAGTAGAACATATCCATATTGCTAACTATTATTTTCAGTGTCATTTAAGTAATTATTAATATTATTTCATTATTTATTAAATAATTATTTAACTCAATTTTAGGTTAACAATAAAGTAAAGTAAATTAACGATTACTTTAAATTATCTAGCAGATTTCCTTTTTGGTTTGATATTCTTAAATTATTGGTAACAATTCTAATTATTGCTCACATTTGTGGATGTGGATTCTATTATGTGAGTGTGATCTCATAAAAATCTCAATTCGATTAAGTTTTTAAGGATGGGAATTTTAATTGGATTGATTTTTAAGGATTAACAAATTCAAGTTGGTAAACGAAATATGTTTATTCTTTATACTTCTCAGTCATAACCATGGCTACAGTTGGATATGGTGATGTATTTCCTGTTAATATAAATGAAAGAATATATGTAATAGCAATGACTTTTGTCTCTTGTGGTTCATTTGCTTACTCAATTAATTATATAGGATAAATCTTTACATAAATTTAGTAATAAAGTTAGAGTTTTTAATAAAAGTAATACGATCTCTTGAATTATATGAGACTTAAGCACATTTCTAAAGAAACATAAACAAGAATTTTAAAATACTTAGAGTATTTAGAAGATAAAACAGATTAAATAGCCATCAAAGGTAAAATTACAATGATTACAATTATTTTACTTTTATTATAAAATAAACAAGGCTAATAAATATTAGATGATTATCCACCTGAACTTAGAGATGAAGTCATGAAAGAGAATTTTTTAAAGCTACTAAATTTAGCTCCATTCTTAAAAAACACCTTTAGTTAAAATTTTTTGTTACAACTATGCCTTAAGTTCAAGGAAAAAAGAATAGGACCTGGCGAGATTTTAGTTAGGAAGAATTAAAAATTGGAGTATCTATATATATTGACTAAAGGTATAGCAGAGTATGTCAATTTTGATGGAGTAGAAAAATTACCATTATATTAGATAAAAGTAAAACATCAATAAAATATATTTATTTTTAAAAATTTACTAAATTACTTGAATTAATAAAAAAAGAATATTCAAAACGAGCAAACTTTAATAGATGTCAGATTATTTTTTACTGGAATAGAGGCAGATGTTTCAATTTAGAGTAAAATAGTGAGTTGCGTGGCTTATATTTCTTTTGAGGATTTTTATAATGTTGTAAAATAATTTCCTAGCGATTATGTAAATTTATTTCAAATTAAAATCATATTAAAAATATATTTTTTTATTTGTTAATATTTCAAACAGGAAGTATTTTGTATGCTTAAAGATTAATTTTTAAATGACAGTAGATAATATTTGTAATGTCAAAGCTGCAGGTAAATCGGTCATTCTTTTATAAATTGTCCATAGCTGCATTATGATTTAGATAATTAACTATTTTTACAAAGATAAATTAAATCAATACCATAATAGAGATTTTTTTAAAATCGTAGTAGATAAAAAAAATATAACTCAGTATTTTAAAAATTCATAACATCTCAAAATCTCAAACTTTTTAGATGGACATTAGTCTAAAAATATTTACAAAACTACAATCATATTGATCCTATAGCCGAAGCAAGTGTCATGGAAAATGAGAAATAGTTTTATAGAAGATGTCCAAAATTTAATTTATAATATTTTTCTGTTTAATCATAAATTGCTATCGAAAGAAAAAATACAGGAGATTTAAGCAGCGAAAGCTAATCAGAATGCTCACTTTCTTCTGATTCGTTTACTAAATCATCTTAATCGTCTAACAAATCTCCATCACATTATACTTAATCTCTATTTTCTGAATAAAAATTGAAAAGCCCATTATCTGAAGTCTCTATCAAATCTCATGACAATAAAAGAAGTAGTAGGAGAACTCATACCTTAAAAAGAAAAACAGTAGAACTCGAAAACCAAATAGTTACTATAAGAGATATACCAATAAATGACAGTTAGCAAGATAATACGATTTTTAACTAAGAAGTAGAAAATTAGAAATAATTAAATTTAGAATCATTGTAAAAGCTGGATACGATGGATCGTTCTGTAGATAATTTTGCACCTGACATAAGAATTCAGTATTTTCAAAAAAATAGTCACAAAAAAAATTCTCAAATTTTTGAAGGAAAATAATGTGATGATTAAAATACTTAAACGAACTATTCTTTCAAAGCTAGTACTAAAAATAAATCAGATACACTAAAAATATAAACTTCTGATATAGATAATAAATTGAATGAATATTAATAATAGTCAGATCTCAAAAATTCTATTAATTGCCATGTATAAAATTTGCTTTCTTAAAACCTTGTCTTTCAGGTTATGTAAAAAATAGTAAACGATTCACTTAATAAGACAAAAAAATCTTTTTCTCATACCTCAATTTCATACCAACAATAAGAGTCAATGGATATTACTAAAGATTAGATTGACTCATTACAAAAATTTAAAAAGCGACAAAATTTACTTACTAATAATATAATTTTCTAAAATTTTAAAAGAATTCCTTCAATTAATACAAATATGTAAAAGTAAGATTAGTAAATTAGCAACAATAAAGAAGTCTAAAAGGGAGAGAGTCACATTTTTGGAAAATTAGAATTTTCCTTTGATAGAATATAAGAATTTGAAAAATATTTTCCTAAAAATAATTGGACCAAGGTTATCAAGTCTTATAAAAAATAAAATATCATTGAAAAAATAATTTAAGCAAAATAAAATAAAAAAATGAATAAAGCAACTTAAAAAATAAAATTTATTGAATCATCCAAAAATTTTATAAATATTGCATCACCTTCTCCAGCAAGTTAATTTAGATGTAAAATTTAAAAATTAAAGTAAAATTAAAATATTCATTTCATATAAATAAAGTAATAAATTAGGATTCATCAAAAAGCTAAGAAGGTGTTTTGCTAAAATGAATTAAATTTACATTTTTCTTAATATTTTATTTGATATTGATTTGTTAAATTTATTTTATATCTTAAAATAAAAAATATTTTTTAGTTTTTAACAAAGCTTTTTTTATTTCTAAGCTAGCTGCTGATAGTGTTTTTATTCCAGTAAAAAACAATAAATTCTTTTCTATTTTAAAATGAAATTACCATAAATTTTCATTAATTAAGGCTACTTCAAAACAAATTTTCTATTCCTATTTACTATTTTAAAATAAATATATTTCTGAAAATTTTTTATTTGTTACCTTAGTTAATGAGGAATTATAATATTTATTTGTTTGTTAAATTTTGTAATTATTTATTTTTTATTGTTGAATAAATTAAAATTAATTCAGAAAAAAATACTATACTTATTAAATTTAATAAAATAAATTTATTGTAATAAAAACTTTAAATATAAATATGAAATAATCAATTTTAGTAATATTCAGGAATTGTTAGGGGCTTTTTAGCATTGCATTGATTAGATAAACTCTTTGAGCAAGGAGCTTCAATCAGAGTACTTAGATCTTTAGAAAAAATAAGATCAATTTTTTAAAGCATCTAAACTCCTTTAACTGAAGTACATTTTAATAATACAGGACCCTAGAACTCAAATTCTAAAGCTTATTTAACAAATGATACTGAATAATTTTTATCATTACTGGGAAAAATATTTCTCTTAGCCAAAGCAGAAATAGGGTTATATTACTTATGAATTTTTGAAACAACATTGTAATATTAAGTTTAGCTACCTTCAAAGCAAGTTCCATGTTTTTCCCATTCATGAATTCTAAAATTTTCAGTATCATTATAGAAACTATTCCAATATAATTATATATATTCGATATCTGATTAGTTAATAAGGGAGTAATCTAATTTTTCATCTGTGCAGTTACTAGGGTATTCACAATCATTAGATTCAGAACCAGAGGGCCATAAACCATGAATATTGAAGTTTTTGCCATCAAAATTCCCAGAATTAGTTTTACTACACTATTTTGTTAAGCAGTTAGTAGCTGGCCATTCAACTTCAAAAACTATAAAAGTATATGCAGAGGAGCAAGTGAAGGCCAAGAAAATAATGAATAGTGATTTAGTCAAGAAAGCCATTTTTATTGTATCTTATTACTTTAAAATTTTTTTATTGAAATTATATTTAAAATAACCATAGCCATTTGCTGGTATTTAAGAAGCTCTGATCCCCCATAATTTACAAAAAGAACTAAGCAAGTACTATTACAATCAAGTTAAGTTAAAAGCAATGTGCTTAATTAATTAGGGGTTTAAACAAGTATAATAATATTCTAAAATAATCTACATACATACTCACTTTTTATAGGTAATAGAATGAATTTTTTGGAACAAATATTGCTAATTTTTTGATTTTTTTACAATTAAAATAAATTATTTTAAACTGAAGAAAAAAGAAAGTAAAACATGAATTTTAAATATTAAAAAAATTTTTTCATAGAGATATTTAAATTAATACAATTGTGTCATAAAGCTATCTAAGTTTGCTTAACTTTATCTTTAATGTATACAACACTAAATGATATCACACATACTATAAAAATCTTTACAAAAATATACAAATGAAAAAAATAAAAATGAGAATTAAAGATATTAATATTACAAAAAATAAGTAAAATAATTATCAAATATGCATTATGTTTCTCTATATCTTCAATAGCTATAAAGAAACACCTAAAATATATTACTTTACTTAAACTATCTTCATACTAGAACATTAACTTTTAAAAATCTAAAGAGCTTAACATTTAAGTGAAATACCCCCTCCACTTACTATTTCAAACTTATGTGTATTTTTTTAAGTAAATTAAATTTAATTTGCATAAATAGAAAAACCGATAGATAAAATTGTTACATCTAAATATTCATAATATATTTAAATAATTTTGGCATAAAATTTATAAATTAATTAATATTTATCTTAATAAACTTTTATTAAACATTAAAAATTGAAATAATTTATTTATTTATTAATTCAAATATTAAATTTTTAATATGAAAATATCTAATTTATCATAATTGATATAAAGTTTGAATAATTATCATGTTTAATTAAAAAATTGTATAATTAATCATTATAGGATTTCTTTTTATTAGCATTTATTAATTTATTTTATGGAGCGAAAAGTAAGTTATTAAATATAAACAAAAAATATATCTTAAAAAGTGTTATTAAAGATAATAAATAATATAAATATTAGTTAATTAATTTAATACAAAACCTATTTATTTTGAAATAATTTATTTTTAATAAAATAAGGAATTATCTTGAACCAACTTAAATATTAAAGTAGTTTAAAAGATACTTGAAAATATATTATTTAATTTTCAAGTATTTTCTTATTTTAAGTAAAATAAGAAATTTCAAACTAAAATATTTTAAAATGGTAATACCATCTTGTAAAATATCATTTAAGATATTAATGAAAATATTTACATCAATAATTTTAAATTAGTTTATTTGATTTATTAAAATACTTTTTTAATCTAGAAAGTATGATTGATTAAACATAAACTTTTGTAAATTTTTAAATTATAATTTTATATTAACCACATTAAAATGATACATATAAAATGTAAAGTACAAAGACAGACAATCAGTCTAATAGTTCTAAAAATTAAGGATATATTTCGTTATTTTTTTCACAAATCATAATCTGAGCCAATATTTACCAAAAAAATGGTAAAATAACTTTGCATTAATCAATATTTTAAAAATCATCCTTGTTAAATTTGTAATCATCTTATGAGGCTATTTTTTCTAATAATTAATCAAAAACTTAGTGTTCTAAATATTTTTATTCTGGGCTTTCATAATATTCATCAGTTTATAGCTTGATATTTTCACAAAAATTATATAATTTATGTTTTGTAAAGTCTTATTCATTTAATTTAGAGTCAATTCTGTTCTTTAAATCGTCTAAAGTTTCTATTAAAAATATTTTAAATTTTTAAATATCTTTTTTTTAAACTTACCTTTGGTGAAATATGATTTATTATTTTTTTTTCCGAACTTAGAAAACTGCTCATTAAATTGATACTTAGCTTAAGGATCAGTATCATTATCTTTTTTGTTTCCATAGCACATCACTCTCTATCTAAATTCTACTGAAAATGCAGATATATTGTAGCTAGTTGTTGAATATGAAAAGTCTAACTACTCTAAGCTAACTTCATTTTTTTTAGGTCTACCAGCATTTGACTTCTCTTTTTTATCTTCCGCTTTTTCTCTATTTAAATATAATAATGTTAAAAACATTTTTTCAAAAATTATTTAGAAATCATTATCTATTATAAACTCTTAAATTATTGTTTTTAGCTAAAATATTTTACGCATTTTATTTAGGTTCTTTTTTGATTTTAGGTTTTTTTGGTTCTTTTTTAGTAATAGGTTTATTTTCGATTTGTGACTAATTTTCTACGTCTGATTCTCCTTATTATTTAACCATTTATAATTAATTTACTTAATTGATTTGTATTTAATTATTAATATAATTTGTTATAAAAATATAGATATTTATTCTTTATCTGATTTTACTAACCTAAATAAAGATTTAAAGTAGAAAAAGTTTAAATTTTAGAATAAAAACTAATAAAAAATAAACACTTTTAATTATTTTCTTTTATTCAATTGTATTTAGCTATTCAATTTATAGCTTTGGATTTAAAAACATAAATATAAAAAAATAATCTCATAATAATTTCTTTTTATAAGTGTTAAATATTCTAATTCCATCATTCCTTGTAACTTACAGATTTAAAAATAGAAATGTTAAATTTTAGAATAAAAAAGAATATGTTAAAAAAACTATTTTAATTATTTTCTTTTATTTAATTGTCTTTTGTAATTAAATTTAAAACTTTGGACTAAAGAAGCTTAAAAAGTATATATAAAAGATATTAGATCCTAACCATCTTTTAATAAAATATTACTAGTTCTGTTAGAATAATTAATAATAGAGTAAATTATATGCCAAATTATATAAATAATAGTTTTTAAATTATATTTTACAATATTATTATTCTCACAAAGAAGGCTTTGGTTATGCAAATTATTTGAAATAATTATATGCATTTTATGATATTTTATCTATAACTTCCTTTTTAGGTTTATTGTCGTAATCATGGTCTGATGCAAAATGTCCATAAGTCAAACCAATTGAAAGTGGGAATAATACAAGTCTATCACCGTTTGGTAGGTCTTCAATAAAAAAATAGTCAATTTCTTTATTTGGCTTGAAAACTGCTAATTGCCCCTTTATAGGGTAGAGATTGTTATCATTAAAAAGGAATTTAGATTGTAAACCAGTACAATTAAAGATATAGCTTTCGCTCAGCTGCAATAAATCCTCCTTCTGATCAAAGTGTTTTTTGACAAAATTAACTTTAAGCCTATCTAGCTCTGATATAAACTCTGGTAGGAATATGTCTCCATCTGTGAGGATTGTTTGAAAAGAATAACATTCAATAAAATGTTTTTCATCAAAGGTAACTAAAACGTTTTGATATTTCATATCTATATCTTTTGGAATACAATTCTAAATTTCTTTAATAGGAGGAACAAAATATACAGTTCTATAGCTTAGGCCTTTGAATTTCTTATTTTCTATACAATCTTTGTAGAAGTTATAAGTGATTCTAGAGCATTTCTCGTGTAGAAGTTTAATTTTAGGTGTACTATTGTATTCATAAAAGCTAGGAATCCATATACCTGCTGCTACTTATGATGTAATAGGGAAAGAGTCTGTCTGATCAAATTAAGATAAAGAAGAAGAAGATACAAAGTTATCAGAATATATTGTGACAGTGTATCCTTTTCTGGAAAGAATATAAGCTGTATATAATCCAATATACCCGCTACCTAACACTGCTACATTTCTATTTGTTGGATACACCATAGTTTCTCTTTCGAACATTTCCACTGCTTCTAAGCTATATCCAAATCCAACAGACACTCCTCCTCCTCCATGACCATAATTATGGACTATCTTTTTATCCCCAATCATTTCAGTTTCTAATCTTACACCGCCTTTTCTATAAGGTCTTAGCCCAGCTTTTTATCCTATTCTCTCCTCTAATTTTACAGTTGGAGGAGTCAATTTTATAAATTTTTGTTGTTTCATATATTCTGCTTATTAGATTAATGTTTTAAATCAGAAAGATAAAGTGTTTGAAATATTTTGAGAAAATTAGAAATATCATAAAATTTTATGATACCAAATATGATAAATATTTGTTGATCAAAATTTTTCATTTTTGTGACACACACACTCGATAAAAGTGTTCTAAATTTCCATTTCAAAGAACTCAGCAAGCTATTTTAAATTTAATGAATGTTTAGTTTAGTTAGTAATATTTAATTTACTCGTTTTAAGATAGAAAAAAAATCTCTCTTGGTAAAAATATGGAATAGCTAAAAATCTAAAATACTTTATTTGCAAAATTTTTTACTTTAATTTTCATTTAAGAGTGTGCTTTTCAGTATGAAAAAATAACAGTAGATTTAAGTGTTGAAGATATTAAAAATAAAAATGCTTTTATTTGTGTCTAATAAATTGTTAACACTGAATGAGGTTTAGATTTGATGTAGAAAATTAGCAGTCTTTTTTTTTTAATTTTTGTGATTGATTATCAATTGAATCTTATAGAGAATCTTTTGTAAAAATAAGAATAAATTTGAAAAAATAGCTAAATATAGGAATGATTATAATAATTATATTAATTTGATATTATAATAACAACAGAAAACAAACTTAATTAATTAACAAAATAAAATTTTAATTTTTGCTTGTTTTTCGCTGTAATTAAGTTAATTATACTTAAAAATGATGTTTTTCTTAAATTCAATCAGGTATTTTGTAAAAATACCATTCTTTTAATACAATACGGATATACTAAATATATATCAAAAGAGAACAGAATACGTATATTTAGTTAAGATTAATTAATTCCGTCAAAAGTAAAAAAATTAAAACTGATAAAATTCGTTTTCAAATTTAAAATAAATTGAAAGAGAATGATTTTGATTTTTGCATAAAAAATATTTCAAGTTCTCAAATACTGGAAAATAAAAGATAATTTTTATTTATTAACTTGCTGTAGAAGTTATTCTCATTTTAAAAAGTTTTGAAATGTTTAAAATTTATAAACCCGAATAGATATTATCAGATTTATATAATTTAATTAATTATTTGTCGTCATATATTATAAAAAATTGAGTAAAGTTTTTGCAATTTGTAACTAAATTTTTTAATGATCTTGACTCATTGAATTTAATTAATTAAATTTTAAAGTGATGTGTAAACAAATTTTTTCTTTTTGAGTCAATAGAATAGCTTTTTTAATTTAAAAACTAACTAACTAAATCTTTATCTTTTAAAATTTATTATTTAAATATAAATTTAAAAATAAAATTCTTTATAAAGAACCTTCTCTTCTTGGTTTACTGAAATAACAATAAATAAGATTTTTAAGTTTAAATGGCTATCACTGTTGTCAATCCTAACGGTCATCGCTCTCTTTAACCTTTTTATAAGGGAGAAGAAATGATTTTGTTTAGTTCTATACAATACTATTTAGTTCCTTTTATTTACTGTTTAGGTTATCTAGGAGTTATGTACTTACACAATCCTTACCTATTGATTTTTATTGCTTATTCTCTAATCCCTTTTTTGGACTCATTTTTTAACTTTGATCTTAGAAATCCTACAAAAGAAGAGTAGAAGTAACTTGAAGGTAAGCTTCGCTTTAAAATCCCACTCTATTTTGCTGTACTTACTGAGTGGATTTTCTCAACTTGGATCATTTACTATGTCACATAAAATAGCTAAAATATCAGCTTATTTAACTTAATTGGTATTATATTTCTTACAGGTAATGGCTCTGCTTCAAATATCAATGTAGCTCATGAGCTCTTCCATAAAACAGGTTTGCTAGACAAATTCTTTGGTACATTCACACTTGCAAAGAATCTATACATGCATTTCACAATAGAACACTAATATGGTCATCATAGAAACGTTTCTACCCCCAATGACCCTGCTACTTCAAGATATGGGTAGACATTATATGAATACCTCCCTTAAACCATCATTGGTTCTTATTTTAGTGCTTGGAGAATAGAAAATAAATTCTAACGTTTATAAGGAAGACACCCTTTTAATCCATTCAATAAAATGATTATTTATACCATTCTCTACTTCATTATTCCATACATTCATTATCTAGTATTTGGTTTATATGGAATGTTCTTTTTCTTGTGCACAGCTTTTATTTCAGTAATTTATTTAGAGGCTATTAACTACATTGAGCACTATGGTTTAATGAGAGAAAAAACTGAAGATGGACATTACGAAAAAGTTGATATTAGACATTCATGGAACGCACCTCATAGATTTTCTAACTATCTCTTATTTAAGCTCTAAAGACACTCAGATCACCATGAAAACGGATATAAGGAATACTAAACTCTCTGTAGTTATACTGATAGTCCGACCCTTCCTCATGGATATCCAGTTTGCATTTTAATTAGTTTCTATCCTCCACTATGGTTCGAAATAATGCACGAAGTACTCGAATCTTATAAAAAAGAAAAGAAATCAATACCATTACCCAACATAGAAAAAAAGATAGATAATTACACTTAAAAAGTGTCTTTAATTACAATGACCCTTTCAGTTTTATCATTTTTTATTTGAATAGTAAATATTTAAGCAAAGTGAGCTCACATTCTTTTTAAGTATTTCACAAATTTATGTTTTTTTGTATTTGTATTTTATTTATTTTTTCCATTGTTTTCTCAAATTTAAAGAGGATTAAAAAAATATTTTTCTCATACGTTTTTTAATTGTTTGTTTTTTATAATTTAAAAATAATTTTATGAAAATTATAAAATTAAATTTTATAAGAGTATTTAAATTGATAAAAATAAAAAAAATAATATAAAATCAAATAAGAATTTAAATAAATTCATTTTATTTTCAAGTATTTAGCTATTTAGTCTCTTAAAGAATGCATTTTGAACGAATAGAATTTATTTGAATTAAATTAATATACTTAATTGCTGAAAATATTATTTTTTACATTAAATTACAATATAAATTTTATAAATAGCTAAAAATCACCCCATATCTTTCCAAGTATGTGAGCAATTTTTACAAATATAATGTTATGTTTAGCCTTCATCAAGACTTCTATCTTATTCCAGTCTTATATAGGCACCTCTCTTCTCACAAGCAGGGCAAATCACTTTTTTTTATTTATTAAAATATTGCATTAATAACATTTTAAAAGAATCAGCTTGATAATTTTATTTTTAAAAAGAAAAAAAATAATTTATTGATAATTACTATCTTTATCAGTTTATAGAGATTCTTTTTATAGAGAAATATCATGAATAGTATCATCTTTAACCATTCTAGAGTATGTTACTGTTTCTATTTTCTTTAGTAGTGGATAAAAATATGTACATGTTCTACAAGAAAATCTATTATTTCCTCCAACATTCTGAATAATAAGAGCATTAGCGCATAAAGGACAGAAATTCATCTTAAATTTTCTTCAGATGTTAGTTAAATATTTTTATTAATCTAAATTGCGATTTCGCAGTTTTTGTTCAAATTATTTAAATCTAGCTTATTCTTCTAAAAATATCTTTAAAAAGTGATAAAAAATATATTAATATATATTTATTCTTAACAAACAAAGGCTAATTAATATCTTAAAATAAACTAGAGTCTAATAGATGCTGTTATTTACAAGTTTTTAATTTATACATCTATTTAATAATTAGTATCACTTATAACACCTTTGTTCATAAAATATTATTATTTTATTTGAAAAATACCAACAAAAGCAATTTCATAAAATAAATTATTATGCTTTTCCTTCAATATTTAATTTTTATCTATAAAAAATGTAATAAATTAAAATCTTTATTCATAAAATAAATGCTAATAATTTATTAATATTTCTTTTAACAAAATTATAAAATGCTTAATATTATAATAATTAAATAAACTATTGATAATGAATATATATTACATAGATTTTATTTGCTTTTGATTATTATTTTTAATACTAAATAAGGGTAAATCTCTTCCTTAAAGCTTCCGTTCATACCCTTTTGATAATAAAAAATAAATTTAAAATTTGATAATATTAATTTTTTACTTATAAAAGCATCTTACTTTTAAGTACCTTAAATTTTTTGTAAAATATTTTTTAAGTTTAATATTTGCAAAATATTTTATTTTATTTTATAATAATTTATTATAGGATAGAATAATAATAAATTTACAATTAATTGTTAAAAAGAAATAAATTATTGATTGTAAAAGCATGTATGCTCTAATTCATTTATTCATTAATCAAAGTAAATTATTGATTGAATTTATAAATATCGTTTCATTTTAAAGAAATTTAATGTAATAAATTTTGATAATTAGATATAAAAATTAATTTAAAAATTGAGCTAACAACAACTTAAAATTAAGAAGAATATTAACTACAATAAACTAAATTTATTGAAAAATGACTACACATTATGATGAAAATGAGATTAAATTGAGTATTATGGAACCTAAGGAAGATGAAAGGTACATATTTATATCTGAATATTTATAAAAGAAAAAGGGAAGCATCATTAATTACTTTAAATTATATTAAAAATAGATTTTATCCATCAAAAATTTAGAAGATTATCAAAGAATTATTCGAAGATAGATTAAAAGGAGTTGAATATGACCCAAATAATGCCAATTAATTAAGCGAAAGATTAGTTCTCGAATTAAGAGAGAAAATAAAAAGAGGTGAGATCATATATTTTATCAAATTTCAGTAAAATACAAACATTTTCAAATTATTAAATAGAAGGTAAAGTCCCTAGATATAAAATTGGAGTTTAAGTAGTTTTCGGAGAAATTAAAGGATAAGGTTTAAGAATAGCCTCTAAGTGTTTGTGGGATGTTCAAAATGATAATTATGCAAGCTACACTTATACAAGCGTAATAATAAACTTTAAAAAATTAAACTTATTTATCAATAATTAAATGCAAATAATTTTATAAAAACAAACAATGCATTATTTTAGTAAATCAAAGATACAATTTTTTTTTTTAAATTAAAATAAATATTATAAAAAATAAAAACTTAATTTTTGAATTAATCAGGAAAAGGTTTATTGCACAGGAATAGTATTTGGATGCTACTTTGAATGAATAAATAAATAACTTCCTTTTGAATGGATTTAATTTAATTAGCAAATGCAGTATCGTTAATTTCTTAAAAATCATTTGAAAAAATTTAATAAAATTAAAACCATATATAAATAAAATCTCAAGACACTATCAATTTATCAATCAATCAATCTTGATGCCAATTTTTTGTTTTATGTTCATGCATTTCTTAGAGTGATTTAATTGATTTGATTACTATTTACTTAAAATTCATTTCTTCTTGCGAAGTTTATTTAGGTCAATAACAGCCATTTTGCAATCTTCAGAAATACTAATTAAAAATTTACTCTTTTATTGTCCATTTTCATCTAGATTTTAGTCTGTAATAAGGAGCAATCCATTTATAGAATTATTGTGAAATTAGAAAGAACATACTTCTTAAAGCTTTTTTCTACTTAAAATTTTTACTTATCTGTCTAAAGTAGAGACATATAACTACTTTTTGTCCATTTTTATATTTGATAATCCAATTTAAGGAGATAAATACTTAATATTGATATTACTTTGACTAGTGATCTTCTTATCTGTCAGATTTAATTTAAGCACTTGCAGCTCTTCAACGCTAGTGCAAATATATATTGTAATTACAATATCATTTTTAGGTTCTTTTACGTTTACACTTAGCTGAAAATCAAATATATATGGCATTTCTTCTTTACAATCAACAATTTTTGTTCTTTAAAGTAAGAACTTATGTTTTTAATTTTTTTCACTAGATATTATAAAATATTTTAAGCATCATAAACTAAAAAAGAAATATAAAATTATAAAAATAATTAATTACTCTAATTCTAAAATACCCATGTATAATCCTTCATATGCTACAATCAGGAGATTCTATATACTTTCTTAGTTTTCAATAGCTACTTTTTTCATACAACAAATGGTATCGATATACTTCTCCTCATAAAACTAATAAGAGACAACTGGCTTCCCATTCAGCAGATTTAATTTTTCTATAGAAGTATCTTTTTTGTTTGGGGAATATAAAAAACACTCATTGATTAGTACACTTCTTTGTTAAGAATACCCTGTTTTATATGAAAATATTTCCTCGTTTGGTAGGATTTTCATAAATCCTGTGTATTCCAATTATATTTTTTAGAGAAAAACAATATTGTGAGTATTGTCTTCTACCATTAATATTCCTAAGAAACCCAATTTATGCTATGTCATAATTAAATCCCTAATCTAATTATCCTACCCATTTTATATAGAAAACTTAGTGCAATGAGTTGCATGTTGTAATTCAGCAAATTTTTGTTCATTTATAATTTTCATTTTACTAATACAAAAAACGATGCATGTACCATCATCTAAGAGAATAAAAAGAGTATCCTTCATTATCTCTTCTATTCCTTTAATTGGCTTGTTGAAGCTATGTATAAAAAAAGAGTCAAAATAGTCATAATTTTACATTTTATTTCAGTAATTTTTATATATTTTTACTAAAGAATCAAAATTTAGTTAATTATTATAGTAAACAAAAATATCTTAAACCAATACTTGAGATATTAAAATTCACAAAGCATATAAATCTAATTGAATTTTTTTTAAATTTTATCAATGGTTTATAATAAAATGTGAAAATTTTTAATATTTCTAATAATTTATTTATATATTTCCAAAATATTTTTTCTTAGAAATTACTATATTATTAAAAATAATTCTAAGATAATAAAATCAAAATAGATTTAAAGATTTGATTACATAAAAATTAATAAAGCTTTTAAAGTGGAAAGGTAAGGAATGTTATTGATGCTTTATATATCAAGTTGTTATTGCATAATATAAAAAATAATATGAAATGCGATGATTTCAACAAATAATTTTAAATATGTATCAAATATAATTATTAAATGATGATATTAAAGAGGACTACAAACACATTTTAATGCCTAAATACTATAAGATTATAATAGCTTTATCAAATTTTTATACTTCTCCTTAAGTTGTAGATATCTAATAAAAAATATCAAACTAAAGTTCTAAAAACACAAATTAAGCTTAATACAGCTTGAATAGCTATGAATTAAAATTTTGTATAGAAATGAGCTTTTTTTAAATCACTTCTTTTAGTCTTAGCTTTCAGCATCAAGGATACTCTTTCTGTATAAAACATCATTTGATTAAAGTCTTGGAATATTAGGGAGAGGTCTTAATTTAAGTAAAAGATCAGGATGAAGATTTGCAAAGGCCTTAGAAGGATTAAGTTAATAACCAAGTTCTGTTTCTTACTCCTTATCGAATCCTAAAGCTTTGAGCTTTCCTTAACGAACCATTTGAGTAAGAATCTTTTCTTTCAAGTATGTTCTAGATGGAATAATATTATTTTTAACAGCTTCTTAGTCTCTTTGATATTCGAACCAAATTTGATTTTTATTGAGAGGACCTTTTTAGTTCAATAATTTTGCTATGTAGTATTATGGACCTCCTTCAACGTAGTATTTTTCGTTTTTTATAAATTTCTTTTCGCCTAATTCTTCAGCAGACATTTATTCTTTTGGGATGGGAGCCTTCAATCCCATGCTTTGCTTAGTAGAAGAAAGAGGGTTTAACTTAGTTGTTAATTTACCCAAACTTTAAAGACTTTTCATATTGTAATTTTTCTAAGTAATTTTAATTTTTTAAAGTTTATAATTCTTTCTTTTTCTTGTTTTTTCTAAGAAAAATGAAGGTATTAATCATACATACAAAATATTAATTAAATTCTGCAAACCGATTCTTTAATTCTTTGTCTTTCTTTCCATTTATTTTTGCATTTTTATCAAAGATTTGATATTTCTTAAAAAAAACTCATCCATCATTTATTTAATTTAATATTTTAGCTATTATAATTTCCTTAATCAATAAAATATTTATTTTTTGTTTTTTTAAGTAATTATTTTTAAGCAAAATAGATTTTATATTTTTTATATTTTTATATTTTTTTTAGATGCAGGTCTTTTAAAATATTTAATTTAAGAATTAACTTAAAGATATTTAAGAGCATTTTTGCTTAAGTAATTCGTATGGATAGGAATAATATCATATGGACTCAACCAACGAAGATATTTTATTTTAAATTTATAAATGAATAATAAAAGCAATTAATTAATTTATTTAAAGATTTAAATCCAAGCAAGTTTCTTAAATAATTAGATCCAGCTTGAAAATATTAAAAATCTTAAAGCTGTTTCAAAGTAGATTAGTAAGTATTTAGCCAAAAGATTATAAGAATATTCACTGACTCTTAAATAAAATTATTTTTTAAAATTTGACAAAGTAAAGAACTTTATGAACACAATTAACATCCCAACCAATTATATACCTGCTTAAATTCCAATAAGCACTTCACCTCCTCCTCAACCATTATCATTAACTTTTGGATTGAAAAATTAAATTTAATCATAAATCAGCCCAGTCTCGCATAAAGAAAAAATTGAATAATAGGTAGTATTTAGTCACACACCTTAAAGAATATAATACTCTAGCTCTGTAGATAACCTGTTAACTAATAGCTCTCCTTAAAATAAAATAGTAATAACAAAGCAAACATTACCAGTTAATAGCAACATTGTACTAAATAATCATGCTACATAAATAGGATAAATTATAACTGACTACAACTATAGAATTGAAAAAAAGGAATCGCCATACGAAAAATTGAATAATATTGTATCAAATAATGCTCTACCAACCTAGTATATGGATATCGACTTAAAACTTGAGAAAGAAAGAAATTAAATTTTAGAACGATAGGTTAATGAGTTAAAATAAGAGATTCTGATTATAAAAAATAGCAGTAGGTCTAGTAAAACTGATTTTAACAATAATATTTAAGGCGATCCTGATAATTAAAAATTAAATGTTAGTGTTCAGTAAGCATGTGCATAATTTGTAATGCTTTGTGCTGAAAATGAGCGTCTTACATATGCCTATCTTTAAAAAGAGAAAGAAGTAAATACTCTTCAAAATGAAGTTCTTTAGCTAAAGAGTAATGTTCTATTGGAGTAAACAAAATAATAGCAAATTCCGTTTTCTTAGTAGCTAGATATTGAAGCTAAGCTTAAGGTTTTTGAAATGAGAAACGAGTCACTTCACTAACAAAAACTAGAACTCCAAAACAAAGAATATGATTATCTTTAACAAATAGAAAAGCTTTCTTAAATGAACATGCTTAAGGATTAACAAATTTCAAAAATGTAAAGTGAATATAATATTTCAACTATTCAAGCTTAAAACCTAACAGAACAAATCAATGTTTTGAAAAAATAGTATACTGAAGTTAAAGAAACATATGAGAAACAATCTTTAAATCTAGCTTAGTTTGATTATCAGAAATTTTAGCAATCTTAAACAACTGTTGCTCTCACTGAAAAAGAAAATATTATTTTTTAAAAAAATTCAGTAAAAAAATTTGATTTTGAAAATGTTTATTTCACTTTATTTATTTTTTTCATTTAAATTTAAAATAGGAAATTGCTGAACTTAAGAACTATATATAAATTTTAGAGAAAGATGTTAAATAAATATAAGAAAAGGTTAACTAAGATTAAAGAAATTAAATAATCATAACTGGAAAATATGATAAATTGCACCAAGAATTGCAAGAAAAATATGAAGCTCACATTTAAATGCACAATTAGCTAAGAGAATAATTCGAGGTTAACGAAAAAGAATTGTTAAACCAACAAGGATACATTGATCTTCTTCTTTAAGAAAATGAAAAATTATCATATGCTTTAAAAGCCAGAATTGAAGAAAATGAGGGTCTCAAAGAAGGTTAAATTATTCTTATCAAAATACACGAAAATTAAATATTTATTTATTTAGAAATTAAAATTCAAAGCACTGTTTAGATTAATTATGAGGAAAGCTAAGGAATGATTAATTAGCTTAAAGAAAATATTGATAAACTCTTAGAAGATAACAAAAAGTTATATGAAGTAAACAGACAGTTAGTATCCCAACAAGAGCATTAATAGGATAATATAAAAAGCATAGAAACTACTTAGACAGATAAAGAAAAGAAGCTGTAATTGCATATAAACGAATTAGAAAAGAAAATAACTGTTTTAAATAAGCAAATATAGTTAAAATCTATAGAGGAAAATGAATAAGAATTTAAAAATAGAAATAATGAAAGAAACTACAAAGAAATTATTTTTGAAAACGAAAAATTAAAGTCTACAATTGAAATATAAGATATTAAAATGAAAGAGCTGCAGTTTTAAGTAATTAAATTTATTCTTATTTTAAAATAAGTTAGAAATTTTTTTTGTAGGTTGAAGAAATGCAGACTGAATATGCTTAGCTTTTATAGACAAAGCAAGAAAATTAAATTTTATCTATAAAAAGTAAAGAATTAGACAAGAAATCTCTATCTCTCCAAGAAGAGTGTAATAATTGGAAAGTTAAATATTCAGCAATTGAGTCTCATTACACTAAGCTTATAGAAGAATTAAAAATTAAAATAAAAAATTAATGTAAGGAGGAATATGAAAGAGACTTATCTTGGATTTAAGCAAAACTAGAGGCTAATGAATAACAAAAGGATTAACTGATGGTAAAATTGGCTTCTTATGAGTAAAAAGCTATCATGAATGAGCATTAGCTTAAAGATCTGAAAGAAAAATTTGCAAATAAGACAGAAGACTATGATTATATAAGCAAGGAATTTTAGGATAGAAAGTAGAAATTTGAATTGCTTGAAAAGTAATTTTATTCGATGTAAGAAAAGCACCTCTTAATAAGAATCGAAAATGAAAGAATTCATTAAATATTGTCGTAAGTACAAAAAGAAAATGAAGAAATAAAAAGACAATTTGATTAAACATTGAGTACTAACAGAAAATAACACTCAGAGATATACTCTAGAATGTAAGAATTTGAAGAAATTAACAGAAATCTTAAAGGAATGATATCTGAATATCAAGATGAAATTGGTAGGTTAGAAAAAGCTAATTATAATTTAAAATAATCAAACTTTAAGATAGATGAGTATGAAAACAAAATAATGTTTTTAAATAGAGAATATGAGCAGCTTAAATTACGTTTAATAGATAGTGAAAATCAAAAATAAGAATTCAAAATAAAATTCTAAGAATCACATAACTCATTACTAAATTACTAATAAATGGATTAATAGCTATCTTATCTCACTAAAGAAAACGAAAGACTGTAAAAATTAATTTTAGAAAGATGCAGATAATCTAACTCTTTTTGGTGAAATATAAAAGCAATGATTGCTTAAATATAAAACTTGAAATAGTTACTTGTATATATTTTGAGATATAATCAAATTATTAATTACTTTTTTATCTAAGTTTTTTTCCTTTAGTTATAAATTAATTACTTATCTTTCCTTATATACATGTTATTCAAATCAAATAATATTTTAAATAATACATCTAATGGCGACCAACCAAATATTTAGTTTACATAATTTCTTTTAGCCAAAACCGATTATTTTATTATTCAGTGTTCAGCTCAGCCGAATTAAAAATGACCTTATCCTGTTGATCACTAATATATAATATAATTTAAAAAATTGATTAAATTGCTATTTTATTAATTGTCTTTACACCTACATTTTAAAAATAAATAAAAAATTTTTTAATTCAAATTTAAATTTATTTAATTGAAAAATAAATTAAGATATTTTTAAAAATGAAATGAATAAATTCCAACTGTTTTTATAAAGGATACATTTTATTTATTTATTTATAGATTTATTTTTTTATAGATTTATTATATACATATATATATTAAGTTTTATATTAATGCTTTAGAGTAGTTTTCTTTAATCAAGAAAATTATTATTATTGGTAACTCTTACCAGCACTAGGGAATCGTTTTTACGTAAGATTGATTTAAGGTTATGGATTAATTTAACCAAATTATGGTATTTATTATATTTATTATTGCTATTGTGATATCTATTATAGTTACTATTATTATTGTGATTATTATTATGGCTGTTACTAAACTTATAAATATTAGGAACTTGGTAATTACTACTCAGATTAGCTATTAAAATATTAAGAAGATTAATTATGCCATGAGCTTGATAAATCAGAATGTTGTTGCTATTATTATTGTTATATTGTTTACCAGTTTAATTACTAATTAGCATTTGAAGAAATAGGAGATGAGTTTGTGATTTATTTTATATTTTGTTGTTAAACCAATTGTTATTACTAAATAGTATGCACACCATTTTAATAAGGATTTTGTGGAGGCTAAGGAGGTAAAGAAGTTGAAGAAGTACTTTATGAAGCTTGTTGCATAACTTATCTTTTCCACAATTCTGCTTCTTGTTTATATTTTTCTACAGTAGTAAGTAGTTTTTAATTTTCTTCTGCCAATTCTTACACTTTGGTCTCCATATCAGCTATGACTTAAAAGTCATTTTGTGTTAGTTATTAATTCTAAATGATTTAATTTAGCTTATCGTTTTCTTATACTAATAATTGAATTTTCTCTTCTAATTCTTTCAAAATATCTTTTTGCTCTTAAATGATAATTTCATAATCAGTCGACTCTAAGTGCTTTTAATTTTAAAGGTCGTTGATTTATTTTTCTAATTCTCCTATGAATTAGTCTTTATCTTCTAGCATTGCTTATAAAGACTGATAGCTGGGATCATCTTTATTTTAAGACTGAATAAAGTTGTTAAGTTTTTCATTTTCATTGATAAGAATTTCTAGCTAGCGAGTTAATTCTAGAACATTACCTTCTTGCAATTAATTTTGTTCTTAGACCATCTAAAGTTCATTGCTACGATTAACTAAAATTTAATTCATATTTTCCAACTGCTAGAGAAGATTGCCCTACTCTTCTTTATAGTGTTCTATTTCTTAAGCTCTTATATTATAGTCATTAAATATTTTTTCTTTTTCTTCATTAGTTTATTTTAACTTATTCTCATACTAATTGATTGAATCTTAGACATTTACTAGCTCTATTTTATTTTAATCAAATTAAAACTCTATATTTTCTTTTTCATTCTTTAATTGATCCCTTTCTTGAATTACTAAAGAGTAATTTTTTTATAAATCTTCCAATTGCTATTTCAGCTGTTGCAAAGATTATGTCAAATCTTTACCTTCTCTATCTGTTTATTTAATCTTTTACAACTCATGAGAGTATTTTGCATGTATTTAGTCAATTTCTTCAACTTTATTTCTGATAACCTGATTAAGACTAAAGTTCTCTTCAGCTAATACTTTTAATTTATTTTCTTATTCGGCAATTACTTCAGGATAATATTACATATTTTTCCTTTATTTTAGATAATATAAATATTTTAAATTAATATTTACTAATTAATTTACTCGTTTGTTTCAATAAGAATTCCTATTTTTTTTCTCAAATCTTCATTTTCAAGTTACACTAAATGAAGTTCTTCTTAGTTTGAATTAAATTCAGAATCCCTTTTGCCCTCATATTCTTCTTCTTTTTGTGCAATTATTTAGTTTATTCTCTTTTCAAGGACTGATACCATTTCTTACAACTATTTATTTTCTAATAAAATCTTTTCTACTTCTTAAGCATCTGAACTAGAACCAAAATTAACTCCGTCTTCTTCAACAGTATCATCATTTTGCTAATTTTTATTTGATGTCTTTTTAATTTTGTCTTAGTTTTCAGCAAAATCTTATTCAATTTCTTGATTTCGATTTGTAGTGTTATCTTCATTTTGTTTTTCTATTTTAATATATTATGCATTAATAATATCTATTTAATTAATTTAATAAATATACTTTCTCCTAGAAACTGTTAAACAAGCTAGTTTAACTTCTCGTTTTCTTAAGTCAAATTTTGCAAATCGCTCTCTTATTTTACTAGCTTTTCTCTAAGCAGTTCTTTTTCTTGGTTCGCTTCTTTGAGACTTGCTTCAAGAGTCTTTTAATTTAATAAATTATTTGATAAGCTAGGAGTTTAAACATTCTAAGCGATGGGTAAAGGATTTTAAGAAATTAGAACTCTTTAATCTTAGTGTATTGATAAAGATTTATGTATTGGCTAAATGTGATAATTATTTGGCATATTTAGCTTAGAAACTAAATGGTTTTATAATACTTAAGGTACTTATTGTTTATTTACTTATAAAGAACCTTAGTGAACTTATCCTCCATTAGTATTATTTTTACCCAAACAGACAGTTTATTGTTAGTTTGGTTGATCGCTTTATTCAGGCCTTCCCTTTTAGGGAGAGGGTCCAAAAACAGAATTGTTGCTATTAAGATAAGTTGCCGAACTATTTGTGTTTATATTTTACTGTTAGGATAGTTACTATTGCTTAAGCTATTATTAAACATTTGATAATTTTTTAGCAGAGTTAACTCCATTCTAGGAAAGTTAATTGGTACTGTTGTTATTAATGCTATTCTCTAATATATTATTGATCAGACTAAATTAATTATTATGCTTAGGCAAAGATGAGCTCTTTAGTTGTGTATTTTCTTTTGTTGGAGATTGCACAATTACTTGATGATGAATTGGTTTTAGTAACCCTACTTACTGCTTAGCATTTTATTATATAATAGTTGGAACTTTCGCATTTTAATTAGCTCCAGCAACTGTTAAAATTTATGCAAGATTTCCATTGATACTATATGTAAGTGCAGATTGTTAAATTCCTGGAGTTACTTATAGATTATTACCTTTTGCATTTATATTGTTACCTGCATTACTAGGTTACAGACCATATCCACTGTTGTTAAGTCCATTACCACTAATATTATTGATATTATTATTACTATTGTTATTATTCTATATACTTCTGTTATTGATACCTATTTAATTACTTTTAGAATTGGAATTTTGCAATCCGTTTGTCTTTTGTTGGATTGAATAATTATAAATTCCATTTATCTAATTTTAGTTATTAGAAATAACTTACTGATTTCCACCACTGTTTTAAATCTAAGGATTGCAAACAATATATCTTTATTTAGTTGGCGTTTGTATGTTTCTGACCTGTTTTTGCTAAATCTAAGCTTATATAGTCATAGGCTATATATTTGTGCCAACACTATAGCTATTTCCTCCTTCAATAGATGAATTTCTTGCTTTTGCGGGAGAAATTAAAGAAAAATTGCTAGAAGAAGAAGATTAACCATTTTAAATTAAATAAGATTATGTTGGAACTTAAGAGATTTATGGCTAGTAAGTAGGAATATTTGAGTTCAAGTATTTTTGACCAGAGGATCCTCTTTGTTAATTTTGCTACTGCTAAAACTAATTAGTGGGTGCTTAGTTTTAATGGTTTTACTAGCTATATGATTGAGTATCAAAATTAATATTTGCTTGCTAACTAGTTTAATATTATTATGGAGGTAAGCTGCCTGTGCTATAGCCTCTTATATTTTTGATAGGAGTATTTATCTAATTCATTAAATTATTATTGTAATTTTAAAATAACCTATTTTATTTTTTATTCTTTTTTCTATCTTTATTTAAAGTGAATTTTAATACAGATAAATTTTATTACTTATTTACAATTTTAATAAGAAACAAAGAACTTTAAACAGATAATTAATTTATGGTACCAATTTAAGTCTAACAATTTATTGATTGCTTATAATCTTATTATTAATATTTGTATTTAAAAATGTGCTCGTTATTTCCTAATAAAAAATTAATAAAAAAATTAATTAAATAATTTATTTGTATGTTGTTTTGTTTTTTTGTTTGTTTGTTTCATAACTTCGTTTAAATATAAATTACTTTTACATTAAATTTACCAACATATATTTTATTTTAGATATATAAATACTTAATAGAAGCCATTCAATCATCAATTTTAAACGACTACATGTAAAATTGATGGGTATAAATTAATCATTTTTAAGACTTGTTCAAATATTGTTTAAATATTAAAATTTATCAAGATAAAAAATATAAAAAACAAATGAATTGAATTATTTTAATTAAAATATGTAAGCAATTGAAAAAAATTTTGTTTCATTTCATATTAAATATAATAGCAACTTTATTTACACTAATAACAAAAATGACTGAAATCACTTTTATTTATTTTGAATAAAGATTTTTAAAATATAAAATCCAATTAAAATAAATGATTTTTTTTTATATTAAAGAAGAGTAATTTTTTATGTTAAATTAAATTAATAATTTTTATAAACAACTTTACATTAAAATATTTAATAACTAACTAATTAATTTCAATAATTTATTAAATAAATTTATTTTTAAAATATTTTCATGAGGATAAATCAATTATAGACGAAATTAAACCAGAAACTCCACCAGTTATGCCTATTACTACAACTAATATGTTAAACACTGTGTTTAAAATGCCTTAAGGTAAAGTTTCTTTTTTTTGATTATTTTTTACTTAATATTGATTTTAATTAGGCTGAATTTATTGTTATTAATCAGTGTTATCGCTGACTGTTTAAGTGCTGCTACCTTCAATAGCTGAAGATTTAACACGTGACTAAACTTGAATGCCTTTTTTTTCAAGATATTTCATCTTTTCTAGTAAGATCATAGGAAGGACAAAAGTTAAAATAACTGAAAAGACACATCCAAGGAGATTAAAAACATTGGTAATGCTTTAAACATAAATACCTTAAAAACTTATACTCAAGAAAAAGATTAGTCTAGTAATAATCATAGTTATTATGTTAGGATTAGGCTAGGCTCTAGCAGTGAGTCTATCTACAGTTTTTACTATTGGGAAACCGTATAATAAAATACTAGCAACAATTGATAAACTAATTAAACTAGATATTATTGTGCTGAATGCTCCAATATCATTGAAATTTTTAAATATCACAGAATTTACATCATCCTTGAATGCATAATATCCCAAGACTCCTAACAGTGATCCAAGAACAAAAGAAAAGAAAATAAACCTATTTTTTACAAAAATGTAATTTTTAATTTAGATATTTACTTAAAAGTTTTATGCTTGGTTCATTAATTAAAAAAAGATTGAAATAAAAAGATAATTTATTTGATTAAGAAAATTGTTTAAATAAAAGAATAATTTTGATTGCACAGGCTTATCTTACAAAATAACCAATTAAATTTTTAAGTGTAATAAATAAAAAACAAATTTACGCAAACAGTACTCTATTGAATTTGTGTTTCTCCTTCATTGATGCATGAACCTCAGTCACAACACCGTTAATGTCATATGCAAAAGCAAAAACTCCAAAATACAAGGGAAGACTAGAGAAATCGAAAATTTTTGCTGTAAATCCTGAAAAGTTGTTATCAGATATTTGGTAAGATGAATATCCTAAAATAACGCAAATAGAAAAGGAAAGAGCAACTAGAGCAAATTAACTAAAAATTCCAAGTTTTTCAATTTGTCTAAACATCGAAAGAGGCATGTAAATAACAAAGACAATAGCCACTATTTTTTTTAATTAATAATTTTTTATGCTTTTGAAATAAGAAATACAGGAATTAACTTGATAATTAATTGATTAAGGAAGATAAAATTAATTAAAATTTACACTTAAAGTGTAACTTAGCCAAAAATAAATTAAAATGAAATTTTTAAACAAATTACGTGTGATGTAATAGTTAGGAATATAGTCTTGCATAGTTTAAAGAATAAATATGCAGTAGCCTACGGAGGAACCATAAATAAATATAAGGGTGACGATAATACTGAAATGTTTATACTTTTCACCCATTATAAGACCTGCTGCTGTTTCTAAAGTGAGTTGACTGTGATTTTCATATTTTATACCGTTTTGTTCAAGGATACGGATAATTCTGCAAAGCTAGCTCCAACAATAAAAAGCAACTGCACCCATCAATCCCATAAAAACTATAGAAAGAACTATACCACATTAACTAAAAACATAAGGCATAAATAGCAGTCCAGTACCTATACCACTTTTAATAATGTTAGCAGTAGCATTCATAACAGAAGCACCTTGGTTTGTAAATTCTTCATCTACAGCATTATCTGCAAGCAAAGATTATTTTGTTTATTCTTCGTCTTTTAAACTCATATATGGAATAAAGCCTTTGAATGAAAGAGTTCCTTATAAATCTTATTTTGAATGAATTAAAATAACAATTTTTTAGTTTTTAAATATTTATAAGATTTGTAAACATAAAGCTATTACTTTTAAACCTAATAATTATTTTAGAAAAGAAATTTTTTTTCTTTTATAAATTAGCAAAAGTGTTTCATATTTATTACGTATTTATGCAAAAAAGTAATAACAATAACTCATTTATTAATTAATGACATAATTTCAATTATTAATTGTAATACCATACAAAATAAAATTGAAAATTGTTTTTTTAACTTGTAAAAAAATACCAGTATTCCTTTTTATTTACTCTCAAAATTAATAAATTCTAAATAAAATAGCTAAATGTGCAAGAAAACAAAATCTATATTCAATTTAGACAGTTATTTTATCATTGACTTACCTTTGTTTGTCGGTTTATTTATTATTGAATTATGATAATTTTTAAATAGTTCATAAATTAAAAAAATAAGATTACAAGTTAGTAAATAAATAGTATGTAATATATACAAAATTATAAAAGAAATTTTTTCGTAAAGTGAGAAAAAATTAGATGAAATCATTATAAATTAAATGAAAAGCAGTAGTTTTTAAAAACAATTGCTATTTGATTTTACATTAAAAAAATATATTTGAATTAAATTACACTTTTCTGAATGAAAATTGTATAATTTTAGTGTATTTATATTTTTATACTTCCCATATTTAAATTTATAATAATAAAAAAAAACGAAAATTTTCTTCTCCAAATATAAGTAAAAAGTTTAGTTAGATTTTAATATAAATTAATAAAAGAGAATTTATTAAAAATAAATTAATTAAAAAATTAAAATATTGAAAACTCTAAATATCAATTTTAACTTTATTTTGTTTATTTTTTGTAGAAATGTTATGTTTTTAAAAATTTACTTTACACTTTAAATGGCTTGAAAATTAATTGAATTTTTATAATAATTAAAATTTTAATATTTATTTAAAAAGAGAATTTTTAAAAAATTATTTATTTTTTTCTTTTATAAAATAAATATATATTGCAATTTCAAAATATTTAAAAAGAGAGAAAATTTAAAACTTAGTAAAATACCGCGTTTTAGATAATTTTGCAATAGTTTTTAAAATAAGGAAAAATTAATATAGGTTAAATAAAAATATTTTTTTTTAATACCTTTTAATTTATTTATTCAATAATATTTTCATATTTAAATAATCTGCTAATTTTTTCAATTGCTGATTTTAATTTTATAAAATATTTCAAATCTAAATTTATTTTTTTTTAATTTGAAAATAATTAAAATAGATAAATAATATTTTGTATAAAAGAGAAAGTTAAATTTTTGTTTTGTTTTTTTTTTTGAAAAATATTTTTTTTAAATATTAACTTTTAATTGTAATTAAAATTGAAGATAAAAATAAAAAATAAAAGAAATTAGAAGTATGTATTAATAATTTTTGGTATTAAAAAAAACATTTTAATTAAAAGTATTTGATTGCAAATTTAGTAAATTAGAAATTTATATGTGATTATAAATAATAGTCAAAATTTATAACGTTTCTTCTTTATATCTATCTAATTTATTAGAAACAATAAATCAAAAATCAAATAAATTTTTTTAATTGATTATCAAGATATATTAATAAATTGTTATCTTTATTTATTTTGTGAAATTTAAAAAGAAGTAAAAACTATTTGTTGGGTATTTATCATAACAATCTAAAGGAAATAGCTGATACTCATTTTTATATAAAAGTAAAAAAATGTAATAAGATTCTTAAAAGAAGCTCATTAATATCTTGAAAGAGCATAAGTCTATTGATGGTACACCTCTATTCAAGCATTTAGTTTAAACAATACATAAACTTGTTAACGAACAGTCCAAATAATTTAAGGATTTAGAATTTTTTGAATTACTCTCAGATTTCGTAAAAAAAAATAACTATGTCAATAGAAAGCCACAATCAGACTCTGATGTCAATAATATAAAAGAATAATTTGGATAAAATCACGAATGGATTTAAAAATGCTAAGCTTTAATAAAGGTAAATAAACAAACAAACAATGTTCGCATACACAAATTTAGTTAACAGGATAAATATTTTAATCAATATGCACAAGTCAAGCACTGAAATGAAATAATCTAATTGAAGTAATCAAATAATCAGCAAACAGATTATCCTCAAAATAAAATGTTTAAGCTGCTAGCTTACTTGTGCTAAGTGCAATCTTAATTTATTAATAAAAAAATTAGCTAAAAATGACTAAATATTTTATTTTAAATCTAATTTAATAGGAGTCCAAGGCTGTTAAAAGCAACTATTCCAAAGTTCTTTTCCCTGACTTTTATAATGAAAATTAAATGTTGTAAATGGCTGGTATTGGATTTGGAGAAGAAGAATCTTAAAGAATAGCAATGAGTATTAAAAAATTAGCAGAAGAATCAAAAGCCTCTTAGATTCGTTTCTGGGGAAAGATTCTTTGCTCAGGAAAAGATTATTATGTAGCAGAAGGTGTAACTTCCAATGAAAATGCAGATTAATTACCAAAAGATGCTGAAAAAAAGGGTGAAGGAGCTAATTTTTATACTTTTTGGGTCACACATGATGGTAATATTTTTTATTCATATACATTTAAATCTGCATATCATTTTAATAATTTAATAATACATTTCTAATAATATATCCAAAGTACTTGGTGAATGGATGGAATTGCCTTTAGTTACCCCCTAATAAGTTGTAGCAGCTAGATAAATAAAGTATATTTTTACTGGAGATTTAAATGCTAATGTAAAATCTTATCCTCTATTCAATGGAAAGGAAAAGCACCTAGTAAAATTTAATCATTCTAAAATGGTATTATATTTTTTATATTGATTATTTATTTTAAATAAAAGCTAAAAGCACAAATTGCAAGAATTTCTTGTGCATGCGTTCTTTCTCCTAAAGGTTTGTATTAAGCTTTGGATGACCCTGAAAAACCCAATCAAATTGAGCTGACTGAAGAACCTTTCAAATTACCAGAATATGCTGAACTTAAAGAATTGACAAATTGGGTTCATTTACACACCTTCTTAAATACTCAGGGAAGAGCCACATTCTATATAGACCCAACTCTTGATTAGGAAAAATAGGATGCTCTTTAAGAAATAGCCAACTCAGATGAAAATCAATCTGAAAGATTAAAAGAAATAACAGATGAAAAAAGTAAATATATTAAAATACCTCCTTAAACATTATTTCAAAATTTGTTTTTTAAAAAGCTCCTTATCCAGGTGATACCGAAAATGAAGAGCCTAATCCTAATTGGTATGTGAGGGAATATGGTGACCTTTAATAATTCAATTAAGAAGAAGGTACTGCTATATATGGAGTAGTTGTACTTCGTAATAAGACATGGAATGGTCACTATACTGTTTGCAATGTAAATAAAATAAAAATGAAATATTTTTTAAAAATTAATTAATAAAGAATTAAAGATGGTCAAATATTTATATTGGTTATGGATTAAAGACTAACCAAATTCCATTTGTTCCTCCTCAACCTGATGATTTATAAGCTGAAGTTGATGATACTGATGAGTTTCCCGAAGTAAATTTTTATATAATACTATTTTAAAACTTTGATAAAATTAAATAAATAATTAGCCTAACCATAAAGATCCTCCCCCTAAAGAAGAAAATGAAGAAAATGCTTAAGAAGAATAAGAATGAAAGGGATTTTCTTCAATTTAACTTATATTATATATTTACGTTACCTAATAATAGCTTTAAATACATATTAAATACATGTAATTATAACTTAATTCAAAAAATCATATTCTTCATTTCTTTTTATTTTCCTAAACCAAAATAAATAAATAGAATAAATTCATTAATAATCAAATAAAATAACTTTAAATTATGAAAACAGTCATTTTTAAATGATATCAAATGAAATTGACTCTGATACTAAATAATGCATCAAATAATATGATTGAATTTCTATTTAGCAAATAATTTAACTTTAAATAAAGTAAAAATTACATCTTAAAAATAAAGATTTTTATTTTCCATGCATAAAATAATTTAATTTGATATTGTAAAAATAGGTAATTTGAAATTCAAAAGTGTATTGTAAGAGAAAATTTTAATGTTTTTTTAATAAAACTTTACATATTAAAATTTAAAATTATTAAGTCTATTTTAGCAAATAATTTGATATTAATATTTATTTTTGTTATTCACTTAAATCAAAAAATAAAAAGTTAACTATAAACTCAAATTTATTCATTTTTATATAAATAATCATTAGATATTGTTTAAAAAATATTAAGTACTATTTTATAGCTTTATCTACGATCTCAATAAATATTTAATGTTCTTGAAATCATTTAATCAAAATAGTGTTTAAATTTATGATAAATTATTTTATTTAATTGTATTTTTTTAAAGGAAATATATTTATTCCTTTTTGTAGTAATAAAATTGAATATTTTATGAATCTATAATTAATTAATTTAATCAATTATATTTATCCATTCTGAAAAATTGAAAAAATTTAATAATACTTCTTTATTAATAATATATTTACTAGTAATATTACAAGGTTTACAGTGATATTTATATTTTGTAAATTTTAAAATAAAAGCTCTATTAATCTTTTGATAATTTAATTTTTTCTAGCTGATACTTTTAAATACAAAAATATTTGCTGTCTCTCTAAAACTGACTTTATCTTATACTTGCATTCAAGGTATATTTAATATCTAATAGATGGATTGAATATACACCATTTACTATTTATATATTTATTTATTTCTTTGTTTTATGTTTGTTGGTTTAATTTAAATTTTTATTAAAAATTATTTTCTTTGTGAATATCAAAAGTTAATTAGCATAGAACTACTTTATATTTTATTTATGATAATAAAAAATTTTTTTGCTAATTTATGATTAATGAAATTTACAGTCATGTTTGATAAATTTTATTTTAAAGTCTAAAAAATTTGATTTTATAAATATTTTCATAAATAGTGAGTAGCAAAAGATACGAATATATTATAATTCATATCTAAGATTTTGATTATACATTATATGTATTATTTTTTGGTGATGTAATTGTGATGGCTTAATTAATATCATATCATCACATCAAATACTCTCTTGATGTAATGCAAATTAGAGATGTAATAAATAAATAAGTATATTTAGTAAAGATAATTTTAAAGCAATTACTGATCTTAATTTAAAAAGCAATATGAAATTGTATAAGACATCAAAAAAGTACAGATTTATGAGGCAAAGTGATGAAAAAATTGAATACAAAAAATTTTATTAACACTCACTATATAAAAAAAAATTGAAATGTAGTAGTTATAATTTAAATACGTATTGTGATGAAATGTATATTTAGTTATAGTTTGCTTGATATCATTATATTTACAACAAGATTGTATTGACACTAAATTTATATTATCTTTAAATAAATTTTTGGCAATATTAATTGCCACAAAAACAAAAAAATAAATAATATTTATCTAAATTAAATAATAATAAAAAAATAATCTTTTCTTAACTAAAAAAGTAAAATATGAGTGTTTTCTAAAATGCTTTGATGTTTGCCTCTTTGGCATACAGTGTCTTATATGACATTAGATTTTTAGCATTATTTGGACTCTTTTTAGGTTTCAACATTTTCATGTATCTTGCTATTCCAAAAGGTAAAAACTGCAATAGCACTAGAAGAAAGATAATGTGTGCTACTTGGGAAGAACCTAAAGAAGGCTGCATCTATATCAGGCACGAAATAGATTGCACTAAAGTTTAAGAATTAATTAAAAACTACAAGGGTGAAGATGATGTGAAACCAACTCTTACTCATTTTGGTATTAAGGCTGTTGCTTAGATACTTAATGCTTCTAGACTCTCTGTAAATGGAAAATTCTTGTTTGGAAAGTATATTCCCTTCAAAACTGTTGATGTTACATGCTTAGTTGATATTGATGGTGGCAAGGTATGATATTTAAACTTTAGAATTATTTAAACTTATTTATTTACATTTAAGCTTACTAAAAGTATTGAATAAAGTGTTTTTTTAAAATCAATCTACAATATAAAAAGGATTTAGCTGCAGTGACAATCAAGAGTTGTGATGAAAAGAATGTTATTGATATAGCTAAATTTATTAAGGACAAAGGTGCAAAAATTAAGAAGAATAATGGAGATGAGGAACACAAAAAGCGTATTGGAGCTGCATAATTCCTTCCTCCCTTTATTATCAGTGTTTGTCTCTAACTTACTAAGTATATAACTTACTATCTTGGTATGGATGCTCCTGCTTTTGGCATCAAGAAAGACAATTTTGGTGGAGCTACAGTCACTTCTATTGGTATGCTTGGTATTGAAGATGCCTACGTTCCCCACTGCAATTTCATGAACTGTCCAGTTTTTGTTGCACTCGGTAAGTGTGTTGATAAGCCTGTTGTTAGAGATGGAAAGATTGTTATTGCTCCCGTAATGAATATTAACTTTACAGTTGATCACAGATTTATCGATGGAGGTAAGGCTAAAGCTTTGAATACAAGCTTCAAAGAAGTCTATGAACATCCTGAGAAGTTCTTTGACTGTGAATAACCTAAATATGAAGAAAAAAAATAAAATTGAAAATAACTTAAGAAGTTAGTTTACAGAAATTTAAATAATAAAAATTTAAAAAGGTACTTTAAAAAACCGTATTTGATAAAACTTTTTAATTTTGTTTCTATATCATGCAATCAAGATTTATGTTTTTTTACATTAAAATAAATTTGAAAGATAAAATCATCAAATAAATTACTTTTTTTAAAGACTTTATATATTTAACATACTCGATATTTATAAGTGTGAGTAATATCTACAAGATCAATAAAAATAAAGCGTTTGTCTGATTTAAAATTTATGTTTAATCCTGATTTTAAAAGTAAAAAATAAAATATTTTAAAAATAAATTTAATGTAGAAATAAAAAAAAGCAAATAAAATAATCAACTTTAATTCAATTTTTATATATGCTAAACCAATAATATCAATCATTAATTTATAATTTAATTTAACAATTATATAACAGACTGCATTGCATGCTAATATATTTATTTATTTATTACTCATACTATAATTTTAGTTAAATTAAAAAGAAAAATACAAATTAACAATAATTACTAATAAATATTAACATTTGATCTACATTTAATTCAGTAGAGATAACATTGAATTATAAATTAAAATGTAGTCAAGGTTAAATCTAGAGCTGAATAATCTAAATAGCCAAGATTTTATAGAATCTACAGCTAAAAAAAATGATAGCAGTTAAATTTAGTAAAACAAGCACAATTTATTGCTATTTAATTGAATTTAATTTATAATTTTAGCAAATATTCTAAGAGATATGCAGGAACTTTGAATAATTCTGTAATCCTGTCACAAAAAGAAAGAGAGGTAAACGAAATAACATACAGATTGAATAAGGCTAGGTAAGATTTTGAATTAAAAGTTTTTAAAATGAGTTATAAATTTGTAACAATATAAATCTAGAGATATGGCTAAAGAGAATATTTACATTATGTACCCTAGTTTAAAACATTCAATAGATTATCTAAGTACTCCAGTTAGAAAACTCCCTCAATATTAACAAATAAGTTTAAAGTATCCTCAAACAACTAAAAAATAGAACTTTCCTCCTATAAATTTGAAAAGTTATGACAATTTGAGTACTAAATATAATTATTTCTATTATGTGTTATTATAAAAAATTAGTAGTAATTACTGAAGCTTATTTTTAATAAAACTAATTTAAATATAATAGAGATTTCTTCAGAATTAGATATAATAAGGGCTCCTCCAAGAGTTTAATCATTAAGTGAACTCAATAAGTAGGTTTTTTTTAGAGATTTTAAGTTAAAAAAGAAAAAAAAACCCTATGAAGGATTAGATAACCGTTTGGAAATAGAATTTCCAATACATAATGAAAAAGATTTTGTTAATCTTCATTCGTAAGGTATTAAAAAAAGTTCATTTAGTTTTTTAACATTGTAAGCTATGAAATAGAATTTCTTCTTATTACTATTTAATTATGTTTAAATGGTTCAAATATTATGCCTTAGAATATATATATCTATCTATAAAATATTATTTAGTTTTAAAAACTTTTTTATTTTATTCTAACAGGGTTTAAGGGAAAATAAAATATAGATTTGTTTAAGCATTATTTAAGGATGTATATGAAAAATAAATATAAAGTGAATCAAATTAAAAAGGAAAGAAGAGATAAACATAATAAAACTTTAGATTCATCAAAATAGAATTAATTTAAATAACATGATGAGTTTTAAAATAACACAGGATCCTATCTGGTTGATTCAATATTTGAAAATTTGGCACCTTTATCAAAAAAAAATTCTATAATAAAAAGTCCGCTAGCTAGGTCACCTAAAAACTCATAGTTTCTTACAAATTTTAAAAAAAGTTAGTAACTCGTAAAATAGAGAATGAGCTTATAAGAGTATATTGTTGATAAAAGCTTAAATGATGTTATTTTATTTGATAATGTTATAACTGCATATGAATAGTCTAATTTCAAAAATTAAAATGAAATTAATTAGGCTTTAAATTATTCTTCTAATCTTAATAGAAAATCTCTTTTAGATTAGCTTTCTGAAAAAATATAAAATAAAGTTAACATCATAAATATAGATCCTAATACTCTTCCTTCAATTTAAGATAATAAAGAGAATGAGACCATGTTTTTAATAGAAGAAATATTTATCACTTAAATCATGAATAAAATTGCAAAGCATGGGCTTAGTATTCTCAACCTTCCTGATTATAGAGATTTTAAAAGTAAGTTCAATTTCTTTGAAATTTAAATATTCAAAACTTAATGATTGCTTTTTAATCATAAAATATTTCATTTATTTATTGATTATTTTATTTTATTCTTTATTTATCTATCATTAAATAGGAATTGTTTTGTCAAGGAAGAAGATGTTATAAAATTTATCGGATTAGATAAGAGTTGAAAAGCTAATAAACATTAAAAAAAACCTGAACCAACATTACAATTAGGAATAAGAAGCTTAATTCTTTCAAAAAAAAGAATAATTTTAAAAGCTAAAGCAAGATGAGTATCTAAAATGTACTTAAATTTACAATTCTGATTAATAAATCAAAGACTAAGCAAGCTACTAAATCAACAAATTATCTAACTTAGAAGTATCATTAGATAGTTCAGAGTACTAAAATAGATTTTAGAACATGAATGAAAATTTTTAAAACTTATCTATTAAGCTATCTCCTATTACTTCAAGAAAATATAATAATGAAAAATTAAATAGTATCAAAATTCTGGTAAATTTAATTTTCAATATTTTGTTTACTATTTATTTTATAATTAAAGAGCTCAATTAATGACGGCATAGGTATTAGTTCTCCTAATATAAGTGAGCTACACACAAACAGGGAGAAGCACAGCTTACATTTAGATTACACAAATATTGAAATTAAGAAAAGAGATTATGAAGAAATAGAGACGTAAGAAAATATAAGGAGTGAAAATAGTTTGGCAAAAGTGGAGATTGAAAAAATAAGCGAAAATATTACTAATTTAGTAAAGTCTCCAAATAATTTTGTTGATCTTTAAGAAAAACTAAGGTAGAGATTAGCCGAAAGGAATGCAATCAATAAAACATCAGTGCCATCTGTTATTGGAAATCAAAGCTAAATTGAAGTTGAAAAAGTTGAAAATAAAATTAATGAGAAAATTGTAAATGAGTCGTTTAGTTATTAGCAAGAAAAATCTACCTTAATTAATGGAGAATAGCAAAGCACTAGATATATGTCGTAGATTAATGATTTAAATTCTATAAATAAGTCAAATTGTAATGGATTATATGATAACTCTACCATTTTATCAAATGTAGAAAACAAAGAAATTAGCTAAGTAATTTAACATAAAAAAATTAAGAATAAAGCTTAGCATTCTTAAATTTCTTAAAATATTAAATAAACTGATGTCCAAGAAGAATAAAAAGAAAAGTAAGAAGATCAAAAGTAAATGTAAAATGAATCTGATGAAACTATTGAATTATTACTTGATGTAGCCTAAAAATATGGGATTGTTGAAGAGCTTATGAATCTTTTTTAGTAAGAAGAAGGATAGTAGCCTATAAGTAAAGAAGAAAGGGAAGTTAGATTAAAAAAATTCATGGAACAAGTTGAAGAATACACAAAAGAGCATGAATTTTAGTAAAAGATAAAAGAAAAATAAAAAGCATAAGCGATTAAATTTGAAAAAAAGAAAATAGAAAAAATTAAAAAAAAGAAAAAATTGGCATCTTCATCAAATCAAAACTTATCACAGATAAATGTTTTAGACGATCCATCATTAATTAATATAAATACAAATAATAGCAGGGAAAATTCTGTAGATAAAGAAGATTTAAATAGTTAAATTGAATCAAGGACGAATGAAAATGATAATTAACATACAAATGAAATTATGATTCTTCCTTCACTAAATTATAATACAAACTCTGAAAACACTGACGAGGAGCAAGCTAATTCTAAGGGTTAACCATCAAATTTAAATTTAAAAAAGATTAAAAGAGTACCAATTCCTTCTATCTCTGAAAGAATTTACACAGAAGATATCAAGACATCAAGATCAGATTAGAATATATTAATCAAAGAAAAATAACTTGCTAAAAATCTTACAGAAAATTAAGTTCAGTATTCATCTGAAATTGATGCTTAGAAGGCTAATAGTAATTTATTTAATTTTATAAATGAATATTAATAAAATTTTTTAGAATTTTATGCAGGGCAAAGTAAAAATATTAAGAAGTAGGAAGACAATAACGATTATTATGAATTGTTTAGCTAAAATAAAACAAATAATAAATCTGATGTTGAAATTTCCTATAAATCAGATAGTAACAAAGGAAGCTCCAGGTTGATTAGCTAAAAATTGTTAAAAAATGGTGAATTAAATAGATATAAGCCAACCCCAAAAAGCTAAATATAAGTTGCTGTTACTGAATAACAGTAGAGATTACAAGAGAGCATAAAAAAGAAAAATACGGAAATGCAGAAATTTTTAATGAGAGATATGAGAAGTCAAAACGAATAAATGTTATCTAAAAAAAGAGAATTAGAAAACACCCTTAAAGTAAATTTTGGTTAAAGATCAGAAAACACCAAAGTACGTGAAAGAAAAAGAAGTCAAAGTCCGAATGACAAAAGTAACAACTCTTCTTTTGGAAAGAATAACTTTTAATAAATATTTAAGAAAGATGAACAGCTTATTGTAATTTTTACTTCAAGAATTCAAAAAAAAATTAAATTATTTTAATTTAAAGTAAGCTTAAAGGAAAGAACTAATGATTAAGTACTACGGAGAAGAAAAGAGATAGGAAATAATGATGAATACCTATACATATGAAGATGAAAAGGAAATAAAAGAAAAAATTAAAGCCAAGGAAGAAGCCATTAAAAAGAAAATGAAAATCGCTGCTACTAAAATGACAATCCAATAAGAAAAATTTGAAGACCTTGATCCAGAAATGTTAATATTTCAAGATATTTTAGAGACTCATAAAAAGGCAAACGAAAAACTCTTCCACAAAATTGTTTCTCCTTAAAAAAAGGTTAAATAAAAAAGAAAAATTAACTTTGAAAAGAAGTTTTCTGAATAGCTAGATATTATAAATGAAAAAGAAGACAAAAAGTTAATAGATTCTTTAAAACATACAAAAAGTGTTCAATTACCTGGATTCTTTGAAAATTAAAAACTCTTGGAAGAGATTAATGAAGGTTTGTATGATGATACTATTTTATAGAGAAAATAAATTAAAAACTAAAATGAAATTGTTGAAAAAGTAGTATAAGATTCTCAACACCTTAAATCTAACTCATAGGAAATAAATGCTTTAAAGAAATCTGATTCATCATCAAAAAATTTTTAAATTGATAACTCAAACAAAAATCAAAATACTGAATTCAATTTAGATTAAATAGCAATAAAAACAGTTTCTGATTATAAATAAACTTTTACATCTAAAAGCGATTAAGTGGAATAGACTGTAACTGATAGGGAAACAGTTAAAGAACTAGAACTAACACAGTCTATAGATCAAACTTCAAGAAAGGATTTACATCTCACAGCTGAAATTACAGAAGACGATAATTAATAAGAAGATGTTGATGATGATGATTACGACGATGATGATGAAGATGAAGATTAAAATGAAAGTGAAATTGAATATTAATAAGAAGAAATTAGTAATTTGATGGAATCAAAATTAACAAATAGTGAACTTGCTAATGAACAGACTGTTCATCATATAGTTAGTGAAATTTAAACAATTTAAGAAATAGATGAAAAAGAAAAATTAACTGAAGAGGTAATTGAAAACCAAGTAGATACTTAAGGTAAAATGTATTTTAAGTAAAAGTATTAATACTAATAAAATATATGCATACATATTTATTAGGAAATGTTGTAGCTGTCAAAGTTGTAAAGATAAAATCTCCAAAAAAAAAGTAAGCAAAAAATTAAACCCCTTAGAAAAAAAGTAAATAGAATTACTTATATAAGCAATTAGCTATAATTTTTTTAATCATATAAAGGAAAAACAAAGGTTGTGACTAAAGTAGAGAGTGATTCCAAGTAAAATGAAGAATTGGGAGAAGTTAGAGAAGATATTTAAGAAGAAGAAAAAAAAGTAAAGACTAAAAAAAAGAAAGTGTAAAAAAAAGTTGAAGATGAAGATATAGCTAATATGTATAGCTTTTTACAAGCAGATAAAGAGGTAATTTTGAGTTTATGAGAAGAATAAATGAAAATCTAATTTTTAATAACAAATTGGTTAGGAAAAGAAAGAAACTAAAACTAAAAAAAAGAAAAAGAAAATTGCCAAAAAGAAAGATGAAGATTATAGTTAGTCTGATAGCTAAGATTAAGAAGTTAAGGAAGAATTAGGAGATAGTATTTAAGAAATTGTAAACACTTCGGCTACAAAAAAAACAAAAAAATTAAAGAAAAAAGCAGATGAGAGTAGCTTTTCTAAACCTAAAAGAAAGAGAACAGATACTTTATAATAGTAATCAGATGAAAGTCCAGACTCTTCCTTTTAAAAACTTTCTTCTTAAAATATAAGCTCTGTTGGATAAACTTTGAATGATATTGTTACTGATCAAAAAAGTGCTAAATTAGCCAAAGAGGAGCGCCTGAAAAGAGAAAAAAAATAGAGAATGGAAGAAGCTAAGTAAAGAAAAGAGGAAGAAATTAGACTAAAAAAAGAAGAAGAAAGGTAAAAACGAGAGGAAGAAAGACTTAGAAAGGAAGAAGAAAGATTAAGAAGAGAAGAGGAGAAATAAAGAAAGGAGGAAGAGAGACTAAGAAAAGAGGAGGAAAGAAGAAAAATAGAGCTTGAAAAACAACGAATTAGAGAGGAAAGGTAAAAAAAATTTAACTAAGAGCTAGAAAAATTGAGAGAGTTTAACTTTGCTGATGAAATGGAGTTGCTTAAAAAGAGAAAATTAACTTTAAGGGAATTAAAAGAAGAAATTGAATACACTATAGAAAAATTAGGGGATTAGGTAGATGATGAGTCTAAATACAATATTCTATCTTGTAAAAATAATTTCTAAAAAAAATAATTTTAATTTTTTTCTATCCTAAACAATTAAAGACAAGTAAAGAATAGAATAAATTCAGCATTTCTTAGAGAGTTTAGACAGTGCAATAGATTTCACTTTGGAAAATAATGATATTCCAAGAGATTATCTTAAAGAAATATTTAATGTTAAAAATAGATGGGTGAGAGATAAATATAAAGAAAAGGTAATTAATAACATTATAAGGTTGTCAAATATCAGAATAATTTATTTTAATATAGATATTAAAATTCTAAAAAGAAATTTAGCAGCCAGAAGCTGATCAAGGAATATTCTCTGATATAAAAGGGGAAGCTGTAGGAGAACAAGAAATATAATTAATTTTGAAATATGCTAGCTTAAATTAGGATGTTGAGGGCATTCTATAGAGGATGCTTTAATTTTCAGATGATACCAATTAATTAATAAAAATCAAATAAATGATTAGAAGCATGAAATCTAATGTTTCTCAAATTGGATTGGATATAATCAATTATGTCAAAATTAAAACTTAAAAAGACGATGATGATGATGAAGCTTAAACTGATCAGCCAATTTTACTCAGTGAAACAAGCTAAAAGTAAAGTGAAACAAAGTTTGATAATGATAAAATCTTGCTAAAATTAAAAAAACTAAAAAAATACCACAAAGATAGATTTGAAATGGTTTTACAAAACTAAAATAAAATAAGAGAAAATAATAATTTTTTAAAATCTATCAACTATAAAAGCCAAATAGATCAAGAAATAATAAATACTTATAGTGTTGCAAAAAAATCACAAATATGGGCTTCTAAATTTAATCCTAGTGTTTTTTGATTTTTACTATTCAATTCTTTAAAATCTATTTATTATTTTTAATATTAAAGTAATATTTTATTTTAATAAATTGAAATATTTTTCTTGTGAAAATCAAAAATTTTTATTAGTTATATTTTAGATATTTATTTGAAAAATGATAATTACTTACTTTTTAATAATTCACAAATGTTATTGTTTAATTCAATTTTTAAATGAATAGAATATTTATTATTCATCATTAATTTATAAATATGTATGATTATCTTGTAGAGTATTTAGAAGCGTTAAAGATACTAGTTATTGATTGCACCAAAAATTTCAAATTTATTAATTATCAAATTTTTAATTTCCAAAATTATATTTATTTTTGTGAATTATAATTTTTGAACATATAAGTAGAAGATAAATAATTATAATTAATCAGCAATTTTTGACACTTAAATTTAGATAAAATATTTTGAGTTATGAGCGTAAGGTCCTCTTCGAAGTAAAAGAGTGTATAAAATAATATTTCCAACTAGCTCACTACTAGCAATAAAAGTCAGTCACATAATGTAGCAATTTTTTTTTGTGAAGACTTTAATTGAATAATTAATCTATTAAAAAGGTTTAAGTGGAGAAGGTACTGAAAAAGTAGAACGATGAACTTGAAAAAGAAATAGATTAAAAGCTTAAAGTAGGTTTTTAAATAATAACTATTTGATTTTAAATGTCATTCTTCTTTAACAAAGAAAAGAAAATAAATACGTGATGAAGTTTTTTAAATTACTGATGATTATAAAAAACAGCTCATTTAGCAGAAAAGTCAATAGAGGAATATGAAGCAGGAGTATTTTTTAATTTTTACTAGAATTTATAATAAAGTTTAGTTTTTATTAGGCTTGTTTCTCTAAATGAGAATCTTCAAAAGATTGAAGTCGAAAATCGCTAATTAAAGCAATCTTATATGGAAAGTTAGAATAAATTAGCTGTATTGGAAAGAGAGTTGAAATTTTTAGATATTTCAAAGTAGGGAATATCTGAAGATTATTAAACGAATTTAAATTAGGAAGGTATTTACAATTAATTACTGAAGGATGAGCTTTTTTAAAAAGAAGATTAATTGAATCTTATGCAATTTTAGTTAAATTAATTACAATTATCTTGCAAGCAGCTTAAAGACTAAGTAGATGAGCTTAGCCAATAAGTAACAGATAAAGAAAATGAGATTAAAGAAATCGAAAAAGATAATAAGGAATCTGTTAGGGTAGTCAAAGAATATCAATAAGAAGCAAAAATGCTTAAAAATGCAATCATCGAATAGGAATAGTAAACGAAATTGATTAAATTAAAAATTGATGAAGTAGTGCATGAAAAAAACCATTTAGAAACAAGAATAAATAGTGAAAAAATTTAATTTCAAGATAAATTAAATAAAATAACTTAATAAAGAGAAAAATTTGAAAATAATTTTAAGACCAACAAGAAAGTTCTTTCTATTTATGGTATAGTATCAATCGTTAAGCAGGCTTAAATTAGGAGGAGAAACGTATTTAAAAAAATAATTTTTAAGTTTAATTTATATTTTTTTAATTGCAAATAGGATGTATTTTTAACAGTTAAAAGCTTTGCTGAACTAAGAAAATCCTAAGAAAAAGCTATTTTAAGATTCTTGATCACAAAAGAATAATCAAGATTTACTTAATTAAGTATAGGGTTCTAATCTATTAAGAATAAAGTTTATGATATGAAAAAGTAAATGAATTATTTTAATGTTTCAATTTTAAATTGTAATTTTTTTTTTAAGGATAAAAGATTTTCAATAAGAACTCTTAGAATAAAAACTAAAAATAAAATCTAATTTTAAATCTTACTTGAAGTGGAGTCAGCTATTTAATTGCTAGCAGATGAAATAAATTTAAAAATATGACGCTTCTAAAAAAATATATCACTTATATTTGTACTTTGCAAAAAATTAAAGATTAAATTATTTCAAAAGGTGGCAATAAAGAATTGAATACGATAAATATGTGAAATAGAGTATTTCTCGTATGGTGAACCATTTTAATAAATTTATTAAACTCTCTTTCTTCACTTTATGGAAATAAAATAATGAGGAGCTAAATAATTAATGCTAACTATAAATAGTTGAAGAAGATTTTGTCAGCAAAATGTAAATAAATATATTTACTTTATATTTCTTTAATAAATATTTAATTTTATTAAAATCAACAAGGTATTTGTGCTAAACATTTTCGGCATGGAAAAGAGAAACCATTCTTTCAACTAATTAAAGAACTTTAGTTGAATTATTACTTACCTAAAAAGTTCAAAGCTAAAGGTATAACTAAAAAAAAAAAATTTTAAAGAATATGTTGATCCAAAAGCTTTTGATAGATTAAAGAAAAGCAGATATTTAAAATGCCTTTGTGAATTTTAAGAGAAACAAGTAAATTTATTTTACTTAAATTCAAGTAATTTTAGATTTTTTAAAATTTAAAGTCTGATTACAACCAAAAAAAATGAAGAAGAAAAAAATTTAGAAATAGGATAAAACTGTAATGAATTAAGTGATCAGTAAACTAATCTTTTTGTACAAATTAGAGATACAAACATAAGTAAATAAAATTAACAATAATATGTATCAAATACAATTTTTATTTAATAATTTAGAATGGGTATTATTTTTGATAAAACAAAAAGTTCAGTTTAAACTATTGAGCTATATAACAAAATGGAAGTATGTTGCTAACATAAAAAGAAGTTAAGCTAGATTGGTTTAAATTATTGTTTCTAAAAATGAAAAAAAACTAAAATTAAATGTAAAAAATTTTTTATTTTTTATTTTTTACTATTTAAATATTTTTTAAGGCAGTTAATTTATGGGCAAAATAAATTAGACATTGTAACTAGCATTAATTAGAAGCTGAAAAATATAATTTACAAGAAAAACTTGAATTAAAATAAGAAATAAAGAAAAAATTAAATTTTGATCTCAATAAATTAAATGAAGAACTTAAAATAGAGAAACAGAATAAAATCAATTAGCTATTTAGATATTTTGAGAAGAAATAAATTAAATTATACTTTAAAAAATATAATAACATTTGTAACAAAGTGAAATTGGTTGAAAATAAACTTAGAATACTTACTTCAATAATAAAATCTTTCTATGTAAAAAATTTTTTTGCTGCTCTTGCGCTTAACAGCAGAAATAACATGACTAAAAAACATTTATTAGGAAAAATAGTGAAAATATATGAGAGATTGGAAATAAAAATTTTAAAATAGAGTTTTAATGATATATAAAAAAGGATATAATAAAGATAAAGATTTGAAAAAATTATATTAAAAATAAAGAATGTTAAAAATCAAAGTCTAATATTCTAAGCATTTTAGAGAATCAAAATAATACCTTTGAATTAAAAGTAACATGAAATTTAAAAAAAAATTTTTATAAAATGAAATTTTTAAAAATTAGATTAAAAATAAAAAAATAAATAATTGATGAGAATACAGAATTAATAAATGAGCTAAGCCTCTAAAAATCTGATCTGTCAGATTCACTGTAGAAACTTACTTATGAGGAATAAAATTTACTAAAAAGAAATTGCTAAAGAAAAAAATTTATTTTATTCAAATTTATTAAAAACCAAACTTAATAAAAACTTCAATCTGTCCTTAACATTTGGAAAAGAAGTTCTAAATAATAAATCAAATATTTTGGTGGAATTAATAAGCTTTTTATTATTTTTAACATAATGGCTTTAAGAATTGGTATGAACTCTCTTAAATTTAAAATTCACAATGAAAAAAGACAATAATTATTAAAGGAAATAAATGTGAGCATGAATAAAAGTAAAACATAACAATAAGCAGCTTAAACAGAATTAGGAATTCTAGGCTAAAAATTAAATGAAAAAAAAGATTAAACTAATTCACTAAGCCAGTACCTTAATAGAAAGATTAAGAAAAATGAGTAAAATGTACAACAATAAATAAATTATCTATTAAATCAAAGAAATAAATAAATAATGAAATATATTTTTTCAGCATGGAAGAGTAATTCAAAAATGAATGTCATTGCTCTAAAAATTATGGATAATATTATTAAGCAATATTTATAGAGAACTTCATTTAAATATTTAAAGGATTCTTATTACTAATAAAAAATATTAGATATTAGGCATGCGGCTTTAAGAAAGATTGCCTATTCATAAATTTATTTTAAAAATATTCAAAGAGCCTTCACAAAATGGATGAAAAAAGGTTGTTAAATTGTAGAATAAGAGCTTTTTTAAGGACTTGATTTAGAGTAGTAAGTAGAAGAAAAAATTAATAAGTAAAGTAGCAATCAACTAGATGCCATTTTATTTAAAATTATTTAGCAAAGATAAAGAAACTTGTAGAAAAATATAATTCAAAATTGGAGTAATTATAAAAATATAAAAGTAACCTAAAGAAATTAAATAAAAGCTTTCATTAAATCAAGAACTTAAAAAACGTTATCAAACATATTTTTTGTGTTACTGAAAAATGTTTAGATTTCTCGTAAATTAAAAAAAATTAAGCATAAACTCACACATGAATTATAAAATGAAAAGTTAAAGCAAATAGCGTTTTATTATTTGAAAGAAAGGCATTTCAATTTGAAAGTTTTATGTAAAAAGCTAGTTAATTTAATTTAAAACAGAGTTTAGAAAAGTGCTTATTCATATTCATTAGAATAAATTAGAAATTATATCAAATTTAATAAAAAAAGCAGAGAGCTTTAAAGAAATGCTAAATTGCTCTCAATCTAAACTAACCTTTGCAAAAAGTAATTATAAAACATCTAAATTTATTTCAATATTTGGAATCAAAAAGCTAACGATCATAAAATGTAGGAAAAATAATTTACAAGTATTTTTAATCACCTGGAAAAAAGGATTAAGATTTCGTTTTTCCTTTAATTCAAACAAGGTCTAAGAAAATTAAAGGATTAAGAAAAATATAATAGATTTTCAGAATAAGCTTAGTAAAAGAGAGAAATAAAAAGAAATATTTCTTGTTTAATGGATTTTATCAAAGAAGAAAGAATAAATCCTAAAGAAGTGGAGGAATTTATAAAATACAAAGAAAATCAAAATGCATAAAGATTACAAAAATGTGTCACTTACTTTATGTTAAAATGCACATCAGGAAATAAAAATGACTCAAATGAAAATTTACTGCTTCCAAAAGCATTTAATACATGGGTTTCTTATTATAAATATAATAAAAATATTAAAAAAGGATTACACATTATATCTAAGATTATTTAAAATAGAGAGTTAAATCTAATATTTTTAATATTTAAAAACAAAAATAAAGAATTTATTGAAAAAGTTAAAAAAATGACTAGACCTTAACTCATTTAAAAAATGAAATACCTTTATTAGTACTCCTCTAATATGGAAGACTTTGTTAATGAGAATTATGGAATTATTTAAAACATGTAAGCTTCCAACTAGATCCTATCAGATGGATACAAAATAGGGTTAAAAATATGTTTGCGTTACTTATCTAGGAAGGTATAAGGCGTCATGTAAAAGGGTTTTAACATTTGGAAGTAATACAATACTTAATGTAATTTAAATCTTTAAGATAGATAATTCGAATACAAATCCTAAGATATAATAAGATTATAAAATCATATTAATATCATGAAATAAAAAATATCCATAATTTAAAATGAAAACCTTGAATTAAAATAAAATTGCTTGCAAGGGCAAGAACTTTCTAAGGTAAATAAACACATTTATTATTATCAAATTAATCATTTTTTTAATATATATTTTTATATAGTCTTTATAAAAGATATTGCAAGAGAGAGAAAAGTTTTCGATAGATTTAGCTGAAAAAAGCTATACATTGTAAATACTTATTGAAGACAATAAATCTTTAAAGTAAAAATTACATACTGCTCAAAAGTAAGCAAATTAAATGATGCATGAATATCAACTGTAACAAGCATTAGCAGAGAGCACTATTATGTCTTAAAATATATCAAGGATATAGGAATGATTTATTAAATATAAATAATTAATTAAATATAATTATATAAAGGTATAAAATATTTATAAATCCATAAAATAATTTATCTATTTTTGTACTTAAAAAGTCATTTTTTAAATTTGAAATATCAAATGTAAAATATTATTTAAGGTTTATTGTTTATTTATTTATTTAACGTTTAAATGTTTGTATGCTAAATAATGTTTTATAAATCAAAATAAATGAAAAAAAATGTTATTGAATGAAAAAGAATATAAATTAAATGAATTAATGAATGAATGAATGAATGCACTTTGAATAAATCCAAACTGAATATGAGTTAAACTGATAAAATAAAAGAAATTAAGAAACAATCGGTAACTATTTCTACAAGAGTGAAAGATGAAAAAAGAAGAAAGAAATTTGGCAACTAGATAAATAAGAATAAATATAAGAAATCTAATTAATTATTAATAAACAATTTAAATAGTAGGAATTCAGAAAGAATTGATTGATTGGTACAGATAGTTAGTTAAATAGTAAGTTAGTTAGTTATTTAGTTATTAAGCAAAGGTGAATAAGTTAAGAAACATAAGAGAGCGAATCCATCTATTTTATAAAACCAAACAAGGATAGAATACAGATAAAAGCTATGAATTTACCATCTCAAAGCATATTCGATCCTGATTAGTTTACTTAGCAACAAACTGAAAACTTGGTAATTGCTTAATTTATCAAATTATAACTAATTATTTAAACAGGAAATAAGACTGTAGTTAAATTAAACTTCAAGTGTAGAGTTTCATTAATTTAGGATTTATTATTTTAAAAAATCAGATAAATGAAGATTATTAAGATGGCATTTCTGCTATTTTAAAGCAAGGGTTAGATAATTAGCAAGGTTTGCAATAGATTTTTTACCCTTCTAGACCTAATAATTCTCACTTCATTAATTAAGGATAGATTTTTCAATCTACCTAGTAGCAATAATAGCAGAATTTAATTTAACCTATGCAAGTGTTAACTAATGGAGAATTTTTAAAATAGTAAATGGCAAATCCCCTGTTCATAAAATCTATTAAAGATAAATATTCATCTTACAGCGTAATATTATTCTTCATTCATTCATTAATTATATTTTTATACTATACCACAAAATTTACAAATTCCTGATATCAACCAGCAACAAGCATATATCAATAATTTTTTTAACAAAATACTTAGCCAACGCTTAGATTGACAATGACACCTCTTGACTAAAATGAAATAGAGCTTGATGAAGAGGATCTTTTAGGAGTAAATTTTTAAATTCAAATAGAAAATGATTTAAAACAAACTTAACGATATTATTAAACTATTTTTGGTAGGTTTTTGAAAGATTTGGCAATCTTGAAGTTAAACTGGAATAAGGTGGTAAGGCTCTACTTGAATTTAAAGATATATATGGCGCTTATTTTGCATGGAATTCTTTGAACGGAGTTGAAATACCAAGCCAAAAGATTTCAATAGGCTTAGATTGGTTATATGAAAATTAAAAATAGCAACAAAATTTCCCTCTCAATACTTTAACTAATGTTCCTCCTATATCTATTAATGTAGGAAATTACACGCCAAATAACAATTGCAACTATAGTAAAAATATACAAAATGAAAACATGCATACTTCTTAGAACCCAACATAATAGCCTAACTCAGTACTTAAGCAAGCTAATTCAAACTATATTAACACTCCAAATAGCTCATCTAGTATCCGTACAAACGATGTAATTAAAATACATTTTATTATTTTACAAGACCACACATTATATTTTAAATAGAGTCTGCTTTAATTTTTAAAAGCACTGATTGAATATTTAAGAAAAATCTTTCAAAAGAGAGAAAAAAGAAGATGATTAAGAAAATTAATTAAATAATTAATAAATCAATCAATCAATTAATAAAAAATTATCTAATTTTTAACTGTTATTTTGTTGTGTAAAATTTAATTTATAATAATTAGGCAAGATCAAACAATTAAAATTTGAATCCTGTGTCCAAAGGATAAAATTAAACTATTTAATCTAACATAATTAAAAATTAATCTAACTAAATTCAATCTCATGCTAACATTGTAGGAGGAACTTGCTAAAATAACAATTTAAACATCATTTCACATTAAAATTAGTCAAGCAATAATAACTAAGCTAGAGACGGATAAAATAACAGTTAGTCTGTTTCAACCTCACTAAGTAATAATTATGGGGGAAATAGTGCAATGAATAACCAAAATGGCTCTTAAAACTCAAACAATAATTAATGTAATGGGAATAACGCTAATAATATAAAGTATACTTGCAGATATGAAATCCAAATATCTAATGATAAAGATTTCTAAGTTGCTCGCAAAATAATTGGCTCGAGAGTAAAAAAATTTTAAATTAACTTTTATCAAAAATTGTTTAAATTTTAAAACTAAATTTGGAACTTAATCAAAAATTTTTGATATTCAAAGGGAGAAAATATGAAGGCAATCATTAAGAAATGTTTGGATCACAACAAAAAAAAAGGTGGATACAATTTGTAGAATGATGAAGAGCATGGTGTTAAGCTACGTTTAAGAGGAAAAGGATCTGGATATAAAGAAGGACCTGAAAAGCAAGGTAATTAATACATTTTAAAACAAAATAAATTTCTGAAATCTTTCTTAATTTTATACTACAGAATCTCAAGAAGCTCTGCATCTATGTGTTAGCTCGATGTATTATAATATGTATAAGAGTGCCTGCTATTTTGTTGAAGAGTTGCTACAAAATATCTATGATGAATATTATAAGATGTGCTAACAGAATAACTTAAAGAGAGAAAGAGTGCATATCAAAAAATAAGAGAGTACAAATGGAAAAGGAGGTTAAACGATCTCAACAGTGCCTTAATAATAGTAGTAATAACAGTAGCAGCCCCAATAATAATAATCATAGCCACTTAATTAGATTCCTGCTAATCCTATGTAATAGCAGCAGTCATCAACTTAAAATCTTTAATAGTAATTAAATTTAAAATTTTGATCAAGGTTTTTTTAAATAAATTATTTTTAAGAATTCATAGTAATAATTCTATAATGAGCGGATCGAATACTTAGAAATAAAATAATTTATAATAACAATAAGTTTAATATTTACCAATTAATAAATCTTAACAAAATAATTCAAACCAATTAAATACAACTACTCTAAAGGATGCTTAGAATACCATCAACACCACCACCACTATCGCTTGTACAAATAACAACAATATTAACAATAACTCAGATTTAAACAACCAAATTAAATATGAAAAAATCATTCCATTTTAGACTGATAAAAATTTTGAACTATCAAGCAGCACTTAATAAAGTTAAGGAGAAAATTAAGAGTTTTTTTCTTCAAATGAAGATCTTGAAAAAAATTCATATGAGAATTCTTTTATTTAAAACTCCAACGAAAATGATTCAGGTATTTTTAGTTATAATTAATTTTATATTAACACTCAATTTTATTAATCAAAACAAATTTTATATAGATTCTCCAAGCTCAGCAAGTTTAAACAACCGTTATGAAGGTTATGGTTATATTCATCTGTAAAACCCAAGTAATAGCAAAATGAGTGAAAAATAAATAATCAGTCTAATAGAGTAAAGAAATAAAGCTAGAAAAGAATCTAACTTCCAAGAAGCTGACAGAATTAGAAACTTTTTAAAAAACAATGGCATAGCTCTGATGGATGAAAAAGGAGGTAGAGGAAAAGGCTAGGATGTGACTACTTGGAAGTATTCGAAGAATAGCAATCCTTAATAGTAGTAATAATTGTAAAATAGTCCCAATGCAGCAAAATCTAATAATAATAATAATAAATAAAACAATAATTAACAATAAGTGCATTTACAGTAACAAATTTAATCATAAAATAATACTAATACTCATTCTATAGTAAACACTAATAATAATAATATTTGAAAAAAGTATATTTCTACTTAAAAAAAATTCAGTTGTTTTTAATCACTCTCACCCAAACAAACAAACAAAAAAATAAATAAATAAATAAACAGATAAACAAAATTAAAACAATTAAACTTTAATTAAACAAATTCAACAACAAAAATTGCAAAATTATAATATTATTTCTAAAAGTTGAAAAGCTCACTTAGGCTCACTCACTCACTTACTTACCTTCTTACTCATCTACAATAATTATAAAGCAAGTATTATGTCCATATTTTAGAAATGTAATTATACTAAAAAATTATATGAAGATAAATAAATAAATAAATAAATAATCTATAAATAATAACATTAAAAAATTATTTTTAATAATTAATTTCCATTATAAAGTTTTATAAACTGTATGTATTTCCTTAAAGTAAACCTATCAAATTAAATATTATGATTAAATGATAAATATCTTTATTTGATGTAGTAATTAATATATTTATTTATTTATTAAATTTGTTTATGATTAAGAGTTGCCTTTAATTAACTCTTTGAATATAAAATAAAATTTTTATTTCATATGAAAAATAAAAGTTTATGGTTAAAATTATTATAATTTTTATTAAGTAAATAGAATTAAAGGAATAAAAAACAAATTTTTTTAAATAAAAAAAAAATATTTTCTATACAAATTTCAAAAAAGTAAATTTTTCATATTATTTTAAATACAATTGAAAAAGAAAATAAATGGTTTACAAAATTATTTCAGACATTTTTCAATTATGTTATTTAAAATATATCAAAAATTTATGATTTCATCAGCGCTAAAGAAGGAGTAACCTTCAACTTAATAGCTGTCTTTTACGCATAAAAATGTGTTTTTAACTTTTTTGTTATGATAAATTGGTAAAAAGCAATCTTCTAACCATTATTTAGAGTATTTTTTGATATTTGACCTACTTTTGTACAACTTAATTTTATCTTAAGGTATTTCAGAACCTGTAGGTACAGGCAATATCATTTTACAAATATAGGCTTTTTCACTATTATCAATCAAAATACCAAATATTGTGAATTTTTCTCCTTCATCATTTAAAAGTTTAGATACATTCAATATAATAAGTTCTTTGAAAACTCGAGTATTAAATTAAATATTTATGCTTTCATTCCTTTAAATATTTTCCAGAATAATTTTCTAGTCAGATTAGAGGATGCTGTAAAATTTCATAATGAAGTATTTTTTTTCTTCGTTTAGAGTATTTCTACGTTCAAAGATAAGATACTTTGTTTCAGTTGAAAAAACAATAGGATCTTAGAATGCAGTATTATTTTGAATTATTTTATCAATTCTGTCACTTTAGAAAGCTAATTCAAAGTTAGACTTGGATTTTACGTTTAATTTTTAGTATTGTCTCTTTTCTTAATCAATAAAATAATGATTTTGACCGAATTAATTTTCAAGTACTTTTAATAAATTATCATCATTTTGTTAAAATTCTTCTGATAGCTCCTTTTCTATATAAACATTCAAAAAATAGTCATTTAAAAATGTACTTGTAAATGTTTATTCTTGTAAATCTTTAAATTTAATTAGATTTTTCTTAGGATTATCTTCTAATTTCATCTGATAGATATTAATTCCCAGTAAATTAATACATGAATTAAGTAAATTTTGTATATATCCTATTAGTTAATTTTTATCCAAAAGACTAGTGTTGCTTATGTCTATGTATAAAAGTTAGCTAAAGTTGATATCCATATATATCATTCTGGTTAATAGTTATTTTTATCCTGATATATTCAAGTACTTCAAGTAATGTCCTTTCTTTAAAAAGAATTCTATAAATTCTTGCCAAACATCATTAATATTTGTTATTTTGCTAATATCTAAAAACTAAATTCGGTAGTCTAATTATGAGAATTGGTATATACTTTCTATCTCTAAAGAATGACCAAGGACTAAAGAATTGAAGGATTATTTTATTAAAGAAAACACACTGGGATTGCATAAGAATTTGATAACTGCCTAGTTTAACATTTTGTTATCCCTTTTTGTCACTGTAGAAATATACTAGAATTAAGCCTTTTCTTAATCATTTTAATCTTGATTTACATTTCTAATTTTTTCCTCTAAATGTCTAAATAATTACTTATGTTCTTTTATTTTTTTTACTAGATTTATTTTAAATATTAAATTAACATTTATGATTTAATTTTAAATTATTTACTTTCATCTATATCTATTTGCTTGTTAAGTATAGCAAGCTAAAGAGGGAATTATAAAAATTCCAATTAATTTTATACACTAAAATTACTAATGATTTCTAAGTGACTTATTTAACAATCTTTGATACCCTCAAAGCTCTTTATAATAACTTTTGGATCCAGCTTTTTAAAAAGTTAAATGTTAAAATTCTATTTATTTCTAAAAAGTAAAAAATTGGATTTCTAAAAATAAAAATAATTATATTTTATCTCATAAAAAATAAATAAAATTTTTCAGATTATTTACTGGTGAAGAATATTATAATGTCCATTTTTTTTAGCTGCTATCAGTTAAAGCATAAAGTTCATATTTTTATTGATTTTCTTAAACAATTCCAAAGATTTTGTCTTTTGAATTAATGGTAAATGTAATTTTATTCAACAAAGGATACAAAGGATCATGCTTGTTTATTTACTCTTCAAAGATAATTTTAGAATATTAATATTATATATTTTATAAAGGAGCTCTCATTAAAACGTTTTAGAACTTGTATTAGAATTCTTCTTCTATGCATATGTAAACGTGTTTATCTTTGTTGTTGAAAAATACGTACCTTATCTTTAGATTAAACAAATTATTTATTAAATAAAGTCTATTTTGTTGAATTTTAAATTATCAAAAAAGTCATATGACAAATAAACAAAAAGAAAGAAATCAAATAAATAAACATTTATTAAGGAATAGAAAAATAAATAAGTAGAAAGTTTTGATTAAATCAAAAAATAAATTACCTAATTCTCATTAGGAACAAGGGCCTTATTCAATTTTTTATTATGTACCATCATTTAAACTTGGATAATTTTCTGATTTTCATGATCATACATAATCAATTTGTTTGAGCCTTTTCTCCAAAAAATATTCAAATAGATATCAGTTTCATTTTAATGGGCAGTTTAATTATAAAGACACCATGTGCTAAAACTATTTAGACCACTTTATAGGAGACATTTTGCTTATTTTTAAAGGAAAATTATTTAAGTGTGTTTTTATTCATATTCTAAGGATTTTAGAGTCGACTGTGTTTCTTTTTCAGCTTAATTATTTGCGATTTTATTTAGTTGCTTCATAATTTCCCAAAAATATGATTTTGTTTTGGGCTTTTCTCTCCTATTTTGATATAAATCTTTATTCGCTTATTTTATAAAAATCGTTTCAAATATAAACGACAAAGAAGTATAGAAACAGCCATATAACCTCTAATCTTAGCTAGTATATATGTTATTTTATATTTTTTATATGTATTGAGCTTAGTTTTACTGATGTTCTTAAATTTAGCATTTATTTAATTTAGATCCTTGATCAACTTTTTCTTTAATATCTATTTTATCTTCTTGATTTCCATAAACAGGAGGCATTTACTAAAGTTATGCTATAAGCTGCTATTCACTTAAATTAGTTTAAGATACACTTGTATTTAAACCATCTTTTAGCTATTAATTACCTGATTTATTTATATCTTTTTTTTATTCGTTGATAGAAGCGTAGGTTTGTTAGAATTAGAATATTTTCTAAGTTTCATCAAATATGTCATCCTTTTTCAAAAATATTTTGTAAAAAAATAACCTCTAAAATATATTTAAATTGTTTTACATCTTTTTTATTATAGAAATAATTCTTTGTATCCATAACATATGATTCTAGTATTCTTATTTCCAATTAAATTTGATCAAGTTTGAATTTCTTTGGCTCAACCTTACCTTGCTCTGTCTTTGCCACTTCTAGATTAGCTTGAGCTTATGGACCTTGATTCTTTTTTGTTTCGACCACTTCTAATTCTAGATCTTACACATGAGTGCTTTAAATTATATAATTATGATTTAAAGAAGCTATCTAGTGAGGAGAAAACTGTTAGTTCAAATCTATTCTTTAAATAAAGCCATTTTCAGGTTTAATATCAACTTTTTGTAGCACTTAGGATTAATATAAGCTTTATTTTTGATTCTTCAAGTAATTTAGGTATAAAACAGGATAGAAAAAGTGAGCATTTTCTACCTTATTTGAGTCTGAATAATTTTAATATTTGGAGCATGTACCTCCTATTAGTAAAACTCTAGTATCCAATTTCTATTTGTATTAACTACCATCAGTAGGCTTAATCTTAAAGGCCTTTCTCTTATTAATAGATTTGATAGAGTCTAAATGTACTAACTATATTTATTTAAATATATTATATATATATTAATCTTTATAAAAAATAAATGAATCTATCTGAAAATATTATCAAATAAAATCCATAATTCATATTTATAATTTTACTTATTGTTTTGGTATTTGCATCATAGTGATTACATATGCCACATTTTATCTACATTATTAAGGAATAGTTCTGAGTGATTCGAAATAATTCAATGATTATTCATAATAAAAAATCTATTATTTTGAATCAGATTTTTGGCATTTGTATAAGATTTAGTAAGCCTCAGCCAATTTTTTGTGTATAGTATTCTTATTTCCAACATATTAATTACTAAAATATTTTTTTTATAAATAATTTTCCAATATTTTAGAATATATTTCTAAAATTTCTAATGATTTTGCTTATTATTATTAATACAAGTATCTACATTAGTTAGATAATAATTCTTAAATTAAGAAGTCCTTATTTTCCTTGTCTAACTTAAGGGATTCCCAGCATTTTTTACTTATTCTTTCAAGAGTATTATCAAGGGTAGTATCATAAAACTTTAAATTTCCTGTCACTGCTAGATTACTTAAATAATAGACTGTATTTTTTTAATTATATAAGCAAAGCTGATTTATTAAATCATTAACACAAAATAGACTATGTGCAACTTAATTTTATCCTAATATTTTATGACACAGTGCTTTTGAATAAATTAAAAGCAATTCTTCTTGATTAAGTTTATTTGTATCATAATAAATTTAAATCAACTCCTCAAAAGTGTATTTAGCAGTTTATAAATTGCTTAATTTATGGTTAACATTTAATTCATCAGATATTTTTTGTTGTAAAATGCTATCTAATATCTGATTTATTTCCAACAGATAGATTTAAACCTTTTTAATATAATCTTTTTATTAAATTTTCAGTATTAAATCAATTTCTTCTAATAATTAAGTATTTTCCCTAAGTATACGCTCCTCATTTAATTCTAAATATTTTATTTTTTAAAAATCAGTTTTTCTAAAATCATTGGTGATTTAATTGATTGTAGTTTAAAACTCAAAATTGTTTCTCTCTTCTAACCTAAATAAAAAAATAATAAATAAATAACTAATTAATTAATTTAATTTTAAATATTTTTGTTAAAATAAATTTCAATTTACATTTTATCAATAATTTTGTTTAAAACTTCATCGATATTGGAATATAATATGACGTTTTGAAGCGTGCACTATTCTGTTTTGCTATTATATTCACCACCAAATATAAATAAATAGCTTTACATTAAATAATCTTCAATTTTATCAGATGGTTCTTTTACTTTATTTTATTATTATTATTTATTTTATTTATCAATTCCCCCTTAATCTTATGGCTATTTATTTTAATCTTTTTGCTTATCTTCTTCAAGCTGAATTTATTGCTCTTATTCTTTTTATTCCAAGTAAGTCATCGATATGCCTGAAGAATATGATAGATTTTGAATAAATTCTTCATTTATCTATTTTATTAACAAATTATAAATAAAAATTGTAAAAATGTATTTAATGTTAATAAATTACACCAAAAATTTTAATTTCTTCAAAGGAATAAATCGTTTCAGCTGCTGCATATGATTCTTAGCTAATCTTTAGACAATACAAGCAAGTATTTTTAATAAAATTTTCACTTTACAAGTTAATTTCTTTTTTATTTTTATCATAGTAATTAATCTCACCACCAAAAAATAAGAGGAATTTATATTTTCGTTTGTCACCACTTAGAGTATTTTTTTTAGTAGTTTTGACAATTGTTGCGTTTTACAAGAAGTACTAGCGATGCTTTTGCATACCATCTTGTAATCCCAGAGTAATTCTAGAAAATTTCCAATCACATATTTTTTATACCTAAATTTCATCTTCTAAACTGTCTTTTTTTGGAATTTATCCAACACAATTTGTCATAGTAAAAACTAAATCATCATACTGCTTCGGTATAGATTGATCAGCTGGAAAGAGGATATTGAAAAAATAAACCATCTAATTTTTATAATCAACATAATACTATGAGTATTTATTCAAGAAGCAAGATTTATTCAAGGTATTAATTATTCTAAATTTTTTAGCTGATATTTCTTCAGATTTAATAAAATTAGATAGACTTCTTTTATCAAATTTATCATTATGCTAGAAAAGGAAAATACTATCAACAAGTTCTAAGCTTCTTAAAAATTATCTCTGAAAATCTAGAGACTCTTGGTCAGATAAGTTTTGTATTGCTAGATTTTCCTTTTCTTTCAAATATTTTATGAAATATGAAAATTCTTTTTTTACTACACCGAGTCCATTATTTCTAGATGAATCTTTATTTTTTATTTCCTAAATTCTGTTTTACATATAAACTGTAGATTGAACAAATCTCCAATGTAGAATATTCTTTTTTTGAGTAAATATTGAAGAGTTAGTCTTTTATTTTAGAATGTTCAAAGAATTAAAAAACTAAAAGAAACCACAATTTATATTTTATATGTATTTAACTAGTTCGAAATTCTCATTTTCATATTAAACTTTCCCATTTAATTATTCATAAAATGTAAAAATTCCAAATACATCTCTTATTTGCTATTCATACATTTTAAGTTCTTCCTAGGCTTTCTTAAAGAGTGTGGTATGCTATTCTAGCTGCACATCCATCTCTTTTTATTATTTTTAGTTTGCTAATTAGTATGGGAATATGATTTTTTATGGCAGTTGATCTTTAGATGATAAGTTTCTAATGATAAGCCTTGGTAAAAATATCATTCTAAAGTTTGTTCTTCTTGCAATATGGGTAAAAATGTTGAAAAAAGTTTCTTCTGACAATCTAAAAATTTATTCTGTTCTTTTATTTTCAGGGCTCATAACACAAGTATAACTAAAAACTAAAGCATCTACTTTGCTATACTCATTGAGTCTATACATAATGTACTCTTCAAATAAAAAGGCAAACTCTTCATCTGATATGACTCCTCTGTAAAGGCTGTCTAATTTCTCATTTTATTTTTATTCTGCATATTCAGTTGTGTATTTTTTACTTTTGGCTATATTTAATAAAATAAATTTAAATCATAAAAACCATATACACATTCATTTCTTTTTAAAGAATGAAAAAAAAGATTGTTATTTATTTCTAATTAATTGTATCAGGAATTTAATTAATTAATTTTTAAAAAAGGAATAAAATAGTTAAAAACATAAATATGTTTTTTTTCAATTAACTAACTAACAATCTATCTTAATCAAAATATCTGAAAGAAATATATAGAAAAATTTTTTTACCTTTTTCGTTGTAGTATTCCTACACATGTTTATAGAAAGGAGTAAAAAAAGGGAAAAAGGATTTTAGTACTTCCTTCCTTTGCTTAATATATTTGTAAAACGAAAATATGCCATCAGGATTGAAAAATTCATGAAAAATAGAAAAATAGTTAAAAGTGGGGAAATTTTTCACAGCTTCTAAATTCAAAGGATTATCAAAGCCATCCATATTTATGAATATTACTTAAGGCAAACTAGAAGGCTTTGAATAAATTTTCTTATTTTCATCATTCCCTTTAGGCTCTTACAGGAGCTCATCAAAATAAAGTTTTATTCCGACTACTATTGGATGCAAGACAAGAGGAGTCGAATCATCATCAATTTATAATATTTCTATGAAATTATAGTATCCTTAAAATACCCTATTTAAGCTATCACAAAAATAACAAACTTTTGTAATATATTAATCATTGTAAAAGCCCCTATTTAATTCCAAAAGCATTAATTTTTATAAAACTTTATCCTTTTCATCTGAACCTTCACTTTAAAAACACTCATTATTTTTAATCAATTAATCAACCAGTTTTTCTTTCTCTACATCTGAAAGCTAATCGTATATTTATTTAAATTTTTCAACCTTTTCTTAAGGACCATTGCCCGAATTATTTTTAATCTAATCTGCTTCCCTTTAACAGCTTATTCCATTAAAATCTAAATTTTCAAATTGAAGTATATATTTTCTTTCGATTTTTCTGTCCTCTTTAAAGTGTTGTTTTATTCTTAAAGTTTCTGTCTTGAATTCTAAAATTTTACTTACAGATAAATTCTATCCTTTAGTCCTCTGATACAAAAACTTTAAATATTCTATGATTGCCTAAAAAAATTATGGGAGATCTTGGTGAGTTTTTTAGTTTTTTAATATATCATTTGCTATTTGCTGATAAACAATTTAAGTCTTGAGTTCATTTTACGAGTACATGATCTACTTTTTCTATTTTAACTTAATTACTTCATCAGCACTCTAATGGGTAGAGTATGTCATTTTTTTAAACTTTTCAGTACTTTTTATCATATTCATTTCTTTATGGTAAAGAGATATGTTTTCTTTTATTTGCTTGTCTTCCAATTATTTATTGTAATAATAGTCTTTTTTATAATAGCCCTACTACAACTCATTTTCTTATGATTCCTCTAAGTATTACTCTAAGATATTTTGGTTGTTACTTTAGTAATATTAATCCATTTCTATTGCTATTTTTCTTTAAATTACAGTAAATTATTAATTTTTTATTACTTTTAATCTGAGATAATTTATTTGAATAAATACATAATTAAAAGCATTTTTTGGGGATTACTTGAATATATCTTTTCAATTTATTATTAAATCAATTAATTTTAGAATATTTAAATCCAACAATATATTTAAATACTCAAAACTATTTTATTAATTTATAAATAAATTATTCTATTTTATTTTCCACAAAATTATTTTTAATTTGAAACAAATAAAGCATGATTAAACTTAAACTATACTACTCATATAAACCTAATTAAATTTTAAATTAGAGTGTTTTAAAATATCTAATTGACTTATAAAATCAAAAATAAATAAATACCCAGCTCAATCATTTTGATTAATTGGAAAAAATATGATTATTTATTAATATTGTATGTATGAAATAAAAATTTATTTTTTAAATATCTTTTTCAAATTTTCATCCAACAAACAAATCAAAAAAATATGTATTTTAAAGATGTGATTTAATATTTATAAATTGATTTAAAATTAAAATATTTTATTTAATCAGTTAAAATAAATAAACCACATTAATTATTTACTTATATTTTAAATAAATTTAAGTTACAATTTTATTTAATAAAATTTAATAATAATATTTTTAGCCTTACTTTATGAGTTTCTTTCTGATAATTTTAATATATTATTTATAAAATTTACTAAAAAAATAAAATCTATTTATTTACTATTATTTAAAGTTAAGTAATATTTTATAATGAATTATATTAAAAGTTTTGATATTAACTTTAGAAATAATTAATTTTAAATTATATTAAAAATTTTGATATTAACTTTAAAAATAATTAATTATAAATAATAAGTTTTTATATTATATAATAAGGTTTTTAATTGGGGTTGGGGTTGGGGGTTGGGGTTGGG